GAGAGAGAGAGAGGGAATACTTGAGGTACACTAGCGACACCTAGCATATCCGAGCAGCGCTCAAAAAGGACGGATGTTAAATCTTTAAATATTCAGCCTCAGCAATCATTTGTGTAAACAGAAGAAACGGCGTGGCATGGCTGAACAGTTCAAAGTGTCAGCGATCAATTGAGGACTAATAAAAAACGTAGTACTGTCAAACAAGTACGAAGTGCGGCCAACCAATGTAAAAAATATGACTCCAAACATGCCGGAACTTTAAAAAATTCTCATTGACCAACTGCGACCAACACCAGCTGGTGTCAGTTCTATTTACTGTTTCGATGTAATTTGTATCTCACAGGGTGATGTGAGGACTCGCGAAAAATTCAAAAGGCCTATGTTTCAAGAAACCAACACGCCTTTTATGAATGGTGTAATGCTCTGTGTTCATAATTGCCAATGCTGTTGTACACTACAGTATTCCTTTCTTTACATTCTTTGCCCTAGCTGAGATATCTGGGCACTATTGGCGAAGCCGTGAATCTTTGATGAAAAGTTCAAACAATAGGAAATAATGCCGGGTTCGCCTAGTCGGTCTTCATTACACGTTTGCAGTTCTTGTCAAAGCGTATAATATCTACCTTTTTTGGGAAAAACTCAAAGACCATGTATTGGGCATACAAATCGAGACCAAGCACTAAGACGACTAACATGCACACGACGGCGCTCAACACGACTCCATTGACGAAACTAGTGCAGATTTATAATTTCAATCTCAATTTGGTAATGGACTCTAGTCCTTTGAACGCATCCAAAAAGCTCCAGATCGACACAAGTGACGAAAAGACATCGATAGTGAACAAGAAATAATATCATGCTTCATACAGGCAAGTGTCTCTTCGGTCTCGGATAATCCCTGGGACACATGAAAGACGTCTGACGTCCTGCCATCGAAGTTGTTCAATTTCCTGACGCCTGGGAACTATTAGCAATGAGCGCACGTGATTTACTCGGTTACTCGAATCTGTTCGAGACTACTTATACCCAGTTCCTAAGACAGACAATCAATTACAACCAGACTGTTAACTCACAGACCTCGCTATATGGGTTTATGACTTTCTTTCTCGCTAGATTTCGCTTTCGCTCTGTATCAGTCGCTTTCTCACGTGACATACAAGGTCACGCTCTTGTCACATGTTTCGTATTTTTCTTACGTAATCCATATGTGAAAAAAAATCGCTAGCGTCGTCCACTCAGACAAGAAAAAATGGCCATCGTCGTCTTCTCTCTTCTCATTCTTCGCTCCAGAAAAACTATATAAACCCATCAGTTCTCCCCAGTTCTTCCTCTTCTTCTTCCTCCGTTCGTCTCTCCCACAAATGTTGAGCACCGTTCGCTGCGGGCCAACACACGCCCCAGCAATTGTCCCGCTCCAAACACAGCAGGTGCGGTTTATCTCACGTAGAAGAATTGCATATCCATTCTACCCATTCAAAAGACTGGGCAAACAAAACCCTAAGAAACATGACAGTAACCTGAAATACGCAATGCGTCAGTTCTTGGGCCCTCGCAACTTCAAGGGCGAGTATGTTAACAATCGGTACTTCCAGGTGTCCCAGAACCATGAGCCCAAATACATAACTCCAGACCTTGAAAGAGGCCAATCATTGCGGGACCCCATCACTGGTGATCTGCTCACACTCCAACCAGAAGGCAGTGTGGCCCCAGCAACGTCGCAACGGGGCCAAAACAGCGCGTTCACGGGCTCGCGTGACCGCAAGCTACAACCGTTCCCAAGCAACAGACATTGCATCACGAACCGGGTTCTCAGCGAAGAACTCAAACTGCAAATCAACGACGATATCCACAACAAGCAGCTGTCGACGCAGGATGTGTCGCAGCGTCATGGGCTTAAAATCCCACGCGTTGAAGCCGTGGTCAAGCTCACGGATATCGAACAAAAATGGGAAAAAAACGTATGTCTAGCACCATTCAGATAGAAAGAGCTGGTCTCTTCACTCCGTTGCGCCGCTAACGACCCTTGACCGTCTCCAATTGAAGCATTTTCTCTTTTCGATGATGAGCTAAAATGAAAAAATATTCGATTAGTCTTGAAGACATTACCAAATGGTTAAAAATTCATACTATTTCTGACGATCAAAGAAAAATGCTTCGTTGCAGACCTCAAGATCGGGCACTTCCGGAGTTTCTCCGTGTTTTTCTTCTTTTACTAACTTTTAACACTACAGAATCGCATAGGTCCAGGACTGAAAACTATGGCATCCACACTGTATAAAATGTTCCCACTGTTCGAGCCCAGAATCGAAGTTGCAAGGGAAAACTTGTCGGAAATTCCAGTTCCTTCCAAAGCGCTGCGGTCGCGTTTTGTGACCATTGCAGAATCGGAGCCCTTCGGCCCCGTCGACGCTGCTAAGGTGCTGGAACTCGAACCTGCCGCAGAAACCCTAGAGAAATTGGCGACCTTGGGAGAACATTCCGCCCATCATTCCACTTCCTCAGCTGCATCCTCAGACAACAAGAAAAAGGTCATATACGGACAAATGAGTCAAGGAGAAAGGTCCTTGTTCAAGTTCGAGTCCGCTCGCGTCGGCGAAGTCGGTTGGCGTTACGGTTCTGGCAATCGCGACTCGAAGAAGGATCGCAGAATTGGTTTCAACAAGCTGGGGAAAATGGTTTACTTGTAATTTACTCAAGTATGCCATGCAAAAATCATGTAAATAGCAGGCATATTTAGATCAATTCGTGTATCTGAACATCTGAATGGCGCCAGGCAGTGGCAAACATCTGATTGGAGAAGGTGGATTCTAAGACGCGGGCCGCTAGTTTGAGAGACCGGAATCATTACGATCGTGACAACAGCTCATGGAATGGCTTTCATGCCTTCTACTTTGTCAAATCAATTTGTTTCGTTGAGAAAACGTAGTCGCCAGGTTGTTCACCACTTCCAAAGACATGGAATGGAACAGTAGGATATGTCTTTTGGTAAACTACATTAATCAAAGCTTAAAATTAATTCTTTAGCTTTTACTGACATCGATTCTGAGACGTCGAAAGTTGCTTAACATCTGCCTCACCAATGGTTTGATGACAGATCCGATCAAAATCATCAAGTGGTCAAACACAATGAGAGTTCTATCGCGCTCTAATCATCCATTTTTATAAAATTCAGTAATACTCTTTAAATCTGCAATAATCATTGTTGTACCTCTTTCAGCTCCAAAAATAATCAACTGAAAAGCCAATTGGCTTATTTGTATTTACGCTCTGCTGAATGGATTCTTCAACAGGTGTCATACAGGCTCTTTGTTGCCAGTCGGTCTCTTCATCTTGTTAGCAGAATCTTAATGTATCTCTTCACCTTAAATAAAATGCCTTGACGTGCAACTAACGCTAAACACATAGCAAAACGAAGTGAATCGTGGCGAAGACCACATTCTAACTATGAATCTACTTTTGCCATTAGACAAGAGAGCTGTTGACGATATTCAAAAGCTGCGAGAATCGCATTTGGAGCGTAAGTTCGTGGTTTTCGATGAGGACCTAAGAATCTTCTTTCAATTGGATCCCAACGTTGTGATCGAGACAATCCAGGTTTATATCAACGAAGCGTGTGTTTACAGCAGCGCAGGGCCCGGGGAAAGTCTGGAAAAGCATGAGAACGGGCTACAAGAGCTCCGCACATCGGTGATCGATGACTACATATTTCAATCCAATATGGTAATGAACAATGGTCATAAGAACCAATTGCTGATCAAAGCAGACTATGCAATCCAAGAATCTCACGAAGACGCTGAAACGCAAACTGTATACTCTCTGGTCGGCTCAGAGCCATTGCTGCCGAGCTTTGAGCCGCTGGGAACGGTTTGGCCAACTAATTCAGTGGACGAGAAACCGTCGAAATCCGAGCTTCACACAGTGGAAATTGTGTACCCAATCCACACGCTGCTTAATGTAAGGCTTCGTAATGTGACTCTCCCCGCCAAGCAATGTATTTTTTCTTCTCTGGACTTGCAAACGTCCAAATCGTGTCAAAGCGTTATGAGCCAGTACAACCTGCAAGAATTTAAGATCGTGATGAAGGAAATCGATTATCGTTTACTCCACAACTACTCCAGCGCGTCTGTGAAGCCCTTGTTCTGCGTGGAGCCCGATCTAATGCTCGAAATGTGGGACAGTTATAGTATAAACTACGCTTTGCCGCAGACCAAAGGACTAAAGTCCCATCGTGTGCGCGTGTCGCTTCGATACGAAGTGCTGGGTCCATCTTTCCAATTTCTGATCCAAACCGCGTGGGAAACCGACGTCACACTGCGAAGACAAAACGGAACTTTGAACTTGGCCTCCCAGCCGACGTCAGTGATGTCCACCCCCATGCATACTCCGTCGATGAAATTCGCAGGTTCCATGAGCTCTCTTGTGGCTACAGACAAGCTTGACGGGGTCAGTTTCCAGTTTCTCGCGCAGAAACCCAGATTTGAGCTGGGTGCCAAGTTTTCCCTGCCCTTGCAGATAATCAATCACTCGCAGACGCCGCTGGACCTCGTAGTTTACTGCGCCAATACGGCAATCGAGCCACAGGGCCAATTCCCGGTCGAGAAAGAATACATGTTGCATAAAAGATGGATGAAAAATACTCAATCCATCGTTCTGCTGTCCAATGACCGCAGACTGCCCACCGTACCACCGTCCGAGACGTTGTGTGTGGAATTGGACTTTTTCGCCATTCTTCGCGGTTACTTCCATGGTATTCCAGGACTCAGGGTACTGGATCTTGTTTCACAAGAGGTAAGAAGCATTGGAAGCGGCGTCAAGATACTGATAGACTGACGAAGAACACCGTCAAAGACTGGATACCATAAATGGAGAGCGTAAAACAGACACAGCAGCGGGCGCCAGGGACGAATGAACCTCACATTTATCACGTGATATCAAGATTGTGTTGTGTAATCGATATTATATAAGCTACATCACGTGACCAGATTTTTTTTATTTGAAATTTTAAAATTGCCATACAATAGGGGAATTTCAAGCTTTAAATTCAACGTCGGTGTTCAATCAGGATACCTATCGTTCGAATACTTAAGGCTTCGACAGGACCTAAGACCTCGCTCTCTAGCATCAAATACTGGTTGACAATTAGCCGCGCACCTTCACAAACATGGCCGAAAAGTTTCCGCCTCTTGAAAACGATACTTTTGAGCCAGAATCGACCTCTGGACAACAAGAAACAGACTTCTTGAAAAGAGAAGCAGAACTGCTGGGAGACGAATTTAAGACGGAGGAAGATTCAGAATTTCTGCAAAATGCAGATGAGGACGATTTTGGCGACTTTGAGGAAGTTCCGGCTCGCGCTCACACAGATTCAGCTGCTGCAGAGTCTCAAAAAAACGATTTTATAGGTGAAGATCATCAACAGAGTGATTCGCAAAATAGCTCTGCTTCTCTACAAGCAGAGGATTCTCAGGTGATCGCTGAATGGGAAGAGACTCGGGATCGAGAAATTAGTGAACGAGACACGGCCCAGGAAGAGGCCAAAACCAAGCTGCAAGAGGAGGCCGTCAAGCATATGGATGATTTCTACGATAGCTACAACCGGAAGAAGGAACAGCAACTGAAGACTACGAGGGCTGAGGCTGAGAAATTTCTAAAAGAGAGACAAGAGTTTGCAACTCAGGACAATACCACTTGGGATCGCGTCTTGCAACTGATAAACGTCGATGACGCAGACCTCGTGAACGGCAGAGACAGATCCAAGTTCAAAGAAATTCTCCTCAAGGTCAAGGGCAATCCCAACGCCCCAGGAGCTTAGTTAGTGCATTGCAATCTTTGACGGTTCAAGAGGTATAGAAATGCTACCTATTTCACTTAACCAAACCAAAACGAGACCATTTTCAAGTAAATCTATGCTAGCTGAAAGACGAGCGTTAAATAACGCAAGATCTCTCTTTCTTCTTTTTTCTCTTCTCCTCCTAAGTGCTAAGAGTTTGCTGCTCGCGATGGTAGTTACGGAGCGAAAGGTTGGACCCAATCCAAAAAGCAAGCTTCTGCCAGTGCGGTTTGTCGCGTATCTGATCCGTGATCAAGATTCTGATCAAATATTTGAGCACTCCGGGCCGCACAAACATTTGGTTGTTCTCGCTGTCCAGGACGTAGAAACCGAGCATCAGCATCGTTGAGATTTGCAAGTTCGAGCTGTATTTATGCTCTGCATCCAGTAGCACCCACAGTAGCTGTCTCCAGGCCACCCACTTGATGGAGACGTGTAGGTTTTCCCCGCAGCAGCAGCTCAGGGCTTTCTCCCACATGCTCCGGGACGTGGTGAGCTCATTGATGTCCTTCAATTTGTCTTTAAAAAGACGCGAGTTCAGAGCTGTAGAGTTCTGGACGCGGTCGGCATCGATATTCTGACGTACCTCCAGAGGCTGTTTTTTGTACAGGGAAGATTTGAAGAATTGAAAGAGCGAGATTGTGTTCCAAAGCGCGAACAGGGCTGCAAAGTCTCTTAATGGAGATTTTCGCCGGAAAAGTATGGATTTGGTTCTGGAAGGGCTGGCATGGTGCAACCATGGTATTAGTAGAGACAAGATCGCCTGTCGGATGAGATTTAGTTTGTTACTGCTCAGTTGAGAGTAAAAACGCCGCACAGCGGCAAAACTATTGGCGTAGTCGAAGACGGACTCGAATGCTAGATAAGTCGAGATCCAAGGAGGCATTTCGAGCTGTGTTGAGGTCAGAAGAGCGACATTGAACGACAGCAGTTTGCTTTTCAGAACTTTACGCAAAAATGGGTAGCTATTGAAGAGAGCACAGATCCACGATGCTCGCTTGAGGCTTTGCAACAGAAATCGCGCCTTAACGTAGCCCGATGAGGCCTCCAGATGCTTCAGTTTCCGAAGCGTCAAAACGCCTGAAAGTCCATAAATGGCCAAAATTCGTTTAACCAGCTGTCCCAAAACTATCTCATCATCTGTAATGACGTTGAGGATCTTTGCAATAGAGCTGTTCATACTAAACGCTGTCAAATTGATCAAACGTTTGAACAAAAGAGGGCATCAGCTCCTGGCATTCGACACCAAAAAATTGAAGATTTTGCAAGCTTGGAAAGGAAGAGCCTAACTTTACCGTCTCCCGACAAAGATCTCCTAGCTGGCGATATAAGATCACAATTTTGGGGGACTCTAGATCTTTAAATGGGAAAGCCAAGGGTACTGGCGGTTTTCGTTTGACATATCTCTCAAAATATACAAGTTATAGAAAGATATTCGTAGTAGGTGACTAATTTGAGTATATCACTTTGTCGTAAACTGACACATTTTGGATATCAGTAATTATATAGCTTCAACTCCGGATTTGTATATATCCTCAACTTTCTCAACGACCATTTATTCAAGGATAAAACGGCTCTGGGCTAAAACAACCCTATGCGACCGCTGTCAAAACTACTCTATCAGTACCTGTGTGTTTGAGGGCGACATTCTGCCACTTTTGGCCTCTCAATCGGATACTTTTTGGGGTCGGCGCTTAGCATGGATGTGATACTCGAAGCTTTGAATGGAAGAGCACTGAAAGCCGTAATTCAGTGCCTTGATGATGAATGACAGTACATATGTATCTGCTGTCAAATCGAGAGAAACATCCATAGTTGATAGGCCGAAATTTGTTGCAATCAATGAAACTTTACAATCCCATGTTTTCAAGCGTTTTCCACAAGTAGGAGCCAAAACACCGATCAAATACAGCAATAAAGCCCATTTCGTTCCGCCTACAACACGACTGGGATTTTTATCCCGTTCCCCTCCGTGAGATTCCAAAAAGCAAGCTTACAACGGGCACAAGCATATTTCGGGCAAAATCATTGTGAGATTGTTCGAAAAAAATTCCCTGGATCAAGTTTGCTCTAAGAACAAACAATTCATGCTCACAAAATTCTCAAACAACACCTTCAACACCGATCTGTGGCTTAACTCATCGCTTTCTCGATATCCGATCCGGTTTTCGTCTCCTGTGATTCGAGCTCTACTAAAGGGATGGTATAACAGGTTGTCCGATCTTACCACTAAACCTCTAGCAGTTTCTAAAAGGACAACAATGGGCGATTCAAACCCTCCCTTTGAGGTGTTGGCTCAATTTCCTTACACCTCCGAACACGCAGACGACCTCAATTTCGAAAAAGGCACTTTGATAACCGTACAATCGGTCGAAGACGACGAATGGTATTTCGGTGAGTATCTCGATGAACAGGGAAGTTTGCAAGAGGGTATCTTCCCTAGAAGCTTCGTAACCACAGTCGAAAAACCAAAAAAGCATTCTGCCTCTACCAAGACAGAGGGGGGCACAGAATCCGAGAAATTAGCGGAACCAGCTTCTATTGCGGAAATCAAAGAACCCAGATTTCCACAAGAGCAGTTCGACCAGATTAAGACAGAAGCACCCGGAAAACAAAATGTTGCGATTGAAAAGAACGAAAACGACGAGAAAGATGATACCATGAAACCAGTGAGTCCAATGGAAGAAACCGTAGCTTCTAAAAAGGTTTCGCCCGAAATCCCCGCACCTGCTAAGCCAGATCCCACTGGTTTTTCAACCACCAAACCCTCTGTTTCATCACAGCAAAGTGGTGCCCAAGCACCCACTCCGGCTGTTGCCAAATCGTCTGACCACGACACGAATTTTGAGGAACACCCAAAAATGAGTCTCAAAGAACGGATCGCTCTGTTACAAGAACAACAGAGGATCAATCAAGAGAAAGAGCAAGAAAGACAGCAAAAATTGCTGGAAAAGGAAAAGAAGCATGCACGTCACGAAGCTGCAATCATTCAGGAAAGTCCCGAGCTGTTGCCGGAGTCTGCAGCTTCGGACATCGGGGTGAATCCTCAGCAGGCAAGTGTATCTAGGAGAACCACTGTACCAGAGATCAGCCATGTTGAGATACCTGGGGCCAACGCTGAGCTACAAGACTCAGGGCCCAAATTGCCCGCATCCAATGTCGTCCATGACTCATCCTCTCCAGAGGCGAAGGGCGACGACAACCGGAGCTATCTAGTCAGCGAAGAAGAAGAAGAAGACGAAGCAGAAGAAGATCATGCCGAGAGTGAGGAGGGCAAAATAGAAATCCAGGAAGATGAGGAAGAGGCTCGGCGTGCTGCCCTCAGAGATCGCATGGCTAAACTTTCAGGTGCTGGAAGAATGGGAATGCCAGTGTCTTTCAACCCTTTTGGCATTCCAGGATCCTCTAGAACATCAACAGCTTTACCAAAAAAGACCGAACGCCAAGAAACATCACAAAAGGTCGAAACTGACTTGCCTCGTGCAGTTCCGATGCTACCTTTCGCTGACCCCCAGGCCCTACAAAGAATTCAAAAAGACGTGCCAGGGGACAATTCAGCTCGCAAGGAAGACGAAGAGCCACCCTCCGCAGATTTCCTGTCTCAAAAAGGCCAGGACTTAATTAATGAGCAACCGGGGGCGCCTAAACTTACTCACGAGTATGCTAAATTGGCGAACCCACCCGCTCCTCTTGACACGCCGGGTATGCTTGCAGATGCAGAAGATGAAGCTGGGCCTGTCGAAAGCAATTATTTTGGAAAAGACTCTGAGCAAGCGCTCAACTTGTCTGAAAGATCGGAAACATTATCCCTCGACCACAATGATGATGCGCTGCAAGAACAAGAGATCCTGTCAGTTGAGAAAAACAGGCCAGAGTTTGGGAGCGGTCATGTTTCGGACTCCACGGGCTATGAGTCTTCGGTAGAAGAAACTGCTGCAGCAATAAGCAAGCCCGCCAAGAGTATGCCCTCTCTTACAAAACAGGCGATTCATCACGCGGCATCGGCAGCAGACGAGCTGCAGGCTAAGTCTTTGCAGGACCAAATTAATGATGACGAGATCTTAGATGGGGAACTGAGCGCAAGTAGCTGCAAAATTCTCGAGCCTCAGTCGAAGCCTGAACAGTCAGCTTTCCTGTCCAGTGACAAGAAAGAAAATGTTGAGAGAGTGCTACCTATCGGTGCCTCTTCCAAGGAAGCGACTGCAGAAGACAGAAGGGTAGTGCCGCCTATCCCAAAACAGGTCCCGATTTCTTCTGCGCCACCAATTCCATCAACAAAACCGGCGCCATCAACTGCATACGTGCCACCAGTTCCTTTGACGAAACCAGCACCTCCAACTTCTTCCGTGCCGCCCCTTCCTACAGCACCACCTATTTTTATCAGAGAAACAAGTCAAGAAGTGGAAAATAGTCAGGAGGTCGATATCTGGCCTGGTGCAGTGAAAAGATCTTCAATGATTAGTGTCCAAGAGGAACCTTTCGAATCTTATTCGGAGGACAGTGGAGAGCCAGAAGCGAGTCATCCCCATTTACATCATGATGCTCCAAAGGTTGCGCCACCACCACCACTACCACAATTAGCGACAAGTGATGTGCAGCCTGGTGGTGGACCAAGATCGCCTCCCCCTCCACTTCCACCTTCAAAATCACACTTTGCGGACCCTGTGAAAGGTGACAAGCATCTTGTAACTAAAAAAGAGTTCGTCTCGGAAAAGGGAGCTTTACCTATACCGATTTCTTCAGCAAACGTAAGCTCTAAACATCACGTATCGCCCAGCACCGCGTCGTTTAAGGATGGCTCAATCAATCAAAATGCGGGAAGGAAACTTCCTATGAGTAGCAGCGGAGCGCAAGTTCCTAATGTGGAACCTTTCGACAAACAAGTGAAAAGGGCTCAAACATTTGAGACTAATGACATAAACCAAATGCCGACTATAAACTTTGATCAAGCAGACAGGTGGTGGTTGGAAAAAGTGATACCGGCCGGTCTGGTCAGCGGCAATCGCCTGAAATACATTTGGGAAATCGATGACAACATTTTCAATAAAAGAAGCGGAGAACAATGGACAATGCGGGATTTCTACATCCTTTTTGAGGATTACAGTCAACTACATGCTACGGTTGTGTTCAACGTATCAAACCCTCATCAAACAGTGAAGTTTTGGCAACAATTTCTACCAAGCCCTTCTTCGAACAGGAAACTGGATGAATTCGCATCCAGAATTGGCTACAGGATATTTGAGACAGCCAACCAGTCTATCAATAGGCCCTCGCAAGATTTCGTTTATCATCTCATCACTAGCATGAAAGATTCCGTTGTACCTCCTATTGCCTCAAGGACCTATGGTGTGCCGCTGCTCACCTTTTCGCCTGATGGTGCCCTTGATGAGGAGGCTCTGAAATCGGTGAGGCCTGGTGACATTTTGGTCGTCAGAAGAGGAAAATTCCAATCCCATGGAAAATTGCTCCAGAAGACCACACATGAAATTGGGATGGATGCAATACCCTTTGCGGGCGTTATCACAGAGTATGATTTTTCGAAGAATAAATTCAGAGTCATTGAAGAACAGAACGGCAAAACTAGACAAGCTAGCTACCGCATACACGATATGAAAAGTGGTAAACTTAAAGTTTTTAGAGTGGTGGACAGAAGCTATGTGGGCTGGTAAACCTTCTCCGCCTTTTTAAATGAATATTTGTACAGGAATGCATATATTATTCTTTCATGGCTGCCTGTAATTCGAGGTTATGGTCGAGAGCCCAAATTGGTAAGCTCGTCTCGTAATCTAAGTCACCGGTAGAGTCGCGGTATTTCCAGGCATGCAAATACAGCTGGAGATCGTGAAGCTGTGGATCAGGATATAGATTTATGCCGCATTCCTTACACTCCTCTCGTATACTAGATGGTTCCCCGTCGTGAAATGAATTTGATTCGCGTAAGAAATCTTTGAAATATGACTCCAAACGTTCTGAGGAGATACTGCCTATGTTCCAGTTATAGACGTCGAGCATGAATTGTAGCCGTCTGGGAAATTTCGTATTTTTCTTATTGTAGAAAGGATCATTCACTATTGGGTGTCCCATTCTAGCGAGATGAATTCTTATCTGGTGGGTGCGTCCGGTGATAGGCTGGCATGCTACTAGCGTTTGATTTGATGCAGCATAGTATCTTACAGGGTAAAACTTCGTTGTAGCATTGCGAGCGACAGAAAAGGCGGCGGGAAATTGTTTTTTCAGCTCGATGGTATAAATTTCAGAGTCTTCAACTGTAGCTTTATTTTCGTCAGCACACGCCTCCGTGGCAGATGGCAGACATCCTTTTCCTAAGGCATGAGAATCTTGAACCTTTGGAAAGCATCCTTCGACTCTAGCCAAATAAGTCTTCTGCATAGTTCGCTGTCGAATTTGACCTTGTATTTTGTTAGCCATATACGGGTTTTTAGCCATAATGAGCACTCCTGAAGTAATTTTATCAAGCCGGTGCGTCGGATAGGCATCTGTGCCCTGGTTTTTCAGCACTTCCACCATTGAATTTTTGTAATACCGGCCTGTTGGATGGATAGGAATACCACTGGGCTTGTTGAGTACTAAGAGATCAGAGCACTCATGTACAATTTCAAAACCCCCTATTTTCTTGCCGGCCTCAGTATCGCTTTCGTCAGAGCACCATTGTCGTACTGGCGGTTCGTGCTTGTGAGAAATTGTCTTGATAATGTCCTTATTTTCGATTTTGGCGGTGAAGGTCTCCGGCACGCTTAGTGCACAAGCATTTCGTACAATTTGAAACTCCTGACGCTGGATTCCCAGGCTGTACTGTTCGCTCGAGAGCGCTTTTAACTCGTCACTCAGCACTTCAAGTAGCTGACGTCCCAGCCATCGTCCTTTGGCGAAAGAAGTGCGAGAATGATAGTATGGAGCAATTTTACGCAATCCGTGAGCGTAATAGATCCCATTGACCATTTCCAGGACCTGTCTGGGCTTGTCAAGGGTCATCTGGTGCTGGCGAAGTGTGTGCTCATCGCCTAATGGACAGAGATTTCCGTATATGTGGATATCAAAATGCCAATTAATTAAATCACGTGATAAAAGTCGAGTTATTACCGACTTGATGTATTTGGACACAGAGTGGCGCTGTTTGAAGATAGTGAGAGAGGCTCGGTAGTAGCGGGTTTGATGGCTCGAACAAGCAGATGCTTTTAATCTGCTCTCAACGCTATATGATTAATTTGATCACTTTGTACCATTTTGTCATTATGGCACGTGACTTGTGAGACTTTGTATTTATCTTAAGGACACCCCGTAGCTTCTCCAAGGGTCGCTACGATGGCTTTTGTCTTCTAGCGAGAGCTTTCTGCAGCTCTAAAAAGTCTGAAATAGTGAGATAGCGGCCTATTGAATTTATAAGAATTATCGAGTTTGTGAGTAGAGTCTTTTCGCCTACATTTGGGCACAGCCCAACGGTAAACGTAACTTTAACATGGCTACAAAATCGTACGACAATTGTCGCTAATGACTTATTAGTCGCGAACCTTTTTTTATACTAGCTCGGTTATTGATTGTCTGCCATATATATGGCATATGCTATATATTATGCCAATAATTCATTCTCACTGTTAAAAATTAAATAAAATGACAATGCGATGAGCATCATTTGAATCGGTTTGAAAGCGATACTCTACGCTGTTTAGTACACATTTTGGCCTGCTTATAGAATGAACCACTAGTAGGTTTACTGAATCCCAAGTTTTTTAGCTCAAATCGGATGTCTGGAAGACTTGTTCTAAAGGAATTGAAAGTTGGGTTAAACCTGAACAGTAACAAGTATCCAGTGACCCCGAAAACCCGACCAGTTTCGCTATCTTCGACAACAGAGCTCGATTCTAATAGCCTTGCGAGCGTGAGAGATCTGGGAGTGGAAAACAACTTTTTTGGAAAGGCTAACAAGAAACTTGCGAAGTATCGGAAAAAGCAAGATGCGCTGCTGAACGCGCGTTCCAAGCTTCGAGGTACAGTTAGTATTGCACAAGTGTACCAGAACACGTTCCGGGTATTTTCAGCGCAAAGTAAAGTTTATCATTGCGACTTTTTCCGGCTTTTATACTTTCCACCAGACCATATTCTATCGGTGTTTCGCAAGAGTAAGCCTGCGGTCAATGTTAGAATTGTGGGCGAGGTTTTCCTGAACGGGAATGTGTCTCGGGGCGAAAACGGGCGCAGTGTGGCGAACACTGCTGTTTTTGAGCGAGGTTCGCGGATCGACAAATATGGTAAGAGCTTAGATGTGAGCAACCTGAAACGGCTGCAGTCGATTTTCGCTCACGACGGCTCCAACGTGCCCCGTAACTACGCATACTTACGACGCTCTTTGCGCACTTTCCTACATGGATGCTTTATCGAGAACTGGACTAATCTCAAGGGCGCTCAGGCAGTGGAAGAACAGATAACACGCGAGGCGCAAAGCTCCGAGGCGAACGCCAGTGCAGATTGGAAATTCCTGGATAGCGACGGTCGCAGCAACTGCGGAGTGGCCAAGGACGGTTTCTATCTATTTCAGGTTCTGGTTTTCCCCGACAACTTCACGAAGCACGAGTTTGAGACGAACGTGGCGCAAAGCGTCCAGGCTGTGGCCGATCTGCAATGGGACAAATTTCTGCGTGGGAAGCCCAACATCAAGAAAACGTGGGTCGAGCAGGCCAATGATCGGGTTCGTGTGCCCGTTATGAATACGTATCTGGCCCACGGCCAGGTTCCCAGAACGCTCAAAAGGCTGACATAACATAGACGTCAAAAAGGCCGCCCCCGTCGCACTTGGGTTGTTTTCAATCCATCCTTAAGTTTTATAGAACGGACTCTACATACTACAGCTCTATCAAAAGAGACGGAGTCGAGGACGCTGTGCAAATATGCTTGTCCTCGAGCTCATGCCAGAAAATTACACAAAAAAGGATGAAGCTCGTCACTTAAGACACGGCGCAGCCGTCCTGAGACTGGGCCTGTGTGATGGAAACGACAAACCTAGCCTGTGCTGATGTGATGTTCATCCTGAACCAAAATCCGTGAAGACAAGAAAAGAGCTTACCTACCCTTTCCACCCTTACCGAGAGCTGCTTCTTCCGCTGCCAGAAGCTCTTCGCGCTCCTTTTTCGCCCTCAGTTTCTCCTGTCTCTTCTGTTCTTCTAGCTGTTTCTTTGGGTTCCCTTTGTCGGCACCCTGCTCCCACTTGGCAGCTTCTTGAGCCTCCAGGGCCTCCTTGTGTGCTTTGTCCTTGGCATGCGCCTGTTCTCTTTTGCGTTGGTTACCAGCGACTTTCTTGGCAGCCGATTCCGAAAACCGTTTGCCCATGTCTGAGTAGTCTGTGTGTGGTGTGCTAAAGCTCTTTTGAGAGGTGGTATGTGCTGAAGTGAGGTGTACCCAGAGATACACTAAAACTTATCCTAATTTGACCAAAAGACCTCGTAAAAACTCGCAAAAACTTGCAGAAAAAATGTATTCAATTCTCTAAGCCGTAATTCTACGCTTTTTCGACCTCAAATGCTGTACAAACTTGCTGAAAGACCACTTTTAATCTTGTTTCAGTTTTTTTACAAAATTCATTATTTTTCGATGAGTTAAAGCTCTTTTATAATATATCCACCCATCGAAATTTTTCAAATTTATATAGCAAGGTCTGACGAAATCTCAGCTTTGAAAGCAAAAAAAACGTTGATAAAACCGCACTAAAATAGCTGTAATTCAGCATTTAAAATGTGTTAACATAGCTTGTAAAAAAGCCGATATTTACGCTGTGAAGTTCGCCTTTGAGACCTTTCTTCTAGCTAATATATTGATAAATGCCAGACGACAAAGGTAATTAAATTAAAGTGTCACGAAAAAAAAACAGAATAAAATGAAATCAAAAAACATTGGATAAAGACGCCAGTTGAGACAGGGGAAATAAGACATGTAGATGTGGCACGAAGAGTGCTTGATTGGGGTCTTCGCTAGCACTCACGGCTCATCGAGAACTCTTTTGGTGTCAGCATAAAAAGCTCACTGTGTACGAAATTTCGAGAAGGAAAAGAATATAAAAGAGATAAGTTCCCAGCGCAAGCACCGAAGCTCACGACGGGTCCATTCGTTCTGTTCATTTACGCCGCTTAGCTTGGTTCTGCGGTAACTATGTGATTGTAGGTGTGCGTGTGCTGCGCACATTTCGGTGTCATCCTGTACGAGCATCTCTCAAAGCCATTATATATTAGCCTGTCCATCTCGGACTCTAGCCATCACCAACTTGGCACTCGACCGATACACCTAAGCATGCATCTGGTGCTCCAGACAGACCATTGAACAGCGTAATAAGGTACCAAATCAGTCCAAAACGTATCGGCACTCGAAAACTGCGAAAAAATCCGAGCAAAAATGGGCATCATACGGCGCAGACGAAGACAACCGCGGCTTACGTTGAAAGTCCATGCCGTCCAGGCTCACAACATCACCATCGAGAAGTCAGGGTGCAACCCCATTTGCGTGGCGATCAGCAATGGCAGCTTCAGTCGCACAGCCAAGCAGAAAAATACCAGCTCGCCTTCGTGGAATCAGATTCTCAAGCTCAAGCTACCCCAGAAGCCCACGTCAGAGTACTTGCGAATTGTAGTGTACGACATGCTCAGCAACGCCGTCGACAACAACGCTGTGGAAAATCTACGATCCCGAGAAGATGCCTCACGCAGCTACGATAGTTCCAGTCGGTACCTCTATCTTGGCGAAGTTCGCGTCTCGTTGCGCGACCTCTTTCGTCGCAAAGACCAGCCAACAAGCTATAATTTCTCGAAAAACACCGCCTGGTATCCGCTCTACAACCGCAACAGCCTTAAATTTATGCATTGCGATATGCAGGACGCTCCACCCGCTCTGGCCATCGGTCAAATCCAATTGGCAATTTCCTTGACTTGCACGCGTGGAACAAGCCTTATCAAGACTTTCAACGAGTGGCAACGTAGCTTCCCAGAGGGATCCTCTGCTAAAGCCACTCGTTCTCTCAAAAACTCCGGCAAAAACGTTCTTTTCGATTTACCCTCTAGCTCCACCACGGTGAATAAGTTTGCGGATACTGACGGGCTCGCAGGTGTCGACGATGAAAGTGCCACTGATTTCGAAGAGATCATTCAGGAAAGCCCGGACATTGACGAAGTTTTAAGAGAGCTTGAGGGAAATGATGACGACGATGATGACGACGATGACGACGATGACGACGATGACGACGATGACGACGGTGACGACGATGACGACGATGACATTGATGACATTGATGACGAAGAAGAAGACGATGAAGAAGAAGAAGTAGACGATGATGGCGAGGACCTTGAAGAAGACGTTTACCAAGACAACAATGAAGAGAGTGGAGATTCTATCAGATTGCGGAGGTCCCACGGACAAGTGGATGAATTTGAGGATATGAGCTCAGCAGAAGAAGTAGATGGCACATCTCTCAGTTTGGCCAAGTTTGCTACTGCGTTGGACGAATATAATGTTGCCCTCTCTAAATCTGACCTCGAAGCTTTCACCGAACCTTCAACGCTTGGTACGCCACCGCTTATCGCGAGAGACCCTAGTGTTGATGCTAGTGATACAAACTCGAATAGTAATGATAATTTCCTTTCTTTGCCAAGGAGACGGCGACGGAGACCTCATCGACGTCGTCGGGGAATGGTGAGTGAAAGCTTTGAGCTCTCGAAACAGGGACACGCCATAGGGGTCGCTTTCATGGACATCGAGAACATCGTCGATTTGCCGGCTCTCAAAAATAAGTTCTCAAAGACATACATGATGGATCCGTTTGTCGTGGTCGCATTCGGTAGAAGAGTTTTCAAAACGTCGTGGAAAAAACATTCGCTTAATCCGACTTTCAATGAGCGCCTAGCTTTCGAGATATTTGCCAATGAGACTAATTTTAGTTTCCATTTTAGAGTCATTGATAAAGACTCGTTCTCGTATCACGATAAAGTGGCGATTGCTGATGTAACCTGGAAAGATCTTATCAGAGTGCAGAGCGATCGCAACAATGACGAAGACTGGACTTCTGTTCCAATCCCCTTGCATTTCAGTGATTCAATTGATCCTGCTGCCTCTGAGCCCGTACTGAACATCAGATTTAAGTTCACCACTTACTCTGACTTGAAGAAGCACTTTTGGGAAAGGGTCCTCGACAGGCTTTGCAAAGCTGATGCTCTTGACGTTGTTGGCGTGAGTTTAATGATGGAAAAGCTGGGTACCTTCTCCTATGATGAAATCGATGACTTCTTCTACCACTTCAACAAGTCACCGTGGTCCCACGATAAGCTCAGTAAGGAAGAGTTGGTTGCCTATCTGCAATACTCAAAAGGATCCTCGGGTTTTAAGGGCCTGAAAAGATGTCCTCTATGCTTTCGCCGTTGCAAGACCACGAGACATGCTGCAAGCTTCAAGCTGTTACCTGAAAACGATTTGATCACACATCTGTCGATCTGCTCGTCCAGCGAGGATAAAAAGCGAATGTTGAAACCATCATATGTGTCATCGGATTTCGCAACGAAAAGGTGGTTCTCTAAATTTTTGATCAAGCTAACCTATGGGAGATATGCATTGGGATCTAATAACGCGAACATTTTGGTGCAAGACAGGGACTCTGGAATTGTCCTGGAGGAAAAAATAAGCGCGCATGTTAGGCTTGGCATTCGAATCATTTACAATGCCAAGGGAACTGAATCCAAGAAATTCAAAAACCTCTTGAAAAATCAGTCAGTGAAACAGGGACGAAAGTTTGACAGCCCAGCTTCGGTTAAACAAATTGTTCCCTTTATTAAATTTCATTCCTTGGATGTCTCAGAATGCGAAGAGACGCAGTACAAGACCTTCAACGAGTTTTTTTTCAGAAAGCTAAAGCCAGGAAGCAGGTCTCCGGAAGTCGAAGATCCTCAAGTTTTGCTTTCTCCAGCAGATAGTAGGTGTACGGTGTTTTCTACCATCAAATTCTCAAAGGAGATATGGATAAAAGGTAGAAATTTCACCCTGACGAAGCTCACTGGAGACTATCGTCCTGAAGTCTTCAATGACACATCATGCAGTATTGGTATCTTTCGTTTAGCACCTCAGGACTACCACCGTTTCCATTCCCCATGTAACGGTATTGTCGGAAAGGCGCATGAAATATCTGGAGAATACTACACTGTTAATCCAATGGCAATCAGAAATGAGCTGGATGTGTTCGGTGAAAATGTAAGGACCGTGCTTCCCATTCATTCTCCTGAATTTGGGACAATTCTATGCATCGCCGTTGGTGCAATGATGGTTGGCTCCATCATTTTCACCTGCAAGGAAGGACAGACTACTGAACGAGGGCAAGAATTGGGGTACTTCAAGTTTGGAGGATCAACTATATTGCTTGTGATACCTTCCCAAAAGGTGACGTTCGACACTGATTTGCTTCAAAATTCGTGCGAACAGATCGAAACACTCGTAAAAGTTGGTATGAGTGTAGGTCATACACCTGCAGTGAAAGAACACAAGCGTGAGAAACACATACCAACAAGCAAAGCTGACATCGACAGAATTAAGCGCACAATTTCCGTTTCTGATGAAGCTGCCAATCATGTTGGAAATGTGAGCTGGGAATTTCGTGATCTCCAAAAGAGACTCGCGGCCAGACCGCGCACGGTGAGCTCACGAGAGCTATCCAATCTTGCACAGGCAGCTGATGATCTGAATCTCTCGACCGTAATTTAACCAGAAGTGTCGTCCTCTGAAAATGGTCTTTTTTTTATGGGGGGGGGGATTTAACGCTCGCAGGTTTGAGCGACAGATACTTCCTATCAATGACCCACAGGATTTAAGCTACAATATGGCCCTCTCTTCTCGCGTGTTGGAGGCTGGTAGAAGTTTTGCTCATGCCAAATATTTTTTCAGTGATTCAATTCCGAAATTAGCGCACATTGGCAATTTAAAGGTTGATAAAAATGGGCTATGAATCCTCTGCGGAAGCTACCGAATCTATTGAGACTACAGTCAAAAATCGGGCTCGAACTGATCTAGGTTTTGAGGAACTTTAGTGGCTGAATTGCCTAGCGATTTATATATCACTACTCACGGGTGTGTCATAAGGAATTATTGGAAAATTCAATAGCGATGAGATGCGATCACAGTGTACTTCTTCGTTACCCATCCAAACAATCACAATGGACTCCGTTCTGAGCCGATTTAAGTATGCAATTGGCTTCACCAAGCTTGGTTCTCCATTAAGAAATTTTCTTTGAACGTTTACTAACGTCGGTTTCCCCCATCAGCCAATCGAGAAAAGATTCTGATCAAGTTGCAATCAAGCGTCAAGAGCTGGCAATTGAGTCAGGAGAAAACCCTTTCTATCTCAAATACGAAGACCGAAAGTACGATGGCCAGTATTTTCCCATGTACCAACACCGGTTGAAAGTCCTTCGGGAACGAGTTACCCAATCGTGTGAGAATAAATGGGACTCGCACTTCAAGCTTAACGGCAGAACAGTTGTGAAGAAAAACAAAGTCCTGGATATTCAAGCCAATGAGCCGTGCTGGTGTGTGGGTACCATCTACTGCGAAATGAAGTACAAGCCCAATGTCCTGGAGGAGGTCGTAAACGACGTGTATGGTGCTCCGGATTTAACGAAAAGCTACACCGACGCAGAAGGCTCCGACGAGGTTATGCTCGAGGACGAAAGCGGTCGCCTATTGCTGGTTGGAGATATCGTAAGATTAAAGCCTTTCGTAAGTGGAACAGTACTGGGTATTCTAGGTATGGAAGCGGACGCTGGGGCTTTTCAGGTATTGGACGTTTGCTACCCCATGGCTCTCCCTCAAGATCCATCTCCCAAACATTCAGGTGCCGGAAAAATTGCCCTTGTATCTGGATTGAATATCGACGCTAAAAATCCGACGCTCTCTCTCCGGCTGCAACTCTTGCAGGACTATCTTACTGGCGATCTGGTCGACCCTGAATCAGTATCCGAAATAACAAGGCTTATTATATGTGGGAATTCTCTAAACGCTTCTGAGCTGCCTGTTTTGGCTGGTTGTTTGAAAGAGTTTGGTACATTTGTAGGAAATGTGCTGCAGTCACTTCCAATCGATTTAATGCCCGGTGCTCACGATCCTAGTGACCAGAGTCTTCCCCAGCAACCCTTGCACAAAGCTTTATTCGAAGGCACAATAAGACCGTACTTTCACACCGTTCAGAAGGAACTATTTTCCCCTACCACGAATCCCGTATGGCTCAAATTCAATGGTGTTGAGCTGTTAGGAACAAGCGGTCAGAACATTGACGATATCTGCAAGTACGTTATACCCTATTCCACCAGCTCTGAGGCCAACTCTGACGAGCAACAAGACATGAACACGAGGCTAAACATGATCGAAGACTGTCTCAAATGGCAAAACATAGCACCCACGGCTCCCGATACGCTGTGGTGCTACCCTTACAAGTCCAATGACCCGTTTATCTTGACTAAGCTGCCCCACGTTTACTTTGTGGGAAATCAACCCGCTTTTGCCTCCAGAACGGTGGAACTGGAGGGTGGGAACGAAGTCAAGATCATCGCGGTGCCCGAGTTCAGTGAAACGGGAGAAATCATTATTCTTGATCTGGAAACTTTGGATACAGAGGTAGTTACGATTAAGGTTTAGTAATAATATTTACATGCATAAAAGGTTTTGGATACATGGGCCTAAGTCTGAGCCCTAAGTGGAATTCTTTTAATGGCAACTGGCCGCCCTTTTTCGTTCGCGTGCTCAGCGTAAGAGTTGTCCGATCCGAGGATAGCATATGCTATAGACCTTTTATTCTCAGAAATGTCGAGGCGGTCCAGTAGCTGACCTGACAGTGTTGGGATTATTGGCTGAGATAGAATTGCCGTGATTCTTACAGTTTCGACGGCTATGAATATTATGAGATCTTGATCCGAGCCTGATTTGAGCCAAGGTGTAGTGCTTTGTACAAAGGCGTTTGCCTCGTTGATAACGTCTCGCAGGAGATTCAGAGCTGACCGGGTATCAAGGTTCTTTATGTGCTCATGAAAAGATGCAGGTAGTTTTTCTAGGCTTTGCTCTAAACTTAAGAACGCCGCTTTCGAGCTGGCATCTTTCAAAATCAAGGACCTCTCTTGACAATTTTCGCTTGCGGAACAGAAGGTGCTAATAGCTCTGGAGATGTTAAACTTCGAACCGCAGCACCTGTTCAACAAGTTCCCCCATTTAGACACCAGCTGCTCGCGTGTCGAGTGCAGACGGTCCTCACGGAAATCGCCATCGGCCTCGATATGTGAATTCTCTAGGATATACCACCTCATCGGATCGCATCCATAGTACGAAATCATTTCTAGCGGATCGACGACGTTACCCAATGATTTGCTCATCTTGGTGCCTCCAGAAAGCCAATGTCCATGAACAATTATCTGCTTCGGTAATGGTAAACCAGCTGCAAGCAGGAAGCTTGGCCAATAAATGGCATGGAACTTGGCGATATCTTTTCCGATCAAGTGAGTGGTGCTTGTCCACCATTGATGAGCATTTTGAACGCCTTGCAGACCATTGTGATTCAAAACCACCTCTTTCTTGCCCGCAATGGCATCAACCCCGCCTATTGAGGTCAAGTAATTGCACAGAGCGTCGAACCAAACATAAATCTTTTGAGATGAGTCCTGCGGGACGTCAATTCCCCACCTTATCCTCGAACAGGGTCTGGATACTGAGAGATCCCGCAATTGAGACTCACGCAGCTCGTTCAAAATATGGTCACGTCGAGAGGGAGGATAAATGAAGTTTGGATTCTCATTTTCCAGAAACGACAACAGCCGGTCCTGGAATGCTGAAAGCTTGAAAAAATAATTGATTTCTGAGTGGTAGACAACCTCATTTCTCGTTTCGGTGTTGATAAAAGTTCCACTTTTGTTGATGTCACTTTTAGGCGGGAGTGCTATTTCCTGTCCGTCCTCCGCAAGTTGCACAACTTTCGAGTCTGGATAGAAGCACTCGTCAGAGACAGAGTACCATCCGCCATGCTCGCCTTTATAAATGTAGCCATGTTCCCAGCATCTGTTCCACAGCTCTTGGACGCACTTTGCGTGATCTGGGTCGGTAGTTCTAATAAATCGTGTGTAGTCAATATTTGCATGCTGATCGAGCTTGAAAAAATCCTGGCACAGAGTATCTACGAATTTTTTGGGGCTGGCAAAGCCGTTTTTCTCGCTGGCAGTTTGGATTTTGAGGCCATGTTCGTCTGTCCCGGTTGTAAGTAGTGTTTTCTGGTCCAGCATTGCATGCCATCTTTTACTCACATCGCACAACAAGCTTGAGTATAAATGGCCTAAATGAGGCCTAGCATTGGGATAAAAGATTGGTGTAGTTATGTGATGAAGTTGACCTTTCCACGCCTCAGTTACGGCCTTCAGAGAGCTTCCTTTCATATGGATTTCATCCAAACTGGTTAAGTGGCGGTGTCTTAAAAAATTGAATGTTTAATCAAATAATATATACAAAATAAAAGTCGTAATAGGCATACCATCAAGTTGACCGAAAAAGTAGATGTCTTCAAGACATTGATCGCGAGTTCGATTCCCATGAGACAACTGTGGCAGAATTCGCTGACGAAAATACCGAATCGAAACACCACCTCTGAGCTTACCCACAAAAGTATCAGAATTTACTAATGGAAGGTTATTATCACTGACGTGGGTCAGGAAGAGTGAAATTTACCCATAAAAGTACTCAATTGGTGTAGCATCTGTCGAGAGAGTGGCTAAATTGTGATACCCGCTCGACAAAAACGACGAAAATAACCCATAGAATTAATCAGTTGAAGTTTCCTCTGAAATTTCAGTGCCCTCTGGTTCTCGAGTGAGTAAATGACGGGTATCCCTATATCCATAATATTAGTGGTCAAATCCAATATGAGGTTGATATCAATTTTCAAGCACCCTAGCACGAAAAATGTACTCGAGAGTTCAAGTGTGAGGTTTTGCCGTAGCTAAGTGTGCAGATAATAGACAGTATTCACATCTTGTTTGGGTACTGTTGACCACAACAAGGCAACCATACCTTCCTCGTCGAGAGTTTTTTACAAGCTTCGAAATACTGAGTCAAGGATAATTGAAGCGGACTTTTTCACAATTTATAGTCACTGCCCTGACAGGCTCGGTTTAGAAAAGTTTAATGACAGGTACTTCGACCAGCCTTCTCGAAGTTGCAAAAATCGCGATTTTCCGGCCACTAGGGTCTCATTCATTCTCCCACGGCCTGGTTCTCGCCAGACGTGCCCTCATTTAGTATTCGATGCCAGTCTTTGTTGATTCTTCCTTCGTAATCCCCCAAAACTTTGTCAATCAAAGGTCGAAGTTCATATATGGTATCTTCATTAGAAGTGCTGGAATCTTTCCTTTTCAAATACGGAAGAAGGTAGACATTTTTAAAGTAAGAGTAACAGGCTTCCCCGTCATAAAAAAAATAAGGCGTTGTCAATGAGTCGCTGCTGTAAAATACCGAATTCATTCTAGCGGCAACCACGTCCCACTCTTGCGCTTCAATCCCTGGTTTCACAGTTGCAATCTCTTTCATGAACTGTACCGTATTTGTCCTAGTCATAGTCCGCTTGTGGATCATATCAGAAACGATCAATGGAGTTGCAACGACTACAATAATTCCTATAATCACTGTGATCAATGCGACAGCAATAATTACATCAGTATCCTTGGTTAGGCGAGAAAGAATAGTGGTGAAAGCATATACTGCCAGCTCTATACCTATCGCAGTAAGGGAAGTTCTGTATCTTGTCAGAAAGTATTGAAATCTGCTGCGGAAAACGTCACGAGGAAGTCCTTGGGTTTGGTTACCCACCTGCGATGTCTGAATGAACTGCTCATTTGCACCATCTAGTTTCATGGCAAGAGTTGGGCTTTGAGCTGTGGAAAGTAGAGATTTATCTGACATTGATGAGTTGACTCTTGAGTGGATTAAATCGCATCCTGTTCGATGACTCATTCGTTACAGGTGATGAAAATTATTAGCTTTAGATTCGAGATCACGGCGTGTAGGCCTTGGGATGTCGAGCGTTTCGCTCGTTAAAGGGTTCCTCTTCTCATTCTCTAGCTGGTTTATCATGATATTGATGGCCGGTCAAACGAAGCAATAACCAGCGTAAATTTTGGTCTCAAAATGACATCACTGCGTTGAATGACACACATTATGCTAATCAAACCCAAGTGCGCTTGCCGAGCTGAAAGTTGAGAAAATGATGACGCATATCGAGAAATCAGTCTTAAAAATTGGATTTTACCATTATTACGCAAATCCTGGGCAGTCTGGGTGAAATCCGTCTTTTGACGGTGTCCTGCATCAACAAAAGGCATAACTTACTTGAAACTCTATTTGAGAAGCAACATTCTGTGCTATTCACGCAATGAAATTTAGCGAGGGCAAAAACTATCAGAACTGTGAACGGTTGCTGGCGAACTCGTTACCGAAATAAAAATAATAATGGGAAGCTGACTGTCATCACCTTTACTTGGGGTCTCATTTTGGCTTAATGGATAAGGGAACGGTATGCACAGTGCAATGATACATAACAGTTATTAAACTACTGAGCTTAGTATATAAATATCACTCACTTCCTTCGAGATGGTAGTACATTTCAAAATTTATCAAAATCACCAACGGCTCAGACTATTGAAGGGTTTCAGCAAAAGTTAATACAAAGCTAAATGTCCTCACCAGCATGGAAATGAAAATCCAAGTTAAGACCTTTTCCTATATGTGCAAACTTTTGAGGTGCTTACCAGGAACAATCCACAATTGAAAGGCCTATATAACTCGATTTTTTTTGGATCGACACTCTATCACAAATCAGTGCAATAGGGTCGCAATTCTCTCCTGAGATATTTGGTGATTGCAATGGGAATACCCAGAAACATTTCAGTTCTCCCCTTGGGGTACGTCTAGTCAACAAAATTGACAGTCACCATGATCATCTCGACAAGCAGCTAAAATACACTTTAGCGAAGAAAACGTCAGGAGCCGAGCTATTTCTGGGATACCCCAGATATCTGCTGCTTTAGATTTTCTGCCCATACATGAACCGAATTTCTTCCTTAACAGCCATGCTTCGAAAAACGACTTACATACGACTTCCTCCATGTGCACTCGATAAGAAAAACCTAGGCCAACTTTTGACTCCACTCTTTGAAACACTACTAGGTCAGTCACCAAGGTTTTGAGCATTTCGAATGACAATGACAATGCTGCAAATAGTCCTGTAATGCTCGATAAAATTGAGTACGGGCTCATTAAAAATGGGGTTATTTACAAAGGCAGTGTTTTGGAAAATCCGTTGCAATGATTTGGTTAACATAATGTTGAGAGACGCTGTCGATAGCCTTGACAGGCAAAACCGGGAACTCGCCAAATGGACTGATGAATTAACCTCCAAAATCAAAAACAGCATCTTATAAGGTGAACAAAGTGCGGTTCCACAACATAATTGTAGTCTATCGGTGTCTGATTATCGACAGTTTTCCTCATTTGCTGACCATTCCAACGGCGTCAAACAATTGAGGCTAGGAAACAACACGCTCATAAACTTTTAATGCAGAAAAGAAAACAGCAGGGCGGACAAAGATATTCTGGAATGTCTTTGCACAGTTGAGAATTATCCAAGCGGTCAGCGTATGCTTAAAGGCTTTACATTTCGACGCTGGCATTACTTCGGTAATCCTGTTCTAAAACCTTAGTCCAGTGTTCTGATTGCTCAGCACATTTTTGCAGATAGGGCAGTCATTGGTCCTTACTTAGTCGTATACACGCTCTCAAACGAATATCGCCATAAGTGCAAAGACACTGTAAAAGATGGACAGTGGGTAGGCAATAAGGACTCTGGTGTCGTGTAGATGCATGGCAGCAGTGAAAAACCCGGAGGAGGACCACGTACACCAGCATACAAAAAAAGCGCGAGCGTGTAGCCCAAAACGTTGTTGAGCGAGACGAAAACACCGACCAGAGACAGCAGACACAACGGCAAAAAACAGTAGCCAAGTATCGAGGCTGTTCTGAGAAATAGCTGGTCAGACTGTCGATGCGCTCCGTCTGCGCTGTTGGTGCTGTTGTTATTCCCCATTAGCTTGAGTAGTGTGTGCAAAGAGACCGTGCCAAAGAGAGCCACGCCGTAGATGTAACCGAAATGCACTTTGCCCGCGACCAGCAAAAGCGTGCCAAACAGAAGACAGAAAATCAATGGACCTGCAAGATCGCAGTCTGCAATCACTTCAAAGGGGAGAGAATCTGCTCTTTGCAAGGGTGTGAGTACCATTTTTGTTTTGCTCAAAATGTGTGAGAAATTTATTCCGATTTCCTCCAGCAAAGGCAGCTCGTGGGGGTATCCTTTGGTTGACAGCGCGTTGAGCAGTCCCGTGGGAAGCGGTTCTTGCGAGAATGCCTGTCCTGGCGCGGGTTGCTGGCTGAACGACATCGATCCTTGAGGAACCTGAAATGGGGTATTAGGCTGGTAAAATCCAGCACCCTCGTTGGTATTTATACCTGGGTTATAGAAGGACATTTTGTGGGCTAGTTTTTGTAAGGATTTCCTGCTAAAATGCTGGAATGTAGCAAGTATGCGAGATATGCGATTTCTAACGCAATTGCGATCGGATTATCAGCGTTGTTTCGCAAATAACTTAGAAAAAAGAGCCAGCAAACAGACCTTCACTTATGATCAGAAGCCAGAAAGCGTTTCGGGTTGCCTTTGTTGTATTTACTCGATCGACGTACTGCTGGATCCTATTATACTACTACTACTATTCCAGATATTCTAAATACATCTAAATTACGACCTTTAGTCACGTGATCTGAAGAAACTTTGATGAAAGTGTTATTTCAACTACGATTGTAAACAACCCATGGAATATATATCTTGCTCGATGTTCCTCGATATTTCAAGTTGTTTGTTGGGCCAACAGTCGATGTAAGATCTGATCAACAGTCGAATGGCATTCGCTTTATCAAGTCACGTGATCCAGAGGGTAAAATGGGATTTACTCGAAAGACAGCGCTATGAATGTCGACCCTTGAAGTTAGCATTTGTAGCTCTCTTTGGCTACGCTGTGATTCCTGGCTTTTTTTTTCAAGAGCTCTCTCAGCGTATGTGAAAAACAAGCTATTTATAATTTTTAAATAGAGGACAAAGTGTAGCGGATGGTGAGTTTGCAGACCGCTTATGAAACTATATGACCAGTATTTAGTATATTGAATTTATAACTGGCACCAAGTGCTAAATGCTTCGGTGGTGGAGACTTGCTAGAGATTTTTTTGAGTTCTTCTTGTTTTTTGCAGAAAACAATTAAAATGTGTATCGAAAGGTCTGAACAGTTGCCAGTTTTGTGGGGAGTCGGTTTTTGTTACTGTTTATTCTACGCCAAGTGTGTAATTCCCTCTTTTCGTCACAATTGTCACTGAATGAATGGCATTTTATTCGAATAATCATAATGCATTTGCTTCTATATGTAGACATGACACTATAGTACAAAATGATAAAACTGATTAATCTGACGCTGGGACTGAGGCAATCAGGATCAGGTTTGAGGGGACTTATTCCTTGGAAAAGGAGCGAGCGGGTCTTTGAGATTGATTCTACACACTGTATGGTGTTTATTTTTGTCTAGAGGAGCATCCCATAAAAAATTGGCCATGGGATACTTACTATCATAATGCCCGTCACCAGTTTCTTACCGCAGAGAACTCTCGGAAGTCCGCCATTTTCTTTGAATTCAAGTTCACTCACTCAAAAAATTAAAGAAAGTAGTTTCAAGTACGGGCATGGCGGTCCATTTAGGACCTATTTTTTTACAGTCTTGAACTCATTTGCAGAAACGTAAAGAAAATAAAATGATAGGTTTGAACACTAGAATAGTTCGAAGCTCATTGAACAGATATAAGACCATTAGTCGGTGGACCAGGAATTAACACTTTCGTTCGGGCTTTTCCATGAATTTTTAAAAAGCTCTAAATAGCGTTTAAAAGCCAGAAAATAGCAAAATAATTAGAAGCCCGTTGAAATAGCCTAGATAAAACCACAATCCTCATAGAATGCCTATCGTTAAGCTCAAACTACTCGTAGAGTGAGTGAAATATCTCGGACATACATCACCCTATACGAATGTCGAATCAAGCTAGAAGTCAAATTTACCTTCATCGATCGCATCTCATCACCAAAGCTCATCGCTCAGCATCGAAGGGTATAGAGTAACAGGCATCAAGATGGGAGTTATAGAAAAGATTAAGCAGATTGAGGAGGAGATGGCTCGGACGCAAAAAAACAAGGCGACCGAGTACCATTTGGGCCTCCTCAAAGGAAAACTAGCTCGTCTTAGACAACAGCTTTTGGCGGAAGAAACAGCGCCCACTGGGGGCGGTGGAACCGGATTTGAAGTAGCAAAGTCTGGAGATGCTCGTGCGGTTTTGATTGGGTATCCTTCGGTGGGTAAGTCGTCACTTTTGAGCAAAATTACAACGACCAAGGCGGAAGTTGCACACTATGCATTTACCACTCTTACCTCAGTTCCCGGGGTGCTCAAATACCAAGGCGCAGAAGTTCAGATTGTCGATCTGCCTGGTATCATCTATGGTGCTTCCCAGGGTAAGGGTCGTGGACGACAGGTTATATCGACGGCGAGAACAGCTGATCTAGTTTTGATGGTGCTGGACGCTACGAAGGGCGAACACCAGCGTGAGTCATTGGAGAAAGAATTGGAAGCAGTGGGGATCCGATTGAACAAAGAGAGACCCAACATTTACTACAAGAAGAAAGAGACCGGTGGAGTTAAAGTCACGTTTACGTCCCCTTCAAAGGCCAACCTAACTGAAGAGGCTATAAAAGGCATCTTGAAAGACTACAGAATACACAATGCAGATGTGCTAGTACGCGACGACAAATGCACAATTGACGACTTTATTGACATTTTAAACGACCAGCACTGCAATTACATCAAATGTCTGTACGCGTACAACAAGATCGACGCGGTTTCGTTAGAAGAGGTTGACCGTTTGGCTAGAGAGCCGAACACCGTCGTGATGTCGTGTGAAAGCGATTTGGGGCTAGACGACGTTGTGGACGAAATCTGGTATCAACTGAACCTAAGTCGTGTTTTCACGAAGAAGAGAGGCATAAAACCTGACTTCACAGATCCACTGGTGGTGAGAAACAACTCCACTGTTGGCGATTTGTGCCACTCGATTCACCGCGACTTCAAGGATAAGTTTAAGTATGCATTAGTGTGGGGATCCTCTGCCAAGCATTCGCCTCAGAAATGTGGACTGACGCATAAGATTCATGATGAGGATGTAGTGAGTCTTTTCACCAAATAGATTAATTTTGAGAGTTTTGAGCAATCCGATTTTTTTAATAGATGGATTGAGCACAGTATGTGCGACGATGTGTTTTTGCCTACCTCTCGGGCTGTAAGAAGTGCTTAGAAATATATGTGATGAATTAATGTGCGCCGGCAATAATCTCATTTCCCATTCTAATCTTCAATTAGAATGAATGTTCGTCAAGAGGCTTAATCACAGGTATGACTTCCTCGAGGCGTAAATCGTGAGTACAAAACAGCATCAAAAATACTTACAACTTAGGAGCAAGGAAAGCCACTCGACGCTTCAAGTTTTGAAATCATGACTGCCTCTTCTTTGTTTTGATGGCCAGAAGAATATATGCTGATCCTAATTACATTTTAGACGTCAAACACTTAAAATAGATGGAAACAAAACTACAAACCCTCAAAAAGAACCCTAGTTGAAGAACAATCAAAGCTCAGGGTCAATGCTGAGGCATCTCACTGTAGCTATACATCAAGACAACCGTCTGAAACGTCAGTGCTAAGCTACTAAAAAATCACAGGCTCTGAGATACAAGGTATATATCTGCTTCATGCTGCCTCTTTTGAAATAGGGCAATTTGGCCGAGTGGTTAAGGCGTAAGATTAGAAATCTTTTGGGCTCTGCCCGCGCAGGTTCGAATCCTGCAGTTGTCGTTTTTGTTATTGTTGCCAAGTCTACCTTTTTGCTTAATAACATCTAACATCTATTCTCTTGCTGAAGAAAAGCTTAAGGACTCCATTGAAGTAAAGGTTCTCGATCCAAGAATGTTCTTGAATGAATCATAAATTTTTGGAATGTATCAATGTTGATTTACTATCCATTTGTATAATTTTACTATATCATTCAAGTTTGCACCGTCATAAAAGAGTCTGGCTCTGACTGCTGGTTAGCGAGAAGTCATTGTCTTATTTAAGCCTTAAGAGTAACATGCAATCTCTTGAAACCACCGTTGTCTCTGCAGTTTTCTTGGTGGATGGCCATCAATCTTTGGGCTTCCAAAGGATCCTCGGCCTCGTTTGGCTCTTCCCAGGACAAGTACTCGTTGCTGTAGTTGGCCTTGTAGTCTGGAGGCAAGATTTCCAATCTCTTACCATAGCCGGTGACCTTGTTCCAGTCACGGTGGACGTTGAACAAAGAGGAAGAGAAGTAAGCGTAGCATCTTTGGTATTGCTTGAAAGTCATGTCGGTGTCAAGCTCAGGTTTGAAGTCGATGTACTCCTTCCACGCGTCAATTGGGCTGGCCAAGACGTAGTCGGTGGCCTTCTTGAGAGCCTTCATGAACTTCTTCACCTTCTCTGGGTTAGCTGCCAAGAATTCGTCGTTGCAGATGTACAAGATGGTGCAGAAGCAGCAGCAGCCTAGACAAGCCAACTTGTCGATTCTCAACATTTTGGCGTCGGTGACTGGCTTACCTTGTTGCTTCAAGTACTCTTCCAATTGGACTTGCTGCATGCACTCGATACCAATACCAGCGTCGATCTTGCCCTCGATGATGTACTTGGCAACGTTCATACCGCATCTGACGGCAGTGTAGTCGGAAGGACTCATACCGTAGTGCTTGGTCAACTCATCCAATTGGATCTTGCCGAACTCACCGACGTATCCGATCTTCTTGCCCTTGAGGGACTGGAAGTCGTCGGTGATGCCGCGACCGTTCAGGTAAAGCAAACCGGTGAAGGGCTCGTCCAACAAAGAGCCGACAGATGTCACGGGGAAGCCTCTAGCCTTGGCAGCCAAGGTGTGAATCATGGCTTTCAAGCCCATGTCGACCTTACCAGAGCCGATTAGCTCGGTCACGTCCGATGGGTTGGTGGGCTCCAAAAGCGCCACGTCAAGGCCTTGCTCCTTGAAGAAACCCTTTTGGTTGGCCAAAAAGATGGGGATGTGGTATGGAGCTGGTTGCCAGTTCAAAAGAAAGGTGATCTTGTCAGTAGACATTGTTGCTGCTTGAGATGTTCAGTTCACTGATGAGTTGGAAATAAAGAGTGACAATGACAATAGAATACCTCTTTTACCGAACAAATCTGCTACCCTTATATAGGTTTTCTGAGCTTCTAATCCTGAGACCTGGTCTGATGTTTCTGAGACCATTCCTTGCCCTATAGTATTCTAAAAGCTGCTCGATGCCTTGCACATCATGAGAGTGTTTTTTCCTCCACCCCTAACGCAGTCTAGAAGCTGCTTCAAATTCCTGTACGATCCCTGGTGGCCTCTGAATTCTTGCAATTGCAACAATTTCCTGCTAACAGAGCATGCTCGCATTTCGTTGCGCCTTTACGGCTTATTTTAATTTATGCAATGTCAAGTCCGATCTAAAATGCATTATCTTAATTATTATTATATTTAGACAACTTCAAGAACTTTTTGAAAAACCCAGACGAAAGACAAACTCGCTTCCACGTCTGATGAAATCGCTAGCGTGATGTGAATATGAGCCTACTGATTGTTGATATGAGACAAGTACGGCTTTTAGCCGCGAAAAACCGATCAGAATTGGGTATGGAACGTTTAAGAGTGATCGGACAGTGTATTGGAATAAGGTCGCACCAAGACGATGCAGATAAGATGCAATTGATGCTACAAAACGTTAAAGAGCTGAATCACGACTGCGTGGCGTGCGCGGAGATTTCGGTTGGGGAAGAAAACCGATCCAGCGGGTGCTGGACGGACGGTACCTTGGTGGAAGGCAGTGTTTGCGACGTACGATGTTGCATTATAGAGGGTCGCGTGGAGGCCATGGACGTTAGGGTGTGGTCGTTGGGCGAGCTGAAAACGTTTAAGGAATTTTGGCACAGCGACGTGGGACAGCGCTGGCGACGCGTAAGCGAGGATCCTGGGACTTCTTAGTATCGCTATCTAGCATGAGGAGATGCCAAGATATGGATCTCATTGGTATCTAGCAGTTCGTGGATGATGGTCTAGCAGTTCCCGGATGCTCGAGTCATGTGGAACTCATGTGACACCTCTAAACGGCTTCAAAAAGTGCATAGTTGTATCCCAGTTCAGGACCAGCACGGTATTCTTACCTATGCAAGCGCGAGCACTTTTGCTCCGCTAGCGGTTATCTTCGACATAGTGTGTGCGTTCACACAGGGTTTCGACACTGCACCATAGTCGTGTGTTCTCTATCTAATATACATATTTCTAATTGTTTGACCCGGCAGCTCAGAAAGCGATCTTCTTGTTCTTGCGCTTGTTGGTAAGCAGGATTTTCTGTTTCTGGGTCTCTTCTTCTTCTTCAGCGTCTTCTTCTTCTTCCTCCTCGCTGTCGACGTCCATTTCTTCGCTTTCCTCGCCTTCGTCGGCCTCGGCTTGTTTGGCCTCTGCGCGTGCCAGCTCCACGTCTCTCATTCTGAGCAGTTCTGGGTTGGACTCCACCAGCTTCTTGTCTCTGAGGAAATCGCGTTCCTTGTTACCACGCATACGGTTCTTGTAGAATGCACGTTCTCTCTTCTGTCTGATCTCCTCGACTCTGGCCATGGCTCTCAGCGTTGTGGCCACCAGCTCACGGTTGTAACGAACGGGAACGTTTCTACGCTGTGCGAATGCCAGCGTGCTGTCCACGGCCAGCTCCTTACCGGCAGCCTTTCTGAACGCCTTGGTCCAGCGAAGTTTTCTTGGATTTCTACGTTGCTTGAAGTTCTTGTGGCACTTGGACCTGCAAAACCGGAACTCTTTAGCATCGTTTCTCACAAACATGATCCCATGGCCTGGGTATACCGGAGACGAGCAGAAATGGCAGCTGTACACTCTCATGCTGATTTTTTTTGGGAATTTGAAATTTGACTTCTAGAGATCACTGTGAAGAGGATCGAATGCAAGTTGTTGATGAACTTATGTATATACGTTCTCCTCTCACTACTACTTCTTCAACCTTTCTTTCAAGAAGAGTTAGCGATTTTAAGCGTTAGCGATGTTATGCGATGAGATGCGATGAGATGAGATGCGATGAGATGAGATGAGGACTAAAAGTACTATATCTAAAATTTTTCACTTCGAAGGCTTTCGTCAACAGTGACCAAAATGGTGATAAATTGACAATTTCAAAAGTCATAAACCCAGCAGGTGATGATTCGAAATCAAAAAGTGTCAAAACACACGTATTCAAGCGAGAAATGGCACCGATAGAGGCCCCACAATTGTCTATCCCAGGGGGAGGCATTCCGTCCAGCTCTGGGTCTTTTGAAGAAACTTCAACGGCTCAAAACGTACAAGAAATGGGCCAGCAACTGCCCCTGCAGCAGAGAAGCAGCATGGACCAGACTTTTGACGATATGTTGGGTTTTATGGGCCAACACCCGGTATTGACCGGTGTGGGAGGATTTCTGGGGCTTTATTTCGCCGCAGGAGCGTTCAAAAGCGTTTCCAAGGCGCTTGGAGGCGGCAAAACAGGCGTGCAGTTTGCCAAAGGCGGATTCGACCCTAAGATGAACGTCAAAGAGGCAATGCAGATTCTAAACGTAAATGAGGCTAATTTGAACCGCAAGAAGCTCAAGGAGGTTCACAGACGGATCATGTTGGCGAACCATCCGGACAAGGGCGGCAGCCCGTACTTGGCCACGAAGATCAACGAGGCCAAAGACTTTCTCGAGAAAAGAGGAGTGAGGAAATAGTAAGTTTTAGTGTAGCCCGCTTCCTTGGAGTGCTCTTGAAGTAATGCATGTAAATAGTCAAGAGTTTAGTACGACCCGGAGGAGGAGCCTTTATGGCTGGGTGTTATACAGACTGCGTTGCGGCCAGAACAGCTCCCCCGCAAGTATTCAGACCATGTAGACGGCCCGTTCCAGACTGGAGCCGCAACTAACGCACTCGGTCCCTACATGGGTCAGAAAATGCCCTAAACAAGCAACATGGCATGCGCTCGCGCCGCACTGGCATCTGACACCTTCCAACGCCAGTTCCTTGCACACCACACACGTCGGTACATCATACCGCTCGCGTAAGTAGGTTTGAAGCTCGGCTAGCGCCCGCACATCCAAGCCCAAACGGCCCTCATTGGTCTCGTAGAACCACCGCAGCTGGCACAGCCGCACTAGAAGATGCTCGGCCGCCATTGCATCCAGATCCGTATACTGCAAAAGCTCGGTTGACCCACACGTATGGTAAACTCTGAGCTGCAGACCGTCAAAGCTAGATTTGCCGAATTTTTCACTCAGAATACGGTCCACGGCATTCTCGACAGTGCTTTTAGCGCCCTCCACTTGCATGGTATCTTTTTGATCCAGAAATTTCTGGATCGCCCATTGAACAAACTTGAGGTCGTCAGGACTGAGCGTGGTGGCTCCTTTAGTGTCGTTTGCCGGTTCTAGATCAACGTAAACGTAACTCCACCCACCAAAACGGTTTCTTGCCCGAACAACTTTGTAGTCCAGTGCATTCAGCGCTAAGTTAACGCTTGTGATCCATTTTTTTAGCCGTGCTTGCCGTTCCTGCTCGTTTCTGCCTGATCCGTCGAGTGTGCTCAATGCCTTCAAGAGTTGAGCTTCTTCGCAGGTGCCACGGTGTAGAAGAAGGTACTGTAACAGCAGTTTGTTTACATCCTTCTCGCCTAGCTCATCGCCCGCTTGTGAGCTGTGAGAAGGCTGTTCTTCCATCCTTATGCTCTGTTTATTTGTAGGAAGATGGATCGAAGTTGTACATCGAAATTACGACATGGAAACTTAAAATTCGAGGGCCTAACGCTGGAAATCGATTCCCCAAACTCTGAGCTAGTTCAAATAATTAAGAATACTCTTAGAATGCCGCGAAAATATTGAACCAAGTGTCAATCGATAGTTCAGTGAAGCTGCGATGGTTTTCACCAAAGTAGTTTGTTTTCTGGTGGAGGAAAAAGCTTTCGATGTAAGTTTAAGAAGAAATGGCGAGGATGATGATGAGTTTTTACGCGTGCTTTTAAAAAATGGGGCGAGGAACACGATGAAGTGAAGAATATATGAAAGAGCATCTCTGGGCTTTGTTGGTGCCGTTGACACAGTTGACCTCATCGCAAAGGCATTCGTTCGAAGTCGAGGGCACGTGACTCATGGTAGTTTCCACGATGATCCTGGTATTATTTGACGCCATTGTAGTGTTTCTGGGACCGGTTGGATACCTCGGCCGAAACAATTTGAGAATGCGCCAGCCGAATCGATGCAGGTTTACCGGTAAGCAATGGGAGGCTTACAGAATTCTAAAATGAGTAGAAGTGACCTTTTTTTTCTTGATTTGCAGGGGTTTTTGACTGGAAAGTTGAGAGTCTACGTAACTACCACGCTAATCCACGCAAAGTGGTCCTTCGCCTGTGGTGGGTCTCGCTTCTCCGTTCTCATTATTCTATTTATCTGACACATTAGAGGCACGTGATAAAACAGACTTGTCTTCCCAGGACGACATAAGGATGAAAAGAGCCGCTCGCAGTGCACTTTGTGTGCTATGCATACTCGTGATAAAGACCACACTTTTAACCTGACATAGCTCTATCAGCTGGCCCAAAAACATGGTCAGTTTTTGGTGGTGTCCCAGCAAAAGACCATAAGATCACTATATACTATTCTGTCGCTGTCTGTGCGCCATATTTTAGAATGTGTCAAACGCGCAATTCTTGCCACTCCAAAGAGCTCGCAGCTTTTACAAGTATCTCTGAATTTATGCAGGGCAGCGCATCTTCTGACAGATATCATGAAATACATCAAGATACTTCACACTTTTATTATCACATTTGGTGTCAAATTGAAAAATCTCGGCATTTATGATGTGCAAGCACAACTTTAGGCTCCCAGTTCGACACCACAGTGGTAGAGAATCAAATACAGAGATACATAATTTATCTTGGAAATCGCATCCCAGGAGTAAAACTATCATTGAATTAAAACTATACAGTAAAACAAACTCATTTGAAAGACAAAACAACACACTGGCCCTCGACAGAGACTTATTCTCCCAAAATCCACACCAAATCCACACCAAATCCACACCAAATCCACACCAAATCCACCCGTCAACATCAAATGGATTTCAACAACAGGTCAACTGCCCGTTGATTTTGGCTCTATTTCCTATTAAAATGACTCTGATCACATGACCGAATCCTGAGACCTGAAATTAGCGAAAGGTACGTTTATATTAGATATAATAAGAACCATACAGCTAAACTGCATTTCACCAGATCTCGCACCAAAAACAAGCACTAAATGAGCACGAAGAATGGGATCAGAAGCTCAGTTTCAAGCCCTTCGACTTTCAAAAACCTGGTCAATAAAAATGAGAGTGTTTTGAAGGTGTGGGTCAAGCTGGACACGCCATTTTTGGCGCCAGACATGGCGAACCAGGCCACGGCGATTGAGTATAATAAGAGCGACACGGTGGACGACCTGAAGGACCGTATCTTCGCAAAATTCAAGAACACGCGATGGGCGCTCGAGAACGACAATTTTGGCATCGGAATTGGCATTCTGTGCCCGTGTGGGCCCGAAAACGGAGCGTTGCAGACGCAGCACCCGCAGCTACAGGATTCCCGAGCCTCAGGCAGCCGAAGAGAGCTCCCAAGAGATTTGCTGATGCACCCTGTACCGACAAGCTCGGCCATCAACAACGTCCGCCCTAATCTCGCATCAAACGCTTCGAAATCGTGGCAAACTTCGCGAACGTGCAGCCCTTATGCGACAAGTTTGGACTCGCCTCTTTCCGCACAAGGTTCTAAGTTGCAAGTCTGCAGTCCAACTCTGACCCCAGTGGCACCGCTGCGGCGGGCCACCAATCATTCGGCAGCGGGCGCTGCCGAACCCTGTTCACTGTCTCCCGTAAAAAGAGGCTTGGCGAGCAGATTGTCGCCGAATCTGGGGTCCACCTCGGGTTTGGCAGCTAAGCCAGATGATCTGCCCCGCTCGGCGGTACATCGATCTATTTTGGAGCCGGACGAACTTGTCATAGACGTCTGCATGACGCTTTTTGGTGGCACTGCAACTCAGAAACCAGCAGACGCTTTGCTAGTTTTCTCGAACGCCAGAGAAATGCCTGTCTTCAGCGATATAAACGATACAATAGACGAACAAGAACCCCTGATGGAGGATATGGCCGATTATCAACTAATAGTGGATGAGGAACAACTGCGAAAACTCAGCCTGTCCAACGACGAAGACAGTACTGATCATAAGCAGGCCATCCTATTGCTACCGCGTGGTTACGAGGGCGATGTTAATCTGCCGTCGCCTAATATGACATCTCCATCATCAACAATTGACACTCATGGCGCTTTCGGTTTCGAATCCCCCACCTTGAAAAGTGCCCAACTAGTAGAAGAAGAAGTCGGGCTGGTACCGTCTCGAGACCCTGTTGTGCAAAAAGAGGGCTCTCCATTTCTTCGCACCGCATTGGGGGCAGTTACTACAGACTCTATCACCATAGACAAGGTGTTCCCAAAGATAAATGTTCTGGTTGTCGAGGACAACATGATTAATCAAGCCATTTTATCGTCTTTCCTGCGCAAGCACAAGATTTCGTACAAGACCGCAAAGAACGGTATTGAGGCCGTAGAGAAATGGGAAGAGGGAGGTATGCATTTGATACTTATGGATCTGGGTCTTCCGCTATTATCAGGTATAGACGCTGCCAAAGAGATCAGGAAACTAGAGAAAATCTATGGCATTGGAACGCAAAATCTGCATTCTAAGACGGATTGCGACCAGAGCTCCCAAAACGACAAAAACTTGGAACCCCGCAGAAGCCATCGGTCAAAGGCCCCCGTGATTATCGTTGCGCTTACCGCCTCAAACTCTCATTCCGACAAGACAGAAGCACTGTTAGCTGGATGTAACGATTACTTGACTAAACCTGTGAATCTAGACTGGCTCGCGCGTAAAATCACAGAGTGGGGGTGTATGCAGGCCCTTATCGACTTCAATGATTGGAAGGAGGGAAACGACCACATACCGTCGTGCGATGATGGAGTTACCAAACCGCGTTCATCCTCTAATCTCTCTGATACGATAAGGAAGTCGAGCAGTCCTGAGACCTAAACTATTAATCATATGTTCAACCATTAATAAGGGCAATCAATTGGAGAAAAACAAGAAATCGCAATGTCTTTCGAAAAGCCGTACATCTACATTGGCGTAATGACCATCATCAGCACGATGATGTGCTACTATGTGAAAAGCTTTCTGTATGATCATGAAACGATATGGATTTGAATATCGAACGTTTTGCTGGAGATGTCTGTGTCGCCGCTAAAAGATTCGAAATCTATGCCATATTTCTACACTTTGCTGCAGTGATCATCCACTAGGCAGCTTTGTGTCTGTGGCGTAGCTTGCTTGTAATAATCGGATGCTAGTATCTACGTCACCATAAATCGCACTCACCGGTACACGTCATTTGTGGTAAAACAACCAATTGATGGTTGCTTTACGTTGGTGCATTGAATAAAAGCATGGGCTGCGAGTCTCGGTTCCACGCAGATAGAATAACGTATAGCAGGATACGAAGACTTGGTGAAAGAAATGCAGACGCAGATGGGCTCCGATCGAATGGGCATCTAAGTACTCAAATGCATAATTCTACTTGCATCTAAGAAGAGGTGGTTTAAGAGCAAGCATACTTCCCCCAAAAAGATGCTCAAATAACGACAGAGCATCAGCCTAGTTGCGATACAAATTCTTCTCAGGTCAGGGCTTTTCGTGTTCACGGAAAGATAATTTGATTGAGGCCTGACTCGCCCTTTTGCAAGTGAGGCAGATAATATTCAAATTCGGAGAAGCAAAAAAACGTGAGACGGAATCTTCATGAATGCGTAATCAATATGCTAGAGTAAATGCCATGGACTCGAAAACACCACTGTTCGATGGTAAAGACGCGGTAACTTAAACGTCGTCATACTCTGTAACTTCAAATAAATGATTAAATAGTAAATAATTAATTTCAAAACACCAAAAGCAGCTTATAAACAAGTGTATTCTATTCAAACTAAAGCATTACAAGCCAAAGTGCCACCAACAATCGTCTCATCGTTTGCCAAATCCTGTTGTCGTAGTCGTCGTCATCGTCATCTTATTCGACAGCTGTCACAGAGTCACGTGACTACTTTTTCACAGTGCGGAGATGCATATCCGCATTTGACTGAATGATCAGGAAATAAACGCATCACAACATCTCAAGACTTGATCCAGATAGCTATCGAAACACTATCTAAGCTGCCAACAGTCTTTTCAATTGCTGTTGCTAGAGTAGTTGAAAACTCTTTTTATAATCCGAATGTCTGATCAACGCATTTTCTCCAGATACAAGGCAAGCGAAATCCGTGCCGAGCTGCACCAGGGAAATCTCAAGAAGCATCGGGCGTCTGCTGCCAAGCGAAAGAATGCTCTGAAAAAGATAGTAGCTAACCTCACAATGGGATTTCGGTCTGAAATGGCGCTTCTGTTTCCAGACGTTTTGAAATTCTGGCAAATTGATGATAATCTGGAGGTCAAACGCATCTGTCATCATTATTTGGTAGCAATGGCTTCAACTAAAGCAGAGCACTTTCAGAACGCTCTACCGCTTGTTTTGAGCGATTTTAACGCAGGGTCCGAACAGCTCCAGATTCTAGCACTCAGGACTCTGGCAGCTGTCCCCGTGGAAGTGTACGTCGAGGAGTGCCGGAAGTTGGTTCTTACAATAATCAATAAGAGTTCGGAATCGGAAAAGCTGAAAAAAGCGGCCCTCTATGCTGCGCTTAAATTGATACAATACGAAAATACGCAGGCCGCTTCGCTGCTCGGAGTTTTGCATAAAGTGCTGAGAAATTATAAAGAAAAGCCCACGATACGCGCAAATGCGCTTTACGTCTTACATGAAGTACAGGAAACTACTAATGCCCTGCAGATGCTCTCATTAGACTTTGACACTTGCATGGACATGCTCGAGCTTTTACCGAAACTTAACGAATGGGATTCAGCCCGCGTCCTGGACTCTTTAACAGTCTCCTATGTCCCCCAAACACATTCAGATGCGCACTTTTTTATCGAAAAAACCGTGCCTCAGCTACAGCATACCAATACATCTGTGATTCTCAACGCATTCAAGTTTGTCATTTACCTGACAAACTATGTCGAGTTTTTGACGGAAAGTCTGGTAAAACAACTTTCCGGATCCATGGTTTCCTTGCTGAATAAACCGCCCGAGCTCGAGTTCCTCGTGCTTCGAAACATTATTCTTCTGCTGCTAGGCAGAGACAAGCCTCTTTTGAAAGTTGACATATCGTACTTTTTTGTCGAATTCAACGACCCAATCTACATCAAGGACACGAAACTGGAAATCCTATACCTTCTGGCCAAGGAAGATAACCTTTTACAAATACTTCAAGAATTCAAGGAATACGCTACGGACATCGACATTCAGATGTCTCGGAAAGCAATCAGGGCAGTGGGAAACTTGACGGTAAAGTTGGAACAGTCAGCCGACGAATGTGTGAATCTGTTATTGGAGCTTTTGGACTTCGAAGCCGAGTACATCGTTCAAGAAATAGTTTCTGTTTTCAAAAATGTGTTGAGGAGGTATCCAGAGAAACATAAACTTTGTCTCAAGAAATTGGTACGATTCACCGATTGGGTGCAAGAGCCTGAGTCACGCGGCTCAATGATTTGGATTATAACTCAATATCACCATCATCTTCCAAACTATTTGGAGCTTTTCAGATCTTTTTCGGATAACTTCCTAGATGAGGTTCTCGAGGTTCAGTTTTCGATACTGGGCTCAGCAGTGAGATTGTTTACGAGAAACCCCACGCCCACAACGGAGAAGCTTTGCGTGGAGATTTTGAAAAGTGCGACCGAAAAAGTAGATAATCCGGATTTGAGAGATCGAGCTTTTGTTTATTGGAGACTTCTGTCTGCTGCGCAGCAATCACAAAATTCCTCTTTGGGAATGGATACCGTAAGAGAAATCATAGATGGCGCATTGCCACCTATAGCGATGAATACCCAATTGGATCCTCAAATTGTCGAAGAACTGGAGCTCAACATTGGCACGATTGCATCTATCTACTTGAAGCCTGTCAATCAAGTCTTCAGACTGAACAAGCCGAAATGTCTGACCGCAAGTCCTGCTTTAAATGCTAATCGAGATAGCTTTGAAGTCGTCTTCAAGGGCTCGCAGAGCACTTCGTCAAGCTTAACAGGCGATAGTAGCCAATTCAACAATCGTCGGCAGTCTTCTTCTCCTGTTAAAAAGATGGATGACTATGACATACCAGCCGAGACTGTTAACACGTTGAAAGACAAACGAAAGAACAGCAGCCCCAACATGCACCTATCACGAAAGCCGTCGATGCTGGCTCGGAAGCTTTCTTTGAGAAAGCCATTTGCATAGCGGATAAATAGATATCCTAAACTGGGCGTTTAAAGCTTTTTTCCTATATCTATCAAGTTACATGAATCAAAAGAGTAGTATTTTGACGGAACTCTTATTTTGCAAAAAGTCTCTCAAGACCTTGAAAAGAGCGGTGCAATCCTCGCTAGTGAATAAAGTGTTTGTTTTTGGATCCAGGTAACTCGCATCTAGGAAGATGTCTAGCTTCTCTTTACCCTCAAATAAAACATCAGTAGACTCTAAAATCTTCGACATTCTGGCTGGAGTTGATACGAAGTACTTGATCGAGCTTTGCTTCTTTTTGTCTTTTTTAGCCTTTTTATTCGAGGTAGTTTCTTCACCGCTCGAGCCCTTCAACAACAGGTCAACTCTGGCAACATCATCTTTCAATTTAGTCTTTGAAAAAAGCTTGACAGCATTTTGAGATCCTCCCAAGCTTCTGAACACGTCTGCCACCCTTATATTCGACGCGGACAATACGACAGCCCGTGGAGACTTGGAGAAGCTGTTGACGAAGTCTTGGAAGTTATCCAACTCTCTGTCCTTTTCGTATCTTTCCGTAGAGATAAAATCTGTCTTCTTGAAATACTGCTCCTCGAGCTCTAAAGCGCTGAGATTTGGATTTCTTTCACGGACCAATGTTGCGAAGTACTCGACAATACGTTCCGGACTAGACTTCGGAAGCTGCTTTTTCTGTTCCTTTTCGTGCTCGACCTTCTCCACTTTTTTCTGGTGCAGTTTCGACTTGGCTAGTTTTTTCTGACGCTTGCTCTGGGGTCTATCGGATCCTGTTTCTCCCACGTCGCTGTTTGTTCGACTTCTTTTCTGAGATTCTGTTTCCAGCTCGTTTTCAAACTCTACAGCATTCTCAGAATCGCTTACTTGGACTTCGTAGTCCAAACCATCATCCAAGTCATCTCCTAAAGGCATTTTCGAGCTATATAGAGTCTTATTGAGCTTCTTATAAATAAATGATGCCGTTTATTTCGAAGCTCATCGCTTCACGATTTTTCAACTGAAATTAAACTTTATTCATTACATAGTGAAAACGGCACTACAACCTAAACTAAACTAAGCTAAAAACACACAGCTATCGACACATTCAAAACTAGTAGAAGTATCTGAAACTCCTGTTTTCAATGTCAGTATAATCCAAAAATTGATATTCAGTTTTTTCTTGGCCCTCTTGCTCTATTTCTCTTGCACGATTCTCTTTCCGACATAGCCAGCCGACGTAGAGTTGCAGTGGGACACACACAGCTTGGGTTACCAGCAAGGCAATCTTAGCAGGAACATAGCGAGGGTAGGAGCTGGCTCTAAACATCTGTGGGGCCACAATGCAGGCTACGCTGTAAACAATCATTGTCGCAGCATTCCGGAAAACTCGCTTCGAGTAGCCCGAGGTGTTACACGAGTTCCAGATGTATATGTTGGTAATGACACAGGATCCGCTGTAGAGCAGGTACAGTGCAAACAGATTTCCAATTTTGTGGGACAGTGGTAGAGCAAGCATCACAACGCAGCCAATGATGGCCGGAATATACATGGAAGTAGTGATCAAAGTGAATTGTCCGAAACGCGCCAACATTTGTGTAGTGACAAGAATGATGATCGCAGTAATGGTACCAATAGGCAGCTGTAACAGGGCAGATTGATATTTATCGAAGCCAAAGGTCTGCGTGATCGTAACGGAAAAGGTGCCAATGGCGCCCGTAGAGATCTGAGAGCACGCAGTAATCAGAAGCATAGGGTAGGTGAATTTGTCGTGCAGGAACAACTCTTTGATCTGCGAGACTTTGAACTTTTTGTTCTCATGGCCTGTTTGGTTGGCCCTAATGTGACGCAGGACCTCAACCTTTTCGGTTTCGGTCAAAAACCAGGCGTTTGTTACGTTGTCTGGTAGGTACAAGAACGTCGCGATGCCAAAAGCCACTGTGACAAGCCCGACCACCAAAAACATAATTTGCCAAGATGTGAAAGCCGTCCCGCTGTAGTGGAGGAAACCGAACGAGATAAGACCACCGACAATGTAGCCTGTGCCTGCCTGGGTGGCCCAAAAACCGATCCGGGCCGATTGTTCCGATTTCGTGTAGTACATTCCGCTAATGGCAATGCAACCGACTGCACTGCTTGACTCGAACATACCCAGCAGCGTTCTGACGACCATGAGGGAGGCATACGACTTGCAGGCGGAGTGGCAGGCCAAAACGATACCCCAGAGCGTGATGAGAGTGCCCATCACCTTCGATACTGGCCAGCGTTGGATGCAGAACGTGACGAAGGGCTCAGCAAAGATGTACGCGGCCGAGAAAATCGTGCCCAGGTTCGAAAACTCGTTTCCCTTGAGGTGTTTTTTGATGCCCATGGATGCTGCGTAGTTGAGCAGCACCTTGTCCAGGAACATGAACAGATACGTGAGACACAGGAACGGCAGGATATAGCAGTCGACCTTGCGCAGCACACGGGGTTCGAGCGTATGGGTTCCGAAATAAGTGCGATTTTCGTTAGACTCGCCCTCTCTTGTGCTGTCGTCCGTGAGTTTGTCGCTCAACACTACATCTTCCGCCTGTGCCTTCCTGAGATAGTTGAGAGCAACGTCCACATCTTCGTTCGAGGAAATTTCGGCCACTTCTGCAGAAACCCCTTTTCTGCCGCTATGAGACTCGATAGACGACGACATGAGATTTGGAACTGGAGCTGGAACTTATGCCACTTGAACTTTCACTGACGTTTTTCGCACAGATGCTGTATCTGCATTAAATGGTAAATTTCTTGGCAGTTTCGATTTCTCTCCCATCAAAGTTCTGCTCTTTGATATACCATCGATGCCCAATCTTTATGGGTTTACTGATCTCATCCCATCATTCCAAGAGCATCGTTCCAATGCCTGGAAAGATGCATGTTCTGTCTTGTATGGGAAGGCGTTAGCACCTGGATAAAAAAAACGCCAAAAGAGTTACCTGGACTCGACCGAGATTCATTACCATGGCCAAATTCGATTGACGTTTTAGGAGTGTTAACGATGGCTTTTTGGAGCCTTCTCGTGGTGTTTGGCACAGGTGACAGTTTGATATGGCGGTAATGTATGCATTTCTCGAAGGAAAGTTCAGAACAGTGGAATAAAGAACGGTCTCGAGATTAAGATGGCCCAAAAGGGAAATATTTCGCAAGCTGCCGTTTTGGGTAGAAGTTTCCTCTTGCGGTTGTAGATTATTAGGTAAGCGTGCATAAGGGTTCTCTGGATGACACAAAATACAAAAGTGACAAAAAAGCTCGGGCCAGTGACACTAGAGACAGTGACAATTGGCACCACATACTCGAGAGACCAAAGCGTCGCAAAGCTAAGGAAGGACAGGCACCTGGTATATTGTTCACGGTATTGATGTTTGTTCATGGTAGTATTTTGCGATATGCGTGTCTTTTCCTGTTTTTTCATTTTATTAGTGAACAGCTTACTAGCTGGCGCCAGCGAATCGTTGGAGGCACAGTGGGCTCAAAAATTACAGGAGGCTGCTCAGAGCCTTTAAAAACCCGATTTTCATGGCCCACAATTGCCAGCTTCGTTTTCAGGCAACTCTGCGCGGCTGTCCAGCTATTTCCCGTTTTTGGACCACGTTGACGTCTTTCATGGTACCAGGCGGCAGGAGAAGTTGCTGGAGTGTCAATGCTCCACGAATCAGGCACTGACACCACACCGACGTACGGCTCGTAGCTCAGCTTCCAATGCTGGCCAAATCTCTCTGATCCATCGACACGTCGCGTCGAATTTCGATCCCCAGATCGCGGCCAGACTCCGCACATATAGGCTACTACAAGGTGTGTTTGGATAATCGCATCGACATCGAGTAATCTGCGGGCAATCGTTCCGGCATCTACAGGTACACCTTTCCTGTGAGCCGTTCGCTGCATTAGAAAGGCAGAGGAAAGCTGGTCTTTCCTATTATAATGGTCAACGTAAGTCACCACCTCCAGTCATTCCAGAAGCCGTGGCTGTCTCAAAAGTTCCAAGGCGGCTTTATCCAGGTGTCAAAAGACTTGAAAGCTCACCACGGCCAGGCCCACTTCACACATGGAACCAGTAAGACCAAGACTTGGAAAATCAACTTCTATGGTATGTTCGACAAGCCGGCGAGAAAGGTGCGTGCGTTCAAAGACGCAAAATCTCATAACATGTTCAGGTATAACATGGCTGATGACTCAAGTCGCAATATGGGTATTCTTTTTGAATTTGAGGCTGGAACTAGGACTCTGCATTCGCACGTTGGCGTCAGTTTCAATGACGTATCGACTGCCTTGGACAACATCCGAGGCAACGTCCCGAAAGAACATCTTTTTGACTTGGATTGGAGTATCGAAAACACAGTAAGTGCTTGGAACGACGAAGTGTTCTCCAAGATATCGCTGGACGTGTCAGAGGAGGATCCCGTCGTCGTTCAGAAGTTTTACAATTCTCTGTATGGCGCACATTTGATGCCTGTAGATAAATCTGGCTCAGAGGCACCATGGTAGCCAAGAATCATACTATAACGATTGGCCGTTGTTGTGGAAAGCATTTCGTTGTTTGATGCCCATGTTTACCATTTCGAACCGTCCTAGATCCGCTGAAATGGTCAGAAGCTTGATTGACACTTGGAGACATGAAGGATACTTGTCAGAAGGACGGACGGCTGGACTGAATGCCAAAATAATTGGTGGCAGCAGCAGTGACATTGTGCTTGCCGATGCATTTGCCAAGGGCATTACAGATCTTATCAATTGGAAAGATGGGCTGAGGGCCATGCAATCGAATGCGGAACTGTCATCGAGCGATAAATCGGGAGCGACGGAAAGAAGAGGTCGTCTTGCACTTTCTGAATGGTTGGAGTTAGGATATGTCACACGGAAATTTTCTCGGTCCTTGACAAGAACCATGGACTACGCATACAACGACTTTGCACTTTCAGTAGTAGCCAAGGGCCTAGGTTTAGTCAAATCAAGTAGAAAATACTAAAGACGGTCCTCGGGCTGGCAGAAGATCTGGAACACAAACGCAGGTACTCCGGAACTAAGCTACCACGGCTTCATCCAGCTTAAAAATCACGACGGTGATTTCTGTACCAAACGGTACGACCCACTTTCTTGTTTTTGATGCTATTGGCGAGACGACGCATATATGGGGAAGCCAATAGAGTATGGATTGATGGTTCCTTACGACATGAAAACGCTGCGAGCATCAATCGGATTTGAGGATCATTTTTCAAAGAGACTGGACGACATGTTTGGTCTCTATGGAAGTAAAATCGCGGACGGCCTAAGTGAACCCAGTTTCATGACGCCGCACCTGTACAACTTAGTTAATAAACAATTCAGGACCTCCGAGACCGTGGACTACCTCGTTGAGCAGAGGTTCGAGCTTGGCCCCAAGGGTTTGCCGCGGAGCTCAGGATCAGGCTCGATCCAGGCGTGGTTGTGGTTTGCAATTTCGGGCCTTTATCCAATCGCTGGGACAGACATATACCTGACAACCAGTCCCAAGCTGTTCAATCTCGAGATTGCACTTGAGGATTCTGCCAAAGCCGTGATTTTAGCTCATGGTCTATATTGTGAAGTTACTGGTTTCAAACGCTCCGCATCCACCAGAAACAAATACATCAAATGCGTGAAGCTCAATGGCAAGCCCATTGAACGCAATTGGTTCACCCACGAAGAGTTATTCGGATACCAGGGTGGCTTACTCGAGTTTAAAATGACAGACGCTCCGGTGCACTGGGATGAAAAGGGCAAATTACCACCTAGTCCGGGGCATTTTGATCGTAAAGACGTCTATAACTCGAAACATTTTCCAGAAGCCACGGAATCTATGTGATGGTCTCGCAATCACCGGCACAGTGCTAACTGATGGGTCTGCACGGTCGAAACACGACGCCAGGTCGGCATCAAAAGCTAATGAATTAACTATTGCTGGAAGTGCTAAAGAGGACTGTAAATGGCGGGCTTCAAGTCAGGAGTGCCCGACAACAAGTCGTCAGGTCCTGTTCGAGATCGAAGACATATGCCAGCGACAAGTTCTCGAGTCGGCCCTTCAACGAACAGTTTAGTCAATTATGTAGTCCTTAATCTAGTCACATATCTACCCAAACTTCTGGTCAATTATACTCGATCATCTGATCACTATATGAAAAGTCACATGGATGACTTTTAAACACATTACTGAATAAAAATGCGATGCTACCTGGATAGACCTAAGAGGACCACGATATCACAGCGGAAGCGATCCAAGCAACTCGAGTTTCATGCCGCCTATCATTGACTCCGACTCTGACGATGAACTGTTGAAAAATCGGAAGAAAACCGTCGAGGGCAAGGCCGGCAAGGCCAAAAAACATGTCCGGATTGAAGAAGACTACAACGAGGACGGCAACTCTATGAGTGAGGGCGACGAGAACATCTTCAGCGAGGACGAAGATGGTGCTGAGAGTCGTCCTTCCAGCAGCAAAAAGAAGAAGAAAATTGCCAACAAAAACCTGATTGGAGCCAACGGTGGGTATGCGTGGGAAGAGGACATCCAGAGAAGTTGGGATCTCGTTAAAGTCGACGATGAGGGCAACATAGCTGCTCTGGTATCGAGCATCATCGAGGCTCGCAAGAAGCGTGCCAGCAACAAAAATATGACACCGTTCCAACGCGGGATCATCCGGACCCTAGTTCTGGTGCTTGACTGTAGCGATGCAATGACCGAAAAGGACCTGAGGCCAAACAGGTACTCCATGACCATCCAGTACGCACTGAACTTCGTGCACGAGTTTTTCGACCAAAACCCGATCTCGCAAATCGGCATCGTGTGCATGCGAAACGACTTGGCACAGCTTGTGAGTCAGGTTAGTGGGAACCCACAGGACCACATAGATGCACTTAAAAATATTCGCAAGCAGGAACCCCAGGGCAATAGTTCGCTGCAGAATGCGCTGGAAATGGCACGCGGGCTGCTGCTGCACGTCCCAGCGCACTGCACGCGTGAGGTACTGATCGTATTTGGCGCGCTGTCAAGCACGGACCCGGGCGATATCCACCAGACGATGGGGTCGCTGGTTCAAGAGCGAATCCGGGTGCGTGTCATTGGGCTGTCTGCACAGGTTGCTGTGTGCAAGGAGCTGTGCAAGCAGACCAACTACGGCGACAATTCTTTCTATGGCGTGATTCTGAATGAGGTTCACTTCAAGGACTTGTTTGCGGACGCAGTCACACCGCTGCCGGTCAACAAGATCAACAAGGGCTTCACACTGGTCAAGATGGGCTTCCCAACCCGGGTCTACGAAGACATGCCGTCGTTTTGCACGTGCCACTCCAAGCTGATGTATGGAGGCTACTTCTGTCCCAACTGCAAGAGTAAAGTGTGCTCGCTGCCCACCGTGTGTCCGTGCTGCGACCTGATGCTCATTCTGTCAACACATTTGGCCCGGTCCTACCACCATCTGATGCCGCTAAAAACGTTTCAAGAGGTTGGTGTGACCGAGACATTTCCCACCGACACTTGCTTCAGCTGTCAAAAGCGCTTTCCGCGCCTGAAAAACCGCAAATCCCACGAGCTGCTTACTAGTTCGCGCTACCGGTGTGCAGACTGTCACCACGACTTTTGCATTGACTGCGACGTGTTCATACACGAGATTTTGCATAACTGTCCGGGCTGCGAGTCGCAGCCCGACGTCTGAAATCTGAGTCTCCTGTGCTAGAACGCAGTTTTAAGTCCAACTGCGATACCGTTCGAGATTCCAAATTGCATTTCTTCGAAGCCCAACTCACGGCCTAGCACTCTGGTGTCCTACTCCAATGGGAGTGCTTCTACCAAGCTTAATTGACCTGTATTTTACGAACTAGACTTTGCTATGACACACCCAGCTCTTTCCACAGTCTACAATCAAATCAAAAGGCCTCTATTTCAAGCGCCAAAGATCGCTAAAAGTGCTAAAAGTCGCTAAGAGTCGCTATGTTTCGATCAAATTCGCAGCGACCTCCGCTTCCAAACTCTGCCGCTGCTGCAGGCTTTAATCGGTGTCCACAGGCCACAACGCTCTGTCATCTGGCGCCCGTTATCACTGCTATCTCTCGAGCCGTCCGATTCAAGCTTATTTGAAGGTCATGTGACCCAGCGCCAAGCCTAATCGTTGATATAATTATTGAGTCTGGCGCTTCGATAGATTAACTATCAGAAAATTTGAACGGTGTTTAAGCGATCAAGAAGAAAGCTATAACTCGGACTAGCAAGACCGATAAGAGCTTGAAGTGGACCGTGGAAGCGTTTAAAAGACGGTGGAAGAAGAGTGTAGTGGCGACTTAGGAACGCAGCTGAAGAAAGGAGCTTTATCTGAGCTATTCCTGAGCTTTTTCTGGGCTTTTTTAAGAGAGATAAGGGCATCTCGACAGCACAGTTGAGAAGTCCGAAAGCTGCAGGTGGAAAGCTCTAAAGGGCATTGGTAAAACCTGGGACAGTGCAACAGAACTGTAGGGCAGAACCGTGAGGCAAAATGGATAGATACACCAACATTCACCACCCGGAATATGTGCCTGGTACGTTCAACATCTATTCCTCGCAGAGTCTCGAAAACGGCGTCATCTATGAGTCCAGTCTGCGTAAGACCGATTCGGGTGTGGTGCTGATCCCACAACCGTCAGAATCTCCCAACGACCCGCTGAACTGGACGCGGTGGCGCAAATTGGTGCATTTTGGGCTGATGGCCTTCATCACGGCGTTCACAGCAGCAACCAGCAACGACGCGGGCGCGGCGCAGGACTCGCTCAACGAGCTGTACGACATCTCCTACAATTCCATGAACACTGGCGCGGGCGTGCTGTTTCTGGGCATTGGCTGGGGCACGCTTTTCCTGGCTCCATTTGCGAACCTGTACGGCCGTAAAATAACCTATATCATCTGCACGGTGCTGGGTCTATGTGGTGCGATTTGGTTTGCGTGCGCAACCCAGACCCGTGACACGATATGGTCGCAACTGTTTGTCGGGATCAGCGAGTCGTGTGCGGAGGCACAAGTACAACTGTCTCTCAGCGATATTTTCTACCAGCACCAACTTGGCTCGGTTTTGACCGTGTATATTTTGGCAACAAGTGTAGGAACGTTTTTGGGGCCCTTGATCGCGGGATATATCGCGGCGCTGACGTCGTTCCGCTGGGTAGGATGGACCGCCGCCATCATTTCGGGTGCGCTCTTGATTTTCATCATTTTCGGCTGCGAGGAGACCTACTTTGACCGGAACAAGTACTTGACACCAACTTCGAGAAGAGACCCTAACCGCAGCGGCAACGACAAGTCCCGTGGAGCGTCCCCTGTTGCGGAAAAATCCAGTAACAGCAGCGACTCACGAATGCATAACGACATCAAACCCACCGCAAGCCAGAAAGTGGAAAAGATCGGCGATGTGGAACAAAGCATAAACGCTTCTTTCGAGGACTTCAAGCTGATAGAAGGGTCCGAGGAGAAATTGAAACCGTACTGCCAGAGAGTAGCAATTATCACTAAAGCAACAAACCTGCGCGGATGGGGTTTTAAACAATATTACCAATATCTTGCCCTGAACATGCGCATGTTCTTGTTCCCGCCAGTGTGGCTATCGGGCTTTTTCTGGGGTATACAGGACGTTTTTCTCACATTCTACCTGACCACTGAAGATACAGTTTACTATGATGCTCCTTGGAATTACAGTGACTACGGAGTGGCAATTATGAACGTCCCTACACTTATTGGGGCTGTAATTGGCTGTATCTACGCAGGTGTTTTGAGTGACTACTTCGTTTTATGGATGGCACGTCGCAACAATGGTATTCTGGAAGCAGAGTACAGACTTTTCTTCTCCTTCGCTACCGCAATTATTGGTCCTGCCGGTCTGCTGATGTTTGGTATCGGCACAGCTAGAGCTCTACCATGGCAAGTGATTTACGTTGGCCTGGGCTTCATCGGCTTTAATTGGGGTTGCTCGGGTGACATCGCCATGGCTTACTTGATGGACTGCTATCCGGATATGGTTTTGGAAGGTATGGTGTGCACTGCCATCATTAATAACACCACCTCGTGCATTTTCACCTTTCTATGCTCAGATTGGCTGGACGCCTCGGGAACCGAAAATACCTACATTGCCTTGGCCGTCATCAATTTTGGAATCGCTCTATTTGCCGTGCCCCTCTACACCTGGGGTAAAAAGATTAGAATGGCCACCAAGAAGTGGTACGTTGCATCTATCGCTGTAAGAGATGGCGTATAATAGCAGGCGGATAATAGGATCATTCAAGCGCCGAGACCTTAATAAACTGCACATAGACTTGTAAACTGTAACTCGTATGGGTCTCTTAATAAATATCACAGGTAGCATTTATTTTATGTGCACAGTTCACAACTACTACCGAATCCAAGATTACAATTGTATAGAAGCAACGTCCCGGGAAGGTTTATACTAACTTGACATACTGAGATGCTGACGCTGTGATTGTCTTTAAGCGTGATTCTTTGTAAAAAACCTTGTCATATGACCTTTTACATACTACTTGTATACCTTTTTCAATTGTGTTTTTCATAAGAGCCTTGTTGGCGCAATCGGTAGCGCGTATGACTCTTAATCATAAGGTTAGGGGTTCGAGCCCCCTACAGGGCTTCTTTTTTCTTGGCAGAATTTATTAAATATTAATTTTTTTCAAATCTTTTGAACACTTACACACACGACTACTGTAAAACAACACACCATCACCGTCTTCAATCAATTCCAAACAATACTGGTGGCTCTAAGTGGAAACTGATATCAAGCGGTTGTTACTATATGACAAGCTACGCTCTTCTGGGATCTATATTTATGCATCATTACGTACGTATTTTGAGAAATCAAAATATCACATAAAACAGTTCTACGATGTCATTCCGAGTCCGACATCGACCAATTTGGTGTACTTGGGGCCCTCCGGTTTCTAATTGATTGATAAAACTCCTCATCAGGCATCTCATGCTAAGGGTTTAATTCATGAAAATCTTCAAAGAACGTTGCGGTTTGTCGTTGTCGTTTCTCGTTCTTCTCATTCAATGCTCAAAGAGGAAGGTTGGAATTGACGATATGAACAATGACAACGAACAATGATAGCCCCACGACCAAGTGACTTAGAGAAAACTCACTGCATTTCCCTGTTTGGTTCGAAAAAGGTGTCAAGAAAAGCTGCAGCCCCAACTCAAGCCTTACTCATAGATCTCTGTCCTGAAACTGTCAAACCGCTGTTGTTTGAATGACGGCGCAGCGTTGTTTGTGTTTACAAACCTCGAAAAGCGGTGCATTGTTCGAGATGTGGATTCCTCGAAAGCCAGCATCACGATGAGCTCAGAGCGGTTACAGAAGTTTCATTTGTGGGGCAGCATCGATGAGGCTTGCGAAAGAGATTGACACCAGCTGGATTTCAAGAGCTAAAGGGCACCCAATCGTCAAACAAGCCTGTCACAAATCCTATAAATGAGCGATGAAACGAGCTTTTCCTGGGCCATATCATATTTTTGACTTTATTTTGTGTTATACTGTGTCATCAAGAAACCATTACATCCGCTCGCTCCCATGACGTCTTCTACTTCCAGAAATTTTTGGCTTTTTTACGTGGCCGCGCTCCTCGCTCTTTTCGTTGGCACATCCTGTGCTGCCCAGATCTCGACCATTAGTGTCTCTGATCTTTCAGTCGAAGCCCTCAGCTCGCAAAAACTACCCCACAAAATCTGGAAGCTCTCCTTTGACTTCCAAATAGACAGTGCCAATGCGGTGTCGAAGGACGATTATTTTTTGCTCAGCTTGCCCCATGTCTACCGCATTAAATTTGCTGAGGACGCTGACTACCAGTACATTACTACGGCCGACGGTTCTCAAGCTTTCAGATGCTACGCATCTCAACAAGCCGCATACAAATTTGAAAGTTCGGTTCTTAGGTGCGATGCGACAATGAGTTTTTCATCCTTTTCTTTGTTGACCGGAAATCTTGCTGTTGGCGTGGTTTTCAGTAGCGGCGGCTCCTCTTACCAATACGAGTTGAGCAATGCCAGATACTTCGTGACTGGCCAACAAACTATTGATTTTGGTGATGAATTGAGCTGCTCGGCAGACTTCGATCATGCCCCAAGTGTCGACGGATACTATTATGAGGGTCATACAACAACGTATGGAACCATGGAATCATATTATCTTGGCTTTACGTGCTCTGACGGCTATATTCTTGGAGGCACTCAGGTGATTGATTATAATCCAAATGGACAAGTCAACGGCTACGATTGTGCTCAAGCCCAGGTACAGATTTCAAAGAACTACAACGACTGGTATTTTCCTACTGACTTTGAGAATTTTGATGGCGACTATGTCTGCAACGGTGCTACCCTTTCTCTTTCCTTTGACAACATAAAACCGAACTATCAAATTTGGGTCAACAACTTGCAGTCGTTAGACAGCTCGGCTACCACTGTGGTCCACAGCGTCTCTTTCGATTACACCTGCACCAACACGAAAGCTGGTAACACGTACACTACTACAGCCAACCAGTCACCTGTTTTCATAATAAACGATGGTACTTTCACTGGCAGAGCGCTTGTGAGTGGGCAGACCACCTCAATCAGTACGACTACGACAACAACAACAACTACATGGTCAGATAGCTTTGCAACGACTACTACTGGGCCAGTAAGTTCGGGTGCTACAGTAGTCACCGTTCATGTGGATATTCCGCCCACAAGCTCGAGCATCAGGGCTAGCTCGTCTTTGAGTTCAGTTGACAGCACCTCTCGTTCTTCAAGCTCTATTATCGAGTCTACTGTGACTTCCACCGTTGAGTCTTGCTCCGAGCGGATTTGCTCGTCTATTACACGATCATCGAGCTCCAGTGAGATTTTGTCAAGTTCAAGCACGTCGTCATCGTCTTCCGTTACGGTGACGTCTTCCAGCATATTGTCTTCTTCAAGCGTACTATCATCTTCAAGCACACCTTCTAGTACTGCAGCTTCGTCCACCGCATCTTCTAGCACCGCGTCCTCTAGCAGTGCAACTCCCTCCAGCACGGTGCCTTCGTCAAGTACAATCTCGTCATTTAGCTCAACGCTGTCTTCCAGTGCAATGTCGTCGTCTAGCCCACTGTTATCATCCTCCAGTTCTGTGGCATCTTCTAGCGGAGCAACTTCATCAAACAAATTGTCTTCCACAACTCTGCCGTCATCGTTGAGTACACTGCCATCATCTGATTCGAAGTTGTCTTCCAGTACGGTCTCGTCGTCTAGTACACTGCCATCATCTGGCTTGAAGTTGTCTTCCAGTACACTCTCGTCGTCTAGTACACTCTCGTCATCCTCCAGTTTTGTGACGTCCTTGAGCACAGAGACCTCTTCAAACAAACTGTCTTCCAGCACTCTGTCGCCATCTTCCAGTACTCCGCCACCATCTTCCAGCACACTTTCACCATCTTCCAGCATACTTTCATCATCCTCCAGCTCTGCGACGTCCTCTAGTACAGAAACCTCTTCTAGCAAACTGTCTTCCATCACTTTATCGTCATCATCCAGCGCATTGTCTTCATCCAGCACATTGTCATCATCGGCGTCGAAGTCGTCCTCCAGTTTAATCTCTTCGTCGAGTACAGTCTCTTCTTTTATCACAGCTCCTCCTCCTGAGGCATTGTCATCCTCCAGCCTTGTCTCATCCTCCATCAACACTTTGTCTTCCAGTAGTGAATCACCATCTAGCACGGGATCGGCTTCAACTGGTGTGGCGTCTTCAGTCTCAAATTCAAGTCCTCTTTCGGCGCCGTCCTCTGCACAACAGTCCAGTTTAACCTCATCGCTCGAGACATCCCCGTTTTCGAGCATGGTTTCCGCCAGCCTTTCCTCAGCTTCAAGTGACTCATCATGCCTTGGCGTCGCATGTAGCTCACAGTCTACCACCACAATCTCATCCGCGAGTGCCCTCAGCAGTACTTCATCTTCGGGACCCTCCAATTCGGTATCAACAGACTCATTCACTGTTCTTTCGAGCACCGGGTCCACTTTGAGCTCTTGCACCAATGGGCAATGCTCGACGCCTTCGACCTACTCCTCTGCTTTCACACCCATGACCTTTTCAACGAGCAGTACAGCTTCGAGTACCCCTGAGGTGCCACCTTCAAGTGTCAGTTCAGTCACATCGAGCACTATATCTGCAACGTCGGCGTTCAGCACCCCTTTTTTTAGTGGCAGCTTCCAGTCGCCCACATCGGGATCTACTGCCTTATCGACGGGTGTGAGCAGCAGCCCGTTATCATCAACTGTCAGCTCTCTGCTAACGGAGTCACAGACGGCTTTCACGAGTGCCTTAACCTCTGCAGAGCAGCCATCAACGGGTCCCGACACAACGACTGTGACACCTTCCACAGATATATCAAATAGTATCACAACATTGATTTCTGGTTCCTCAGCAAGTAGTGGTATCAGTTCCACTTATAGTACGGCCGGTGACACTACAACATCTTCCAGCTATCCAGGTACCGTGGCAGCTTCAGAGTTTTCGTCGACAAGTCCTTCAGGAATTTCTGGCACGCCTACTAGCGCAAGTCTTTTGATCAACACAGTTTCATCTACATCTACAGAAATGAGTTCGACGCCAAGTCTTTTGATCAACACAGTTTCATCTACATCTACAGAAATGAGTTCGACGCCAAGTCTTTTGATCAACACAGTTTCATCTACATCTACAGAAACGAGTTCGACGCCAAGCCTTTCGATATACGTCGGATCTGCAAGTGGAACAAACGTATCAGGAAATTTGCTGGCGATGATGGCAATGATGTTTTACGCTGTAGTATAGGACTGGTTTGCAGCTACCTATCGATAACATGGAATACCAGTTAATGATGCAAATCCCAAACTAATTGACGATCGAACTGAACTGGTATTTATTCACCTACTTCTCAGTATATATATGAACAAATCTATTATGTCTCGGTCGTTGTCATTTGAGCTTTTAGGCGCATAAATCGATCTGCCAAATTTTCCTACATTATTTCAGGATATTCGGCAAAATTCAGTAAAACATCAATGATCCGCGCCACCCGTTGTATTCCCGGTCACTTTAGGCGGCTTTGTACCCACGAACAAAGTCTTAGCAACATCTATGGAAGTCTGCTGAAAGAAGCGCCTTTTAAAGGCTTTGTGGTAAAAAAGAATCTAGATAAAGAGGTGACACCTTATGACTTTTCTGCATTCATCTTAGAAGGTTTGGCCGACAAAGGAGACCTTGACTTGAATCGCAACCTTATTCACAATCGGCTTATAGAGTCTTTAACTGCTCATGATTTTGCCGTGGGATCTATAAATGCAAGAGAACTACGCAGAGTTGGTGGGAAACTTAGTTCCAAAAGTTTCATTGAGATCATAAGAAGTAATCCCGGTAGAGTTCAGAGCTCATGGGAAATTTTAATCGACAACTGGGGGGTTGCAGTTAAATCGCAGGAAGCTTTAATTGCTGTATTCGAAAAGCTTTTAATGTTCGACTCCGCCGATATTGCAGATGGGAAGACCGATCTGACGCGAGGCGACATAACAAAATGCATCTTTCTGGCAAGCTTAATTGGGAACAAAAATGTAATCAAAGAAACTCAGTGGGAAACGCTTCTACGAGCGTGCATCTATACAAGGACTTCCATCTTGATACCTTTTATTCTAAGCAACTATAAACCCTCCGCTACATTACTAAAGGAGGACAATCTCAAAATCACAAAGTACCAGACTTATCAAATCTTTCACAGGGATCCTGATGCGCTCTTCAACGAAGACGTCGAGTCTTTCAAAAAGGTCCTTAGCATGCTTGGCCAAAATAATATGATTGAACTAACGGACGAGGAACTCGAAGTGGCCCAGCAGGTACAAGCCGATCTAAAGCATATGAGTCAGATTAGCAGAAAGAGTTTTTTGATACCCCCTCCCGAAAAGTTGGTCTCTGACAGCGCTTTCGATGATTATTTGGCCGTGATCGAGAACTCCACAAGTAGTTCTGTTGCAGTCAATGAGCTACGAGAAATCGCCATCCGCAGCCTAGGGATTTACAGAGGTGATATGAGCAAGGCAAAGTGTTTCTTTGAAAAGGTAGAAACTTCAAAGGCGAAGTTCAACTACGCAATGTTTCTCGTTCATGCCTTCAACAGCGTAAAAAAGGCAAACAAGAAACTTTTGATCGACGTTGAAAATCTCGCTCCTAAAGATTGCTCTCCCGGATTATCGCTGAGCGTAAAGAGGGGCCTTGTCGCTGCTTATTCTAGGTTCGATTTAGAAAAGTCCTTAGAAATTTTCAACAGCACGATACAGACGCTAAACAAAAAGCCTCTCGAAAACAGTTTCATGTCAGAGGCCGCTTTGCTTACCGAAGCTTTGATTGTAGCGTTCCTGGGTAACAAGGACAGAGATTTTGCACAAGTGATACTTGAAAAAGCCACTGAAGAGCAAGTGTTTCCAAGTGCCTCCGCAGTCCAGCATGTCAAAAAGCATTTCGCTACATATGGAAGTATGCTTGACGAACCCGATCTTGAGCAAAATCTCCAAAGAATCATTCTCGACTATATAAAGAGTCTATAAAATGATTGATCGGTAATTTCAAAATGCAATCCTAGAAGCCAATGCAATTCGTCTTATGCCATGAGCTGAGGAAGCGAGCCGAAATTAAACACACAAAGGCCGCATGTTTCATTTTTTGCGCTAGCTATGGTTCTGGAGCCCTTCCCGAGACTCGGGAACCATTGTCTGTAAGAGTGTGGACGCCCTTGTACAGAAATCGACAACCAAAAGTTGCCTAACACATCTTAATGTAGTGAACATTTAATTCGCGCTTTCAGCATTCATAAAAAGTGCTATTCCATCCGTGTTTTGGAGTATGTAAGTAAATCCACTTCGGGTAACGCCAGCCCAGCGGGCTGCATCAACGATTGTTGAGTGGGACTTTGAATATGGGATTGGTGCCAAAATCCAGCGGCTGCTGTTTGGTACTTTTACTCCCGGAATCGTTCAGTGAGTTATGAGAGAATGCAAAATTAGGGTCTATAACGTTCGAGAGGTCTATGCGCCCGTTGGTCTTTGTCACATTCTTGCGTAACTTTGGATTATTGATGCGAAACAGGGGTCTTTGAGGTTTTTTGCCATCAAACTCAAATGACGATGGCCCGGAGCTTGCATATTCCAAATGACAGGCATCGGCTACCGAGCTGACGAAGGTAATCGGCCTCTGAGGCCATGCAAGAGTATTTTTGTCCTTTGATTGTTGTGGCCAGGACTCTAAATGCGAATTTCCGTCAGAATACGATGACATATGACCTGAAGAAGAAGAGTGTGGATGGGAGGTTCGTTTACCTTCTGTATTTGGCTTGGTCTCTTTAGTCGGTTTGGCGACTTTTTTCTTCGTGATCCCAATTTTGGATCGATACTGCACCTTACCAGTCTGCTTTGAGCTGAAGGTGTTTATCATAACGGGTAGATCGTTTGGGCCATCTTCGAGCGACGATTTGTCTCTGCGTCCCTTGGGGGTCGCAAATCCACCGCTTTTCACATTTGGTCGCGGATCTACAATAATGAGTCTAAAAACCATCTTTTTTCCCTACCAGCTATAGTTTGGAGAGCCCAGGAAGCAGTCCATGCGTACTGTATCTTCTTGTTGATGCTGGCGTTCAACTTGAACAGCTCATGTTCGCTAGGCAGATCAAGTATCTGAGAAAGCCGTTAATTGCCTAAATTGTCATTGGTCACGTGATGCAATTTTAAATGTCTCCAGTTCAACACCGCGAGAAAACCAGTCTAAAAGGGGACGATCCGGCACCTACCCATTGCCGTGATGCTCTTCATTTACTGTTGTTTTTTCTTGGAGCCTTAGGATAAGTTTCATTGTTTCGAGCACTGACTTGGTCGCATGTTCGACTGTCTACAACGAAATTATTTGTGAAAACCTGAAACTACCTAAAATCTGAATTTTCTTGCAGGAAATGAACACGAAACTTTAAGTTATGTGTCCTTTTTGTCGGTTTCCACGCTTCCTCTTCTCCCTTTGCATGCTTTATTTTATGTATGACACTAAACATATTTTTACTCGCTGACTTGCTTAGCACAACAGGATGAGTTTTATAGTTACTATTGTTTATATTGAGCAACACACAAAGTACTTCACGCCCGTAGGCAAATATCTCGAAGATAAGGCTTTTTCTCTTCGTATGTCTTTTTTGGTCAGATTGTAGACTTACGACTTACGAATTGCAAATTTGAATATTTTCCTTCATTTAAATAGTGCATCCCGTAGTAATACAATCATTTACACGCTGATCACACTTCCTCGGGAGATTGGGCTGTCCGCTCTGTCACAAGAATTCTGTGATGCTAACTTGTTAACTGAATGTTGATCACTCTGTACTATTCTGACACGATTCCAATAATCTGAATTCACTTCACTCTGGCCAGCGAAGCACTACTGTCAGTCATAAAAGGCCTTGATTATCTAGCCTACAATAAATCCGTCGTAGTCTGTTTGAGCTTGGCGTGCAAATGGTAATTCAAGAGGACCATGATCTTTCTGGGCTTTCAGCGCTGACGCTGGTAGTTTAACGCCTGAAAAATTTTAAATTGTTAGCGAAATTGAAATCCAATCTCATCTCGTCTCATCGCATCGCATCGCATCTCATCGCATCGCAAAGGCATTTCATAGAGTTATATAGAAAAGAGCTCCCATGGCATCACGAAAGAGATCTCAGAAAGCAGTCCAGGACAAGGCAGCCAAGAGACGGAAAGAACAAGATGCTCTATTAGAAGGCGGTCTCTTTACTCGTGAAGATGTCGAAAATATTGAGGACTCAACACCTTCCAGCAAGTCGTGGGACGATGAAGAGCAGGCCTACGAAATGGCCCCTAGGTCTCTAGGATATACGGAGGATGAAGTTGAGGGTCTTCCTATCAAGGTCAAAGGCAAAATAGAACGTAGAGTGACAACATTCAGACCCACTGAGTCTGACAAGAAGGAAAAGGAACAGCAAGCAGAACCAGAACCAGAACCGAAAAAGCCCCAGAAAGAAAGTGATACAGAAGAAGTCTCGGCCCCTGTCGACACCATTGAGGGTGTGATGAAGCTAAAAGAGGAGATAGCAGAGCTGGTCGAGAATCTGATGGAAAATGCGGAGGAGAACATCAGCTGTCTCACTCGTCTACGAAAGATGGCTCAGTCCAAAAATTCTAATACCTGCAAGTTTTCGATGCTGGCGCTGGTGTCAGTTTTCAAGAGTATCATCCCTAGCTACAAAATAAGACCGCTGTCGGATCTGGAAAAACGGGAAAAAGTCACCAAAGAAGTCGCAAAGCTAAGGAACTTCGAAGCCACTTTGGTTCATAACTACAAAGAGTATGTCAACTTGCTTGCCGATCTCACCAAAACCCCCAATAGCTCCAGCCCTCTTCAAGTATCCTTGGGCAATTTGGCCGCGAGCGCCCTCGTACAGCTTCTGCCAACCGCCTCTCACTTCAATTTCAGTACAGAGGTTTTCAGCGCTTTGATTCGCAGAATCTGCAAGCCAAACCCATCTGCCGATCCCGTGTACACCGCTATAGTGACAGCATTGGAGACTTTACTATCCGAGGACGACGACGGCATAATTTCTCTCGATGTGGTGCGAATAATGAGCAAAACTTTGAAAACTAGATCTTTCATGGTTGATGAGTCAGTACTGAACATTTTGCTATCTCTTGAACTTCTTCAAGACTACGATCCTAATACGAAGGTTGACGAGGTCTCGAAACCAAAGCTCAAGAAAAAGGATAGAGTTCATATCTCGAAGAAGCAGCGCAAGGTCAGAAAAGAAATGAAGAAGGTTGAGGAAGAAATGCGGAGGGCGGAGGAAACCGTCTTTGCTGAAGAAAGAGAAAGAAACCAAGCCGAAATATTGAAAATGACGTTGGCTCTATATTTGAACATTCTGAAAAATGGAATCTCGCAACTTATTGGTGCTGTTCTCGAAGGGCTTTCGAAGTTTGGGCATATGTCAAATTTTGATCTTCTAGGAGACTTTCTCGAGGTCATGAGAGAGCTGATAGCCACCAGTGACCTTGATACCCTATCATCGGCGGAAACCCGAAAAGTACTTCTTTGTATCGTCACGGCTTTTTCCCTGGTTTCCCGTCATAGTGCAATGAAAGTGACAATGGATTTGTCGTCCTTTGTGGATGCTCTTTACGCCATAATACCGAACCTTGCTCTTGATGCGGATATTGAATACTCACACAAATCTTTAAGATTAGCTGACCCTCTGAATATTGAGTTTTCCAAACCCTCAGTGAATATTTCAACTAAAGCCGAGCTTTTGTTGAGGGCTCTGGACTACGTCTTCTTCAGATCTAAATCAGGTTCCAATATTCGCGCGGCAGCATTCACCAAGAGACTACACATCGCAGTTTCCAATACGCCGGAAAAAACAGTAGTGGCGGTCCTTAAATTCATGGACAAGCTAATGAGTAAATACCCAGAAATTGGTGGGCTTTACTCAACAGAAGATAGGATCGGAAACGGGGCGTATCAGTTAGAAGCTGATACTCCCGCAAGAAGTAACGCTCAAGCCGCTACAATCTGGGAAAACTCTTTACTCTTGAAGCATTATAGTCCTTTAGTGGTCAAGGGCACCAAGGCCATGCTTGAGAAATCGAGAGAGTCTTTGAAGTAAATTTCCATTCATTTGGCATATTTCTAGCAGTGCTGACACCGACTAGCCTCTCGCAGTAAAGAAATTACTTAGCTATAAGTCAATGCTTCAGCTTATGCAGTTTTTACATATACTATCAATGTAAGATAAATTGGTGTCCAGCTTCGAACGCGCTACGAAGGCAGCGCTTACATTTTGTTATTCTATCGTGCTGTACCAATAAAAGAATTTCCACTTCCACCCTACATTTTCAAATGCAGATATTGAGTTAATATGTACTGACTATGAACCTCTATAGCTTGTAATCCTTCGTCTCTGATGTCGCGGTCTTTTTCGCGTTACCTTTAACGTCTGTTTTCTCACCCTTCTTGCCAATAATTGTCACATTTCTGGCTTGAGACAAAGATTCGATAACGTCATCGCGCTTGCTCTTCTTCTTTGACTGTTCTGATCTAGATTGAGACTGCTTCGATCTCTTCCTTTTTAGCGCACGTCTTAATCTATTCTTGTCTTCCCTAGAGAGCTCATCTCTTGACATGACCGCACCATTTTTCAACGAAATTTCGTTTGTACCTCGAGAGGCACCAGGTTTATATATTTCTTGAGGCGCGAGCGTGGAAGCTGTTGACATTGTGAGCGGTTGGGCATCTTCCATGTTTATAGCAGCGCTCTGGATCTTTACCTCCAACTGCTTTTGAGCTGGCTTCGGAATGAAATGCGCTGAAGACAGAGCATCCAGCTTATACATCAAGTCGTTGTAAAGTTCTGAAATTTCATCATGAGCCTTTTGAAGCTCTTCTGAGATTTCCGTACTCTGTGAAGAGCCTTTGTAATCCTCCTCATATAGTTCCGCCAGCGATTTCGAGGACTTCGAGTCACTTAGATCAAACTTTGGTTTTGGGGTCGAAAAGGATGTGCTGGAGATAACCTTTCTCGCCAGATCATCGAATTCATATTGTAAAACTCTTCTACGAATCAAATCTTCCAAAGATTCGGTCACTTCAGCCGTAATAACAGGAACGGGCTTCGAAGTTCTCTCGAATTCAAGGTCTTCACTCAATAAAGCGTCGTCAGGCCTGTCTTTGGCTTTCACTTCACCCTTGAGAGCCCATTTCTTCTCAGCAACAGCTTCCTTCTCAAGTTGAGCAATTTGACGTTGGATATCAAGTTGCTGGCGCTGAAACGTTGACAGCTCCTCGGCGTCATTTCTTTCTTCACCAGAATCATCCTGATCGTCGACATCGGCAAATAAGTCAAGCTTGGCTGACTCCATGGCGCGGTCGTATTCTTCTTCATAATCATTCTCTGAGCTCTCGTGATCACCCTCAGTCGCTAATCTCTTAGCGCTGTCACCTTCAGAGCGGCTTTTCGTCTTCGGTTTGTCGAAGAAATCGTCGTAATATTCTGCTTCCTCGTCTTCTTCAGAGGACATCTTCGCAAAGAAATCGAAGCTATCATTTTCATTGACATCCTCATTCTCAGCCTTGAGAGTCTGCTCGTTAAATTCATCGATGTCGAAAAATTCATCGTTCAAACCGTGTTTATCTGATTTTTTTCCGTGGTCAGAATTGTCTGCTATTTCACCGGTTTGGATACTATCACTTTTAGAGTTCAAGTTGTCCGCTATCTCACCGTCGTCCTCGTCACTTTCCTCATTTCTTTCCTCTTCAGCGGCACTTTCACTTCTGCTCTCTTCTTCTTCCACTTCATCTTGTGTTTCCTTTTCCTCTTGTTCTTCATCCTCTTCTTCGTTTTCTTCTTCCTCTTCGTCTTCCCCGAAAGCAGGGCCTTCGAGATCACTACCAGATAAAGCTAACTCTTCATCGCCCTCACTTTCGCTGTCGAGCGCATCATCAGATGGCTCTCTTAAATCTCCGATCTTCTCCAACAGCTTCGAGCCACTGCTTTCCATGATCATTTTAACCTGCTGCCACACTTGGTTGGCGTCCAAGCCATCCACAGTAATCTCATCAAGCAAGGTCTTGCTGTCATCCTCGGCCTTCTGGTTTTGGATGACACCATCCACATACGACTTTACTAGCGCCAAGGAGGAGTTCGAATGAGCCGCCGGCCCATCAAAGATACCGACAGGATTCTCTGCGATCGTCGTGATGAAGCTAGAAGTCATAATGGCCATGCTGTCTCACTCTCTATATATGCATGAAGCTCATCGCATCCTGTAAACGTCTAAAATTTTTATAATTCTAATAAAGTTGAATAAGAAATAGCGAGCTACGAAACTTGGAAGCGATAGCCGTATCAATCCCACACCCTTACAGTAACAGTATCTCAGGCTAGAATGGCTGCTCCAACACCCATAACAGATAGAACGGTACTGATTATGATGATGACGATGCAAGACACTTTCTCCCATGGTTTGATGGTGTCTGAACAAATCGACATATAAAAGATGCACGGCAAAATAGAGCAGATGGCAAAGCAGAGTCCTGCTCCTAGAAATGCGATGAATTTGTCGAAGTCTGGGAATATGATACTGATCGCGACCATGAAAAAATTGATTAGCAGTCCATTCAGAGAAGAAATGATGCGATTGGACCGTGGGACCCCTCCGTGGGCGTTAGTCTGGGAGGTACTGACCCGCATCATGACGTCAAGCACAGAGTTGATTGGGCGAGCGTTGAGTGGTGCTTTTGCGACAGGTATAAGTGTCATGAGAATGGATATTAGCACGTAGATGAAGCGTGGGTATCCCTCTGTCAACTGCAAACTTTTGGTGACCTCGTCTTTGACACCCATCCCAAACATGAAAATCCCCAGCAATGCTGTCGAGATATCCGCCGTAGCAGTGATCGAGTATGTGGTTATCAAACATTTCTTGTACTTCGCGGGATGTCTCATGTCACTTTTTAAATTGGGGAAGACCGCATGGCCACCCCAGCAAGCACTCAACAGCCCGATGGATAGACAAAAGTTGGTCATATTTTCTGGCCATAACGGAGGAGACATGGTCTCCAACAATGACCCAGGGGCAGTTGTTTTGTATAAACCGCAGAAAGCAATGCAGACAACGGTTCCCAGTGTGGAAACGATCCCAACGAGGGAGAAGTTTGAAAGAACACTCAGAGGTACGAATGCTTGAGGTGTTATAGCGAAGAAGGCGAGCACCTTAAAGAACGTTACCGAATATTTGGGAAACAAAGCATTCAGGGAATCTCCAAAGATAATCATCAGCGCCACGCCCGAACCCAAGAGATCTAGGGTGAATAGAAAGGAGATAAAAGCCCTACCTTTCGAGCCGAAAGCAGCATAGGCTAGATCCCCATAGGAAATCATAGTTGGGTCCACATCTTGGCAGCGCGAGAGCAGCTCAGCGGTATGGAATGTCGCAAAGGCAAAAGTTGCCAGGAGGGGGATGCCCAGAACAAGGCCTGCATATCTTAGGCCCAGGGGCAACGCAAACAGGCCAATACCGATCAAAATGTTTACAGAGTTGAAGACTGTTTGAGGTCCGGTGGATTGTCCTGCCAACAGTGTCACGACTTTGCCGTCTTTTGTTTCCACCTGTTTAAGCATGATCGAATGGGTATCAGGATCTGTGGTCCGCTCTAGATCTTGAAAACTCAAGGTGGGCCGTCTGGAGCCCGCCTGTTCGGTAATTTCAGGCGCTATGATGCTCTCTGGTTCATCATACAGGGCGCCCTCATCATACAAGTCACCCATTGAGGGCCGGACAGAAATGTCCCCGCGGCGTATGACTGCATGAGACAACCTCCTACCGTCTGCAGCCGGAGCCAGAGTGTAAGGGTCAAACAATGCATCCTGACCATCTTTGAAGTACGTTCTTTCTTTGTCAGAACCAACGTCAATATTCATGAAGGAGTTGGCTCTTCTCAAAGAGGAGGCAAATCTGCCCAAAGAGTTGACCCCTTTAAAAGACCCTAGTGGTTGATCGAAAAGGTTTCTTCTGTGGAAGCTATCGCCATGGGATTGTTCATCGGAGTATTCGCCCTCTGAAACCCTGTTGATGGGTATAGACATATAATGGACATTTTGGGACTTTCTACCTTTCAAAAGGGAACCGTCACCGTTTTCTGGCATCCGATTATGTTCTATAAGCAAACAACAGCTGTCAACGCCTAACAGTGCAGCTTAGAGGAGTGCCTTAGCGAGTTTCTTAGTTAAAGTTCGGGCGATAGATCAAGTTATCCATTTTCGACTGTATTTATATATATCCGTTAGATCTTAATCTCGATCCTGTATTATCGATATCAGACAGCACGGCGTGAAAAATGACATACCTACCTGCCGGCTCATGACAGTAGCGACGAATGATTGAACGCACAGCTGATGGAAATCTTCCTCTTCCAGCGGGCTTGTGTAGTTTGAATGTTCTTCTGTTCGTCATTGTTCATCTTCTGTATCTTTTTTAACCGTTTCATCGGGTCGATCAATCAGAAAGGTCGCTGAACATATCTCCTGGACGAGCTGGCATTCTCTTCTTTGCACTCAATATGTAACTTCCTGTGAGCTGTTGTTACGTTAAATGACATGACGCTCTAGTCAGTAATTCTGTAATTGATTACTTGAAGATCTTTTCAAAACCTGAGAAACAAAGAAAGAACGACAACTCAAATCACCAGGTCAAAAGACACGCTTACCTCTGCCACGATGCAGACCACGGCCTCTGCCTCGTCCCCTCCCGAAGCTGTTGAAACGACTCTTGAAGACCCCACGATGCTTACGGTTTACACCTGCATTCCACCTAGCGCCTCTCATCACTCTCTCGAATTTTGGCCTCTTCGGAATGACTTTTAGCGCCCTTTCGAAAAGCACGGTCCCGTTAAATTCTATAGCAGCCATCACGTCTTTCGGCTGGGCAAACTCGACATACGCAAACCCTCTTGGTGAATGTGTTTTACCGTCCACTTGGATATCAACTCTGTTGACACGGCTCACTGCATCTTTGAAAAGCTCTTGCAACTGCTGAGCAGTTGCACGACGGCTCAGGTTCCCCACAAACACTGAACGAGCGGCTAGTTCGGTTTCATCGTTATGAATGTTGAAGCCTTCGTCGTTTTGCCTGGTGAGATTAGCATTCGCCAATTGGGCCTGAAGATTTCTCATGCGTTTCGTCTCTTCATTGATAAGAAACATGTATGGTTCTTCTGAGACAAGTTGTTCTGTTTCGAGCGGGGCCACTGATGACGATGATGGTGATAATGATCCTGAGGCAAATGTTGCTGGCACGAGTTCCGGGCTCTGCGGATAGCTTTGCGGTCGGTGCGATTCCATGTGTATTTTAAATAAATCAGAGTTCTTCGCCTGATGTCGTCCTTTAAACACGACTGATTAACATTTACATCGCCAATGATCATACGTTCGACCAAAACATTAAACATCGCCCATGGTTTTCTTTCTTTGCCGTCAATCGTAATTATTTTAGACACGGACTTCACAATTATCACGGATCACGATATTGTTTAAAAACAGATATTCAGGATAGAGAAACTCCACTTACGAGCTTTGAGGCTTGATCAGCATGCACCATGATAAGATCCCTTTGCTTTGTTTTGGGACTATCGGTGCTGAACTTATGCTGGAGTTTTGAACAGGCTTCGAGATATGATCCAGATGATCAGGACGAGTTTCCCTTTACTACGGTAGTTGACATTCTATGGCAAAATGTGGAATTCTCGACTTTTCTCAGAAAAATCCAAAAGAGCGGCAACATAAACTACTTGAACGAACTTGATAACTTCACGTTTGTTGCGCCCATTAATTCTGCTTTTTCAAATCACAGTGAAGCCGTGAAAATAGATCATTATCTCCTTCATAACTACGTTTTGAACCCCGCGTCTTGGGATACTGGAATTCATGTCCTGGTGACGAACGATAGTACCCCTCATTTACTGCAGTTGAAAAGCAACGGAGCAATGTTTCTGAATGAAGCTCCCATTCTTAAAGAGGTCCAACAACCCAACATGCAGAATGCCACAATGTACAGCACAACTTCTCTCTTGTCGAGAGCACAGGATCTCGTCGAAGTGATAGAAAGCAATCCTCACGCTTCCTTCTTCTTCAAGCTCGTTTCACACCTGAAAGATGAACGACTGCTTAATCTGTTTGACCGAAGGACCGTCTTGGTTCCAAATAACGCAGCATTTGAAAAACAGTTCAACTCCTTGGAGCTAGAATACTTATTGGGCAGCGAAAATCACGAGAATGATTTGCCGCTCCCGGGAAATTTGTCAGAAAACCGCTTAGCAGACCGTCGTTTACTGATAGAAAAGGTCTTAGTTGATGGCCTCTTCGGCGGGCACTTTGAGCAAGTCGAGGTTTTAAACTTGAAAGGCGACTCGTTAGTCCTCAATTCGCATGCCAATGGAAGCGATATTAGCGTAAATGATTCCTTGGCTACTACTAGCAATCTGATATACAAGCCTGGCATCGCGCACATGTTCTCAGACCTAAACTTTTTATCGCGAGGCTTTCATTTTACGGCAGAGAAATATCTTATAGGTTTGGGAGCCGTTCGGTTTGTGGAGGAAGTACACATGAGAAAGCTTACGCATCTCATAAACGGAAGTTTCACGCAGGCACTTACGATCTTTGTCCCAATTGACACAAACTATGACAGTCCTGGTTATTCGAAGAGCAGCTTACTTTACCACTTCGTTGACACCGAGATAGTTTTGACTGATGGTCCGTCTGGCGAAAACTCACATAAACTTTATGACTCGATGTTCTGTTCGTCAAATAAACGCTTAGGGGGCAAATGCCAGCGGTTGAAGATCGAAAGCAGAAATCAAGGTAATCGAAGGGGGTTTTTCGTCAACAAAAAATATCGCGTAGTAAACAGCGCGCCTTTTATGATTGGAAATACGGCAATTTACCTAATGGAACACGAAGTAATGCTTCCTGGTGATTTGCTGTCAGCAATGGACCCATTTTCGGGGTGCTCAAAATCCATGGAGTTTTTACGCGAACTCAACTTGTTAGATCTTCGGCCAAACAACCGCGGCTTTACAGCTTTACTCCCATGTTTCAAGTCTTGGAGCAATTTTGACCTAAATTTGGAGTATCTAGAGCATAACATCTCTGCTTTAAATTTAATCATGAAAAACTACATTCTGAATGATCTGATATACACAGACACAGATGATATGTCTTTTGTGACATCCAACCTATATGACGAACCAATTGCTGCGCGTTTGCACGATGTTGAGTCTGACAGTAATAGTGTGCTGCTGAATCTGAGTTCCATGAATGAACCAATCCAGCTAAAGACAAATTTTGACACGTTTTTCGACCAGGGTGTCATACACCCTATAAGTGATGTTTACTATCCAAAAGCTCTAGACATATCTCTTCAAAACCTGTTAGAAACCACTCAATCATATGACTTCGTCGCCTACCTTAAGAACTTCGACAGTCTCAAAGGCATTTTTGACAACAGCAATGAATACTCGATTCTAGTCCCAACTGCGCGGTCTTTGTTACTCGAGGACATTGGTTTGAACTCGACCAGGTTAGAGGAGTTTTTGGGACTGCACATTATTTTCTCAAACTCCACACAGTCGCTTCTCAAGTGTGAAAATAGCATCAAAACGCTTAACGGAAAATCTCTGAACTGTAGAGAAAGCTCCTCAAATGCACAACTTTTACGAGTTGTAGATGGTGCAGACAAAGAAGTGCGAATTTTAAAGAAGGGTTGCTCCTCCTCTGACGAGAATTCGTGTATTTTTCTCCTTGATCGGCCTATCTCACTTTCTTGGCTCGAGAAAGAAGGCTACAAAATAAGACTTCCGGGCACCGCTCTTGCGATGGGTGCCCTTCTGGGAATTTTGTTCATCTTTGGGCTACTGAGTTGCGCCTTGATGACCTTTGTACGAAAGCCAACACCAAACAACAACGAACCTGAACAGGGTGCCGCCGACCAAGAAAGGCTTTTGTCATCATCTAATGTCAAGCAACGTAACGGGTACTCGTCAATACCCCGCGGCGATGCACCCGGTCGCCGAACTGAACGATTAGACGGTACTTCTGTAAGGAATCATGAGCCAGGCTCTTTCGCGAACCTCTATTCCGTCAATACATCCCGCGAACCACTTTCCATAGATGCGGGAGCAAACCAAAACCAAAATTATTCTTAGCTTTTGGGCTGTAAACCTGTTATATCCGTTTTTATGTGACAATGCTTGCGACGGCTTTATTTAAAGTAGCGCTCGAAATAAATATTTTACTTCAACAAAATAACAAATAGCTCTAAGGTCTTTGGCCAAAAAATTATTTCGGAAGTCATAACCACAAGAAATTGGATAAAACCTAAAGAATATAGACGGTTTTTAATAGTATGAATTATAAAGTATAATAAAATAATTATTTTGCTAAAACTATGTCATATGACTTGCATATAATTACAGACAACTTTTTTTTTGTTTTTTTGAAAGTTTATTTCAAACACAAAACACCAAAAGGTGAGTTTTTCGATGATAGCTCGTGCTTGACCTTATATACGATTATAGAATATCGCCTATGATGTTGGAGGCCGCTTTGTATGTCTCTAGTAACTTGACGCATTTTTGCCTATCTTGAGCTAAATTCTGATCTTCCATCAAGAGATCCTCGAATAAAGCTTCTTTGTAAAGTTTGGTGACAAGGCGATTTTGAATAATTTCTTTCGAGAAGTTAACAAGCAAACACATGACAGCTTTTGGGACTTGATCTTGAATCATCTCTCTCACGATTCCAAAATAAGACACAATCAGTCTTCTGATAAGCTCGCACTCTAGCTGTTCCCTTTCATTCATTTGAGGCATATGTTCCTCATTTTGTTGGCCTCCTTCGTTATTAAGTTGAAGATTGTCGAAGTCCAGAAATTCAGTCGTACGGTCCCCTTTGGTATCCAAGCTATAGCTCTCTGTAAAACCATTTAGTTGAGTGCCTCTCTGTTGATCTTTACCAAAAAAGTAATTCAAAAACGAATCTTTAGACTGCTTGGAGGGATCTTTTTCGTCGTCATCGGAAGACGTTTCACTGAGACGAATTCTGTCGGCATCACTGATAGACGTCAAAGTTGGAGAGCTGTCTTCATTTTGTTTCTTTGCAAGGTCTTTAGCAAGCGAATGCCTGGCATCTTCCAAATCTGGCTTTTTTGAAATTTGATCCCTCCTTGTTTTCTTGGAATCAACGATGTCGGCCATCACCTCCGTTGCACTCAGAAAGTTGGGGTGGTTAGTGTTGATATACGCTCGATGAATTTCAATGAGACTCTCGACGTAAGAACGCGTTGGACCCAATCGCTCTCTCAAAAGCTCACTAACAACCTCGATAAGCTTAGCTTGAAGTTTCGGGTAGCGCGCCAGTTCTGGTGAGCCACAATTGTGACATATCTTCATAAGTTCCTCATAAACCAGCTCAACGCAGCGTTCCGAGGGCTCCAAGAGAAGATGAATTTGTGGCTTGACAAGCAAATCAAAAGCAAGTTCGGGCACAAATAACGAGGGACGTGGGCCAGTCGAATTGCGAATAGCGGTTTGGATGTCTCGAGTGGATAGATTCTCCGTTGGGCTTATTGATTTCAGAGAGCTCCCAAAAATGTTGTTGTAAATGAAATATATGCGTGCCCCTCCACAAAGTTCTTTGGTACTGATGTCTGACGAGGTTCCTTCAATCGAGGAAACGAAACGAGCAGCGAACTTGTTCATCAGTTGCAAGACCAGGCCGGCTCGATTTTCTTTTGTAATAACGCCCGTCCCACCGTACGTCTGCAGTTCTTGTTCTGTTTGCCCAATGAGAGTATTCAATCTGGCCTTGATATCAGGCAATTTCTCACGAATGTGATTAAGGAGAATTTGATTCAGTAGTTTCGCTAGGTACCGTGTGCCGCATCTTGTTGAAATAGTTCTGTAGACTGGATGCCTCACGAAAAAGGCTTCTTCATTATCCAGCGCCTCTTCAACGCTTCTGTTGGACTGTATGTCCTGTTGAGATCTGTTGACTACACCAACGAAACCAAGCTTCAGTGGATAAAGTTTTCCAGAGAGTATGTCTAAAGCATTCGTTCCGCTATCCATGAGGTCCATTTTAGTTATAACACCAATCGTTCTCCGACCATGAGGGTCTACTTCCCTCGCGAGCTTCAAAGATTCAGAATTGACCAGATCAACATTAGCGGGTGAGACTGCCAGAATGATGCAGTTAGGTTTGGCCACGTATTCTAAGATCAGATTTTTGATTTGCTTTTCGATATCGGCAGGTTGTTCACCAATTGGAACTTTTGTGATACCCGGCAAGTCGACTAGTGTCAAGTTTAAAACCCTAGGAGAAAAGACTTTAAGGTTTATAGGAATACGACTGATACCTTTGTTCTTGCCCGCAATCCTTGCAGTTTCGTTCTGGATTTCGTTTCTGATCTCGCGAAAGTCGTAAAACCGGCGGCCGGGCAGATGCAGAAACTCACCCCATTCATTTCTCTGTGTTGGTTCATAGCCCTGGTTTTTACGCAAATGGTCTTCTAAGGTCAGCTCGTTATTATCGTTATTTTGGTCTGTGGGTATCTCGTCCTCGTCATGATGCTGATTGATGAGAGGTGAATTTGTTGCGATATTATTTAGTTGTAAAACCAATGGCCGTCTTGTAACTATTCCGGTGCCTCTGGGCAAGAAATCCTTGCCCACCAATGTCTCTAAAATAGAAGACTTTCCGGATGATTGTGATCCAATAACGGCCAATACCGGTAAATCGAGCGTGTCAATGCCAGCATCGTACATAACATCCTGCAGCTTATTAGCTGTCGGAATGAGATCCTCCAAGCTAGCCATCTTCGTAGATCTGTTTGGTGAAGCAAGCGTTCTTGACTATGGGTTGTGTCAATTCAAATTCATAAACATAGATCAAGAAAATTAAGTAGATCGAAGAAAACTTAGTCTATAATGCTTGAATGGCAAGTTCATGGACCAATCATGAACTATTCGTCTACAATGATATATAACACCAGCTCAGGTAGTCTTAGGCTTCTTACGAACAATCGAGGTGTTTAGTGTCTGTATGCGCACTTGGGGCTTCGGTGCTGACGCTGAAGTATGGGAAATGTCCGAGTTTGAAAAGATCTTGCCGGTTTGTTTCGGTGCTTTCGTACCTATAATCCTCACGTACGATCTATTCAATCGTAAATGCAAGAAGTCTCTGACATTGGCGTATGCATCCAAGGCTCCATCTTCCTTATCGTATTCTTCTCCTGTGACGTAGCTTTTTATCATGTTGAACATTTTTCTACTACTCGTAAGCACAACTTCGGTATCGGCCACCACTTGGCTAATTAATGGCCTCAATTTTCCGGCAACACCTATGACGGAAACTGTATCTCCGAGTCTGAATTCTTGCTGAACCTGAAGCTCGACCCAGAATTGAGACAGCTGAACCTTTCTCGCTCTGCCCTCATCTACTAGTTGCTCGAGAAAGCGACCTTTAGGATCATCAGGGAATACAGGGATTTTAAAAATAGCCAAATCCTCAGGGACTCCGTTGAATATATCGCCTATCTGCCAATCTGGGCCATTCAGCTCTCGGATGTGTTTGGCCGTCACAGCTGCTTCTTCACCCGGAATTTGAAGCCGAGCGTTTGTGTCAGTGTCGAAGCTACTTGTTACAATGCTGTCTACCACTGAAAGCCACCATTTGAGGAGTTTATCTCCGGGCAAGACATGTTTGTTCCCATTTTGAGATGATTCGGCGAATAGATATTGAGGCTCGGATCTTGTGAATAGGCTAAGTTTACAGGTCCACTGCGGCGAGATCTTATTAAAATGAATGTAAGGATCCTCAAGTGGTGGTCTGTAAGCTTCGTGGTGCTCGTGCCTGCTCTTCAGAATGCGAAGGGCTCTTTTCGTTGTAGTGTGGTGCGTAATCGCATCACAATTAGCTTCACGCGAAGCTGGAAGCCCTATGACTCGGTTTAGATATTCTAAAGGACTTATGGAGGTTACAAACTCGAGAAGCACCCTGGTGACATCCTTTATGGAGACTGCGCGGTCGCAGTATCCATTGGTGTCAGCCTTCGAGACGAAAACCAGTTTATCGCATGCTTCACCATTATGAAGAGTGATATAGACGTAGATTTCAAGGGCGTAGAAAACCTTACTCTCACAGGCTAGGGCGAAGAAATGCTGCGCTTTAACAACGCGCTGAGAGCCATAACCTGGATATCTTTCCAGCACTACTTGATGGGTCTCCCTTGATGGGCTCAGTAAATGCAATAAGTGAAATTCAATTGACCTAGGTAGAACATGTCGTAAAGAATCTTGCAAGCTTGACATTGCGGTGAGACATATAATGCGTCCATAACATACCGCTGTTAGTCAATTGTTAGCTGAAGAAGCAGTTTGGTTTTGCTGGCGAATCGAAATGCGTTGCCCTCGGAATTGACGAAATTGACCGATCTTTTCGTACGTGTCGCGCTACATAATCTACAAATTTTCATACTCCTCGGGGTAGAAGATCAGACGTTCGGCCCCGTCTTTCGTCAACACTACCATTCTGATTACACCACCAGAGGACCCATCCCATTTTATGGCTTGAGAAAGAGAGTTTTTCATGAAATTTATTGTTTCTTCTTTTGACATGTCATCCTTGTAGTTCTTGTCACAGTAACCATAGATAAACGTAGAGCCAGAGCCAGCTATCGCGTATTTTTGCTTGTGTATGGATCCGCCAAGGGGTATGCTGTAAACCTCGCCTTTGTTCTTTTCGTCGTAGCCTGCAACAATTATTCCTGCGGTAAGATTGTCTTTGTTTTCGTAGCAGAGGGTCTTGAAGATTGAAGCTGCAGTCTTTGTAGATGGCTCACCGAATTGAGCAGCATACAAATCGAGGTAGTGCTGAACGATATCCGCAACGGCTTGTGTATCCGCCGCTGATCCAGATCTGCAGCACCACACCTTGTCGTGTACTCTGGTAAGCTTATCTGTGACTCTATTAGCAATGTAGGCACCCGTTGTTGTTCGCGAGTCTGCACCCAAAATTACACCGTCTTTGAAGGTTACAGCCATACTAAGTAAGCTCTTGTTAGTATACCTTGCTAGGCCCAAATGTTCCCGAAAAACCCACAACATACATGGATGTCCCCAGGCTGACTTCGCCCTTCTTTAAGTGATTGATGTCAACTTGAATGCCGTTCATGATTGACCTAGTGGACTGATTATGTGGTGAATGGGATGGTTGTACAATCAGTACGAGTTTAAAGGTTAATTTTGCCACCAATTCCCATCTAATCGAACTTCATTTAGTCTCGTGACACGAAGACCAGACCTCCGAAAGGTGTCTGCTCAGAAGTATATAAGCTACATTGAGGGCCTGGGACTACCTTATGCTAGGCGAACGATCTAGATCTACATTGTGCTGTGATAGGAGAGAGCGATCAATAACTGGAGCGTATAAATTCCGAGGCGATGTTGCAGGGCTCAATTTAGCCTCTGGGATGCTTTTGAAACTTATAGTTGGCTTCCTGGACGCCAACTTCTTGTTAATCTTTTCCAAGTCCATCTTCGGTGGAGGTGGGATCCCTCTTTGCTCTAAATCTGTAGCGTTTGTCTCCAGTCGTCGTTTAGTTACGGTGTCCAGCTTCTCAGAAAATCTTATTGGACTAGGAATTGCCTTGCGAGCTCGCCTATAGTGGTTTTTCATGGCCTCCATTCGATTCTGTTTCATTTTCTCTGACCCAGGAATTGTAATTCGACCGCTAGTTTTTATTCGAGTTGGGGTTATAAGACCTCTCTCATCTTGATCAGGCCGCTCGTCATACGTTTGAGCAGCCAAATCGGACTGTCGAGTGGTTCCCGAAGCTGTTTTTTCTCTCCACAGCAGAAGAATCGCTCTCAAGCTGGCTCTGTTCCATCTGTTTTTAAAGATCTCCACCGTCTCACTATTTCGGGAGCACTTTAATTGTTTCATGGTCCATAAGTTCATGCAGTTCATTAAAAAAGAGAGTTCCCGCTCACTTCTCAGTCGGACAAGGTCGTGTTGCATCGCTGAAACCTGACCGATTTTTAGCTTTATGTTTTCAAAAGTATTGGACAAGGTGGACTGATTATGCAGTTTAACGGCGACAAGTCTCCAATTCTCGTGTAACTGAATCCTATCAAACGCCTTTTGAAAAAAGCTTGTCGTCACGACATGAAATCTTTGATCATCAGCTAATCTGGTGCATGTTAATGACAGATACTGAAACCGCGAAGTCCAAATTGCCATAAAGGATCTAGCTAATGAATTCTCTTTCAGCGTCAGATATTGGTCCAATATTATTTCTTGTTTGAGTCGTAACTGAATTCTCATGCTGGACAACCAGATTGACATGAACTTCTTTTTGTGTTTGCTGTCACTTTGAGACTTGTAAGATCGACTCATAGCTTCCAGTCGCTCGCTATGCAACAAGACCTTTTTGAGTTTTGCAATTGTCGTGACTCTCCGGAAAAGGTCAGCTTTCTTGCTCAATTGGTCCGCTTTGTGCACTGAACTAGACCATTTTCCGAATTTTTCCCTGACAAGAAGAGAGTCTCGGCATTTAACTGTGATCAGAGAGAGATCGATTAACGACCGGTACCTCCCCCTCAATTTGCGACTCCAAAATCTCTTTAATAGCTTTTGATGGAACTCAGCCACCATCAACTCAAACTTAGTCACCTCACACCATCGCAGAAATAGCTCTCTGAGAAGTTTTTCCTGGCTCCTCCGTTTAAGACGCATCATTAGAGCCGTTCTAATCAAAAGATGAAAACTTCTGTTTACAACACCTCTTTCGTAGACAGAGAAAGCTTCGGATGTATGTCGGACCTGTTCTCTCCATGCCATGAACAGTTTCTTCATAGTAACAAATCCACGCTGTGAGCGATAGGCGTGAAGCGCTTGCCTTTCTTCAATCCTTTTTAACCATACATTTCGAAGTACATGGCGCAAAACGATGGCGTTGAGACATAGTATCGCATGGTTTTCGCGATCCTTCCATTCCATAACGTCTCTGACAACTTTCAAGGCCATTTTATCTCGAAACAGCGTCTCTAACTCGGCTAGCTCTCTCATTTTCAAACTCTTTTCGGCAAGCCGCGCTTTCCAGATATTCACGAAGGGAGTCAGTATAAGGTGCTCGGCGAGAAGCATCGCTTTATCGGACAATGAACCCAAACGCTGAAATTTGTAAGCTAATCGCTCGAAATACAATTTCTTCACATTTGAAGCCTCGCGCTGCTCGAAAAGTCTCTGGCGGCTGCGTAACTTCAACGACGAGAACGCGCGTCGCAAATATGTCTTGCGAAATTTTAGGTCTGCGGAGTTGATGCTGCTGATTCGATCCATCGATTCTTCTTTAAGAATCGTCAAATACTTTTGAAGAAAAAAGACATCGGCGAGATCTTGTTTTACTTTCTGAGCGTCAGTGCGCTTGATCCACATATCAAAAGAATTGGACTTGCCTTTAAAGTTTAATAGACAATCAGCTTCCGTTTGAGACTCTCTGCATTTCAAAACCATTTTATGCTGCCAAACCTTTAGGTATTTTCTTTCAATATAGCCATTCCACACTAAGCTGAGCTGCATCAGGTTCAAATCGACCTTAGTCAAGAGTTTCCATCTCGTGAAGACTGATTCGAGTGTCATCTTTCGCTTCCTCTGCTCAAGCTGGGCCAGCAGCATTAGTGGATTGGACGGATTTGAGAGAAAGACATCTAAAAGATCAAAAATACGAGGTGTGAGGACCAAACCTTTGTCTAATTCATTTTGCAACTCAAGCACATACTGGTCCTCCATGGGATTTTCATCGTCCTTGAGCAGCAGATTGATGTAGCGCTTCAAGATGACCAGAAAATCAAGGGAAAGCTCATTTCGAAGCAGAAGAACTTGGGTTTTATTGAATAGCATCTGGAAGTACGAATCGTTGAGGTGAGGGAACAAAAAGGCGCCACGCTCTTGCTTCAGCTCCGTATCCTCCGAAGCTTCAGCCAGACTCATCATCCTGTGTTCACGTCCCTCGTAGAAATACGGGAGATTCTGCAGATGTATGCTGACGGAAGTGTTGTCTTCGTGGCGACGTTCTTTGACTATTGCATCCTTCAGCAAGTCCTGGATGTCCTTCTTCAGCAATGAGCTTGTCGAATGTCCCAGGTGATCATTGATGAGAGCTGATGTAGACTGATCATCTGCCCCTTGAAATGAATATCGCAGGTCGATCGGGCCACTAGCGGAATCCATCGGGGTGATAAACCGCGTATTGGCGTATTTACATGTTTCCACAACTTTCGATTCGTTAAAATTGATATTGGATCATCTTGTCAAATAAACAAATTTAGTGAGTGTCCTTTAGCCTGCGTATGTCGAACCAAAATACGTGAAGGTTGTCGAGTTACGCTAAGAATTATGCTTGCGGGGACGAGACTCTTTACTATCCTGCTGGTGTTTATTCACCTTGTGATGGGTCAAACAGATATTAAACTGTTGCCTGCTTCTTGGGAAAATGTGGAGTACCTTAGAAATGTTGATGTCAGCAGAAAATATGTACAGGAGAGGACCAACCTGCGTATAAAGAACATTGACGAGAAACCAAATGATGAGTACTACTTCGTGCTGCGGGAAGAAGTTTTCGAAAACGTTGGCCTCTTTTCTGCGAAATTGACAAAAGTCGATGCATTTTTGGAAAGCGCAATACTTCCTGATCAAACTTTTGCAGCCAACGGTAAGACCGTAAAGGTCGGAATTGTTAAATTGCCTTCACCAATTGCACCTGGCAAGGAAACAGATATTGTCATTGACTTGGTCTACAATTGTAACGTCGAACCTTTTCCAGGGCATGTTAGTCTTGGCGAAAACCGAGAACTACTCCTGAGCACCAACAAGTATCCTTTTTCGGGCTATCACACCGAGAGCTATTCTCTGAAATTTAGCGGAAGCTCATCATTTTCGGAATTGGAAAAGCCCGGCAGCGAGCCATCTTCTTGCTTCAGCGAAAACGATGAGTTCAATTGTGGCAGCTACGATTCCTTGGATTCTTTTGGGTCACTTACTCCAATTCACATCATGTTTGAGCACAATCTACCTCTACCAAGGGTTTCGACATTGAAACGTGATGTCTGGGTTTCTCACTGGGCCTCTACAGCACAATTTGAAGAATACTATGAGCTTGTCAACGATGCTGCTCCTCTCAAAAGTGGATTCTCAAGAGCAGAATACATGAAAGATCAATACGCGCTGAAGCAAAACGGGTATTTGCAGGCACTCGAGATGGCTTTACCTCCAAGATCCGAAGATCACTACTTCACCGATTTGGTTGGCGCTGTGTCGACCTTCAAATTTTTGCAAGGTCACCTCTTCCTAAAGCCTAGATATCCAATCTTCGGCGGTTGGAAATACAATTTTACTATTGGCTGGACAAATGAGCTGTCGGACTTTTTGCGCTTCGATAAAACAAAAGATGATACGTATCTTCTTTCCTTACCCGTTTTGAACGGACCTGACGACACCTTTTATGACGAAGTTAACCTGTCCATATACCTGCCCGAAGGTGCGGAGGTGCTAGACGTTTGGTGCCCACTGCCAATCACGTCCACAGCGGTCACGACGGAAAACTCATTCTTCGATCTGAATAATGGCCACACAAAGGTTACGGTGGATTTAAAAAATTTGATTGACACTGTGTCTGACAGCGAGATTTTCGTAAGTTACAAGTTTTCGAAAATCTCGCTTTATAGAAAGCCTCTTTCGATTGCAACATCAATCTTTTTTGCCCTGATGGCCTACTTTTTTTTGAAGCAGACCACCTTCATGATAGAGCATTGAGTTTGAAGTCATCTCTAGGCTTAAACTGTGAAATAGTTGGTTTTACATTCATTTTGAAATAAATCACCGCCGTATTTTTTTAGCACTTACGAATCTTTACAAACCCCTCCATATACACTTCTCAACAACTTCGTATGAGCTATTGTTGTTCGCCTTCAGAAGACCTATTTGCTGAAATTCAGATACCGACTGTATGAACCAAACTAGTATCATTTTGTCGACGACATCATCAAGAGTATGATTTTTCATCAATTCATTCATTTTAGCCTGCTCTTCAGCGTTGAGTTCATTCTTTTCAGGGTCCATTGCGCTTCTAGCATAATTCACCAAACGTCCTTTGGGAAGTGTTTCCTTAAAAGCGCAGAAGAAATCATACAAGTTTATTAAGGAGCTTGCTTCCCTGTACAAACTGAAAAGATGGCAAAGAGGCAGGTCTATTCCTGCTTCAAGATCGTCTTGAAACGGATTTGCATCGCTTCCGCTTTTTACCGTGGGGGGTAAAATCCGTTCAGAATTGATCAAGTTGTCTTCTAAATTGGAACGCAAGTAAGGAAAAAGCGATTGTGAAAATAATTCCTTGCTGTTGTCAAGCGTAAAGAGCTCCTGAAAAATTATGTCGACTGGCTCAAATTTCAGGATGTCGTCGAACTCATGGCATTCCGGCCATTTTGCTAGAAATTGAGCCAATTTTCCAGTCAGCATATGGTAGTATAGGTCTATGAGGTTGTAATTGAAGACTCCTAGCTGATTTTCAAGCACATCAACCACAAGCTTTAGATGACCATTGATTGGATTGTCTCGAACAAGAAACTCTGTAAAAAATTCCTCCAGGCTCGAATCTTGATTCTCTAGTAAACTCATAATTTCTTTCGATGAAGCGTGATTTCGAACCATACCGTCAATGAAATTCATAAATGTTGGACACTTAACCAGCGGAGGAAGGTAATTTTCGTCTAGATTCGAGACATTTGTGGGGTCAATGAAGACAGAAAAAGGGTTCTGAAAAAAGTAGGACATTAAAGAGTAATCCAAAATCTTTGTGAGCAGTTGTAGATTATGAGTGGCATTGTTTGCCATTTTTTCGAGAATGAAACCTACGAACTCGGATGACAGGTTCAACTTTCCATCAACTGTATTCAAGAAACTCTGAAACGTCTGGTTCGCATACTTAAAGCCTTTATTGTGACTGAGGTCTATCACTGTGAAGTTTTTTTTCAGCAGTCGAACTGTGGATTGTCTGAGGTTCTTTTGGATATTAGACAAGTTAGTGTTGATATTGAGCACTAGACAGACCTCGACGGAATCATAATGAAGTGACGATTTGAGAAGATTTATGAAATCATCAAGAACCTGAGAATTGAAGGAGTCAACATCCTTGAAATTGAATATCAGCTTTAAGCCCTTCTTAAATAATTTTTTGAAGTTTTGTACCAATGACAGGTCATAAGACACGCCCAGATCAGCTGCTGCCTGGGTATCAAGCTCGTTATCATCATCTGCTACTTCGTCACACACTTCTTGTTTAGTAACAGTTGTACTTCCCGCTAGTGAAGATTCTGCAGAGCTGAGGAGCCTAAACATAGATCTTCTTAGCATCATCCTGACGTTTGGGGATTCTTTAGGTGTTAGATCTATAATGACGTTCACCTTTTGAGTATCCTCATCCATGATTTCGATATTGGCCGTGCTATCTGATCCCAGAAGAAAAAGGCAGTTGAAAGATGGTGTTTTACTGGACTTTGTCTCCTTCCCTAAAACATTCGATATTTCGCGCCGCAAATCAAGCTCTATTCTTTGCACTATGTCTTCAACTTGTGCATAAAACTGAGTGTGCAGTTGGTGGTAAAGAATCCATCTCTTATTCACCATATCGATGGATTCTTTGCCTGACAGAAGCTTTACAAATGGATCAACGCCTTTTTTGCAGGTCACTTTCCTCCTCTTCACCCGGGGTTTAATGATGTAGTGCGGCTTTTGAGCCTCAGCAAACTCGTTGAGGTTCAAAGTCGTCATTGTAAACTTGCAAGGACCATGTAGCCTTTTTGCTCAATGATCCTGAAGATCTTCAACATATGAACCTGTACTCAATACCTGAATCACTTTGTTTGATCTTCGAGGTTTAAATAAAGTCACGTGAAGGTAGAGTAGCTTTCGAACTCTAGCGGAAAACGGTTCTGCCTTCACCGACACCTCCACCATCCGAATCTGTTGAGTCTACCTCTCTTTCTGCATGGTATCCGGTGTGATAATCGATCTTTTCGCTTTAAAACATATATGTAATAATCTGAGCCCCTGCCGTTTGGTAATAACTTCTTTAATGTTGTTTCCGACGTCAAATATTTCAAATCTCTTGTTCCAGCCCGTCGCCGATAACTTAATTTTCTTAACGATACCCAAATATAAAACCTTGCTATGTACAACGATGTCTTCTGTGTTCAATCAGATCTAAATTATGCTTGTCATGATAGAGGTCACCAAAAACAGTGACACTTAAGTCTTTGGGCCGCTTCACATTGTCCAAACTTCTGAGGTGTGCGTCAATGGACTTGATTTCCGCCTCGTCGGCGACGCAACTTGTAACCTGCGACGTTTTCTTGCTAGTGCTTTCACCATACATTTTCAGACTCACCTTTCATTCTTGGAACGCGGACGGGTTCCCAATCTTGCTCCCCGAGTCCTTGTAATCTATAGTACTCTTCTTTTAGATCAAATTTCCGCTTGTTCCCTTTCAATTTTATCAGATCGTCTTCATTTACTTCCTGAATCTTACGATCCTTCTGTTCGTACCTTACAGCTGTGAATCCGGATAACCAGTATGAGCCAAGAACGATAATTGAGCAAAAGGGCAGACCGAAGTAGAGAAAGGGATTCTTTTTCAACCTAGCCTGATATTTCCCTGCAAGGGACGCTTCATAGGCTATCTGCTCCCTTCTAGACCTAAACTTCTTGCCGCTAAATGACATTTTACAGTGAGTCGCTTTACTGGGTGGAGCCAGATTCTGGTTAGCAACAGTTTCTTTGAGGAGCCAGGCCATCAACGTCAATTATTTTTTGGAAATTTGTGACGCATTAGTATGAAATGACAGTGTAGGGCCATGATATGCTATTGACGTTCCTGGGGAAATACTAGCCAGTATATGTTGTAAAAGCTTATCCTGAGCAAGGGTATGTACATCTGACGGACTCTCAACCAATAATTTGTTTCGTTTACTAGTGTATCGAAAAGAGAAAGGTTAGCTTCACTGGCGGATTTTGCCCATCGATCTCTTTGAAGCGAAGGTATTACAGCGAAAATTACGAAGTATTGACATGCAAAGCTCACCTTGAGAATGCTTTAATAGAAGTCTGAGAAAAAGGATGTACTTGAACGAATTTTGGACATAATCGTCTATTTGAGAAGCCGCTGAGTGCCGAGGTATCCAACAGTTTTCCCTTTTATCAAAGCTTCGTTGATTTGAGCGCCTATGACCTTATCCTGACATTCTACGTAGAAGTCGTTTTTCAACCAGTCTTCGCAATCGATAAACGGCCTATTCAAGCTTTCGTGCCATCTTCTTCCCCCAACGATGCTTTACAGAAAAGTCGCATCGCATATGCAAACAAGTGTATTCGCCTTCGTGCAGAAACAAGCCTGGAAGGAACACCATTGAGATGCTCCAGCAGCTCCGAATCTTTGGAATCTTAGCACTCACGGCTAAATTTGAGTGTTTTGATTGTCTGCTGACTTCATTGATGCATCATCGTTTTCTGATATCTCTTCTCTCGTATTTTTACTTCTGGGCCAAAGGCTGGGAAGCTTTATGAATTGAAACCGTGGCTCAACACATCGTTCGACGAACCATTTTTTTATTTGGTATTCTATCAGACTTCCTATTTTCGGAATGTTTTGCAGCTTAGATCGTGCACCTATCAGTGATTTGACATCGAACTCAAGGCGATATTCCGGAGAAAACGAAAACATCAGGAAGTAACCACTGCCATTGTCGGACCCGTAAGAAGCACCGTCCTGCGCGGTAGGAACGAATTCTTCGGCATTTGTCAGAGATACCGTTAAACAAGCTTGAAAACGCACTACTGAAACTGTGAGCTGTACAGGCAGAGCTGCTGCAAATGCCTTGGGATAGTTGATAAGTAGTTTCGTCTCAATACCGAGTGCCAAGCGATCACTCAGGTCAATATCCATCTTCGCCTCGAGTCTCTGTTTGTTCGAATTTGGAGAGTATTGTATGCGGCAGTTGGAGAAAATAGGAAAATCCTCTCCAATGTCAAGCTCCGTTATCTTGATTGAATCAAGGTACTGAGGCAGCTCGTCTGATTTCCGAGATACGAAATCGTTCAGAGAATGAACGATGTTGTCCTTTTGCAAAGCTTCCTCTCTGAATTGTTGTATGGTCTGAGCAATTAATACATTGAACCAATCCAAGGTTTCTGGTGAATGTGTATCTACATTATAATAAGTCTTCTCCAATATAGTATCGATTTGTGAGAAACTGCGGCTGTTGTCAGTGTCTTCCGAATTTTGAGTACCCTCATTCCCATGCCGACGAATAATGGAAGACAAAAAGTGTGTAGTGTTGACCGGCAGTAAATGCGGCTTCGCAAAATCCGTATCGGAGGTGGTACTGGGCTTGCCTCCCTTCGGCCCTCCTGATTTAAGCGGGCCTTCGCTGAACACAAAGAACTTGATGAAAAATATGAGTACCAATATGACGCTCACTTGCCCTATGACAAGTCCCTGTGTAAACGACCATGAGGAGAAGGACCCACTTCTTGAATCCATATATCCACTATTTAGCGACAGATGTAAGCCATCCGACATTGTGTGTTGCTGGGAGTCACTCACTGCATTCATCAACGACTTGGAAGCGCTGTCCACAATCTCTTGCTCGCGCTTTTGCAAATTGTCCAAGAAGAGACGCTGTAAGTGCAGAGGCAGAGTGTTGCTCAGATACTCGTCTAGTGAAATCAAAGACTCATTTGACCCTCCTACGATGTCCGACGACAAATTTTCAGTGTTCTGATTTGAATTATTTAGCGATGTAATAGGAAGATCGCTGTTCATTGCTCATTGACACTATGGTATACAGGCCGTTATGCGCACTACCGTCCGATGTTTGAGTCTACATAAACATTCATCTCAAAACTCATTCACCGAAAACCTATTCGAACCTCGCTGGTAGCATTTTATAGTCCTAGGTTCGAATCCTAACAGAAGTAAGTCATCAAAAATGAACCGTTTATCTATTTTTTTAGAAACGACGAAGCACAGTTCAATTGACCGTCTTCTCTGGAGTTAACTGATATATTATATCCAGAGGGATTCTGCGCTCGTTTGTTACCACTCCCTGGTCGCTCTACGATAATTTTGATATGCCACATCAGCCTTCCGCTCAGCTCAGCTACGTCGAGCAATTACTGAGGATGGTCAACCAAGAGAAGGATGATAAGACAGCACTTGTCAGCCTATACAGAACATTAGCAAATAGTGACGAGAAAACCTTTTCGGACGGCGTAATAGGTAGGCAAAACGGTTGGAATAGCATTTTCTCGGTAGCCAAAGAACTCATGGACGATGAGGAAGTGGTCACCGCGATGCATTTTTTCCTCGACAAGGGCTCAAAGATCTTGGCTGAGAAAAGCGATTCGGGCTCCCACATCAAGCACTTTTGCAATGCTGTCCATGAAAATCTCATTCTAGACACCGTGATCAGCCAACTCCTATGGCTCCAGTGCGATGTCGAACTCGAAGGCAGCGTTGTCAGAGCGGTGAGCCGATACCTCCAGTGCTTGTCACTGCTCAACGATGAAGACTCGAGCACTGCCAGTGCCATAATTTGCGACAGTTTTCTCACACTGAAGTCCGGGGGTCTGTTTACGATATTGACTACGATCTTGGAAAATCTCCCACAGTACGATCACGATGTCGGGGCAATTGCAAATGAATGTGTCATAACTCTCGCTAAATTGCATAGATCATTATTTTCTCAAAAGATGGAGAGACTACCTGCCAATTTGATGGGCAATATGGTGGAGCTGTTGGACAAACACTTCAAAGTAAGTGAGTGGGATAAAAGGAATGGAGGCTCGGAAAATGATGGCGGTAAACAGCTGAGCGAGCTTTCTTTAGTAAATGCTATTGATATCATTGCATTTTGCAGGGATAGCAATCTCTCATTCCGTAAGAAGTTTTCGGAACGACTTCTCTTCGAAGACGATGCGTTCCCTGTAGTGAAAGGCCTTTCATGGCTTTCTGATCAACTGGCGCGCTGCGTCCACCAATATTTTGCACAAAATGACCTCAGTGTCTTCATTATGCAGTGCTTTTTGAACAGGGATATTTTGATCTACGGTCTCGTCGAAAAATTGATGGAACTGTGGATTGAGTCAGACGCTCAGAGCTTTGATGATTTTGGCTCTGTTTTAGAGACTTTCGAAATCGCCTTTTTCCAACATGATAACTTCCTTGGCGTACCCGAGCCTGATATTGGCGCATGTTTGGTAAACATTCGTTCCTTGAATTATGCGGACCTTAGAAGTCTGCAGCTTAAACAGTTGCGAAGTAATCACTATAAAAAATGGGAAAAACAAATCTCGCATTTCGATTCCATGCTGTCAAACCAGGTCTTAGAGTTCGTTCGTCATCAGCGTCTTCTGCAACTCCAGAAGGGTGCTTGGGTATACAGCGATAATCCTTTAGACCGCAGCGTGAAGCAGCCGAAAGTATACTTCATTATTTTATCCGACAATCAAATGAATCTTCTCGCTAGAGAATATAGAATGAGAAGTGAACAAAACCCCACAGTCACCGGCAATGAAATTGTGGGCAGCACAGATGCGCAAATTTCAAAATCAAAAACTATCATTATACCTTTGAGGCGTGCGCACAAGTTTCAGCATTGGAGAGTTCAATCTGAGAGTAAAGTGCCTGAAAACTCGAAGCTTATCAACATTTTAAACAAGGCTGTCTACACCGAGATTCATCTGTTGGACAAAGACGCCAACATTTTGCTGAAATTCTTTCTGGACACTAAAGAAGCGTCCTACATATGGTTGGACGGACTCCAATTGATTGTGGCTTCAGCCCAGGGCAAACGGCCGTCTCTCTCCGAAGAGCTTAAGTCGCAAGTGGCAAGCCTCATAGATTTGAGAAAAAACGTCCAAATTATAGGCTTAGATGACAAAACAGACCTGACAGACGCTACTGAGGATTCTGACGCTGAAGAGCAGTACTACGACTTGGAAACTTTACAGAGGGTTACGGCAGATTTTCACTACGACTGATATATTAAAAAATAATGCTTTTTATTGACTTGCTGGGCACAAAATACCTAAAATTCACTCATTTGAGAGAGTATCTTACTTTCTAGCGTTCTTCTTTTTCTTTGCGTCCACCTTAGCTTTTTGCTTAGCGTAGGTTCTCTGCTGGTCAGTGCTGCGGTCTTTTTGAGTTTTCTTGTAGGAACGAGAACGATCTTCAGTGGCTTCTATTCTCTTTCTCTTTTTACTGTTGATCGTCTTTTTATTTTTTGACATTGTCTGCATGTATTTAGAGTTCTTCTTCTCAGCCTCCGACTGAAACCAGGTTCTTCTGGGTCTGGAAGAAATTTCTGCCTTATGCTTCAGCAGATTCTCACCTTTCCGGACTTGCATTTCTGCTCTCAAAATATCTTTCTCCTCTTTCTCTTCCTCCAAAATTTCGGCAATGACTTCTTCTTTATTGGATATCAAACCGTTGATCTCCTCAACCCGAGTCCAGTCGATCATTCTACCAACCACTGTATTTTGTGTGTTGTTTTCCTCGGCCGATTTGATGGCGCTTTTTACCACATTTCTATCCTGAGAAGATTCGCCCACAAAAGTAATCGAACGACCTTCCCTTCCTGCTCTGGCAGTACGACCAACTCTGTGTAGATAAATTTCGTAAGTCTTTGGCATATCGAAATTGATGACGAATTCGATCTTTGGAATATCTAAACCTCTGGAAGCCAAATCCGTACATATAAGCACTGGCACTTCCAATGTTTTGAAGCCATTAACGGCCCCGAGACGCTGTTCCTGGGAAAGAGAACCATGTAGCTCTGCAACTTTCATACCTAGAAGACCCAAAATGATTCTAAGCTTGTGAGCCATCTCTTTTCTGGCCACGAAAACGACGATTCTTTTTTGTCCAAAGTCGTCGAGCTTCTTTATCAGATGGAAGAGCAAAGCAGGTTTCAGATCCTCTCTTTTACGGATACGAACGAATTCTTGAGTAAGCTGAGAAGCAACCTGCTTAGGGGGATCTATCATGATCTTGACCGGTTTTTTTAGGGACAGAGATATCAGTTGGTTGATTTTGGCGTTCATCGTGGCCGAAAACAATAAAGTCTGACGCTTACTTGGGATCATCGACATGATCTCGGTTAATTCATCGTGAAAACCTTCTTCTAGCATACGATCTGCCTCATCGATGACTAGAATTTCCACGGACTCGACGTTGAAACTGGCAGAGTTTCTTATGTGATCGATAAGTCTACCTGGCGTGGCAATAACCACATCGGGACGAGACCTTAAATTTTGTTCCTGTTGTCTTAGATTCAAACCACCAACTGCCAGGCCGTATGTAATATTGCTGACGAACCGAGACAATTTGCGGCCTACGTCCGAGACCTGGATTGCCAATTCACGAGTTGGGGTCAAAACAATAACACGAGTTGATGTTACCTGCGCAGGCTTGTATAGCAAACGCTCGATAATTGGAATCATATAAGCAGCAGTCTTACCAGAACCAGTTACGGCACCAGCGATAATGTCTTTACCTAACAGAGCAATCGGGATGGTTGCACTCTGGATTGGGGAGGGTTTGACATAGTTCAAGGCACCGACACCCTTGAGTACAGGACGCGAGAGGGACAAAGAGTTGAAGTTTGTGTGTACGGTCTTTTTGGCCTCGGAGCTCTCCTCGTCCGGAGCGTAAAATTCAGCTTTGGCCTCTTCAGAATCGTCGGCCTCGCCGTCTGAGCCTTGCTCCGGAATATGGGCCTCACTTTCGGGTTCGCTCTCCTCACTTCCACTGCCGTTTTCCTCATCTTCCGAGTCAGCTTTGGTCTCCCCAGAAGCGCCCATTCCGAAACCGTCTAAGGCCAAGTCTTCATCCTCATCTTCGTCGCCTGCTTGGTTTTCCATAACACTCTCTTCTTCAATGGCGTCCTCATCCTCATTCTCGCTTTCTTGCTCGTCTTGGCTTTCTGCCTCATTTTCGCTGTTTTCAGTTCCTGCTATTTTGATCAGTCCTCCTTTCCGTCTGATAATCCCATCCAAATCGACGTCTCTGTTGGCTTCATCCGATTTCTTGTCTCCATCAAAAGCCCAACCATCAAATCCAGCTGTCACTTCTGAGCCTTCCAGATCGAACTTGAAGCCGGGATTCAAGTCTTCGTGCACATCTTCGTCGACTATCGTAGCTTCTTTGAGTTTTTTCTTGGTCTTATTGTTGCTGCTAGCTTTGGGAACCATCTTCTGCAGGCTTTCATCTTCTGAGTCATCTAGATCGGGAACTTCGTTCTCGCTGTCGCTGATAGTTGGAACAAAGTCGTCTAGGTCCCTAAACTTGTTTCGAGGCGCCATTTTATGCAAATAAAATGTTAATGTCGATGTCCAGCTTTGAGGCTCCTTCAAAACTTGTTCACACACCGGGTAGGTCTTGCTTCAATGTTTTAGTCGTGGATATTAAAAAATGTTAGAATAGCTCATCGCATCTCATCTCATTGTTTTCTAAAATTTTTCATTTAAAGAAATTAAAGGACTAGTATTTCAAAATAAGTTCTAAATGTCAAATTCAAGGGCCTCGCACATCAGACTATAAGATCAACACCATGGCCTGGTTAAGGAGATACCTGAGAATTCCACAAGAATTGCGACCATCAGAAGTCTTCAAGCAGGACTCGCTTTCACCGTTAAAAATAACGATTCAGATTATTCTTCTACAGCTATTCTATTACGCTACTGCGTACGTGTTGTTTTACGGATGGTCACGACTGGGCGGGTATGACGTGCCTGTCAGCCAGTGGCTATTCTCGTGGGAGTCAATTGATTTTTCTAACTCGCTGGGCCTGACACTGTCCTTGCTGTGGCTCCTGGATGCGCTTATATGCGTATTGTTCTTGACAGTGATTGTGGGTCGCAGTAAGTTGGCGTGGGACTTTGGCATTACCATTCACGCCGTCAACTTACTTATAGTGTGGGTCAAAACAGGAAGATGGCCCAGCCTGTCCTGGTTCACGGTCCAGTTGCTATCGTCGCTCATCTTGGTGTTTCTAGGAACGTGGTCCTCTAGGTGGCGAGAGCTCAGAGATACGTTTTTTGACGGGTTGGTAGACCCACATATGGCATCGAACGAAATCGTAGCCAAGCCCGAGTCTGACGGGCCTAGTCAGGGCGGCTTGGAAATGAAAGACTTAGAAGCTCAAAAATGATGGTCTCACGGGGTCCCCCGAAAGCCACGCCATTTTGATGTTCAGGAAATATCTGGCGCGGGTTTAGTAAGTAACGATCTTGCAACAGAATGGGACCTTGTTCTTCTTGGCTGCAAGGCTATCCAGTCATATTTTTGCATCATCATTTAGCATTTGTTATTATTACACCATTTAATTGTCAAAGTTTATAAAGAAAGGTCCGAAGCGCCTCACCAGAAGCCACGTTCGAAAAATTCCTAATCAGAAACGGTAGCAGGGACGCTAAATTAGAGCACTGGTCTCTCATGGGTGTCGTCACTGCTGCTTCTTATCAATTGCTGACTGCATTCAGAAATTGGCGACCAGCTCCGAGCTCTTTCATCGCCGTTGCTCCTTATGTCTCGCGTTGAGTGACAATTCTCTTAGTCGGCCCACTCAGTACTAAGATAGTCGCTAAAACAGCTATTATTTACCATTTGTTGCATCGATCAATTGATCCACCAATTCGAAAATTGATTTACCGCCTCCATTTTCATGTGTTTTGGCTGTTTTCAATGAGCCCTCCAGTCGCTGACGAATCTGAAAAGTCGCTACCACGGCCTCCAGTCTTGTGACAATATGGTCCAAGAAAGCGATCCGATCCATCTCTGTACATGATTGTGACACTGCCGCAGTGGTTTTCTGGTCGAAATCAGTGAAACAAGTAAGCTTCGCGAGGTCTTTCTCGATGAGTGAGCCATTCAACAAAGATGATAAGGTTTCAAGCTTGTTCGATGTACTCCGTAGCTTGAACAAAGTTTCGGTATCTATGATCCCTGCATCAGTCTCACTAGCAACAAGATTATGACGGGAAGCCAAGGCCAGAGGATATGCAATTGTAATATACTCAATAGATTCCAGCCCTTTCAGCTTCTTTTCCCCGAGCTCTTCAAAAACGCAACCCATACCGTCCAGTAAATGAATTTCCTTTTCTAAAATTTCTCCGATCAGAGACTCCCCGTATGCTTCTTTCAAGGAAAGATGGTCTTTAACCACCCGCTCATGCAGTGTCATAATCTTATGATACTCTGAACAGAAATCGCTGCTCATTGTTATCTGACCACCGTCTGCAACACCTGATACTCTCGATGCTTTATTAACAACTGGACCAAGATAATCCATACGTTGCGTCACAAAGTCTAATTCAGGTACAGGGCAGCCCCAGTGAATACCCATTCTGACTGACAAACCGAAATACATTTTTCGGTTCTCTGAATCACTAATTAGACATCCTCCTTGTATTGAGGTTATTTCCTCGGGCCATTCAGCTTCAAGTAATTTCAACTGTACGCTTAGACACCATACCAATGCGCTTATTGGTGTTGGGAATGCAACCATGAATGCATCTCCCTCTGTTTTGACTTCGTAGCCCCCAAAGATACGTAAATTACGGCGCATAACATCGTTATGAGTTTTGATGGCACTTCTCATTGCATTTGGAAAAAGCTCCCACAAAAATGTCGAATTTTTAATGTCAGTAAAGACCATCGCCAAATTTCCTGTGGGTGGTGCTATTTCTGGACTTAGCCTCCTTAGCGTCGAATCTTCAAATGTGCTTCGCCTAGATACCAAGTCACTCTTGTTGAGCATGAAATTGGTCTGGCTGGGGCTTGACTTATCCAAGGATAAACAAAGAATGGTCATGTTTTCCACACAGCCAAACGATATAGCGTAATCCTTGAGCATTTCTGCAGCACGCATTGGCTCTTCCTTGTTTTCCCTACAAATGTCACAGGCGGTTTGATAATCAACGTACTCCCACAGCTTGTTAGTGGCGATGACTAGCAAATCGTCAGTTGCGGCCAAATGCAGCTCCGAAATGTCAGGTGAGGCATGGATGTGAGGCAATAGGTCAAAAAAACCGACTGCTCTTGAAACATCTGAAACTCCATCCAGCTTCTGATTGTTCACATAACCACCTGAGATGCGAATACGCTCGTACTCTTCTCCCTTTGACGGAACATGAAGCTTGGTCAGGATTTTGAAATCACCATTGCTTTTCGACAGAATAGCCATTGTGTCCCCAATGTTCGCTGTGTATACGATTTTTCCTTTCAAATAGACGACTGTTGCAGATGAACCACTTAGCAAATCTGCCGAGGTGAGGCTGTTGTTTCCACCATCATTCTCGACAGAATTTAGCATGCCGTTTATCTCCTTATTCAATTGAAGGAAGCTAAAACGCAGAGCGTTCTTTATACCATCTGAGTTTTCCCCATACTTTTCAAGCTGCCGAATAAAGATCTTGTGAAAATTGTCCCTAATAATCTTCGACATGTTGTGGCCCGTGCTGACATTCTCCTTTTTACCATCGTAAAGACATATCAAACATTCATCTTCATTTCCTCGGAATCTCTCAAAAGTCACATCCCTAGCTGTTACAGAATCTTTCTGACCCAAAGTGTCGGCCACACCATACTTCATGCCATTCAAAGTAGAGCCTGTGGTCCTCAACCGAAGATTTACTCCTTCGTCCGGTACCTTCGAGGTCTTCAAAGTGACATCCATTAAGCCCAGAACTCTGAGCTCTTTCAAAACAGTCAAATCAGATAAATCTCTCTTACTTTCGAGGTCTAAGGCAGATTTGATCTCAAACCTCTTATTGCCTGAAAAATTGAGGTAGCGCAGTTCTTTATTGTTGCCCCAGTTCCAATCATAGTGATAATTAGAGATGTTATACTTCAGTTCGTTGGATCCGACATCTAAAACGTTGAGTTGAGTGAGCTTCGACAGCTCAGATGGCAGGGAAAGTAAGCTGTTGGAGTTTAACATCAACACTTTTAGGGACATCCATCTCAAAACTGTGTCACCCTGAAGAGAAACCAAATTGTTACCCGATAAATAGAGCTCGGTCAAGTTCTGCAGCATGAATGGTGAAAGATCGCTAAAATTATTGTAGGACAAATTCAAGGTTTTCAAGTTTTCGTACATGTTCAACAACGTCCAAAATTGATTTCCCAAATTGTTATCCGCCATGCTGAGAAACAATAAACTTTTAGAAAGCGCAGAGTCTCGCCTATTGAGAAGAATCTCCTGGATATTGATGGTATTTCCGAGCAAATTCGATGACACGTTGAAGTATGTCAATTCCATCTTTCCCAGCCCCTTCACAAGGTTGCTCAAGTTATTGGAATGAATATCTAACGTTTTGAGGGACTTGAGTTCGCAAATTTCCTCTGGAATGCTCTCTAACTTGTTTCTCGCAGCTGAAAAATACACGAGCTTTGTCAGTTTGCTGATCTCAGGAGGAATTTGGGTCAGGTTGTTCTCATTTACCTCGAGCTTTTCAAGTCTAGGGAGCTTGGACAGAAGTTCTGAAGGCAGACTAGCCAACTTGGCTTTGTTCAAGGACAAGGCAACCAGGTTGACGAGATATTCACCTTCATGCGCAATTGACGTGATGGGGTTTTCTTGAATTTCAAGTGTTTTTAGCCTTGATAGTTTGTCCTCAAACACGCTGATACGGTTATTGGATAAAGACAGGTTTTGCAGGTTTGGGTTGTTGAGTTTAAGGGTAGTCAAACGGTTATATTTCAAATTGAGAGTTCTCAGATTCACCAACTTAGACATCTCACTAACGTCTGTAAGCTTGTTTTGAGCAACATTCATTTTAGCCAGCTTAGTCAACTGATTGACCGAGCTTGGAATAGTCTGAATCTTGTTATATGATAAATCAATCTGCAGCAGGTTTGTACAACTCGTAATAACTTCAGGAAATTTGGCAAAGTTATTGGAGGAGATATCGAGCAGCCGAAGGTTCTTCAGCTCCGCAAAGCCCATAGGAAGTCTATCCAAAGCATTACACTGCAGATTTAGTATTGTGAGCTCTCCTAGGTTCGATATCGATGGCGGTATTCTCCTGATTAGGTTCCTTTCGAGATCTAGAGAAACCAACTTATGAGCTTCTGTGATATTAGGAGGGAATCTGGAGGCTCTGATGTTCATCATTCGCAAGCTCGATAGCTTAATTGCACTCTCAATGAAATCCAGGGGCAAAAATATATTAGCATTGTTTGAGCAGTCTAGACTTTCAATATTAGGCGTGTACTGATAGAATATGATCGGAGGTGTTGTTAAGTTCATACTTCTTAAGTCAACATGAACAAAATCACCCCTCGAGAGTCTCTGTTCTTGTTCATGAGTTAGATGGGAGGTCGCCACAGGGTGGAATATAAAATTGAAAACATAACTCAGGTCCTCGATCCCCATGATATATAGGGGATCGCTCTTCAAATAGCCATTTAAGAGCAGCAGCTTACGCTGTATTAGTATAGGCCGTGCAGTCGGAGAAAGTACTTTCAAGACCTTCGCCACTTTGAGAGAGACCTGAAAATTCCCTTGCCCCGCATTGAATTTTCGCTTCAGCTGTGGTATCATTTCCTGCACCGAAGTGTTCGGTGTGAGGGATAAGGTAGTAAAAGTGTCGTCAGTGTTGAAAATTCGGATAGCATATCGCCTTGTCGAGTCCATGTCGCTGAAATCATTATAGTATCTCTCCAGCTCGAATCCCGCCTTGTCAAACGCCTCATCTTTTTTCATTGCATTTGATTCCAAGGCTTGTAAAGAGTCGACCGAATCAATATTCATTCTCTCCTCATCCACAGCGTCGTCCTCGTAGTCGCTCGTCGAAAAAGTAGCTTCACTTAAATCCTGAGATTTACTAGCCGTGCTAACACTACTGGTAGAGGCTGCAGAGCTTCTGTTAAGGTCAGGAGATAAATTCAAAGCGGAATGGTCTCGATTCGTAGCCTCTGTTAGCGGATTTAACTTAAAGCCCTGATCTTTCTTTGCGTTAGCCACATCTATTGCCATCTTACCTGCCCTGTTACGGTCCATTTGTGATCCAGGAGGGCCCTTCGACCGAGTCTTGCTTTGACCGCGATATGTTCTGCGTCTTGATTTCGACACTAACGGCTTGCTGGTCTCTTCATCAATGTCCCAGCTTTCTGGCGCTATCCATTGCGCCTTTGAGTGTGGGGCTTCATGGACTGTATCCTTTTCAGTATCAATCAATGGTGCTTTCGTGATGTTTTTCGACTTAGCAGGCACCTTAGGGCTGATTCCGTTATTAGTTGACATTCCCTTTTCGTTCGCTGAATTTCCGATCGTGTTTGTTATATCAGACACGTTGTTAAGGTCGGTATCCAACAGGAAGTAACTCGCGCTTCTGGTAAGCTCGTTTCTCGATCCGCGTTCGGGACTTTCTGAAGAGTCTGATAGCTGATTACGCGACACAACTTTTGGATCCTCGGATGCGCTGTTTGAAATTGCAGACGTCGGAGGATTACTTCCCGAGGTGACATGCCGAATTTTCGGGGAGTTGTTTCCGCTTGGGGAGGTCATTCCGCTTGCAGCAGCACTAGCTGCAGATCCGCGTCTGCTATTAGCTCCTGAGGTAAGAAATGCTTTGCCAGCTTTGAAGAAAGCATCTGTGTTGCTGGATTCATTGTCGCCAGAATTGCTGTGTACATGCCACTCGGGTTGTCCGTTATTCCCGTGAATGAAAGTGCTCATTTTACGACGAATTCCTGGCTGCTGTGATGTTGGGTTGTTTGAGCCCGATTCCTGATCGGAAGGTTCGGACGTATTAGCTGAGGTTATCTTCATGCCTGTCAACTTTTTGAAAAGCGATCCAGCGCGGGATCCTTTACGCTGTTGTTGTGGTGGCCCCGACTGCCCCTGCGATGCTGAAAGAATCGAGCCGTTGCTACTAGTTCGACTCAGCCGTGGAATACGGGGCTTAATGGGATGTGAGAATGGCGGGATCGGGTCGTCTGGGGAGTGAAAAGATATCGGATTGTGGAAGCCCTTGTGCCCACCCTTTTTAGTGGCTTCCCTGGACCGTTCCAGAGCCCCATGTGCCTGCACACTTGAGCTAGGTGAACCGAACCCCCCCATGGAATACTGTTTCCTAAAGTGAGGCCTGCCTCTTGTCCCATGGCTCTCAGTTGCCGTGTTACTGAAGCTACCTGTAGCACTGGGATTTGGGCTTGAGCTTTCAGCTTTTTCTGGCGAGCTTTCGGGAACTATTCGCAGTTCCATGGCACTTGAGCGATCATAAGCTTGATCGGCCATATCGAGTCTCTAATACTTAGCTAAGGGTTCTGTATACCAGTTTAACCTTTCCCTCTTTTTCGTTGCTTAACGGACTACAAAAGACAATTTGAAAAACCCACCAGCAATCGGTCAATTTCAGTAGCATAAGATACGAAGAAGACAGGATGAGGCAAAATGCGGTGAAAGAAGAAGAACAAGAAGGACGAGAAGGAAGTCTATATCTTTTATAGAATTAGGTCTTTGAAGTCGCAATTAACAGGTTTCTCTCAAATGATGAATTGCCAAAACTAGCCGGTTTCGCGATGGAAATTGTATAAACAATTTTGCTGGTTTTTAGGCTCTTCGCTTGCAACGGTTCAGGATGTTGTGGTAGCTTGGTAATTCTGTACATCAGTCGCGAGGTCAAAATGTTGGGCAGCCTTGTGCCGACTAGATTTCTTCGTTTTTATTAAGGGAAGTCAAAAGAAATGTTGAAAAACCAATTACTGCCCTTATGTCGACTTTAATCGAACTGGTGGAAGTAGTATATTATACCTAGATGGGTGCTAATGATTAATCGGGCGCAAGATATTAGGTATTCTTATTTTTTAGGCGATGACAGGCAATCATTTAGCAATAAGCTTAAATTTGCAGCTACTCATCAAAAAAGCTCTTCGTTCATCGAAAGTTTTATTCCAGGGAATGAAAGTATCACGTAATGCCCTGAAATTGATATTGACATGTCGCTTGGCCAAGTCTATGATTTCGTTGATACGATTGCTTTACTTCCTATTTTCGGGGAAAATACCTCACGGCCATTCTTGTGAACATAAGCCTCCCCATTGTGGAGTGTATTTGAGTTGCATTCTCTTAGTAAATCTTTCTCAATGAATGCGCTGTAATTTAATACCAACCTGTCATGTCAAAATCTAGCAAAGCTCTGGACTGCATGACACAATAGCCGCCTCTCAGTAGTAACGGTTTGTATAAAATACCCACCCGGTCTAAAAAGACCTCAGTTGTAAGCACGGTACATAAAACCTTAGAAATTCGGGGACAATAATGCTGGAAGCCGTAGTTCATTGAGGGATGACAGAATTTTGCCCAATTTCTGGTTTAAGTTGACGCCTGTGATAACTAACTTTTTAATTCTTTGCCAAACCATTTCTAGACAGTCAAAAACCTTGCCTCTCGTCTCTGTGCTTCCCTGAAATGTATTCACGCAGCAAATTAGCGCTTAACCAAGTGACTGTGTCATATATTACAAGACCGACTTTGTCAGTCATATTCTCATCTTTCTCCACCAAAGACATCACTTGGTGAACCCACAATAGCCCATTAAAACTGCGAAATAAATTGATACGTGATACATGTACACTTTCGACCTCTTGCTTGACTTTAAGATGAAATTGATGGGATATTTCGATAATTGATTTCACGATCGTCCAAGATCAATAAACATTTTGAAGGTCAAGTGAGTACAATTTTCATTCAACTGACTTTATTGGCATCTGTGATGGCGTTTGAGAAAGTCTCAGGTGAACCTAAGCTCTCATCACCCACTTTAGACGTACTCACTGTCTCGTTTACTAAAGGCTTATTTATCTTGGGCATTAGTTTATTTCATGTCGCGCTCGTGACTGTCCTAACCGCAGCTTCTATAAGATAAAGGAAACTTGTATTTAACTACTTTCACTGTTACAAATCACATCAGTTCACAGACACACATCGCATTCAATCAAAATGAGTTCCCCATCTGATAAAAGCGCATCAAACTCGCAACAGGAGGGAGATAAACCAAAGCCTTGCTGCGTGTGCAAGCCTGAAAAAGAAGCTAGAGACACATGTTTGCTTTTCAACGGACAAGACTCTGGGAAGTGCGACGAACTGATTGGCAAGTACAAAAAATGCATGCAAAGCTACGGCTTTACCGTTTAGTCCGACCTCAAGTGACATCCTAATATTCCGCTGGAAAGAGAGCTAAAATTCAAGATGTGGTGCTAGCGTCTTATGCCTTGTAAATACCCGACCATTATAGGACTTTTTAAAGTTCGGCCAAAAAGCTTGTACATAGCTGCATATAGTCTACAAGCCTATTCCATTGTTTTTCACGCAGTGCGATACTCGAAATCTGATGCTGAGTATTTCTTGAAGGCCACTACTGCTTTATTTTCCTGAAAAAAAGATATAATTCAGTTTAGTCGACTTTTAGAGATCTTGCAAGAAAACTTTAGAAGCACAGAGATCAACAGAAGCGAGTCCTTTCGTGTATTATTTGACAATGACTGACGCCTCTGAAATTCCTAATTTTTTTGATGGTACTGTGGATCTAGGTATCATCGGAGGCACTGGTCTGTACCATTTGGAATGCCTCGAGGCCATCGCCGTTATTCCAGCGATGGTTACTCCTTGGGGTACCACCTCGTCGCCAATCACCATTTCCAAAGTGGTCGGAGACTCTCAGCAGCATTTCCATGTTGCTTTCATTTCGAGACACGGCCTTCACCATCAGTACTCGCCATCCACTGTTCCATTCAGAGCTAACATGGCGGCTTTGAAACATTTGAAGTGCAAAGCCGTCTTGTCGTTCAGTGCAGTTGGCTCGTTGCAACAGCACATCAAACCTCGCGATTTCGTCTTGCCACAGCAAATAATTGATAGAACTAAAGGAATTCGGGAATCCTCTTACTTCAACGGCGTTGGTCTTGTCGGCCATGTTGGCTTCGGAAAACCATTTTCCGAGTCTTTTGCGAAGTACATCAGCCAGTTCGGTAGCGTCTTGAAACACGCTGATCCAAAGGAATCATGCTCGCTTCACTTCGGAAAGGACACCACTGTCGTCTGTATGGAAGGGCCTCAGTTTTCTACGCGTGCCGAATCCAAGATGTACAGAATGCTTGGCGGTGACGTTATCAATATGAGCGTTTTGCCGGAAGCTAAGTTGGCCCGTGAATGCGAACTTCCTTACCAAATGGTTTGCATGTCCACTGACTACGACGCTTGGAGAGATGAGGCCGAGCCAGTCACCGTTGAAACTGTCATCGCCAACTTACACAACAACGGGGCCAACGCAAATGCCTTGGCATCGACTATCATCACCAATATGGCCAATGAATTGCCTGAATTCATGCTCACTGGTGACGGACTCCAGGGCTCGATCAAGATGAGCATCTCGACCAAACCTCACGCAATGTCCAAAGAGACCATAGCCAAGTTGGAATACTTGTTACCTGACTATTGGTAGTATAGACTTTATATTCATTTGTAGTTTAAGGAGATTTGTGAATATGCGATGCTGATTGGAGTCGTTTCTATAGAGTTTTCCTTGGACTTGGAGAGTCCCGCATATATGCATATTTACTGCTGGGAATAAAGCCATTACGATTTTTAGGGGTCATAAAGGCGTTAGAGGTCGTCTGAGGGGGAGTGAGACTTGCTCTCTTGAGAGAAGATGTATTAAGATCTCCGAATGCATTCACTTTTTTCACATGAGCGCTTCTGACACCTGTGAAAAGTAAAGATTCCTGTTGTCGCGACTTCAAAGGAGTCTGGAGCGATTTGAACAAATATACAGGTGACGGATTTCTCTTGGCCAGATTCACATTATCCAGCTGTAAAGGTATGCTTGATTGAGTTTCTGACCCGATATGGCTTTGTTTCGCCTGAGAAGCTTGCATCGGCAGTTTGCTCGATGTAGATGGCTCTGAGACGCCTAGTAGCTGTTTCTGACGGTTATTGAGGTGTAAATCGTCAATTTTGACATTTTGGGATTTAAGAACCAGCCGCCAGAGGGAGACAGTGACATTGAAGAAGATTATCAAGTGGAAAACGTGCGATATGTTTGCAATTGTGGCAGTGCGGGACCACAGTGAGTACTCCAAGTCCGCATGGGGGTACAAACGGTAAATAACCAGCTCCTGAGCCCATTTGATCAGTGTCCGTTGAATGTTGATCCCGTGCGCCGTATGATGCAGAAAAAGTGTTAGGAACTTGACTCCCAAGTTCCAAAGCAAAAGCGCTACCAAATTGGAAATTATTCGGCGAGTTTCAAGCTCTTTGTTTACGATACGACGCGAATATTGACTTAAAGCCTTATTTTCGAAGGCAAAAGCCACCGGACCGGACTCCACTGAGGTCGGTTCTTGCGTTCCTCTTTTTTCAGTCTTTGGAGCGCTATCGGAACCCAGCTCAAGCACCGAACCTCTAGTATCACGACTGGGTTTTTTGGTAACGTCAGAGAGCTGTTTGGTGCGATATAGGTACGGTGACTCCCGTCCGACTTTTTCTCGTAGGCTCTTAAACTTCTCCTGCGAGACGTTTTTTACAGGTGTCGCGAAAAGCTTTGGCTCTGCTCCTGAAGGGTCCATTTTTTTTTTGGTCTAAGCGGTAAAAACTATACCTATCGGTCAACGGGGCTATGAGGTAGACACAAAGCGGCTTGGCTAATAGTCCCAATGGGATGTGTTCACTGTCTTGATTGATCTTGTAGTCTATGGCATCGCCTAATAACATTAATTCGAGAGAAGCTTCAAAATTGAGAGCCGGGTAATCAACTAACCTACTCGTCATGGTTGGTACTGGTGAATAGACCCAGCGAGCAGTGATCCAACACTCTGGCAGGGAATAAAGTTGAAGAAATGAGGTAAATTTCAAATTATTCTATGTGTGATTCATTTGCATCGAGATTTTATAAAGTTTTTACCGGCTCTCAATATCATATAACAACCCCAGTTTTTATATGTACTATCGTATCGAATAAATCACCTTCGTAGAGGTTGGATACATGCTTCAGATATCAAAAATTCATTGAGAGATGAATTGGGATAATTGTCGAGCAGACAGCGAATGTCGCAGCGCATCTGCTGGTGTCATCACAAAATTAGAAAAATCAAGTGTTCTGAAAGTAAAATACAAAACGTTACGATGAATAAAGACCCGAGACCTATGTTGAAGTCTAAAAACCGGTAGAAAGATAATACAGCTTCCGTAAGTCGAACTAAATGACTCAACGAAGAAGCAGATTTTAAGAATGAATTGATAGAGAAGATGTTCAAGTGAAGTCTTTTTTGGCGAAGATGGTAGTATATTTTCGCCTCACAAATCAGAATACCTACGGTGAATCAATCTTTCACGCCTAACATTAGGGGATACGGATAACTCCTCATGGTACCAAATTTCGTGACAAATTGCGTCAAACCGAAAACTGCTCCTCAAAAAATCGCGTCCACCATTTTCTGTATTTGACGACTATCACCTGGGTTCATAGTTTGACAAGACTTGAGAGAGGGAAACGATTACTCATCGGCCTATCTGTCGAGTTGGCCAGCTCTTCATGCCGCACGATCCTGAGTCACCTAAATAGTATCACTTTATACTATCGTGTCGCGACAGAACATGGCAAATATACAAACCCTTGCGTTGGCATCAAAAACCTACTTTCCGCACCAGCACTTGCATGATTCGCATTCCTACATGCTCTCAGGACAACACCAGTGCTACTTTCCCGTCGTTTAACAGAACTGGATTAGTTAGCGATTTTCCCCATTGTGACACCGCGCACTGAACATACGCCAGGTCTATGTTATTGGGACTGTTCACCGACCTGCCCCTCCCCTGCCTCGTTGCTGGTGTCGAACCGCCATTTATGCTCTAAACGACCTAATAAGCCTACACGTAACACTACGTCCTTAATAATTTATGGACTTCTGACATATCTTGAAAAATTCGGTCACTAAGAAACCTTCAAAAATAAAAGAGCGACAGCTGAAAAACGTCGGACTGCCAGCAAATTCAAACTACAACTGTCTCTCAGAGTCATCATCCAAACATCATCGCCGCCTAGTCTCTTGCAAGAGTCGATTCTGACACCTAATCGACTTTTCGGCCCGGGTAAACTAATGGAGATATAATATCTTGTGATACGAAGATTAAGAAAGGTTTTTTAATTGAAAATCGTTAAAATAGCCTACCATCAACGTAGCAAACATACCATCTACACAGGTTGAGCTAGTCTCTAGGACATTTTCGTTAGGTGCTGAACCAGAACACATAAGGTTTAGGAATCCTTAAGACTTTAAGCCGGTGGGTTTCCGAAAACAATCACAAAGGCACGCTTTACAGCGCAGAAGCGAGCTCAGCAAGTGTGGAGAGAGAGTGAGAAATGGGGTTCATTTCCTCATTGTTGTGCTGTTCTTCGTCGTCGTCGTCATCTTCAGGATCGCCAAGCAAGCCGGCCGAAAAACGCGGTGCGCAGCAGCGACAGCTATCGCCACAGAAGTCGAGGATCCACTCGTCGCTGTCTAAATCGACCCGCCAGCTGCCAGCCAGCCAGGAGGGCTCGCGAGATCGTATACGCGTGTCCCAGCCCCCCAACGGCGCTGTACCCTCAGCACCGGGCTTGCCGGTCTCGGCAACCACGGCCACTGTAGTGACCACAAAGACAGCCGAGGGAACCGACTACAAGTCGCCCCTCGTGGTGAATAACGCCCATAAAAACGACGACGATCTCGACGAAGAAGAAACGCAACACAAGGAGGATAAACAGATGGTCTCGGTGTACAACGGCGAGACCGAGTCCAGCACAGGCACCGCTGACGAGCACAATGCACCAACTGCCAATCTGCCGCAGCTGCCGGCCCAGAATCAGGCTGCAGTAACAAACGAAGAAACTGCGATAATAGTCACAAATGAGGCCGACCAGGCTAGCAGTGCTGAAGACTCTGGAGGTGAACTGCAACCCTTGCCCTCTTACGAATATGACCCGGAACAGGATGGTCCGCAAGAAGTTGTCGATCTCACAATGCTTCAACCCGACCAAGCCCACGCAGCAGGCTATTCCACTTTATTGGCACCTCGCGCCTCAGAATTCGAGGGTAAAAAATGTTTGGTGCTTGACTTGGACGAAACGCTTGTACACTCTTCCTTCAAGTTCCTGCGTAGTGCGGACTTTGTGATTCCCGTGGAGATCGACAACCAGGTTCACAATGTTTACGTCATTAAAAGACCAGGGGTTGACGAGTTTTTGAAGCATGTTGGCCAATTATATGAAGTTGTCGTATTCACTGCGAGTGTCTCGCGCTATGGGGATCCTCTACTAGACGTACTGGACCAAAACCACTGCATACATCATCGTCTTTTCAGAGATTCCTGCTACAATTATGATGGTAACTACATCAAGAATCTGTCTCAGATCGGTAGACCTCTGAGCGATTTGATAATTCTCGACAACTCGCCAGCGTCTTACATTTTTCACCCGCAGCATGCAATTCCTATATCGTCCTGGTTTTCGGATGTACACGATAATGAATTGTTAGACATCATGCCTCTGCTAGAAGATTTGGCCGATGGAAATGTACCAGATGTCGGTAGAATTCTGGATGTCACTATATGAGATGCCATTCGCAGAATTTTACCTCTGTATGGTGAAAACTAAAAAAACTCGTCTAGACTACCGACAGCAATCGTGACGAAGCCAAAAAAAAAAGATGGAAAACGCTTGTGCGTTTCTCAAGTTTGATAGATCACATCTATAAGGAAGCTGGATCTCCCTTTTTGTATTTTCCCAATTTTTATTTTTTTACTACTTTTTAGACGCTCATTCACTCTCGGCACGATACATTAGTGCGACATCGAGATCGAAGATGTGTTGCCTTTTAATAGAGTTACGTTCATGTACTTCATTTGAACCTGAACTACTTGATCCTTTTTTTATCATATGCAAAGCTGTCTATTCTTGATGTTCTGATTCACCTTTCTGATCCTTATCGTCTCTGTACTGGTGTGCAACCCCGACTATTTGTTTTTTCCTTTCAGGCGTGAAAGTCATAGATTTGTTAGTTCTGCGTTCATTCCTGTCTTTTCTCTTGAGACTTTCGATTTCCACTTGCTTGATTTCCCCGGCTTTCTTTATAACCTTAGGGACATGTCTATGCCTACTAATTCTTCTTATCTCAGGCAAGTTTTTGAATCTGTCCTTCAGCTTCTCGTCATATTCTAGCTTATTCTTTTCGCGAGTAGATTTAACGGACAATCTTTCCCAGGCCTTGGCTCTCCATAGTCGTACATTACCATCATCCGAGCCACTGACGATGTAATTACTATCCATTGTGTATTTGACTTGGAAAACATGTTGCATTCTCTTTGTGTGGTAGATCTCTCTGGAGTGCCCGTGCTTCACCTGATATATCCTTATCGTCTTATCATAAGAACCGGTAACAACTTCGTCTCCTGTAGGCGAAAAGTCTACGTCCATCACTGCACTTACATGGTCCTTGAAAACATGTAGTGCACGAGATAAGTTCCTCATATCGTAGTAATAAGCATTGTGATCCTCGTTAGCAACAACGAAGTTGTATGCTTCCATTGGGTTCCAACAAATCGCGTTCGTTCTCATCTTCTGAACGAACTTCTGTGTTGGAGAGTTTGTCCTTAAGTCATACAGAACCACCGAGTTATCACTACCGGCACTCGCGAGTATATCTGTCTCATTTTGGTTGAATTTGACAGTGGAAATATTGTCGGCACCCCATGATAAGTTTGAGGTGGGTCTGGACCTGGTAGTATCCCACAGATTTATTTGAGCACCACCGGTGACAAAGTTGGGCTTGGATCTGTGGTGATCTAAACCCAAAAATGCATGATCTCCCTGATAAGCTTTTTTAATACCACTTCCGGAACCTATAACATCCTCGTCGTTTTTAATTGAAGAAAAGTCCTCTGTGTTGACCGACCATAATTTGACAGTTCTGTCATCACCGCACGAGAGCATATAATTTTCGTTTTGGTTGGGAGAGAATTGCTGAGGAGTCACACACAGGCCATGGATAAGACCATAATGGGCTCTAAACGAGCATACTTCCTCTCTCGTCGACATGTTCCAGTATTTAATGACACCATCTGCAGATGCTGTCGCCAGCTTATTCAGAACGTTATAGTTCTTGGCGATCGTGTAAACACCATCTCTGTGACCGTAACCCAGTTGGCCCACAAATGGTTTGGCAAACATCCTTTCCATCTTCGTAGCATTGAGGGCCTTAGTGTACTCACGAGCCCTCTCAAATGGATGCAATGCAGGATCCAAGTTACGAGGGAGCTGTGATTCCTGAGTACTTTTCACGGGCACATAATCGTCAGAGCTTCTGCTGATGGTTTTGATTTTCATGCTGAAAATATACACGCACCTTTCTACCTTAAAAGTGCCAGTCCCTTAGCTGTTCTTTCTCTGCTTTCTAAAGGCGATGAGCTCGATGAGCGCGATGAGCTGAAATTTTTTTATTAGAGAAAAAATATCGATTTGGCGACAGAATAAGACAAAGTGACAGATCTTAAGCGACATCCTCTGTAACACGAATGTTATCCAGTATGGGCCTCCCGATCCGGCTAATGACGTCGTGCGCCCATAGGACATCCAGATGTGAGTATTCGTCAATATACCAGCATTTGTAGAGAGAATGTGGTTCGAAATTGGCGAAATGATTAATGACACGTTCCCCGTCTACCAGTCGGTCTTGTTTAGGTACGAACAGGAGTATACGAGGGTATTCTTCTGCCGACTCTTTCGCTCTATTTGTATGGTACGGCAGGTTATGACAGTAAGGGTCGTCTTCGACTGGAAACCAGATCTTTTCTTCTGGAAAAATACAATCCCCATAGGTCTTGAAGCTCTGCCTCCGTAAATCTTGGCTTAACCACCACTCCATCAACTTCACAGAAATGTTGACCGGAGAGAATAAAAAGTGACGATCTCTAAGAGTTCTGTCCCATAGGGTATCGTTCCAATCAAAGAGGTAATTAAACATAACGTAAGACAGAAACGAAAACAGTTTTTGCCCCACCATGAGTGATCGCATCACCATCATTTGCGGCATGAATGACCGCTTACCGAAAATTATTGGCGAGTCAATGAACCTCGACATGAATCTCACAAAGAGCTTTTCTTGGAGCAGAGGGCCAGGGTATACTGCCGGTGCGAGAGCAACAAAATTCTCCACTTTATTAATGAGTTGGAAGTCTCCTTCAAATAGTCCTTCCCCATTTGCAAGACCCATGAAACCCTGGGTTGTGCCTTGCGAATGCGCCACAAGTGTTAGCTTTAATTTGTCTGTTTTTTCTAGCACCGAAGTAACGAGAGCTCGCAGGTCGTACTTCACCATTTCCCGCATGTCCCAGTTCCACTTCTCACCGCTCTTTACTGTCTTTTGGTTCCACTTGGGCTTGATGCCGCATCTATTGTTCCCTAGCCACACATCGAAACCCGACTCATGAAAGTAATAGGCGAGAGACTTCCGTCCCCCTGAGGCAAATGACCCTGAGCTCTGGAGCAGACCATGTAGGAGCAGCATCGGGTGCCTTTTGCTCGACACAATACCTCTATCTGCCTCAGTGAAATGCCATAGGTCTAAAACAAAACCGTCCTCTGTCTCTACCTCGAACTCTTCAATTAAAATGCCGTACTGTGAGTAGTAATGTTTCAGGTCTGGCACTAAGTTGGGATCCTCTGCACTCAGTATATCGCTGAAAGGATTATCTCCTTGTCTGCCGCGCTCGAAATCACCATCCCTTGTCGCTGCTGGTGCCGGTGCCGGTGCAGTTGACGTGGCCGTTGCAGGTCTTGTGTCTGGACTGGTGATGATATGGTCAAACTCGATATTGTTGAGTCGGTCAATTTCAATTGCCAGAGGAGTACCAGATCCCGCAGAAGAGTTTCTAGAACTCCTTCTAGGCTTGATATTGTGGTGAGAGCTCCTGGTGTCGCGAGGATCCTTTGATTTAAAACGCGCGGCGACCAAGTTATGCCATAGGGAACATAAGAATAGAACTGTCAAAAAACATGTTGTTATAACAGTAGATATTATCCCATAAGCAAAGGTAAGACTCATTGAAGATCTATTTTTTTACAGCCTTCAAAAGCTGAATATTTTGATTCTTCGAACAACAGCGATGAGTTATGATTATTTTTTTGGTACTGTGAACTATTCGAACTTCTCGAACACAACAAGTCGCTTAAACAGGCTATTTGAGGCCTTTTATCTGCCACTATTTAGAGCATGTTTGCCGCTGAATCTCGGGTGGCTATTCCAGATAGCTTTCAATTGGGCTGTAACTCTGTTTTAGAGTCTTCTGCCGTTCATTTCAGCAACAAGGTTCTTCTTCAAATTAGATTGAACGGCGAGCTTGACACATGTCTCGAGGTCAAATCAAAGGGACTTCCCACCAGCAGCTTGCAGACAGGTTCGTTAGGAGAGCATTTTTCAGAAGGTCAAAGTCAACAGGCAGAAGGCAGCGGCGAAACGTACGATGATGAGGATCTAGAGAACTTCACACCTGCCGAAGACTCACTGTCCAATTTTCAGATTTCAACGAGACTGGGGGACTCGAATGATATGAAACTACCAATTGTGTGCTCCCAAATCGCGGAACTGTATTACAAAGCTGTCTTTCCAGCAAATGCAGACCAACTCCGAGACGTGGCGCCCGTTCGAGATTTCGTAATCTCGCTGAGTGCCAAGTTCTTCAGAAAAAGCTCCTCTGACAACGAATTCCAAACGCTTCTTTTCATCTTACAAGCGATCAAGAATATGTACCTTTGAAGCTTTCATCGCGTCAAAGTGCTTTATCCACCTAATTACCCATTACACGTTCACTACTGAGGAAAAACTAGTCGTCTTTTAAAACGCTTATTTGCTATCGATAACAGCCAAATCCAAGACCTGCAGTACACCTTTGCCGTTACACAGTTCAACGATTACGCGGTACGCGACAGGGTCTATCACGGCCGTGCAGGACCATTCTGCGTCAGTTTCGGTTGCATCAGCAGATTTCATAAGAGCCGATAGTTTCTCAATCGCCTCTCCATTACCATTTTTTTCCATATTTACTTTAACTCTCATTCTTGCACGCGCGATAGGAATGATCTGGCTGGCAGTCAAGACTTTGATTGCCTCCAAGGCCTGTGTCTTGGCGGGTTTATTTATCACCACTCTGAACTTAAGCTCCATCAAAGCCTTGTGAATCATGGAAGGAGGGTATCTTTTCTTGGATTTCGGGTTGATGCACTTCGCACTGATAATTGTCAGCATTTCGTTGTTGATTTTATTCATCATGAGCTGTCTTTCCTTGTCGGACAGCGGCATTTCTCCTCGTGTGAGGATTTCTTTGATTATAGTATCCAGATCCGTGGATTCAAAAGAGGCCGTCAAATCGTCTTTTGACGCGACAAGACCTTTGGAAACATTGATGAAGACTTGATGGATTTGCAACACCTCGTCTAGATCCTTTTCGATACCCTTTCTAAAGTCGTGAACTTTATTTTGGTAGCACGCAACTTCGAATTTCTTCTTGCCTTTTTTCAATTTCACGATAGACACATTGGTAAGCTTAATCTGGCCCGAAGGTTGATTAATCATAGCAGACAGGTCGATGCTAACGGTTCAATATACTTGTTATTGGGAAGTGATGAGGAAGTAAAATCATACTTAAACTTTAGACCTTTTCAGTTTTTCGTATGAGGTTATGTATAATGCCAACAATGAGCAGGACGGCCTGAATTCACTTCAGACCTCATCAATAGTGTCGAATGGTGAGGAGCCTAGGGCCTAGTCAAGAAGTCTTTGTAACCCAAGTGTAAAAGTATAATATTGTCTGTATAAACATGAAAGAAACCCGAACTACAAAAAAAAAGTCGAACAATGTGCCGGACTGTCACCGGCAGTTTGAAGTGCTATTCTCGCGTGGTGCCAGTTTGTAAGAAAAAGTCCAATTGCTTAGCCCGTCAACCACCTTGTTTCGAACATTTCGAGCATCGCTTTGTAGTGCCCGAAAACTCCTAGCAGCACAAATATATGCCACAGTGTATGCGAGCAGCAGAAATAGTCAACCCACCAAAGTGATAGGAAAGAGTGCTTGTGATGGGCCGACGACTTGCATTTGTGGTGGTCATGCGGTTTAGAAGGAAAGTGAATGTGTCTATCTTTCGTTATGATGTTAAGGTCCGCCGATAGCTGTTCTTCAGACGGGATATTGTCGGGAACCTGAACGTCAGATCTCCAACGTTCGGGGACAAAGGTCCCATAAAATACCACGCCAATCAGGTACCAGCATAGAGACTTGCTAAGTACAGGCTTGATCAACGCTGCAGGGCTGAAGCCTTGGCTGAAAAAGTGGGAATGCACATGCGATATGATCCCAAAGCTTGCTAGCAAGAGATAAAAGGCAATCCGCAAGGGCCGGGATTCAGGTCTGTCGAATCTAGGTGACCAATTCATATAAAAGCCAAACACACCAAGCGTGGTGGTCACAGTTGCGTAGAACAATAAGGACCAGGTATAAGGCGATCCGGAGTTTCCAGAAAGCGTAACAAACTCGGTAGTCAAGATGGATGCTGTCACAAGCACGGTTATGCCCGTGTAATCGACGCAAGCACATCTGGACCTTGAGTTTAAGTGGCAAATACCATTGAAAGTATGCCATATGACGGAAAAGACAAAGCACTCCAAGCCAGCAAAGAGGAACACGAATGCTGCCCATTTAGCGGCTGTGGGGACGAGGTCCGATTGGTAGACCGAAGTTTTGGGAAATTCTTTAAAAAGAATGAACGCAAAGTAGATGGCACCGCAAAGATGTGTCCAGATGTTGACACTTTCGTTGTGCCAACCATACCAGTTGAAGATGGACAACAAAGACTTGAAATACGAATCGTAAAATCGGTATCCGTGAACAATGAACCTATTCTCCCTCCAGGGGAAAGGAAGCTCATAGTAATGCAGATGGCGCTTCATACCGCAGTCAAGAGCGTGTGCATAGTTGTGAAACTTGATGGACGTTGCTACCGATTTTGGGTCGTCAATGAGACCGTCGATTTTCTGATCCAACAGCTCCAAGTGTTGTAAAAGCTCCTCTGTCGATGGCGATGACGATATAGACCAGCTGATATTGCCTTCGTTGCCTTCCAGGTCGGATGCAGAGCTTATCGCAGGCGAAGTGACGGTTGATCTTAGCGGTATACTTTCACTGGAGGACGAGGACACCAGCGTGGCAGCCGACGAGTTAAAGACAGCGCCGGTCGTGCTGCAAGCGCTTGTGGAGCTTGGGAAATAGTTATCCCAGATCTCTTTGAAGCGTTTGACACTAGAAGCATGGTGTACTGTGGATGAGTCCACCATGGTGATGATATCAGAATCCGAGCCAAACGAGGTATCTTCCCTTCTTTCGGCCACTGTGGACGTCGTGGCAGTAGTGGCGGTGGTAGTGGCAGTAGTGGCAGCAGCAGATGCTTGAACACCATTTGCCGCGCCCGACCCAGAGCCGAACTCCTCGACTGTGCTCTTCAAAAACTTGTAGAGTTGAAGTATGGTGCCGGGTTCCTCGTCGAGCGGTGACGAAGCACCAATGAGTCCAACTGGAGGGTTTGTGGCATTTATGGAGGCACTGGACGTGGACGACTGAGACATCTTACGCATTGCGTAGTTGGGCACTACCGCGACTTGTGACTTGCTCCATTTTACCATTTGTTTGCCGCGGCTTTTTAGACGGTGCAAGCGCTGTGGACGGGACGAAGACGCACCATGGGCTGATTTCACGATTGCAGATGCGTGGTGGCTCGAATGGCCCGGAAGCAGTGCTTCAAGTCGTTCCAGCTTGGTATCCACCGAATTCAGAAACTTGTCTAATCTGTTCAGCGCCAGAGTACTGAGCTGTGCATCTTGTGCGGTAGAAGCCATGATGATGGCGAAAAAGCGAATGCCAAAGTCCCAGAGTTCAGACTACAACAAGGTCGCAGTCTCGGTTCGATCAATCAATCGCTAATACCTTGCCTTTTATTAGCTTGAATTATGGCTCGTACCTCTCTTTTCAGACCCGTAAACCCTCGAGGTTGCTTATAACGTATATCTGCCAAAAATCAGTGTGGTAAAAATTGTTGGTTGAATTCTGTTTGATGAAAAAAATGGATTAAACAGATACGACCAGAAGAAGCGGTGAAATAAATGCTGTAAATGTGAGATCAAAGTCTTGACTTTTTTAAGTTTCTTGAATATTTATCAAAATTCGATATTTCATTAGACAATGGACTGGAATTGAGTCTAAGAAAGAATTTAAGTGAGAGGAAAAGAAAGTTGAGAAAAAAACAATTCATTGGTGGATTGAAAAGGTGAGCCGGAGGGTTCGAACAGGAAAAAAGGGAGAGAAAGGTTATACGATGTGCTCACCAGCTGTACTAGAATGGGTCCAAAAACGTGTGGCTGGGGATCGAGATTCGGGAGAGCGTGGGTGGAGTATAGGAGGGAAGAGTGTGTGCGCACGCGATATTGAGATTTGGCAAGTTGGTTGGTCTGCGCAGTAGTCTGTGGTCCGTGCAGCATTCGATGGTCTGTGGAACAGTGGAAAAGCAGTGGATCAGTCAATATTTTTTGCTATAACAGATATTGCCACCTTTTACGTAAAAATGGGGAAAGAGTTTGTGTGAAGTGTCCTTAAAGGCGTTTGGATTCTGCACTAGAAAGAGTCTCTGATATTTATGATGCTGCTCATTTCCAGCTCGTGAAGAAGGGCGTGTGCAACCCAGTTGCTGGAACTGTGCATGTGTGTCAGTTTAGTATAAAGTGACACAAAGAGACGACGTCTTATTCTTTTAACAGAGAATGAGAGCACGGTGGTGTGTGTGTCTGTGTGCGGTAAGAGAGAAAACAAAGCTCAGTGTCTCTGGACGTCTCCGAAAATTGATTTTAGGCACCCAGCACGTCTCACAGCTTTCGGTGCTTTCTTAGAAACAATAATTTCGAAATTTTTAAACACGACAGTTTTCGTGTCTGTCATTTCGAATTCGACACACGAAGAGAACAGCTGCACCATTAATGAGCGGTAAACATAATTTCAAAGTATATATCTGCCCTTACATTCCCATCCCCCTCCGCCTCACACGCTCCTAATATTCCCATAAATGCTCATTTTATTCATTTTCGATTTTCTTGCCGAAAAATCCACATAACTTGCTCACGAAAAATAGCCCAATAAACTCCCGTCACTCACTCAAACCTGTCCAAACATCCAGCAACACCCAAATGAACTACAATCCTGACTTGTATCGATCAAAGACGTTGTTTAATGACACTCATCGCACAAACGTCACTACACACGATCACACAAGAATCTCAACAACATTAACTATATATATAATCTAATATACTTCCTTCACAGGTCGAAATCATCAAGTTTCGATTCGAACCAGGTTTGTCGGACAAAGGCAACGGATACTGGCGACACGGGGCCGTTTCAAAGCTCTTTGTGAACCTTATTGACAGGTTTACTACTGGCCGACAAAAATAAGTGTCAAGCCTCGGTGTTTTCGGGTTGAAGTCGCGGCTCCAGCACATCTGCATCTTATCATACTGCTCGAGATAAAACGTGGATATTTATTATAAGCATTTCAAGCCAGTTTCGACCTTAGAAATCCGCGATATGTCAACAACAGGCAACCAGCGGGACTTTTGGATAGCCCAGGATGATGTGGCGGTCCCTGGAAGTGCACACGGTGCGAACATGGACTCAGAACTTGCGTCGATTGTTTCGTCGCTGTCAGCACTCTCGAACATCTCAGCGCACCAGCAACATGGCCAACTGGGCAGTTTCCGTCGTGGTTCGTTCCACAGCAACCACAGCAGCGACATGGAGTCAGAATCGTTTTTTCGTGGTCAGCAATCGCCCACTATTAAGCGTACCACGCTTTCCGTGGGTGACGTTTCCCTTGGAGGCGGTCCTTCAGGGGTGAAAAGCCGACTTGCAAAGCTAGGAAACTACTCTGCAAGCTTGGCCGGTGGATCCTCGCTGCACCAGCAGCCAATGCAAGGTGGGTTTTTCGAACGGTTCGGTCGCAGTCTTGCTGAAGGCACGCGCGAAGTCGAAATGAATCTGGGGGCCTCATCGGGTAGATGCTCTCGCAGGGAAAGCTTCAATGCCATGGACTCTATCTCCCGGGCTGCAACCAATTCGACACTTGGAGCCGCTGTAATCAATCCTGAGGGAAGGAGGCCCTCCGAGTCCTCTGATGCTCTGGAGTCCCTGAGTGAAAATCTGAACATGCAACAGGAGGAGCCGAAGCTCGATCACAGAAGCATATGGAAGGTCGCTGAAGCCCCTGTCTTTAGACCTCAAGCTCTCGCAACAGCCCCAGGTGATGCTTCTTTTCAGCCCCCTTCCGTGGACATGTTTGGAAACCCAATCGGAAACCCATACGGAATTCCTCCTTATCCTAATTACTGGAAAATGCCAAATCCTATGATTGCGCCAATGGTTCCGTCCCCTAATGCTGATGGGACCGTGCCCAGCGCAAGTCCTAACAGCAACAAGGTCCCAGCAGCTGGAAACTTTGAAGCAGATTCTCGTAGTCAGTATCCTCCCTTTATGTTTGGAAATAACTACATGTTTTTCCCGCCAGTGGTAGGGCCTCCGTCGCCAGAGTCGTTTCGAGCCTCTCCAAATCCTGCGAAGTCATCAACGAAGCCTGAGCCTACCAAGCCTCAGGGTAATCCTTACTTGTACAACAACAGAAATCACAAACCTAATAACGGGAGTCCAGGTGCCCAGAGCTTTTCGCCTTCCCCAAACCCATCAGATTCTACCCCTCATGGGGGGCCTCGAGGAAAAGGCAAAAACAACATTATCCGGTCGCCTCTTTTGGAAGAGTTCAGAAACAGTTCTGCGGAGAAAAGCTACAAACTTCCGGACATATATGGCTCTGCCCTTGAATTCTGCAGGGATCAGCATGGTTCCAGGTTTATTCAGCAAGAACTTGTAAAAGCCACAGATACTGAGAAGGAAGTGATCTTCAATGAAATAAGGGAAAAGATTGTGACGCTGGCAGAGGATGTGTTCGGAAATTACGTTATTCAAAAGTATTTTGAGTACGGGCTCAAGAGCCAGAAAGACGTGCTTTTCGAAAAGTTCTCTGGGAAGATTCAAAAGCTATCATTGCAAATGTACGCATGTCGTGTCATTCAAAGAGCACTTGAATGCATAGAAGAAGAACAGAAAGTGGCATTGGTCAATGAGCTGTCGGGGTGTGTCTTACAAATGATCAAGGACCAGAACGGCAATCACGTCATTCAAAAAGCTGTCGAGCGCATTCCTATGGCCAGGTTGTCATTTATTTTGGGTAGCCTACAGGGACAAATTTATCATCTCTCCACGCATTCGTACGGGTGCCGAGTCGTTCAGAGACTGTTAGAATTTGGCTCGCCGGAAGATCAAAACACAATCTTGAACGATCTCGATTCTTTTATTCCCTTTTTGATTCAGGATCAATATGGCAACTACGTCATACAACACATATTACAGCATGGTTCCGACGATCTGGACACACACATTGGGAAAACGAAGCAGTCCATCGTGGACGCTGTTTCCAAAAATGTCGTGGAGTATTCTAAACATAAGTTTGCCTCCAATGTGGTGGAAAAAACGATGCTTTTCGGGTCCCCCGCGCAGAAAAAGCAGTTTCTGGACAAAGTACTTCCTAGAGACGCGGAGCATGCAACTCACTTGGAGGATAATGCGCCGTTGATCCTCATGATGCGCGACCAATACGCCAACTACGTAGTGCAGAAGCTGGTTGGCGTGGCACAGGGTACAGATAAGAAGCTCGCCGTAGTGGCCATTCGCTCGTATCTGGACAAGTTGAACAAGGCGAACGCTCTGGGCAACAGACATCTGGCGTCGGTTGAGAAATTGGCCTCGATCATCCAGAATGTGCACGTGTAAAAGTGTTGAATGGCCGTACACGTTCGAACCGTCCTTCTCACTTGGTAGCTGTCCCCTGGGTCGTTCGACCCAATGTGCCAAAAATTTTGTATATACTGTCTAATGTCTCCTGTCTATACCATTGAAGCATTCAAAAGATATTCTACTGATATGACTTAATCATATTGCAAAGGCTCATCGTGACTGAATTTAATATTTCCCGTTGCGTGTGTGTTCCTTGATTGCAACGATTATCATTTCTCTCTTCGGACCCTCCGCTACCTGGCGATGATCCTACTTTTCTATCTGACCTACCCAACCAATGCGTGGACGAATGTCCAGGCCATCACAAACCCGGCAAGCTCTCTAAACAACGGGTCCACCAAAATCTCTTGAATCGGGCTCTGGTAATATTTGGCAGGCTTAAACCGACAAAACCATCCCACGTACAGAGCCACCACTGTCAAATAGGAAGCTGCAAAAAATTGAAATCCACGCAAGCCCTCCAATTGTAGAATACCTGCTCCACATCCAAATCCAAGTGACGTGCCGTCTTGGATATACAGAAGTATTTTTTTGTTGAGCTGTATGCTTTCCTGTGCCCTAATGTTGGCAAAATGCTCCTGTGAACTCATAATTAAACAAAATTCTCGCTATTTTACCAGATATATCTCAGAAACCTGTCAAAAGTTTCGTTATTTCAACAAAAGAGCCAAACGTGAACCTAATGGGCCTAGGATTTTGGGATATTTACTAGAACTGAGTATTTTAGTTTAGTTATTGAAGATTAAATGTTCACTATGTTCAATCACATGAATTATATAAGCGATGAGCTGAATAGTGAAAAAAAAGTTTGGTCAACATCCAAACTCATCGAGTCAGCAAGACCTTTTGAGCCAAGTGCCAACTTGATCGAGCTTTATATTGTATTTGATAGAAGATGCCCACTCAACTTGAAGACTTGGTTTCTTTTCTACACTCTCCCCAGCCCGCTGTGAAACAAATCGCTCTTGATAATCTAGTGGGATTTAGCACTGGAGCGAACGCTGCTATCTTCAAATATGACAACTACAGGGCAATTCAGGACTTGAAAGAACTGGCACAAGAAAATTCGAGACTTTTGGTACAACAATCGGTGACAATCCTGGCAAATCTTTGCGATGACCCAACCATGAGAAGGCTCATCGCTGACGACCGTGACTTCCTCGAGTTCTTGGCGTGGAAGATCTGCGACCTGCAAAACTCGAGTGCCGACATTATGTGCATTCTGCTTACAAACTTGGCTAAGGAAGACTACATAACTCGGATTCTAACATTGGCCAAAAAAGACGCCGGCGACGCTGGTCTGGACAAGAGTGTTTTCAAAAGCGGCAAAGCCATGGATTGTCTCATGGACTGCTTCGTCAAGGGTCCTGACAGAACTCTGAACAAGTTTGCCAATTTCGATTATCTAGCATACTTCTTCGCCGACTTGTCCAGGTTTCGCATGGGCAGAGAATACTTTATCCAAGAACAAGAATACGACGGCATTGTGCCAGTATCAAAACTGCTGGTGTTCACGGAAAAGTACGACTCAAAAACTAGACGTGAGGGTGTCGCCTCCACGATCAAAAACTCGCTTTTCGATTCCGAAAAGCACGAAGAACTTCTACTCAATGAAAACATTAACCTGCTACCGTACATTCTTCTGCCAATAGCCAGTGCAAAAGACTCTGAAATCGATGATGAGGATATGTTTAAGTTGCCCGACGAGCTACAGCTTTTGCCCGAAGACAAAACGAGAGATCCCATTCCTGAAATCATTTGCGTTCATTTAGAAAGCATCCTGCTCCTGTGTACCACTAAAGTCGGCAGAGAATACCTCAGAGAAAAGTCAGTTTATCCTCTCGTTAGGGAACTTGAAAAAAATGTCGAAAACAATGACATTAGCGAGCTTTGCGACCGCGTTGTCAATATGTTGATGAGAGGGGAGATCGGGAACGACCAGATCGAAGAACTTCCCACAAGAAGCGCAGACGATGATCAAGAACAGCACATACAGGAAAATGAGGAAAGCGATGTTGACGATGATGACGATGATGACGACGACGCAATTGTCGAGGTCGCATAATAGATGAACTTACTATCATTAAAATATATGTATATATTTTGAATCAACTGGTAAAATTTGTGCACTATGTATCAGTTGGAGCCTCCGTTGACAGCTGCTGTCAGCTCCAGATATCCATCCTTGAGCTTCACTAATTTTTTGACCAAATGCTTCATTCTGTCTTTGTTAGAAGGATGCCTTGCTACTTTTTCCTTGAGCTCTTTGATGAGTTGTTTTAAATTCATTCTCCGTCCTGCTACGACATTGATGATATCTCCCTCGGTCAGCAGATCCGGATTTTCTGTGCTTTCTTCTTCAACCTTGACATTTTGAGAGAATGCTTCATTTTCTGCAACATTGGCACCGGTCGTTTTAGCATGAGGATTCCAAGCTCCCTCTGGGAAATTCTTAAGCACAGATTTATCTGCCTTAAGTATTACCTGGAAATTTTTAATACTTTTGACGTGTATGCGAGGCCCGGAAAGCGCGCCCCTGGGTGACTTCTTTCTTGGTGAGCTCTTCCTACTCGATTTTCCGTTCTCTTCGTCTTCTCCTTTCTCCTTGTCCTCTTCTGCATTTTCGGCCTCTGATTCGGATAAATATGGGTTGATCTTTGATTCATCGTCCGACTCATAAAGCGCGGCCATATCCGATTTTTGAAGGGCCTTCATGGTTCTCTCACCCTCGTCGTCGATTTTTTTCTCCCCAAAGAGATCTTCCTCCGCATCTTCTTCATCACGTAGACCCATTGCGTTAGCCTGTAGCATTTCCCTTTTGATTCTTAGCTCCGACTCTTTGTTTTCCTTTTCGTCGCCATCGATAATTGGCGCTTCTTCGTCATCTGCAAATTCTTCATCGAAGTCCAACTCTACTTCCGAGTTGTCACCTCTATCATCTTCGCCTCCTTGACGAGCGTCTACTGCTCGCAGCCTCCTTTGTGTTCTATCATATCTTGTAGTAGTCGTGCCGATATCGTCCAGATGTTTCATCAGCCAACGTGGAATACCTTTCCCATTTTTCTCCATACGCTTTTCAGCTTCATCAATAGTTAGCGTGGCGTATTTGTTTCGAGCAGTGAATTTGTACACCTTATCTGCTGGAATCATAGTGAAACTACCGTCGTTCTCTACACTTAGAAGAACGTAGGAATCTGAGTTTCCCGCTTCATAAGACCCTACCCAGGTGTTGAGACCGTCGAAATCTTCCAAAACCCACGGATAGAACTCTTCGAATCTGAGTCGTTTTGCATTTTCGTCAAGCAGCTTTAAAGAACGAGTCTTTCTTTTGACATTACCTCTTTTGAAACGGCCACCGCCGTCAGGAGCCACATCTGCAAAAGGATCTTCCTTGCCATCGGCCTCTATTGGTGTTTCTTTCCCGTCATATTTTACTCTACCCACCTTCGTTGGATCTTCTGCAGCTCCTGCCTCTTCTAACCTTGTAACAGGTGGAACGGAGGGCTTCTTTCCGCTAGCTTGTTCGTTTGAAGCTCCATTTACATCTTCAGGTGCTGCATGTTCTTGCCCCTCCGTTTTTACCGGTGTCTGAGCAGGCGTGTCTGCAGGTGTGCTCGTTGGCGATGCCGCACTTACTGGAGGAGCAGGTGTACCGACACCCCAGTCTGTAGCTGCAGGTGTAGTAGTGCCAGTTCCACTAGGTCCAGAGCTACCCGTGCTTCTTTCAGCTTCCGCTTTGCGTTTGTATTCTGCTATTTCCTTCTGTCTTTGAACGATCTCAGCTCTTGTTAGCTGAAACTGCAAATTTCTGGTATCTTTACGGTGCAATCTGACGGGAAGATGCAAATCCTTTGCTGGTTCTATCTTTTTCTTGCTTTGGAACTTGAGAATGTGGGTTCTAATATTTTCCAGGTGTTCGTGAGAGACTGCCCTTAGTGGAAATTCGTTGTATTGAGCTGGGTTGGCCTTTTCTTGCTTGATCCCAGGATGAGCACTCGAACTGCTCCCACCACCGCCGTTCAAAAGCTGATTTGTACGCTCGTCATAAGCGTCTGGGTCCTCCTTCTTCACGTACGGTTTGGGGGTCGCGTTTTTCCGAAGTCTGGATTTTAAGAAATCTCTTCTCAGCTGCTCTCTCTTGATGAAGGGAGAAGCGCTGTTTGAAGACTTGAGGGGATTCGACATCGTAGCAAATAAGTCCCAAAAAGACGGAAGGAAACCCGCTGCTGTGATCTCACTGTCAGCCCTGTTCTCTTAAGAAGTTGTCGTGTGGGAACGGCGTTGATATTTGGTTACACTTATTTTGATATTACTTGGACGTGTTCGTATATAGTGATATTATCAAATATTAAAAGTGCTAACTTCAAAGACTGGTCTCAATAAACTCAATCGGTATCAGTTCAGTAGCTTTGCACCATTGTCTTCGAGTTTAATTCAATTGGCATGGATTTCGTAGCGTGGCTTTTCATGTTCAGAAACATGTTTCCTTTCTGATTATCTTCCATTTTCGTACAAAGGTACTGGTCTCTCTGCCGGACTCAACGATTTCTGCTAGCGTGCTCCCAGAGACTAACAAAGCGCATTTCATTACTGCAATAATTTGTCCATGTTTACAGCACTGAGGGATTCGTTGTGTTTTTCATGGAGTTTTGATTAAAATCATCCCAAAAGTAAAATAATTACATTCCGTGTTGACAACTGGATATGCGAAAAAAGTTGAGCTACAACGTTGTGAAGAGATATCATCCCTCGTCTCGATCTTCAACTTGAGCGCGTTTAGAGATTTTATGTATTTATTTCGAAAAAATGTCCATTACTCTAAAATTTCCAGGTTATCAAATTCTGAGTATGCGCAGGCTATTTAATTCATATCAAAAACGAGAAAAAACTGCATCACTTATAGCATACTTCTGCATCACTGATTCATTCTCCACATAAACGGCAAGACGAATTTCGTGACTCGATTTATACTCGCTAAGGTTCTCGAATACTACATAGTCGAATTATCACCTCAGATGCGGTTCAGCATGGCGGCACTTTCGTGAATAATATAATCGCAAGTGCGAAATGTATTCGGTATTCATTCAAAATACAAAGAACTCGTTTAGTGGCAGCGCATAACTCATCTGGCCAGCTCAACGCTTGCTGTCATTTCGAATCACTTTTTCTTAAAGTGACACCGAAAATTTTATATTTCCCCTAAAGTGGTCGAGCAGAGACAGAAATCATCCACTCCATCGCAGTGAGTTTACACGCCAAACACGCCCTGGATATAGCCGGTAGAGCTTTGACTATCATGACTGGCGAAGCACAGACCGTAGTGGATCCACAGGAAGCCTTTGAGCTAATCACCAAGAATTTGCAGGAAGTTTTAAACCCGCAGATCATCAAAGATGTGCTCGAGGTTCAGAAGAGACCCTTGAAGCTTTACTGGGGAACAGCACCCACTGGGCGTCCACACTGTGGGTATTTTGTGCCTATGACCAAGCTGGCGCACTTTTTGAAAGCTGGTTGTGAGGTTTGCGTGCTTTTGGCAGATTTGCATGCATTTTTGGACAACATGAAGGCTCCTCTCGAAGTGGTGCAGCACAGAGCCAAGTACTACGAATTCATCATCAAGTCTTTACTTCGCAGTATCAATGTTCCAATCGAAAGACTGAAATTCGTTGTGGGCAGCTCGTACCAGCTCTCTACTGAATACGCCATGGATATTTTCAAATTGTCCAACTCGGTTTCTCAAAATGACGCCAAGAGAGCTGGCGCTGACGTTGTCAAACAGGTTTCCAACCCATTGTTGAGTGGCCTGATCTACCCTTTGATGCAAGCTTTGGACGAAGAACATTTGGACTGTGACGCTCAATTTGGCGGTGTGGATCAAAGAAAGATCTTTGTTTTGGCCGAGGAAAATTTGCCATCGCTGGGCTACAAGAAAAGAGCCCATTTGATGAACCCAATGGTTCCAGGTCTAGCCCAGGGTGGCAAAATGTCGGCATCTGATCCAAATTCTAAGATCGACATCCTAGAAGAGCCAAAACAGGTCAAGAAGAAAATCAACACTGCGTACTGTGCTCCTGGTGTTGTTGAAGATAATGGGCTTCTTTCTTTTGTTGAGTACGTTGTTGCCCCAATTCAAGAGCTGAAGTTTGGCTCCAACTACTTCAAATTTTACATTAACCGTCCTGATAAATTTGGCGGCCCCATCACTTACACATCGTTTGCTGACCTGGTTCAGGACTTTAAGGATGAAAAACTTGCCCCACCTGACTTGAAAACAGGTGTCAGCGACATCATTAATGAACTTTTGGCTCCAATCAGAGAAGATTTCGCCAAAGACCCAGAATTCCAAGACGCACAAGCCAAAGGCTACCCAGCTCCAGTTCAAAAAGAAGTCAAGAAGCAAAAGAAGCCAAAGAACAAGGGTTCTCGTTATCCAGGTCCTCAAAACACTGCTGAACCTGTCTCCGACGTTGCCGATAAGTTGCAAGAGACCAGCTTGGAAAAATAACTTGAATAGATGGGTGACAATCGTACCTTTTTCTTCCGCTTCTTTTCCATGGTAATAGATCGTATATATTGCAGAATCTTCTTATTCGTACAAGTAGGAAATGGTTTTTATGCTGAGGTCTATTACATACTCTCCCAGCCCCCAAGGTCGGAATTGTTGTCCGTCAATCTGTATACAAGATGCGGAATCATGTTGCCCAAGACAATGTCCTGGCTTAAATGCAAATACCTTTCTTCATCAAGAAAGACGGGGGCTCCATTGCGGTAGTCTTCGTCTGTCTCGCCGTGTTGGTTCAAGAATGGCGCTTGATAGAACGTTCCCCTATGGCCGTAAGCCAAATACACCGAATTGCTCACGACCAGCAGAAAGCAACCATATATTGCCTTTGACGGGCATTCGTAGAGACTGTGATTCGTGCACTCTCCGATCGAAAACATATGCAAGGACACTGCGTTTTGGATTCGAACACAAGCACCACAAAACAAGCAAATAGCGAGCTCCTCTTTTTTCGTTCTTGTCTCAATGTGATCATCACCCGTGAGAGCCAAAAGCTCTGAATAAGTGTCTGGTAAATTAATCAAAGAGTGTTTATCATAACAGCATAATGTGAGGCGTCTGCTGGCTCTATCGGACCCGTCCTTGCCATACTTTGCTATTTCAAAACCCACCATATCTCCTAGCACACCAGAGGTTTTCTCCACCAAGGACTTTAGCATATCTACGAATGAAGGCATACCGCAAAACCTCAATATAGAGTCCAAATTGGCGTAATCCTCGGCTTCACTCTCTTCAAATTTTACGACACCCTCTGTGAATAGTAAAGCAGCTAATCTTCTCATTCGTACAGTCATAGAGCTGCGAAGCAAAGATAGGGCGCGCTTTACTTCGGGTCCAGATTTCTTCAGTATTCCAAAATCAAAGCTTGTCGAATAATGCTTCAATAGTCTTTCGAAGCTTTCAACTTCACATGCATCGGATGAAACTGGTAGCATAGAATTTCCATAGCTTGGATATTTTTCCCCTGATGAGAAAGAGATTTTGCCAAAAAATCTAGCTACGGCCAGCACATCTTGGTTCAGCCACTTCTCAACATAAATTGAAATTTGCGACAACAGTCCTTTGCCGTAACAGGATGGTCGTTGCGGCGATCGCAAGGCAGCAGAGGACATGTCCTTGTCGTTATGAAGACCCTCGTTAAAGCCACCATGATTTAGCAGGTCAAGCGCGGCTAACGGCGAAGCTAGATCTGGGGGCTGTGAGTCTTTCTCATGAGCAAGAAAGCGTCTCATATCAGATAAGAGTCTTAATGAGATCAAATGTTGATTAGTCAAGAAGATGTTCTGCGCTTTTTCAGCTTTCGTAAGTCTCCAGCCGAGCCGAGACGCCACTTCTGCATTCTTTATTGTGTTGGCTTGAACACGACATATCGCCTCTGTCAGCGGCAGGTAGTTACTTTCTTCTCCACAGATTAGACGGTTGAGAATGATTGCCGACTTGTAGCAAGACCTTAAAAGTTTATCGCTAGCAGCTTTATTTGTCTCGGCGTGCTTTGGTAATGAATTGGCCTCTTGATAAACTCCTTGAGCAACGCGCGGTAAAAATGAATTCGTCAGAGACGAACATAATGGGCAAAACATCAAGGAAAAGCCCCATGCGCTTGGTACATTCTTAGTGATATGATTGTGGACAGTTCTTATAGATTTCATGTGACTCGCAAGGCAGCTCTCGTGAGATCCATGACCGCATGTGCGAATGACAGGACCCACGTCGATGCACTTATCAATTTCATTCATATCAATTCCGTTCAAACCAGTCATTGCCCTTACACTCCTTTCGGCGAATACTTGACCACACATATTCTTTTCCAAAAAACTGAAGTAAACAAAAGAATCATCTTCCTTGCCCATTTTGCAGAAAACACAGCTCTGCTCAGGAAGAGTCCACTCATCTTCAAGAGAGTCTTTGTAATAGACTGTTGATGGTTTGAGGTCAAGTGGAACCTGATTATTGGCGAGAAACTTCTGCTGTTGCTTGGCAATACGCTTCATGATTTTTAGTCTCTTGGCTTTTGCCAGTTGTTTTCTCTTTTCAAACTCTTCATCCTTTTTCTCATTGCATTCTATTGCTTCTTCCAAGAGGTCTAGATTGAGCGAAGAGTTCTGTTCGGACAAAATCACCTTTATATCGAAGTGGGGAGCTTTCCGGGATAAGCATCTAAAAATTTCTCGAATCTTTCCATGTTCATTGGCGAAGTCATCTTTTGATAGGAAAGAGTATAACACAGAACCAATGCTGTTATTATTCGGACGTTCTGACCCTGGGGAACTATAATCCTTCCAAAAAAAAGGAGAGAACCCCATGGAGTTGTTAACAACACTGATATGAATCAGATGTGCAACCTTCCCAAGCAGGCCCTCGTGATTTAAAGTTTTGATATGATCCAGCGTCTTTTTCAAGAAGTGCCCGAAAAGATCAGTCTCCGAAATTTGATACAGCCTGCTAAATTTAGTCGTCTTTAACTTCGACGCGCACTCCCTTGCGGGTATAAAAGTCTGAGAAAAGTCGCACTTCAAAGCCGTCGCAGCTCTATTTCGGATCAACTTTTCAGCCTCATACCTCTTACTGGAAGAGTAGCCTAAAAAGTAAGGGTCAACAGATGAAAAGTGTTCTTTTCTCAATGCGTAGATGCCAGCATCCATTGTTTTGGTAGGTGGCGTGTATGTCGCCATGTCATGCAAGTATAAGTCAAAAGCAGGGTGCTTTGTGACGTGTTCTGGTATAGTGTTGAGAAGTTCACTGTGTGTTGCGTTTTTGAAACACAAGGCGTGAATTAACTCCGCCTGCATTGTCTTCTCAAACCCCTCGATCGATGATTTCATAGCAGGGCTTCGAATTTCGCTGAATAGCTGAATCAAGAGCAAGAAGCACTGGTCCACCATACAAGCAGAAATTTCAATATCGGGATAATCTCCCGAGGGGGTGCCCTGAGTCCAATGCTTTAGACCCCACCTAGACAAAAATGTAACAAAAAAGTCATTCGGCTCAGCGGTGCTCATCGCTACTTGTAACATGTAGATGTCACTGAAGTATGTGAACTCCCTCATGCTGTACTTGGTGTACATTCTTGCCTGGTGTTGGATTGGTAGCCCATTTCTTACCCAGTAACCTGCATTTATCTGTGCTAAAAGAACCAAAGTTCTCAGCGCAGATTCACACATCCATACGATTTGTCTCTTTTCCCCAAAGATGTCTTCGACTTTCATGTAGTGATGAAACGAATAGCTTAAAGGGCTGTATCGGCCACACTGGCTCCATAGCGTGACGAACTTGAAAAAATAGGACATGGGACTGAAAAAGGTTTGGGGCGCGGCCCCTACTTCGAAGTCTATAACATAAGCATTGGTGTCGCATAGACTCTCTAAGGACATTTGAAGTCCAAACATGTTATCGGCATTCTTTCTGGTCAAGTGCGGTCGAGGAGTGAGATCCCCGGAGGTCCTCAGAAGCTCGAGTTCTTTGATCACCGAAGTCTCCAAAAAATGCTGTACAATTCTTGTTCGAGTTTCCGGATCTTGCAGGAGACAGATGTTTCTCGTAAAACCATCAACCATCACCAGAATGGAAGAAAAGTAGAAATAGTAAGAAGAAAACTCGAAATTCTCGAATTCTACGTGCTCTGAGGTTTCCCGATTCAGGGGAAGAACATTGTTGAAAGCTGCAAAACAATTGATCATGCATCGCAGGATGGTTTCGGACGACAACAGGAGCTCCGGTACATTGTTGGTAGACATCGCGAGATAGATATCTTTAAAGCATATGACACTGCGTTTATTCTTGATGGAATCTTTGGGCAGCTTGAATTCTCGATAAAGAGGGACGGGTGGGCACTCTGTTAGGTCATCGGGTGAAAATGACATGAGGGTGAACGCAACCTGAAGTATGCGTTCAATGAACCCCGATGAGATTATCATATTGGCAATCTGAGGTATCTGAAAAACAAGCTGAGACAATGTACTCATGAGCGACAGTTTATGGCCTGCAGAATCTGACGCGACGGTGTTATAAAGCAGATTGGGGTAGATGTCAATGTACTGGGCTGCGATACAGTTTCGTGAGTCATCGACTACCGTAAAAGCGCAGCTAACAATCTTTGACAGCCGCGACTTCCAAACATATGGTAGCAAACAAGCTCCTTGAACAAGGAGATTCTGAAACCTAGATCCTTCGAGAAGGCCATGTCTTGTGGCCAAGCCGCGGGAATACGTATCTCGCAAATGCTGGTCGTAACTGTGCATGATTCGTAGAATGCTGGGATCATGTTTTTCTTGTTTGGAGTGAGGAAATTGCCAAGGTTTGAACCAAGGAAAGGTCTCACGTTGCTCAAAAGGAACCACAAATCCACCGAGTAATGCTATTTTAGGGGTGAATGGGCTGAAGGTACCGGGTGTGTACCTGGTAGATTGAAGGCCCGACTTCCAAATGCCGCACAGCGCATTGCGTAAAGACAGTTTTAGCCGAAGCGATGGGCTGTTGAGACAAAGGCTGTAAATGACGTTGGTGAGTTCATCAATCAAGTATTCTTTGAAAACGTCTGATGTTGTTTTGATCTGCAAATGTATGTTTTCTGCCGCTAACGCCTCTCGGATGCTCTCCAACTTTTCGAAGTCCGTAGATTTGAGGAGAACTACGGAGGGTTCCCCGCGCTGCAGAACGTCTGTTATCATCAGTCCGTACTCAAGAGGCTTGTTCAGAACGAGGCTGATCTTCGTGGCCAGGTCTTTTACATGCAAGTTGCAATCGTTCCCGTTAAGTTGCAGGGTGAATTCAATCTCATCCACCTCTATGTTCCCATTGTCATGAACTAGAACAATTTCACTACGGTCTTCGGACTGCTCTTTCAGATAAATTGTTGTGTCGATGATGTAGTCCAGAACTTGCTCGAGCAGATTAATCAAATTAGCGTCTGAGTGGCTGGCGTAGTCCAGCGGGATTGACAAATTGTTGGCCATTTGACGGCACTTCAAAAGGGCATGATTATCCACCTGAGACGTGGTAATAACGCTGGTGTCACCACAGTGACAGACGCGTCCTTCAGGCCTTACAACGACCCGTGACGTGTACCGGTGGCCTGCATGCTGCTGTGGGTCGAAACACTCGCTGCATATCTCATACAGGGGGTTTCGAGTACAATTGAAACAATAGAACACAGTTTCGGTTGGCTTGCAGATCCTGCTGCAACTTGAACCGCGGTGTCCATTTGGGAAGTCATCGGTCAGGTAGTCGATGTTTTTGAAGAAAGCATCGCGCCAATTCAGCGGCAATTGCAAAGATACGAAAGCACCACTGTGCCAGTTTTGAGACTCAAACACGCCCCGTTTGCTCGGCCAATCCACTTCACTTATACCCTGCGTCACACACTGCTCCAGTGTTTGCCAGATGAGATAGCTCACTGCATCGTTATAACTTTCTTTGGCTAAGCGCGGCAAAGACAGCAGAAACTCTCGAACAGAACGCTCCTCCGAGGTCATACCATTAATCCTGAGGCGGTATCTAGTTGAGGATTCCAGAATCGGTCTTGAAAGCGTTCCCTTTAGCTCTATCCTCAAGCTACGCACGCGGGTTTGAGACTGGGATATCATCATTGTGGATTCTTTTGCCACCATATCTGTTGTTTAGGCCTGCTGGGAACGTTAAAAAGGATATATACGAGTGGAGGAATGGGTAGATGAGTGAGTAGATAAACAGGTAGCTGACGTTCATAACGGCATTGACAAGCTGCTGACAAAATGTATACAAGCGTTGAAAGAAGGACATTTGGTGAAAAAAAGAGCACACCGATCTCATCGCAGTTTATATCTAGTATTCAGCAGAAGTTGCGGCAAACGAGTCTTGAGTATTTTTGGAAAAGTGATTTTCTAAGGCATTGTGTACTTCGCGGGTTCGTGGCAAAGGTCATACTGGCAGAAAAAGAAGATACATTAATAAATCTCACTCCCAAAGCCTTTATTTTATCTAGTTTTTGGCGCGAAAGAATCGCGGTATTGGTCCGTACGGGTCGTGAAAAGTCTAAAATATTATTCACAACTGTTTTGTCAAGCAACGGAGATACTTTGGTCGCAAAACAAACAGACGATAAAAAACAAAAAACACCAGAAGCATGGCAGTCATTGAACATCAAATCTGCCCTGCCCCGCCCTCTATTGGGATCTCAGAGCTACCGACGGCGCTGTTTTACCTTGGTGAAATCCGTATATAACGATATCGTACGAGTGAAATTTAAGGAGCCTTGGCTCAACTTTATAGATATTTTATCACATCTTAGATCACAAACTGTTTCCAACTGGCAAGGTCAAGACGAACGCGTCGAGGACTTGCTACCGCTTTGGAATTTTTCATGGACAGCTAAAATGATCAGAGGCGAAAGTAGCAGGATGCAGGAGCATTTAAGGACTGTGTTGCAGTCGATACACGACGATCCATATTTCAAAGGCGCCAAAGGCCCAAAAGATCGAGCAGATATGGACAAAACTCTCAAAAGCTTTGTTTTTAGATACCTTTACTTTGTCTTTTCAGGCCATGGGCGGCTGCTACCTGTTCTATTCCCCAGTGCGCCTCCCGAAAAATTCCCAAGAGGCCTGGACGAGGCGTTAAGCCTGGACTTGGCTCAACAACGGAGAAACGACCCCTTTTACGCGGTGGAGGAACCCACTGCCAGCCTACAACATCGACATGCGGGTCGCAACTGTGGCCGCAAATTCCAGCCCGGAGAGCCCATATATCGCTGTAAAGAGTGCAGCTTCGACGACACATGTGTGCTCTGCATCCATTGTTTCAATCCCGAGGACCATCAAGGCCACCACGTCTATACCAGCATATGCTCTCCGCTCAACTCGGGGATTTGCGATTGTGGGGATTCCGAAGCTTGGAACAGACCTTTACATTGCCGAGCGGAACTGGCCGGTAGTGACGTAGACGAAGTGGACGAATTTGATCGCAGCGAGGGATTTGAGTCAGTAGAAATGCAGCAGTTGTTCGAAAATGCGCTTGCAGAAATACTTGATCATTTTCTTGACGTTTTCAACCAGAATATTGAGCCGCTACCGATTATCCAGAGAGAGATCACCGTGAACCTTAGGGAGATGGAGCTGCATAATAGAGTTAGAGACAAGTGGGAGCTTCTCCGAGATCTCGAATATAAAAATGACTATACCCTAAAGTGTGGACGCGACATTCTGAGTGATTACGATCAGCAAGACAGTGGCGAAGAGATCAATGAAGATGAACTTGATCAACCTGAATATGCAGTCATGGTCTACAACGATGAGTATCACAACTATTCCCAAGCAATCGCAGCATTGAAACAAGGTGCACCTGACGACAAGCACACTGACAAACTGACTGCCTGTATTGATGGAGAAGGCCGGGCAATGCTAAAATGCTCTAAAGACATCTCAACTGTCTTGAGTGGTTTCTTTGCAATTCGTACGAACGGGTTAAGCGCCACGCTCACTTCGTGGACAGAATACATTCATCAAGAGGCCTGTAAGTACATGATAGCATGGATTGGGCACTGCTTGACTATTCCCAACCCGGAATTTCAACAAACATTTAGAGAGGCTTTAGGAACCGTCTTGTGTTCCGAGACAACGACTTTTGCTGAGAAGCTGGATGTTAGCGAGATAGTTGACGAACATTTTCCTGAAAAGCTCGGTGCCGATCCAACTTTCAGGTATGCTGACCTTTCGGTTTTAGACCGAGACAACGAAATACCAATCAGTCATCATAAAGAGCTTGTGCCTGGTGAAGAAGTCTACATATCATTGACGCTGAATGAAACGCAAACGCCTGCTAATAAAAATTATGCAAATTCCAGGTTACAACATTTCCTGTTTTTCGATAACAGGTACTGGAAGAAGTTGCGAAAAGATATACAAGACGTCATAATCCCCACCATGTCGTCTAGTTTGAAGTTCAAGCCTATCTTTTGTACTCAATTAGTTCAGATCTTCAACCACATGACAAGATCGGTCGCGTTCATGGACCGGGAACCTCAATTGAGCGCACTCAGAGAGTGCATCGTACAGTTGTTTACCTGTCCTACAAACGCAAAAAATATTTTCGAAGACGGCAGTTTTTGTGATATAATGTGGTCCGTTATCGATATCTTTACTGAGTTCTCGAAGAAAGATGCAGGCCTTTTGGTTTGGCAAAAAGTGCAGAAAACCAATCCCACAAAAAGTTATAGGTTCTCCTTCAAACAAGCTTTCTATGCCGTGGAAACCGTCCTTAGCAAAATTGACGATCCTAATCTTTTTTTGCGACCTCCAGAATTTGTCGCGCTGGTCACTTTATGCAAGTTGTTCAACGGTGCCTGGAAGATTAAGCGAAAAGAAGGTGAGCATGTTCTCAGAGAAGATCAAAATTTCATTCCATATGTGGAGTACACTACCTCTATTTTCAGCATTGTTCAAACGCTGGATAAGACTCTGGATAATAAGCGAGATGACATTGATGAAGATTTACTTCGTAACGCTATCAAGTTGTTGAGTACATTTTTAGGCCATCGAACTTTTCACTATAAAGCTGTTCACGAGACCCACGAAATCATCAAGTTCAAAGTCAGTAAGCAACGAGTGGCCTTCATGAACCCTGTTCACACTTTACTGTCATTTTTGATGGAAAAGGTACCTCTCAAAGATGCATTCGAAGCCGTTTCTAATTGCAATGACTTTCTCGCCATATCAGACATTTCTTTGAGATCCATTGTGCTCTGCTCTCAGATAGATGTAGGGTTTTGGGTGCGAAACGGAGTGTCAGTTCTTCGCCAATCATCATATTACAAACGCACTCCTGACATGGCATCGTATCTGTGCGATATTCATCTCTGCCAGCTAACTTTTCTCGAGGAAAAGAACGACTTGGTGAGACTGGTGTATAACGTCCTTGAGAGATGGGAGTTGTTAAGCTGGTTAGATGGAGACGAGGAGTTTAGGCATACGGTTTATGAAGATAAAGTCGTATTCATCCTTCAACAATTTGTTGCCTTCATTTATCAGGTGCTCGCAGAAAGACAGTCCTTTAGACACTTTCAAAGCTCTCAAGATAAAGAGCATCACCAAATAAAGAAGGCGATCATGTATGGTCTTTTCATGGAACCTCTTTCGTATTCTGATCTGTTTGCTGGGATGCCGGAGTATTTAACAGAGCGTTCTAACTTATTTGATAAGGCACTGGAGGAAGTTTCGCTGTACGTCGGGCCTAAAGGTCTTGAAGACAATGGCGTTTTCAAATTGAAACCAGAACTGTACAAAAAAATTGATCCCATGCAGCTTCTTAATATGGGAAATGATTTTGAGCACAGCGCATCCGTTATTGCATCCCATTTAGCTGGGCCGGGCGGTGATGTCAAAAAGAATATCTTGGAACCACAATTGACACACCCAAAATATATGGATGAGAACGCAAAGCTATTAGGGGCCTTTACGCGCACTAATTTATTCGCGAAATTAATTTTCAATCTTCTTCAGGTTTGCCTCGACCTTGACGAAGGGACTTTCTTGTACGGACTTCTGCACTTAATTCATGGGATATTCAAGGACGATGAATTAGTCAATGGCAAAAACTCTATTCCAGAGGCTTATTTGTCCAAACCGGTTTGCAACTTGTTTCTGACCATTGTAGAATGCAAGTCCGGCGTTTTCTCAGAAAGCGTCATTGCCAAAGCAGACTATCTGCTCGAAATGATGATCTGGAAGAAGCATGAGGTTGTGTTTGATTCCTTGGTGTCTTGCTTTGGTGAAGGTGCTGTCGATAAGTATAAAGCCAAGAAACTACACCAAGGTATCAATTTTGAAGAAAGTGAAAAAGATAAGAAGAAGAGACTGGCAAAGGCCCGTCAAGAGAAAATCCTCTCTAAATTCTCCAAGCAACATTCGAGGTTTATGAAGGGGAATGATATGAAACTTAGGGGTACTGAAGAGGACATTGATATGACAGATGATATGAAGGACTCAAGCGAAGAACACACATGTGCTCTATGTCAGGATGTGGCACCGACAGATTCATTCGTCATCCCAGTTTATCATGAGAACTCCCCAATTTTCAGAGGAGGTAGAATTCATGACATAAACGAAATTGCTGCTCCATGGGGAAGTTTTGGCAACAATGACGAACAACCCACAATTTATGACGAGGACACGTTGAATTGTTACAAGGAAGACGGCTCTAGGGGATCGAGGAAGGTCTTTGTTTCTTGCAATCACTATATTCATTACAAGTGCTTTAAGCGCTACGCCCAGAAAAAAAGATTCTCAACCAACTCATTTATATGCCCTCTGTGTCAGACATTCTCGAACTGTGTTGTACCTGTTTCCGGCAAGCTACAGAATGTGAGTGACGTCTCAATCGGAAGTCTGCTGGAATCTAATGTTTTCAAGCCAGCCATAAGCTACTTGCACGAAACCAATCCGAATGAGGACTTCAGCGGTATTTTTAACATGTTTGTTGAAATCAACAAAAAAAACTTGTATTACGATCGTCACTGGGCAACTACTCCGAAATTTCAGCGACCTGATGTCGCTCACATTATGATTGTTCACTGGGCAAACACTGTCTCGGTGCTAGAAGTATCTACACGGGCGTGTGCGGGAACTAACGATAAACTGCTCCAAGGAAAAGAACAAAAATTTAGGACCCTGCAGAATATTCTCTCGTCTATCGCATGGCTTCATAAGGTTTTAGGACCTCCATCTGCGGATCATATCCCATATGTTAACAGTGACGGCATAATCTGGAATCAAAACCAGCTCTTTCAATACATTGCCCGCAACGCACTGTTGCGCCCAGTTCCGATCTCTGACACGATAAGCAAAGCACTGTCGTTGTTTTCCAGACAGCTGATTGTTGACTTTGTGAAGGGTCTGTCGCCCTCAATGATCTCTAAGATGTATGATCAGGGTAAAGATGCCGGTTGTCTGTACGAGTGCACGCCGACTATGATGCATTGTATGCGTAGGATATGCGATATCGGTATCTCGGATGAAGAAGTGTGTCGCAAGCTATACGATTTGACCTACACAACCATGATAAAACATCTAATGCCGACATTAAGAAGGTGTCTGGTTTTGCTCAAGGTTTTCAAGGACACTCTCGACCCTAGTGGCGATTCGAGTTTAATAATCAAAGAGCTGAATTTTGAGTCTCCTTCAGAAAGCTTTGGAAGCACAGAAATGTATGTTCAGATCTTGGTCAGCAAATTAACCGTCTGTGAAAACCTAGAGCGTTTGCTACAACATTCGTGTGGCACAAACATGGATGATCCCTACTTGTCGAAAATTCCTTACGAATACACTGGAATTGTGAAATTGGTTGACCTTGCTCCCCACCTCAATACCTACCTGACGAACTCGCAAGTGGTGAAGCTGCGAGAGGAGCACCCGGCGCACATGAAAAATGCCGGAAATAGGTTAGATTTCAAGATATGCTTGACATGTGGAGTGAAGGTTCATGCAAGAAAAGATCATACGGAGCTGGTTAAGCATTTGGCTAATCATTGCTTCAAGCCCTTTGGTCTCTTCCTTATCCCGAACCTAAACGAAGTGTGTCTGATAGTCACTAATCCAAGGTGCTCGATATCCATTTCTGCGCCTTACTTGAACTCGCATGGTGAGGGAGGCCGCAATGCTATTCAGCGAGGTGACTTGACGTTGCTGAGTCTACAGCGGTACGAGCATCTCACCAATGTGTGGCTCAACAATGAGATTCCCGGTCTCGTTAGTAGAGTGATGGGTGACGAATTCCGTGTTCTGATCATTTCGAATGGAGTGGTACTCAATTTCAACAGAAACGTACTTCGTCCTCGTCGGGCGAACGCAGACGAGCTGGATGGAGATAGCAGCAGCAGCGAGGCAGAGGACGACGACACGGAGGGGGTTGGCGCTCGTTGGGAGATCCGACCGGAGGAGTTTTTCGAGGAAGCCGGTATACGATTAGAGGGGGCCGATCCAACACCGGGTGGAGACATTCGAGATTTCTTCCAGATTATCAACAATTTAAGAACGGACGCAGGTGCATTCGACGACGGTGCGCCGTTGGAGGAAAACGAGACTGGACTAGGTAACGTATTTGTGCCACGCTTTGATTTCATTCCCAATTTCAGAAACATAAACGCAGCTCCCGACGAAACACCAGATAATGATGAAGATGAGAACGACGAAGATGGCTAGCGGGTGCCAGCACCAATGATCCCCACAGTCAAACTGTGTGGTAGCGTCAAGCCAAGAGTTTGTCGCAACTTTACGAAAATTCACATTTTTTAACTGCAAGAAAGCGGAGGATTCTAATAAAAATTGAACGATACTGAAAACAGCCATACTCAAAAGCTTTGTATGGCATCTGGCTACCGACCTAAACAGACTACCAATCTTAGCTCGTCTTTGGCTAAGGTATCGTTTGTACATACTAGAAGATCATCTAATACGACCCAATGGTGTCTTTAGATTTAATCAAGAATTTTTTCGGTTTAGGACCCACTTAGCTATGTCAACTTTGAACATTATCATAGAATAATTGGTCAATTGGTGTAAAGATCACTTGAGCGAACTTGTCAAGCCAATCCAGTGTTTAAAGTTGATATAAAAGCATTGTCATGGTATGTGTACACCAGAAATCGATGGGACTTTTTGCAATGTTCAGAAAACTTCTGAAATTTTGGGAATCTTAGCACAAGCGAGCTCTGCTCGAAACACGAACATAAGTTATTTCCAGTTCAAAAGAGAGATCAACCGAGTTTATGTAATGATTTTGCAATGGAAATACTCCCCGTTAGTCATTTTGGGTCTCTGAACTTGCCCTCCTCGCGCAACCCTACTAACAGTCATTTTTAGGCCTTCTCCACAATTTACAACGTTTTCTTCAAGAGAAACTCTGTCTTTGTCGGCACCGTGTTTGCCGCATCGTTCGTGTTCCAAGCCGCCTTCGACAGCAGTGTCACATCGTGGTACGAGGCCCACAACAAGGGCAAGTTGTGGAAGGACGTCAAGTTGAAGCTTGGCGAGTCTGGTGACGACGAAGACGACGATGACGAGTAAACAATTCCCACACGTTCAGACAGAACAACCTGATTTGATGACGAAAAAAAAAAACCAGTGGACACACAGCAAAAGACCTTTGCATTCATTTTACAACATATATTTATTTCACCGCCATCTCTCTGCCCCCAAAGTAAGTGCTCACACCGGTTCTCGCCACGCTGCATGATACACATCGGTATAAGACGGAGCTGAGTTTCCGCCTGCTACGGCAAACATCACGACTTTAACGGCATACTCATTTATATTCGCCTCATAATTTTATTAGTACCAACACACTTTTTAACATCTGGGCATCGCACACTGCATTGGACCTAACTAAATCTTATGCATTGATTCTCTATTTACATTAACTACGGGCAACTCAAATTAGATTTCACCAGAGGTCGAAGCCTGTTGGATTCTGGCGACATATGCCTTCGACACCACGTTCCAGCTTCTCATGTACTTGGCCAAGCACTGGTCGACGCAACCTTCTTCGGCGTTGGAATATGGACTGCTTAAACATTTTTCAAAGCAGTTTTCGGTGACTTTGTTGACCAGTTCACTGGCATTGGCCACTGCTAATTCCTGACCAATTTGCGCTTTTAGTTGGTCTTTCACGCTGGCAGCTTTCGACGACGAAGCAGCTACTGTTGCCTTTTGTTGCTGCGATGGAGAAGCGCCGCCAAAGATTGAGGAAAGAGCCATAACTGAGTTTTTGATATACTTGAAGATAGTTCAACACTATGAATTTGAAAACCAACAAAGGAGATTGCTACTCTGGGAAAACTTTAAGTTCTTTAGCGTCTGGTGCGTTAGTAGAAAACCAGTTGAGATTGATTTGTTCATAAATGCTTAATTGATGATTAAAAGTCACATTCTATAACGTTCCTGGTATAAGTTACATTTTCTTTCATTCCTTCAATGAACAGCGCAAGTGGTTTAGTGGTAAAATCCAACGTTGCCATCGTTGGGCCCCCGGTTCGATTCCGGGCTTGCGCAATTTTTTAGATTTTTATTTATTGACTATCATTAATGTGATGAAGTAGAAACAGGATGCTATAGGATCTCGTCCCGCTCGAGTGATATCTATGGTCTCGTTCAGGCTTTAATAGTTGTGACGGAACCATTCAATCGAGCTTATTGTCCGTCTTACACATACTTCGCGTGATATTCACCGATTCATCAACTTCTTGGCCGAAAATGATTCATTCAGTTCTGATATGTAAGTATGGTGTCTGGTAATCTTTATAGCCCAGTCTTTGACCAATTTTACTAACTTCAAATCTGCTGAACAGTCAACAAGAAGGCGCAACCCAGATTAGTCAAGTTTTACACCCCCGTCGAGCTGCCTCAGCAGAAGCTTCTGATAGAACAGGTCTACGATTTGATATCTCATCGTAACAGTGAATTTCAAAGTTCTTTCCTGACAACTCCACCCTCGCTGCTCCGTTCAGACTCTGATGATCTTGCAGATGATCAGGGCATACAGGTTATCTACAAAAACTATGCGACTCTGTACTTCACGTTTATAGTGGACGATCAGGAGTCTGAACTCGCCATTCTGGACCTAATCCAGACATTTGTGGAGTCACTCGACCGCTGCTTCACGGAAGTCAACGAACTGGACCTAATATTCAACTGGCAAACTCTCGAGAGCGTGCTAGAGGAGATAATTCAAGGTGGGATGGTCATCGAAACTAGCGTGCCCAAAATCGTAGCTGCTGTCGACCAGCTCAACAGAAGCTCTAACACGGAGAGCAGAGTGGCCCGATTCTCGGGAGCAGGAATAGGGAACGCCCTGCAAGCGTTCGCGCAAACGGGGTTCTCTACTTGGGCCTCAAGCCAATGAGCGCACCACAGCACGAATGAAACCCAGTAATCAACATAGCACGCAAGTTGTCGCAGTAGCTTTTGCTGAACGAAAGAATAAATATAACGTTAGCCACATACTATGTACATAATGTTGTTGTGTTTGTTCCGGCACCGTGAGAGGAAAACACACGCGGACGCTCATTATAAATCACCACAATTTCCACCACTTGACACTGGGGACGCCTTGTTGAGTTTTCTCAACGCTTTCTTGCCTTATTTGCTGCAATTCCTGTCTGATACGTTGCAATTCTTCACGCTGAATCTCCTCGGCCTTGAGACGTTGGAACTGGTCGCGCGACTGCTGGCCTGCATTTCTTTCAAAGGGTGAATCTATCGATCCAGTTTTCCAGATGGGATCTTGACTCTTGGCCGTCTCTCTTACAATATTCATAAGTTCTTGTTGCTCAGCCTGGCGTAGCTGACGTTCTCTTTCAAACTGGAGTCTCAGTTCAGGCGAGAGCGCCTTAATTAGCTCTTCGTCCGAAGGAGTAGTGTATTTGAACAAGACACATCCAGTAGCGATAATAGCACCTCCAAAAGCGTAAACTCTAAGCCAGCGGAACCAGAGAGGTTTGTCCATTATAAGTATATTCTTGTTAAGTCCTTATTAGAAGTCTTGTGCTTAGACTTTGACGTCTTTTCTTCCACTGAAGAATTTAGTTTTCGATTATTTGGTGACAGCTGTTGACCATTTTTATTAATGTAGTACCACTCGGACAAACCGGACCAAGTAACCCAGAAAGCCTGTCTTCAGGGTAAGAAAGCAAAGCATAGCGTTTGATCTGAAGTATATATAAGAGCTCAAATCACGATCGAAATTGGTGCTGAACGATATAATTATAGTGAGGTATCTGTCGTTGAGTGTTCTGTAATATCGTTAAAGTGGTTTATATCATAAATATGTTAGAATGAATTGAATTGTAGCAATTAGAATTAGCCGATCAGCTCAGCGTATAGGTATGGGGTGAAAACCCTGGCTGCGGTAAAAAGAATGGAGATGCCCTCTATCAAAGCGACTGGGAAACCGAGAGCACCTCTTTTCTCGAAATTCACATACACTGCGTACAATGCCACCGCGAAAAATACTTTGGTGAGCAAGAATGGTCTTGGCATAACACCGGACAAGAAGGACACAGGGAGTCGCACACAGTCGCCGCCTCTCTTAAAATACTTGAAGCATCCTTTTTGCAAGGCCTTTAGATTGGCATTTTCTGCAGCGAATAGCGAGTAAAGTGCAATTGACAGAACGTTGATGACGGAGTCGTAGCTCTTTCTTTCATAGTGGTAGTCGAGAAGCTCGTCAAGCACCACCTCACGGTCGCTGAAGTCTAGATCACCAATTTTTTTCATGAGCAAAACCACGTCGTTCAATCCCACAGTCATACCTCCTCCAGTGAGAGGATGTCTCATGTTGAGGGCGTCACCAATAACGCACATACCGAGTACGTCGTTTTGACGACCGGGCAAGAAGGAATTGGGCATAGACTTGAATTTTCCCTGGGCCAGCGCGTCGTCGAAAGATGAACGCAAAGACTGTGGAATGTGAGGTTGGACCTCTTTGCGCATCCAATCCTTCAAATTGGAAGGGAGTTTGGGCGAGTTGTATGCGCACAAAATACGGGTTTCTTCTGGGGAAATCTGGTACACGAGAATTGGCAAATGGTTAGTTCCCAAGATGACGTGGCCGTGATTTGGCGAAGGCATCTTTGCATGGTACAGACTCATACCCACAAACGAGGACCCGACTTTGGGGACGTGCTCGGGAGAGAGCTCTTTTCTGAAACGAGAGAAAATGCCATCACACACAAAGGTGACGTGGGCGTTGAAGTCGATTTTCCCACGACCTGCAATATCAACTTTGGCACCAACCACTTCGTTGCGCTTGTTTTTGAGGATCTCGGTGACGTTTCCTTGCAAACGGGTGATGTTGGGCTCCTGGGCGACGATGTCACGCAGATTCTGCAGGAACTTGCCGTGGACGAAACCAACGCCTCTTTCGCGCTCGTCGTTCTCGAAGTCCTGGACTGACAGGGTGCTGTCGTTTGCGGCGACCTTGTCGTTGCCGTCACGCACCAGATCGGTGATTTTCTCGACCGCGCCTATGTCTGCCTTGTAAGGGTATGGGATAGCCACTTTTTCGCCGTTGTAGAACACGGTGTAGCCGGTCACTGGGATAGCTTCGATTCCGTTGATAGATTGCACCATGCCCAGACTTCTGAGGGCTCTGACACCACCTGGTTGCATCAATTCTCCCACGATTCTGTCGGGCATGGCCCAGTCTCTCTCGACTATCAGCACTTTCTTGCCCTTGCGAGCAAGCCCGGTGGCCACACAGGGCCCAATAACACCGCAACCGACCACCACAGCGTCGTACGTGATAGTTTCGTCTGCGTTAAGCAACTCTGCTGAAGGACTCTGAATTCCTGACATTGCTACAGTCAATAGTAATGGATAATTGTGATAGCTCTATCGGTTACAACAAGTTGTGTGTGTGTGTGTGTGCACTGACTCTGATGCTGTTCTTGAGAACTGCAACAATGTTCGAAGTAAAACCCAAATAGTCACAGCGTACTGGACGCTGACGTTTATATAAGTTTCGATAAAATGCCCAATTTGGTCGTGCTCCGTTTAGCGAACGAAATGACGGTTGATCAAACTTTTGAAAAAGCGTCGTTAGAGTATCACGTTAAGCAAGCGATACAATGAGAGAAGGCTGAGTAGCTCGAGTTCGTGTGTGTGTGAGTGTGATTGAGTGTGTGTGCCAGTGTTTTTTACACTGTCGAGAGAGATGGTTCGATTTTTGAAAAATTACTATACGATTATTTTCATATAAACGAAGCGATGAGCATGAGGACGACGACCAGCGATCGTTTGAAGGCCCGAGAAAACGTTCGGATAAAGCTTTGGGGGAGGAAATTGGCTAAACGGTGTGAGTGTGTGGGGCGGGGGAGACGGATGGGGAGAAGAATTGGCTCTGGGAACGAGAGAATAAGCATTTTCGAGCGGTGTCACGTGACTTCGTGAAGTTTAGAAATATCAAGATTATCTGTCTCGGAAACAGAGCCCATTGGAGCTAGGATGGCCAGTGCGAGTTGTTTTACGACGTGTGTGTGTGTGTGTGTGTGTGTGTGTGTGTGTGTGTGTGGGTACTAGTATCTTTCTGAGTTTTTTTTTGCTTGGGAAGTTTAGTCGCTCGTTTGAGGGCAAAGCAGGGAATTATCGGTTGACGTGCGAGGAGAAAAAGAAGTTTTGTGAGGTGTCGTAGAGGAGCTGTGTGAGACGTCGCTAACTAGTAGCTTTTCAGAAAGTCAAATTGACATGATCTTGGTGTAGTGGGTGTAGTACGATAGCGGCACATGTTGTGACACCCAATTACTCGTCTCTTGATAGTGCCACAACGAATCACCGGTTTTTTGTTACCCACAATGCGTCGACAGACGAATATTAAGGAAACGTCAGTGCGACTGGGAGGTCTTGACAATTTTAACCATTTTTGACCATTTTTTCGTGCCGGGTTCATCGAGAGCGTTTGCGCTTTTTAAGCACTATTAGTTTTCGAATCTTCGCAGGTTTAACTCAATCAGCCATTGTCTCGTTTCATGGGCCACAATTCTCTACAAACGCTCGAAACTGTCGTCGTTTAAGTAGTTGTAAGCGTAGGGATGACGGTCTCGAGCTCTTCATTGGACTAGCATTAATTATATCACCTTTTCATTTCCTGACATCTGAAGGCGCGAAGACCCCGGAGTTGATAAAAAGATTGATCATTACGTAATTATCTAGTTGATTTTTCACCTGGGTGGGGGATTTCGTAATTATCTAGTCGGTTTTGTCTCTCGACTAGATGGCAACGGTGGTCGCCTTCGATACTGGCAATCGTTTTACATAGGTATCCTCTAGCCAAAAATCCCATCATTCGGCAGTTTTGTCTCAGCCTAGCCCCCACCAGCTTATCATTGTACCGGGAGCACAATCATCCATGTTGAAAAATGACACGGAACTGTGGCCTTTCGATATCCAAAGCTTCCTGCATAAATAGTGGTAAAACACGTCAGGACACTCAAAATCTACAATCCGTTCTGCAATTGAGTTTCATCCATGACATTTGCACGATCACTTGAACTGGATAATGCGGTTTACGACTTGCGACATCGGAAATTTGGATAAACAGAAAAACAGGTCGCTAAAGCAACGAAGACAATACGTTGAAGTACGAGCTACCTTAATTGCAGCAAATTCTTTTTTGTTTTGGCAAATCGGGGCCTCAAGGAGCAATTGCTCGGTTTTCCGTCAATACTCGTGGTTTTTGCTTCACCTCTTAACTGATTGAAATCGAGACATTCGTACCAGGCTAAATGTTAGGTCCTCGTCTGTTTTTCCAACAACTGATATAAGCATACTCTAGCGGGTCGAACTTGCCAGCCTTTGACGCTTGCGATTTTATTCATATATGACTGTGTTTATGTTTAAAGGTTCGATGCGCAGGATCGCAGTACACTCGAGACTCAAGTGTTGTGGGCCTGAATCTTGGAATATGACACACTTTCGACCACTGTTAGATCGCGTTCTTGAGTGGAAACGAGGACTTTACTGTGGTGAATTCAAGAGCCAATTGCGAAGTAATTATGAAGAATTGAAAGCACAATACATGCAATCGCCTCGGACGCTGAAAATAGAAAAACGAAGAACAGCCCTAGAAATGGTGTTCTGCTTCCCTGGCCTTGGGAAACATATCAAAACTTCTCAAAATTTAACGGTGCCATGAATTCAAGCTCAACTACTCAAAACTCAACGGCACTATTTTTCTAATCAAAATTTACCATCGCGTTCTAAAGTTCCGGTGTCTGCTTCTAAGTCCACACGATCATCTGCCATTCTGTCCCTTCGACTGCCTTTCGCTCCTACCGCAACAGGTAGAAAATGAAGATTCACATCGGACCATCCTGACTTCTCAGTGTTCTTGTAAATCAAAACCCTTTCGGTAGAAATTGAAGTCTTCCGTGACTAACATTTTGCCATGTTGTTGCCAGTTAAGTCAACTTCAATTACACTTCCACTAGTTGAAGATTTGAAGTTATTGGTGCGACTAATTTTGTATAGTCGTATTCGTTTTGCTCGTCAAAACGTCAAATACAGACGCATAGAACAACTTTTTGGCACTAACACCTACGTTGACCACTAACACCTATGATTACTACCAATATGATGTCTAAAAATGTTGACTAACCTACGATATTTACAAATACTTCACCAAAAAAAATCAGAATTCTAAGATAATGACTCTTATCAACTTTACGATCTTGACAACCACTTTTATCAGTTCCCAAAGTGGACGACTTTCAAACTCCCTTGAGAAGAATTCGCAGTTCGGCTTACGTGAGTCACATTTGTAGTAACTCGAAGTTGCCAGTCCAACTAAGTTCATCAACAGTTATCGCATATATATAAAAGACCCTATAAACCGATTCCATTGTTAGTTTTGATCGTTTTGATTTTTTTTCAACAGGATCAAAACACTCAAGCAACATTACCAGCATTAACAATGGTAGTCCCAGCCTTTGGCCACGAATTTAAGTCTAAGTACTTCACACTGCTAGATCCTAACGTAACTTTGATCAACCATGGCTCCTATGGGACAACTCCGACATGCGTTATTGAAAAACAAATGGAGCAGTGCAAGGCAGCAGAGCTTTACCCAGATGAGTACCTAAATGAGACTGCAGAGGAAAATTACAAGCATCAGGTCAAAGTGCTCGCCGAGTATCTAAAGATCGATTGGCGAAACCTAGCCTTGGTGGTGAATGCAACGGTGGGTATCAACACGGTGTTGCGGTCCATCAAGTGGGATTTCTCAAAAGACAAAGTGTTGTTCCACTCGACTAGTTACGGTGCATGTGGCAACACCGTTAAGTTCCTCGCCGAGTATTACCACCTACAATATGACGTTGTTGAGATTGAGTATCCTGTCGAGGACGACCAGTTGTTGGCAGCATTCGAGGAAAAATTGTCGACAGGCGAGTACAGACTATGTATGTTCGATATGATCAGCTCCCAGCCTGGTGTGATGTTGCCCCACGAGAATCTCATCAAGCTGTGCCAGAAATACAGCACAATGTCTCTGGTTGATGGTGCACACGCTGCTGGCCAAGTGGATCTTCAGTTCTTGGATGAGCTTCACCCGGACTTTTTGACCACTAATTTGCACAAATGGCTAAGTGTGCCCAAAAGCTGTGCTCTGCTTTATGTGAACCCCAAACACCATGCTACAATTCAGACCACGCCAGTCTCTTGGAATTACACTGCCGAAGGATGTCAGGCTATCAAAGATCCAAAAACTGCAGAAGAAATCGAACACAACGATCATTTGATGCACAACAAGTTTTGGTTTTCTGGAACTGTCTCCTATGCAGCTTACTTCTGTGTGGAAGAGGCCATCGCGTTTCGCAAAAACATTTGCGGCGGTGAAGAGAAGATTCGCGAATACCAGTGGCAGGTTCAAAAAGCTGCCATCGAGGCTATAACTGGTGTTTTTGGTCCGGGCTCAAAACTAATGCAGAACTCCACTGGGACTTTGACAACCCCCGGCCTGTTCAATGTGAGTTTACCATTGGACGCCAAGTATTCTTCGATTCAGCAAAAGCTGTCGACAGACTTCAACTTTTTCAGACGGTTCAAAGCGCAATGTGACGTTGTCGCCCGCTCCAAGAAGGCATATGCACCTTTCTATTTCCACGGCGGCGACGCCTGGGTTAGGTTCAGCGCTCAAATATTCAATGAAGTTCAAGACTACGTTGTAGCTGCAGAAATCATCAAGGCCATAATAATGGAGAGATTGGATGAGCAGTTGCAATTGCAAAAGTAGATTCCCATGGGTCTACCGATTCTGACCGTAAACTTACTGCCTGAATTGTCTGTATAATTGTATAAAATAAATGTGGATAGACTTTTACTTTGAGTGTTGAAAGCACCACATCAGTGTCATTCGGTGACAGCTGGAGAAAGATTTCAAGCATTTAAATCGGTAAATTGGCGATAAAAGATACGACACCGGTCACAACTATGGGCACTATGTATCATTCGCGAGTTTTTTGTATTTAGTCGGCTACCTGGGCTGCTCGCCAATGGAGTGCTGCAGAGAACATCGATTAAATTTCCAGAGTTCAAAAAGTAAGCTCCATGGCATACAGGTTTTGAACGAAAATGTCAAGTCGAATAGACATCTGAAGCTCCTGACACTTGGTCGCGAAGTAAGGCAAAGTGGAAAATCCTTAGCCAGAAAAAGTTCAAAATGTCACACATTTCAAGTTGTTCTTATGTCAGTCAAGCATTTCGACCAAAGAGGAATGAGGGCACTCGGGCTTTCAAACAAACTAAAAGAATGGATTCGCGGATGAGATATGCAAAGATCAGTAAATTGTTGAAGTATGAGAAGAGCCTGTTTACCTTCATAAACGGCTGCTACCAGCCGCAGGATTTCAAATGAGATATTCGTCACAACGACTCTGAACTTAATAGCACTTCAAGATCATGAGATGGAAATACTTGGAGCGTTGTGTGAGAGTTAGATACTTGACAAAGTCTGTGCAACTCAAATTTGTGAACTCTATCAGATTTTCAACATTATGCTTTTGAACAACTCACATACGTCATTCCAGTCGCGATGGCTTCGCAATGCTCCCTTTGCCGCACACAACACAATGTTTAGTCCACCTACGTCTGTAGCACAGCAATTGAGGGCAAAAGTAAACCTAAAACTACCCATGGCCTGTGCGAAGATCAAGTCCCGGATTCGGTACTCCCCACCTCCATTCTGCTGGGAAAAAAATCCCAGATTGCTAAGCATGGTACCCAGCCGTGGTTTACCTAAAAAAGCGTGTGCGAGGACAAGGTCCAGGTTTTTCTTCTCGTACGTCTGATCTGACATCAAGGCACCCAGTGGACACAGATAGTGATTTTGGCGCTTCGCCTCTCCAAATACGTCGTAGTAATATTCTACCAGCCTCCAAAATGCATTTGAGTCATCGGCAACATCAAATGACGAGACCTGGTAATTGTAATGTGATCCTCCAACGTTGCAGCCAAACCTGTAGTCTCGCTGAAGTTTTGGATCGTTGGATGGCAGTAATCTTGTCGAGTTCATCGCGACCAAAATGTTTGTCAAGCGTTCCCTGAAAGAGTGTGTGAGAATTTTGCCGCACTTGTGCACCGTTGCAAACCAGCATGCCTGTAAAAATGGCGTGAACGTGCATTTGGAGTGCACTCGGTTTTTCATCTTAAGTTTAACTTGCGCAAGCTCCTGCGCGGTGAAGTTTAAAAAGAAGCTGTGAAACTCACTCCCGCCTGGTTCGCTAACCCGCTTAACCGGAGGACCTGCCGATTTGTAACCGGATAGCTCCCGAAGCAATTGGCAGCCTATCATTCGTGCCAAAAAGGTTTTCGGGGCCTTGTAATCAAGCTTTGTCTCTATTGGGGCAGGCAGACGCGGCAAAACCAAACAATCGTCATTGTAGTTGAAGATGACACCTGAATTGACGAATGGCATTTCGGGATCGTTCAAGCGCTCTTTCAAATCTTGTACGAAATTGGCAGCAGAGACACCATCACTGCAGCAATGGTTCGACAGAAACAAGAACTTTCTGCATTGAGTCTCACTGTCTTCGGGGAAATACAAGATTCTCCAATTGGGTCTTGTGTTGTGAGTGTAAGGTATACGCACGGAGTTCAAGAGTTCAAAAATCTGGCTTGTGTAGTGGCCACCATTGTTCTTAAATTCATCCAATACTTGAACAACGATATCGTGGTTTTGTTCTTCTGTGTTCAGCAATACATCTGAAATGTGAACTTTTCTTAGCACCCTAATGAAATCGTGCTCCGGCCATGGCTTCGAGAGATATTGATCGCTCTGATAAAAGCCATGGTCACTAGCCGATCTGTTTTCCACAACCGTGTGCAGTAAAATTGGATTTTCTAGACAAATGGCGCGCAACGCAGACGTTAGCTGATCCAAAGAAAAGGATTGGTTCATTTCGCAATAAAGTCCGAAATTCGAGTAAAAGTCCTGTCTTTGAGCTACTGCGAAATAGTTCTCAATATGACCCATTTTACGAGCATGTCCTAGCATACAGAGCCTTTCCCATTCTTGTGACACTTGATCCTCCGTCATTTCTGCAAATCGGTGTCTGAATTGTCGATTCTTCACCTACAGTATACGCACAGCAGCTGAAGGTCTCAGTGGAGTGTGCTGAAGACCGAACGCGCAGGAATGCTCGAGCAGTACGTCTTGTCCGATCTCCTCTTATAACATGGCATTCACGGTACTGATCCTAAATTAAACTCAACAAGAGCGCTCTGTTCTCAGGTAGAACAAGCTCACCATTTGGGGATTACTGAGCAGCTCGTCTCCGTAAACTTGTGTTGTAATCTTGGTAAATCATTGTTGGGTGATCAAACGTGCATTTCAAGTCTCTTTTGGGCCTCAAGATATGTACTCGCAAGCCATAACTTGGATCAAAACTGTTTTGCCGAGGCATAGACATTGATTGAATTACATCCTCGGTTAGTTTGACGGTGTTTTGGTTGCCGTAATCTGACAACTAGCTCTAAAAACTTTCGTAATGAGGTTTCGACGGCTTATTTGTTCCTTCATCCCACATTTAGAAAGCCATCTTGTTCTTGGATCTATGCAGGTTATGCAGATTTCTGCGCCGTAATGTGCGCTTGTAAGTGGTCGACACAACTGACCAATTGCGGCTCTGTGACAGCCAAAGTGTTTGCGATCCAAGTAAGTAGGCGAGCCTCCACATGTGAGGCCAAAGTTTGCAGATCTTCACTTGAGAGGTCTTGGTCGCAGGGCAGGTGTTGTATGCCATCACATATGGAGAGGTAGGCATCCTGCACTTGGTTGATGTAGGAAAAATCCGCGCTAGAATCTGACCTTGAAGCTCCGAGGCTCTCTCCTGTTACTGGAAACATCGCATGCAGTTTTTTATTAGCAATACGTTGATCTATGCTCTGCGACTCATGTTCTATGCGAGTGCTAGCAGGAAGAAAGTGGGTCTCCATCCACTGCAGGTAGTCTTCGGTGGCTTTCTGATCCCACGATTTCTCGGAAGAAAGTCCGTAGGAAGTATCTGTGATAAGATCTTCTAAAGTCCCCGGTTTTGCGAACCGTAGCCAGACGGTGCAATAACGGATCAAGAAAATGTCTCTTTGCAGCAATTTGAATCGCACGGCCAAGATAAGGTAGGCGGCAGCTTTCGGCTCAGGATGCTCGTAAAATTTTGTCAGACGGCTCCGGAGATGCTTCGGGATTTGGAACTCGAAGGAACTGTTTACTGTCTCTGTGGCTCGGATTAACTCCAGTGCGTAAAAAAACATGTGCGGTGGAAGCCGCGACGTCAGCAGGAGTTTTAGTAGCAGTGGCTCCACCGTGACAAAAGCACGCGCGTTTGAGTAAATGTCAACGCGGCCGCAAATGTTGGCTAATCTGTGGTAAAATTGGACACCGGTCGGGGTTTTGCCTCCTTCCAGCAGCTGCAGATAGTAGTTCGGTAATTGCCTGCGATACGACGGAGCTAAGTTCAAATTTGCCTTGAAATACACCAATTTCAAGGAGCATATCCAACGCAAGTAGTCCGGCCAGAAAACCGGTAGTCTCAGGTGTGCGCCAGCCATGTAGAGGAGCGCTACGCCCGATAGCAGCGACAGCCCCAGTCTGCCACGCTTTTCACCACGATTTTTACGGCCTGAATTGAGCTCTGTTGGGGGCTGCAAGCCGTCTTCTTCGCCCAACGATTTCATAAGACGCATCCACATAATCTTGACGATTTCTTCAAAAACAGCTGGAAACTTTTGGTTTACGATGAGCCATCGGCATTGCAGCTTCAGAATGTGTTGGAAACATTTCAGAAACAGTCGATCGGCCTCTTCTCCGTAGACTTTCATCGAGTCGCTAGTTTTCTGGCTACTCTGTGATTGCGAATTCATACTTGAACGGAAACTGCCTGATGCGTTCGTAGTCAAATTCAACCTTCTTGTAACAACCCCCATGCTGTTGATATCATCTTCATCGTCATTGAACTCCACGTCTCCCTCCATAACGTGTCCGTACTGACATGTTCTTCGTCCATCGATGATACGCCATAGCCGCGACCGACAGTTGTCTGTTCCACAAATAGGGCCTCTAAAGAACGTGGACATCAAAGTAGCATCCGGTTGGCTCTCGAATGAGTCTAACCCTCGACTTGGCAGCGCTTAAAAACGGTCTCTTCTAGGCTTTCGATGGATGGTTTTTGTAGTTTTCCACATTTACTACTTTTTCAATTACGTATACTTGAGACTTGGATATATTAAAGATGGGCGATGAGCTCAAGCTTCAGAACCGAAAAGTTTAGATTTGGACTACCTAGAGTATTTAAGACCACTGGAGAGTCTTGCTTATCGACTCTTTTGGGTTTGAACAAAAGATTTTGGTAGCTCAAACGGCTGTTCCAGCGGTCCTACAGCCCTCAGGCGCTTTCAAAGATCTGTGCGCTTTTATACGTTTTTATACGCTTGGAGGCGCAAACCAATCAACGATTATGCGCTCTGTGCCTGTTGTTATGATGGTGCTGATTGGAATGGGGCTGGAAATTTTGCCGGAAAGTCCCGGATCCCATCATAGGCTGGAATTGCATGGCCTGTGAGTAGTTGAACGGCGACATGGGCGCAGAAGGAGGAGGAGGACCGGAGTTCACGAAGCCGGGCCCAGGATGGGGTGAGCTCACGTTCGGAGGCGGAGGGGGGCTCGCCGTCCCCCTGTCGTCTCCCATCGGCATCATCCGCATCATTTGCGGATAGTACGTTGGGGGCTGGAATGGCATGTACATGTTCCCATTGGTGCCTGGTGCCATCATATACGGATTGTGAGAGTTTCCGGGACCCCCCATCGGCATCCCCATCATCATGCCCGGCATCCCCATCATGTGTGGGCTACCGGCGTTTGACATCGCGTTCATGCTGCGCTGCTGCATTTTCAGCTGCGATCTGTGCATGGCAGCGCGCTCATCTGGGAAGAGACTCTTGTAGGATTGCTCCACGTTGCTCATCCAAGTCGGCGCCGTGAAGTAAGGTTTCTCAATCACAAACACTGCCGAGGTCTTGCCCCGTTTCTGCTCTTTGTCAAAGGCATCTTTGGCCTTGGCAAACATGTTGAAACTTCTTGCAAAATCCTTTTTGTAGGCCTGTGGTCCATTGGGTCCAAGAAACGAGCCCTGGCTGATGTTACGTCTACGAGTAACAGTCGCATGCCTGCCTGTCGAAGGAGACGACACGGGGGGTTGTCCTTGCGGGGCTCTCCCGCTTGTTTTCTTCAATTCTGCCTTGCCAGTCAGAGGAGTTGAGCCTCTAGAAGATCTGTTTCCTCTCGTGATGGCCACATTGCCTTGGATGATAGGTGGCGTGCTGATTGGCTTAGGAGGCAATGAGGGATTGAGCTTCAAAGCTGCTTGTACACTATGAGGCGAAGTCTCATTGTCTTTCTTGAACATGGACTTCACTTCCTCTGGCATCTCGTAAGGAACTTTGAATTTTTCCGAAAACTCTCTCAACGCATCCAACTGATCTCGTTTGGGATGAAGCGTAGGTTTGTTCTCACCAGAAATGTGCTCCTGCGGCTCGGAATTCGAAACCGGTGGTGGCACACCAGCGGCTCTTGAAGAAATGATGGCAGGATCGTTGTTGTGAGGCTGGTGCCTTAAAGTTGGGGGCACGTATTTTTTGGGCTTTATGGGATTACTTTTGGCATTCATTTTCAATTGAGCAAGAAGTTCGTCTCCTCTACGGTCAACGCCAGAATATTTATCCTCCTCGTCCACGCCAGAATCGTCAGTCATCAGGCCTCTTTCTTCCGCTAAATGAATATTACCAGAAGTGCCTTGAGACTCGATATCTTTGGCTATTCTGTCAGCTTCTTTCAAGCGCTCGTTGTAGCTGGGATCGTTCTTGTTTATTTTTGTCGTGTAAAGATGTTCATCGAATGTTGAAGTGATTCCAAATTTCTCTTCATTGACTGCAAACTGATTCCAAGACTCTTGGCTGTCTTCCAGTCCATCGCCAAGCTCGAACGCTTCGTTAGGCTCAGGAACCCATCTTTCTAACTTTCTCTCCTTGATTTCGCTTTTGTTGCCAGAGATATCTGTATCGGTCTTGAAAGCGAATCTGGTTGGCTCGCGAGATGGAACTGGTTCCATCGAATGCGGTTGAGACTCTGGTTTGATCTTCAGTTTGGGCTCTGTCTTGGGCTCTGTCTTGAGTTCTGTCTTGGGCTCTGTCTTGGACTCTGCTTTAGCCTCCCTCTTCAATTCTTTGACGTCTTCGGACACCTCGGTTCTAGCCTCGCGTGGTCTTTCAGACTTTCCAACTTTTTCATCCAAACCAAACTCTATATTCTGTAACTCCAGCTCTGCAACGTCTTCGCCCTTGATCACCAGGTTTTCGACCAATTCTGCTGCCAAATTTTCTGCCGAAAAACTGTTGTCTACGAGCTTAGCCATCTTTAGCACCACGTCCACGCCATTGACACCTGCAGGATTACACGCCACCAATAAACCCTGGTATTTCGCTCCACTAGTGACAGTGACAACGGCTTCTGACCCAATGCTGTTGACCAACAGGTAATTCAACCGGTCGTTGAACGACTTTGTCGTTTCCTCACTTTCGTAAAAACCAATTCCAGTATGGCTTCCAGTTCCATTACGGTTGTTCCCATTTGGAGGAGCTCCATTCCCTTCTCTTTTCTTGCCACCATAGGCGCGGGTACCCTTCATTCTATCGGTTCCTTTAAGAGCTAAACACCAAATCAATAGCGGCCAACTTTCTATCACGGATAACCAACTAAAAAAGAAGGACCCACTAACGAGCTATTGGGCCCTTGATATGTCAAAGGCAGGTCGGTTAGAGGTAAGTTAACGAAGAGCTAGAATAGTCTTGACGAGGTGGTCTATGTTTTATCTAACTCAATTCCTATGCTTTAATTGACCTACGTACAAAGTTACTGGGATCTCAGATGTCACTCTGTGTTAAACTGACACTTTGAGCCTCAGCGCGACGACAGTTTTGGTTCTTGGAAAATGCTTCTCTGTATGCTTTGGAAGTTCTGAACCGTAGTTCGATACTGTTTGATGGCGGGGAAATTGTCTTGAAGGTTCGAAAAAGAATCTGTAGGTTTCGAATCCTTCAAATTGAGATTCAAATCGTCGACATCATGACGGTACCGATCTGGGTTTGCCTGTTTGTCGCGTAGCAGACCAAAAGAATTGATCATGGCTTTACTGAGTGCTGGATGAAGGTTTTTCGAAAGCTGATCTGTGAGGAGCTTGGATTTCCGAGCGTTGCGTTCGGCAGTCTTGGAGTGCATCGCTTTCAACTCGTCCAAAATGGTTTGCTCGCGCTGAACCTGATGTTGGATGGCCTCAACGCGCTGAGACTCTTGAGAATAACGGTTCTGGATGAATTGACGTTTGGCGTATATGTATTCGATGTCCAGATCGCGATCTGAACAACGCGAGGGGAATCGCGCCTGGGACAATCGACGCTCGATTTCACCAACAAGCTCGAAAAGCATGTGTTCTTTCTCCCTTTGCACGCTCCGCACGCTGCGATCCAAGATCACTCGCTCGCATTCTTGTTCGTATTTGGCAAAGCACTCATCCAGGGCGACTCCTATGTTAGTCTCAAGAATTGTCACTAAATTCGATACCAGGTTTCTTGGGGGTGATCTCCAGCCTCGCAACTCGTAGTGTTGCGGCAGACGACGCTCGAACTCGAGCCGCACAAGTTTCTTGAAGTCCCACAAATCCTGGAGTTCCTGGGCTTGGGCTGGTTCATTGAACTGCACACGTTTGGTAGGGCTCGTTTGTGGCAACAGACCACCACCAGCTTTCACTGGCGTTTCAGTCACACTGTCGTCTCTTACAAAAAGTGATTTCCCACCACTCTGGGCTACGCTGCCCATATCCAACCGAAACGCATCGCCGTCCAATTGCATAAAGCTTTCGTCCTCATCCGACTTTACAGCGTCCGCATCGCTGACATCGACCTCAGAACTCACAAGGTTGTCGAGTATCGGCGTCTTAGCACTCATCTTGGTACATTTTATCAAACGATTGAGGTTTGTTGACGGTCAAGGATGAGGAAAGTGGGTCAGTGTTTTTATGTGTGTTGTTCATGTGTTAATATTTTGGCATCTAAACAAACAAATGATTGAAAAGGTAGGAAACGGGATAAAAACATGAAAAGTGGGGGCCGGCGTGTGATTTACGGAAGTATAGAGATAATATGTTGAGTAGTCTGGAAGCTCTGTGAGAGCGCTAGAACCCAAGGAGGAAATGTTTTGGTAGTGGAGCTCACAGACGAGACCAAATCAATTCAAGGCGCCCAGGATAGTTGGTACACATGTGAAAATTGCCGGGACTCACGACCCCGGTCCTTTAACCGGGGGTTGGCACGATCCATGTATAGGCCCAGATCTGCCCTAAGCTGACAGTAAACAGGGTATACGGACTCTGCAGACGCTGTGAATTAGAATTTTCGACACGGAGGATCAAACGAATGGAATCCAATTCGATGGTTTTTTAATCGACGGGGGAAATTCGGTTCAGGGAAACCGGTTTAGGGAATTGTATGGTTTGAAATTCAGGGCAAAGTGTGGAGGGCGTGGAGGGCGTGGAGGGCGATTTTTCCTTCTCAATTATAATCCTTTCTTGTTTTCTACCACGGTGAATAATTCAGATCAATAGCAGCGAACTGGTTCATTCTGCCCTTGATTGCTGAAAAAGAGCAAGCAGATTCTTGCACGACTTGTGTGGCAGTCCTCAGCTGAACAGGGAACCATTGCAGAGTATCTTTGCTGTTTCAGCCTCTGGATCTCCATTCGGCGGTCCTCAATGATGATGTCGTCGACATATTGCCAGGAACAATAGCGATATGGAGGTGGTCTTAAAGTTTAGTGATTTTACTTCGAGGGCGGGTGTTTACACGACGTATTTGAATATACTTGGGTTTTGCCAAAGTCATGAAGGCTTCACACGTGAGAAAAAACGGGAGAGAAACATCACGTGTGCAACTTTCATTTGGTACACCCACACACCATGTTATACCACGTGCTAAGCACATGACATAGATAATCTCATCGCCAGCAGAAACGTACACGTGAGTATCACATGATAGAGGTCCGCCTCCCCACACCCTCTCAATTGTTTAATTGTACTACGAGTTGTCTAGTTTATTCACAACTGAATGCTAACGCTCTCAATTGTTCAATAGTGCTTCTAGTACCTTTTCTTATTCACAATCGATCGCTGATGCTCTCGATTGTTCAGCTGTGCTCGGAGTACTCGTACTCGTCCCATCCGGGTATTTTTAAATGCCCCACAGATGCATAAATCCAATTAACTTCTCAATGAATGCCAATTTTCGTCAATTATATTCACACCTCCAAGGTGAATAACCAACCGTGAAAAAAATGCTGTGAACTGCCCTCACCTTGTTCAATTGAAGTGCATTATCCTTTCTGAACGCCGGTGTCTCGACCGAAAAGCGTTAAGCAATGTCTAACGCCCGCGCACGCCCTCCCACCGCCTCCCCACCGCCAACACATCCACACCTGTCGACCGAGACGCTCGCACAGTTCCAGCGCTCACTCACCACTGCCCTTTTGTGAATGCAATTCTCCAGCTGCAAACCTGATCCTCACCACAACCGCTACTTTCAAAAACCCCCCGAACCAAGAGCCAAAAAATCCTATAAAAAGGGCCCATCTCAACTCCAAAAAATCGTCTACACCATCTCCCTCTTATCTCTACTCCCATCATCAACTACACACACCACACACCACCACAATGGCCTCTTCCGCTACTCAAACCCAATCCGCCACCGAGAACCTCTCTCAACTTCACCTAAACTCCACCCCCATCACCCACGCTCTTTCCGACGTGGTCAAGCAGGAGGACTGGAGCGACTTCAACTTCGCTCCCATCCGTGAGTCCACCGTGTCCCGCGCCATGACTTCTCGCTACTTCCAAGACCTTGACAAGTACGCTGTCAGCGATGTCATTATTGTCGGTGCTGGCTCCAGTGGAATTTGCGCTGCATATGTCATCGCCAAGAACAGACCAGACCTCAAGATAGCCATCGTGGAGGCAAATATTTGCGCGGGAGGTGGTGCCTGGCTGGCGGGCCAGTTATTCAGTGCTATGATCATGAGAAAGCCTACCCACTTGTTTTTGGATGAGCTTGAAATTCCTTACGAAGACGAAGGCGATTACGTTGTCGTCAAGCACGCCGCTTTGTTTACGTCTAGCGTGCTAAGCAAGGTTTTGCAATTCCCTAACGTGAAGCTTTTCAACGCTACCGCCGTCGAGGACTTGGTTACCAGACCAGCCGACAACGGAGATGGCGTGCAAGTCGCCGGTGTTGTGACCAACTGGACCTTGGTTACCCAAGCCCACGACCTACAAAGCTGCATGGACCCTAACGTGATCGAGTTGGCAGGCTACAAGAACGATGGTACTCGCGACCCATCTCAGAAGCACGGTGTCATTTTGTCTACTACCGGCCACGACGGTCCATTTGGTGCCTTTTCCGCCAAGAGAATTGTTTCCATCGACGGTAACAAGAAGTTGGGCGGCATGAAGGGTCTAGACATGAACAGAGCTGAAGCCGGTGTTGTCAAGAACTCTGGTAAGTACGAGGGTGTCGACGGGATGTACTTTGCCGGTATGGAAGTCGCCGAATTGCACGGCTGTAACAGAATGGGCCCTACTTTCGGTGCTATGGCTGTCAGCGGTATCAAGGCTGCCGAGGAGATCCTGAAGCATTTTGCTTGATCAATTAGTTATCTAGTCTATATACTCGATGAGTTTTTATGTTTAAGATTTATGAATGATTTGTTCTGAACGGTGCCTATTTTTTATGCACGTCATAAATTAGCTTTTAATAGCGACTGACGTTTTTAATGTCAATTTAAAGGAGAGGAAATAAATATCAAGACAGACCTGACGAGGACTAGCCACGAGTTGAACGATTAAATGCTTCAAAATTCAGTCAGCTAGCGTACTTATAGTTGGCCAAGATGCAAGAGAGACTTATGCTATGACAGGGCGGTGAATTCGAGAGTTACCGCCCTTTCATATGATATCGATGGTTGTTTGAAGCTCAGTAATGATATTCTGGCCATCTCTGAGTCTGAGCAGATTGATGCGATGAGCCACGCAGTATTCGTTTTTGATCTTATCGCGCGTTTGGTTGAGAGCAAACTTTTCTTCACCACCAAATACTTTCACTGGCTCGAAGCGTTGTATACCGTCGAATTCGACGACAAAATTGTATTGAGGAAGGTAGAAATCGCACTTTAGCGGCAGCAAATGTTTCATACCTGGAAAACCCTTTTGCTGCTCAAAGACGTGGGTCGTAGTTTCCAACCACGTACAAATCTTTTTTTCGTTTTGAGGCTCGCAGCACGTTGTGCACCCATTGCCCTGGAGATGGTTGATCGCCTTTTGAGGGAGATGCTTTTGGCACTTGATACAAAATATTGTAACGAGATCGTGTAAAGTGGATCCGAGAACTACTTTATCGAAATCGTAAGCAGAACCATTTATCGCCTTCGACCTGGTGATAAATTCTTCACGCGTCACCCGCTTGCTTTCGAGGAAGCAAATGTAGCAGTGATAACCGTTGCGATCCCTGATGTGATCTCCTGGCATCTGCCAGAAATCTCCATGTGCCTGACAGGTGATACGCATCTTTGTCTTTCCATTCTCGTAAGAGGATCGGTCATATTCGAATTTGCCCAGATATAATGCAGAAGCACTTGCGACAAAATCATCGGAATTTACATATGTTGGGCAACCGACGCCTTCCAAGTGCTTACGTGGTTTGCAGACAAACGGTCCATGAGACTTGCAAGTGATCGTTACGCCGATGTGTTTTTGATTGTAAACCACGCTTGCATAGTCGTAGGTGTCTCCGTGAACCTCACCGGCACGAAATAAAAACATGTCTTTAGTGAGCGGCATCGAGGGTTGTCCGCGGCCCTTACGTGACGCATTGCCACATTGTGGGCAGCCGTTGCCACTCAAATGGTAACCAGCGACCTGAGTGAACTCCCCATGACTTTTGCAACGGATGCTAACCTTTGCGAGGTAGGACGCGTGAACAGTGTTTGAGTAGTCGTATCGGGAGTTGTGCACGCGATTGCAAACCTCAACGAACTTCTGGGTGTCGTAAAGGAACGCCTTTTTCGGTTTCTTTCTCCCACATTTGCCACAGCCTCTACCACGGCGATGATCATGAGCGCCCTGCTCTTGGACACCGTGAGCTGGACATATGTATTTATCTTCGCGTTCCAAACAGTGTATTGGGTGATGGAGTAGTCGTAGAAGCCATCGTGTTTTGCGGTACACTCTTTGATAAACTCTGCGTTGGTCTTTTGCTTGGTCACTGCGCACTTCTTGATATGAAGAGATATTTAGAGGATGTGAAAGATCTGGAGAAATTGTGCTTTATATATAAATTATTACGGCGGCTATCCGTTTCGTGTGCCACTTGACGCGTCAGCGGGGTTTCGTGAGTCCACCAGACGAGTACACCGTACGTAGTAGTGATCAGATAAGGTAAGAATCCACGAAGTCAATAGTGAGTAGGCTCTTTGAAGTCTCTGGAATGCCCGTTAGTCTCATCTCTCAACACTGCATGGCCTTTGAGTCTTGGAATAGACGTAAACACATGAAATGAGATTTACGGCAAAATCTCAACTTCCACTATAGGCTTTCCTGCGCTGAACCCGGCTTTGTTTCCTATTCTTTGACAAACGCCCCTCTAGACTATTCAAAATCGAGAGCGTTGATTAAAACCCTCTTTTGAGAGCGTTGGCGATCAATTGTCCAACAGTACTTCGACGATTTATCTGAATGAAAAGCGCTAGTGCTTGTGGCCATTACTCGCCCACTCTCTCGATTGTGAATAAGTTGAGAAATTCCAGTATAACTTTACCATCGAGAACGTCAGTGAAAAGATATTATTTAGGCATCTCGCTTCATGGCACTAGAAGTGTCAACTCTTCAAAACTACAATCTCGGAGTAGCGCTAGCTCCTCGTGTGTACTCTTGGCTTGTGATATTGGACAATTTTTGTTTCTTCAGTACTTAAGTTGAGACGACTAGACTAGTCTATTTTTTAGTGTTTGTCATGTAGTGCTTGGGCGATGCTCAACGCCGAGTTATTTATTCACAATCAATCGCCGAGACTCGGATTACGAGCAATATTTATTCACAATTGCTCACTGATGCTCTCATTTGTTCAGTTTTGTTGGTAGCACCCTTCGCTAACGCTCTCGATTGTTCGGTGAAGAATTCTCGTACTCGTAGTAAGTCTTCGCTCGTTCAATAAAACTTTATAACCACCCAACCTATGGTATTTTTTACGTATTCAATAGCAAGAAGAGTTTTGTACTCATTCACAATCTATCTCGGTAGCCTGCTTCGCTGATGGTCTTAATTACTCGTACTTGGACTTGTCAATAATGCTAATGGGCCTTCACTTATTTTAAAACACGTACGGCCAGTGTAGTTATTCATAGTCAATTGCTGACGCCGTCAATTGGTCGATAATACAAGCATATTTCGAGTCCTTTAATTATTCACAATATATCGCTGACGCTCTCGATTGTTCAACAAAACTAAAGCCTCTATATTCGTTTTCAATTGCTCGCTGACGCTCTCAATTGTTCAGTAGCACTTGGAGCCCGTATTCATTAATGTATATAATCCTTAAAAATCCTCGTCAAAAGTAAACCCGTCGCCTTCTGTTTCGGTCTTTGACGATTTGGCAATAACACCAGCCTTTTGGTAGTCCGATACTCTTTTCTCGAAAAAGTTGGTCTTACCGGCAAGAGAAATGTTTTCCATAAAATCAAAGGGATTCGAAACGTTGTAGAATTTGTCGTTACCCAAAGCCACTAGCAATCTATCTGCGACAAATTCCACGTATTGGTTCATGAGGTCTGCGTTCATGCCCAGCAGCGATACGGGTAGAGCGTCTCTAAAATATCTCTGTTCGATTTCAACAGCCTCGGTAATAATTCTTTCCACGATCTTGGGGTCTGGTTTGTTTTTCAAATGCGCAAACAGCAAGCATGCAAAATCCGTATGCAGACCTTCGTCTCTGCAGATGAGCTCATTGGAGAAAGTCAACCCTGGCATTAGACCCTTTTTCTTTAACCAGAAAATGGCTGCGAACGATCCAGAGAAAAATACACCTTCCACGGCGGCAAACGCAACCAATCTTTCGGCGAAAAGTGCTTCTTCATCTTTGATCCACCTTATAGCCCACTCGGCCTTTTCTTTAATCTGTGGGATGGTTTCAATGGCGTTGAACAAAAATTCGTTTTCCTTGGGGTCCTTAATGTAGGTGTCAATTAGCAAAGAGTAAGTCTCGGAATGGATGTTTTCCATCATGATTTGGAACCCGTAAAAACATTTGGCCTCGGGGCTTTGCACCTCTGCAGAGAAGTTCTCCACCAAGTTTTCGTTGACGATCCCATCCGAGGCCGCGAAAAACGCCAAAACACGCGAGATGAAATAACGCTCGTTTTCGTTCATGCGATTGTTCCAGTCGTGTATATCCTTGGACAGGTCGATTTCCTCTGCCGTCCAAAACGACGCCTCGGCCCGCTTATACGCCTGCCAGATCTCATGGTATTTGATGGGGAATAGCACGAATCTGCGTTTGTTTTCCATGAGCAAGGGTTCGTTACGCTCCATTTCCTTGAGTTTATGGCGATGAACCTGATGGGAACGCAGAAACTGGTGGTGTTCTGCGGCAGCTTTGCTGAGCTGGCTCTTGAGCCCTTCAGTTTCCGCTCCAGCCTCGGTCTGTTCAGTCTGTTCAGTCTGCTCGCTCACAGCGTCTAGCGTGCTGGCCAGGTTGTTTTTGGCGTCTTTCAATTCTAGGTCTGATAGTGCACTGGCAGCTGCCTTGGAAGGCGTTTCCTTAGGGTTTACCATGGTTTATGTGTGATTGTGTGATTGTGTGATTGTGTGATTGTGTGAGTGTGCGTTACGGAGTTTGCCGGACGTACCACTATAGTCAACTAGAAACTGACCCGAATCTTTAGACGTCTTAAATACTAACAGGGTCATGTCTTGGGAAATAAGGTGATTGATTGATATCCTGATCTTTATGTATTAAAATTTTTTCCAATTTACGCGTTTGTCTCGTTTACGCGTATTTTTTTTGGGGGGCGACGGCCGTTTAAAAATTTAAAAGCATTTTTTACGACTTGGAAAAAAATAAGTTTGGAAAAAAATTAATGGTTGCTAAGAGATTCGAACTCTTGCATCTTACGATACCTGAGTGTTCACTGTGATTCAGTGTTAAGAAGCGAACTTCTTGAATCAGGCGCCTTAGACCGCTCGGCCAAACAACCAGTTGTTAGAAAGTATAAAATATATGGGATACATATAGGTAGAATTGGGACAGGTGAGCTCGAGTTACTGGATTGGAAGACATTGATGTTTGGTTCAAACTACAACACACGCGCTGCTTCCTTACGTTTTCTGGCCGAGCTACGACTACCATGGGAATTCTGGAGGTATCGTGAAGTGCATCGGCACCCAGATCACTGTGTACTAATGTGGCGCGAGCGTGTGGTCAGACGTGTTTGCAGCTGACAATGGTCGTTCGTTGTTTGGCGAACGAACGGGTCCCCAGTGTTTCACACATAAATATAGACTTGACATTTCCTCATTGCATAGCTCACTACAAACACTACCCACTTTTTTCTCGCCTTTCCTCCGCAGCGAGTTTCTCCTCTTCCAGCGAATGGGTGCCCTGGTTTCTTTCCTTCTTCCAAATGCCCTCCATTTCAGAGTCTCGATACAAATATTTCAACACGCCTCCTCCAAAAACGCCCAATAGAATAAACCCACACGCATAGCCCACAAACTGGTTGATCGGCGTGTACGCCCTGGTGCTGTCGTTGGAGGGTCTTGAAATATTGCTTTGTCTCCGGATAATAAGTCTTCTGTATACTGGGTTCATTTTGCGATGAGCTAATGGGATAAATAGTGAATATTAACTAAAGTAGCTGACGAGAGAGTTTCCTGGCCTTATATAGATGTGTTAAACATGTTTCTAGGAGCGTGACAGTGTTGAAACAGTACCACCTATTGTTATTGCTAATGCTAAGCTTTGTTTTCTGCCCCTGCCTGTTTGTGGGGTGTGGTGTGGGACTGACTGTGGGGACTGTCTAGAAATGATGATTTTTTAATATAGGACGAGTACACTTGCGAGTACGCAGCCAGCTCGACTGGGTTCTGGCACGGGTCGTTGTCTACTCGTAGACCCAGGCTAGCTGGTTCATTTTCCAGTCAGCCAACTCTTCGGGCTTGAACCATAGATTGATCTCACGGTTGGCAGATTCCACGGAGTCTGAGCCGTGACACACGTTTCTGCCCATGTCGATGGCAAAATCGCCTCTGATCGTGCCTGGAGCAGAGTTCAATGGGTTGGTGGCGCCCAAGATCGTACGACCTTGACGCACCACGTCTTTGCCCTCCCACACGGTAGCCAGGATGGGGCCCGACATCATGTATGACAGCATTTTTGGGAAGAACGATTTGCCAACGTGCTCAGCGTAGTGTTCCTTCAACAAGTTCTCGGTAGGAGTGACTAGCTTGATGCCCACGAGCTTGAAGCCGCGGTCCTCGAAACGGCCCAAGATCTTGGAGATCAGGCCTCTTTGGACACCGTCGGGCTTGATGGCGATGAAAGTTCTCTCGGTTTGGGACATTACGTAGGTATGTAGAGTGGGAGTGGGGAGCGTGGAGTGGGTGGGAAGAGACAGAAGAAGAAGAAGAAGAAGAAGAAGAAGAAGAAGAAGTACAAGACAAGACACGACGCGACGACGACGACGACGAAGCGCATCGCTAGATTTTTCGAGACATCGTGTTGGACGAAAGGCTGGATCTAAATTGTACCTCGATTTCAACGTCATTTATTGGATATCGCGGGGCGTCAAGCGCTGTAGATGGGTGTAAGGAAAAACACGATAGAGAGGCGCGTTTGAACGCTTGCAAAGGCACGAAACGTAGTCGAAAAAGAGATTCCAGTGCTTGAAAATCGAGCCCTCTTTTTCTTTCGACTATCATACATTAGGCCATACCTGCCGCTTTCGAGAAGATGTCACTAAATACGAGTACAAAGGGGGACTGTCTGAAACTCAACGACTACGCGAACGCTTTGACACCCTTATGGCGCAGCGGTTGAGAATACAAATCACCGGGCGTTCGATCCTCATAGGACACCGAGAAATGCTCTTCCCCCGGGTAACCCGAGCCTCTCTTTTCGGCAATATTTGAAAAATTGTTACCAAGTTGAGTGGGTTTTTCCTTTATAAGGGATCTTTGACCCAGTCAAGAAACCCGAGTTCATCGAAGCCGATCTGGAGAAAGATATCCGGAGTTCATCTGTAGCCAGCTCATCAAAACTTTGAACTTGGAGCTATTCGCTTAAACTAACACTGTTGAGTAGTAAGAAAAGCCTGTTGTGACCGCTCCAAAATTTGGTCTCAAAAAGAGCTGCAAAAACCAGCAAAGACCAGCGAAATCGGACAACAATAGCCCAAGATGTCGGACATTAACGATGAGAAGGAGCTGAGCGTCAGCGTGGGAGAATCGTCGCAACCACAGCAGAAGGAACGTCGCAAGATCGAAATCAAGTTTATCCAGGACAAAACAAGACGACACATCACTTTTTCCAAGCGGAAGCACGGGATCATGAAAAAGGCTTACGAGTTGTCAGTGCTTACCGGCACGCAAGTGCTATTGTTGGTGGTTTCTGAGACCGGGCTCGTGTATACGTTCACGACTCCGAAATTTCAGCCCATTGTGACGCAGCCAGAGGGCAAAAATCTTATCCAGGCGTGTTTGAATGCGCCCGAGGACGAAGACGAGGTTGAGGAAGAGGAGGACGATGCAGAAGAGGAGGAAGAAGAAGTTGATTCCACAGAAACCGCCAAGTTGCAGCGAGCTCGTGCAGCGGCGTCTGCGGTGCAGCAACAGCAGCAACAAGAGCAGCAACAAGCGCAGCAAAACCAGCAACACAGCCAGCAGCAGCATCAACAGCATCAACAACAACAGCAACAGCAGCAACAACAACAGCAGCAGCAACAGCCCTCGTTAATTCCGCCACAAATGCCACCGCAAATGACTCACCAGCAGGTTCCTCACCAGCTCACACAGGCGCACGGCCATCCACAACAGCACCACCAGCAGCAACAACAGCCGCAGCAGCAGCCCCCGGTCTCAGCTTTTGGTAACCCAGCAGCTTATCTAAACGCAGAACAAGCTGCCGTTTATCATCAGTATTTCAATGGCGTCAATTCACAACAGGGACAGTATTGAGTGATTGGCAGGGCGCATATATTATAGTTCAACGAAGATGGGCAAGCAAGCAGAGCGTGCTCGCGGGAGAACGAGCTCAAAAGTACAAAAGCTCACGGTAGAACGACTTCTGTTCAGATTTATAACGCTATTTTAGGACGACATCAAACAAATATTCTGGTTTACGAGTACTCATAGCAGTACAGCGGCCCAGCCTCGAGGCTAGCTAGCATCTCTCGGTGAAGAATTGTCACTATTTTCGTTGCTGTCACACCCAACTTCGACAGCCAGGTCAAAGTGCTGGAAGGGCCACAATGAAGTAGTCATCGCGACAGATGTTGAGCGTATCGACGGGACATGCCAAGAGAGACACCGAATACTCGTGCGCTGTAAGGAATCGATGGATGGTGTGCATCGCAGTTCAACGACACATTAGTGTAAAGTGATATGGAAAAGAGTCGTCTACATGCATGGTATGTGGCCTCAAAACAAACAACACCAGATACAATGTCTTGTATTTACAATCTTAGGTTCTGCTTCTTATTTCTCCTCATTTCGAGAAACAACTGAAAGCGGTATTACTTGTGACAAAAAAAAGCTCGGTTTAGTTTATTTTAAATATTAATGTGTCGAGGGCTGTTGAACAGTACGATGAGCTATTCGCAATACCTACCTAATTCGATAACTATAAGTGCATATCCACTGTATTCCAAATCTTTCTGGGTGGTAAATCCAAGCTTCCAAATTGACTTATCGAAATAGTATTTTGAGTTGGTTTTAAAAGGGCCAAATCTCAAGTGAAAAAAATTTTAAAAAACGCACCAGAGAACATTAAAAAAAGAACGTCTTGATAGATCATATTTCAAGCCATTGGCCACTGTTAACCGCTGTGCCCTTGTGCCAGAAGACCTAGCGGAAGCGCATTCGTGGCGATGTTATCACCATATACGGTTCATGAACATATAATAGATCTTGATTCCAGGTATAGTAAACCTTAAGCATCGCCTTTCACCAAAACTTAAACAAGCATAAAACGTCATTCAGAAACATCTGGCGGTCTCTCATACCCCATCAATCGACTCCAGACCCTTACCTTTAGTCTATCTCGAAATTTTGGTGCTCACTCACGCTTATCCACACTCTCACACACACATCAACCAGTGTTGAAGTTTGAATGTCCAAAAAACGTATTGTTTACCAACCGACTGATATAGTCTTGGCCAAAGTCAAAGGATTTCCAGCTTGGCCCGCAATGATTATCCCAGAAGAGATAATACCGGTTAATGTGCTCAAAGGAAGACCAGGGAAACCCACTGTAGACGAATTAGATGACGAAAACAACCCAGACAATTACTTGGTCTACAATGATCTTTTAAAGTTTCGCAAGAGCTTTAAACCTCACAGTTCATATTGCGTTAAGTTTTTCTGTGACGATTCTTACATATGGCTCAAACCTGTGGATTTCAAGCCTCTGACGCCGGAACAGTGTTCCAATTGGCTTCAGAATTCGAAGAAACAGACCAAAAAGTTAATACCAGCTTACGAGATGGCCGCCAAGGGTCCTGAAGGCATCGATGTGTGGGAATTCGTTGAGTATGGATCACAAGGTAAACCAGAGGAGGAAGAATACGTCGAGGTGCCGGAAGAACAAGCACAAGCAGACAATAGCGAAGAAGAATTACTAAGTGAGCCCTTGAGCTCTTTATCCGAATCAGATTACGATGAGGGAGAAAGTATTCGTAAAGGCAGCCGATCTAGTAAAAGACAGGCCAATGCCAAGGCTAGCGCTCAGAGGTCTAAGACGCGCAAACGCAGGGCTGTTCGTGATGAAGAAGAAGACGATGAGCTAGATGCATTTCAGGAGCTCGAACCTGAGCCCAAGGCTACTTCGCGATCGAAAAACAAGTCCTTGAAAGTCAAAATAGAAATAAAGAAATACAAATTTGAGGATGACGGCGATTGGTCTATAGTAGGGCTGGGCCCGCAAGAACCGTCCCTGTTGGCTACAAACTCGATTGTAAGCAAGCTTTCGCAAAAGAAGAACCTGGAGTTGCACAATGAACTAAAAGGAGACCTGATAGACAAATTGGGGTTCGTAAACAGACTCATTACTGACCTCGTTTTCAAAAGTGGCAAACAGGATGACTCCGAGGAATATCATATGCTTCTAGATGAACTCGAGCAATGCACATCCCTACGCGGCTCCCAAGACGAGCTAATAACGGTCTTTTTCTCCGACCAAGAGCTCGTTACCAACCTGAGTGCCCTATTCAATTTGAAGCAAAACTTCCTTCGCCAGATAAACCTCTATGATAGACTACAAGAATGGTTTAGAGGCGTATTTGGATACCCATTCGTTACAGATCCTGTGTTATGGACTCTTGACACAATCAGCAAAGGTGAATCGCAACAGGAGGAAGCACAACCACTACCTCACAATGGAACTGAGTGCGCGACAATTACATAATCGAGTAGAATTATCAACTGCTCGCCTGTAAGTATTCCATCAAGGATGGTGATTGATCAAAGCAGTGCCATGGAGGATATATGGTCTAACCTCTAGTTTCTCATTGAAAAATTTCTAAATACAATGCAGCTTGCGTATCTAATGTTAATGCAGTAATAATATCGGGATCCTTAATTTCCAGCGGGGTTGTCAGTAGTGAATACCCAGGTACCGATTTGTGGATCATAGCTGTCAAACTTTGTAGAAGGAATAGCCCTCAACCGGTCAACGTGTCTCTTGATAATAGGGTGATTTGGATTTTTTATAGGCTCTCTGGTAGATTTGTCCTGAGGATAACAGCCGTACTGGCTAATACGGGCACGGACATTCAATCCCTGGCCATGAGGAGGAACCACAGAAGCGTTGGGGTAAACGCTGCATGCCCTTGGCTCAAACACGATAATCTGTCCACAAAGTGCTGGCAATGAGACATTGGTCAAGTCCACAGGCTCTAAAAATTCGATTTTACCGTAATCTTTATGACCGATTGTTAGTCCACTTACTTTACGAAGTTGCAGCAAAGTCATTGAGGAGAGAGTTTCAAGCGAGGGAGATACATAGTATCCGTCGTCTTCAAAAGAAACGTCATCACCCAAGACCCCAAGATTTCTCTCAACGCCATTAGCTTTGACGCCCGTGCCGGAAGCAGCCTTTGAATTTCTAGCCAAAGGTGTTGTAACAACTTTGTGGCTGGGTGAGTCAATGATGGGACCTTCTTTGAAGGAAGACTTTGTTTTGTCGCTTGGGAATAATGGAGCGGCCTTTTTGTCGACTTCAGACGTGTTGCCAGAAATCGCAGCGTCAGCACTAGACTCATTTTCTTCTGAGGCAAATGTGATACGAAGAACTTGATCTCCTTCTTTAGCACTTGCGTCCTCCATCTTTTTCCTGTTTATAATCAAGTTTTTGAATGACTTTTTGTCAGGGTTGAAGAGAGTGTCATTAGCGGACAGGATGAGCTCATCACTTTCATTCGTGAAAATGGAGGATCCTGTTTTGGTAGGTTGTAGCTCTCTGCCGAGAGAGTCGGTTGATGACCCTGTCAGAGAAGCTACACCATTACTTTTAGCCGAGGCACTAGAACCCAAGCGCATCACTGGGCTAGCAACTGTGGTCTTATGAACAAATAACGGCTTTGGAGCTAGTCTGTAGGCACCAGACAGACTGGCCTTCTTTTTAAAATCAGCATTCAGCTTGGTAGCGCTTGGTTTGCTAGGCTTCGTAATTGAATCAGGGACAATTACTCGGGAGAACAAGTCATTCGTTCCATATGGGTTCATGCCAGCCTGTTGAGCAGTGGGCTGAGGAGCTGGAATCCCCTGTTGCTGGTTTTGTTGGTTTCCAAACAAACCTCCTGTCATGCCTGTGCTGGTACCAAGGCCACCAGTGGTGTTGGTGGCACCGCTGTTAAAGCCCAATCCGGTACCGGCGGGTTTCGATCCGAACAGACCACCCGAACCGGCATTCTCCGCGGGCTTGGCGCCAAAAAGCCCACCACCAGTTTGAGCTGCAGGTTTAGCACCGAAAAGACCACCTCCAGTATTGGCAGTAGCAGCTGGCTTCGCACCAAATAAGCCACCAGCCGCGCCGGACGAAGTAGTAGAGGCATTAGTGTTGTTTTGTCCGAATAGACCACCTCCAGTTGCACCGGTAGCGTTGTTCTGTCCAAACAGGCCGCCACCAGTGGAACCCGCTGGTTTGCTTCCAAAGAGACCACCTGAGCTAGGCTGATTGTTGTTACCTTGACCAAAGAGACCTCCTGACTGTTGTTGCTGTTGTTGTGGTTGATTGGCGTTTTGACCAAACAAGCTGCCACCCGAGCCAAGTGTGTTGGTATTTGGTTTGGCACCAAAGAGACCCCCACCTGATGACTGTTGGTTACTGTTTTGGCCGAACAGACCGCCACTGGCATTGTTGTTGGTTTGGCCAAATAAGCCGCCCTGGTTTTGTTGTGCATTGTTCTGTCCAAAAAGTCCGCCTCCTGATTGCTGTTGTTGATTGGAATTTTGACCGAATAGTCCCATACTATTGGCATTGTTTTGTCCGAATAGTCCACCGGTATTGCCAGAAGTATTGCTGTTTGCATTTTGTCCAAATAAACCACCACTAGTGTTATTGCTTTGACCGAATCCTGTGGACGTGGAGTTATTACCTGATCCAAAAAGACCGCCTCCCGTAGCACCTGCTGCAGGCTTACTGCCGAAAAATGAATTGTTCTGTTGGGGCTGGGATTGACCGAATGAGGAGAACCCAGAATTGTTCTGTCCAAAGGTGGAGTTGGTGGCCGTGTTCTGACCAAATAAACCACCACCCGAATTCGCGTTTGTGTTACTTTGGCCAAATAAGCCACCACCTGTATTCACATTTGTATTACTATTTTGTCCAAACAACCCACCCGAAGCGGAAGCATTACTGGGTTGGCCAAAGAGACCACCACCAGTACTCCCGGCTTGATTTTGGTTCTGTCCAAAAGCGCCTCCGCCGGATGTGTTTGCATTTTGACCAAATGGAGAATTGACCGCGGCATTGTTCTGCCCGAACATACCGCCGGTTCCGGTGTTAGCGGCGACGTTGTTTCCGCCGAACAAACCGCCGCTGTTGGCGGGTTTGCTACCGAAAAGACCTCCGCTAGGCTGAGTTTGTTGGCCAAATGGAGAATTACTGGTGGTGCTATTGTTTTGTCCAAATAAGCTATTTCCAGGTGCATTGTTGTTGTTGCTTCCAAAAGGCATGCTTTGATTTTGGTTGCTTTGACCAAATAGCCCGCCACCGGTGCTGGAATTGTTACCAAAAAGGCCGCCTGAGGGCTGGTTTTGGTTAGAAGCTCCAAAGAAGCCACCACTTGTTCCTGCATTGTTGTTATTATTATTTTGACCAAACAGGCCTCCAGCATTTTGATTGGGAGTGTTGGCACTCTGACCAAATAGGCCACCGGCGGTATTGGTTTGGCCAAAAAGCCCACCTGCGGAAGCCGGTTTGTTCATCCCAAATGGCGAGCTACCAGCATTATTCTGCGTGGTGTTCCCACCAAACAAAGAGTTAGAAGGCTGGCCAAACGACGAGGTAGCGCCGGGCCCAGTTGCGGCGTTGTTTTGGCCGAAAAGTCCACCGCCAGTGTTGGTATTAGAGTTGTTACCTACCACACCAAAGGAAGACGACGAGTTAGTATTGTTGAACGGGGAACTGGATTGATTGGCACCAAAGGGCGAGGCAACACCGGCGGCAGCATTGGGTGCGTTGGTGGGAAATCTTCGATTCGCCTGGTAGTCCTGAAAACGCAGTTCCTCAAACGAATAGTTCCGGTATTCGGGCATGCACGAAATCGACTGGAACACGTTATTCATGCCCGTGGTAGCGTCTTTTTCGTTGTAAGCAGAAAAGGGCTTAATGGCAGTCCCAGAACCTTGTTGAGGGTTGAAAGACGAACCTGAGGTCAATGAGGAGGAGCCGAACAAAGACGACACGTTGTTGTTGTTGTTGGCCGCCGGTGTTGCCTGACCAAAGGGCCCTGAAGAGCCTGTGCTACTATTTCCCATCGTAGGGTTATTATTGCTGTTGTTAGACATACCAAAAAGGCCTGTGCCGCTGCCACCGCCACCAACACCACCGACACCACCGGCGTTGGTGTTGTTCTGAGGCATTGCGCCAAACCCTCCAAACCCAGATGTCGAATTGTTGGTCGGTTGCGACGCGCCTGTGCCAAATGGAGACGTGCCAGCTTGGGCTGTTGTGTTTGCGCCAAAAGCGGGTGCTGTGGAGCCGAACATTGCTCTAAACTAAGTGTACGTGCACTAAGGATCGGGAAACCGATTGTTACAAACCCGTTCCAAACAGCTAGAGACGGCCAATGACAGTCAAACGTGAAGAGTAGAGGAGGTAAACAAGTTGATTGATGGGTGTGTGATTTGAGATAGATTTTGGGATTCTTGATTTCGAAAAAAATTTGACAGCTCGTATTGGGTGATGGGGCTAATTAGGTGAGAAACGATGATTTGGGACAATTTGGGGGTGTGGAGAGGGTTGGTATATGCGTGGTGAGTATTCTGGTATGGAGGTTCGAATTTGACGTGTTTTTAGCAGTTTTCAGATCCAAAAACGGGTCATTGGGCGACTTTTTATGAGATCAGGGAGATTTTTGGCGGATACGACAAAAATCGAGGGCGTCGAGGGCGACGTGCTAACAAAAGCCGAGATGCATGTGTGTGTGAATTTGGATAGAGATGCTGTATTGCAAGAGAGAGGCGGGGGACTTATAGGAATGGAAACTGGCGCGCGCAAGATGGGTCACGTGATTTGCAAGCTACACGTCGAAGCTAATTGGATGGCTTGCTTTACGGTCGGGGGTTTGTTCAACAATGCTGCACATCTGTATGTGCTTTCTCTTCTCCCTGTGTTTCCACTATCCCTCTCGTTTTCTCAAAACCCTGTCTGTCTGGCACACTGACAGATTAGTACAAAGTGACAAGGCTACAACATGTCAATCTTCGACAGAGCTCTGCTTGCGAGTAGCCTCGGGGAGGGTCGCAGGGTGAATGCTTGCTAAGAAGGAAGAGACATTCTACTTGTGGGTGCTGATGGCGAATCAATCGGCGATGAAATCAGATGGGATCACGTGATTTATCGTTGCATTTTCCCTGCGTCAGTAATTAAAAGAGACTACGAGGTCTTTCCCGTGTCTCTGGGAGCACACAGGGCTGGGTTGTTGTTGGAACGAGACGAAATTGAAACAAGTACATATTTAACAAGATTTTATAGTCAAGTATCGATGTCAGCGATACCTTTCTCGTACGCTAATTAATTCTACCAATATCGAACATTTGAGTCAGTTTAACAATCCGGGCCATTGAAGGCGTGCTGAATGCTGTCTACTTGCACTCGTACCCATCCCTTGCGGACCCAGCTCACTACCGTATTAATCCTTTTTTTTCAATATTCTATTTCCTGTTCCTTATATTTTAAATGAAGTAAATGAAGGGCTTCCGTGCCCGATTACGCCGCACCATTGAAATATACGCTTGAGTCCTCAGTGTCTGAATTTCCTATTCATCGAGACAGTCTTGCGTTCCTGCTCTCCCACTGCTCACGTTTTTTCACAGATTTTCCAGTTGTTTCAAAACCCCAGACATCAGTCTCCAGTTTCGCAGACTGGTTGCTTCCAACGAGCCGGTGCTCAAGTCCACCATCATGTCGTCCTCCTCGTCTGCAGGCTCTATTTTCGCATACATGCAGGGACACACCAACTCGTCTTGCAATTTTCTTCCGCAGTAATCAAGTATAGTGGAATTTTGAGGTCTTGGTTTTTCGTCCATTGTAGAGGGTGCTGAAAGATGTGATACAGTGCAAATGCGGTACGAAAGCTACCTGTATGCGAAATTTGAATTAGCTACTTTCAGCTTTCGACTTTCAACTCTCACGACTTTCAACTCTCACGACTCAACAATAAAATGTGTCTGATGTTCTACTCGTTTTATATAAAATCCTCCCATTTAGGACCGCCTACACAACTTTACACACACTACGTCGATGTTCGTTTTACATCGGTTCAATTTTCACCACTGTGCTGATCGTCTCATCGCCTTGACGGTGTTTTAAGAGCCCAAGAGGCTCAATGCCACACTTTTGGGACAATTTTGGGCTCTAAGTCTTTTTTTTTCTTGGTGCCCTGGTGATCAAACGACACAGCCGCATTCATGTGATATGAATTATATTCTTGGAATAATAGCGTTTTAGAGAGGAAAGGTAAGTGTGCCGATGTCAGGGCACCAGCGTTAGAACGGCGTCAATAACGAACGGCTACAATGGGGAATTTAGTATTTTGAAAATTTGGTATTTTGGTAATTTGGTATTTTGGTAATTTGGTATTTTGGTATTTTGGTATTTTGGTATTTTGGTAATTTGGTATTTGGTATTTGGAAATTGGAAAATGGAATTTTCAGCAATGATATAATGTGATCGACTGACCCCACAATTTTAGGGACCACTGGACGGGGCCTATTCGTGTGATCTGTGCAGCTTTCCGCTGCTGTCGAAGAACCTCTCGATGTGTAGCTGGGACATGGAAAAAAAATGGCTTCGTGGCTCATAAAAAGGCTCTAATTTTTCTTGGTTTTGATCACTTTGTACGTTTGTGTCGCTGGGTGGTGAATGAGATATGGCACGTGATATTTTTGTTAGTCTGACGAGCGGTGTCAAAAAGATCAGATATATACACACACACACACACACATACTCACACACACACACATACTCACACACACATACTCACACACACATACTCACACACACATACTCACACACGTTAGCTTACTTGTTTTCGAGAAATCTCGGGTTTTACTCTTGTTTGATTGCCCAGTCTCAAAAGTCCGGTCGGTTCTCGTTCGCGGTGTGTGTGTAGTGGGGCGTCTCACGTGAGGCCTCGTGGCGCCATGTGAGGTTATGTTAAATAAAAGACTCGCACTCTCCGTGTCCCTCACAGTTTTGTTGATGTCTCTGGGGAGGGCGTGCTAGGGTCCTTCACGTACGGGTTGGTTTGTGTCTGAGAGAGTTATAGGACTCAGATGATGTTGATGATTTTTCACATCACGTGACCCAGTGACAGACGACTCTGGGGGGGCAAAAGTGATTTGAGCCTAAGAGGCGAGGCTTCTCTACTGGCAGAGGAGAGGAGACTTGAATTGCACGGTATCTATTTCTCATGCTTGAAAAGATATTTGGTACCGGTGAAAAGACGAGAGCCGTACTTTTTTTTAACAGATTGCTCTGCCCCCCCCCCTCCGCTCGAATTTCGCCTAGCTCCTCCTCCGGCTCGAAACGCATACTCTTATGCATCACACTACACTAGTACCCTGTCAACTACTCAGATTGAGACATCATCTTACTCTCGTCTGAGTGTTCTCTCGAATCATGTGATACGACTATGTCCGATTATCTAGTCGTGACTATATAATTGACTCGACTATCAGGTCACTACGTACTAATCACCACCACTTCCTCATTTCAAAGGTAAACCTACCCATCTCATCGTCTCCAAAATCAAATACTCAAACAACAGGTGTCCTGGCTCGATAGAACCGTCTCCCGGAACCTTGCGAGACTCTCGAAGTCTTATTCTATTGGTTATCTTCACATCGGCGTACGTGCCTCTTTCCCATCTTCATCGCCCACTGACGCGTTAATCTTTACGCGTTTCGCGCACCTCAAAGGCCCACAAAATGTCCCAGCAGCTTATAGAACGGTTTTCACAGGGTCCCCAAGAGGACCCAGACTCGTCGCTCCCGTTGGATCCAACGGCCATCAACTCCACCGGTCTCGATGACCCGCAGCTGTCAGATCCCACTGCAATCACCGCCCGCACCCGACGTCCGCAAGTCAAACTCACGGCTGAAAAACTGTGTTCCGCAAAAGGCCTGCCGAAAGTCATGAAAGAAGCACCCAAAAGAATACGTATCTCCAAGCGAAGGTCGTCCTACGAAAACCTTACACAATTTCTGCAATTCTACCAGCTTTGGGCCAACGACCTGTTTCCTAAAGCAAAGTTTCACGACTTCGTGGCTATCTGTCGAACTCTCGGAAAGACTGACAGGGAACTCAGGGAGTACAGAATCGAACTTTTACGCCAAGAGCTGGGAATCTGGTCGGTAGGAGAGCCAGAATTGGAATTGGAACCTGAAATTCAGCACCAAGACTCCGCGCCAGTGTTGCCAAACAATCATCTCGACATGCCCCCATCAGATCCTCCGTCCCCCAGAGAACCCTCGTTGTTTGTCGCAGATGCGAACCAAAACTCTTCAATGATGCCGAACTCAGACGACGAAATGATCTACGACAGAAGTCACGCAACACAACCCACAAGTTCAAATGCTCTACAACAAACGCAGGAACCTGCTCCTCTCACAGCCCAATCAGCAGAAAATGAAGCAGATGATCCTCCAGAGTTTTCGGATTCTGAAATAAACTCAGCACTGTTTCATCAAATAACAAATCAGACTCGAGAAGATGACCATGATGAGGACGAAGACGAATTGGCGCTAATGCGCGAATTTGGTATGTGACATGTCGGCCACGACAAAACTTGGCCTTCTCTACCGAAGTGCTGCCACTGGGAATTTCTATGTCGTTAGTGACAACGACTTAGCCCATGATATTACATCGCCTGCGTGTATGGCTACATTCACCAGCCTTTCCTCCCTAGGTTTTTAATCAAATGAACAGGAAACTTGATCGTACTCTGCTCTCAAGAAACAGCGAAGGTCAACCCTCGCATTAAGAACGTTAAGAGTGCCATTTTTCTCTTTGTTTGGCATGCATTCTCTGCACATTATCCACGTACCTGTTTTATATATATCTCACTGCATTAATGACTTTCTACTATACACTTTTTCCTTTCAAATACTTTTAACTAGTCCACATGCGAGCAGTGCCATCGGCCCCCGCGGAAAATAACCAAGCTTCCCTTGGATGCCAGATCAAATCAAGAACACCAAGACTGCTAACAGTCTTGTGTCCCTCTAGTTTTTTCAATGGCACTAACAGTGGGTTCTTCAACATGTCATCGTACACAGTTGCATGGAAAATGTGAATGACACTATCGTCCGAGGCGGAACAGAACAATGGCAACTTCTTGTGGAAACTCACGCTTCTGACAGCCATTTCGTGGTACCTTAGAGTCTTGTATGGAGTGCTTGCCAAATCCAAATCGTGCCACAATACACGCTTGTCAAAGGAGGATGCAAGCAAGTTGTCACCTCTTGGATGAATGTCAATGGTGGATAGCCAGCGAGCACCGGGCATTAGCTTTTTGACAAGGACCTGTTGTGACAGATCGTAGATTCTAATATATCTTTGAGAACACACGAAAAGCTGAGGTTTGAAGGGATGGAATTTCGCATCCATGACTATACCCTTGGATTTCTTGAATGGTGACTGCGACAGATGCTTGGACAGTTGGTGGATCAGAACAGAAGTATGGCCCGACTTGGGTTGAACCGTGACAAAATAGTCGCCCTTCCTGTGCCATGATAATTTCTTGACTGTGTGTTTGCATGTAATAACGACAGCAACATCCTTCTCAGCTTGCTTCTGAGTTGGCTTGTTCCATTGAGCCACCTGGCTTTTGATGGTTGTGGCAGACGACCCCTCATCTTCCTCGTCGCTGTTCACATTGAGGTTGGATTTCTTTACATTTCCAAAAGTGTCAAACCCGAAACCGTCTTCAATCTTGGTTCTACCGTTGTTTTCGATTTCAAAGCCGAACACCGGTGGAACAATCAAGTAGATGTGTTCACCAGCAGCAACAGCAAGGATTCCAGTAGATTGGTCGGGGTTCCATTCGACAACATCAATGATATCGTCAGTGTTTTCCTTCGTGTCAACGATTTGAACTTTGTAAACCTCTCTTCCCGTGAGAATTTCCCAAACTCTGACGGTACCGTCGTCGGAACCCGTAGCAAGCCATAGACCACTTGGGTCAATAGAAAGAGTTCTGATCTTACCCGCGTGTCCCCGGTAAACAGTAGAGCAACGGATAGGGAAAGGCCGTAGGTCTTTTGGAGATGGTAGTTCTGGAATCAAGGACTCTGGGTCTATGTTAAGTTTGTTTTTACGGACTCTGGGTGCCAAATACAGATCCAAAGATCTCTCAAATCTTTCTCTGACAGATTCGCCATATCCTGGAACTTTTCTTAGAGCGCCAAACTTCTGAGGAACGAAGTTTCTCTCCCTTTCGCTAGGTTCTAGCTTTTCCCACTCTTCCTTTTCCTCCTTTGTCATCAAATACTCCTCAGGAGGATTGTAACTCTCATCGTTAGTAGGAGGAGGTAGTTTAGGGGCGCGTAGATTCATGACATGGTCGTCGACACCATCACCGGTACCCCAAAGATCGTAAGTTCCGGCCTCTTCTTCCTGCTCCCGCATTTCCTTCAGCTTGTTAGGTGGAATAATACGACCCTCTCTGATGGCTCTGACGATCTTCATGACTCTCTTGGCCTCGTTCTTGGAAGGAACAAATCTTCTCTTGGGTTCGGGAACCGCAGTCAATGGTGTGGTTTCAGTATGTCTGGTGAACCAGTCGACATACGGTTCGTATGGGTCGACCGAGTCATCGGTTTTCTCATTCTGTTGAATCTTCGAAATGAGCTCCAGCTCTTCTTGACTCAAATTCAAGCTAGTACCGGTGTTTTGGTCCAAAAGACCCGTCCATCCCTCTGGGAGCTCGATAGTGTCCAACAATTGGTCCAATGCGGAGCCCTTGGCAGGTCTCATGATTCTCTTACCGTTGATACTGTAACCGATGTGAGGCATCTCGTCATATGCAGACAACGGGATGTTACCGATGGTGTTTTGAGTTTCGACGTCACTGTCGTCACTGTCATATATCGGATTTATCTCAGGTTTGATAACACGAGGTCTTCCATCCGAGAATTTGGTGTGAACCTCTGGGATTGTGTTTAGTTTGATGCTTGATAGTTTGTCTATCATAGAGACAGAGTCGCCGTCGTCAGAAAATTCGAGAGACTCGTTGGCGTCAGAACCGTTTTCCTCTGGTTCTTCCTCGGCCAGAAGCTTGTTAAACTCCTCGTCTGAATCCTCTTGGTCTTCTTTTTCTTCGTCTTCTTTTTCTTCGTCTTCATATCCTTCCTCTGCTGACTGATATTGACCCGTTTCATCTGCATCGCTGTCGTCTTCGAATTCCTCCTGGGCATCAGAGTCGTCAGACCCATCGTCTATAAGACCTTCTGTAATCAATTCATCGTCACTTGCATCGCTGACTTCTTTCGACTCAACTAATGTCCTTTTCTTGCCGGCTTTGACAGGCGCCTTCTGGGCACGTTGACCAGTGGACGATTTGACCATTTCTGAATTTCCAATGTCTTATCCAGGATGTAACTGTGGTCTTGCAAAGCACAGCTGAACTCAAAGGTCGACTAAAGATGGATCTGTTCGTGTCGCTGACTACCTCTAAACCTAGCTCATCGGGTATCGCATCGCATCTCATCAAAATTTTTCAGTTAGTCTTCGTTGCTTTTGACAATGTCTCTATGAGCACATGGTTTATGATCAGAAGTATGATTTAATCTTTTTTCTTCGACTTTCAACAAATGGTTTCGTGGTCTAGTCGGTTATGGCATCTGCTTAACACGCAGAACGTCCCCAGTTCGATCCTGGGCGAAATCATTATTTTTTAATTTTTAATTTTTGACATTCTTGATCCTCTGGTGTTCACCTCTCTCTGTTCTGTACTCATATCCGCTCTTCAAGTCAGTTTAGATGGAGTTTTTAGGTGCTAAATTTACATGAGTGTGCAATTGCGTCCGCAAGCTTTTCCAGGTATATTTGGTCTGTTTCGCAAAAGCCGTTGTACTCGATGCAATCGATGTCAATGACACCTAAACAGTGGCCTGCGTCATTCACGATGGGAACCACGATCTCGCTTTTGGTTTCTCCGTCGCATGCGATGTGACCTGGGAAACTATTTACATCGGGTACCACTTGTGTTTGTTTAGTGAGAAACGCAGTGCCACACACCCCGGACCCACTTTTGATAATCTGACACGCAACTTTTCCTTGGAAAGGCCCCAGTATCAAGTCTGAGCCCGTAGCATTGTTTAGAACGTAGAAGCCTGCCCAATTGATGTTCAAGGGAAGCGATTTGTATGCGTGCCACAGCAGAGAAGACGCGTTGGCCAGATTACAGACCCAATTGTCCTGGCCTTCTGCAAGCGCGTTGTATGAGTCAAGGACCGTTTGCAAGGCTTCCTCTCGAGCCATTCCGGTGAAAGAAGCGTAGTCTGCGTGATGAGCGCCGTCAGAACCCATGTTGCTACGTTGTCGTGCTGGTTTGAATGTGGTGTTTTAGCCGAGGGAATCTTGTATGATCAATTTGAGCCATTCATTTAGTGGGCGAGAGAGCTGTGGTATGTCATTATTCACGAAGTCATCAGAAACCTGTCACTTCCTCTTTGTACCGTCGTTGGTAACATCAAAGGAGACTCCAGTGGATACATCGATTGAAGTGGTTTGCTATTTTGGTGCTTCTGTTGATTTCTAACATGAATTGTATTGTTTTCGCTTTGTTCTGTGTATTTTGAATTTGGCTTTTAGATGCCACTGGCGCAATGTCATGGACGTTGATAAAAACATGAATCATGAATAAGAGGTCCTTAACAAGCAAATGTGTCACAGGCCGATGCCCAGCAGCTTTAGTGTCAGTGCCATTGTTTTGGCATGTTCGACAATAAACAACAGAGGCTGCCAGATATGTGAACAAAACGTTTTTTTTCCCAGATGGTCTTACAATGAAATAATGTTTTCCCGGATAATGTCATTGTCAATAAAGAAGCATCTATACACCGATTCGTCGCAGCACCGTAACCGATTGATGCCAAAAAAGGCTCCCACCATCTCTTTTCTTTGGCTCCCTTTTCGTGATCTCTATCATAGACAAAAAAAATGCAAAAATGAAACGGACAGGAATTGAACCTGCAACCCTTCGATTGCAATTGTTTCCTAATTAACCAGGATTTAACTGGAGTCGAAAGCTCTACCATTGAGCCACCGCTTCATTTGTTGAGGAGTGTAAAAGATAAGAACTTTATATCGACCACTGAAATTCACATCTTTCTTAGAAATGAGCTTTAAACCTATAGGAAGTTCAGAGACTTCTGGTACACTCAGTTCAGAAGGCAAGCACTTCCGTATTCAGAGGCATGGAACACTCTGCGGATAGTTTTGAGTACTTATTCCATTTATCAAAGGGTCTCAGCACAGAATGCAGAGCCACCCGACAAGGAACGGAGCGAATTGAGCTTTTAGTGCGGCGATTGGCCAAATTAACACAGACCTCGTACGAAGACCTGTCGAAAGAGCCGTCTCAGCAGGTATGGGACGAATATAACAAGATGAGCACCGAAAATGAGAAAGACAGACTGATACGAGAGAATTACGCGTTGGTTTATCAGATAGAGTGTCAAGAATACGTGTGCAAGCGGATTTGGGCTCTAATAGACCAGATCGAAGATCTCCTGGAGTCCATAAAGCAGTTTGTGGTCGAACAGGGTGCCCACAGAGCACGTACAGAGTCTCAATTCGTGGAAAAAGTAGTGCAATCCCGAATTAGGGCCGTGCAAAAGAGCTCCCGCAGTCTAACGGAATCGGACAAAACAGCCCGAACCAAGCTGGATCTGCTAATACAGGAATTGCAGGACGTTTGCAGGCAAATAAACTGGGATCAGGTTGCCCAAACAGTAGAAACTCGACATCTCGAGGCCAAAATTCTTCAAGCACAAGACAAATACGGGATTAAACTGATAAATAACTGAATTACTAGTTGAAGGATGCAGGGACAACGACAGACAACATCTAGGCATACACGCCTTATTTATGCGAACGCTCTGCTCTGTATTGCCCGGAAAGCTTCTGTGGTACAAACTGTTTGCTCAAGATCACCCAATATCGATGTGCTTCTCTCAAAAACAGCGAAGACAAATCGCCCGCATTATTCCACAGATTCAAAATCACCCCGCTGGACCTAAACTTGTTCGCGCGCTCTAAAATGTCCCGAGCGTACCCATCGAGCTTCTTGGGGTTACTGTACAGTGATGAAGTCATCAGATGACTCGTCTTACTGTTTTCCATTGTCCAGGCCATACTGTTGATTTTGGAACGAAACTGTGCCATCCGCTCATCGACATCTCTCATGCGAGCCTCTAAACTGCGGAGGTCGTACTTCAGTTTCGATGCAAGGGAATCCAGTTCAGACATGTCGCTTAGCACTAGTGAATGTTTTCCAGACAATGTATCGCGCAACTGCTCAAGTTCCTTCAGCTTAAAGTTCAGTCTAGTATACACTTGCCTCACCGGTTCACGGTGGTCACTTGTTTCCGAGCAAGCGTGCTCTCGCGCCTCATTCAAAGCCTTACTTTGACTCTTGATGCTTTTTTCCATAAAAAGAACGTTACGAGCGCTCTTGATAGGGGATGGTTCAAAAGGGTATCTCCACAACTCAACTGCATCTTGAATAACGGAGAAACTGTTTCGGCGAGTCTCTAGGGCATTGAGAGGGCACGTCGTGGGGGGAATATTTTCATAGTCAATCTGTAGTAAATTCACGTCCTGAGGGAGATATGGTGTAGATGATCTTCGATGTAATTCAGTCCGAAAATAAATATTTTGTTTGTCGGGTTTTGAAACGCTCTCTTTCCGATGAGAAGTATTCTCCCTGTGGTTGCCGACTCCGTCCTTTTTTGCAGAATTGTGTTCGAAATCGTAAGTTTGGTATTTATCTTCACGGCTAAGTTTCTCCTGCGAGTCGGCCCAAAGTTCATTGTTTCCTTTTGTCGCAACCACATTAGATTTTAGAATCTGGTCTGTGGGGTCTCCTTTGTTGAACACAGCTTCGCTGAACCTAGCTTTCGGTTTTTTTCTTTGAGCTGGCTGTTTTGCACTTTTACCGCGCCAGAGAAAGCACAAAATACTCCCATGTACATTTCGGGTCAGGTAGTCTAAATCTGTCGTCAAAATACCGTTAGATAGTTGCATGGGATTGCCCTTACCGGCAATATCCTGGACCGTAGACTTCACGACTTTCTTTATCTTGAAAATATCGGTATTGGAGGCTTTCGGCGTAACCTCAAATAGTTTGGAGATCAGGATCGGATCCAAAACAGAAAGTGTTTTTACATTGGCTTTGAAGAGGCCGTACTTTTTTTGGAACAGATAAAGGCCACTGCGAAAAGATCCTTCATCAAAGGGCTCCTTCGTGGGCATGCAGTTAACAACGGTTAGTTTGAAAAAAATGGTCAGCACCAGGCTGATGAGTCCGGCCACGGTTGTAGGGCCTAATGGACCCTCATGGCGGGGTCTATCGCAGCCCAGGTATAGTGTCCCATATATGGACCACCAATCCTTGATGGCGTTTTCAGTGGACGTGCACAATATACCGTCTTTACACCTGGAATCCAGCAGGTTAAAGTAGACCAGAGAAATTTGTACTAGTGTTATCAATTCGACCACGGCGTGGGTAGAATAGCTATACTCCTGTTCCTGAGAGCTTGTGGCGGGCGCAGCAACTTTGTAGAGCTGCGTGAACTTTTCGCACGAGGCTCCTGAGGGTTCACACAATAGAAGTGCAGACCGGCCGCCGCATTGGAGCCGCTTGAGACCTATATTGACTTTGAAGACGTCCCATATTTTCCGCAAGTCCCCACACTCGACATGAAGAAGATTCAATGCGGAAGGTATTTCTGAGGACGTGCTGACAAAAAGCGTGCCATCCTCTGTCCATTTCGGAGCAGAATATTGTATGAGCTCCTCGTAGTACTCCTTAAAGGCGCGGGGCCAATACTGTTGAGACTCGGGGAGTGCGAATTTGACCGCGCGAACGATATCCTGCGAGTTTCCCGTGTACGAGGTTATTATGGTGGAATGCTTGCGCTCAAGCGCCCACTGTTCTACAATGTAGATTTCGAACCCGAACAACGTCACTTCGGTGCATGCGATTTCTGGAAGCTCGTGGAGCTTGAGACTGTAGATAGCCCTGAGGTCCGGGAATAGGAAGCCTGCGAATGGAGCTTTGTCCATGAGTGACGCAGATGGCGTCCTTGAGTGGACTCGTGTATTCTGGGGCGTTTCCAAGCATTTTACCACGTCATCGCTCATCGGAGAGGGTCAGGAAATTTGAAATCAGGAAACCGGAGAGAAATAGGTAAGAGAAGGCTCCAAAAAAGAGACAAAATTGGTCAAAAAGCTGTTGAATAGCTAGGTCTCCAAAAACCGCAACCCAGTGTTTTAAAAAAAACCCGCTTTTTAGGAGCCAAAAATTAGCCCAATAACCCGAGTGAATACGCCAAATGCTATTTCAAATCGTTAAACCCTCCTAAGCACCCAGTTTTAGAATTATGTTCCAAAGGTCGGAAAGAAAACCCAACGAAAGCTCGCTTTCGCAGTGCAACACGACAACACTCTTTACCCTAAGGTACCAACAAAGAAAAATACTAGAGCAGATTCCAGTTATATGCTCACTCCAACCACCAAACCATCAAATTTGGTTCACTCCAACTCTTCCCTTTTTATATCCCAAACTTTTCAGCTTGACAGTTTTTATATTCTATTGTTCAAATTAATCACTATTCTTATATATAACCCGGATCTTATGTAAATTTAAAGCTTTTAAGATTCGAACTCTAAAAGGGGACCTTCGAACCGTGAAAACTACACAACAGAAAACGAGTGATAGAAAGCTTATAGTCGAGTTTAAAGCCCCAAGTCATAGATAAAATGACGAAGGAGGAAGCAATTTTCAGTATGTGCGAAAATTCGGTGTTTTCAGCTTTTTTTTTGAGCCTTTTAGTACATTTTTGTGTGTCAGAATCATTATAATACTAACGTGGTCAAATCTCAACAGGATCGGCAGACATGACGTATGTGCAGCTGTATATACCACTGGAGCTGTCACGGGAAGTGGTATGTCTGCTGGGGAATCTTGGAAATGTGATGTTTCGCGATTTGAACGCAGATATGAGCGCATTCCAGCGTGGATACGTGAGCCAGATCCGCAAATTCGACGACCTGGAGCGACTTAACGCCAACATGGAACGTGTGGTGCAGAAATACAGCCAGGAAACGTGGAAATATACAGTGCACAACGACATCGACAACTCCACCCAGCATCCCAGCCTCAGCATGCTGTTGTCGACAATGCAGACCCATTCGATCGACACGGTCAGCGACCTCGCCACAGAGATCTCCGAGTTCGAGGCCCGAGTACGCCAGCTAGACGACTCGCTCAAAAATCTGCATGAACGGCTCAATCTACTCATAGAGCACCGCCAGACCGCGTACGAATGTCACCGGTACCTGGAGATCAACCCGGGACTAGCTGGACGGCTGGCTGCGGAGTCGCGTGGTCCGCGACTCAGTGGTGACGAATTTCAGTTCGACGACGACATGATTAGCGAAACTCTCAGCGACACTTTTTCGTTCGATGACATTGGAGCCGCCATCGACAATGACAGCACCCATGCGATTTCGAGAAGGCCACAATTGGGGTCTGCAGAGCTAGAGGAGGGGTTCAGGCACCAAACGACGATATTGGGCTCTATCGAACGTGCCAAGATCGAGACATTAAACAAGATTCTGTTCAGAATGCTTCGGGGAAATTTATTCTTCCACAATATACCCATGAGGGAGCCACTGGTCGTGGGAGAACAGCGTGTAGACAAGGATTGTTTCATAGTATTCACCCATGGTGAAATACTTCTCAAAAAGGTGCGCAAAGTTGTAGAATCTCTCAATGGCAAGATCTTTCCATCCAGTGAGGGAAGCACAGCAGTTCAAGCCCTTAATGCCCAAATCACAGACCTGCAGCAAATTTGTCAGACCACCGAGCAGACTCTATACACGGAACTTCTAATTGTGGCCGATCAGTTGCCCATGTGGAAGGCAGTGGTGCGAAGAGAGAAGCTGATCTATGCGTCTCTAAATCTTTTTCGCGAAGAGTCTCAAGGATTAGTCGCAGAAGGCTGGGTTCCGTCCAGTGAATTGGTGGCTATTTCTAATGCACTTAAAGACCATAGTGAGAACATTGGGTCCGAGAACAGTGCTGTAGTCAGCGTCATTAAGACCAACAGAAAGCCCCCAACTTTTCACCGAACTAATAAGTTCACCCAATCTTTCCAAGCCATTGTGGATGCATACGGCATCTGCACATATAAGGAAGTCAATCCAGGTCTTGCCACTATCGTGACATTCCCATTCATGTTTGCAATTATGTTTGGTGACGCGGGTCATGGTGTAATTCTCTTGATGATTGCGCTCTATTTGATATCCAACGAAAGAGAGTTTTCAAGGGCTCGAAATGGGGAAATATTTGACATGGCATTTGCTGGCCGCTACGTCATGTTACTCATGGGATTCTTCTCTGTGTACACGGGCCTGATTTACAATGATATTTTCTCTCTGTCAATGACACTTTTCAAGTCAGGATGGAAATGGCCTTCGAATTTTCAAGCTGGTGATGCAATTGAGGCAACAAAGACCGGGGTTTATCCTTTTGGGATCGATTCTGCTTGGCATGGGACCGACAACAATCTAATATTCACGAATTCTTATAAGATGAAGCTTTCCGTTTTGATGGGTTTCATTCATATGACATACTCATTTTTATTCTCTTTGGTCAACTACAGATTCTTCCGCTCCAAGGTTGACATTATTGGCAACTTCATTCCCGGACTTATATTCATGCAGTCAATTTTTGGCTATTTGACTTGGGCCATTATTTACAAATGGTCTAAAGACTGGGTGAAGGATGGGAAGGTGGCACCTGGTTTGCTGAACATGCTTATCAACATGTTCCTGGCTCCAGGTGTTGTTGACGAACCCCTCTTTCGCGGTCAAGCATTCCTCCAGGTCATTTTCCTCTTGGCTGCGCTCGTTTGCGTTCCTTGGCTGCTCCTCTATAAGCCGCTGACACTACGGGCTCAAAACAAAAGAGCTCTCTCTCAAGGCTATCAAAGTCTCAACGAACAGACGGTGACAGAGAGTATTTTAGAATCTCAAGAAAATGCAGGAGAAGATGTGGTCGTAACCGACTATCATGGAGATCACTCTGCAGGCTTCGATTTTGGAGATGTCATGATCCATCAAGTCATTCATACCATCGAGTTTTGTTTGAATTCCATATCTCACACAGCGTCATATCTAAGACTCTGGGCCCTCTCTCTGGCACATGCGCAACTGTCCAGTGTTCTGTGGTCGATGACAATCGCAAACGCATTTAGCGCAGAAAATCCTGGCTCACCGCTAGCTGTCACAAAAGTCGTTCTTCTCTTCGGAATGTGGTTTGTGCTGACTGTGTGTATCCTGGTGCTAATGGAAGGAACGTCTGCCATGTTGCACTCTTTACGTCTGCATTGGGTCGAGGCTATGTCTAAATTTTTCGAAGGTGACGGCTATCCGTATGACCCTTTCACTTTCAAAGATCTTGAGCAACCAGAAGCCTGAGCACGACGGGATGAGAGAGTGGACAGCTGCATATACATAAAAAAGCTTGTAAAAAGTGTAATTTTACGCGTTTTGGCTCTTGTCGAGTCTCGCTACACAATGCTAATGGTGTGCCTGCCCAGAATGCAAATGCAAAGTCTATTTACAGTTCATCATGTTCGAGAGGCGTGCTAGTGGAGGATGACTCCTGTTCACCAGATGTTGTAGAATTGAAGTTTTCATCAAGTGAATGGGAAGCCTGATTCTTCCGTTCTTCGCGCTTTTTTATCACTCTTTGGCGTCTGCCGTAAAGAGATCCCAATTCGTTAAGTCTAAAGTTCTGAGCGCTTTGCTCGAATTCCAACCACTTGGATAGGTCTTCAAAGGAAGAATCAAACTGCAGCTTTAGTTCAAACAGTTTTTCGCGCGACACATCATCGAAAGATTTGAGGTCTTGGAATTTGTTAACATTCGCCAAAGCTGTCTCCATGCGTTTCATCACGTCTTTGTATTTATGTTTTGGAGGAGATAAATGACGTGGTGCTCTCAGTTTCTTGAATTCCTTTACGACGTCCAATTCGAGAAGAGCGAAGCTCTCACGAAGTGCCTCTAGCGTTTCGTTTTCCATAAGTCTGTTCTTCTCTAGTTGCCTGACAAGCTCGCTGCCATTTGAGTACATTTGCGCAAAGTGATTTGCATCTAGAGGCTCATCCGCTGAATCTAAGTATAGGGCTATCTTCCCTTTCAAAGAAGTGATCGTTTTGATCCTCTTTGTCAATTCCCCGGGAGTAGTGTCGTCTGCTTGGCCATCGAGCCACTCGAGGTACTCATCAACGAGAGTCGCTAGGCTGCTGACTTCTTCACTTGGACCACCCGAAGCAACGTCGTCTTCTTCAAGATAATTTCTCGCATCGTACAGGGCACTCTCAAGAACATTAAGTAGTTCTTGCACTTTCAAGCGTTTGGCGTCCCTATCATTTAGGTCTTCCATGTGACTTCTGAGGGTGAAGCTCTCTTTGGTACTCATGGGCTTAAGGTGAGGGAAACTCTCCACAGTCTTTAGCCTTTTGATTTTGTCCCCTCTACTTGATTCTTCGCCTTCTGAAGATGCCTCATCGTCATTTGTTTCGAAACCAGAGAGAAGTTTCTTGAATACTCCAGCGGCGGTGTTTGAATTGTTGACACATATCGCTTCCACGCCATCGATGTCGAACAACCGGTCTTGCGACAGCGACAAAGTCACATTGTAAGCAACTCCATGAGGACACATCTCAGCTTGAAATTTTTTAGTAATGGGTTGTGTGTCGATAGTGTGTGTTTTAAAGATTTTGCCTTCTTCTCGCAAATCAATCGAGAAGTTGGTGATGTTGGTCACTGGTGGAGTTAAATATGAGGTCACATTTGGATACTGGGATCCAGCTGCAAACACCTCGAGAGGGGTGCCACTCTCATTGAAAACAGCCGAGTAAGTGAATATCGAGCGATCAATGACATCAAGGGCTTTTGTTTGAAAAGTCTTGAATAATTGGATTCCACGGATAGTTGTTCCTTCAACAGATGACTCGTCAGCATTGACGTTCTTCGCAATGAGCTCATCTCCAAAGTATTCGGAGAGCTGCTTTTGAACCAACGGAGTTCTCGTTGCTCCTCCGGTCAAAATCAAAGACTCAATATCACCTAGAGTTACCGCTGAATCCCCGAACTGATTTTCCAATGCTCCAAGAACCGGTGTAATAATTCTACTGTTCAAATCTTCAGAAAACTGCTCAAATTCCTGTCTTGTAATCGTGGTCTTAAAATCAATATCTTGATGAAGAGATTCAATGTTAACGGAAGCATCAGCGTTCGCACTTAGAATCAACTTCCCCTTTTCCGCGGCCTGATGGATACGCACCAAGGCTCTTGCGTCATTTTCGAGTTCCTCCGTTCTGACGGTTGGGTGGTGTTCTAGGAACTTATTTTTCAAAAGATCGGCAACGTTCTGGGTGAGCTGAGAGCCACCTAGCCCTGCGTCGAACCCGTACCCGTTAAACTCGACGACTAAGGGCTCGGACAAGTTTGTGGGCTGTTCGATAGAGACCAACGAGGCACGCGTGGAGCCACTCCCCATATCGTAAAAAACAAAATGCTTTTTCTCGCCCGCTGGGAAGTCCCGCTGCTTCAGCGCAAAATTGATGGCAACAGTCAAGCCGTCGTTCACCAAAACAGTCTTGACATTACGAGGCAATTGGGCTCCTGCTAGCAGTGCCATTCTCTGATCCTGTGTGAAGTACTCTGGGATAGCAATGGCAACAGAATCCACTTTATCCATGGCAGATTTCTCATGCAGCAACATGGCGTTGGCCCTACCGATAGTCTCATCTAAATTCATACCAACAACTTCTTCCACGGGGTAAACCCCGCCCAAACTCTTCAAAGCTACTGAATCACGCTCTGTACCTTCAAAAGCAACACCTGGATGGGCTCTATGGTAGGCATTGAACTGATCGTCTATCTTCTTTCCCAATAGCGCTTTTACGTGCAAAAGCGCGCCGTTTGGGGTTTTAACCTGTGCAGAATCGACGCCAGATCCAAAAACCCGTTCTACATCGCTTTTCCAACTCTTTAACACCAGTCCTGACACGTCTTTACGCTTAGAGTCTGCTGTCAACACCAACTCTAAAGGAGCATGTGGCGACACCAGCATCGCCTTGCTGAACTCATGGCCGTAGTCAAGACCAAGTAGCGCACCTTGAGTAACACTAACAATGGCTAAAACACCAGAAATCCAGACGGAAAGCCTCATTTTCTGCTTGAAGTTGTTTCGATCATATTGACAAGTGTTACGTGTAAGAGTTGAAGTTTAATAATTTAAAATAATAATTTAAGCAGCTCATCGCCAGGTTAAAAACATATAGAAAGACAGACATTGTCACTATAAAGAGCTTTTGAAAGTCCATTTATAGCGTTCACTTGAGAAACGAAACTTCGAGCTACCAGTGATGAGTTCTGGCGGCGCAAACGGACGATTCCCCGCTGGTCCATCAGGTAATTACGAGTCCAATGGATATAGAAGCAGAGAAAAAAGAGTAAACAGGAACTTTAGGGGAAATAGATACCAAGAAGAGTCAGAATCAAGATATGAAGGTAGGGCAAGTCGAGGACGTTACGGGAATGGATTTCGAGGCGCTAGAAGAGGTACGGGGAGCAGATTTCAACAGGACTATAGACGTGGAAACGGCAACGGCAACGGCAGATATGAGAGTCGGTGGAACGACGACGATGTGGACTGGGAACAGGTAGTTCCACTTAACGAACGCCAAAGAATGCGTCCTTCTCTGTGGGATAAGCCCTTGAAGGGCTTCGAAAATGTACCTGCAGAAAGAGCCAAGCTGTCTGGTCTTTTCCCACTTCCGGGACAGCCACAAGAACTGGATCGCTCAAAGCTGGACGGGATCGTCTCTAGCGGAGTGCTCACGCGTCGTACACGAATCCTGTTTGAGGACCCTACACGCGCTAACCTGAGCAAAACGAAGTACAATCAAATACTCATTTTGACCGCAGTGGGCTCCACCAAACCGGAGCTGAATGAAATTACAAAATTTGTGGATTCGTTTGTGAAGCTCATTGACGATACTCAAGATCTAAAATCGCACGCGATATTAAGCGATAATCGGCTGAAGCTCCATTTCAGCAGCGAAGAAATCACCACGATGGTGCTGAGCTGTCAAAAATATATAGAAGCCCAAACCAAATGCAAATTTATTTGGCAGAGACCTGGCGAATGTATCCGCAAATATAAACCACAGGATGCCATATGTGGTGGCGAGGTCATTGCGTTACTAGGTCTCGAAAAATCCGACCAGGAAGCTCTCATGGAGGATCTGCGCAAAAATGGCGTTGAAGTCAACTGGCTGAAACTTATCGTACTCGAAAAGACCCAGGAATTCACAGGAGCGGCGCTACTGGAGCCGATATCCTGGAACAATAATATCAGACACTATAGGTGGATCCGGCCCAACGATTCTAAGCTGCATCAAGATTTTGAGGAAGTGACATTCCAACAACTGCCGCATCTGGTAACGCGCCGAGACCACGAAGCCTCTCGCGTTATTGTTTTGCTCAATTGCGTTGATGGCAAGGACTTGAAAAACGAAGACTTTGTTCGCGAGCTCCATGATTGCATGGCCCAGTCGGAAATCATGACATCTTTCGGTGAAATTGAAAGCGTCAAGATTCCCAAACCTGGTGCTGATTATCGCAACAGCTTCGAAACCATTGAAGAAAGCATAGGCAAGATTTTTGTTAAATTCAAAGAGGTCGAGAGCGCACGTTCCGCGATGCAAAAGCTGCCAGGGCGTCAATTTAACGACAGAACGGTATTGTGTGCATATTTTAGCGAAAGGGACTACAATATGGGAATTCTATGAGTTGTGAAAGGAAATCGACGCTTTTCTTGTTTCTGAAGAACTCGAAATATAAATGCAGAGCCGTGTTCGCAACATTTTGTCATAAAGTGAATAAAACACGTTATTGCGCTATCCTATCACCAAATCCGGATCCTCCAGATGCTGCACGAGGAGGTCGTATATACTAGATGGTAACTTGGCCACGAAGCCGACTCCCAGCCTTATTATCTCCTCGGCGTCAAACTCAGGGAACACGCGCAGGAGATTCATGGGGGAATTGCTCTTCAAAATCCGCGCCCTGATGACCACCAGTTGTGCTACGATGAAGAGGATGTTCATGTGGAATCCGTAAGCGAACATAAAATCCCACAATTTGCACACTTGATCCAAAGGCTTGGTACAGCTCGACAAGGTCAGGATTGACGGTATGCCGTAGATCTCTGCGGTCAAAAGATTGTCGGTGAGAAACTTGCTGAGCTTTGGATCGATGATTTTCAGGCATATATCGAGCAGTTTAGCACCGTTGTGTACCCCTGTAAGACTTTGATTTAAATACGTTCTGATGTGATCTTGGCAAAGCGATTCGAACAGCTTATATGCCATGGGTTCGGACGGACTGCTGTAAAGAATTGGCGCTAGTAGAACGTTCATGCCTTGAACGTACGTGCTCAATTCGGTGTTGTCACTAGCGCTGTCTATGACTGACCAAGCAAAACAGGACAGGCATCTGGTGATTGCGTCCTCCGAAACGGACGCTACAAATTGTGGGTCGGTATTTAGAGTTCGAAAGGTGTCGTTTTTGATCTTGGAAAAGATTGGCGGAGGAGGTGGTCCTCTTCGTACCAATAAAATGTAATCAGATGTCGCTCCATCCATTGAACAGCGGGTCAGAACCGACCAAACGTTGCATCTCAGTCTTACTGCTGATCTGTCTTTTGGAGCCGGAAGACCTTCGCTTAGCACGAGATAACGCAGTTGCGCCAGCGAAGAGTGAACAATCAGCGGTTGCTGGTTGACAAACTTCTCGATTGAGCTCATAGTTGTTGGTTTCTTTGGCCTTGATGCAATAGTAGAGATCTCATCACGGTAAACATTTTAAAGATTATATCCTAGATCATCAAAACATACAGAAACTAGCTGAAAGGATAGAAAAGGGAGACGCCAAAAGGTTCGTTGAGCATTGAAAGGGTTTAAAAATGTGTGAGTGATTCTATCACAGGCTTTTTCATGAGTTTTTGGGCCCAGTTCTGACTAACAGGTGCGCTGTTTGAAAGACACAGCTGCAGATTGAATACCGTTAGCCTCAAGCTGTCGAAGGGGAGCTCTTGATATGTGAGACTTAAGCTTCTTAAGAGCTGCGAAACTTGGTGCTCGAAGAATTAGATAAGGAAGAATTTTGCTCGAGAAGGCTATTCAAAGTTCGATGAGGTAGAACTGTGATTGGAGCTTCACTGCGGAAGGTTTGGGAAGATTTATGTGAATCTATTTGGTACAAAGTGCTTCGCAGCCTGAGTATCATGTTTGTGGTTAAGTTGAAGTTTGAGCTGGATGCTAGGACCATTTTCTATGCACGTTGTGGCCTATTTGGCAGGTCAGTTGTCGTTGAAATACGCTGTGCAGCGGTAGTGGGTAAAGAAAAAGTATGAAAAGGCGACATATAGCCGGAAAAGACCAGCAATTCATCGCCATTTAGATCACCGAGAAAGACTGGCGACATGTTGGTACCACAGATATTGGTTTTACGAAATCTCAAAGCAGGCCTCGAGCAGCTTACTAGATGTGAATTAGTTTGATGGAAGCTCCCAACGATGCAAGATGTCTGCATTCAAGCAGTTCAAGTCGACATATTTTTGCAAGAGAGAAGGGGTGCTATAGTCGAGGAATTTCCTTGAGCGAACTAGACTTATCCAGTTGGCAAAATTTATTCTGAGGCGTGCCAGGGATCGATAATTTTACGATTCAAAGGATGCCCTGGCGCCTGGTACGGTCAAGAATTTTCAAGATCCACGCAAAATGGTTATTTAGGTGCGCTTTTCACTCCATAGCATTGGAAAACACATCCTTTGACAAGTGGGTTCGGTTTCGCAATTGCAACACTCAACAATTGTCCACATCGCCAAATGTCATTAGATGTCTCACTTGGAAATGGTCAATGAAAAGGGCTCGAGATTTTTTTTGGTCTCCCTTCTAAGTAGAGCAGAAGACAATGGCGTACTAGGTCAAAGATGCAATTAAACTTGATCGGTAAATGTTTCCAAGGCTTTCAAGTACTCATCCCATTGCAAGTTTGCAAAGACTAAGCTTTTAGACAAGCGCGGTTTCGAAAAGATTCGCTATCTGCCGAGCGAGAGAAAAAAATCAGCGTTAAAGCCGTAGTTGTAGACCGTCGCTGTCTTATATTCTCACTCCGCCAGAAGGTATGCCATAGGTCAATGCGGATACCGATCTCGAGAAATGGTCAGCCTTGCCTCTCTCTTTAGGAGTTACCACATGTAGGTTTAGATTCACATCTTGACGTAATCTTATAGCATCATTGTTTGTCAATGTAGATGCTCATTATTAGGGCCTGACATCATCGCATATCAGCGTTGTTTCGATAAATAGCCGTACTGCTCTGATAACATGGTGATTTTAGTCTCGGAATCTCCTTCCACGGTGTGCGAAGTCGATCTGAGGTTTCAAACGACGGTTCAGTGGCCGCGCGTTCATCTTGAAGAAAGGTGAACTCCAATTTCGAACATCTTTTGTGTATGCCTCTCACTCTCCTCGTTTCAACTTGTTTTGGTGAAGAGTTTAACACTGAAGCTGAATATCTATGAACCGCTTTGATAGCACTGGGGAGATCAAGCTTCAGGAGAGCTGGGCCAGCTAAGATCCGAAGCTTCGGGGAAAGTGGAAGTCAAGCTCAAGGAACGTGAAGCTAGCTCTGAGAAAGCATGGGTCAGGCCAGAATTGAAGCTCAGTGTCTTCTAAACCCCTTGAGTGTCCCAACTCAGACTCAAAGCTGGAATAGTGAACGAGCTCAGATTCGAGTGTAGAGAAGATACTTTGTACAGCACTGAGAGGTCTAAATCGAGGGTCGCTAAGCCAGCTCTGAGAACGACAGTTGCCAATCTCGAGAAACGCCGGGAGAGGCCAGCTTGAGCACCATTTAGGCGACCCAACTCAAAACTCCAATTCCGAAAATCCTTGTAGACAGCTTTGGGAGGGCCAAGCTCGAGGAAACGCTAGACTAGTTCGGGAAAAGCCGTGTGGAACACGTCAGCCCAATGTCCTTGTTATATCATCGCGTGTCAGAGCTCAAACTCTCTCCGCGCCAGTCTGATACACTCAAACCCCACTACATGTGCCCAATGTTTTATACATCTTCCCTGTGTCCCTGTGTCTGTTTCCTCTCTCTTCCTCCTCTCTCTTCCTCCTCTCCTCACCTCTCTCTCCGTATCCCAGACTCAAACCCACTTCCCAAATTCACCTCTCCCCCTCTGCCAAAAAACACACTCTCGCCAACAACAACAATCGACAAACACACCCATTATCACCACTTTCCTCTCCCACAGCACACCCAAGAAACTAATGCACACCCAGTGAACACGAACTGCACCCAGGTTGTGCACCCATGAGAAGAAAAAATTCGCACCAAACGCTGCAACGCGCGACGTCTTATATAACAGCGAGAGCTATTTCACGATGAGGGCGATGAGTTCCTGGAACACATTGCATTTGAGCAAGTAATCTTGGGCGAGTACCAACATCAACACCAACACCAACACCAAACGCTACACTGCCACTCTCTCCCGCCATGAATAGCGTCTCTCGCTGGATCGCTCTAACATACTCGACGTTAGTGCTCACAGCGACACTGGTGAGAGCTGAAACTCACGTCTTCAACTGGACCACAGGATGGGGAACTTACAACGTGGACGGCACCAAGGAACGTCCTGTGATCACCTGTAATGGAGAGTGGCCCTGGCCAGACGTCACGGTCAACAAGGGCGACCGTGTGGAAGTGTATCTCAACAACGGGTTCGACGACCGTAACACGTCGCTGCATTTCCACGGGCTGTTCCAAAACGGCACCAACCAGATGGACGGGCCCAACATGGTGGTGCAGTGTCCCATCGGGCCTGGCGACACGTTCCTGTACAACTTCACGGTCGAGGACAACGTCGGGACGTACTGGTACCACTCGCACACGGCAGGCCAGTACCAGGACGGCATGCGTGGCACGTTCGTGGTGCAGGACAAGGACGACTTCCCCTACGACTACGACGAAGACGTGGTGTTGCAGCTGGGCGAGTGGTACCACGACGTCACCGACGTGCTCCACCACCAGTTCCTCAGCGTGTACAACCCAACCGGTGCAGAACCCATCCCCCAGAACCTGATCATGAACAACACCCGCAACAACACCTGGCACGTCCAGCCCGACACCACGTATCTGCTGCGACTCGTCAACACGGGCGGGTTTGTCTCGCAGTACTTCTGGATCGAGGACCACGAAATGGAAGTGGTCGAGGTCGACGGTGTGTACACGGACCGCAACACCACCAACATGATCTACATCACCACCGCGCAGCGCTACTCCGTCCTCGTGCACACCAAAAACTCCACGGACCGCAACTACGCCGTCATGCAAAAGTTCGACGACACCATGCTCGACAAACTGCCCGCGGACCTCCAGCTCAACACCACCAACTACATGGTCTACAACGCCGACGCAGAACTGCCCGACGAAGACGTGGTCGACGAGCTCGACTTCCTCGACGACTTCTACCTCGTCCCCTACAACAAGGTCGAGGCCCTGGGCGACCCAGACTACCGCATTACCGTCAACGTCAGCATGGACAACCTCATCAACGGTATCAACTACGCCTTCTTCAACAACTTGACCTACGTCGTCCCCAAGGTGCCCACGCTCATGACCGCGTTGTCTGCCGGCGAGGACGCCGTCAACGCCGAAGTTTACGGCTCCAACACCCACTCCTACGTCCTAGGCAAAGACGAGATCGTCGAGATCGTCCTCAACAACCTCGACTCCGGTACCCATCCGTTCCACTTGCACGGCCACGTTTTCCAAACAATGGTGCGTGATGTGGCCTACGACGCCGACACCGACGTCCCCCACCCTTACCAAGAAGACGACCATCCTGCGTTCCCAGAGTACCCCATGCTCAGAGACACCATCTACGTCAGACCCCAGTCCAACTTTGTTATCCGTTTCAAAGCCGACAACCCGGGCGTGTGGTTCTTCCACTGTCACATCGAGTGGCACTTGACCCAGGGTCTTGCCTTCGTCTTGATCGAAGACCCCCAGGGGATCCAAGAACGCTCTTCCCAGCAGCTCACCGAGAGCAGCATCAACGCGTGTAAAAGCCTGGGCGTCCCCTTCGAGGGTAATGCCGCAGGCAACACCGACGACTACATGAACCTCAAGGGCGAAAACGTGCAAGAGAAATTCATCCCATCCGGCTTCACTGCCAAGGGTATCGTGGCCATGACCTTCTCGTGTCTGGCGGCAGTGTTGGGTCTCGTTGCCATTGCCGTTTACGGGCTCATGGACCTGTCCAACATTGAGGAAAAGGTTATTAACGAGCTGGACCTCGACGTCGACCAAGTGGTTGCCGCAGACTCCAACACGGAAGACAACGAGTCAGAGCCCAAACGCAGGATCAATTCCGATTAATACTTGTAATGTAAAATATACTTCACACACCCTCTACGGCTACTCGAGATATGTGTAAAGACTTGTGTATTTGTATAAAGAGGGCGTTTTAGACCCATAGACTAATGTTCACATTCAGAGAAAGACAAGATGAGACAAGATGAGACGCTTTTGTCGATCGATGGATGACGACGCTACACCGACGGCGGTGTTCTTCGCATTTTTAAATCTTCCAAGTTTGGCGTCGTTTTGTCATTTCTCTACCCACGACTAGAAAACTAACCAGAACCTCGACCCGTACAAGTCCAATCTGAAAAATTTCTAGCATTGTCACCTAGAGCATCGCCAATTCCATCTTAAAACCCAGGGCTTTCGCCACCACTGAGTCGTCCAACAGCCACCCATTCGAGTGTCATCAAGAGGTATATATGGTCGATACCAGCGAGGACGTTTCCGCCCGGAAATGCGGTTGCGAAAAATGCCGGCCAACTAAGAAGAAGCCCGTAAGATACAGATTCAACTTCTTGAAGAACATGAATCTTCGTCAGGGCAACTACGAGGCTATCACGTCAATGCCATACTTGGCACAGAAGTACGGTGAGAAACGTGCGGAAAACATCTCGCGATTTGTGAAATGCATTCACAAACAGATCAACAGCGGCGTCAACAGAATATCGGATCTGCAAGTCAATAGTCTTCTTCCATGGACTAGGGTAAGGCTGTTTCTGCTCCTGGTTACGCTGTCTCAAAAGGGAGGATCCGATTACTGGATTCAAGCGGGCGTGGAAGTACGAGATTCTCCAAAACCGCCCAAGATCAAGGAAAAGGAGCCGTCTAAGCCCATGGAAACGCAACAGGAGCTACCTTACGGGACGCTTATAGAAGAGATTATGCGACAAAATATCAACGAGAATTTCAAAGAGTCCGAGCACGATGAAAACTACGTCTTCAGCTCGATCTGGGCCAACTTCATGGAGGGCCTCATCAACCACTTTCTGGAGAAAGTCATTATACCCAATAGCGAGAAAAAAGTGTGCCAGCAACTTTACAAGCCGATGATGAAAATAATATCGCTATACAACGAATACAATGATCTTATGGAAAAGAGCGAGCGAAACGGGTTTTTGCCCGCCAACGAAGAACCGCCATCTGAGCTGGCGGGGGCGGGAGAATCGGAAAACTCTTCCGAAAATAATAAGCTCCAAACCGCACAGCGACTACTGTGGCAAGCCCGTCAGGATATTCCTAAAACAATAAGCAAAGAGCTCACGCTTCTCTCGGAGATGTACGCTACCTTGTCCGCAGATGAGCAAGATTTCGAACTGGATGAGTTTGTGTGTAGTGCAGAGGAGTACATTGAACTAGAATACCTACCATCTCTGATTGAAGTCCTGTTTGCCAACTGCGGTACTGCAAATTTTTGGAAAACTATGATCGTTTTGGAGCCCTTCTTCTATTATATTGAAGAAGTGGCAGACGAGGATTCTTCCAGCATTCAGGACGAGTCCAGCAAGCCGGATCCGAGGGTCGTAACCCTGGAGAAGATTTGCCAAGTAGCAGCAGAACAGGATTGGATCTAGAGTTGGTCGTACTTTTTTTTTTTTTGGGTCTTCGCCACGCCACGAAAGGTTTGTAATTTATGTCTTCGCCATGTCATCTCCGTTCCGTATTGATAGTAACTATATACAGTGGCGATCAAATTTGCTTACTGCTTTTTTTGCTGTGAGTAGGGAGCTCACTGTAAGGACGGTTCTTCAGCTTCTTGTATTTGTTGAAGGTTTTGAATGTCCCCAAAACGCGGCGCCTTTGATTCACGGCAAATTGTCTAACGTCATGAATATCGCGATGGGTCTTGTTGAGGTGTAGGAAGAAATACATGGCAACGCATGCCACAACCACCATTGTGGGCATCGTCAATGCCACATAGTACCAGGTATCGTCCGAAATACCAGCATCTTGAAGCGCCAGCTGTTCTTTAGTATTTTTGAACACTCTGGAGCCCATGATGACGTGCAACAGGATTCCGTTAGCCCAAGGGTCGAAGGCCTCGTCCTCAATGTAGTCGGGTTGGATGGCGATCAAAATGCGTCTTTCATACTTGTCTTGAAGCCACTCTTCCGTGGGTTCCATGGGGTATAGACCGTCAACGTTTTTCACCCATTCAGTACTGAAAAATGCCCCGTGAAGGTTTCTCTTCTTGAAACCCTTTTCGTGGGCCTTTTCCTTGACATAGAACGCATGCAATCTCACCTTTTCCGCGATTTTGTCAGTTTCTGGATCTTCAAAGAACTTGGTGTACCAAGTCACAAAGTAAGTGTGATCGATTTTCCATTCCACATTTTCGAACGGGGTGCAGAATGGCTCGCTGGAAATATCCTTAGCCAGTCCCTTGTTTCTGTAGCGTTGAGGTGTGCACCGGATGATAGGGTTCAAAGAAACATAAGTTTTATCTTCGTCTTCAAAGACGTCCTCAACGAGTATGTCATCCTTGTCCATGTTGTGTGCTCCTATTTCATCGCCTGTGAGAGTAGTTACATGGAGTGTTTGGAAGTACGTGCTGTAATCAGGAGTTCCACGAACTGTACGTCCCTTCTTGATTTCCGGCTTAACGGTTTTCGGATTTCCGAGTTTGTCGAGGGACACCCATGGTTGGAGAGGGTCTGGAGTAACTGCGGGCTTAGCAGAGAATGTGACTCCCGCAATCACTGTGGGAGTTACTACTTCCACTTGTGTTGAGTAAATAGTTCTACGCCATGGCTTTATAACTTCCGAAGTTGTCGTAGTTGGTCTAGGATTGACCGCATTTCTGTAAGCGTCTACGACGCCCAGCCAAATAAGAACGTAGAGCAGAGACAGTCTAACAATGGCCATAGTTCCACGATTGTTGGACAACTTGGAAGAATTGCTGACTGAGATATATTTTGATTTGAGAACTTTATGTTGATAATCCTATAATATTGAAAAATTTCAATTGTAGTAGTAGCCCGGCTAGCTCATCGCGGGCCATTCATTCATATATAATGGACAATTCCGAGCTAGTTGAGCTTGTAAAGACGAACTTATCACACCAACAATTATGGGACTCAGTAAGATCTTTTAAGCTGTCAAATTCGGACACTTGGATGGTGAACGGCCTTCCTCCGCATAAATTGAGTAATGATGATGAGGAGCTTGAGACCGAGTGGATTCTGCCCGTGGAGTTGCAGCAGTATAACAGTGGGAACATGACTCTGGAGATGGCAGATCAGTTTTTTGCAGAGCTGAAGTGTCGAAGGATCATTTTGGGTATTGTCAACGATGACGGAACGGTGGTGTATTATTTTATGTATAAAGGTCTTCACAAACCTAAGAAGAACTGAGCATTCGCAGAGTGACCGGTGGCATGCAATATGCAATATTGTGAAGTGGACTATTTCGCGATCGAGAAGTTTCAACGGTCCACAGCTACAAGGCCACCATTCTCCTCAGAGCGTAGTACACACTCATCGCGGCGTTTCCGCGCTCGGTGAATGAGGGTTCTCGTTGTTCTAGCTGCGAACCGGCTTCTGACAGTTTCTTACAGCGCTCGACGACCTCTTGAAACCGCTCTTTTCCTAGAGTCCTGTTTAGATGCTCGCGCACCAGTTCGCCGTCCGGAAGCTCCAGCTGTATGAATAGATTTGCCCACACTAAGTAGTCTGCGGCCAAGAGTTGATCGCGGGGCTCTACTTGGTCGCGAGCCTCTAGTTTGTCGCGAGCCTCCAGCCAGCTCTGAAGCTGGTCGCTCAAACGATTCATGAATTGTAAATTGAAGCGCGCAGATTTGAGCAACTCCTCCTTGCGTGCTTTCGAAGCCTTGGTGAGTTTGTATGCCTTTGACTGCACCAGGTCGTCCACCTGGTCTACGTTGAAATCCACATGGTCCTGGTCATCGGGATGCGAGAAGTATCCAAGCGTCTCGCAGCGCTGGCGAGCAAGACTCCTGTTTTTCAAAGGTGTATTGTACCACAGAGGCCATTCTAAAAGACACGCAAATATCTTTCGGGTGAAACCATCGTAATTGTTCCTATTCAGGTACAGCTGGTACTGCGTTAGAGCTCCAATTTGGTCCTGAGCAAATTGCAGCAATGCACTTTCCAGTGCCGAGTTAGAAGGACACAGAGTTGAAACAATGCTCGAAAACCCACATATTGTTTTGGAACCATTTATAAGTATCGGAAGTTCTTGATTAGGTGACAAATCAGTGTTGTTAGAGAACACAACTGTTATTTCTGAATTCGTTTTAATGTCGTTCAACAACCAGAACAAAGCTACGCTCTCCGGTGAAATGATGCTTGGCTTACCATCCAGACCCCACAAATGAACCACCACGCCCATTGTCACGACTTCAAAGATGCTATGGGTTGGTTCTTCAAGTTCGCGATGAGATGAGTTGTGTACATGGGCCTCGATAATTAAGGATTCTGCTCGGACAAGCATGATACACGAAGAGAACACCAAAGACAAACGGGCTCATCGCGTCTGCCAGTGGACAATCCCAAGTTTGAGTGGTGATTGGCAATTTTCTAGCAGTTTGTTAATACATAAGAGTGTAGCTGTCAAGAGGCGGGTCGTCTTCGTTCGCTTCACGCCTGGAAATGACACTTTTAATATTGCATGACATTATTGAGAATTTACTGGAGGGAGAACTTCGGAATTAGGAAGGGGATTACTCAATTGATATGGCGGAACGTGTCCATGGCGTCTAGCAGGGCAAGGAAGCCTATGCTAATGAATTTATTTGAGATTTTAATCGAAATGAGATTTGTGAAAACAGGAAAATCGAGTAGCTCTTGAATTCTGAGCGGAGTCATTCAAAAATCGTGTGGCAAGAAAAGTATCACTCTTCTGGCATGAAAATGGTGCTTGTCATAAACACGATTTTGCAATACTAACTCCAAAATCAAAGGAGCGATCGTATCTGAGAATTCTGACACTAAATAATTGATATTATCACCTGTGCAATCCGAAACTGTATGAAAGTAACATCAATGAAAATATTACCACATTATCACGCCTGACTAACCCAATAACGTCTTCAAGATAAAAAAAGTTCCCATTCCGAATTTTTCAGACTCCAGGAGAAGGCCTTTCTTAAACCAAACGTGCTTGAGTGGTAGCTAAACTCATTATCAAGCCTCCAAGAACGCGTAGTACAGTAGTACCGCACTCACAAACCCGGTCTCAAGACCCAACGTAGTTCGGATTTCTGACCTGGCATCTGATCACATGACTCCAAAAAGAGCTGTCCAAAAAAATGGATAATCGGACAATCTTGAACTGCTGTCAATACTTCTGAACTTCAGCATAGCTCACCTCAATACAAGCGACCTCAGGACTCCACAACTTCTGTCGCTCGTCATTCAATCGGGCGTTCAATTCTATTTTATATATTTTAACCATAGACTATGTCTGCGACTCCCGAATTGGCCAAAAACGGCCAGGGAGCATTTGTAAGGCCCAGCAAGCGGCAAAACAGGCCGGACGAGGATGTTCGGGGTAGACTTAGCGATAAAATAGAGGAAACCCCTAGTGACATCTGCACGTATCTGGAACTGGTACGACTGCTCCAAGACCAGGATCAGGACCAGCTGCAGGAGGCTCGCCAAGTGCTGGACAAACTGCACGAACGATTCCCACTTTTTGCGCCACTGTGGACAGTAGAGCTCGGTTACGACCTCGAGCGTGACGAATTCACACACGCAGAAACCCTGCTGACCCGCAGTCTGTCGGGAGAGCTGGACAACAACGATTTAGGGCTGTGGTTTATGTACTTGGACTTTGTTCGTAGGAAGAACAACATCATTACTGGCGGAGAAGAAGCGCGTAGTGTGGTGCTTAAGGCGTTCGACGCTGTCGCCACTAAGTGTGCTAGCTTTGAGCCGCGGTCGTCGACGTTTTGGGCCGAGTATTTGTCCTTTCTAGAGCACTGGAAGCCCGTGAGCAAGTGGGAAGAGCAGCAAAGAGTAGATCTCACACGCACGCTGTACAAACGTATGCTTTGTATTCCCTTCGATGGTCTGGAGAGATCGTGGAGCAAATACACGCAATGGGAACAAGAAGTCAATTCTTTGACGGCACGTAAGTTCATTGGCGAGCTTTCAGCTAACTACATGAAAGCGAGATCGCTTTACCAGGAATGGGCAAACATAACGAAAGGTCTAAGAAAAACACTTCCATCCCGTCTTTCACAATGTTCGCGTCAAACCATCCCGCAGCCTGGCCAATATGATATCGAGCAATTACGCCTGTGGAAAGAATGGATCCAGTGGGAGCTGCAAAACAAATCGGATTTACCAGAAGCAGAACATAAGCAACGCGTCGAATATGTCTACAAACAGTCGATACAACATGTTTTGTTTTCGCCAGAAATTTGGTACAACTACACCATGTACGTAATGTCATATTCGACTTCAAAAGCTAGAGAGCTCTTGATGCTAGGAACGAAGGCTAATCCGGGATCCTGTACTTTGACCTTCAAACTAGCTGAGTCGCATGAGTTAGAAAATGACGTGAGTGAAATGCAATTGTGTTTCGAGAGATGCATCGACCAGTTGGTCTTGGAATACCATATCATGAGCGATGAGAACGAAGACACTTACGAGAAAAGACAAAAAATCACGTTTGCTTACTGCATATATATGAATGCGATGAAACGAGTCTCAGGATTGTCTGCCGCTCGTAAGGTTTTTGGCAAATGTCGTAAGCTGAAGGACCTTCTAACACATGAAATCTACATCGAAAATGCATACTTGGAATATCATAACCAAAACGACCATAAGACAGCCTGTAAAGTACTCGAGCTGGGTATGAAATACTTTGCCGATAACGGAGAGTATGTGAACAAGTACCTGGACTTTTTAATTTTGATAAATCAGGATGGTCTCATAAAATCGCTATTCGAAACTTCTCTGGATAAAGTAACAGAAGTGGACCAGCTGCAAATTATCTACAAGAAAGTCATCAACTATGAATCGAAGTTTGGTAACTTGACCAATGCGTATTCAATTGAAAATCGGTTCTTCGACAAGTTCCCCCAACTGGAGAAAATCGAAGTATTCACAGATCGTTACCAGGTGCAAGACAGCAATCTTGTCAAAAAACTAGAGTTGGATTATTTATACCAGTCAAGCATTTGTTCCGACACTCCTAGCAGTGATCGCAAGAGGCAAAGAGGTAATTCGTTCTCAAACGAAATTTCAGGAAACGCTAAAAGAACAAAGTCGGAAGATTTTGTCACAAAAAATGTTATCGAGCTGCTGAAAGTGTTACCAAAGCGCCAATATTTCAAGACAGCGGTCCTGGACGCCGAAAAGTTAACAAGATACTTGTGTGAAAACGTAAGTATACCCTCTGGTGCGGAGGCAAAATAGAGTAAGTAAACTACCTTGGCATGAGTATTGCAGTTTTAAGTATGTACTGTACGACCTACTTCAAGAGCGGTAATCACCGTTAATTGTCACATATTCATGACTCAAGTCACAAGTCCAGAACTGACAGTCTTCGGAGCCAGTTCCCAAATCAACTAAGACTTCGAGGTCCGACAAGCTCAAAATCTCAGAGGCTCTTGACTCGTCGATATCGAGCTGAGGAACACCGTTCGCGATAAGTTTTAGTTCACGTGGAGTTGAGTTGTCCGTGGCGATAAAACTAACATTGATTTTGGATTCGTCAAGGGACTCGTAGTTGCCCAACTTCGAATAGCCAATTGCGCACAAGATTCGGCCCCAGTTAGCATCTTGACCGTAAAGAGCGCTCTTTACCAGCATACTGTTTGCGATAGTCTCTGCAATTGTTCTTGCATCTTTGAATTCGGCACTGTTCTTGACGTTGACGGTAACGAATTTGGTGGCACCTTCGCCATCGCGAACGACCAGTTGGGCAAGCTGTTTGGAAAATTCAGTGACCTGACTGCTGACTTTCTTGAAATCGGACGAAGATTCGTCAATGACAGGGGTGTCAACTGCACCATTGGCAAGCATGCAAATGGTATCGTTGGTACTCATATCACCGTCAACAGAAATACAATTAAAGGAACGGGTTACAGCGCCGGTAAGCATAGTTTGCAAGGCACTGGATTTAATAGGCAAATCAGTTACGATGAAACCCAGGAGTGTGGCCATGTTGGGACAAATCATACCAGCACCTTTCGAAATCCCAACGAGAGTATACTCAGTTCCATCAGACAGAGAGAATTTGGCTGAGATCAACTTGGGGAAAGTATCTGTGGTGCAGATAGATTTTGCGAGCTTGAGCCAGGAATCGAAATCAGACGAGAACTTGTTTTGGCCAAACAACGTTTGGATTCCGCCCGTAATTTTATCCATCTGTAGTCTTTGGCCTATAACTCCGGTAGACATGAGAAGGGTACTGTTTTTTTCGCCAATTAGCTCGTTGACCTGTGTAGCGACCTTTCCAGCGTCTTGAAGACCCAACTCACCCGTTACTGCATTGGCACATCCAGAATTTACCACAATGGCGTCAATGCCCTCGCCAGAGGTTGCGTCTAACACTTTTCTAGAAAATTGTACAGGTGCAGCTTTGAATCTGTTGGTGGTGAAAACCGCAGCTGCAGAAGATTTGCGAGATTTGTTGACATTGCGAATAATACCCAAGTCGAGGGCATTGTTTTTCTTGACGCCCGAAGCCAGAGAGGCTACTTCATAACCTTTAGGAAATACACCAGTCTTTGGGACAAAAAGAGCGTATTTGTCCAAAGTTTTGGAAGCCGATTGTAGAATGCATTTAGTTGCCCTCATTACCGCCTAATCGATTGAATGAAGCAGCTTACAATTGCTTAGAAGCGGAAACGTCCAGTATCGTCGATCGCTGAGAGTCGACGATAGATAAATGGTCAATTCAAGATTGGCTAAGCATCTTAGACGAGCATTGTAACTAATTTGGCCAATTTTGATGTAGCGACGTTAACGATCAAGATACAGAATGAGGCCATAATTGAGAACGATAGCAATCAAGAGGATGACAGTTTTATGGCCTCGGGCTAGCTGGGGTAAAATTTACTCCGTTTTTTTTGATTTTTTAGAGTTCTGAGGCAGGAATGCGTTCTTTGTTGAACATATTCTAGTTTGATCTTATACCATTTTATAAGACTCGGGATAGCCGAGGATGAATACCGTTAGTTTTTTCATCAGTACATGTTCAGTTTACTCAGGTTTTTTTATGAAGTATCTTGTTCAGTGAATTAATTATTAGTATGTATATGTAAGGTTGCTCGTGCCTTGACTGACATTCGAAGCTTCGAAGTTCTTTTTTGGTCTTAATCCATTGACATGAGATGAAAGGAAATTCTTTTGGTTGATCCTAAAGCTCGATAAACGGAACACGGGTGTGTACACATGTACACATTCTGGGAAACGTCAAACTGATGATATGAGCGATTAGCTGACCGATCGAAGAACATTTGAATAGTGTCTGCTGCTCAATCCCCCCCATGCTCAACAAAAGTCATTCTCGAACACACCACATATAACGGGATAGTGCTCGAAACTATTCGAAATCTCACCAATATAAGTTAAATATCAGTATCATTTTGAACCATTCCGTCATCTGGCGCGGAGTCACATGATTTGACCCTCCTGTTATCCACAACATTGGCAGTGACAACGAGTTCCTGTTTTGACATTCATTGATGTATACTTTCAATTTGCGAACTTTAGCCCACTCAAGTGTTGATTGGAGGTATTTTGCCTAATATCTTTCATCAACGTGTGTTTTCAACTAGTTATGTGTTCGCTGCCTGAGTGCCATAAAGTATCTTGATAATCTGGCCACATTCTATTCACGTTATTGATTGATTTCGAGCACAGTCGATTGTGATAACTCAGTAACAATCACACTTGCAAGAATTTTTAGTTTTTGGAAAATGTCACGGATCTTACGAGTTTCACTTATATATATCCCTCTGCGCCATCCTGTCATGCACAAATAACCTTGACGGAAACCATTGTTCTATGATTTACATCGCACGGTAACAACGTTTGTGCCAAAATGATAAAACCCCATGAGGTCGCCATCGAATTTTGGTGAATCAGTATATAGGGTTGACAAAGACAATGCTCATGATTTTTAAGGCCGAAGCTTTTGGACATAGAATGAAGTGGTGATTTTATTAACGGATATTTTGTGTATATATATATATATATATTGAAAATTAAGTGATTATTGAGTCCCGATGTCGGATGCAAGAATTGATGTTTCAGGTAAAATATAATTCCTGAATGGGTAGGGAGGAGATGAGATGAGATGAGAGTGATGCAGTGTTGAAACACGATGATGGTTTTTTATGATATCAACAACCTTGGTAATGACAACCATGTGAACACAGTCTTGTCAGCTGTTGTTTTTTTTTTTCTCTCAATTGATTCCATTCATTCATCTCCTCGATGATAAATGAATATAGATTAGATGGGGGTCTTCATTTACTCTGTATCCACTCGCAGTCGCAGTCGCAGTCGCAGTCGCAGTGAGACCGCTTTACTCGGATTTCTGCGAACTGGAAGACCCGTCGGCTGGAGCTCTAGCACCTGGAGTCACTTCTCCACTGGGATCTTGCTCAGTTTCCTTCTTTTCGAATAAAGTGTAGCCGGCAACACCAGCAGCACCATTGCGATTTCTCAAAGCATTTTCACCGTCGGCATCGGCGTCGTCTTCAAGGTCTTGCTTTTCCAAATCGTCGTCGTATAGACCCAAAGCATTGGCCTGGTCGTCAATTTCTGCCAACGATAGTTTTGGTAAGTTGGCAGCGACTCTCCAAGGTTGAGTGCCATCGATGTGAGCTTTGGCGAAAATGATATCGATCTCTTCCAAAGATCTACCGGCAGTCTCAGGGTAGAAGAAGAAAATGACTGGAATGTACAAGTAGTTGATGGCAGCGAAAAACAAGTAACAACCGTAACGAGCATCGTGGATGAAAATTGGAGTGAACATGACAACGGCAAAGTTACAAAGCCAGTTGGTGCAAGTCGAGAAAGCGTTGGTAGCAGAACGCACACGCATGGAGGCAATCTCTGGAGGGTAAATCCAAGGCAAAGACAACATGGACATACCGAAAAAGCAGATGAACAGGAACAAACCAACGGCAGCACCTTTGGCGACTTCAGGGTCGTTTTTCTTAATGAGACACGCAAAAGTGATGGTGAAAGAAACGGCTTGGCCTGTAACCCCGAGCAAAAATAGTTTACGTCTACCTAAAGACTCAACCAAGAAAAACGAGGGAATGGTGGAAAGGGCATAAATGGTGGAAAACACACCTCCTAAAATCAAAGGTAGTTTACCTTTCAAGCCGATAGACTGTTCAAACAACACGGTACTGTAGTAAATGGCCGCGTTACAACCGGTGAATTGTTGGAAGAATTGGGTGGAAGCGGCAATTAGAGCACGTTGCAAATTTTGAGAGTTGCCGCCGGTGAACAAATCCTTGATGGATCTTTTTTCGTGACGGAAACGGTTAACGGCGTCTTGAATGAAGGAAGCTTCGGCGACGATGGCGTCGTCGGTGACCGCGAGATTGTCCAAAGCGGCCAAAATCTCGACCGCCTCTTGGTTTCTACCACGGGACATGAGCCAACGAGGAGAATCGGGCAATTCCCAAATTCCGGCCAGCAACAAGAGCGCGAAAAAGATCTGCATGGCGACTGGGAAACGCCATTGCACGGAGGAGTCGACGTAGGAGAGACCGAAATCGATCCAGTAGGCGATCATGGTTCCGATCGCGATAACGGAACCTTCGAGATTGACCAAGAGGCCTCGATTTTCCGGTTTGGACATTTCCGACTGCCACACGGGGATAGTGGAGGTGTTGAGACCCGTGCCGACACCGGTGATAACTCTGCCGACGACGAATTGGCCCAACCCCCAGTGAGGACCGAACGCGGCGGTGGAGATGACAGTACCGAGGATGGTGGCGAGGGAGCCGAGGATAACGAGAGGCTTACGGCCGATGCGTTCGCCCATGAACATGACGAACAGAGAGCCGAAAAAACAGCCGAGCTCGTAGCACGAGGTGACGGCGCCCTGGACGAGCGTTGCTTTGCGGTCGTCGCTGCTGAGGGACTTGGTGGCTGGGAACTCGTCGTTGAACTGTTTGCCGGTGATGAGCCCGGACATGAGGCCTTGGTCGTAGCCGAAGAGCGAGAAACCGGTCACGGCAGTGATGGTTATGGCCAATCGCAGGTTTCTGCCACGCAGACCCATGGTACTAGTTCTGCTGACGGCTTTCATAGAGGTGTGAGGGTGTGGGTGAGAAACAAGATAAACTTAGCAATGCAAACAACAATCCGGGAAAACTTAAAAAGAAGCTTGTGTTGGAACAACTAAAAACCCATTTTCTCCACATCCTACCAGGGTTTTTCGACAAGACAGGAAAAACCGGGCCTTTATATACCTGTCTTTTTTCAACAGGACAAGACAACAACAAGAGCACTCAGAAGACTTCGCGGGGTTGCGAACGCCCAGGTATGGGGGGCCATCGGCCTTCTCTGCTCCCGCCGAGCCCAGAAACCCCCGCACAAACGTGCAGTTCGAGTAGGAGCAACGGCGGCCGAATGGGCGCGAAACTCCTTTCGCCGAGGCCCGAGCGCAGACGTGCTAGACGGCGCTGTAGGATATTTCAGGTGCCCAGAAAAATCCGCAAAAGCGGATTGCTCGACTCGATGACGTTCGCTGTTTTGTCAGAGATTGAGCTTGGCTCATGTCCCTGTAGGAGGGTTCGATGACGGAGCTCTGCGCGGGCGTCTTGGCAAAATGTAAAAAGGGAGTAAGTTTTGCGGTGGTGTGCGGGTGTGTGGACGTGTGGACGTGTGGACGTGTGCGGGCCATGACGTCATCAAAGGGAGCACACGTAAGCGGGAGAGTAGTGGTGCTACAACAACTGAGAGAGCTACGAGCACTATACAATTGAGAGCGTCAGCGATCAATTAAGAGAACGTAGAAGGGCTAAAAATACGTGGAATGGCCACAACAACGTAGCAGGGCCACAACGACGTAGAATGGCTACAAATACCCCCAGTCAGTTGAGAGCTTGTTGTTTGAGCCAGCCGCCATAGGCCCTATAGGCGCTCTTTTCCCCAGTTCAATTTTTTTTTTTTTTTTAAAAAAATGGGCTAGTCGAGTCACGTGGTGTGATCTTCGGAGCCGAAACGGATCGGACAACGGGTTCGGGATTAAGGGTGTGGGGTTGTGAGTGCTATAAGCACTACTGAACAATTGAGAGCGAAGGGTACTCGGAGCACTATTGAACAATTGAGAGCGTTAGCGATCAATTAAGAATAGAGACTACAAACAGAACGTCAGTGATCAGTTGAGAATACTGGGACGTTAAAGGCACTATGAAACAATTGTGCTTGGAATTCGTGTCTCCAAGCACTGCCAACAAGCACGATTTAGCAATTGAGAGCGAAGAGTACTCGGAGCACCATTGAACAATCGAGCGATAGCGATCAATTGTGAATAACTTAGAGTACTCGGGGCACTGTTGAACAATTGAGCGATAGCAATCAATTGTGAAAAATTTTGGTGCTACAAGTACACTTGAACAATTGTGATTAAGCTAGAGAACTCGAAGCACAATTGAACAATTGAGATTTTTAGCGATCAATAGTGAATACATAGATACTTCTGGATACTACTGAACAATTGAAAGCGATAGAGAGTTCTGAGCACTGCAACTGTACTACAAGTTCTCCAACTTATCGAAATACTCTCTCCATTCACAATTGATCGCTAACGCTCTCAATTATTCAATAGTTCTTGTTGTACCCTTCGCTAACGCTCTCAATTGTATAGTGCTTCGTGTTCGATCGCTGACGCTCTGACGCTCTCGATTGTGATTACGTAAGACGGCATTTTGGCACTACGAGATACTTGAGGGCGTCAGCTATCAATTGGGAATAAGTATGATGGCTACAAGCACAATTGATCAATTTAAAGCGCTAGCAATCAATTGTAAATTAGTAGATAACACTTAGTAAGAAGGCTAAGGGCTATACTGTTCGCTACCGCTCCCAACTATTCAATACCAAGAGTCTTCTCTATATTCACAATTGAAAGCATCAGCCATTAGCAATATAAGTAGGACAACTAGTCCAATAATATAATCAAGAGCTTCAGCATTTGATTGGTAGAGGACTCGGTGCACCACGGATCAGCGAGAGCGTTAGTAAAGGCCTCGGCATGTGACTGACCAAATGGAAGCGTTAGGTGAGACTGTCACGCTGACACCCTCTGCAACACACCACGTTCTACTACCGAGCCTCTACTGATCAATACTTTACTCATTCATAATTGTAGTAGGGGGACAAACCATTGAATCTACGTTTCACCGCAGCATAAGTAGGAACTCCATTTAAGAAGAGAACTCGTAGTACTACTGAACGATTGAAAGCGTCAGCGATCAATTGTGAACGAAGAGCTGGCTCCTAGCTTTTGAAGAGTCAGCGATAAATTGTGAATAAGGGTAGACCTGGCAGCATAATTGAAGAATTACTCACTGACGCTTTCAATTGTAAGCAGGTAGATAATTAAAATATTCAATTGCCCACTGATAGGTCGACAATTACTATATTCAATTACGTTACCGTGAAAAATCCATATCTAGGTTCCAAATTTTTAGCCGGATTTCTTTCAACGAAGATTCCTGGTCCTACATCAGAAGTTTGGCAATCATCATACGACAAACTGGACTCTCCTCAGTCGCAAGGTTAGCAAGTGTCAGAGCACTCAGAAACACGAATTTTGCCCTACCACCGCTTTAGGGTCCCTGCAACTCTCAATTGCGAATAAGCAGAAAACTCGGAGTACTGCTGAACAATCGAGACTACGTGTGATCAGAAGTAGTATAAGTAGTAGCACCATTATAAAGTCAATTAGTTGGCGATACTGATTACGTAAGATGGTGTCAAGCACTATCGAACAATTGAAGGCGCTAGTAAATGGATAGAGAATTCTTAGTATCGCTGACGCTCTCGACTGTGAATGAGTAGACAATTAGTGGTACTATTGAACGATTGAGAGCTTCAGCCAGCAATTGTAATTAAGTAGAGAGCTCGTGGAACCACGGAACAATTGAGCGTTAGCGGTTGATTGTGAATAGATAGAGAACATCCAGTATCGCTGAACAACTGAGCGTGTCAGCGACCAATTTTTAATAAATTAACAAAAAACATTACAACTGGACAATAGAATACTCTTGATATCGCCGAACAATTAATAGTGTAAGCTATCGATTACGAATAGTAGAGCCCTTTTAGTACTTTTGAATAATCGATAGCATAGCAGTATAAATAAAACTAGTAGCACAATTACACAATGAAGAGCGTCAGCGTTGATTGTGAATACTCAGAGCATTCTTAGTACAATCGAGAGCCTTAACGAGGAGTGTAACAGAAACTATTGTAAGTATTTAGAGTTGAGGGCGTCAGTAGAAGCCTCGTGGTATAACAACGCTTTCGACGGTGAGAATGTCACTATAGAGATCGATTGTGAGTGCAAGTACCATGGTGAGTTTTAACACTCGTATCACTATTAAACAATCAAAAGCATAGATATCTTGACAGTGGACTGTTGAAGTACTCATTTCGACAATTGGGCCGTAGCGATGGACGTTGAAGAAATCAGGGGTCTTAAGTTTTTAGGTAGGGTAGGCAAGATGGTCATAAGTTCAACTGTGCATTTGACACTGCTTGCGATCTTTCTAGTGTCAGGAACTATAATTATAAAATGAGAGCGTAAGCATTCGATTTCGAATGAGTGAATTCATGGTCCCACAATTAAACAATTAAGCCCTTACAATCAACTGTGAATGGTTAAAACGGCTACGAGCATTACGGAAAAATCCTAGTACTGCTGAATTTGTGAGTGTTGGCGCTCAACTTAAGTAGCTACAAGCACAACCAATTGTAAGCGAGTGATCGTAAATAGTATTATTAGTACAGATTTGCAATCAGTTGAACAGAAAATAGCATTGCCGGTTACCACTACAGAGCTACTAGCACTATTAAACAAATTTGGGCGCCAGTGTATCATGCTGACGCTATCAATTGTGATCATATAGAATGGTCACAATGGTTTTTGAAAGCTCTCCTCTTCACAGCGAACGGGGTGGAATAATTAGAAACAAAATTGACGCTTCATTGGCCAAAATATATACGGTTCTCCTTTTTACCACATCTAAACTCAAAAACCGTCGGCGATCGATTGTGACAAGTAGATAAATCTTAATTTTGAGCAGCTGTGCGCATAAGCAATTAATTGTAATGACAAAGGTGTTTCGGTGGCTACAAACAACGTCAATGCACACAGTCGTGAGTGAGAAAGAGTATAAACGTGCAACTTAGTCATGAATAGCCCCCGCTATCAATTGTAAATTAACAAGATGACCCTAACCTTTTTGTAAGCTCGAGTCATTCTTCTGGCGCACTCAGCTTTGAATCATTCTTATAATTTTCGTTTGCACATATTGATCACTAGTGCTTGAATTTGTTCAAGAATACAGTGATTCCGTGGCTAGATTAAACAAGGCGTGTATTTCAGTAATTGTGACCGCTATCGAGCAAATTCCAGTTTTTCTCCTATGATCGCCTCCGAAGCTTCCCATTGGTAACGCTGTTGGTTGATTGCCGCTTTTCTCAGGCATAATAGGGTAGCTCCTATCTCACGTGACTAAACGACTGACAACGGAATGATGGTCATACAACTAGTACTGATGAGATGATACAAGGTGGAAGGTACTTGACTGACAGCTTTTGGCAAAATTTAAGCCCGTATGCTTGCTTGGAAAGCACTCCTTTGCACGTTCAACAGAAAATTCATCATCCTGCTGGTTGAACAAAATTTCTGCCAACTGAAGAAATGAAGGCTTATAATCGAGCAGCGTAACACATATACAAAAATCGCTAAGAAAAAATCAGCCACACCAAGTCTAACAGCGCTCTCTACACTTTGGGATTTCAAAAAAGTCTATCGTAATTTATTACTTCCATTTTTCTTGTACGAAGCTTTTCTCAACCATGAGAGGGAAGACTACTAGGCAGCAAGCACAGTGCTCTCCTGATATCGAGGTCGTAGCTGAAGCCAAACCTAAAAGTTTGAACAATAACAATGACAACGAAAGACTCTGTCAGAGCTTTTCTCGTATTTATGTTTTTAGAATGATGTTCGTTGGTAAAATGAAATGTCTTGCATGATTAGAGAACATTGGTTTGAATCTCTCTCCCCATACTCGAAAAGATCTAGCTTTATGGGCCGCTAACATCATTTCAGTGGAGTTTCATCAACCAATTGAAAAAGTACATGAAAGGCTTCACATTTCGTGAAGCAAAAAACAACTTCAAGAAACTGCACACCAGTCCATGGTCCACCATCTCTCTTTACATGGAACTCATCCAAACGAATGCATCGCGCCAGGTCCCGAATGTTTGGTGACAGTGTTCATTTGTGTCACGTGACACAAATTCAAATAATCTTTGATTAAAATCATCTATTAAAGAACGCGTTACCTACCAAGCATTTAAACGCGTCATACCAAATATAAACACGCTTACACATACATCATGAAACGGTCATTAGGAGACGACGCCTCTGCCATCGAGATCAAGAAGCCACAACTGTACACTTCTGGCTCCGGAACCGACGCTTTCAGAGCCATGTTAATGTCTGCTAGGTGCGTTTCGGTTTCCCTGTGTCAAGCATCAGAGGCCCATCCCCACTGCTACTATTGCGATTCAACCAACGTTGCAACGGAGTGTGACACTTGCCAACATGCGATATGTCCCACATGCAGCCTGGGATCGACCGCTACATGTCTAAACTGCCATCTTAGCCGCTAACTGTTAAAAGCTGGGAATTTGAAGATCACGTGATCTGGATCATCTCATACGCGAAGGATCCCGAGTATGTTTTTTGACGATTTTGGTCCCCCTATACCAATCCATGAAAATGTAGAAACCATAGTCCGTCAACCAACATCCACCAACCCGTCGAAAATCGTCCCAAGTAGCCTCTTCAAGGATTGATTGCAGGCGTTAAGGGCAGGACCATTTGTTTTTGAAATTTTGAAGCATGACTACCTATCAAAAACTGGTCAAAGGCGCCACGAAAATCAAGATGGCGCCTCCTAAGGCCAAATATGTGGACCCCATCTTACTGGGCACTGCGGAGCCTCAGGACTTTCGAGAGATTATGCATGCTCTAGAGGGTCGTGTGCTCGACACAGCGTGGACAATTGTTTACAAATCGTTGATTTTGGTGCATGTCATGATCCGAGAGGGCGAGCCTGACGTGACAATCAAGTATCTCTCCAAACATGTGGAGTTTTTCCAACTCAAGGACATTTTCCACTCAAAATTGTCCTCTGGTGACCTCCAGGCCTTGAGAAGGTACCGAGACTATTTGCAATGCCGCTGCGAGCAGTATGCCGAGATAGGAAAAGACTACATTCGTGATGGGTCTGCCAATTTGAAGGGTCCCGTGGCAGAAGACCCCAAGAAAGCCTTGGACCATGTAGAGTCACTGGAATTGCAAGTCACGGCTCTTATCAAAAACCGCTACTCGCAGTACGATTTGGGAAATGACCTTCTCATGACCGCGTTTAGGCTCATGGTACAAGATTTGCTGGTTCTATACAACTCTTTGAATGAGGGCATAATCACACTGCTTGAAAGTTTTTTCGAGCTAACGCACCAAAATGCGGAGCGCACGCTGAAACTGTACAAGCGGTTTGTAGAATTGACGGAAGCCGTGGTCAAATACTTGAAGACCGGTAAAGCAGTGGGCTTGAAGATCCCTGTCATCAAACACATTACCACGAAGCTGATCAAGTCTTTGGAAGAACACCTGCGTGACGACGTGAACAAGGGTCAGACGTTTTCTGCAGACGATACCAGGACACCCGCGCAGCGTGAGCTAGAGCAGATCAGAGAACAAAAGAGGCTACTGGAGCAGCAACTCAAGTTGCAGCAACAAATGGTGTTTACGCCCTCAGTTCCGCAGCAACAGACTGGGTACAATCCGTTTACTGAGGGATTCACGTTCGAGCAGAACGCGGTAACTGCTCAGCCCACGAGCAACCCTTTCATGTCACAGGCCATGCAACAACCACAAAACTCGCAGTATCAGAGCACCCAATTGCCCCAACAGTCTCCGGTTCAAGGAATGCAATACCAGGACACACAGGGACTGCAGTATCAGAACACTCAAGGTTTGGGACTACAACATCAGAATACTCAAGGTTTGGGACTACAACACCAGAACACTCAGGGTTTAGGTCTGCAGTACCAGGACACACAGGTTCCCCAGCAAATGTTTCAGCAATCGCCAACGCAAGGCTTGCAATATCAAAACACACAGATGCCCCAGCAACCCGCTACGCAAGGCTTGCAATACCAAAATACACAGATTCCACAACAATCGCCAACGCAGGGGCTACAATATCAAAACACGCAGATGCCACAACAATTCCCGGCGCAAGGCCTACAATATCAAGATCCACAGGGGCAGCAATTGCAGCAATTGCAAGCAGGCCATACGGGCTTCTACAGTGCCAACACACAGGTGGCACCGAACTTCACCGGCGCCGGTTTCGGCGGGTACACTGCAGGCTCGCCCACGGGATCCAAAAACCCGTTTTCGCTGAATAACATCGCTCGGACCCATGACGACCGCGAAAGAGCTAATCCGTTTTCGCAAACCAACCAGAACCAGAACCAAAACCAAAACCAAAACCAAAACCAAAACCAAAACCAAAACCAAAACCAAAACCAAAACCAAAACCAAAACCAAAACCAAAATCCCGGAGTTGTGCATGCAACGGGCACCACCAATCCGTTTGGCGGGGCACAATCTCAAGCGGGCCGTCAGCACACCTTTGGTGGCCTCGAAAACGTTCCTACAGTAGCGGTATTTCCGCAGACGCAGACGCAGCAACAGCAACAACAACTTCAGCAGCAACAACAACCCTACGGCCAAGTGTACTCCCAACAGATGTCACATCCCCAGTACAATGGCGCCTTTGTCCAATCGGGTCAAACATATCCTTACCGCAGCGAGGGTCCCAACCTCATCGACATCTGATGCCCATATAGCGAAGAGGGCATCGGGTACCGTCCTGAATAATACTAATCTCACGTAATCGAAACACACTCACCTGACCGAAAGGGAAGCAGAATAAAACAACCCAGACACCACTCAATCACGTGAATCTGTCGGTTTTTATAGTGCCTGGGTTTTTGATATGACGTAATTGGAATCTCTCTGGTGTCTGGGTGCACGTGCGCTTCCTGTTTTTTTCCGTTTTTCTGGCTTCCGGCGGCTTCCGCGCTCGCACCTGATCAGGATGCTGAGCAAGAAGACGTATTTTCCACCATTTTAATCAGGAAGCTGACCACGAGACGCTGCCCACTGCTTAGGACCACTGCCATAGGCTACGCTTTTTAGTGCTGAGGCGACTACTGGCGTCTCTGCCCATAAGCTAACCTGGTGATGGATGTGACGAATTATGAGGGCAGAGAGATAGCCTAGGAAAGCACCATTTTTCGCTTTTCCAGCTAGCAACAAACGATTCGCGGACCACGGACCCACGGTCATATAAAAAGTCGAGACGGTGGATCCCGCACGCGCTATTTATTGACCAAACAAGGGCTTTCTGGTACTGTTTTCCCAACTGCTACTCTGGCTCTCACATTTTTCTAGCGCAGACGAACAGGATACGATACACTTATAAGAGTGCTTTTCTTGTTTCTCGCAGAAATCTCCGGATACTTTTCGCTATAGTGCTTCTCCTGTTTTTCTCCAGTGCACTCCAAGCAGACCTTTTTTGAACAGAAAAAATTGTAAACAAGTGTCTTTTGCAACAAACAGCACCTCACTATCGCCTCTTTCCAGCATAGCATCCAAAACAAGATTGCCTTTGACATTCACGGCAGGGAAAAAATAAAAATACAATTTCTCACATCGCATCCCACAGCAATGACCCTAGACTCAGTTTACGGCGTTGCGTTCAGATCTGTCGCCACGGCAGACGAGAGCGCATACAGAAACGCCATCAAATTCTACCACAAGCTCGGCTTTTCCACCGTCAAGACCTACGACAAGTTCAGAGGTACCAAGCAGACGACTCCTTCGTCGGGAACCGCTCAGGGCTCCATCAAAGAAACATGGCTAGAGAGTTTCAAGCTTTCAGAAGTCGACAACAATGGATTCCGTATCCCTCAACAGGAAGCGTCGAATCACGAACAGAGTGACGGTGCTCTTTTGAAAATCAGACTCGTAACCGACGAGCCCTTCCAAGCAGGTGAATCCAGCATTACGTACTACAGTGCTGAGCCAGAACACATTGCCCAAGTTCTTCCAGAGGCGCAGAAGCTTGAAAGTGGTGAGTTTGTCGCCAGCGACCCTCTAGGCAACGAAGTTCGCTTCTCATCTTTCGTCAGAGCCGGCGACAAGGAAGCTGTGGGTAAGGAATTCTTCTTGGATGAGTCCAAAACTCCAGCCCATTACCTCAAGCCCGACCACAGCGCTACTTCGTCCACTTCTGCCACAAACGACCCTACTTTGACTAACAACAAGGGCGAAATCAAGAGAAAAATCGCCGTGATGACCTCTGGTGGTGACTCTCCCGGTATGAACTCCGCAGTTCGTGCCGTTGTCAGAGCCGGTATTTACTACGGCTGTGACGTTTTCGCCGTCTACGAAGGTTACGAAGGTTTGCTGCAAGGCGGAGACCTGCTCCGCAAGATGGAATGGCAGGACGTCAGAGGCTGGCTCAGCGAGGGTGGTACCTTGATCGGTACTGCTCGTTGCATGGGTTTCAGAGAACGCAAGGGCCGTAAACAGGCCGCTGCCAACCTGATCACTGAAGGTATCGATGCCCTTGTTGTGTGTGGGGGTGACGGTTCGTTGACAGGTGCCGATTTGTTCAGATCTGAGTGGCCCTCTTTGGTCGAAGAACTCGTGAACGACGGCGTTTTCACCGCCGAGCGCGTTGAACCATACAGAAACCTAAAGATTGTGGGCCTTGTTGGTTCCATTGACAACGACATGTCCGGTACAGACTCTACTATTGGTGCCTACTCCGCTTTAGAGAGAATCTGTGAAATGGTCGACTACATTGACGCCACCGCCAAATCTCACTCCAGGGCTTTCGTTGTTGAAGTGATGGGAAGACATTGCGGTTGGTTGGCCTTGATGGCCGGTATCGCCACTGGTGCTGATTACATTTTCGTTCCTGAAAGAGCCGCTACCGCAGGAAAATGGCAAGCAGAACTACAAAAAGTGTGCCAAGCCCACAGAGACAAGGGTCGCAGAAACAACACTGTTATCGTCGCCGAAGGTGCTCTTGACAACAACTTGAAGCCAATCACTGCTGAAGAAGTCAAGGATGCTTTGGTCGAACTCGGTTTGGACACCAAGATCACTACCCTAGGACACGTCCAAAGAGGTGGCACTGCTGTTGCTCATGACAGATGGCTAGCAACTCTGCAAGGTGTTGATGCCGTCAAAGCCATTTTGGAAATGACCCCAGAAACTCCATCTCCGCTAATTGGTATTTTGGAAAATAAGATCATCAGAATGCCTTTGATGGAATCCGTGAAACTCACCAAGAGTGTGGCTGATGCTATTGAAAGCAAAGACTTCGATAAAGCCATTTCTCTACGTGATACCGAATTCATTGAACTGTACGAAAATTTCATCTCCACCACCGTTAACGACGATGGCTCCGAGATGCTACCCGAGAACGAACGATTGAACGTTGCTATTGTTCACGTCGGAGCTCCATCTGCTGCTTTGAACGCGGCAACTCGTGCTGCCACATTGTACTGTTTGTCGCGTGGACACACCCCATCGGCCATTTTGAATGGTTTCAGCGGTTTGATTCAAACTGGTGAGGTGAAAGAGCTATCTTGGATCGATGTCGAAAACTGGCACAATCTTGGTGGTTCTGAAATCGGAACCAACAGATCTGTTGCCAGCTCTGACATGGGTTCGATCGCTTACCATTTCCAAAAGAACAAATTCGATGGTCTAATTATCCTAGGTGGTTTCGAGGGTTTTAAGTCCTTGAAAGAGTTGCGTGACGCTCGTGCTCAATACCCAATTTTCAACATCCCTATGGTCTTGATTCCATCGACTGTATCGAACAACGTTCCAGGTACTGAGTACTCTTTGGGTGTTGACACATGTCTAAACTCTTTGGTCAACTACACTGACGCTATCAAGCAATCTGCCTCTGCTACCAGAAGAAGAGTCTTCGTTGTTGAAGTACAAGGTGGTCACTCTGGCTACATCGCGTCTTTCACCGGTTTGGTCACAGGTGCCGTGTCTGTGTACACGCCAGAAGATGAAATCGACTTGAAGAGCATCAGAGAAGATCTAGCGCTACTGAAGGAGAACTTCCGTCATGACCAGGGAGAAACCCGTAACGGTAAGCTAGTGATCAGAAACGAGCAAGCTTCTTCGATCTACACCACTGAGCTGCTGTGTGACATCATTGCTGAGGCCTCGGGCAACAAGTTTGGTGTCAGAACTGCCATTCCTGGCCACGTCCAGCAAGGTGGTGTTCCATCGTCTAAGGACCGTGTTACAGGTTCCAGATACGCTGTGAAGTGTGTCAAGTTCATTGAAGCATGGAACAAAAAGAACTCAGACGAGCAGAACGAGGACTTCAAGATTTTGAGATTCAAGTACGTGAACGGCGTCAAGGAATTCACACTACATGACGAGGACGCTTCAGCTGCCATCATCGCAGTAAACGGATCTCACATTTCCTTCAAGCCAATTGCTCACTTGTGGAGCGAAGAGACTAACGTTGAGTTGAGAAAAGGCCATGAAGTTCACTGGGAAGAATTTAACAAGATCGGAGATATGCTTTCCGGAAGATGCAACCTTAGAAAAGAAGTCGGCGCTGATGACAGTGCCTAAACTGAATGCCACCCATTTATTATTATATTAGCATCTGGTGTACGATATAGAGTATGATGAATTTGAACGACAAATTAAGGATAACAGCCGGTCTTTCTTTGATTAATTCTTGGAGCTACACGATGACGTAAAATCCTACCAATGAGCCTGCTACAAGAGCGCTGAAAATTGTCAATGGGCCGTGGAGAGAAGAAGGAAGGTATGTTGAGATTGTTTCAATTCTTGGTGTCAGGCTACCAATAATTGGAATTAACCTTAGTAGAGGAACCACGAGAAGAGGCCGGGCAGCAATTGGAATCAAACTTGCCAAGCGAAATACGCGGTTAAAAGTCATAAGCACGATACTATGGGCCAAATGAAGTGTGCTTATAAAAGATCCAAGCTCCGAGCTCGCCATTTTGATGTCAGTCTCCAATTGTTGCACTGTAGCTGCGGTGTGATTGAGCTCATCATTTACTCTCTCGAAGGTGCTGTCCAAATTGTCACTCCAGGCCTCTGTTTTGCCCTCCATCATTTGATCAATTACTTGAAGATCAGTAAGTAGCTTTTGCGTGAAAGCATCAAGGTGAGGATGCATTTCATCCTGAATGACAGGTATCACCGAGTTTTGAACCAAGTTTCTGAAATCATGGAAAGCTGTCACTACATCCACGTAAGAATCGGCAATGTTTTCGTTCAAATCTGAAATTTTCTCTGACGATTTGATGCTGATGTATTCGAGAGCCTTGTCCATTGCTTGCATATGTGAAAGGCCGTGCTCGCTTGCTAACTCAGCATGTTGAAGACATTCATCCTTGAGGGCTCGAATCTGATCGGCGAAATCACGGTTGTTCAATTCCAAGTTAATTTCCTCCAGATGCTGTTTGAGACTCTTGAACTCCAGCCAAAAGTCTGTATCCGTTTCCAGAACGTCGTTACGTACAGCCAAGACGATGTCGTTAAAACCAGTAAAAGCTTCTTTTTGAACTTCATCGAATACATCCGTGAAAGATCTCATCTTGTCCGCGTAGAGTTGATCCAGATCAGTCAGTCGATCTTCAAAGGTTTCTTGCAACGAGTTCATCATCTTTGCAGTGCTCCTTTCCAAGTTCGCGAAGTTCTTAGTTAGTTCGGCATCTACCGTCTCGCTGAAGCTCGAGTAAACTCTCGTAATGTTGAGGAAAAGTGCGAGCAATTGGTCCTTTTCATATGGAAACGATTGTTCGTAGCATAGCGTAGGCAATCGTTGATAATGGCCGCTATAAGTTGTCCACCATTGTGGCGAGCTTCGCAACTCATCCACACATTTTTTAATCCCTTCAGAACTCAAATCAGAGCAGCTCAGAGGCCTGGCCTCAAGGCCAGATTCTTCAAACTCGCAAAACGAAAGTTTGACGGCTGCTTGCACTTTCAGCTTGGGATCGACCATTTCGATGCCACTTTTAAGACATACTGGAAGAAACTCTTTGAGAGCTTGGCCAGCACAGAAACTCTTCGAAAACGGGAAGTTAAGCTCAATTATGTGACCCAAATCAGTAAGGCTGGGCTCTGGTTCTTGTAACGATCTTGAGAGATGATCGATGAAGTCCAATTTTTGGATCTGCTGGCCGTGGACTGCCGTCAATATCAAAAGAACAAATAGTTTGGTGCCCATTCTTACTTCTCTAACAAGCTCATTGTTGTGTAGTTGATCGAGGTTGACCCACGATGATCTTTTGTAGAACCAGTTGGGATCTGAAACCAACATGAAACATCAACAAATATTATTCGACGATAATTCATCAATGACTATCGTTCACAGTGTTCTCATTGAGACTCCACGCTGTTCCTTGAACTTGTGTTGATGGCACATTTTGTCGCTACAATGCCTTAGCATTGCTCATCTTTAGCATAAATCCTAACTCATGCATTACACCGAGTAGAGAAAATGGGTGGGAAGCCACGTCTGGTGTAATGTGTGAGATCTTCAGCTGACTCACAATTGATGAAGGGACGACATGTTGTCTGAAAGACCTCTTCTCTGTATTTAAACAAATCGCTTTGATGTGTGTCATTTTAAATTAACTCAATGTCTTCGAACAAACCTACGAAGAAATGATGCTCTTCACGAAACTGTTATCGAGTATAGCTGAGTTTATTGCTTTGAGTTGATGAATGTTCATTTAAAGTTTGAAGTATACAGTGCTTTCGCTATCAGTAACTGCTCTTCGAATAATGCCAGTTACTGTACTTGCCTTTGGTCTTTTGGCTTCTTAACTGCTCCGTCGAGACTTGAGCCAGTATGAAGCACCACGTAGCTTCGGTCACGCCCTCTTATCTCGCTAGTGAGAGTATTTTTCAATTAGAGAATGAAAACCGTAAGATTCGGCCTTGTGTATAGCATCATGCAATATCGACTTTTTGCCGTTCTTTTCATTCTGGGACTCAATTCGCAGAAGTGGCTCAAAAATCTCTTCCGTGTCCGCACTATTCAGCACAAGGATTTTGCCGGCTGCTGACAATTCCTTGTAGCGAGGAAAAACCTCATTTTTGATGAACTCGCGTTTGTCGTGCGAGCTGAAGCCCGGTAGAGAACTTTGGTTTTGTTTGTAAAACGATGTGTCTAGTATGCTGGCACTAAAGTTAGCACTGATCGTTCCTTCAAGCCTGCTGATCAAATTTGACACCATTGTAAAATTTCCATTCACCGCAAATTGAACGATGAATGCTTGCAACACTTTGTTAGAGAGCGTCTCCCCGTAAAGTTGCTGTGCCCTCTGCAACAAAATGCTCAGATTGCAAGAGTTTACTTCAACATCGTCCCCAAGAAGCGAGACTCTTCGTATCAGCTGAGGCAACGTGTGATCCCAGATTTGCTTCATCATCTTGGAGTGACTTATTATATCCAGCAACGATATCACTTCGTCGAAATGACGGCAATATGGAATTAGCAGCGACGCTGAAGTTGGCGTAATGGCGGTCTCTAGAATACGTTTGACGTCTGAGATGTAGGCAAACTTTTTTAATAGGTCATCGGACGAACCGGCAGAGCCAAACTTTTCGTCCACCAGTAGTAAGTACTTCTCTAGAAGTATGCTCTGTGGACATATGTGTTGGTTTATCAAATGGGCAAACAGCACTTTTGCCTCGTTCAGACTACCGGAGTCGAGGTACAGTTCTAGTACTACTTGCGTGGTTGCAGGAGAGAAATCGGTGACACAGTTTTGTTTGTTGAACCGTTCAGAAATCGCCCTGATGAGCTCGAAAACTGCCTTAGGAACCTGAGAGTCCGCTGCTATTTGGTTTTTTTTTATGGTCACCAACAGTTGCAAGACGAGCAGCTCTGCCACCTTGATGTCGTCGATGTCTTTATGCAGAAATTGAACTATCGAGTGTGCCACACCGACGACGCCGTGTTTAGAACTGCAATAGTGCTGTAGAATGTACAGAAAAACTTCTTCGCTGAAAACCTTGATCACCGGAAGAGACGTGAGCGATTCTATAAGCCCAGAGATCAAGACACTGTCTGGTGCAGCAGCATCCTGCTGTCGATACAGCTCTGCGAATTTCTGGAGGTCCGGGAATTGCGATGGATTCAAACGGCTGGGTCGAAGAATTTGTTCAACGTCGCGATCCTCGATCACCGCAAAAGGAGTGCCATTCGCTGCTTCAACAGCACGAAAGTCCTCAAGCCATTTGCTCACGCCATGGCCAGATTTGAATATCCATCGTCCGTTTACAAGCGTCGGTGTGTGGTCACGGGGATGCTTGATGATTGCAGGAACTATTTTGCACCCATCCAGCAAAACCGGGCAGTCCTCAGTACTACTCAAAATCGCTCTTTCTGCAACATTGGGGCCATAAAACGGGTGTATAGTGTCACTGTAAGCCGGTACAACTCTCTGTAGTCCTTTCCAGGACTCCCCGTCGATGTTCCCGTGTGCACTTTTGATTCGTATTGTCTCTTTCAACGTAGAGTATAGTCTCCGGGACGATACATTTCTATAGCCCATTTTCTCAACTTTCAGTGAAAGCAGCTAGCTATAGCTCAATCAATATGGATATCGACACAGCTGGCTCATCCACGGTCTCGATCCAGTTCCGCATCATTTCGAAAATTTTAACACTTTTCACATCGTAGATCACTTCTGGGCGATTTTAGCCTTTTTGTGTCACGTGGTGTCGACGTTTCTGCCATCTAGCTGCCCTCCAAGAAGGCTAACCGGGGCGGTGGACTCGATCTGGTCTTTCCAGTGGCAGTTCCTGCTGGGTTTGAGACTCTTCAGACTGCAATTTGTCGGACTGCATCGGGAAGAACTCGATGACATCTTTGTTCCGAAGTCTCTCGTATTTCTGCAGGGACACAGATCTGCGCACGCCGCACATGATACACGATGCGACAGCTATCAGCACGGTGCTGACAAGAAGTAACCACCCCGGCCAGGCAAGAAAGGGAATAAACAAAAGCACGTCGACCAGAAAACTGAGCAACGACAGGAAGACCGTGGGTAGTGACCATAGCACGGCACACACTAGAGCTCTACGCGAACGGGCGAACTTTTGAGTGTTGAGTGCCACTGTCATGAGCCACAGCGTCGCAGCGAAAAACAGCGACATTGGATGGACTACCAGAAGCTTGGAAATGGCCCTTTTGGCACGCGACGGCAAAAAATCGCCTGCGAAATCCTTCGAATCGCAGCCGGAGTCTGCCATGACGTCTGCACTCGAGGTTCCTGCTGTTGCACATTGCATCGAATACCCGATCCGTGGCGGGGTACATACGCCGGTGGACACGGTGCACCACCCAAAAACACCAAATAGCCTCCCATTGTAGCGCGACAAATGGATGCTAGTCACCAGAGGCATCGAAATCACTGGAAGGACTTGGAAAACTACCGCTATCGTTGTCAGCGCGCAAATAAACAGACGTAGTTTTGACAGCATATTCAGAACTCAGAACTCTGGGAAAAGCGCTTTTCCGCAAACCATTAGTACAGTGATGTACTCGGCGTCAAATATTCGTGTTCCAACGCGTAGAACCGGAAACGATAGCCTATTTCTACAGATCTGAGCACATCTAACAGACGTTTGGTAAGAGTGGTTCGCGGTAGAGTCCTCTCAGTTTGTCAATTAAACTGAGATTTCGGTATTACTTCGTGTATGGTGATTAAAGATTTGAAAATTAGTTAAATTAGGAATTGTATGAGCTCGATGAGCTCGATGAGATGGAGCGCTAAGCGTTTAGAAGCACTGATATCCAGTGTTTAAGCACTTTTTAGAACGAAATTTGATGTCTAAGGGCAAGAAAACAGCTTCACGCGAAAGATCTGCTTTTCAACGCCCAAAAACCGTTGACTTTCGCGCGAAATCTAAGGTGCAAGATACAGATTCGCAGGATGCATCTGGCGAGGTCGGTACTGTGTCTGGACACGAACTGAAGCGCATTGCTAGTAATTTGCTCAAAGTTCGGGTGACTCTTCCGGTCTTCAAGTACAAAGATGCGATTTTGGAGCATCTAGACTTGAATCAGGTGGTGATCTTGATTGGCGAGACTGGTTCTGGTAAGTCAACGCAGATCCCGCAGTTTTTACTTGAAAAGCTCGCTTTGGACCACGGTTCGAAGCGTATCGCAGTGACTCAGCCACGTAGGGTGGCAGCTATCAACTTGGCCACACGTGTTGCTCAGGAATACGGCTGCCGTTTGGGCGACCGAGTTGGGTACTCAGTGCGTTTCGACAACAAGAGCAATGTCAGAACGAAGCTCAAATATCTTACCGATGGTATGCTCCTGCGTGAAATCATGCTGGACAGGTTTCTTTCGGACTATTCGTGTGTGATCATCGATGAGGCTCACGAACGTACGATCTTGACAGACCTGATCTTAGGTTTTCTGAGAGAGCTTACCTGCGGTCCAAGGCCTGATCTTAAGGTTATTGTCATGTCGGCTACCTTGCAAGCAGAGAAGTTTAGCGAATTTTTCAATGGGGCGCCAATTCTTTTCGTCGAAGGTCGTAAATATCCCGTACAGCGAAACTATCTGAGAGTGCCCTGTGACGACATTGTAGATGGCATTATTCGCTGCTGCGTCCAAATCAACCATGGTGAGCAGCTGGGAGATATACTGTGTTTCATGCCGGGGCAGGAGGAGATTGACAAGGCTGTAATTGTTCTCAACAAAATTAGCGAGCATCTTGGCTCCTCTGTGCCGCGATTGATAGGCTACCCACTTTATGCTGCGCTGCCGCCTGCAGACCAGGCTAAGGTTTTTTTACCTCTCAAAGGTTTCAAGCGAAAAGTAGTATTTTCCACTAATTTGGCTGAAACCTCGGTTACCATCTCAGGTGTCAAATTCGTGGTCGACTCGGGACTCCGCAAAGTTAAGGTCTGGAGACACCAGCTAGGGCTTGCGACTCTTCTGACCGTCCCGATCTCGAAGGCAAGTGCGTCACAAAGAACTGGTCGTGCAGGCAGAGAAAGCGCCGGAAAATGCTTTAGACTGTACAGAGAGCAAGACTACCTAAAATTGCCTAAGCAAACAGAACCCGAGATTGCAAGAAGCGAGGTGACGTCTCCTGTTTTGATGCTAAAAAAGATAGGTGTTCATGATATTGTGAACTGGTCGTGGTTAGAAAACCCTGGTCGAGAGGCTATTGTGCTTGGATTGCAAGAGCTGTACCAATTAAAAGCGTTAGACGACGCTGGTAAGATTACTACCAAGGGACAGCATATGGCACTACTTCCTTTGGCTCCACATCTCAGTTGCGTGCTCTTGCAAGCGCATGAATCGGGCTGTTTGCTTCCTGTCATTGATGTAGTATCGTGTCTCAGCGTTGAGAATCTACTTATGAACCCACTGCCTGAGCAACGGGATGAAGTGAATGAAAAGCGATTCGCTGTGGCCAATCAAGGATCCAAGTTCGGAGACTTGGTATTGATGAAGGAACTCTACAACGCCTACGTGTCCCTGAGAGACGCTCCTGAGCGGGACGCTTGGTGCCAAGATCTCTGTATATCAAAAAGAGGATTCAGAAATGTTGTCAAGGTGCGGGCCCAGCTTATTTCATACATGGAGAGGTTGTTCAAGACGAAAGTGCATGATCCACAGGATGAAGAGGACAAGGCTAAATTTGACGTTAAAGCGCTGACACAATGCTTCTTAGCCGGATTTGCTAAAAACACTGCTATAGGAATGCCAGATAGGTCCTTCCGAACAAGCACTACAGGGGAAACCATTTCCGTGCACCCTTCATCAATGCTGTTCATGGACAGATCATGTCCGGCCATCCTGTACACCGAGTACATTTTTACTACGAAAGGATATGCCAGAAATGTGAGTCGATTAGAATTGTCCTGGTTGCAGGAGATGGTGGGTATGTCAGGCATAAAAATCAGCGCCAGATAGGGTTAGATGATTTTGCCCACATACAAATGAATCAAGGGCACATAGCTTATTTCTAGAATTGATAACGACAGGGATTTGAAATAAGGATAACATCACTTCTAAGTGTCAGATAATACTTTTATCCGACCTATTCTTCCTTTTGGACCCTAATTGCGGAGAGCAGTCGCTGTAAACTTCACAAGGTGATATGCTCAGAGGAAGAGGACAACACAACAAAGAAAACAGCGCCAGCTGCTTGGTAGTTATACATTTTCCCAAACACTGGGTATCACTTTGGAGCATGGTAAAATGCTGATTTATGGTAGACAAAACCACAATATTTGCACATTCCCTCACTGTTCCCTTATCTTCAGTTATCTAATCGGTCTGGGGTTCAGGGCCTGTGATGGCCCTCAGCTTGCAAACGAACGTAAGCTCCTTGCAATTGTCGTAATTTCTATGACATCTTCACAGCTATTCGGTATCTGATCACATCTCAAAGCGCCTCTTCAAAAAAAGTTGTATATATGAAACTGCGGTCCATTGTTGTTCCACAGACACGCACTTTGGGATGCACTTCGCTCACATATCTACAGATCAGCCAATTGATTTGTATCAGAAGCAACGAAACGAACACTTCGACATGCTCGGTTTATTAGGTCTCTAAAACTCAAGCTTTCAACATCACGCCTAATTCCTACGTCAGATTCGCACGCTGAAAATGGAGATACGCAGCACTTGGAAGAGTTATCGCCCACTGGGGACACATGCGTTGATCAAGTCGCGGACAGGTTTGGTGCAATCCATCTGTCTGCAAAAAGCTTTGAACTCAGCGAGCCGCAAATTACCCACCTTAGTTATGACGAGGCTATAGAAAACAACGATAATGCGCAAACCAAAGCGTCATTTCAATTCTCTTACAACACTACTTTGAGTGAGCTTCGTCGAATGTGGGGAACATGGGACAAAAGTTGCCCTGTTAACCTGTCCGAAGTCAAACCGGAGCAATTCAAAACGTTAAATTGGCAATTTTTGATGACCAAGGGTATTTGTACCCATTGTCTCGAGGACGCCAAGGGGGAGGTTGTTCAAAAATTGAGGGATGGCATAATGTTACATTTGATGATCGTTCGTTGATGATTGCCTCGGCTGTTGCTCTGGAGAAGGGCTGGGCGATACAGCACATACCGATTGCTTGCCCAAAGCCCAAAATGGTAGAAATATATCTTGCTGCTCCTCCCCATTGCCGTATGCCCCATATGTGCTTCAAATTGAATTGTTGGGGATCATACAAAGACTATTGTGGGCTGGGCGATACAGCACATACCGATTGCTTGCCCAAAGCCCAAAATGGTAGAAATATATCTTGCTGCTCCTCCCCATTGCCGTATGCCCCATATGTGCTTCAAATTGAATTGTTGGGGATCATACAAAGACTATTGTGGGCTGGGTTGCGAACTCTATGAAAACATTAAGCGAGATCTTCAATTTTTATTTCGAATGTCAGAGTCGCGAACCGGGTTATTCGTGAAAGGAACTGCTAATCATGAACGTATTGTGTGTTTACCTCAGCATGAAGTTGTAATGCTGACTGCAGATTCTGATCTGTTATCTAAGATCATCGAGCGTCTGTCGGAGTTACTGAGCCCTTTTGAGATAGTTCCAAAGCCCCCTCATTCCATGGTGAGCTTCAAAACTTCTACATTTCAAACATGGACATCGAATACAGACAATTTCAATTCATGACGTTGAGCAAGAGAAGCCGAATCAAGGAAATGACCAAATTGTGGCGTAATTTCATCGTCTGCATTGAAGGGACATCGAGCGGTGGTGACTTAGAGGAGCAATACTTGAGGGAGGTCAACAGGCTCATCACAGAAGCCGTCAACAGCTGTCGATTTGATGTAGCCTATTTAGTCAGTGTTGTGCAACCCAGAGATGATTTACGATGGCCCTTTCGGGAGTTGTTGGAGACACGAAATCGCGCTCTCGGCTGGAGACGGGATCAAAATAATCAAATTCTCACGGTAACCGCGATGACTGATGCTTCGTACAGGTCCCTAGGCTTGCACACTGGCCAAGTTTTTGCAGTGAATAATAATGCAGTAATGGCGTTTTCTGAAGCATCAGACGAGGAATGCTGGGGCTCCTGTCGGGCAGAGCTTATTGCTATCATGCAGTTCGAAGATCAGTTGCAGAGCATTGGACGTATATTAGATGATCTTGATTTCAAGTGGGAGGAAGAGATCTTGACCGACAGCTTGGGATCAATTGGGCTTTTGAAGTCAGACCATGCAGTTCCTCTTCGAGCGCAACATATTAGGGCTCGATACTTGACCGGCGATCTAGGTCTCGGTCACATTTATTCTCGAGAGAATTTTGCTGATCTGTTAACGAAACACATTTTCGAGATTGATCGAAGAGCCTTGCTGTTGGAACGATATTTTGATGTATGAGAAGCACATAGTTAGAAAGACGTTAGCTATGTAGTTCAAGAAGGCTGAATAGTTTGCGAGAGAAGGAGGGTGGTTCGTGCAAAACAGTTTACCGGGACTGAGTTTTGTGCTGCACCTGGGTTGACTCTTGTTGTAGGAAGAGTGTTCGGTTGCCGAATGTGGGTTTTATCGCGGAAAACATGAACAGTGCCACCTTAAAAATACATACCAATGAGAAGTAGAGCGCGAGACCACCATCCCTGCCAATAACACAATCAAATGTGCAGCCAGTTTTACATCTTATTGTAGAGATCTGTTTTTGTTTTGCAAGCTTCACATTTATCTTTAAAGTTATATATCTTTGATCATATTGTGTCGACTACGAAAATGACAGTCCAAAGAAAGAAATCGTAGGTATGCTAAGAATTCGGTTCGGTATCTGCATCGAGATTCACATCAAGACAGGTTCGCGAGAATCGCATCACCGTTTGTTTCCTACAACGATTAATCAAACAGACACTTCAGTGTCAGTTAATTATATTACATACACCATCCATAAAATAATGACAGTAAGACATACAATTTCAGAGAACAAGTGCTACTGAGGAGTCGACCCTGAGCATCTAGAAGAAGAATGGCACTGCTCGCCAATGGTACTTGTAAATCTCAGAAATTTAGGGATGGGAAGTGGACTTAGTTTTCTATGATAATTTGTATGCCTCGGAGGGCTAAACAAGAACCCTCAGATCTAAACCCAAGGTCTTTTTATTTGCGAACTTTGAACGGATTGATGAGCTTACTCGACGCTGGCTACTAGAACTGTTTGTTCACACCAGCATGAACATAATCCGTAGCATAAACATTCTCAATGCTGCAGACGTTAGTGCTAACATTAAAACGGGGCACTGATGCTCTCGCCAGACATTTACACGTCAAAACTAAGAGTCAACCTTGTCAAAGCTCGACGCCCGTCTCAACGAGCTCTTGGGCTTGGTGTGCTCTCTCGTTATAATGACGCGCATTTGTTCAATCACGTGACCGTGTTGTAAGCCTATATAAAAGGCTGGGGTCGCTGGGCGGCAAAAATGTTTTCCCCCTGAACACCACTTTTCAACTGCCAGACAAGAAGAAAGTCTGAGTTTAAGACCGAACATCATCACAATGGGCACCCTTTAAGGTGCTTAAGGGGCTCTTCACCACCCAAGACGAGAAAAACGCAGAAGAACGCGGCTGTTTGAGCCCAGATTGATTCTCCAAATCGATTCTTGATCATTCAAACCGCCTTTTCCATCGCCAGTACCACCACAGTGAGCTGTTTCCTACGCCTTGTCTCCCACTTCGATTCCGGTCTCAGCGTTCGTCGTGTTGCCCGCATTTCTGCCCCCTTCCTCCGCCTCTGAGGCTTATTTATTCCTGCCGCTATATGTCAAAGCTCGGTTCACTTACTCCAGCAGTAAACAAACACTCAGCATTCACAACTCCTCAACACACCGCTCTTCTCCGATGCATTGTCCACATGGGTCATGACCTACCGCTTTTCCCGTGTGCGCTGTGCGTTATCTCTCTAACTCTATCACCTCTATCAGTCCCTGCCTTGATCCTCGTATCAACGCAAGATGCGTTCCGGTGTTGCCCCCACCGGCATTAACCATAGAGCTAGACACCGCTAGCCAGCGAACTGATGGTCGTTTGGTCGGTCTACAGAGGCATCACCAGATGACCAACGGAAAAAATCCATAGGCGCTTTTCTAAGATCCGGGTTTTTGATTGGTGTATTTTTTCAAAAAAATGCCCGGCAATCAAGAAGGCAGGGTGATGTTCCCCTCTCGGTCGTGGCGAGCTTAGTAGCGAGCCGTCTATATGAAGCAGGACGAAATGGGACCAGCGTTTGGGTACGTACTCAATGAATGGAAGAGTTGGCAAGCCGATTGAGTTAGCTGAAATTCGAGCAAGAGAAACCAATTCTTTTAGTTCAAGAGCGATTCTAAAGACGCTGACTTGACAGACTACAGCTTTTGAAGCACACTGTTAACATCTCAGCTTCTCTGTTCAGCACACTCAGCATACTCCGTTAAGGCGATCATTGAAAATTCATTATTTTCTCTTGGTTTTTGGTAGGGCGTTGAACGGCTACTGCAAAACGATCACTGTAGCGCGAGAGATCGACTTTTAAACCCTATATTTATCGCTTAAATGCTGGAATCCGACAAATTTGATCCTCTAGAAGAGGCATACGATGGCGGACTTCCTCTAAGCAGCGACGTGTCCGGATTCGGCGCGTCATCGTCCAAAATGCAGTTTTGGGCCGATGCAATCCCGCAAAAACAGGGTCTGTATGATCCAGAATACGAACGCGACGCCTGTGGTGTTGGTTTCGTCGCCAACATCAAGGGCTTGCCCTCACACAAAATCGTCTCGGATGCGCGCTACTTGCTGTGCAACATGACCCACAGAGGTGCAGTTTCGTCGGGTGGAAACGGTGACGGTGCCGGTATCTTGGTCGGTATTCCTCATGAGTTCATGAAGCGCGAGTTCAAAATAGAGCTCGACGTTGACGTGCCCGCTAGGGGCCAATACGCAGTCGGAAACTTTTTTTTCAAAAAGGACTCTGCCGAGACCCTCGACATCGGGAAACGCGCCTTCGAGGAGATTGCCCAGTCTCTGGGACTCTCCGTGCTGGCATGGCGTTCTGTCCCACGCGACTCGTCGCTTCTAGGTGCCGTCGCACTCTCCCGCGAGCCTACTATTCTACAACCTCTCGTGGTACTCACAGCCGCTCATCAAACACAGCAGCAGATTTCTGAGGAGGACTTCAAGTCTCAGTACGACGTTGAGTTTCAAACTCTGCTGTACATCCTGCGGAAGAAGGCAACATCCGCCATTGGCATACAGAACTGGTTTTACGCCTGTTCTTTGAACACAAAGACTATTGTTTATAAGGGCCAGTTGACCCCAACCCAGGTATACCAGTACTATCATGACTTGACCAACGCTCACTTCGAGTCTCACATGGCTCTCGTCCACTCCCGTTTCTCCACAAACACTTTCCCCTCTTGGGATAGAGCTCAGCCGCTGCGGTGGATCGCTCACAATGGTGAAATTAACACCCTTCGTGGTAACAAGAATTGGATGCGTTCGCGTGAAGGTGTCATGGCCTCAGAAACATTCAAGGAAAATCTTGAACAGCTATACCCAATTATCGAGGAAGGTGGCTCCGATTCCGCCGCTCTCGACAACGTATTGGAGCTCCTTGTCATAAACGGCGCGCTTTCTCTACCAGAGGCCATCATGATGATGGTTCCTGAAGCCTACCACAAGGACATGGACTCTAACTTGAAGGCCTGGTTTGACTGGGCTGCCTGTTTGATGGAGCCCTGGGACGGGCCTGCTCTGCTAAACTTCACCGATGGTCGTTACTGTGGTGCTATACTCGACAGAAACGGTCTGCGGCCTTGCCGTTACTACATCACTTCGGATGATCGCGTTATCTGTGGTTCCGAAGTGGGTGTTATTCAAGTTGATAACTCGCTGGTAGTACAAAAGGGGAAGCTTAAGCCAGGCGATATGTTTCTAGTCGACACAGAGCTAGGTCAGATGGTCGATACCAAAAAGATGAAGTCTCAGTTTTCTAAGAAGCGCGACTTCAAATCTTGGCTATCTAAGCTAATTAAGGTCGAAGACCTGCTGGCAAAAACCGAAAAGCACACACCTAAGAGGTTTTTGAGTGACAAACATGCATCTTTGAAAGCTCAGCAAGACCCAAGACTGCTAGCTCTGGGATACACTTTTGAACAAGTTTCCATGGTTCTCGTACCCATGGCTCTTGGAAGTAAGGAAGCCCTAGGTTCCATGGGTAACGATGCTCCTTTGGCCTGTCTAAACGAAGACCCTGTCCTGCTTTACGATTATTTTAGGCAGCTCTTCGCCCAAGTCACCAACCCTCCTATCGATCCAATTCGTGAGGCGAACGTGATGTCCTTAGAGTGCTACGTTGGCCCTCAAGGTAATCTTCTGGACATCTATCCATCTCAATGTGACCGACTACTTTTGAAGTCTCCGATTTTACACTGGAAAGAGTTTGAGGCCATTAAGAACATCGAGAAAGTTCACCCCGCTTGGTCCACAGCAAACATCGATATCACTTTTGAAAAGTCGCAGGGGCTGCTAGGATACACTGCTGCTCTTGATCGCATAACTCAAGAGGCTTCTGATGCCATTGATCAAGGAAAACGTATTCTCATGATCTCTGATAGAAGGCTAAGTGCTGACCGTGTTCCACTGTCGTCTTTGATCGCTATTGGAGCTATTCACCATCACTTGATTAGAAACAAGCAACGTTCGCAAGTGGCATTGATCTTGGAGACAGGCGAAGCTAGAGAGGTTCACCACTTCTGTGTTCTTCTCGGTTATGGTTGCGATGGTATTTTCCCCTACTTGGCAATGGAGACATTAGTGAGAATGAATCAAGAGGGATTAGTCCGCAATGTAGACAATGATGAGACTGTCATTGATGATGCCACTTTGTTGGAGAACTACAAGCATGCCGTCGACGGTGGTATTCTAAAGGTCATGTCAAAGATGGGTATTTCTACTTTGGCCTCGTACAAAGGTGCTCAAATTTTCGAGTCCCTGGGTATTGACAACACTGTTGTTGATCTCTGTTTTGCCGGAACAGCATCCAGAATTCAGGGTGTAACCTTTGAGTACATCGCGCAAGATGCATTCTCTATGCACGAGCGTGGATTCCCCAGCAGAAAAACAATCTCGAAATCCGTCAATCTACCAGAAAGCGGAGAGTACCACTGGAGAGACGGTGGAGCCAAACACATCAACGACCCTACAGCCATCGCATCTCTTCAGGACTCGGTTCGCAACAAAAACGAAAACGCCTGGGAGATGTATGTGAAGAAAGAAATGGATGCTATAAGGGATTGTACACTAAGAGGTCTCCTCGAGTTGAACTTTGAAGATGCCAGCCCAATTCCGCTCGAACAAGTCGAACCTTGGACTGAGATCGCTAGGAGATTCGCCACAGGTGCTATGTCTTACGGTTCGATCTCTATGGAAGCTCACTCCACGCTTGCGGTGGCGATGAACAGGCTAGGTGCAAAATCCAACTGCGGTGAAGGTGGTGAAGACTCCGAGCGTTCTATCGTGCACGCGAACGGTGACACGATGAGATCTGCCATCAAGCAGGTTGCATCGGCCCGTTTTGGTGTCACCTCGCACTATTTGTCTGACGCTGACGAAATTCAAATCAAAATCGCTCAAGGTGCCAAACCAGGCGAAGGTGGTGAATTACCAGCACACAAAGTCTCCGCCGATATCGCGAAGACGAGACACTCGACCCCGTACGTGGGTCTCATCTCACCTCCTCCTCATCATGACATCTACTCCATTGAGGATTTGAAGCAATTGATCTACGATCTTAAATGTTCGAACCCAAGAGCAGGCATTTCTGTCAAGTTGGTATCAGAGGTCGGTGTCGGTATCGTTGCTTCTGGTGTGGCAAAAGCTAAGGCAGACCACATTTTGGTTTCCGGTCACGATGGTGGTACTGGTGCGTCGAGATGGACCGGTATTAAATACGCTGGTTTGCCTTGGGAACTGGGGCTTGCCGAAACCCACCAAACTCTAGTTTTGAACGATTTGAGACGTAACGTTGTTGTGCAAACAGATGGTCAATTGAGAACTGGTTTCGATATCGCCGTCGCTGTCTTGTTGGGTGCCGAATCCTTCACTTTGGCTACGGTGCCATTGATTGCCATGGGATGTATTATGTTGAGAAAGTGCCACTTGAATGCATGTGCTGTTGGTATCGCTACGCAAGACCCCGCGCTAAGAGAAAAATTCAAGGGCCAACCAGAGCATGTTATCAACTTCTTCTACTATTTGATCCAGGATTTGCGTAAAATTATGGCTAAGTTGGGATTCCGCACCATTGATGAGATGGTAGGCCATTCTGAGATGTTGAGAAAGCGGGACAATGTCAATACAAAAGCGATTAACATCGATCTTTCTCCAATTTTGACTCCTGCTCACGTAATTCGTCCAGGTGTTGCAACCAAATTCACGAAGAAGCAAGATCACAAGTTGCACACACGTTTGGACAACAAACTGATCGATGAAGCCGAGATTACTCTCGACCGCGGTCTTCCCGTTAATATCGATGCCTCGATCAAAAATACGGATCGTGCTCTCGGGGCTACTCTGTCTTACAGAATATCCAAAAAGTTTGGTGAAGAAGGTCTACCTCAAGACACGGTTGTAGTAAACATCGAAGGTTCTGCTGGTCAAACTTTCGGTGCCTTTTTGGCTTCGGGTGTAACTTTCATCTTGGATGGTGATGCCAATGATTACGTTGGTAAGGGTCTTTCTGGTGGACGTTTGGTCATCAGACCCCCTCCTGACTCCACTTTCAAGAGCGACGAGAACGTTATCGTCGGTAACACCTGTTTCTATGGAGCTACCTCTGGTACTGCGTTTATTTCTGGTGTTGCCGGAGAGAGATTCTGCGTTCGTAACTCCGGAGCTACCATTGTTGTTGAACGTATCAAGGGTAACAACGCGTTCGAATACATGACAGGCGGTCGTGCGGTTGTCTTGTCCCAGATGGAATCCTTGAATGCCTTTTCAGGTGCTACTGGTGGTATCGCCTATTGTTTGACGTCAGACTACGACGACTTTGCTGGAAAAATCAACTTGGAAACCGTTGAGCTGCAAAGTTTGGTGGATCCTGTGGAAATTGCATTCGTTAAGAACTTGATTCAAGAGCATTTCAACTACACCAAGTCCGAACTGGCTGCCAGAATATTAGGAAACTTTAACCACTACTTGAAGAACTTCGTTAAAGTCATTCCAACCGACTACAGGAAAGTTCTTGAGAAAGATGCTGCAGAAAAGTTGAAATTGAAGGAATCTAACGCTGCAAAGTTCCTGAAGAAGTTCAATTCAGGAACGGATTTGAAAGCCGACGCTACTAACGGAGAGGTTGACGGCATAAGAGATTCTAGAATCAAGGCTGCCTCTGTTAGCCACAAGACTACGCTTGCCGAACCCAAAGTGCAGGATCTGGAAGATGCTATTCAAGATGTGAGTCAATTGGATAAGAATGCTGAGAAAATCGAAAAAACTCGTGGGTTTATGTTGTACAAGCTTCGTCACGAAAAATATCGCGGCACCAAGTCACGCACGAAAGACTGGAAAGAGCTTTCGAGCTGTCTAACAAAGAAGGATGCCAAGTACCAAACTGCCAGATGTATGGACTGTGGTGTTCCATTCTGTACCGCTGACACTGGTTGTCCAATTTCTAATGTCATTCCTAAATTCAACGAGTTGGTGTTCAAAAACCAATGGAAGCTGGCTTTGGACAAATTGTTGGAAACCAACAACTTCCCTGAGTTCACAGGTCGTGTCTGCCCAGCTCCTTGCCAAGGTTCTTGTACTTTGGGGATTATCGATGATCCTGTTGGAATCAAGTCCATTGAACGTTTGATTATCGACAATGGGTTCAAGGAGGGATGGATTCAACCACAAATTCCAGAGTTCAGAACAGGGCGGACAGTCGCCATTATTGGTTCAGGTCCTGCTGGTTTGGCATGCGCCGATCAGTTGAACAGGGCAGGTCACACCGTTACGGTCTATGAAAGAGCCGATCGTTGTGGTGGTTTGCTGATGTATGGTATCCCCAACATGAAGTTGGACAAGTCAATTGTTCAGCGCCGTGTTGATTTGATGGCCGCCGAAGGCGTTCAGTTCGTGACTAACGTGGAAATCGGTAAAGACATTACCACTGAACAGTTGAAATCTGACCATGATGCTGTTGTTTACGCGATAGGTTCTACCATTCCAAGAGATCTCAGAATCCCTGGTCGTGAGTTGAAAAATATCGACTATGCTATGACTTTGCTGACAGCCAACACTCAAGCTCTGCTAAACAAGGACTTGGAAACAGTTCGCCAACAAATCGCAGGTAAGAAGGTAATTGTTATTGGTGGTGGTGACACCGGTAATGACTGTCTGGGTACATCCGTGAGACACGGTGCGGCCTCGGTGTTGAACTTTGAGCTACTGCCTCAACCACCAAATGAGCGCTCTAAGGATAATCCTTGGCCACAGTGGCCTCGTGTCATGAGAGTTGACTACGGTCACGCCGAAGTCAAGGAACACTATGGGAGAGATCCTCGTGAATACTGCATTCTCTCGAAAGAATTCATCGGTAACGAAGAAGGCGAAGTGAAGGCGATCAAGACGGTTCGTGTGGAATGGAAGAAGTCCGAATCTGGCGTCTGGCAAATGGTGGAGGTTCCCGGTTCCGAAGAAATTTTCGAAGCCGATGTTGTTCTCTTGTCGATGGGCTTTGTGGGTCCAGAATTGTTTGAGGATTCTAGTGTCGTTAAGACCAAAAGAGGCACCATCGACACGTTGTCGGACGCGTCGTACTCAGTTGACGGAGGCAAGACTTTTGCTGCTGGTGACTGCAGACGCGGTCAATCTTTGATCGTTTGGGCCATCCAAGAGGGCAGAAAGTGTGCCACCTCGGTCGACAGCTTTTTGATGGGCTCCACCAACTTGCCTGGCAACGGTGGTATTGTGAAACGTGACTACAGACTTTTGGAGGAATTGGCATCTACTGTCGATGCCTGAAAGCAAGCTGATAGAGCCAAGACATCCAAGTACCGTGCCATTATTTATTGTGTCTATTTATTGTAATTGTAATTATTTATTTATTGTCAACAGAGACTAGAAGACTAATGGTGGGGTATGATCGATGAGGCTCTTTCGAGCTTGTCTAGATATAAAGGGTGTACCGGAGCCAAGGGCCTGTGAGTATGCATCTAATTCGTTATATTGATCTGTTATGTATGAATCAGGAGGAGAGACGTAACTGCATGCTTCGTTTGTGTGATATTAGTGTGAATGGCGAACTAAAAAGGCCTTATTTGAAAAAGCGCTTGACGTTTGCCCACAGTCCTGATTTAGACCCATTTTTATGAGCCTTTGTGCCGGTTTTGGATTTCCTGCTGTTCGTGGGCGAAAGAATGTTTCCTGCTCCACCCCTGCCGATGCTAATACTTTGTGGTGTTTCTTGCCTACTTCCTTTTGGTCTCAGCGGGGTATTCGCACTGTGATAGCTGCGGGCGGCGTGTGAGTCGTGAGATTTTGCAGACTGAACGTTTAAATCCAGGTTTACAGGGTTAATATCTCCATCTGCCGGCGGTATGAAGTCGTCCACGTCCTGCGCCTTACGAGTTAGCTTTTGATCCACGTTCTTGCGCATATTACCAGCACCTCCTCTGCCAGTGCTGAATACCGGTTGCAAAAGGTTGGGAGTCTGAGAACCTTGTGGAACAACTTTTGGAGATGGTTTTTCAGACGACGAAACTATGTTTCCAGCACCACCTCTGCCAGTATAAACGTTGAAACCTTCCACCATATTATTGATAGTCAAGCCACGCAGTAGACAAGAATCTTAAAAACCGAACAAAATGGGAGCTTCCTCGAACGGCTCTCGATGATAGCAATGGGAAATCAGAATACCAAATATAAGACAGTCGTTAAGCAGAGACCGACTTTTCGTTGGATGCTAAGAATCACTTCAAGATCAGCATCGTCATTATACTTTTATGGGATTATAAAATTTGGACCCTGTTCGTTCGTAGTGAACTGTTCATTATGGAACTAATGGACTCCACTTGTCGAATCAAATAAGTTTCTCCATTATATTGGCTCTTTGAGAGCACACGATTTAATTCTGAGTAGCTAAGCACAAGAAAACTAGCTTTCAGTGAGAGTATTTGGCGATATGTCAATTGCGTTTGTTAGGGACATCTAATTCGAAATCTGGAATTTCCAGACAGAACAACCCACAACGAATGGTCATGAACTCGTTAGTGGGGGTTTATTGACATATAGAAATGTGTTGTGGCAAAGGCTATAGCTGTAATACTATTAGAACTTGTGGTTACGTTGATTAATCAAAAAGCCATCCGTTATTAACTCACAATCTGTAATTCTTTAACGGTAAAACAACCAATTCTAAATTTCAACAGTTCTCATTCTAACATACTCTAGAAAGATAGTGGCATCTCTGTAGCTCAATCCTTCGAGGCAATTCAAACGATTTGGTCTGTTTGAGCTCATCTATATCACTATCATGGCCATCTACCTAATAATCCACTCGTAAGTAGAAGTTTGACCAGATATTTCTCGTTCAAAAGGACCCGACTCTCATAAAAATGCTTAACCGTCGTCTTTCGTGATGTCGAAATAAGAAAAACCATCGATTTCAGGATGTCCACCCATCTCTTGAGACAACTCGAATACTTCAGTTCAAAAAACTGTCAGGAAATTCGCGAGATCGCTTGCTGTCTTTCCATTGTTGTTTTTGAATTTTTGATCGCCTAAGTACCAAAAAAAACCGGTTTGAAAAATGTCTTGGGACGACGAAGGTTTCGATATTCCAGCTACCTCGAAAGATCAGCCTGCTGTGGCCTCTTGGGACGATGAGTTTGGCGCTGCTGCTGACGACGACGAAGTTCTGTTAGAATCCTGGGATGCGGAGCCCGCTGAGAAGCCTGCCGCCACAAAGAAAGCTCCCGCTCGTGGCAAGAAGGACGACAAGAAAGGCAATGGCGAAGTGCTTTTGGAAATCGATACTGTAGACGAAAAGACCAGGAAAGAACTGCTTAAAAAGGCGGAAATCGAGGCGGATCTCAACAATGCTGCTTCTTTGTTCGAGGGTCTCGGTGTAGCTGACGAACATCCAAGAGCCAAGGCTCTGCGCAAGCAACAGGAACAAGACGCACTATTGCGTCCAGCAAGCTTCACGAAAGACACACCTATTGAATCGCATCCTCTGTTCACGTCTGCAGAGACCAAGAAAGATTTCCAAGAGCTTAGAAAGGCGCTGGCCACAGCTATCACATCCATGAACGAGAAATCGCAACTAAACTACTCGTCAGGCTTGGCTGTGGATCTGATCCGTGACGTGGCTTCCCCAATGAACATAGAATCGATCAGACAAACCGTGGCTACTCTAAACGTTTTGATGAAGGAAAAGGAAAGACAAGAAAGACAGGCTCGTTTGGCAAAGGTCAGAGGTGGCACTGCTACTGGTGGTGCTGGTAAGAAGAAGGCGAAGGCTGCCAAGGCCAATCTTGGTGGTGCTTTCAAGAAGGATCAAGAGTTCGATCTTGAAAAGGGCGAGTTTGATGATTTTGCCGAGGACGATTTCATGTAATCTTAAATATGGTCCACGCGGTTGTCAACCAAGAGTATAGAGTCTGCACTTTAAACAGCTAAATGTAATAACAGTTGAAATTGAATTTGAGGTGGAGGTCGGCCCTGCGATTGGTTTTTTTTTCACTTCCATGCCAGTTGTGATGTTTTAATTATGTGTTAAAGCGCAAGGTGCAGGGTGCAAGGTGCGAAGCTTTTAAGCAGCAGTTCGTCATAACATGGCACCACCGGCCAGATCTAATCGTAAGCAGTCACTATATTCTCGATGATCTTGAATTGCGGGGGGAAAGAAGTTCGAATGCCAAGAGAAGAAATTATCGAAGAATGAAAAGAGTAGCAGAACCGTAAGATGAGTAGCTGTACATCAGACTTGCTCCTACTGTCTACGTTACGAGGTAAAAGGCCGTGACCGGACTCACCTCGGTGTCAAAAACGGTATACAGTGCTAACAAAAAAATACAGGAATAGAAAGCACCCGCATATACGGGTCTCAATATTTTAGTAGCGTCTTGCGATGACCGTAGTATTCTAAATAGTTTACGAGTTTGTTAATTGACCGCTTTCGGTAGAAATAGAAATGTTTTTCAGCCTACGTCTTAGCAAGGTCGCCTAGCAGTGCCGACAGATTTGCACTTTGGACAACTACGCTAATCAAGCATAAGAAACTCAAGCCTAAAATTTAAACTCACAAACTCACATCTCCTGCTCCGAAACCAGCCCGGTAGTCTCATAATTTTGTCTTTGCTAACTACGAAAAAACCCTCACGATGTGAGCAAAAGCCAGAACCGGAAGCATCGTTGTACACAGCTGCAGCAACTAATTCCCAACGGTTGCAATTCAAGCTGGCCGTTCATTTGCAGCTAGAACTATCCAGCATTTGTGGCGCCAAGACTTGTATTTTATACTCGATCATGAAATGCTAATCTCATGATCGGTATTCACCGGAAAGAATCGCACCAGGCGACATGATCACCACAGGTGAAATACAGCTGAAAAACTCTTGCCCAAACTGTAGGATATTTTCAAGCGGAAAAATACCAGCTCAAGACATGAGTTCGTCGTTGTAGTCCCGAACTCATGTCAACTCTTCTATATCTGCAGATCTTCTTGAAATGTTACGTTACGTAGGATGTGAAGCGTACAGCGACATAAATGGTTCCACACGGTCAAAAACCTCCTGCAAAAACGGCAATAGCGTGGAAAAATGCTTTCTTCGTCATTGCGGTATAATGCTTGGCGCCGTATGTGGAATTGTTAACACCAGTGCTAGTATACCCGAAGGCGAGGTTCGAGAGAACAAAATGTTCCGGAGAATCAGTGTTTACGATTGATAAAATAGCAAAAAAGGCACCAAGACTCGACGTGATCAACTTCAAAAGCTTGGCATTGGTTTATCGGTCTTAATTTCCAAGTGATGCCTTTGATTCTTTGACAAAGGCATATATTTATTATATCAGGCTCTATCACTTCGAGCATAAAAAGTGCCAAGACTTTCGAAAAGATACATCTTAAGGTACCTTAGAACATTTTAATTGAGGAATTTAGGTATTCAAGATGTTAAAACATTCATTGAGATTGTTCCCCAGAAACCTCCGATTTCATAGCTCTTTTCCAGCCGTGAAATCGACGATTTCCAGTGGTAGACATAAATACAAGATTTCAGTGGGTGGATTGGTATTAGGTGCACTAGCTGGAGCTTCACTAGGGCTATCTGAATGGTCGATTAAAAATGAACAGTTTTCCTCCACAACATCGCTGGAGGATTTACAGCCTCCACAATATTGCCACGACGAAAAAGTGTTCGATGAAGCGGTGAAAAAACTGAAGGCAATCTTGAAAGACGACCCAGCGTCTTTTACGGTCTCCAAAGAGGAACTCGACTCGCACTCAGACTCTTATTTTAACAGCCACCATGCGACGTCAGAACAGCGACCAAAAATTATCCTATACCCACACAGCACTCAGGACGTTTCGGAGATCTTGAAAGTATGCCACGAATACAACATTCCTGTCATCCCATTTTCCGGTGGTACCTCTTTGGAAGGCCATTTTTTGCCAACAAGAATTGGATGCACGGTGATGGTGGATCTGTCAATGTACATGAACCAGATCATTAAACTGAACGACTTGGACCTCGACGTGGAGGTACAAGCTGGCGTTCCGTGGGAAGATTTAAATGAGTTTCTGGGCGAAAAAGGATTACTCTTTGGTTGTGACCCCGGCCCAGGTGCGCAAATCGGCGGTTGTATTGCCAACTCGTGCTCTGGCACCAACGCCTACAGGTACGGAACCATGAAAGAGAACGTTGTCAACATCACAGCAGTACTAGCAGATGGCACTATAATCAAGACCAAAAAAAGACCACGGAAATCGTCTGCTGGCTACAATTTGAACGGGCTTTTGATTGGATCAGAAGGTACTTTAGCAGTTGTCACAGAGGCCACGGTGAAATGTCATGTCAAGCCCATGAAGGAAACTGTTGCAGTGGGGTCTTTTCCCAGTGTAGGAGACGCTGCAGCATGCACTTCTAGAATCATTCAGGAAGGCATACAACTCAATGCTATGGAACTGCTGGACGACAATATGATGAAAGTGATCAACAAAGGTGGCGCCACGTACAAGACTGACTGGATAGAAAAGCCAACGCTGTTTTTCAAAATCGGGGGACGCAATGACAACATTATTGCCGAAGTGGTTAGCGAAATCAACCGTATTGCGAAGACGCACGGATGTCACAAATTTGAGTTTGCCACGAACGACGATGAGAAAATGGAGCTGTGGGAAGCACGGAAGGCGGCGTTGTGGTCAGTGATCAATGAGGGCAAAACGAAAGATAGCGATATCAATGTGTGGACCACAGACGTTGCTGTGCCGCTGTCACAATTCTCAAAAGTAATCGAGGCTACTAAAGAGGAGATGACCGCGAGTGGGTTGCAGAATGCGATTGTGGGTCATGCAGGCGATGGTAATTTCCACGCTTTCTTGCTGTACAATGACGAACAGCGCAGTAAAGCCTCTGAAATCGTGGATAATATGGTCAAGCGGGCGATAGATGCTGAGGGTACCTGTACTGGAGAGCACGGCGTGGGTATTGGCAAGCGCAAGTTTCTACTGGAAGAGCTGGGAGATGGTCCTGTTGACCTAATGAGATCATTGAAACTGGCGATGGACCCCAAAAGGATTTTGAACCCGGACAAGATCTTTAAGATTGATCCCAACGACGACGAGGAGTGAGGAGGTGAGAAGATGAGAGGGTGAGACTTTGCAGACAGAAAAATGCAGTTTATAAATATTCTTAAGATGCATATATGGCGATCAGAAATCGAATGACGATTACTTTAACGAAAGGGCAACTAGGGCTGGTTCGAAGCTTTTGCCAAAATGTTTAGAGGCTGACGATCGCGTTTTTTACCGAGCGTCAGTAAGTTTACAAGTGATGGCTGTTTAATGACAGGATCAGAAACGTGAGGAATAGAGTATATTCAATCGTTCGGCAAAAGTGGAGATCGACGTTACATGTCTGGTACGGTATACTGTATTAATCACTCTCGAAAATCGCAAGTTTCCTCTCTCGACAAAATGGCTAAAAACAAAATTGTTGCGGCAGCGAACATGTAAAGACGAATGACGTAGGGAGGTGAATTTACTCAGACTTTATATATCACAGCAATGCTACATATAACTACTCAAAAGTCAGAGCTATTCTTTGGAAAGGTTTTGAGTTTGGTAGTTGTAAGATCGAAAACCTTGCGAGGAAAATATGCAATTCGCTGCTTTGAAGCCATTCATATGATGATAATCGATTGTGGAAATTCACACCACGACTTGGAATGTCCACAGTATGATTTTGGATATGATATATATTCACTGTTTTGTCTTCAGAATCGTTCTCACGTCTGGTGAAGACAAATGACGGAGCTTATGTTGTTCTTATCCACACAATTCTTCAACAATCGCGCAAGTGGTTTAGTGGTAAAATCCAACGTTGCCATCGTTGGGCCCCCGGTTCGATTCCGGGCTTGCGCAGTTTTTTGACCTTGGTGAAAATTACCAGAAGTGAATAAATTCCACCACACACACTCTTCCTTTCTCTCTCTCCCTCTCTCTCTCCCTCTCTCTTCCTCTTCAAGGAAATACTTCACCCTCTAACTCATCCATCAACACCTCTCGTTTTGAGAAAAATTTATCTATCCCTGTCTCTGTCTCGACTCCTCCTGTCTCACAAGAATCTCTCTCCAGGTTTGCTGTAACCCCCACGATCTCGTAACACTTGACACTGACGCCTTCGTCTTACCCTTCCAATAGCAAGACCACACCTTCTCCGGTAGCAAACCAACAAGAAACCTTCCACCACCGCAAAAGCCACAAGCCAAGTTGCCGACTATATAACAAGCGATGTTTGCGTAGATCTCAACTAGATGTATCTTCTAAAAAAACTATCTCTCTACAATATCATCAGTAGCATCGTTCTGCTTTGTTTCCAATACTACAATACCCACAATATTCATAATGTTTAGATCCACCGCCTCGCAATTACTCAGATCCAGTGTGCCCTCCAGAATGGTCGGGACTCCAAGAGTGGTGTCCTCGTCGCTACACTCGTCTGCCCTGGCTCAACAGTCGATCACAGACAAGGTGCGTCACACCCTGGGCGACCTGAACAAGAAGATCGGCGAAGCAGCTGCGTCGGGCATCGATAAAGCACAAGAAGCTACGCATAAGGTGGAGGAAAAGGGCCACCAGGCCAGTGAAGCTACCAAACACGGTCTTGACGCTCTCAACAAGAAAACAGGCAAGGCTGCTGCTGCTGGTATCGACAAAGCGCAACATATCGGCGAATCCGTCAGTGACGAGGCCCAGGACTTGAAGCACGACTTGAGAAGCGACCCTAAGGGCAAAGCTCAAGAGCTGAAGAACGAAGCCAAGGACAAAGTACAGAACCTGAAAAACGAGGCCCGTGACAAAGCGCAGGACGTCAAACAGAGCACACGCGAAACTGCCAGCAGCGCCGAGGCCAAGGCCAAGGACGTTGCAGACGACTACAAGCATTGAGCAGCGACAGTTGACGAAGAATATATAGCTACGTTGTGGTTTCTTCACACACAGGTGGGTAAGCTATGATATAATGGTCTGCATTCGGCCCTGCTAACGGCGAAGTGGTCGACCCATCAAGATGCTAGGTGTGTAGTTGTATATGTACGAGTAACGAATATGCATTATTATGAAAGAAGTGAGGGAAAGGGGTGGGAGGGCTTGACAGCTTGGTAAGCCTGTGAGTGGTATTGGTGGACAACCGCTGCAATCGAGAAATACCTTATATCAAGGCTTCTTGGACCAAAGTACACTTTTTTGAGCGGACCTAAAGAACTGTATCATAGTCGTGTAAGCCGTCAGGCAGGTTTTTTCAAACCTCTATTGCTTCTCCACGTCCCCCACGCTCTCTACGCTCTCCACACGCCGGCGTATCAGCTCCAAATAATTACTCGGCACGTAGCCAACGTCGCCCTTCTTCGTGCGCACCTTCCACCACTCACTTTCGCGACCCATTGGATCTGTCTTGCTCATCACCGCCATCAGATCGCCCTTCTGCAGCCGGACCTCGATCTGTGGGTTCTCTGGCGTGAAGTCATACGTGGCCCGAGCAAACTCGAGATTCCGTGGGTCCAGCCCCGAGGGCACGCCAGAACCGTTGTTCCGAGCCAGTAACGTCTTGCGTTGTTGGATCTCTGCCAATCGTGCAATGAACTTTCGCAGCAAGAATGGAAACCCGAAGACCGCGGCCAAAAATATAACCAATGGCTTCCACGAGATCCGTTTTTTCCCACGTTTCTCGCGCTCCAAATAACGTCCTCTAAAATTGTCAAACTCCTTCGCCAGCTCGCTTTTAGGCCCTGCGATTGCAGACTTACGTTGTGGCGCTGTGCCCAGCCTGCCACTGGTAACCTTGTATAGTAGCTTCTTGAGCATCTTCATGGCCGCAAAAATACCCAGGAATGACCCCAGCATTTCTTTCAGCGACGCGATCTGCTCTGCCATTGACACCATAGTGAAGAATGAGTTATGAGTGGCCATGTAGGTCGCTTCGAGCATCTGGGCGAACCCTGCCACGGCCCCAATCAGGCTTTCGATCAGTTGGAACGTAGCTTGGGTCGATTCAGCAAGGCCCTGGGCCCCATTGCCGTTCATTCCTCCCATTCCATACATGTTTGTCGCTCCGTAGCCTCCCATCATCGACCCGTAGCCTCCAGCTCCGTACATCGAACCATACCCTGAACCGTAGCCTGATCCATACATCGAACCGTATCCACTTGATCCGTACAATGATCCCAGACCGGCTCCATACATCGACCCTCCGTATCCACCACCATGTCCGACCCCATTCTGACCGTACATCCCGGTTTGGTATCCAACGTTGCTGCGCATGTTGTTCGCATCTGTCTCTGATTCGAGCACTGCAGGCCGTTTCGGAAGCTCTGGTGCCGAGTCTGTGGTACCATAGCTTCCCTCACTCACCGGTGTCGATTTCGTAGGCCCTACTATTGCGGAATCTGCCACCTCAGGCACATCTGTCACTTGTCCTTGCCATGGTTTAGCTCTTGGCTTTCTGACTGAAGATGACATCTTCTCGTAATTTCCTATAGTTTCCCGACCACGAAGCGAAAAGCTCAGTTTAAGGGCCTGGAATCAAATCCTATCACCTGTAATTCGATCTAAATGGTGAAAACTAGAACCCAAAGCTCCCTCCTGTGTCGTCCCACAACCGATTTAACGTAACCTGTCCTTTGGTTTACTAGTAAGTGACATTTTAAAACTATGGGATATTTCGTTATTAGTTATGTTGAAATCGTGAACAGCCTTTTAACATCTCGTTAGCTCTGAATTAGAACTCGATAGCCGATTGTTCGTGAGATATGTTGGTGTTTCTCATACTCGAAGTTTTTCCAGAAAGTTTGGGCAACTTTTGCCCGGGCACGACCCGACAGTAGATCAAGAACTAGGTTTCCGGAATTCGCAGTAGAACATTAGGCTAATAGGAAATCCTAGCAAGCCGATGAGAATTTGGGAGAGGCCAATAATTATGTGGGTTTGAGGGAGAGATTTACCAGTCAATTTGCAAAATGTCGTTGTCATGCTTCCTGCCAAACAATTATAGGTAAAATCAATTCCTGGTAAAATCGGAATTTTTGTGATCGATTGTGTGAGAGTACAGTCATTCCAGTAAAATAAAATCACCATGGTCAGTTTTGTATTGTATACTCTAGCCTTTTTTTATTGTTTTCACAACATCGCTGTACCTACGGACATACAATAGAGGCACCGCTGGGTGGAACTAGAAATTAACATCGCATTGACTCAACTAAACAATTGCCAAAATATTGAAATTGATTTAGCAGGGTGTGAACAGGTAAAGACTGGATAAGATGAGACCCAGACATAATCCTCCTCCCGTTCCAATTTTGAATTTCGGCCATTGTCCTGACGCACAATGCCTGAATCATCTATTCATAAATTTGTCACGGCACACAGCTTGACAGCTATGTACTAAACTTGCTTTCATCCTTCCATCAACACGGGCGTGTGGCGTAGTTGGTAGCGCGCTCCCTTAGCATGGGAGAGGTCATCGGTTCGACTCCGGTCTCGTCCAATTATTTTTTGCTTCAGTTTCGATTTTTTGTCTTATCGAGCAGAGGTCTTCGACACCCTCCAACAAAGCGAAAGGCGTTCATTACATGGAACAATATTCATCACTGTTATTATAATTATCGAACGATTGATCGTGCTGCCTTTGTCTATACAACCTGGGCTTATATAAATTGTATTTGTATTTGTTTATTTTGTAGACATGTTCTGTAACCTTTAGAATTATGCATAATATGAGCCCGCAATGCTCTGCTGTGTTTTATAGTACAATGAAAATCAAGGTTTTCAACGGAATGTTCATTTCTCAAAGGTCAATCCTAGCTTGATCCCTGCGAGTCTCTTGCGAGGTGATTCTGACATCGGGAGACTGATTTCGTCGTTAAAAGGTTTCGTAAGGGTCTCAGTCTTTCCTAGTTTATTGTCATAGTCGTCATCAGGAATTTCGCTCTCAGTGTCGTCACCGCTGCTGGAGTTGGCTTCTGATATCTCGTCAAGCGTTAGGGCATCCACGAGGGGGATTCTGGGCTTGGACGGAGGTGCCACTTTCATTGGAGCGGTCAGTTTCTTGACCACCCGCCTGTAGTTTTCTATCTGTTTTTCCAACTGCTTCATCTTACGGTCCATTTCTCTAAAGCTGTTCTCCTTTTCGCGCTGAACGTCGTGCAAGGCATCGAACATGCACTTGTCTTGAACTGTCCGATGTGCGGTCATTGTGTGCCTTAATTGTTCGTTTTGTAACCGTAGTTCTGCGATACTCAGCTCTAGCTGTTTGACCTTGAGCGAGAAATGCTCTGTTTGAAACGTTCTTTCTCTCAAAGCATCCAACTGCTGTCGATTGTGCTGTGTGTCACTAATATTCAAAGTGGCTACTTGTCTGTCGTCGGCGTATTGCGCAAACCAGCCATTAAGGTCTTCGTCGTTACTCGATCCCACACTCGAGATATAGGAGCTTCTCTTGCTTTGGGTTGCTAGCACAAATTCGTCCTTGTCTAGCGACGGCACTTCGAAGTTCAGACTCTCGGGATAGTCCTTCATGTCAAGCGTGGAACTGGAAGATGCTGTCGAAGTCGCAGAAGGAAATCTGTAATCGGGGCCCTTGGCAACTGGCTGCGTGAGTTTTGCATCTGGCATTGGTCTTGTTATTGTTTCTACAATACAGCGACTTTCGGTTTGTGCCTCGACTTCGTAAGCAGTTGCATTGCTTTTCAGTGAGCTTGCATTTGAGAGTTCTCTTGAATGTGATGGTTTTGATGGTTTTGATGATGATGATGATGATGATGATGATGATGATGATGATGATGATGATGATGATGATGATGATGATGATTGTGATTGTGATTGTGATTGTGATTGTGATTGTGATTGTGATTGTGATTGTGATTGTGATTGTGATTGTGATTGTGATTGTGATTGTGATTGTGATTGTGATTGTGATGACGATGATTGCAATTGGGTCTGGGCTTTAGCTTCATTCTTTTGATGTTGCACTTCCTGCGGTGCTTCTTGTGGCATTTGCTGGGATTCTGGCACCTGCGTCTGTCGCGAAGAGGCAGCATCTTTAAAAAAGAGCTTAGATGACGTCAAAATCATGGAAGGTGTCGTTACTGGCGTTGCTGATACTCCCTTGCTGGTATTCAGAAGTCGCGACACGCTCATGTACTCTGGTTTCAGCATTTTCGGAGCGTTTCCCAGCATGGCGCGAATTGGAGAGTTAGATCGTAATATTTTGGGAGGAGTTTTGAGATCTGCGCTGCGGCCACGGCCCTGGCGTCCGCGCTCCGTGAGTTTCGACAGCGAAGTGCGGTACATCGCAGGATACCCATTTTTCATATTGTTGTTGTTATTATCGTCGAGGTGCATGAATGTCGGATTTCCCAGCGACGACAAATCGTCCAAGTGCATCATGATTGGAGAAGTTTTTGGTGTGAGCTGTTGCTCTGGTCCCATGGGAGGTGTGTTCATGTTGAGATAAAATAATGTAGCGACGGCAAACGAGTGACAACTTAGTTGGAAGTGAATAGAGTAGGTCCGGAAATGATCCCACAAATTTGTCCGAAAAAAAAAACGATTTTTTTGATGTTGATGGTGGTTCAAGTGGTTTTAATGGTCTATAATCGCTCTGCTGAAGATCTGAATGTCTGTACCGAATCACCACAGACTGTAGTATCTAATTTTTTTGTCCTGAATTCAGATTCTGATTTTCGCCCGTTATGGCACGCTGCCCTCAGATTTTAAGCGAGTTTGGCAAGTCAATCACCAAGATTTCTTGTGCTATAACAGAGCGTTCACCACTTCGTCAAATATGTATATTCTCCTCTAAAGCTTAGTGGACCTACTCAAAAGTATCTTCTTTTGGCTAATTTAGGTCGATGAGCGATAGGAGTATGAAAACGAGATAGTTTGGCCTCTTTTGTGGATAGAAAGGTCTTGGAGTTAGATCTTTGAAAGTTTCCCAAGCTTTCCATGTGTGAATATGTGTTGATGTTTATGGTTTGCCTCTTTGGGTAATTAAGTGACAAAATGTGGACGAGGCCGGATCGGGCAACTAAGAGGCACAATGATGCCGAAAGAGGAAAGTAAACTGCCTAAAAGAGTAAGTCGAGGAATACCAAGCCTGAGAGGCATAAAGAGAGGTAAAACTATTGGTTAGACGTTAACTTGTGTTGGCTATACTTTAGGTGAGAGGAAGAGGTCTTTTTTAGCCCGAGACCGTGAAATTTGGGAAAGCTGGGTGTCAGATTAGTATAAAGTGATGTAAGCGCTGTCATGTGAATACGGGACGAATCGTGCTAGCATGAAGGAACTAAGTCGTGAGTGCTGTTGTGGTGAGTGCCTCTCTGAATATTCTTTTGGCGTGGCAACAGATCGTCGACATATTTCATTGGCGTGGTCGCTGTTTTTCAGCATACTAATTACGTAAATTACTAGCAGAGCAAGCTTGAAATCGAACGAAGACAAACATACACGTACGTACACAAACTAATATGGCCGCATTTAAGCATCTTTCCTCACATGCCATCGACGCCCAAAGCTCATTTCTGATGCACTTTTTGAATTTAGACGTACTTAACGACATACGTTTTTCTGTCGCAGAGTGTGCAAGTTGACGTTATAGACTCAAAGACGGGTTTTACTGACTAAAGCCATTGCTTGCCCTAAAAGCACCGCCATCTATGTCTTAGTTCTAATCCCACGTCTAGCGCTGTGGACCGTTGACTCTTCTCGTGATGTGACTGATTTTGGCCTAAATCTAAAAATTTGAAAAATACTAATATATACATACGCACTCTACCTCTCACGGTGTTAACGACAATCATCACCGGAGCTTCTAGCAGCATTCAAAGCACAATCTTGCCATGTCCGTTACGTTCACGGTCTGCCAGAAAGCAGCTTTAAGTGCCAGGTTTCTGCCGCGCTATCAATCCAGTCTGTCCCCTGCTCTGCAAAGACTACATTCCAGCCTAAAAAAGGATGAGCTTCTACCAGACAATACTCCGGACTATGTGCGTTTGATTCTCAGATCGTCTGTTTACGACGTTATCGAAGAGTCTCCCGTTACTCGTGGTATCGGTCTCTCGTCTCGATTGAACACCAATGTTCATCTCAAGAGAGAAGACCTGCTGCCCGTGTTTTCTTTCAAACTGCGTGGTGCATACAACATGATGGCCAAGCTGGCAGAGGTCTCAAAAAACAAACAGGGCGTTATTGCATGCTCGGCTGGAAACCACGCCCAAGGAGTGGCGTTCGCGTCCCGACATCTCAATATGCCGGCCATTATCGTAATGCCCGTGAGTACCCCATCCATCAAGTATCAAAACGTGTCGAGACTGGGCGGTCAAGTCGTTCTGTTTGGTAACGATTTCGACGAAGCTAAAGGTGAGTGTGCCAGAATCGCCGAAGAAAGAGGTTTGGTCAACATTCCACCTTTCGACCATCCATACGTTATCGCTGGCCAAGGTACTGTAGCCATGGAAATTCTAAGACAAGTTCACAACGCCTCCAAGATTAGCGCAGTTTTCGTTCCCGTCGGTGGTGGTGGTCTCATTGCGGGTGTTGCTGCGTACATCAAAAGAATCGCTCCTCATATCAAGGTCGTCGGAGTCGAAACCTACGACGCTGCAACTTTGAAGAGCTCTTTGGACAGTGGCTGTAGGAACCCTCTAGCAGAGGTAGGAACTTTCGCTGATGGTACTTCAGTGCGTTTGATCGGTGAAGAGACCTTCCGTGTTTGCCAAGATTTCGTGGACGAGATGGTGCTGGTTAACACAGACGAGATTTGTGCCGCAGTAAAGGACATTTTTGAGGACACCAGAAGTATAGTGGAGCCATCCGGAGCATTGGCAGTAGCAGGTCTCAAAAAATACGTCACTCAAATCCACCCCGACGTCGATCACTCCAAGAAGTCGTACGTGCCAATCTTGTCTGGCGCTAACATGAACTTCGATAGACTGAGATTTGTATCCGAGCGTGCCGTTCTTGGTGAAGGCAAAGAAGTGTTCATGTTTGTGACTATTCCTGACGTTCCTGGGTCCTTCAAGAAGTTGCAAAAAGTCATCCACCCAAGAGCCGTTACCGAGTTCTCGTATCGTTACAACGAGCACGCTGACTCCGCTGGCACGCCACAGGCACACATTTACACGTCTTTCAGCGTTGTGAACCGTGAAAAAGAAATCAATCAGGTCCTCCAACAGCTGCACAAGCTGGGCTTTGAGGCTGTTGACATTTCTGACAACGAAACGGCCAAGAGTCATTTCAGATACCTTGTTGGAGGTGCCTCCAAGATGGAAAATGAAAGAGTCGTATCATTTGAATTCCCAGAACGTCCTGGCGCTCTCACGAAGTTCTTAGACGGCATGAGCGAGTCCTGGAACCTAACTTTGTTCCACTACAGAAATAACGGTTCTGATGTAGGCAAGGTTTTGGCCGGTATATCAGTTCCCCCTAAAGACGACCACGTATTCCAAAATTTCTTGAATGACTTAGGTTACAAGCACCACGATGAAACGAACAACATGGTTTATCAGAAATTTTTGAAGATTTGAAGTATTGTTCATTTTATTGATAGACTCAACCTCAGGGCATTTAGGTAAGACACAGTATAGAATTTCAAATGTGGTTTCGGAAGGAAAACTATTATAGAATTTAAGTAAAGAGTTCGTAGTTAGCACGACGCAAGTTTTAATTGAAAACTGCTTGTTATTACTTGTTTTACTGTTTGTCTGTTAGTTCCTTCAATCTAACGTCAAAACCGATCATATTTCATGAACAATTTTAACTTCGGGTAGGACCTCAAGTAAAGCTCAAAGATGAGAGCTGGCTATGTGCGGACCGCTTTGCGCCACGTACATTTATACCAATCGAAGAATCTGGCCAAAGATGGCCTAAAGTTGCAAAGTACTCAGGATCTTCTGCAATCGTTGGGGTTTGTCAAGCAAACTCAAAGCGGATTGGTGCATTGGCTGCCGCTAGGCCTTCGAACACTGAACAAGATCAAGGCTATCATCAGAAACCGCATGGAAGCAAACGGGAAAGCTCAGGAAGTGTCACTTAGTCTGCTGTCTCCCAAAGCACTCTGGGAAAATACCGGTAGATGGAATAATGGAGAATTGTTCAAGCTGAGGGATTCTAAGGAATCAGATTATTGTCTTGCTCCTACTTGTGAAGAAGAGATCACATCATTGATGGGAAGCTACATTTCCAGTTATAAAGATCTGCCTCTGACTGTTTACCAAATCGGCAGAAAGTATAGAGATGAGAAAAGACCCAGAGGTGGTCTTTTGAGAGGCCGTGAGTTTCTCATGAAAGATGCATATTCCTTCGATCAAACTGAGCAAGATGCCATCAAGACGTTCGAAAACATGAATAATACTTATGATTTGATTTTTAAAGATCTTCGAGTACCGTTCGTGAGCGCTTGGGCCGATTCTGGCGCTATTGGAGGTGATTTGAGTAAAGAATATCATTTTGTGCACCAGAGCGGGGAAGACACAGTGCTAGAATGTGATGGCTGCCACCAGGTTTCTAATGTCGAAAAATGCCATTCTTACCCTCAGGAAACGAATACTTATGTCGGAGATGTCAGCGTACGATACGCCTTGAATACGGCGCGCGACACGCTGATATGTCTGTACTATCCAAGTAATAGGACTCTAAATTGGAATCTGGTTTTAGCCGCTATGGAAAGGGACGTTGACTCTTCGTTGGCAGATGCCAGTAATGAGAAAGTTCTACAACTATTCCATGCCGATAAGAGCGAGGACGATTTGATGTTTTCCTCGGTAGTCCGTGTTATGGATTGCAGACTCAGTTCGAAATCCAAATTTCCTGATTTTCCTTTGACGCAATACTTGAAGAGTAATTTCTCTCAGCTAGACGATGTGAGTTTAGTGGACGCTGAAGAAGGCGAGATATGTGGTGCTTGCGAAGAGGGCACGCTCAAAGGCTCCAAAAGTATAGAAGTGGGACACACTTTTTTCTTGGGGCAAAAGTACTCCAAGCTACTGAACGCCAAGTTTACCACGAAAGACAACACTGAGCAAGTCTGTGAAATGGGGTGCTACGGAATTGGCGTCAGCCGTTTAGTGGCTGCAATTGCACAGGTTACGCGCGATGAAATGGGTCTTAGATGGCCGAGATCTGTCGCTCCATTTCAGATTTCGTTATGCGCAGCCAAGTCCGACGAGTTACTGGAAGAGGTTGCTTCCTCGCTACAAACGTGGAACTCCGACACCTGGATCAACCAGGATGCGAAGGCGAACCTGGGCCGAAAAATAGCCACCAGTCACAGTCTGGGTATTCCCGTGTGTGTGATTGTGGGGAAGAAGCAGTGGCCGTTTGTGAAGCTAGAAGTGCGTGCACCTTACATGACAGATAAATGGCGCGCTTCGCAGAGTCAACATCGGGACGCATGGGGCTGGGAGTGTGACGACAGTGCCGAAACGGGGACCGTTTCGGAGCCCGTTCAGAAACACACGGTCCACAAGGACCATCTAAAAGACGTGGTAGGCGTGATATTAACAGATATGTAAATTTTGAACGAAGTACGAGAGGCTAACACGGAGCCCATGTGAGGTCTAATGATATACTGAGCAGGCTTCAGCTCCTGGCTTTGGCCCACATTTTTTTATGATTTTCACAAACCTGAGGCAGACAGGCTAGGACAGTACAGTACAGGACAGGACACACACTCTTTCTTCACACTCAGAACAGCTTGCCCGTGATCTTGGCCACGACGTGCAAGGCCACGACCGAGAAAATGAAACCAACGGCCAAAAACAAAACCACCAATGGGTCCACTCTCAAACCGTTAGCCTCGTCTGTGTATAGCTTGAGAATGCTGTTCGAAGATCCCCCGAAACCGGCCTGTCTTGTCGACGCTGGAGTCTGTTTCTGTTGCTTGTCTTTGGCAGATTGCGCCTGTCTTCTTTTCTGTAGAGTACGCTGGCCACCAGGAGGAGCTGTAGTTGACATTATGGTAAGGTGAGAGAAAGTGAGACCAGATCAGTGACGTTCAATGGCCTCTTGAGATGGTCAAAGGTGTTCAAACTTCGAAGTTGAGATAGTGAACACTTCACATCTAAAAGCTGTTATAGTTAACACGCATATGATAATTTTTGAAAATTCATTACCCGGAGTTTTGATAGTTAAGCGTGTCAGTTGACACTCGGAAAGCGAGGAAAGCCAACGTAAAACGGTGTGTTGTGAGAGTACACGATGAGATCGTGTTGGCGTTTGGAATGTGTGAAATCATGTCTGTAAATTTTGAGCGAAACGAGTCTTTTTTGTTAGCGTTGTGAGTTGTGTGCGAAGTTCTTGAATTTTTGAGTTGGAAGCCCATTTGTACTGGTTTGGATAAGTCAACGAAGAGACGCATTTGTTATTGTTTTGTAGCTCCTTCGACCGGCTTCTTCGGGGCATTATTGCTTGTGGGGGGAGAACGATTGATGAAGTCTAGGATGAATGTGACCACTTTGTACTAATGTGTCGTTGGAGTAGTGAAAAGTCTCATAATATCATAGAGACTTGGCTTTTAGTGTCGTTGGAGCAGTAGAAACCTTGTTTGAAGCAACAGGGCTGCTAGTGTACGGAGTGTATACATATAATTATACATATGTTTGTGAAAGCCCAAGACTTTTGCGAAATACAATTGTCCCTAAATTATTGAATAGGCCTAGCACATGAACTATTTATATCTGCCGTTCCGCCTTTGAGCACCCTACTTCCCGCCTCCTCAGCGTCAAGAACGCTACACCGGTAAACACTCTATTCGACGCTGAAACTTCTTTAGCTGTGACGCCCATCAAGATGACAGACTAGTACAAAGTGATATTTGTCCTAGATCTCCATTTAAGCTTCAACCTGCAAACCACAATCCTGGCAAGTCGTCTACGGAATTATACCCTCCAGTACGCCTCGTATTCAAATGACACTCTAGTATCTCTTCATACATCTCGCAAGTGGCTTATCTAGACTATTCCATGATTTCACCTAAATAGACGAAAACTTGTCCAATGAACCCCGGGAAATATACCAACTAGTCACCTAAACCGTCCAGGCTTCTTTCAACCATCAAAAAATTCAATTCTGAGCCCCTCAAACCTTCTCAGAGTCTCTCCTCCTTCAGACACTGTCGTCGATCAGCTGACCTCATCCAAGTTACCCTCCCGTTTCTAATAACACTGAAAATCTCAACTTCATAACACTCCTTGAACCAATCATCACTTCTTGGTTTGAAAAGTTCCATACAAACACAGCCTTATAAGGGTCCTCTTGAGCCGCAACTGCGTAGTTCAACTACTGATTGTGTTAGTGTGTTTCTTTAGGTTTGACGCAGAGTTTAAACGGCATTTTTTCGAGGAATTTTGGCTCTAAAAAACGGCCAGTTTTTTTGGTTGGTTAATCTTTAACCAGTCTGTCATTTGAATAAGCGTTTAAACGCTTTAGCTGTGTCCGAATGTCGGAAATCTCCGCTCCCGGCTTGTCAGAATCGGTCTTGGGCGGCTCGTTCGCAGCCAGGTCTCCAGAAGATGATGTCATCCCAACTGCCATCGTCATCAAAAACATTCCATTCGCGATAAAGAAGGAGCAACTGCTAGAGGTGATAGCGAAAATGAGTCTGCCATTGCCTTATGCGTTCAACTACCACTTCGACAATGGCGTTTTCCGCGGTTTGGCATTCGCCAACTTCGCTACCACCGACGAAACCACTCAGGTCGTGCACACTTTGAATGGCAAAGAAATTGGCGGCCGCAAGTTGCGTGTCGAGTACAAGAAAATGTTACCACAGGTGGAACGCGAACGCATCGAGCGCGAAAAACGTGAGAAGAGAGGCCAGCTGGAGGAGCAGCATCGCACCACCTCCGCCCTCTCGTTGCAATCGCTAAACAAGTCATCTAGCGGCAGTAACAACAAAAATACCAGTCCTGTCAATCCCTTGGGACACCTGTCATCGACAGACCTTGCCACTCCCTCACAACGGCCTGAAACACCATCGGGAGGACTTTCAGGACTCTCGGGCCCAAACCTACCACCAACGCTTTCGTCCAACGCCAGCTCTCAAATGTTTCAAAGCTTCGTTGGCGGTGTGAACAGCAATGGCCAAGGAGCGCCTACAAATGTGTCTTTGGCGTTGCAGCCCTCCATGGCTCCACAGCCGCTTTTGTCGGCCCAAAACACTGCTACGTCGATGACAATTCCTTCGCAATCATTAGCTGCTCTTTCTTCTGAGCGCTATTACGCCCCGCTGCCCGCGTCAGCTAATCTGCCACTGCCACCTCAGCAGTTGGATTTCAATGATCCCGACGTTTTGGAACTTTACTCGCAGCTTTTGCTTTTTAAGGACCGCGAAAAGATCTACCACGAATTGGCGTATCCCGTAGGTCTTTCAGCTGCCCAAAAGCGCGTAATCAATGTGCTATGCTCGTTTTTGGGGCTGGTAGAAGTGTACGATCCAAGCTTCATAATTATCCGTCGAAAAGTTTTGGATCACGCTGCTCTACAATCTCATTTACAACAAGAAGGTCAATTGTCGTTGATGCAGCCATTACAACCAAGCTCCACTGGAGGATCTGGAATGTCTCGTTCACACTCCTATACCTCTTTGTTGCAGGCACATGCTACCGCAGCAGCAGCTGCGGGTAGCAACACTACCATGAGCCAAGCTGGTCAAATCCCACCGCCATCACAGTCTCCGCTACTGCAACCAACCGCCGTGCATCACCTAGATTCCCAAAACCAACAGCAGCAATCAATCTTGAGACAACAGTCTACACATACCCCTTCATCCTCCATTTTGCAAAACCGCATTCCCACTGGATACACGAATAAGCATAATACACCATCCGCCTCGAACAACCCGCTGTTGAGAAATGCAGGTGTGTCCCCAACCACTGCCCAGATACAACCCAACACGGCTCAGCGGATGCCTTCTTTTTACTCCCAGGCACCCTCTACCCCCAGCCATGGCGATAATCGTTTCAACAGTTCCCAAAACCTTGTTCCACAGCACACAAACAGTAGTATCCACTCCAACTACTCGGTGAATTCCTTCCACGATCCCGCAGTCGCAGCTGCGGACTCTCAAAATCATGGCATGATGTACAGTTCTGCACAGCTAGGTTTGGGTCCAGAGTTGGACGGAGACCTCAGCCGCTCTTTGAGCGGTCTTGACATCCAAAACAAAAGAAACCTGTGGGGCTGATGAGACAATGAAACAGAATTCCATCTATGAGCTGGAAGACTTTTTTTTATATTATTTCCCTCCTCACGATATCAAGTAACGAAAGGCTTTTCCCTTGTTGCTTGCACGAAAAATGACGATCCACTACTGACTCTCTTATTGAGTGCTCACGATGTTACGAAATGAATGAACTACGAAGAAAATTTCACGAAAGCGATGCGAAGTGGTTACGAAAACAACGTCAAGACCGATTGATATTAAAAGTGGTCTCGTTGATGAATTATACGAACAGAGCTCATATGTGTACTCGAGCTTGTAAAATGATAGAAACCGAGCTAATGATATTTAATAGCGTTACCTGCGGAAGCCGGCTCTTTTTATTTCCTTGCAAATGTCAGGACCCTTATAAACAATGTCTAATTTAACAAAACTTTAATAAAAAGCGGTGGTTCGCTGTCGGAGAAGGTGTCGATTGGAATTATCAACGATAAGGTGGAAGTTTTAAAAATTTCTGAATGCTTCTCAATGGCGCCAGTGGTTTGTCAATGTTCAACCTGTTGATTATTATGCACACGGCAATGAATATTTGGGACACAAGCATCCGTTCTTGGAGGAGGAAAGCTCGGTGCTAATATGAAAGCCGAAGTTCTCAGGACAAAATGCTGGAATGATGCTAAGTAATTTCGCCACAATCATTGGTATTCATATAGACTCAAGCGAAAATGTTCTGAGGACCCTAGCAAGAGACATTTCATGTCGTCGTGACAGTGTCACAGATGATTTTGCAATTATAGAATTCATGGTTCACCAACGTTATGTGAAAGGAAAGTTAACCATACGCATGCTAGTGCTGATGAGGCAATGCCTCAAGGATACAATCTCGAAACACCTTTTCACAATTTGACTCGATAAAAAAACCCAATTGCGGTCTCGACATCTCGACTTGCAAACTCGATTGAAGACTTATTCAAGTCCAAGCATTCTTAAAATCGAGAGATCTCAACAAAATCGCCGCATAAACTCCAGAAATTTAGGCTAATTGTGTATTGTGATTTTACTTGTACCAAGATCAAGACTCCAGCTCGGGACCACTAGTTTTATTTTGACATGATCAAAGGAATTCTATTCTTACGTTGGTGAAGAGACATGTTCGGCCCAGAATTTAGGTAGTTTAATTTCTCTACCATAAATGCAATTTAGAATTTAGCCAAGCGCCATTCACAATCAAAACATTTGTTTATTCGACGTTTTATGGCTTGCTTATATGATGATGTTCATTAAGCATATATAGTAGTAATTGTAAAGCGTTGAGATTACTGGATAAAATATCCTAACTGGACCAGAAAACGAGCGACAAACATGGCAAAGAAGGTCTTAATGCTCCATGGGTATGCCCAATCGGGAACTATATTCTCGTCCAAAACTGGTGGGTTCAGGAAAACGCTAGGAAAGCTGGGATACGAGCTTTTTTATCCATGCGCACCCAACAAGATAACAGGCGCAGACATGAGAGACGTCGACGACTTGGCCACAAGGTTCAACACTCAGGCAGGCACAGATGAGATTTTTGGCTGGTGGCTGAAAGATCCTAACGACCAGTACAAAGTTCCGCCAAACACAGTTGACTTTCTACGGAACTACATTATAGAAAATGGCCCATTTGAAGGCGTCATTGGGTTCAGCCAAGGTGCAGGCTACGCAGGCTATTTGTGCACAGACGTCCGCAATCTACTGGGCTTGACCGAGGAACAGCAGCCGAATTTCAAATTTTTTATAAGCTTCAGTGGGTTTCGAATGGCACCAGAGTGGTTCCAGGAACAGTACAATAATCACCCAATTACAGTGCCAACTTTGCATGTAGAGGGTGAGCTGGACACGGTCGTGGAAAGCAGCCGGGTCATGGCTCTCTACAATGCATGCTCTGCAGACACCAGAATGCTGCTGAAGCATCCAGGTGGTCACTTCGTGCCCAACGGCAAGGGCTTCGTTACGAAAGTGACAAACTGGTTACAAATGCTAGGTGAGGAAAATGCAGTTCTAGATGCTGGCACCGACTTTCTTCAATCGCCCTCCACCAAATCAGGCCCAGCCAAGCCAGAACTCGATGACGATCTCTTGGCCATGATAGATGGGATGGGGAAGGTGTGAAGGCAGTGGACCTTACAAGGCAAAAGGAAAAAAAAACAAGCATTTTCCCGTCCGAACCAACTCGACTATTGAAATGTGCTTGTGCTTGTTCACTTCCAGTCGATTATGACGACTCATTCTACACTCAGTCTGCACACTCTACTCAATTATTACTGACGTTTCGAGCTCCACAGACGTCTTCAAAGCTAGGCATCTAAATCTCAGCATTTGAACAGGCTTTTTGCATTGTATACCACTGGCGTCTCACCCATTGTTAGGTGTCCTCGACAAGCTCCAAACTCACTTCTGTAAACTAGTTATATTATAAACTTGAAGACTACATTCGCTTGAAACTTCAAAAGTTCGCCAATAGTTATTCTGATTTTAAAATTGAGCCGAATGTGACGATGAGTTCGCACTCTTGTAAGGCTATTCCTACTGTTTGTACAACTGCTCAAATGTTCATGGACTCACGAATACTTGACAAAAATTCTGGGTATCTTTATATATTATTCTTATCCACCTAGAATTCAAGATAAGTTTAAGGATACTTAAAGATCACCAAAAAGGGCCGCCAGGAAGCCTTCAAGACTCTTCCAGCGCATTCGCAACAATGAAAAAGGTCTCTTTACAGCTAGTACAAGTTATTTGTGCCATTGTATGGTGTCTGTTCGCGGCTGGCACCATTTTTGGGTTTGCAGCATTAAAACCTATTTTGATCGACCAGGGTGTCTATTCAGAGCTCTGTTCACCACTTAACTCCACCGTTGCAGCGTTTGCAGATGGGTTGAAACAGTCGCGTCTCGAGGAAATGTCCCTCAAGCCCTGTACTGCTCAAGATTTGAAGCTCAACATGATGTTCACTCTGGGAGCGGGAACTACCAATGTCGTGGCTCTCTTGGTGGGATACGTATTGGACATCAAAGGTCCTCGAGTGTGCGGATTTGTAGGATCTGCAGCTTTGACTCTGGGAACTCTCAGTCTGGCCTGGAGCTCGAAGTTGGTCGCCTTTTTCGACCCTTATATTATCGGATACATCTTGCTGGCTATTGGAGGACCCTTCGTGTTCATTTCAACCTTCCAATTGGCTAACAGCTTCCCCAAAAAATCCGGAACCATTTTAGCCTTACTGACCGGCGCATTCGACTCCTCGTCTGCTCTGTTTTTACTCTATCGAATTGTGTATCAGAACTGGGCACCCAATTTGACATTAAAGAAGTTCTTCACGGGCTACCTGGTGGTGCCAGCCTTCATTTTTGTGTGCCAATTATTTATCATGCCCAAAGAGTCTTACAAGACCCTTGGTGCCATCGAGAAAATGGAGGTGGAGGGTCTAAACATGGACGGGTCGCTTCCAGAAGGCGAAGATGGGTCCCGCATCATTCCTGATGCGACCGAGAGACAGTCTCTATTATCAAATCACTCCTCTGGAATTCACCCAGTGCTTTCTACAGACTCTCGCCGGAAATCTGTGTGGGAAAACTACGTGGAGGCCAAGCTTGAGAAGAAAACCAGTGGGATTTTCGGTGCAATGCACGGACGTTCAGCTTCCAACCAAATCAAAAGTCCTTGGTTTGCATTGATGCTGGTTTTCGTGGTCATTTGCATGCTAAGGATAAACTATTTTGTCGCGACTGTTAGATCGCAGGAAGAATACCTACTTGATGATTCCAGCCTGGCATTGAAATTCAACGCCATTTTCGACGTCGCGCTCCCTGTCGGTGGAGTTTTCTCGATACCCTTCATCGGACTGGTGTTAGATAATTGCTCCATTCTGACGGCCATAATATCTGTGTCTTCCATCTCCATCACCGTTGGTGTTCTCGGACTTTTCCCCTCATTTTATTCAAACTTGATTGGTGTCTTGATTTTGGTCGCCTATAGACCATTTTACTACACTGTGGTATCTGACTACTGTGCCAAGGTCTTCGGTTTCGACACGTTTGGAACTGTGTACGGTCTGTTGATGTGCTTATCGGGTTTGTTCAACATGAGTCAAACTATTTTGGACAAGCTTACTCACACCACATTCAAAATGGATCCTACTCCTGTGAACTCCATATTGGTAACGCTCACACTTCTTTCGGCAGTGTCATTGATCACTTTCTTGTACAGAGAAAGCAAAGCCCGGGACAAAAAGATTCGCGCCATCGAACAAATTTCAGAAACTGCTGAAGACTCTCCTGAAAGCTCCGCCGACACTGGAATTCATTATGGGAGCGTTTGAGCCACGATAACTGGGATATATATTCTTATAGTATAACGATACATTCTGTCATTAAACTTATCACTTTGTCGTAATAGTGTCATTAATCTTGATTCAATATTAGAAAATTTGAATGCAAGAGAGCTTGAAGACTACACAGATAAAAACTGTCTCTGAGGTCAGCACTACAATAGAAGCTCTTTTATTGCGAAAGGAATTTAGCGGTGCGTTGATCGACTTGTGGACTTTATAATTAATATAATGGAAGGCCAATTGGAACCGAAGGAAACTGTAAATAATTCGGTGAAAAGAGAGTCAATTGATTTAGGTAGATCAGACGAAGTTTTGAGTTCTGATAAGTGGGAAAACCCTGCCAACTTTACGGATTTGCAGTGTGGAAGCACTGGCTCTGACATGAGCATAGAAGAAAAGATGGCGTTGAACAAAAAACGCAGGCGTCTAATTTTCGAAGAAACTCGTGAATTGAGGAAAAGAATATATCCTCTGGAATTCGAAGCATACAAGGACTACTTTATCTTGGCAAAATTTCAAAAAGGCGTTTCGGCAAGCGGGAGGGTTGGCTGTGGTGAAAATCGGACCAAGAGCACTGGAGTCTACTATGAAAAGATTACTAGAACAGGCGAAAATGGAACAAACGTTCACGAGAATTTGCTGGACAGTGACGATGAAAAGCAGAAACAACGAGCAAATAGACGTTCAACTCGCTCCCAAATAACAAAGCTGAAACAGGAACCGTCAGACACAGATCCATTTTTGCAACTGTCCCCTCCTTCACTGAATACTGCAGCCACCTTCTTTGACACTAGCATATCAGCAAGCAGTATCATACCATCAAATAACGTCGACACCAATTTTCGAAGGTCCTCTCGTCTTTCGCAAAGAGAGCGTGAGATTCTTGAAAAAAAGGCGATGAAACTCGAAGAAGCAGGTTTCGCAGATGCGGTCCCAAAAATTGTGGATCTTTTTGAATCTATTATACCCAAAACCATGAATCCGGTTAGAAGGTCTGACTGGCTCTTACCAAATAAAAACCGATTCATACCTGAAAAGTTTGCCCCTGTAAAACATACACCGGAGCAGATCAAGATTAATGACCTAATTCACAACACCAAGATACGCAAAATCATGAAACGCTTTAAAGGTGGTTTAGCAGGCGTAAGGAAAAAAGACTGGAAATATGTCAAGGATGTCAACCATGCGGACAAAAGTAGCATATGAAAAAAGGGCGTATGTTGTAATATAATGATAAGTACAGTTTTTCTATCAAATGCAATGCAAAAGTAGTTTACTGAAGGTTTCGATAATGCGAAGGGCTTTCTTCAGCGATACCGGTATTTTCTTGATGTAAATCCAACCATGTTACAGCCGAGAAGTCTTTTTTTCCTGACGTCTGTCCCGAAATGTCTGCTTTCTCCGTAATAATTAATGCGATGGCATCGTATCCTCCAGCACCGGGCACGACACCGGTTATTACTCCATTTAATTCCACACAGCAGTCCAATAGCTCGGTCTGCACCGAGGGCTCAATGTCCGCTCCTGATTCCCCAGTGATTAGCTGTAAATTACCTCTAATCTGAATTACAGCTTTCCTTAGCTGATCAATCTCTGCAGACTCGCTCAAATCTGCACCGACGTCCAGTTTATCAAGTGTTTCCTGATAGGATGCAGGAGAATTACTGGAAAGTAGCGTAAGCTTTTCGATTCCATTGATAAAAGCTAGGTTACCGCGATTTATGTTTTCATAAACGTCGAGACTTTTTGGGTAGTTTTGTTGGTACCAAGCTTTGACTTTTGCCACAAGCTTTGTGGTTTCGGACCCGCTGCTCACATCTCCCATAATGACGCGAATTCCTGGTGGCAAAGTAACATTCTCATGCGTAAAGTTCCAATCTGTTGAGTCAACCAAGTCAACGAGGGCGGCCGAGTAAAGTGATGGATTCTCAGCAGGAAGATCCTCAATCAGCTTAGGGTCAAATCTTTGGTAGATGATGGATCCGAATACTGCTGCTGCCACATCAAACCCACTTCCAACTTTACCCTGTGCCTGGCAATGTGCGATCTGAGATAAGTTGTGAATAATTCTCTGATACCGTGGGGAAGTCACATCAAGCTCTGGTTGGAAAACCGATAGCAAAGAGGTGGTCAGGACAGTCACCAAGCCTGCTGAAGACCCCAGGCCAGTTTTAGGGACTTTAGTGATGGTGCTACTGTGGAACCGAAATTGTTTGTGTCCGTTCTTTTTGAGTGTGCTTTCGCCCACTGAGTGGTACCCAGGGTCTGAAAAGACCTCTAGCAAAAGCTCTTCCGTTTCTCTTGGATCAGGCTGACAATAGTTAACTAGAACCTCTACAGCCTTTTTGGCAAAAGGATTCACTTTTCCATTAACCTCAACAATTTCGTAGCTCGAATGCTTGCAAATTGTGTACTTCCACTCGTCATTGTCAAATTGCGCGCTTCTTATTGTGACAGTAAACCAGTCTTGACCATTGTCGCTTTGCTTATCGACTACGCAATGCATTCGCGAGGACAATGCCACCACATATGACCGATATTGAGGATCCAAGACAAGATATCCTCCGGCGAGTAACGCCTTTCCTGGAGCGCTAAATGCCCTCAAAGAGCTCATGAGAAGTTTATTGAGTTATTCGACGTCTCAAAGTCGCTATGAATGAATGGCCAACTTTGGCGACTGAGAAGTTGAAGATATTTACCTTTTCAATATCTCAATTTGACGTCAGTTAAACGAGAAAATGATGAACATAGTATCACTACATAAATGATGAAGAACTCTCATCCTCAAGACAAGGTGTTTGGCCAGGATACGGACATCGTGTAAATCCTGGTTAGGTCGAATCAAGGCCTTTTTAATTGTTAAGATTTAAATGCGGCTTTGGCGACCTTTTTTGCTGACACGCTTGCGCATTTTACGCCTGGCGAGTGCATTAGGTGGACTCCACGAGTCGCTAAAGTCGCTAGAATCGCTAGAATCGCTATAACTGATGCTGCTTTCGTCAAGTGGATAATCAAAGTCTTCGGGTGTACTGCCAAGATTAATGGTGCCGTCAACTTCGATGATGTCAGGTTTTATTGTGTAGTCGTCTGAGTTCGCCAATAAAGGTTCTGCCGAAGACCCTGGCGGAATGACAAGGTGCAGTTCTGAATTTGGCTCTGGCTCTCCGGTCTCGTTGGTCATCGGTGCGGCCTCAAAACTGTTGAGAATTTCACTTTCACTGCTATCACTTCTTGTCGAAATATTTGGACGCGATTGTTGATCTTCTGGAAAAATTTCTTGACCATCATCCGCCTCAGATTTATCGGAATGGCGGTCTGCAGTATTTAATGAGCCTCCCGGTGGATCGTCGAACCCGCGGAACGTACTGTCCGTATCGTCCGTGCTAGCCCAGCTGGTCTCAACAGATGTATGCGAGCTCGTATTGGAGCTGCTCCCATCGAGTGAGTCGGAGGAGTTGCCTTCTGCTGCATTAAAACATTCGTTTTCAGTAAAGCCACTGTCAGATTTGCCACTGCTGTCAGTTTCATCACTACTGTCGCTGTTGCCACCATGATCGCCATCGCTGACAATATCGTCAAAATGCTCCAAACTTTGAAGCAATCGTTCGTTGTATGTCTTCGCTTTCAGAGCCCTGACCTCGTTCTTAATCCCTGCTGCAATTCGATGTCCAGCTCTTTCGCTTACATTTTCGACTGTTGATTTCAAATTCAAGGTGAAGGCAACCGGCCTTTCAACCAGAGTTTCGGCAATGGTCGCAGCTCTTTTGGCCAAAGTTTTTGATAAATCGGGGACCCGTTTAACTATCTGAGCTTTGCTCGAAATTTTTGGCAAAATGTCTCTGACTCTGGAGACCCGGTTTGCTGTTGATCTCAATGTGCCTGCCAATAAGTTTCGTTTTTTGCGAGAACTTTCTTCCTTGACCTCTTCAAGAGGCCTTTTCAATGAAAGTTTATCGACATTTGGAGTACAATCTTTGAATTGGCTAGAGTTACTGCTGTTCGATTGACTCTTGTCTGACTGACTGTTATCTTCGTCATCAACCCCCGTGTTTACTGCGGAAGGGCCAATGTTACTGTTCGAAACGTCGTTTCCTTGGGCTTCCCAATTCTTTGAGACGTTATACTCATCTGAACCCTCATCAAGTTGGTCGCTTTCAGGCTGAGTTAGCTGTTCCGCAGAAAAACTCTCCGTTCTCTCGTAAATGGCAGAATCGTGCCCTAGGGATCCCAGCTCTTCGGTGTCATTGGTATGATTTGATCCCATGGACGTAGAGTCCGCGTAATCACCAGGCGGGTCGACCCATGTGTTGCTTATATCTTCTGTCAAGAGAGGCTGTTCCAAAGCTATATTGATCAATCCACTCTTCTGGCGCTCGGTTTTCCTCGTTTCCAAGGACTCGTCGAGCTTATCATCTGGTGCATTTAAGACAGGAGACTCACTTTCTTGTGATGGTACAAAGTCAACTATTCCAGCTTCAGCAAGCTCTTCAATGGCGGTAACAAATGTTGATTGCTCATCTTCACTTTCCGGAAATGATATAAGTGGTTTTGTTTGGATTGCTCCATGAAGAGAGGCCTCCCTGGTATCTGCAATTTCTTGTATCTCCAGAATATTCTCATGTTCAGAGAGAGGCAGAGAGCCCTGGTCAATTGTTTGATTTTGAACCTCCTCGCGTTCATCTGCTACCGGAAAGGCGTCATATCGTTCTGATGATTTTGTATCGTGGGCTACATACGCGGAGCTGCCCGGTTCTTCTGTTAGTGAAGAGCTTCTTATTCCAATTGTGCTGTCCTTCCCTGATGCAGCTTGTTCTCCAGCCTCCAAAGATTGTCCCCGAGCGAATGCCCTTTTTTCTGGGCCTGCTTCGAGGTCAGATTCAAGTAAAGGCCGACCTTCTTTGGCACCGTTCTTTGTATCGATATTGGCGTCTTGGTCTACATCATGTAGATTGGTATTCTCAGCCTTCTTTACGGCGAAAGTTTCTTCCTCATGTACCGCAGTGTGCTTGTCGAGGGACTGGTCGAAGCCTTTTGGGCCAGATTCGTGTGCATCAGTAGGCTTAGCAGCATCTTGGACTTCATGGTCCCGATCTGTTATTTTAGAGTTTGGTGAAGTTTCCCCGCTACTGCTGTCATGCGCAACATCCTGGTTCGCATTCAACTGGTGCTTTTCAGATAGAATCGGGGTGGTGCTGACATGCGTCTTTAATGCATCACTTTCCTCCTCAAATTTGCCGGAAGCTGAGCGCTCGTCATTCTCCGCTAATACTTCGTTGCAGACAAGATTCGAGCATTCTTCCTCTACTTCAGGCTTAGGATGAGGAGACATTCCAAGAGTTTGTAAGTCGTTTCTAGAGTCCTCGTCCCGGGATGAATCTTCTAGACTCTCCATAATATGTTTCAGTTTCACGAGATCCACCTCCCCAATCTCAGTGGGTAACGGATCGGTTCCAAACGGAGAGACGTATTCACTGACACTAATTGGTGCCAGGTCGCCGAGATCGCTGCTCTCAGAGTCGCTATAAAACGATTCTGAGTATTGCAGGCTGTACCTCACAGCGTCGACGTTCTTCTTGGGTACTGAAATTTCACGGTCCAGAACGTGCAAAGTGGATTGATCCGCGAAGTCGTTGTCACAGGAAAAGTATGTGGTATCACCAACTGTTGTTGTAACCATCTTGCTAGAAACACTATCGAAGTGGAAAGAAATGTCCGCTGAAGCATCTTGCGAAAACGGATGAGGAGTCGGCAGTTCAACTTTGTTGCTGGCTAGATCGTTCGTATCGTGATCAGTAGCCATCTGGTCCTCAAATCTTTCTATATCACGCTGTGACAAAGAACAAGTTGAGTGTTGAGTATTATGGTCTTTACCCTCGTCGCTGGGTTCTCTGTATGACTCATCGTGATCGGGGTCCTTAGGATTCAATTGTGGATCGACATCTCCTTCCGGCAAGTGAGCACCCTGTGCTATTTTTGCTTGATTACCGGTTTCCATCCCGAAAACAAGAGCCTCATCGTCAAGGTCCACAGGAAAAGTTTCTGCTTGAGCCGTATTTGCCTGTGATAATTTACTATTGTCATTACCACCATTACCCTCAACCATGTCAAAGGCGGCTTTTTCGCTGGAGGGAGGTGAAGAACCTGAACTTCCTCGTGATTTGAGCTGCGAATCATAGAATTCTAACTGTTCACTTTGATTAACGGCGTCTCTGGCTATACTCTGATAGTCAAAATTGCTGGTAAATGCTCCGTTTTTAGGCGGCATTGAAACATCATCGTAGTTTTCATGCGTAGCACTTTGCGAGACATATTCTTCATCGCTGATGTTCTCTGATAGAAGAGCAGCATCATTAGTCTCTTTGAGAGATTCGATGGTAACGCTGATTTCTCTGCCTTCCGGCCCCGGAAGTTCCTTTCTGTAATCCTCAACCGTGACTGATTCGCTTTCCACTAGCTCAGAGCTCTCCTCAGTGGCCCCGTTCTCATCAAATGCTTCGCTTTCTTCCACTTCGGCGCTGCCTTCTCCGTCCTCGCTTTCTTCCATTCCACCGCTCTCTTCTACTACCTCACTTTCTCCTGCGCTGTCCACCAGCTCTATTCTGTTATCATTCTCAGGATTTCCCAAGGCAGCACTTCTGTCTTGAAGATCTTGTTGAGCAAGCCTACTTTCGGAAATAGACTCATACTCTTCCTCCATTGCTGCATCCCCACTAGAGCATGATTCTTCCTCCTCCATTGCGTCATCTACACCTGAGCTATGTTCTTCTTCTCCATGTTCGGCGTCGGCTTCCAATGCGATTTCTTCGTCTTCGAGACCAGGATCAATGCCCTCTGACCATCTCTTTGTCTCTACTTCAGAATTGAAAGCTGGAGAGACCTTTTGTCCCTCGTATTGAGCAAGGGCATCCATTGAGTTCACAGGTTCTTCCTCTTCGTACTCGACTTCAGTGCCCAAAGATCCTTCGTTCGCGCTCTCGCCACCTGAGCCCCACAGCACCTCTTCATTTTCTTCAGCTGAAGACGTCGCTTGCGCATTATTTAAAATACTCTTTTGATAGTTTCTGACATCGTTGCTGTCAAAAGGTTCGTTAATTTGCGTCGCAGAAGACAAAGGTGGCTGTTCCACTTCATCTTCATCGCTAGAAATTTCAATAACATCATTATCTTCGGAGATCTGTTCATCTACATCTGCACTACGGTCTTCGTACTCAGAAAGTTCATTGTTATTGGAATTTTCGTCTTGACTTAGTTCCTCAGCGCTCAAATCTAGCCTTTCACTTGCTTCCTTGACTTCACTTCTTTCACTCACTTCACTTGCTCCAACATCTTCCAAGATTTCTGGTGTTCTGAGAGGGCTCACAAAGCCCCTCCTGGAGGGTGCAAGATCGGTAAAAGCCAAGCTAGCGTTCATCGTCTCGTCGTAGTTTTTGAACGACGTGTCAGTTCCATAGCCTTGAGAATCCACGAAACTGGGCTCCTCTGCTGCAAGACCCATTTCATGGTGATTTGCACTCTCTAACAGCTCTGCAACGTAGTTTTCGCGCATTTTCTCCCGTCTTTCGTTTTGCTTGAGAGCCCTTTGAAATTTGATATCCTCGTTTTTGATGGATTTCAGCAGACTTCGACCTTTAGTAATAAATATTTGAGCCCATTTCAAAGTATCAGAGCTATCTTCGCCGATTAACCCAGTTGTTGGCTTCAAAACTCGTTTTTCCAGCGTTCGATTGTTGGTTAAGGGCCCTCGCCTTCTCAACACCGAATTGTATCTCACAAAGCGCTTTTTCTGCAAAAAAGAAGATCTCTGTTGACCATTGTCGTTATCGTGTTCATTTTGAGATGATATTGGCTCCTTAGACACCATTTGGCCTGCTTTGATACCTTTTGTTTTGAACTGTCGATCTTCTATTTCAAATTTAAGCTTTCAATTTTATATATTCTTATACTTCAGTGACAAAGTATACAATCAGATCCAAGAAAACCGATTTGTCTCACCACAGCGGCCATAAACATTATATATATATATATATATATATATATATATATGGACACCAACACGAGTCAGAACTTGATCAAATTCAGCTACTTTGATCCATTCGATGTGTTCGAAACCGTTCGCAAGGAATTGGAAGATAGACTTCCGTTCAGCAATCTTCATTGGAAACCATTGAATGACAGTCTCCGCACTATTTCGAGTCTACCGGTGAAAATAGTGGCCGAAACGGACGATCAAACTGCTCCAGACAGCAGTAATAAGCCGCTCGTACTGTTTTTGGTGATAAGTTGCACATCCATAGATGAATACAGGACTAAAGTACGTCCCTTGGTCAGACAATGGCTGCCGTCTTTTGCTGGGTCATCAGAGCAAGATGATCCGAATGAAATGCCGGTGAAAAGAATCGCACTGCTGTACACCAATTCGGGCGTGTCAGAATCCAACCGTTTCAAAACGGTTTCGTTCTCTGAGAAATTCAGCAAAGATTTCCCATTGCTTACTACAATCGAGATAAAGTCCATCTACAGATCAGAAAGACAGAAAAGCGACTTTTGGAACGGGACCATGACCCGACTTCGCCGCTACACAATGGAGACGTTTGAGCAGCGGCTGGACTTTATGGAAAAACAGCGCCATGGGTCCAGTGGTAGCGACACGATCAAACTAGCCTCACTGCAAGAAAACATACTGAACCTTTTTCTATCGTTCCACCTCAACGACGAAGCTTCCAGAGAGCTCGAAAATCTTAAACACACTTTGTTCCAAAATTTGGATCCAGCGTCACCGGCTGGCGAACTGGAGATTCCTTTCCAGATTACACAAAACGACGGCAATAAGAGCACATGGTCTTTTGCACCCCATCTCGCTAATCACAAGCTTACTGTTTTTGAGCTGAACAAGTTTTTCTTCTCTAAGCAATGTGAGCTCATTCAAAATACCCATGCGCATGCCGCAAGAAATGCGCGTCTTTACCAGCTCACCAAATCATTTCTGAAAACTATCAACAAAGCTTTTAAAGATTCGCCTTTGCTTGCAGAATTCAAATGGTCATTCATTGATTCCTTACTACCCGTGTTCGACCATGACGAATCTAACATCTATCGCGAGATTGTGGCTGATTTGAATATAGTTCAAAGAGATTGCTGGTTAGATTTGGCATACGCCTCGAAAGGCTTCAAACTTCTGCATCGGGCGTATCCTACAACTGGAAGAAAAGCGCAGCTGGAACAGTTAAATGCCACGTTTAGCGACGAAGAACTGTTTCACAAAACGTACCTCATCACCACGAAAGAAATCATCAGTCTTTTGAACAATGACGACTCCAAGAAATATCGCACAGTCGACATTCTATCCATTGAGATTGGTCTGCTCCACTACCAACGCAAAGAGTATGAGTCGGCCATAACAATTTTACACTCATGCTACGAATACTACAAAGAATCCAGCTGGAACTCGTTAGCCTTCCGATTACTTGAATACTTCATTGACTGTTTATTGAACTGTTCCGGGCTGGGCACTATCGCTATAGGTCACGAAGCTGTCCCAACTTCAACAGTTTTGAGTAATTCGATACTCGATTTGCTAACATCAGTCAATTCCGATGAATCCAAAGCCTATTGGTGGGACCGGTTCCTAAAAATTAACGAAAAGTGCAATGGAAGTCTGATCTATCCATTGACCAACTTGTTTGATTTCCATTTGGAAAGGAAACTCGTCGTTACAAAACCAAACATCTTTGGGCTGATCGTCAAAATAACGAACGAAAGGATACCGAAACCGATTATGGTCAAAGATTTGCAGCTGATACTAAAAAATGACAAGAACGAGTTCCTGAATTTTCAGCTCCGGGACTTTACGATAACACCTGGGGATAACACAGTCTCTTTGGAATGTGCAAGAATTCTCTTTGGCTCATTCACAATCGTGCGTGCAACGTGCACTGTAGGCAAAACCATTTTATGCAAAGAGTTTCATTCCGGTGATGATAGCGTCATCGTGCTGGAGCGTCCAATCGATGCTCGTAATTTCGATATCATCGTTTCTGCATCAAAGCAGTTCGAGCTTGCAAAAAACACAATAGCATTGGGCTATTTCAACAAGGAACAGGTCACAGCGTTCAAGCTTGTCTTGACTGCACTTCCCACCGAAGGCACTTCAAAGATTCCTTTGTCCTTTAGCAAGAAAGGAAATGAGTATTCTTTTACCGTTGATGAATTTGACATGTCAAGTATCGACTATTTTGGGCTATTTCCATGTGAGGATTTTAAGCTACAACAAGAGCTTATTTTTCGGACAAGCGACTGTCCTGACAAAGAGTTTTATCAACGCGACAACAAGACCTTCAAATCGACGTTACCAGTTAGTGTTTCTGTTGAGGATATTGTTCGAAATGGTTCGTTTTTCTTTAAGTTTTTGATCAACTCTTCGTCTCAGACCGAGCCAATTCTGCTGCACAAATCGGATCTCCTGCCATCTAAACCTGAGAAGTTTGTTGTTGATGGCGGGTTCAGTCCTGATACTCCTCTTATGATTAAACATGGAGATGATAACACCTGTTACTCATTTTTCCAGGTGACAACTAGATTGTCCGCACTATATGCTAGCGAAGACTTCTTTCATTTGAGGGTAGTCTTCAATGAATTGAAAGATCAGCTGGATCATCTGGTAACGAACGCCATTTTGATTCAAGGCAATCCGGAGATTGCTGCCAAAATGGAGTCACATCATGACACTTGGAACTCTATGGTACTCACGAGGCTAGTTTACGACTATGAGGCTTTTGAAAGCAGCTTTTTGGTTCGACTCGTTCCCGCCAAGGTCAGTGTGAGCGAACTTAAAGAATTCTTAGCATCCAAAATTCAGGATAAGCAGTTTTTGGAAGCTTCTGTTTCCTGTCTTCTAGTCATACAAAAGGGATATCAGTTTTCACGCTTAGAAGCCGTGGAATACACAAGGGATCTGACGCCCTCTACTTTATTGGTTCCTGTAAGCCTACCATCGTTAAAGCATCATTTTTCGGTGAATATAAACCGCTTGACAGATCCAGCGCTGGAATTAGAGCTGGGTCAATTGACACCCTTCTCGATAAGCGTAACGGACGCAATGGTTGATTGGCAAAAACAAAACAGCGGAGACGAAGATTACGTTCTTGAGCTGTTCAATACCAATGAGTGGCTCATTGACGGGAAAAGAAGGTATCGCATAAACGGAGGAAGAAATGACCACACTATACGTATGATTCCACTGCGAAGGGGTTACCTGAAATATCCCAAAATCGAAGTTACGGAAAACGGTCGAAAAGTTTCAGAAGTCCATTACCTGAATATGAATGAGGTTACATTAGTTATTTGATAGATTTTATAAATACTCTCTTAACTTGTTCCAGTTTCTCAAGCCAACTTTAAGGCTTGCACCAAAGCTTTGGGTTCTGGCTTACAACTTACGACTTTAGAGTGCACATTACGAGAGCACAGAAAGTCGTTTGTGGTGGGACCAATGCTAGCGATATTCACTTCCTGATCCTTGAGATACTCAATGATCTCTTCCGTCCCTTGAGGGCTAAAGAACACGACCCAACATTGCGGGCTGAAATGTAACTTGAACCGGGCCAAGTTGTCATCCTGCACCTGAGTTTTGTACGTAACCACTTCCTGTGACGTAATGCCTACAGAAGTAAGCCTTTTTGGGACGATGTCTCTTCTTGTCTCCCCCACTAGTAATAAGATGCTTGGAACTTTGCTGAACTCTATGGCCTGACTACCAAGGTCAGAAATTATTAATTCAGCCAGAATACTACCACTTCCAGCATGTTCGCCGCCTCTTATGTTCGTGAACCCACATCTTTGCAAGAAGTTGGCAGTCGCCGGACCCACCGTGTAGACAGTTTTTTGAAGTAACGCTTTCCGTTGATATTCTGAAAGGTTTGGGATAATCGACTCATTGAGGCATTCGACGGTACGCTGAGAGCTTATCACGATAGTTTGGAGCTGGGACAGGTAAGCCTCATCCTTGAGAAGATTCAAGCATTCTGTCGGTAGATGTTTGTGTTGGATCAACGGAATGAATACTGGATCGTAATCATTCTGCTGGAAGTCAGACTCGTACGCATCGATTGGTGTCGTCTTATTCTTCAAAAGGAGTGCCTTTGGCAAGCCCATTGTGACTGTGCTAGGTCCGGCAGGATACGATTGCGGAAGAAACAAACTGCACTTTTAATAAACTACTTTCTTAGTTTTCAATTCAACATTTGAAGCTAGCCGGTTAAGAAATTCTATTCACTATAATACACTACTACTTACTCCCATTCTACAGTGGCTGGTGGCTTCGAAGTGATATCGTAAGTGACTCTTGCAACACCATCAACTTCGTTGACGATTCTGGAGGCCACTTTTTTCAAGAAATCATGCTCGAATGGGAACCAGTCGGCAGTCATGAAATCTGTGGTTTCGATGGCTCTCAGGGCAATAACCTGTTCGTAGGTTCTTTGATCACCCATTACACCCACAGACTTGACTGGCAACAGACAAGCGAAAGCTTGAGAAATCTTGTTGTAAAGACCAGCCTTTCTGATCTCTTCAATGTAAATGTGGTCGGCCTTTCTGGCGATAGCTACCTGCTCTCTGGTAACTTCACCCAAGACACGGATGGCGATACCTGGACCTGGAAATGGGTGTCTCCAGACCAGCTCGTGAGAAATTCCAAGCAGCTCACCCAAGTGTCTGACTTCGTCTTTGAATAGCTCTCTCAAAGGCTCAATCAATTTCAACTTCATGTCATCCAAAAGACCACCGACGTTGTGGTGGGTCTTGATAGTCTGAGAAGGACCCTTGAAGGAGATGGACTCAATCACATCAGGGTAAAGAGTACCTTGCAACAAGAATTCAATCTCGTCACCGCCCTTTGGCTGGATCTTGGCAGCCTCTCTTTCGAAAACGTGGATGAAAGTGTTACCAATGATCTTACGCTTCTTTTCTGGGTCAGTCACGCCCTTTAGCTTGTCCAAAAATTCATCGGCAGCATCCACAACGGTAAGGTTGATGCCCAGACCCTCACCAAGGATCTGTTTGACGTTGGCAGCCTCGTTAAGTCTCAAGACACCGTTATCGACCAAGATGGCGTGGAAACGCTCACCGATAGCCTCGGTCATTAGCTTGGCAGCAACGGTGGAGTCAACACCACCCGAAACGGCGCCGATAACCTCGGCAGTTGGGCCCACGAGCTCTCTGATTCTCTTGATCTCGGTGTCGATGAAGTTCTCCATGGTCCAGTTTTGAGTGGCCTTGCAGATGTTGACGGCAAAGTTCTTTAGCAAAGTCTTACCTTGGGACGAGTGAGTCACCTCTGGGTGAAACTGGATACCGTAGATTGGCTTTTCCTTGTGGGCGACACCACAGTATGGGGAGTTGTCGGAGGTGGCAATGACTTCGAAGCCAGTTGGCAAGCCGTGTAGTTTGTCACCGTGGGACATCCACACGCGGGAGTGGTTCATGCCCTGGAAAAGAGGACTGGAGGCATCCTTGACGTTCAAAGTGGCTGGTCCATACTCACGTTTTTCACCACGGGCGACCTGCTTACCGTTGATCCAAGCTAGCTCTTGCATACCGTAGCAAATACCCAAAATAGGCACATCTAGCTTGAAAATGTCTAGGTCGACGTGTGGAGCATCTTCTGCATAAACAGAGTAAGGACCTCCAGACATGATGACACCAGCTGGCTTCCAGCCCAACTCAGAGATCTTCTGAGTGCAGGGAAGCATTTCGGCGTACACATTAAACTCTCTGAGTCTTCGGGTAATCAAATGAGAGTACTGGGAACCGAAGTCCAGCACCAAGATGGTGTCAAAAACGTTGGAAACTTGTTCAACTGAAGAGCTCATCGCGCAGAAAATCGATTGATATTACGTGGGGGAAAATCCGGGAGAAACCGCGTACAAATTAAATGACTCAGATAAAATATCTGCCGCTGTTTGAACCGCCTAGAACAACCTAGATCACCACTAGATCCAAACGGAAGAGACTAGTTCGAGATGTTTGACTTCTCTGAATTTATACTTCTCAGTTCATCATGAAAGATCTGTATGGCTCATAATGAAAATTTTCGATGACCCGTGTGTAGCGATGTTAACTATCTAAAAAATATTAAATTAATTCGAATTAAAGATATCTTATTACACGTGACTCGGGTTCTTAAGCTATTGACTCACGATAGTACGAGTGTACCTTGAATAGAAAGGAAGGGCTACGATTGGTGACTTGTGCGTTGAGCTATAGCTCAAGTGCACTGTGTAGTAATTTCACTACAGAATAGAGTTGATTGTCCGTAAATTTTCTGTTCCGAGGTCGGAATTTCCGGTTGGAAGTTGCGGATCTCTTCGAGGAGGACAGACGAGAGATATCGAGACGATAAGCAGCTTTGAAGCCCCGAAACTCGATAGGGAAATTGCGCAGGAGCCGTAGGATCTCGTAATGATAAAGATGAGACGAATTGTTGCTCCGAATATTTTAGCGACACATTAGTACAAAGTGATATAATAATGGCATTAGCTATGGGTCCAGGATTTGTTATAGGGTAATTCGAGCGAGCTGTAATGTCATGGTGACGTACTCATAGCTGATCTTTAAGTGCGAAGGAGAAGGGAAAGATCATTTCCGCTAGATGAAATTTCGTGTCGTTGCCCACTTTGGGCTGACCTAATTCTCTTAAAGTTTCTAGTTCCCGCTTGTTTTGCGCAGCAATCCTTGTGTGTTTGTTTAATCAAAGCGATCGTCTGTCGCAGTGGTTTGTACAGCAAAACTATTTGGTTTTCATGGCCTTCACGGTAAGCAAGCTGAGCGAGCTGCAATAATATGGCCAGATTCTTAGCAAGCTGTACGTATGCGGGCTACAAATTCGCATCTAACTTCAGACTCATCTGCTTTTTGAAACTAACAATTTAAAGCCCACGCACTGTCGACCAATTGATGCGGTTCTCCATACGTCTTTTACTCTGGTACGAGACTAAATCATTTTGTACTAATACGACATTGGTCACGTACAACATTGCCAGCCTCACAAATCTTGCGTATATTCGCAGAGTAAGTAGTATATCCTGTGGCACTACGTGCTTTCCAATTAGATTTGAAAACTTTCAAAGTTTTGTAGCCCAGCATCTACAATCCGGAAGACGTCCTAATGCTTTATTCTGTCGTTTTTCAAAATTTAGTCCACATTCGTACATCAGACGGATTTACGTTATGTCGAATTGCATGTTGACTACCATCAAAAGCTTGCCATAATGGTGCCATAAAAGTGCCCGAGTATTCCGTCACCTCAATCTTTTGACACTGGTGTCATCAAATAAAAAAGTGATGCAGTAATAATATAATATAACGAAAACCACCAAGTCAGCCTTCAAACATAAAAGTATAGACACTGCACCGAGTAAGGTCCTCCCAAAACATGGCTAATGGATGTACATTACACGTCAGTGGTTTTCCACGCGGCGTAAGGACGAGAGACTTGGCTCCTGATTTTGAAAGGTATGTGTCAAGCCATCATTTTGCCATAAATTGATCGTAACGACAAGAAACTGACAAGCAATTGAATAGTGCTGGCAGAGTTGTAAGGATTGAGATGCCTCCTGCGAGGTCTGAATTTGCTAGACCGTATGCTTTTGTGGAATACGAAACCGCTGAAGAAGCTCAGGATGCGCTACATCAGCTAGACCAGCGGCCGTTGTCATTTGACCCACAAATCTCAATTACGGTGCAGTTAGCGCGCTCAGAGGCTCGCCCCTCGCGTTTTGCACGCGGACCAGACCGCAATTTCGATCAAAGAGGCCCAATGCGTAAAGAACCTCGCCGTTCCATCGACTATCCAAGAGGTCCTAGAGGATATGAAGCTGGACCCGAAGAACACGATCATTATGGTCACGATGACTTCAGAGACAGGTCGCGAGACGAATTCCGCCATCGTAGACCGGACAGCGAAGACATGTATCATTCAAGTAGGGGCTCGTTTGGTTCCAGATCGCACAGGTCTTATAGGAGACCAGAACACGCAATGCTAAGACGCGAACTATCGCCTGCTAGAGTGCGTGCAGACGATGGGCCTGCTCCATACCAAGACGTCTTGCACAATAATGCGGCAGCTTTAAAGAAGCCCAGATACGAGGGGTCGCGCGAAAAGCAAGAAGAGCTAGACCAGTACTACCCTGTCGGCTTGCAATCGAATGACGTTGACATGAGCGAACAGCCAAACGAAACAGCTGCACAGGCTCCTTCTGAACCAGGCCAGAACTCTGTTGGCACGACCTCCCAGAACGCTTCTGGGGCTTCACACGCTCCAGGTATTGAACAGCCTGTAACATCACTGATTCACCCACCTCCACCAGCGCACCTGGCAGATTCATCGAGCTCCAAAGCGCCCAAAACTTCGTCGCCCGGTGAACCCAATACCGTTGTAATTACCGATAATGCAATTACCAACAATGGTCAGGTCCCTCCAGCATCAAATGCAAACGAATCCACTGAAACGGCCCACGCAGTTGAAGTCCAGACGAAGGCCTCATCTGACGACAAAGCGACAGAATCTGCAGTTTGAAGAACATTGCTACTGATAATGTTTTTTTAATGTGCCACACAGATCTTGACTAAGATCAATGCTTTTCCGGAGACATCATTGTAATCGCTAGGCATCGAAGAATCACGCTCCTACTGTCTTTGCATCGCTCGAAGGTGCTCTAGTATGGTTAACGTTCATGGTCAAAAAGCTCAGTTTTGACCAAAAAAACCCCCAGCCCAGAAACTTTAAACTACACAACAAGCTTGACATTACTGATATTCGAGATGCAGCGACGTCAAAGGGCGAGATACCTGACCGGGCTTCATAGCACCAAAGCTGCCGTCGTCCATATGGGTACCTCGAGTCTCAATATATCACCTCGTACATAGTTATACAAAAATATCTGTTCATGAAAATACGACAAATGCCTAGAATCTATTCGGCTAAGAACATCTCAACTAAAAGGACAAGTAAGGGTCTCAAGGACCAGTTTCAGAGGTCGTCTCCACTGTACTTATCGTTACTTCCGGCCCAAGCAGGCATAGGAGCTGAAAATCTGTAAATTTGGTCGACTTTATAGGTCTTTTGTGTGGGTTTAAACTGTTACTTATTTTATTGAGAAAGTTGTGGGTATCTGCTCGAACTTTGAGTTTTGCACTGATTGTAGACCAGTCTTTGAAGTGCATTTGTGATTTATTGTCATTATTCGCATGGGATCTTCAATAAACTATCCGGGGTTTGTCAGTAAACCCAATCAGACCGTCACACCTAGCCCCATTTTCCATAGGGAAAACGTGAAATCCAAGCAAGGTGCTGCACGGTCGAAGCTTTCGCTGGCTTTGCAGATTCAGAAGACTGACAATGATGAGGGCCCAGAGCCCTTGCACAAAGATGGCGCAGAAGGCGCAGATTCTGATTCGGACTACTCGTCGTGTGACGAGAAAAACGAGGAAAGTCTTATAGACTACAAGCCTGGCGGGTACCACCCAGCCTTTCGTGGCGAAACTTACAACAACGGCAGGTACGTCTTGGTGCGTAAATTGGGCTGGGGCCATTTTTCAACGGTTTGGCTTGCCAAGGATACGGTTAGTCATGCTCACGTTGCCATGAAAGTGGTGCGTAGCGACAAAGTCTACACGGAGGCGGCTCTGGATGAGATTAAGCTTCTCCAACGAGTAAGCACCCGAGACGGCTCGCTCGGGGCATTTTACGACGCTTCCAAACACATTCTCAGTCTTTTAGACAACTTTAATCACACTGGTCCCAATGGGAAACACGTCGTCATGGTCTTCGAGGTGCTGGGAGAAAACTTGCTGGCATTGATTAAAAAGTACGAGCATCGTGGTATACCTGCGATGTACGTGAAGCAAATAGCGAAGCAATTGTTACTGGGACTCGACTACATGCATAGAAAGTGTGGGGTAATTCACACAGATATAAAGCCCGAAAACGTTTTGATGGAAGTCAGGGACGTTGAGGCGATAGTGAAAATGGTCGAGTTTTTGGATAAACAGAAGCGCGATCAAAGAAAGGTCCATAGACGCGCGACGAAGTCGTCAGTAGACACGCCCATTGCCACTAATGTTTCTTCGAGAAGCAGCCCGTCAGTCTCGCGAGAGAGGGCAAGTGGTCGCAAAGTAAGAAGACATACATTGATCACTGGCTCTCAGCCACTGCCCTCTCCCTTGAGCTCAACAAATTTTTTTGAAATGAAGGCACAAATGATGGGTCAATCACTACCCAGACCAATGCCATCTACATCCAAGAGCAACACATCAGGTGGTGAGGAGGAGCAGGTTACCAATTCGCTGTCGTCGCTGGAAATCTCAAGCTGCACCGATGACCGCGTTGAAGAAGAAATACGGACTGAGACAGATGTAATTCAAATCAGAATAGCCGACCTCGGTAATGCATGCTGGTTCGATGAGCATTACACAAACTCCATTCAGACACGCGAGTATCGGTCGCCAGAGGTTATTGTTGGAAGCGAGTGGGGATGCAGCGCCGATATATGGTCTGCGGCCTGTCTGATTTTCGAATTGCTGACCGGCGATTTTCTTTTTGAACCTGATGAAGGGCATTCCTACAGTAAAGACGACGATCACATTGCACAGATCATAGAGCTTCTAGGCGACATACCGGTACAATTGCTAAAGACCGGCCGCCACTCTCGGACGTTCTTCAACTCTCGTGGCCAGCTGAGAAATATCTCCAAATTGAAGTTTTGGCCGCTCAAGGACGTGCTACACGAAAAGTACAAGTTTTCCGTGGAAGAGGCCCAGACCATATCGGATTTCTTGCTGCCTATGCTACGACTTAACCCTAAAGAACGAGCAGATGCAGGTGGTATGGTAAATCACCCTTGGTTGAACGACACTGTGGGTCTAAATGGCGTGAAACTCGATGAACGCGAACTCTACGGCGGTGGTGCAGACATTCCTGGCTGGTACCGAGAGGTTGCAGGGCAACCTAGACATTAATTGACAACACAATACGCATAGCAACTAGCCGAGGCTACTTTGACACTAGAAGTCGTCTGAGAAATTCTATTTTTTTCTTCCTTATCAAGACGTATTTTCTTACTAGCTAACGCGCTCGACAGCTTTTACGACAAGAAGTACGCCTCGCATTCCTGAGACACACATCAAATCATAGGATATTGTAACATTTACGATTGATTTACTTGAATCCAAAAATTTTTTTTTGTTTGGGCCTTGCTCGTTATTCGTTTAAGTTCACTCTTTCTTATGAGCTTAGAAAACAAAGTATGCAAAGAGGGTAAAGCATATTGAAGATCGCCCATTAAGGGACAAATGTCTTCTCAGTTTACGGAGTTTTCGCTGCTAAGTTTTCAAAATAACGCTCGAGAATCGACTGATCTCGTTCCAGAACCTACATTGAGAACACTGACGTACGCATACTTCTCGAGACCTACGCATTCTCAAGCAACGCCTCTGCACTGGCTTGGCAATGAAGTGTGTGCGCCTTTCCAGTCACTTCCCAAAGTATAAATTGGCACGCTTACTGCTGTTATTTTCCCAAGATGTGTGACAAGGATAATTCAAAAACTATATTCATCAACCACTACTTCCCATTTACCCAATCTAATGATCAGAACTATTAAGCTTGCCTCTACTCCCAGAAACCTCTCGGTCCTTGCTATGGGATACGTGGTCGCCGATGTCGCATTTAGCTACTGGTACAGATTGCAAAGAACGAAAGCTCAGTCTTTTATCAGAGCAAGAAGCTCTAAGTCCCTGTAGAGACACTAGCTATGCCCTTCAAAAAAGAGGTAGCTGGTCTACGAATTTTTCGAAGAGACGACACACATGTATCGTTTGATAGATTTTAAAAATAAATGTATGTCAGCTAAATGGGATAACACTGCTATTTCTCAAATAATTTGATGTGCTCTTTTCCATACAATCAACGAGCGGGTCTATGCTGATCATCTATCCGCTGGCGTAATTGAAGCTCGATGTAATGTGATCTGCCTACCCTTCTCTGTGTCGCAATATTCAATTTTGTAGATATACGCCTGTTGGAATATTTTTGAAAGCATTGTTGATAGTAACACAGCCTGGAAGGAAGAATAGGGTTTCGAAACACTTGTTGCCTTTTTAGTTGAACCAGGTTCAATTGTTCGTGTTAATGCTAACATTTCATAAAACTGGGGACGGCGACAGGATGGTGGGAAAATGATAATTGTGTCCAAGCTCGGCCCCACCAATTCAAAAACAGTCTTACACGAACAGCAAAGAAGCACTAATAGAATATTGGTGATCCCAAAAAGGTCTCAACATGTTCCTGAAGTTGACTTTAGCCTTGATGTGCAAGTGGTCAATGTCTCATTCGTATGTTGTGATATCACAGGTATATAAAGGAACAAATTTCAGCGTTTTATTTTGACACTCTTTTCACCACTTTTCTATATCTTAGAAAGACCAACTTATAACCATGCGTTCCACTGGCGTCACTGCGGCGGCCTTTTGGCCACAGTTTGATGCTAAAAGATATTTCAGTGGTATTTAGAACGATGCATGGGAGATTAACGGTTAAAGATGTATCTCCAGCTGTTGAATTGACGGAAAGCTTTTCTCTTTCTGTCGCTCCAAAAACTGATATAGTTGGTCATGATTCTTGCGACAATAAATCAATAATCTTGCAGTAGTTGGTCCTGCTACCGGTTGTTTTTTTTTCGAACAGCTCGAATGCTGGCTTAAAACTAGATGAATTCTTGAATAGGCAAGTTTTATATAAATGCTTGAGCGCCTTCTTCAAATGCTTACAAAGACCTTTACAATTCGTCTCTTACGTGCCGGGCAGACATTGTCTGAGGCATCACGACGACGTAGTCCACGAAAAGATCGCCAAAAGCGTTGGCACGATCAAGTAGCGGCATACCGAAGTGCGGTATACGTTCCACTTCGCCATGCTTGACCGGCACTCCCGCTTTACGAGCCAGTTGCACCTTCTTGTTGGCGTCAAAAAACTCGATCTCTCTTTTCCACCCACCTTTGAGTGCTTCCTCTAAAGTTAAAACCTCCGTCCGGTACAAGTGCACACCACGTCTCCTGTAGCCCATGTTATTTCTGGAGGACTCGGAAAACTTGATGAAAACGTCGCCAGCATCGAAATCGGGACTCTTATCTGCTTCTCCCTGCTTAACGTCTACGAAGTCCCTAGGAGCGCCTGCGGGGATATCAACATGGAATGCCTTTGCCTTTCTTTCGACCTTGGCACCTTTGCACCTACGACACTTATTCTTGATAACTTGGCCCTTACCTTGGCATGCACCGCAGATTTGCTGCATTTTTTGAGTCATAGGACCCATTCTCACCACCTGAATTATCACACCTTGGCCTTGGCACTGCGTGCATGTGGTTGTTTTTCCATCCTGAGACCCAGAGCCGTGGCAATGCTCGCAAAAATCGTTTAAATTCAACGTGAAATCTAGTGTAGTACCCTGGTAGTATTGTTTGAGTGTGATGTCCTCTCTTGCCTCCAAATTGTGGCCACGAGGTCTGCCTCTATTTCCACCGCGATGAGCACCGCCAAACATTTGCTCGAAAATATCCATGGGGTCTCCAAATCCACCTCCAAATCCTCCATGTGCTCCGCCTGGTCCTCCTGGTCCTCCTGGTCCGCCGTTTCTCAGCGCATCGGCTCCATATTGGTCGTATATTTGACGCTTCTTTTCATCACTCAAAACCTCGTAAGCTTCTCCCACTTCGATAAACTTGTGGTGCGCGTCTTCGTCACCGGCGTTCTTGTCCGGATGATACTTCTTAGACAGTTGTCGATACGCGGATTTGATATCTTTGTCACTTGCATCTTTACCAACGCCTAGAATAGCGTAGTAATCTTGAGCCGCTACCAATGCAAGAAGACAAATCGACAACACGCCAATTATTCGGGCCCATGAAAATGACATTTGATGGAGTGTAATTGAACAGCTAAGTGGTGCAACTGGTGATTGTAGATGTGTGTCTCTGGATGGTGAATTTTGGTAGAGTTAGACAATGGCGTCGAGCAGATGCCAGGTAATCGTTCTGAAGATTAATAAACGAGTACACGAGTACACGAGTACACGAGTACACGAGTACACGAGTACACGAGTACTAGGTATGTATTCAAGAAAAGACGTGCTTTAAATAAGCAGCGGAAGGACCGCGAGAGTCCATGGCTTTTCTGGTGTCAAAACCGTTACGCTTTCATGGTCCATTTGGTCGCTTTTCATAACGTTTATTCCCTTATTTTTTATAGTTAATATGTTCACAGTCACATGTAAGGCGACGAGAAGGTCAAAAGTGATATCCTTGAATCAGATGAATGTCTGCGACTAGAGAGCAGTTCGCAGTTCGCAGTTCGCAGGCGATCGAGTTCTTTGACCATGGTATTCCGATATGTTTTGTACAGCTCAAAGTAGAATGACATAGCTGTCGCTCAGCCGCATTGTTTAGTGTTTTTTCGAGCATCTGCGTCACCAATCAACCGTATACGATCGACAAGATGTTTAAAGGCTCAATGCCACAGCGAATAAAACTGAGACGCTCAGTGGTCCACTCACCCGCAGTATCTTGCTCCATACTTGCAAATTCAGGGGAAATGTGGCCGATGACAAAATAGTATAAAGTGATCTAGAAAGTCAATTCCATATGAATGATGATTCAGTAGATGCTTGCAAGCTCACCTCGTAATAGTACGGAAGGCAATTTTCAGGTTTCTGAACAGCCAAAAATGGTTCTGGACAGCTGACAGCTAATCGTAAAACCTGTGGATAGAAGAACGCACCTCGGTGTTTTTTTTAGGTCCAGCTTTAATGTAGCGACAGTAGTGCCAAGAAGCACAGTTCGATTTCTATATCTCAAGGTATATACAGTCCACAAATATGCAGTGTCTCCAGCCGCTAAACTTAGTCCTCGCCTGGGTACTTCTTAACAGCAGATGAACCTTAACGAGAACACGTGATTGTCCTGAACTTCAACAGCTCGTAATCGCTAGGTGCTGGCGACTCCTGCAAAGCGCGTAAAACCTGCATTGACGCTCCACCTGCCTGCAAGACCTGCAAAACATTGATACCAGTCTCTGTTATACTATTTAGAGGCTCCTTTTTTTATTGATATTTGACTATTTACTGACGTAAACTTTGTTGCCTTACGCCGTTTTCGATTCTTAATCGTCCTCCTCATCACTTTCAAGAGCAGCGAACGCATTGAAATTATTGGTCGCTTTGTCGGCGACAATGTCACGAGAGTCTGCGGGCTTTGTCGACGAAATGTTTTTGTTGGGCTTGACCCTCAAAGTTTCCTGCGCAATAGTGACCGGTTCCTTTGCTGGCGCATCCTCGTCGCTGCCGTTAATGGTGCCAGAGCCACCGGCCACGACGCTCGACTTTCTTCTAGCCATGTTGTCAAATGTGGACCAACCATCAGAGTCTGTTGTGATTTTGGGTTTCAAGTGCTTGATCTTGGGCTTACCATGGTTATGAGAAGATCTTCTGCGGTGGAAATGCTGGAATTCTTCTTCTTGAAGACCCTGGATTTCCTTAACTTTGTCTATAACAGCTCTGAAAGAATCGATGTCAAAGTTCACAGGAACCTCGACTTCTGGCTTTAATTGCAAAAGTTCTTCCTCAGTGTATCTGGCCATTGTCTTAAACTTTATTGCACTATTCCTTGGGCTTTAAAAGTACTCGAAGCTTCTGAATGTGTGTGTGTCCAGTTGATGTCGCGGTAGAGGAACTTTATCATTTCAACAGTAATTTCAAATTTTTCAGACGGCATGTGATCAGAGCCATGAAAGCCCGGACGAGTAAAGTATCGGTGAGAATCCTGTGATCATGCCGCTAGAGGGTCAGTGTTCGAAAGAGTTGTATCGAATTTCGAATAGCTTGTGATTTGGCGAGCAGAATGAGCTTTCCAACGAGTTTTTTTGTTTCAAAATTTCTAAACTCTTCTACACTTTGGGAAGTACATCTACTGCAGTTAGCTTCTCTTGAAATAGTTGAGACGTCTTTGGCATTTTCAGGCAGTCTTTTTCCTCTTCTTTATCGCCTTTGTTCGGCACCAGCTTCGTAGAGATGCTCTTGCAGCCTCTGCCGCCTGGTCTGACATGCATAGTACTCGTTTTGATACTTTTTATAGTTCAGTGAGTAAGTATGACGAAACTCGACAATCTTGGGCAAAAGGTCAGAAAAAACCATTTCATTACTTACCTGGTTCTTGTTCCTGAAAAATTCCACTTCGTCAACCGCCTTTTGTAAACCGTGCACCCTTGACTTGAGCTCAATAATTTTGTCCGCATTCGGTCCCGCCGAATAAGTTGCAGACTCGAGCAGTTTTTTGACCCTTTCAGCGTACTCTGTATTCAGCCTTTGCTGTATATCTTTGGTGGGTATTAGGCCGGAAAGAGTTAGCTCCAATTTAAGTTTAGTGCTTTCGAACACGGCATTCTCCACAGGAGCACTATTTGACGCGGCAGCAAATGTCAGCAGCTTATTGAATTCAACTTCTACCAGATCGGAAGGAGCAGAGATCAAGCTTGGGAGTGGCAATGTGGTCTTCAAAAAGCGATAGGGGTCTAATTTGCTCGATGAACGAGAAGAATGATCAACACTGGTTTTCACACCATCTGCACTATCTTCATAGATCGCTCCTTGCGTCTCAGAAATCACATGCTCATCACTACCACCTTTATTAGTTTCGTCATCATTGTCGTCGAATTCATCCTCTAATTCAATCTCGAAGTCGTTCGTAGGCTCAGGAAGACTTTCAAATAATCTGAGAATGCTACGTTTGGAGCGTTTCGATGCCGTTTTAGTTTTTCGTACACTATCGATGGAGCTTTCAAGCGGCAGGCTTAATTTGGGTTTCTTGAAGTCGTCTGTGAGAACGCTGGATTGACCAACCACACTTGGATTCTCCTCTTGGGCCCTCTTCCTTTTTGCTTTAGCGCCTCGTTCGTTCTCTCGCAGACCTTTCCGCTCCACAGATTTTTCGAAATTTTTAATTGCCCGTGCGGCCCGTTCATCCTCTTGCGTAGTGTCGTAGGGTCCGCTTTCAGGCTCTCTTTCATACACGACGTCCGCGTTGTAGTCAATTTCCGTTGAATATTTCTTTCGAGGAGCCCTTATTTTGGAATCTATACCGGCCTGTTTCAATTCACGCCTTTTCTGCAGCTGAGCTACTCTTTTGCTCTCCTCTAGCATGCGTTCTCGTATTTTTCTAGTAGCCTTTTTACCTTGTGTGTTTAGAAGCCTCGCGCGTGCTTCCGCGAGCATCTCTTTGTCCATCGACTCCAAGTCCACAGGATCTGGTCTTGCAGGTCTGCTTTCTGCGTTGAGATCAATATCTCCTACCTCCAGATCTAATGAAGTTCCGAGCTTGACGTCGGAATCAGTGCCTTGTAAAAGCACATTGTAACGGTCGACACAAATTTGAGGTGTGCGACCCATAGCATCTGAGATGGTCCTCCATTGATTAGGCAGCCTTCTTACTAGGTCAAGTAGCTGAGCGTCTTCGTCTTTGGAGAAAGGTGTAAAATTGAGACTGGGGTTCAAATATTCGTTCCATCGCAGTTCACACTGTCGGGCCGTTTTTTTCTGCAGAAGCGATGCTATTTTGCTCCACTGGTGTGTACCATACTTCTCTATCGCCGCTTTCAGAATCTGGTCCTCGATGTTGGACCAAATACCACCTTTGACATAAATTGGCACTGGTGGCATAGCCGGAAACTAGACAACAAATCTGCTAAGAAAACTCCTGTTTGCACGTAATGAACTCCCGAGAATACTGCAAACTTCTCTAGGCCCAAAATTCTCAATCTTTTTACCGGCTCAATAGGTTTTACCTCGATTTAGCCAGGTTACTGAAATATACTAAAGTAGCCGTTATCTGCAGTTTAGATAGCTACAAGAAGGACAACGATCACACTCAAGTCCACCGTTTGAGTGGGGGATTCTGGCACAGCAGACTGAGAAGCGCCAACAGAGCTTCAATCCGTGTTGTTTGGTGTTGATGTTCTTGAAGTGATGAATATTATAATATGTACTAAACAATTGTTACACTTATTTTAAGAGATAATTTCAAGACTACACTTCAACAAACCCAGGAAGGCCTAAGATGGTGCTATTGTTCACGCCGAAGCATCAAAAACTGGTCAATCAATGCTATCCTAGTGGGAGAACCACAGACAAAAAGCCAAAGTCCTCAGAAACGTCGTATTTGTTGTACTATGTGAACTCCAGGAGAACGAAATTAGAAAAGGTCAGCAGCTTTTTGGCGCGCAAAAGCACTGCAGACTTGAACCACAGACGTATCGGCAATATATCTGTAACGCTGGAACTTATGGACAAAATTGTGAACCATTGCAAGGAGAATTTGAATGTTTTTGTCCGGGACTTTCTGCAGATAATGGTAAGGATCTTGTCCAATAACAACGTGAACAACGACGCGAGCGTGGTTGAAAACGCAGAACGGACCTTTGGAAGCATTTGCCGTCTTTTGGACGGTGCGCTTTGCAACGGAGACGCAGACTTCATCGACTCGTTCCAAGCTTTCGTCAATCTATATTTTCAAGTGGTGACTGAGAGGCTACGCGACGACAGACTTTTGCTAAAAGGCTGTACTGACATCTCGACCGTAGAAAATCTTGCATTGAATCCACAAGGTAGCATTTTAATCTCGCGAGCAGTGGAGTACGCCCTCACTAAATTCCAGGAGAAAAACCCCCAATACAGGGTTCAGAGTCTTGAGGCAACGGGAGACCTTGCAATGACAAAACGACTCACTAGGACGCAAACGCAAACCGTGGGTCTAGACGATCTCATAAACAGTGACGATTACGGGATCGAAGCTCTCCGGTCTTTCTTCAACACTTCTGAAACCGATAAGTTGACTTTATCGATTAAAGTTCTACTCAGTGTTTTGCTGAAAACGCCAAACCAAAAGCTTTTGCAGTTTATTTGTAACGGTATACCCGTTCATTTGAGATACATCGTGATTCTAATTTTCATTCGCCAGCTACAACAAGACTCTCAGCACTCAGTTGTTACTTTGAAGCTAATTTCAAGTCTGCTGGTTTCTGAAGTCAGTATAGTAGGTCTGAGCATCATAGATGTTATGAGAAAGCTACTCAACACTCAAACAATGAACGGGATCTCGAAAGAGGTTAGCAATCAGTGTGCCACCACAATTGGAGACCTGAATCGTAAAACCTACTACAAAGACCAGACTTCAGACATGTTTTCTGAAATTCTAATAAGACTCAAGGACAATCGAAACTCGGCTTATACAGATAGTCTGCGTCGCGATTTGCAAGAGCTGGCCAGTTCCACCTTCACACCATCTCTCAGCTTAGACACGTACATGGAGCTATTCCCGTTCCTCGACGAGCCGCTAAAGCTCTTCAATGTCGTGAGCAAAACCTTAACTGGCTCCTTTTCCATATCTAAGCTGTTTCATGTGATAGACAACCTGAAGTCTCCTGAGAGGCAGCGAGACTTCATGTCCGCTGCGTTTGAAAAATACAGAGGCATTGCTCTGTTAGCGGGCTTAAAACACTACCTTGACTTTGATGAGACTCAGAAGACTTGTTACTTCTTTTATCATCTAGAAGCCGCGAATTTCCTAAATTATAGCGACTACCAATCGCAAGCGAAGTACAAACAAGAGTGTGGTGATCACTTCACGCAGGAAAACCTTTTGAACTATTATTCCGACCTGGGCTCTAACAAGTACTCTGAAAAGGGCAAGCAAATCATTTTGTCCAGAGAAACGAACGTCTCCACGACGGATCTTTTATCGAATGGAAACCATACACATAGCACCGGAGCTGAAGGTAGCGGCAAGCTTGACCATAGCCTCAAAGTCCCTCCTCCTTTGACGCAAGATTTTAGCCGGATACCGAAGTTTGCCCTTACGTCTGACGCACGGTCTCTAAAGTCTTTAAAGCACTCGTCACCTACCGTCAGAGACCTCAAAGCTGCCAGGGGCAACGGAGCGTCACATCTTAAACGCCAAACTGTTTCTCGAGGCTCGCAATCGGTCAGATCACACGTCACCAATATCACCTTCCTACTTTCTGAGCTCGGGGACGAAGGTCAAGAAAGCAGGATTGTCGATCCTGATGAAGAAGAAGTATTTGGCATGGAAAAATCAGACCTTGCAAGATCAGAGTCTCTTAAACTCCACAACATTGTGTTCAAAGGCTCCAAACGTTTGAGTATTCCACTAAAGCTCCAAGAGGACGGTGACGAATTTCAAGATGCGAACGAAGAGTTCCAGGTCACATCAACCAGAGGAAAACTCTTCACCGCCTAAAAGTTATTAGAACGTAATGTTTAAATCAGACCAAAATAAAATATACGTGTTTCAGGCATCAAGCACCTTTTGGCTGTGCTTGAATGTCAGCCGAGCCTTACTAGATTTAATTATTGAATCAAGTACTTTAAATGACACCATCATCGAAATATTCTTAAAAGACTCTTCAGTGGCCACGCTGCAAGGGTATGCCACAACTGCTTTGTATTCCATTTAAGAGAAGTCTACCTGTGGATCTGAATGCCGAACTTTCCAAAGTCATTGACCGCACTTTCTATCAGGTAGCTTCGTTATTTGATGCTGATCTAAAAACCATTGACACACTCAGAAACTCTGCACTAGAAGCTGAGGTTTCGACTACTGGGCTGCAAACGCTCCAGGAATACTACTTTCAGTTTAGTCGACTCAAACTGAAGTTTCCAGATGAGCAAATCACCTTCAAGTGGTTCGAAACTCTTGGACTTAAATCCTACGGTCGAGAAGACACCAAGTTCGTTTTTGAAGAGCTAAACGTCGTTTACAACATTGGAGCCCTGTACTCGCTTCTGGCTGCAGATATCAACAATGGCTCTCCAGAAGGTCTTAAAGCAGCTTGCAGCTACTATAGACTTGGTGCAGGCTGCTTTGATTTTATTTCCTCCCGGTTGGACCTCATGAACGATGCTGCCATGGAGCCCAAATCTATCCGAAGCTTGAAGTTCCTGATGCTGGCGCAAGCTCAAGAGATTTTCTGGTTAAAGGCAGTCAGAGACGGCATGAAGCATAGCTTGATAGCTCGGCTTGCTCTTCAAGTTGCCGAGTATTACGACTCATCTTTTAAATATGCTTCCACCAGTGAGCTCATTAGGTCTGACTGGCAACATCGATTCGGTGTGAAAGCTATCTACTTTCGAGCAGTCGCACTTTATCGATACAGTTTAACGTGTGACGACAACTCACTATCTGGGCACAAAGTTAGGTCACTGAGAGACAGCTCTGCCCTTCTTAAACAGATACACTCTGCGGACGATACAGTGCACGCTTTGTCAGCAAAGGTAGAGGAAGCTCTCAAGGTTTCTGAACGGGATAACGACTTGATATATCTACAGAGTGTCCCTACGTCAATTCCAAATCTGAAAGCTGCTCCAATGGTGAGCACACTATATTTTGATGGTTTGCGAGAACCGTTAAGCCCTGATCCTAGACAAGCTCACAGTGTTTTATTCAGTGATCTGTTACCAACATTCGTAATGGAAAGCTCCAATGCTTTTAATCGGCGCCAGGAACAGTATATTCAGCAGCATGTTATCGACCCTCTAAAAGCTCTCAATAAGCTAGTTGATGAAGAGCTACCGGCACACAATGTATCAAAAGATCTCCGATCTGTTCCAGAAGAAGAGTTAGAGTCGTGTCGCGGTTCACTAGAGGAAGCTGGCGCCAATGCTCGACAGGTCGCTAGTGCCTTGCGACAAGTTTCTGATATTCTTCGTCGAGAGCAGGAGACTGACAATTTATTGAGATTGAAGTATGGTACGGCAAGATGGACCATAGAGCCTTCTGAGAAAGTCAATGCCGAGTATTTGTCCAGACATTCCAAGTTAGAGTCCTACTTACAGACAGGGGAGGCGATTGATCGGGAAACGCTTCAACTGTTCGAATCTATCGATAAGAGCCTTATTACAAGTGACATCAAGATTCCCGAGTCCAATAACCCTCTCGTCAAAGAGATCTCGAGTGTGTTCAGCCGTCGCGAACAGATAACTCTGCAAGCCAAAAATAAGGCGACAACGACTGTACTTTTACCCAAAATTGTCTCGCTGTACAAGCAGACCGGTCAAACAGATTTTGAAGATCTTTTTGCTGAGCAGCTTAAAGTCTATGACGAAGACCTTCTTTCAATCGAGAGGGAGAAAAATGTTAATAGAGTACTACTTGACAGGTTGAAAACGCAAGATCGAGAAGGTGAAAGGCAATATGCTCAAGATTTATACGTTCAGGACTTCCAGTTTTCGCTTAAGCTACTCGAAGACGTCAAAGAAAACCTTAGCGGCGGATCTAAGTTTTATCGGGACCTTGTGTCCTCTGTAAGCTCGTTGTTGAGTGACGTACAAATTTTTGAAGCGGCACGGACTGAAAAGAACAAGGATGCTGAAAAGGATATTGCGCAAGGTTCCAACGACCAGCATGGATAACGAATTTGGAAATGGATTTATTTTATTCAACGGACTCTGTTTTCCTTTTTTTCCACATTTCATGGTTTTCCAGCTTTTTGGCGCGCGACAAGTTCGTCCGGTGACGCCTGCTGTTCAAGTGGGTTTTCCAGTTCTTTGCTCCAATAGCGATCAAGGGCTTATTCTCTTTGTCACGACACGCCTCACACACGTAACGACTCCAATCATTTTCCAACTTGGGACTATTGTCGCCTAAAGTGCTGTTAGTTAGCAACGATTCGAGAGCAGGTGGTGCATGCTTTTCCTGTATTTCTAGCGAGTCAAGAAAGCTATCAGTGATTGAAATCGCTTTTTCTGACACATTCTGATCCCACTGCTCGAGATTTGTGGCATCAAGCATGTATAAATGATCTTTCACGTCAGGTAACAACATCTTTCTGATCCATTTGACCTGCCGTTTGGCGTACTGGCGAGTTCTTATTTTCATTTTATCTACCGATGACTCGAACGATGCACCGGACTCATATTCCAGCCAAGGTAGAAACTCTTTGAATCCTATTACTTGCCATATACCGTTTTCACATTGTTCTGGAGTGAAGTTGTCACTTTTGTATTTTTTATAAAGCGATCGTATCTCATCGAGTGCGCCACTTTCCATCATGTCGTCGACTCTTTTGTCGAGCCTACTGTCGAGCTTTTCAGGTGTGCTATAGATCCAAAAAAACAGCGTATCAAATTTCAGGGTATTTTGCTGTTCTGCGAAAGCATTGCTGGGTTTTTTGCCTGTTGTGTAGTATATTTCGAGCATTCTGTGAACTCTGCGAGTGTCGTTGGGGTGATACTTACTTGCAATCGCCGGATCCAAACGCTGTAGCATGGCATACACCTTTTCGGGATCTCCTTCATCCAAAAGGGCTTGCTCCTCGGGCGTCACTACTCTGTGTTTCTCCTCTATTCGTTTGTTGAGTAAAATTTGAAGGTAGTAGTGCGTGCCTCCTACTATGATGGGAACTTTGCCTCGTGAGTGTATATCCTCGATAGCACTTAGACACTCTTTTTCAAATCGGTGAAGATAATACTCATCATTCCAAGCCACATGGTTCATGAGGTGATGTGGAATCCCGTTGCGATCCGCTATAGGGTGCTTGTTGGTAATGATAGGAAGGTCTTTGTAGACTTGCATGGAATCTGAGTTTATAATTTCGCCAGAGACATGAGATGCAATTTGAACAGACAACTGTGATTTTCCTACGCCGGTGGTGCCAGCAATTACAATGATCTTCGGTCGAGACATATTAAGCTTATTCAAAACCCTTCTTATCATTGAAGTTCTCAATGACTTTTAGAAGCTCATCGCATAATGTGTTCAAATCATTCACCTCTAGAAGTTGGTGATGCTCCTGCCGTATAGGCGTATAAACGACAAAAACCGTCAAAAGTCGTCCCCAGACTCGTCATCATCGTACCATCCCTCTTCATATTCGCTTGCCAAGGTTCCTAATTCTTCCTTTAGTTCCTCTCGGTCGGAATCGTACCGAAAGTAACGGGAAACTAGGCCAAACCAATTTTTGAAAACGTCTCTGGGCTTTTCCGTAACAGCTAGGCTGGCCGTATACGTGGTGTTTTGTTTGTAGTCTGACGGAATGGTGTCCGACGGCTGCCATTTGTAGGTTTTTAGCATCCAGGGTTCATCAACAATGCATTCAGGATCTCTTGTGATGGCCACTCGAGTGTATGTCTTGGTACCCGTAGTCTTAATTCTTGGAATGCGCGAGTAGAACGAAAAATCCAAGCTGTCGACGTTGAGCTCAGAAACGATGTTCCGTCGGCTTTCGCCCTGAGTCAACATTCCGACAGTTTGGCGAAACAATGAACGATTTTCCGCAAGGCGATTTGAGGCAGTAGAGATCACAGCATCGAATAGCAAATTCGAGGCGCCTGCAGACCTCCAAAGTGACTGTTGTGGGTCTGAATATAGTGGGAAGAAGAGATTTGAGTCGCGCACGAGACTCAACGTGGATCGGATTTTATTGCAGATGAGTTCAAACTTGGTTTTGGTGGAGCGAATCGGTTGACCTAAGCTCAATGCATCGTCCTCGCTGAAGCCCCACGTCAAAATGTCTGTTTTGGGAAGCTCGTCGCGCATCTCCAGTAGCAGGCTAGAGGTGAATCCACCCCAACCTTTGTCAATTTCAGAGAGTAGATTGATGCCTTGCAAGCCATCGCAGGATTCTAGCTGCGGGTGCAACTTTTCGTCGAAGAAATCCGTGCTGTAATCGTTCTTGAATACGTGGTAGCCGACCTCGTAGCTACTGAAATACGTTTGATGCAAATTTTGAAAATCGGGCAGTGAGGGGTCCTCCACATTATGGTACCAATCCCTCAAAGAGTTCAAATTAGACGATTCAAACACCAACTTGCTGTAGTCTGACCAGTATCTCGTATTCGTATCGTCCAATTTGGGCAATGTACCATTTGAATCTATTGCCTTTTGATAGTCAGATTTGGGCACTCTACCATGGGTCTGGATAACCTGTACACCTTCTTGAGTAGCTTCATCTGGCTTTCGAGCGGGATCGAAGTAGTAGTCGTGGCTGCTTTCGTATTCGTGTGAGCCGAGAGATCCTGCTCCGCCTTTGGCATCCCATAAGAGCGCTCTTGGTGAGTACGATACTGTGTTGGAGATTTTATCCACAACTGGACTCAAGAATACCTCAGGTTCGTTCTGACCGTTGACATCATGAAGAAGTTCCTCTTGACAATTGTAGAATTGAGTAAGAACATGGTTCGTTCGATGCGAACCACTGATGCTGATGATTTCGCGCATTGCTCGCAAGAACCTGGTGGCAGAGGAACGTTCGAAGAACAGAGGAAGCAGTTGAAGAACATCATATTTTTCAAAACGTTCAATCACATGAAATGTAGTTTCGTTGTGTCAAAGATTCAACACGCGAATTAGAGATAAAGCTAGTCATAGGGCATGGCATAGTGTAGAAACTCGCTTGTGAGACACGTTAAGAACTGGAATTTTCTGGTGTTTTAAGGAGCTTTAACGATTCCATGAGATGATGGTCTTAATTCTGAAGATAAACGTTCTTTCTGGACGGTAAAGTCTTAAGTAAAGCAGTTTGATGCAAAATTTCGATATGAACTTCTTCTGGAATCTAGAGTCGAGAGGTTTATTTGAAGCGTGGTTTATAGATTGTCATGAGAGTTCGAAGAAGCGCTTGAATCAATGACAGGGGTCGTTTGGATTCGATGACTGTGCAATTTTGAAATGAATCTACATCAAGTGACTTCGATGGTGATGTTAAATTCATTTTTGTTGATGATTCAATGAATGTCGCTTGACAAAATAGCCGCCGAGATGATGGAAGAACGAGGTAAACAACAATCAAGGAGGGCGCAAACACGCGAAACGGCAATTGAAAGACGAGTATCATTTCCGCGCAACACCAATATTCAAGAAGCTTGAGAATTGTTGTGGAAAGGGTGTAAAGTGGAGGTGTAGCGAGTGAGGAGCGAGACTCTCAAAAAAAACGGCGATATTCTTGTAAAACGTTACTATGTAGGGGATAAGAAGTACTGAAAGACAGGTCAGAGTCGCACACGTATGAGTTCAGTAATTTGATCAGATTTCGCTAGCTGACCGCTATAGTGGTTACTGATTCCTTGATGACACCTGTCTATTCGCGGAGGTTCAAAAAGCTCATTCATTCTTTCGATATGACAGTTGTTTGCGAGCACGTACTTTGTCGACTGAAAAGCGAACACTCACTCAGCTCGTACTTGTGACGCTTAACGTTCGTCTGGTTTGTTCGGATCGTTGCAAAAGGAAGTTGATCTACCCCAAGTTTTTCTGTGATGAAGGTGGCGCCAGTAATCTCTCTCCTCCCGCCATTCTCACGATTCATGATACAAGAACTAAAAAGCCCGAACCAAGACGCGGATATCACTTCTAAAATTGCACTTTTAAGGAATTTCTGGTAATGTTTACGACAAATTGTGACATGAATGTTGAGTCACTGGCCAATTCCGAGCTGTCGCCTTTGAAACATTCATACGTCGCAGCAAATGCCTCTTTTATGATCGACCTCATCTCCAGAATAAAGAATTATCCCCACTGCAATCATCACCCAAAGCGACTACCATTTTGATCTCGCAACAGGATAGATTGGCGATGCACTTCGATGAATAATGGCGTCAGATTCTAAACTCCCATGAACATTGGATCAGCGCACAATCCTCTTCGTAATTTCCACTGCGACTTACAAAGGCTGAACAAGCTAGAAACTTATAAAAACAGCTGAACCCAGTTTTCAAGCGCATATCAACACACTGTCAATATTCATGGAACAGCTCCTGGTCAAACTATCAAAATCTCCCGTGAATGTCGCCATAGAGCCTATGCATTTGGTTTTAGGGTCTACTTACAAGAAAAACAAGCCAAGAAGCTCAGAAAAACTGCAAAAATTCCAGCAACTTCAAGACAACGATCTAACAGTCTCTCGAATTCACAAGTCGCGTCTATTCGCCAAACACTTCGTCCAAGCTATCTGGCACTCCTGTCTCTGATGTTTGATCATTTTTGACTAGTGTGTCATAGTCTTGCGGCCTTCATACCGATTCTTCCGTTTTAGAACCGAACTCCAGAGATCTCAAAATGAAGATCATCAGAAACTCCTTCTTAAAAGCGGTGGTCAAAAGGTATATAAAGGGCCTGTGTTGATGGACTGAAATCAAACTCATACTGCTCAATTGCCTATCCTCTAGTAGTGTAGTCAAGCTTTGAACCAAATATCGTTCACCACAGTCTTAAACTCTCTGTTTGTGACAACTACACACTTGACAAAATCCAAAAAAACTAAGAACTGCTATGCTAACTCCCCAAGAACTCAGACAGGCTCACTTCAAGGCTTTAGCAGGCTATGGCTTGATGGGTCTCACCTGGACTCCGAATCCTGCACGTAAAGAGAAGGCGTTCGCAGCAATTGACAAGGCGATCGAACTGAACGAAAAGCCCGTTTTGCTGAATGTGGGTGAGTTTTATGGACCTGATTGGGCAAACTTGCGTTTGGCTCGGGAATATTTTGCCAGTCGTCCTGGAGCTCGTGAAAAGGTAATTATCAGCTGCAAGGGTTGTATCGATTTTAAGACGTTCACTCCAAAGGGCGACCGCGCCGGTGTTATAGAATCGGTGGAAAATTGTGTCCGCGAGTTTGGTGGGCCAATTGACATTTTTGAGCCTGCAAGGCTTGACGTAAAATTGGCAGGCTCCAAGCCTTATCCAGAGGAGACATTTGACACCCTGGTTGAGTTAATTGGAAAAGGTCTAATTGGCGCCATCTCTTTGAGTGAGGTGAACGCAGAGCAAATTCGTGCCATCGACGATAAGTACCACGATTACATTACGTGTGTGGAGGTCGAGCTTTCGTTGTTCTCTCCTCACATCCTGTCTGACGGAGTTGCCGATGCATGCAACGAAAGAGGTCTACCAATCTTGTGTTATTCCCCACTTTGTCGCGGGTTCTTGACGGGCTCCGTCAGTGCAGCGCAAGAAATGCAGGACGGTGACTTCCGGAAGGGATTGAAAAAATTCTCGGGAGAAGCTTTCGAACACAACTTGCGTCTGCCCAAGTTCTTGCAAGAAGAAATCGTGAATAAACGACAGGACAATGCGACGCTTCCTCAGGTGGCTTTAGCATGGATTGTTTCGCTGAACGCCAAGTACCCCGGCACCAGGTTCATTCCTCTTCCAGGAGGATCGTCTGCTAGCCGCGTGGAGGAGAATTTTGCGTTTAAACAGCTCACGGAGCAGGAATTGGCAAAGATAAATGCATTTGTGAAGGAATTCGAGGTCATTGGTGACAGGTACGAACACGCTTAGTGGCAGAGACGCGGATGCGAGTCTGGCAGATGTCAGAAGAGTATAAAGTGATCTTGGCCAGGGCAATGCGGGACCGGCTCCTTCCCTTCGTTGGCGATGCATCCGTACGCCATTGCATTTCTGTAGAGACTTGGGCCGAAATAATATTATGGCTAAGATTTATACATTATTATGAAGTATTGAAAGTACAGTATGCCAGGGCCGTGGATCGAAAGTGAGCGTCTTCCTTGACTGTGTATTCTTCCCAGGTCTTTAATTTTGGATATTTTCCTGTCGTCTGTGTAGAAGCGCGGTAGCATCTCTAAAATCGCGTGTACTCGCAGAAGTACTCGCCGTTGAAGGTCCACGGTGATTTGAAAAAGATCGTTGAAATGAACAGCAGAAAGGGTGTGTCTCGAACAGACCCTCGATGATTGAGAATTGAGACCAAGCCAACGGTACTTGCGTGGATCTGCACTGGCACTGAACAGGCACCATCTTGTAATGTTATATCACTTTGTATTTATCTGACATGTTCTCCTTATCATTTTGTACGAAATTGATTTTTCCCGTGTAAAACGCTTCTGCTAACCCTCTGAAAGTCCATATTTTCATACACGTTGAGGTCCGTAAAAAGCATCTATTTCCGCCTACTCACACACAAACACAGAGTCGTTCGTCTGTCTTGTTTCGTCTTCTCCATCAGATGAGCGTGGGTTTACTAATTTTTCTCGTACCCAGTGACACATTATTCAAACGAAAAACCCACACCCCTTTCTTATACACCCATACACCACACCATACGTATCTTCCGCGTCTCTCTCGTGCGCTCTCTTCTAAGCAACATCACAAAAGGAGCCGCTCTCGGAGAACTAACTCCGAAACTACGGATGTGGCTTCCGCCACTTCCGGCGCCGGCCCGTTACGCTTAAAACCTGGAGACCGTCGCGAGGGACATAATTGCGCGTGTGCGTGTGGTCTTGTATGAACTGTACAGGGAATATATATATACATATATATATGTACAAGAGCTGGAGCTACATTTGAAGAACCCTTGATCTGACCTGAGCTGGGGTGTGTCAAATATATCGTGTTTGAAGCAGTTTGAGAGGCATTGATTGGTAAGAAACCATCGTTATTGTCTACAAGCCCTTAGCGTTCCGTCGAGCACTTTAATTCCTCCTGTAAGGCGAGAAAAGAAAAAAGCTTGGGAAATTTTTCGAAAGAAAAACGTGACCTCTATTTTCACGTGACTTTATTTACTCAATTTTCTAGGTGACTGTCTATTCGCTGTTGGAGAAAAACTTCTGGCTGATTGTTGAGTCAGTTTTCTAGTTGGTCTTCCGCTCGGTTTTCTATTCGGTTATCTACTCGATCATCCACTCGATCATCCACTCGATCATCCACTCGATCATCCACTCGATCATCCACTCGGTCTCGACCTCGACCTCGACCTCGATCTCATCTCATTTCATTTCATCTCATCTCATTTCATTTCATCTCATCTCATCTCGTCTCGTCCTCTAGCAAACAGCTCGGTCCCGCTCATCAAATGACCTCCGACAAAAACGACAGCTTCGACCAGCCCCCCACCGGCGAGCCCATCGACCCCCGCCAGCTCGATTGGGACGGACCGCTCGACCCAGACAACCCACACAATTGGCCCACCTGGCGCAAATGGTTCACTACCATGTCTGCAGCTCTGCTGTGTCTGGTCGTCACAATGGGCTCCTCGCTGTACGTCAACGGTGTTCCGCGTATGGTGTATGAATACGGCTACAGCCAAACGCTGGCGTTGGCAGGGCTCACGTTCTACCTACTCGGGCTGTCCACCGTGGTCGGTGCACCTCTGTCCGAGGTTTTTGGCCGTAAGATCATCTACATCACCTCGCTGCCGCTGTCAATGCTCTTCACAATGGGCGTAGCGCTGTCGGGCGGCAAAATGCGCGTAGTGTTGCCCGTGCGCTTTTTCTCCGGTGTTTTCGCATCGCCCGCGCTGTCAGTCGCTTCGGGCACCATCATGGACATTTGGGACATGGACGAAGTCTCCGTGGCCATGTCACTTTTCTGTCTGGCGCCCTTTCTTGGGCCCGTTATCAGCCCAATCATCGCAGGTTTCGCAACCGAAAAACAGGGCTGGAGATGGGCCACGTACATTCAGCTATTTGCTGGTGGTTTGATCATGCCCTTGCTGCTGCTAATGTCTGAGACCCACAAATCGGTCATTTTAATCAAACGTGCTCGCAAGCGGAAGCTCAATCTCATTGAGCCCTCAACGCAAGATAAAAAAGATTTTATGAAACTCACTCTGACCATTACCGTGTTCCGGCCCATAAAGATGCTGATTGTCGAGCCCACCGTGCTCTTTTTCTCGATCTACGTCGCGTTCATTTTCGCCGTGTTGTTTGCCTTCTTCGAGGCCTATCCTGTCATTTTCCGCGGCGTCTACGGTATGAGCATGGGCATTTCGGGCTTAGCGTTCGTGGGCATTGGCATTGGTCTGTGGATAGGCTCGTTATTCTACATTTTCTACGACCGCCGGTATTTCTTCCCAGCACCACCAGCAGGCACCCCACCTATGGTATCCACAACTTCCAAACGTACTGAACCTATCAGAGGTCACAGAGACCCGGCTACGGGCCACGTCATCCCACTCAAGCCCGAGAAATTGCTCGATATCTGCAAAATCGGGTCCATAGCGTTGCCAATCAGTTTGTTCTGGATCGGATGGACAGGACGTTCCAGTGTCCACTGGATGGCCCCCATGGCCGCAGGAGTTCCCTTTGGCTTTGGTCTGATTCTCATTTTCTTCAGCGTCATCATGTATTTCTCCAGTTGCTACCCACCATTGTTCGTAGCATCCGCATTGGCCGCCAACAATCTGCTGCGGTACGTTACCAGTTGTATTTTCCCATTGTTCACCATCCAGATGTATGAGAAGATGAAAATCAGTTGGGCCAGCTCACTTTTTGGCTTTATTTGCATTGCCATGATCCCTCTGCCTTGGATTTTTGCCAGATACGGCGAAACCATGCGTGAAAGATCCTCCTTTGGCTTCAACACTCTACAAAAAGAAGTCGACGACGACAAGTCTTATAATCCCGTTTCTACACATGAGGTCTCCACACTTCGAGATTCACAAGTGGCTCTGAATAAAGAGAGTAAAAGCACTGATCGTGATGGTCCCGAGCATGATGCGCATTCCTCTCACAGCCAAAACTCCACAACCGTGAATTCCAATACTTCGCAACCGGTCCTCAAAGGATCGTTTTTATAGATCAAGAGACACTTGTATACATACTTTTCAAGTATACCTACTTTTAAACCTTTCTAGTGCATTTTTCGTTAACGATAACTAGCAGCTCATCGAGACACATCTTGCCAAACTTTAACATATTTGACAAAATAAAGGAAAAGCTCGGTACGCCGCCTGAACGAAGTCAACTAAGCTCATCAATGAGCTCGATGCTCTCCACTTGCTGTGTGGTGATTTTGTCAATAGTGGTAATGGTTTTGAATAACAACAAGAGCATAAAAATGCGTTTGGCCAGTAAACTTCAACATTCATTATCGAAACTAAACCGACATGTTCCAATTTCAACAGATTTCAAGTTGGGCAATACGGAGCATTTTAAAACTGCGGTGGGACTAGCTGACGTTTATGATTCACTACTTCACTTGCAGGAATACCGAGTTAGAGCTCTCAACCAAAATGCAGCGCTATACCACTTGTCCAAGACTCTCGATCCAACACAAATTGAGCAATTACGAGCTTTACAGTACTACGAAAAACTCGAGCAAGTCAACGATGCGGTTGGAGACAATAGCAAGACAGCCCAGTTGATCGTGGAAAACTCGCTGAACAAATTGCTGCTCAACAATCGTCTCGACGACGAAAATGGTAAAGAGGCGCTCTCAGTTTTCACCGGTTTGGGCTACGAAAGAGACGGTGAGTCTGCTTTAAAGCGTATTCCAGTACACAAGCTCACGCTGGCCCCAAACTCCAATCAGCAGCGTGTCAACGAGGCCATTTCGCATATGTGTAGAGACTGGCATCACAGCTTCGAAGCTGAACGCAAACCGCTGGTTGATTTTATGGTTTCAAGAGTTAAAGGTCTTAATCTCAAGGGTAATACTTTGCTTGTGGTTCCCGGTTCCGGTGCTGGTCGTCTTGCCTACGAAATCGCCCGCGCTTTCCCAAAATGCGACGTTCACTCAGTCGAGCTATCCACGCTGATGTATCTTTGCAACGAATTTGCATTAGACCACAGTGGAACAATTCGTATTGCGCCGTTTGCACAGCATTTCTCGGGCCAGCTCACCACACGACAACAGGTCGGCGGTCTTGACATTGATTTGGCACAATCTGAGAGGCCTTCAAACCTAAAGGTGCATTTGGGAAATTTCTGTGAATTTCAGCCCTGTGCAAGCTACGATAATATTGTGGTTCTATCAGCGTATTTCATCGACACTGCAGAAGATCTTTTCGACTACTTCGAGGCAATTGAAGCGTTGAAAACTTCGTGTTCTAAACTTCATTGGGTGAACATAGGTCCTCTAAAATACGGAACGCGGCCAAAAGTTCAATTTACTGTCGAGGAACTCACAAAGTTGCGGAGTATTAGAAAGTGGAAAGATCTCTACCATGATGCTAATACAGACAAGCTATGTGGCTACCTCACCAATAAAGACTCCCTCTACCAAGGATTTTACGGACTAGTAAGGTTTCATTCGCAATACACAGGAGAATGAATAATTTACAGATGATAAAGCTAGTATATGTATACTATTTCTTGAAAATGTCGTCTCCTTTATTAATTTGGATTTTCTTGTCTTGACCACCACTAATGATGCCTAGACCCTTGGCCCATTTGACATCAAAGACTTTATCATTGACGCCCTTGACGACTTCGGCTTCTCTGGTGATAGTGTACATTGGTGAGCTGGAACGAACATCCCAGACTCTCACGGTCCCGTCATGAGAACCGGAGCACAGTAGGTATTCATTTTCCGGGCATGTATCTAGAGCCACCACAAAGTTTCTATGACCGTTGAGCTGCTGCTGAGTGATCTTGGCAGAGGACCCAACACGAGGATCATGTAGAGTGATATGTCTAGCACTTGACCCGCATGCTAATAGATTCAGCTGAGGAAGTTGTGCCAGAGATAAAAGTGAATAGGACGTAATTTTTGTATCGATGCAACGAGCCGTGACCAGGTCCCAGGTCTTAATCGAGTGATCTTGAGACACCGAGTACCCAACAGTGTTGTCGTGAGCATCAAAGCGAACGGCTTCCACAGGAGCAGTGTGAGATTCTAGAAGCGCTAGTGGGGATCGTCTTCTGACAGAACCGTCCTTTAATGCCAGTCTTCTTCTCTTTTTGGCGGCAGACGACACTGAGGAGCCTAAGGCGTCCATAGGATCCACTGAAGTCATTTCCTTGTGGTTAGTGGACCAGAATGCAATGGAGTGGTCGTAGGAGCCAGACAAAATGCGATCGGCACTGACATCTAAGGTCACAACTGGCGCCTTGTGTGCCTCCAAGATGGCCAAAGTCTTTCCTTCTTCCACATCGTCTTCATCGGCGTCCAAATTGTTCTTCAGGTCGTCATTTTTCGTTTTCCAAAGACGTAAAGTCCGGTCGTTGGCTCCTGACACGAGTCTGGTTCCAGAGATGTATCTGACGGCGCGAATGGCACCGCTGTGGCCTGCGTATTGTTTTTCTATTTTACCCGAAAGACTCCAAGTGCGCACTATACCGTCATAAGAGCCACTCACGATTCTTGAGTTGCCCACATCCAACGCACTAACCCAGTCGTCGTTGTTGAAACTTTTCAGGTACGAAGGAGGAAGCACAGCTCGGGTATATTCCACGTTGAGCAGCGTTTCTGACGACAGACCCTTCTTGGTCAAGTACGCATCGAGAGAGCTACGCAAAAGCTCGCCGTCGATCAAGAAGTCAAACGGAACTGGCGATTCTGGCTTTAGCAGGTGGTTGACGATCTCGGAAAGACCATATCTTTTAAGCGTCACAGGCGCAAAAAGCGTCGCATCTTCGAGCTTCAAACTTTCATCTTGCTCTCTAGTGAAGAATCTTACCTTTACCTGTGCTTCTTCAGCCATTACTGCTTGTGATTGGAGGCGAGTTCGTTGTTTTTAGCGATGCGATGAGCTTCAAGCGATGCGATGAGCTCTTCAAAATTTTTCAATATTTGATTAAGCTAGCTCTAGTACGTGAAAAAACTCAATGAGGCCAAGAAAGTCAGTAAATCAGCCAGATACAAGAAATAAGACACCACACAGAGCGCTCAGCTCTATTTTTAACAATGAATACAATATCCTGGACTTGGTTTAGTTGGTTTGGACAAGTTTGGTGCAATTTTGGTGCGATTCTATAGACTTTCGAGGTCACCGAACAACAATGTCCAACACAATCCTGAGACGTCTACGCTCAATGCCTACAGTTGAGGCTGCCCCTTGGTAAACTCTACGTTTTCAGATACAAACAATAAATAAGGCTTTTGGAGTGTCTCGCTTGCGCAGTTACCGACCGAACCCAGTAAAAAAACTAAATCGATTCGGACAGTATGAGGACGCTGGCGATTTTCGGTCTAGCCGTTCTTTTCCCCTCTGATCATCTACGGATACTGAGATGGCACAGTGAATAGAAGGCTATAAAAATTTCGTATCACTGAGCGAAGACAACAACAAAATAGTTGATATAAAGTGGTAGAAACGATATAGGATTTTCCAATTTATACCTGGATGCTAAGCTGGGTAACAAACAAAATTGGACGACGACAGTAAATGATTGTATTTAGGGCAAACAATATCTAACCAATATCGCGAATTTGGTGATATTTGCATCACCGCCAATTGCCAAGGGTGACTTATGTGTGTATTGCGAGTGAGCTAGTATTTTGGGCAATTGCTAGTTCACATTCGTTGAAGTTGCGAGTTGGAAAATCGTTTTAAAATAGTTCAAAAATTAATGAGAGCTACGGGATTCGAACCCGCGCATCCGAAGATATCAGAGAATTTGACTTATTAATGAAGTTAAGCCTAAATCTGACGCCTTAACCACTCGGCCAAACTCTCGTATTGTTGAAAAATGAAATATCGCGTACGCTCATGTCGGAATAGAAGGACCAAATGATCTCATGACAGATGGAAAGTTGAGGATGAATCTTGGAATAGCACTTGTCGATAAGTACGTGATGAGGTAGAGTTGGGTTTACTCTGTTGTGGGTTTTTGAGTGATGATTCCTTGAGCGTTTTATTCAAAGTTGGTTCTAGCTGTATGCAACGTACCAAAGTGTATTTTTCCGTGCTATTTATGCGTTTTGTAAGTTGGCAAGAGCAGAGAAAAGTGTGCGCTTGGTGGCCCCCAACACTGGGTACTTGGTTATTAATCAGGATATTTGGGCAGAGCTTTATTTGGGCAGAGCTTTATTTGGGCAGAGCTTTATTTGGGCCTGCTGATGTAATTATCCTCGGTCAAGACGACGGTTGTCAGTCGGGAACAAAGTGATATTATCAATGACACTGGACTCTACAGAATGCCGGCGGAGCGAGAGATGTCGTTTCCTTTATGGCTTCTGACCACCATGTGTGATCCTGATGTTGGGCAACAACTCACCAATTTCATGTTTGTGTTGACCAAAATGTTTTTGAGTTTTCTGAGTGGGTGATATCAGATTTGTTAGCATCTGGTACTCTTGAAGTAAAACAATGAAAGCCACAAAGGAGAATTTAAAATACAAAGTAAAGTGGTATGGAAATAGGATCATAGAAACTGTCAGTTGAGACTCTCAAAATTATGAGACGAGGAACTTTGGTTATGGCAGCTGGATATGGTCAGCTTGGGAAGTGCGAGCACTATCTACGAGCCCAGCACTCCGCAAGCTGTAAAGATGTGACGATTCAAATATTGAGTATGAAGAAGGGTGAGTTCGAGAGAAGCTTTTCCAATTGCAGTCACCAGTGATTACTTGTTACAAACTCTGCATTAGTAGCTCTCCTAGTACCAGGGCCAGAGTGAACTACTCAAAATCCAAACCGTATCAAGTTACCTGAGTCACCGTAACAGCATTTGCACAGTAGTGCTTGTGAAACCGGGTACTAAGAGCCTTGAGATTCGCAAATCAATGGCGTGAGAATATTGCGAGCGCTGTATGTCGATTGGTGACGCTCAATTGGAACGCTTGTGCTTGTAGCGCATGGCTGACGCTCTGCCACGTGACCCTTACACTTGGGAACTTCTTACGTGATCACAAGTCCGATTGCTTAACGTCCTGAGTTCTCCAGCACACAACGCATTGTTCAATTGTGCTTTTAGCCCTTTCAGATGTGAACAATTGGTAGCCGACGCCCTTAACTAGTCAATAGTGCTTCAAATTTGATAGGGATCTTAATTGTGCAAGCCCTCCTACGTATTCACAATGGATAGCTGACGTTCTCAGTTCAGAGGTGCCTGTGGCCCTCATAGTTTCACGATTGCAGACGCTCTTGATTGTTCAGTTCTTGTGGCCCTCATACTTATACACAATTGAACGCTGACGCCCTCGATTGCTCAGTACCAAGAATTCTTTAGTGGTTCAAAATAGATCGTTGACGCTTGATTTCATACACGTCCTCGTGCTCAATGAATCGATCGCCAACACTCTTAATTGTTCAGTAGTGATTAAGGCCTGAGAATATTCACAAGTGATCGCTGACGCTCTAAACTGTTCAATAGTGCCTATGGCCCTCATAGTTATTCACCATTGATAGCTGAGGCTTGTTCAGTATTGTTTAGAGCCCTGTTTATGTTCAACGCCATCAAAGTTATTCACAATTATGAGCGTCAGCAGCGTTTCAAGAATTCTTTAAAATTTCATAATTGAGTGCTCACGGTCTTAGTGTTTAAGGGTATAAGAGGGCTCTACCGTTTACCATTGATCGCTGGGGCCCTCAATACTGACGCTCATAGTTGAACGATCGAGAGCGTCAGTGATCAATTGTGCATAAACTGGAGATTCGAAGCACAATCGAACAATTGAGAGCTCTTAGGACTTATTAAAGAGCGTCAGCGGTGCTCGGGACTTTCTAGTTCGATAGTGTTCCGAACTCTCTCTACATTCACAATTGATCACTGACGCTTCCAATTCATTCCTAGTGCTTGTAGCTGTCCTAGTCATCCACTATTGGCAGCTAACACTCTCAATTGTTCAGTAGTGTTTGGAAATTGTCTTACGTAATCACTAAAGTTGATTGCCAACACTCCCAACCAGGAGACGATACTACAGTTTACAATGTCTTTAAAATACAAAGAGCTCTCTGCAAAACTACGACTGCGTCCATTTATTCAAGACAGGTCGTCAATTTTCAACCATTTATTGTCCAGTTGTACTGAACCTCATGCTTGTGCTGTGCTTGCAGCCTGTACGTCTTCACAATTGATTGCCGATGCTTGTCGCACTCGCTGATGCTCTCGAATTGTCTAGTAAGCCCCGCTGACGCTGTCAATTGTTCTGTAGTGCTTAAAAGCCGTCTTACATAATCAGTGCCTGTGGCCATAATAACGTGAGCCCTCTCTTTATTCACAATTGAGGGTGCCAATTAATCAGAGGTGGTATTCGCACCCTTCACAGACGCTCTCAGTACTTCTGGCCATTTAACTATTCACAGTTCATCGCTCACGCTCTCAATCCTTCAGTAGTGCATATAGCCATCCTCGCGCTCTCAGTTGTTCAACTGTACTACGAGCTCTCTAGTATGTACAATGGTACTCGTGAGTACTCGTGAGTACTCGTGAGTACTTGTTTTCTCAAATAAAACTACCAGGCCTTCGCTCGTTCAAAATTGATCGCTATCGCTCTCAATTGATAAGTAATTCCAATAGTTTTCTACATTCATTGATCGCTGGCGATCGCTGGCGCTCTGAATTGTTCAGTGGTACAAATCTGTACGTATTCACAGTCGATCGCTAACGCTCTAAATTGTATAGTGTTTCGGATCCTCTACTTACTCACAATCAAAACTGACGCTCTCAATTGCTCAATAGTGCTTGTAGTGCTCTGTTTATTCACAATCGATCGCTAAAGCTCTCAATTGTTCAACCGCGCGTGCCTTGTGCTACACTTTTCTCGCGTACTGTATGTACCGTTGGAAAACCGAAAATGCACGGTACATTACCGATACATTTATGCATGGAAACACGACGATCTCACGACAATCTCACGACAATCTCACGGCGATCGTGATGCGAGACTAAAGCCTACAGAAATGAATGTTCGTATCTTGATTGGTGAGATGGCTACATATGACGAAACGGGAAGAGAGCAGAAGAGCAAGCACACCACTGCCGGTGCCTTGCCTAGGACGAGGCTGGACTGGATTGCGAGTGCGAAACGGGCGATTTGCCATGGATCTTCTTGTGTCGTATCAAATTACTCTTGACGTTGAACCGTTTCCCGCAGTTTTCCACATCGCACACGTACGGCTGATGGCCCGTGTGGATCAGCGAATGGGTGCTCAAAGCTGAGGGTCGCGAAAAGGTCTTGCCACACACGCGACACTCGTGGTTGGTGGCACTCAAGGGACGATGTGGAGGCGACGGTTTTCGCACCGCGGGCGTGAGTCCTGGGTGTCCTGTGTGTGTAGCGTGTGCTGGTGCTGGTGCTGGTGCTGGTGCTGGTGCTGTGTAGACAGTAGTAGGAGAAGACCAGTAGTGGGGGTCGTTTCGCACGAGGGCCGGGGCGCGGATCTCAGGTTTCTTAATGTCTCGCAGGATCTCGGCCAGCGAGCGCGCTCCGGGGAGTCCCGGCCCCGAGATCGGTCTTGCACGTGGTTCCGAGATCGGACCCGAAATGGAACCCGAACCGAAACCCGAACCGAAACCCGATCCCAAACGCAAATCCAAACCCAAACCCGAACCCGAACTCGGTGTCTGGACGATTTCTTCCACGCCTCGCTCCTCAACAGCTCTGCAACTCTCTTCCCTGGCGCTGATGTGGCTAAAGTCTGGTATATTCACAACTAGGCTCAAACCCGCTGGCCCAATGTGAACATGCAATCGCAGACTGTCTAGTGGAACTAGTAGAAATTAGTAGACTCGATGGCTACGGCTCCGGAGCCAGTGTAGGGTATACTCATGTATACGCCATTATAGGAGAGATAGGTAGGTAGAGGGTTTTCTTGACTCCAAACAGACAAACACGTCTATATATACAAAGACACACACATACACACACACACACACACTCTCTCTCTCTCTCTCTCTCTCTCTCTCTCTCTTTCTCCACCGCTTACCGCTCCGGCGTGTATGCACAGTAATACTTCATACGTGCAAGATCCTTGTCCACCAACCGCACAGTCAGACGAAATGCATGCTTCTGCGCTTTTCTGCGCGTGTCAGTTCAGCTCAGTCCAGTCCAGTCCAGTCCAGTCCAGTAGTTCAGTCCGGTAGTTCAGTTCGTCTGCCATGTGCCGTTCTTCTGCACACCATAGATGTCTCATGTATCGAATAGCAGGAAATGTGGTCCTCAGAGGCCTGCACGCCCACAGACCTTCAAAAAAGGCATCAGGAATTTCGATTTCGCTGCTTGCTGTTTTTTTTCGCTTGCAATCGTCGTATTGATAGGCAAATGGGTTCGTGTCTTCTTGGCATACTCCTACGGCTCACGCACGACTCGCCCGAGAAGTGTGTTTGGTTTATTTTTATCATATCGCAACCGTCGATCGATCCGTTGGTTGGCTCCAAAATACTTGTCAGTGATCGCCGGTCTTGGGCCGAAAACAGCCGTGCAGCGGTGGGCCTTTTTTTTTCGGGCTCTCTGAATCGTATCATATCGTAACGCGATGCGATGCGATGCGATGCGATGCGATGCGATGCGATGCGATGCGAAACTAAACGAAACGAAACGAAACGAAACGCAACGTAACGCAACGTAACGCAACTACGGCCCTCACGCGGTGCCTAGCGCTTGCTTCCGGTCGCAGTAGGAAGTCGCACACATAGACGTAGTAGATCGTGTGCCTCAACCACCTATTATTTCCATTCCTCACCCAATTGTGAGCGCCATGTTTGTATCACAACACGTTTAGGGCAAACACGACGGTTGCGTAGGGCTTGGGATCGAAAACTCGAAAAATGGCGAAATTCTCCAAGGACGGAAAAAAGCTGGGATATTGCCGTGCCACGCCACTACGTTCTTTCGTTCGAATTGCGTCTTGCCTTCACCCTGCTGTGATAAGCTGTCATTGCAAATCCTGTATTTTTTCACTGCAAATTAACATAGACGGTTCAGTTCTGTCTGCCACTTCACTTCAAGATAGGCCCCGTAAGCGAAAATGAACGGGTACCCTGCGATAAGCAGGCGAGACGCGCGCAGAGAACAAGTCATAAATGTAGCAATCTCCGGCAGATCTTCAAACAACGTAGCCGTAGGCCAGGGCCGTGAGCCGTGTGCCATAAACACCATGGCTAAACGATCGACGGATGGCAGAAGACGGACGGAAAAAGCGACGAGTGCAGTGCAGTAAAGTGTGGTGACAGCGAAGGTCATTGCAGTTTGTTGCAGTGAACGTTGCGAGAGTCTGTCGTTTTGCACTAATGTGTCATTTGGGCTCGTGATGAGGTCTACTCATCTCTCTCTCTCTCTCTCTCTTTCAAATCACATTACGCTATGCTACACGATATACATATCTGTTTCCCATTATGCAGAATCCCTCAAGAGTAGGTCTCGATCAAGGTGTCACGCAGGTTGCCAGAGATCGAATCTGGCTGGGCATCCTGCAGACGGAAAATACTCTCGATAACACTGAGCTCTGGAGCAGTGGTGTCCAGACCGGTCACGGCCAAGTAGTCGTTCACCACCATGCCCGCGCCCACGACCGCAGAACCGCGATTCACGGTTCCGGCCACCAACGGCACTTGCAGCAGCGACGAAAGTTCTTCTTGGTCCTGGACCGTGGTTTGTGGGTGCACCAGACCACCTTGGTTGCTGAGCGAACAGTACGAGCCCACCAGCACGTTTCCCGATATGGTCTGACGGAAAACCTCCACGCCCAAAACATCGGCAATCAGCTCCTCCGTTTCACGGTCGATGTCGGGATGCACAAGAGCCACGTAGTCGTTACAACAGATCACGTTGCCCAGCGCCGATAGACGCTCTTCCACTCTCTGGATCTTCACGCTGTCCGGCAAACTGTTTCTTAGATGATGTAGCTCCTGGTCCGTGGTCTGTGTGGGCACTAGCAAGCCTCTACGGTTGCCTGCACACATTCTACCCACAATACGGGTACCAGCGATGGTAGTGTGCACGATAGGGATGGCATCGCCAAGCTCGGCCTCGAACGCCGAGTAAAAGTTCTCAGAGCCTCCCACGGTAACCAAACAGTACGAGTTGGTCAGTTTGGAAAAAACACCCACCTCGTTCGAGTTTTCAAACTGGGTTCTAGTCGCCATTTTTATTGCAGCAGATGGATATAAATCGTCTAACTTGGTAAATGAGTCCAACAAAATCGGTTTTGACAATAGAGAAATTCCAAGTTTCTCTGCTACGGATTCTGGTCTTCACGAACTGATTTCTGGATCAGTAACGATGCTATAACGCTGTTCTTTTATAGCTCAGGATCTCTTGGGATAGGTGATGAGCTTGCTATCCTGGAAAATTTTTTAGAACTGGGTATAACCATCTCGTCTCAAGTGACGATTCTGGGTTTATCATACTATAGCGAATAACGCCTTGTATTCATCGGCCGAGCGAGCCGATTTCATGGTCGTATCTCTCCAGGGTAATACGGAATGCGGTAGCTGGACTTGAAAGTATTATGGCTTCGTAGACTCGTAAAATGGTTAAATTGGTTTTTTTGGTCCTTCTTCGCTCCTCGCTGACTTCACTTCTCGGCTTGTTTGACACTTCTTAGACTGAGCATGTTCAACGTCAGCGTTTCGTCGCTGTTTTTGCTGCTTCGTACCTCACAGACCACGCCCAATGGACCACGATCGCAATCGGCACATATTAGGTATTTCTGTAATTTACTCAACACGTAGGAATTTCCTCGCCACGTAAACATCACCTTTTCAGCGTCCCGTTTATCAAAAATGTCAACCGAGCCCTCTGAAATAGCCCTGGAAACGCCAATGTTGTCGAAATCCCAGATATCCTCGAACACCGTGAAAAGCCCGTCTGACGTCGCATGTTTTGAAGGAAGCATCAATCTCAGTTTCTCCGAGATCCCCGTGGGTAAAGAAGCTTCACGGCTTTCATCCAACTCAACAATGGCACAGTTACACTCTGGAAACGGGCATCTGAGTCTCACCATGTCGATTAGAAACGCAGCTTGTAGTGTTCGTTATTACCGTTTAGAAGGTGAATATTTAATATAAATAATAAACAGTGTTTTTTGGATGATCCCATATCACGTGACCGAGCTGGGAAATGTGTCACCAAAACGCTTAAAGACGTCCGGTAACTACCACGTACATTCGAGCTAGCTTCAATTTGGAAGCAGCGCGGTTTTAAGTGTGCTCATGATATCAAGCGTTGTTTTCTGTCTGTTTTCCGAAATTTCTACTGTTTCTCAGACATACTGTAGAAATTAGCTGATTCCTCATGAGCGAGTCGACATTTGCGAGAGACACACAGGAAGCTTTACTCTTCATGAACAAATTAGACGAGATTGTAACAATAGAAGCGTCTGCGTACAATGGTGCTGGTTCCTAAGAATAAATTTCTTTGTGCTCCAGATATTTTTATTTTCGTGACGCCCTCACGACTTCCTTGCAGTGAAGATTCTTGAACCTGGCAAAGCCATTTGTTGCGCTGTATTAGACTTTATGAATATCTAGAGCTCTACAACGCTCACCCAGACTTCACCATCTCTCTTCCTTTACGCTTGTTGTTACCTTTTTTTACGAAGTGATCCTCGAGACACTGAAAACTGGCGCCAGCTTTGTGTCAGTAAATTAAAACAGTGACGACAGGATTTCGACACCTATATAACAGGTCGGTTGAACTCCGGTAGCGCACTCACAAATAAGTTTGTATGCGATCTGTAGCTGCCGAAAAGGTTCAATCTGGATTACATGAATTTTTCGGGCGATCAAGACAGCGAATACAGCCATCTCTCGATTGGCGTCCAGCAGCTTTCGCTGCGACAGATTAATCCAAATCATGGATACAATACCAAGAAACCGCATTCTCGCAGCAAAAAGCACGGGAAAAGTAGCGAGGCAGCTCACCCCATTGAAACACCTCTCGACCGCATCAAACTCAAGACGGATTCCGATGCACATTTGGCAGTTTTGAAAAATGAAAACTATCACTTGAAGCTGGAACTTACACAACAACGGCAGGAGGTGGATAATTTGCTGAAGCGCTTGAAAACATCTGAAGCCAGCGTTGAAATTGATGCACCTCAATGGCCTGTTTCTAACTCAAAAACATCCGTTCTGGTGTCCCCCAATGAAATAAATGACGAAAATGACTCTCCTACGAGATCACACCATCCTTCTCTTTCAGAATATGACATCGTCACACACTTCTCCGGCTCCCCTTACAAGGGAGAGCTGATTTCATCACCGCAAGACATCGCGTCGCGAGCGAGTTCGTCGATCACTCATCTTCGCCGAAACAGTAGGTTCTTTAAGAACTCAGTGATACCATTCTTGCAGAAAACTCTCGACACTTTTCAGCACAGTGAGGTATTCAATGAAGATGCTCACGTCTTGCGCAGAAACTTAGATGCTTTCAAAGCACACTCATCGACCGATAAAGATGCAAAAGTCCAGTTGATGATTAATATTCTGGATGGTATAAACCATTTACAACAACAGTGCATCGCAGTATTGAACCGGGAACTAGAAAACAAACACATCTCTCATCGGCTTGAATATTTGTTTACTGTTTTCTTAGATCCCGAACAGTATGGACTGGTCCGCAAAGACTATAGCGACACATTGAAGAAAGAGTTGCTTGATTTAATGTTGGATCTTCTTGCATCCAAGGGCGAAAGTGCAAGTCCAAAAAATCAAAAGACGCAATTGAAGCAGACTGGTAAGCGGGATATTTCTATGGTAGGCCACACCAAATCAACGACAGGATCGAAAATTGATATTAAAAGCCAGATTGAGAAGGTTCCAGCTTTACCACCTACTCCAAAGCTGGCTAAAAGAGGAAGCGTCAAGCCAAAAAAAGCTCTGGCGTCAAGTCCACGCGGCCCCCAGTCAAGGTCGCTATCATCTGCAGTTTTACCCTCACTGCCGCAAGCCAAACATGACAATGTCCAGGAAAGGCTCTTGGAAATGCGTCAGGCTCACAAATTCAAGGGCTCGAGTACTCAGACCACCAACAGCCAGTGGGAATTTATACCGATTGGATATGACGAGAGTATGTTGCTGAGACAAACTCCGGACCGACGTCTAAGATTAAATCAAAAGCGCAATGAGATTTTGCAGAGGACCCCGCTGGCTATGACATTCAAGGACGAAGGGGAGGCAGAAGCGGATTTTGATCCTCTTCAGGCATATTTTACCGAGTTTTCTGGTGACACATTGGATCAGGACGAATCCACTGCAGAGGGTCACCAGTTGACAAAACAACGAGTGTGAAAAAGCGTATTGTTTCGAAAGAATACACATTCTGAGCTCTTATCGTCTTATATCCATGATTGGAAAACAGAAGACACAGTCTTTTTCAGCGCTAAGTCGTTGTGTCTGTCTCTACACATTTGCATACACAATTATATAAAAATGTTTAGGTGAAGTGATGAAAAGCATACACTCGAAGAACTCTGGCTTCAACTTGGGAATTGACTACCAATAATTATCAATCCTGATAATCAAAGACCCATGAGAACGGTAACCTGAGTTCATTGATGCCGCTTTATATATTCCAAGGTTGTAGGAACGCAAATATCCTGGCGCGTGAAAAAAGTTGAATAAATTAAAGGAAGAAGTCTCGAGAAGTGATCTGCTTAACGGGAAAGCTCACCATCAAACGTGCATGGTTCTGATCTTGAATGATGGAGTCATCTTCACTTGCGACAGATCTAGTTGATGGGGATTCAAAAGAGCCTCCTATGGCCGAGAACGGACCACTAGAAGACACACAACAGAGCATCGATCAGCAGGAACCAGGTTCTTTATCAGGAGTTCCCGTTGCCTCTCTCGAAGGTGGAGCTGAAAAGTCACAATCTCCAGGATTGAAAGAGAGTAGTGAAGCTAAGGCTGCACGTCAACAATTGAAAGAAGAGCAACGACTCCAGAAAGAGCTCAAGAAAGAACAAGACAAACGCGAGCGCGAGCTAAAGCGCGAAAGAGAGAGACAAGAAAAAGAGCTAAAGCGACTCGAGGACAAGGAACGGAAGGAGAATGAGAAGAAAGAGCGAGAACTGAAGAGAATTGAGGAAAAACGGAGCCGGGAGCTCAAGAGAGAGCAGGAGAAGCGAGAACGCGAACTACGGAAAGAGGAAGAAAAACGCAAGAAGCTGGAGGAAAAAGCCAAGCGTGAAGAAGATAAAAAGCAGAAAGAGGAGACCCAAGACAAAAGTCAAACGAAAATTGCCAGTTTTTTTAAAAAGTCAAACTCTTCCAAAAACGTCGTAGCCACGAAGACCGATTTTGAAAAATGGTTTTTACCCTTCTACGTTAAAGATGGCATTATTATGGGCCACAGCTTTAAACTTTCTCCCGATTCATTGAAAATCTCAATCTCGCAAATAGACGCCCAACTTAAGCTTGACGGCTTTCCTGACCAAAGCAAGGAATGGCTCCAGTCCCAGAGACCCGCGAAAACTGAAGTATTAGCGAACACGGCTGTGGAACTTGTTCAGCTGATGACGAGTAAGAACAAGAGCAATCAGGAACTGGATCAAAGGCTGCGACAAGTTCCACAACGGTTTATCAAATTTTACGAGAATGTGCGGCCGCCCTACATCGGAACATACTCAAAATGCTTAGAACTCCCCCGTGACAATCCCTTCGCAACCGAAGGCACTGGTTTCGATTACGGCTACGATTCTGATTGGGATTGGGTGAACGAGGAGGAAGAAGATGGCGGCGATGTGGAAGATTTGGAAGATGGAGAGGATGAAGATGAGGACGAAGACCTGGACGACGGCACCGAGGACGAATTCGATGGGTTTCTGGACCGAGAAGGCTCGCAAGGCCCGCAGGACGGCAAAAAATTTCTGGGTCCCTTGATTCCCATTGTCAAGCTGCGATCTAAAATTGGCCAACTAGATGCTGAGGACCAACAGTACTTCCAAATGGTCAGCGTTCAATATCTTATTCCGGAAGAACCTTTCCCAATAATTCTCAACCATACACCTCGCACGGCGGCTGTTACCAAGAAAAGACTATTGGACTTTGACGCTAAAATTGACGAGAGCACAGGTACCATGGATTCCCAAAGTCTGGATGACACCACTAAGACGTCAAATCAGACGTCACAAACCAGTCTAAAAAAACCAAAGACAATAATATCAGACCCGCAAACACTCCTCAAAATTCTCGCAGAGGTTCACGAGAGCACCTTCTCCTTGGGCACAATCACAGAAATTCTCCAGAAGAAGCTTCCGAACCATACTAAAGTTGCCATTCGTGACACTATAAAAGAACATACAACTCGGCCCTCAGTGAAGGCAGGAAGCTCGCGCAAGTGGCTGGTTAAAAACCCTGAATTTTGGGATTCGTTAAAGAAAAAGTGAAGAATTGAACACTCTACTGAGGAGCTAAAGGGCTCAGGCCTGCTCAACTTTACTTACTCTGTTTTCTGGAGTGCCCATCGAAAGTCAAGTGTTACCCGCCTTTTGGGCTATAACGTCAGATCTGAAAATCCATACAAAATATGATGCTCGAAAGACACCACACAGCTTGATATTCTTGATACAATTGACAAGACAGCAAACCAGATGTCAGATAATCGCAGCTCACCCGTTAGAGATGCTGGCTCATCGCCAATGGCAGCGCCGCCATCATCCTTTGGCGGGTCCTCGCCACCATTGTTTTACAATCCCTCTTCGTCGTCACAGCCCGATACTTACGAAAGCCAGCAGAGACAGCGTACTGTGGGTTCTTCACCTTTTCGTGACAGGGGTGTGTCTGGAGGCCGTGTTGGGTTTTCTTCTGATACCTTTGGCTCGCGACGGGGCTCTCAGAGACGTGGCGGTCCCAGCTCTGGTCGATTCACAGACCAATCGAGCGAAATAGACATGCTTTCTTCGTCACTGTCAGGCCGGGTTTCGCAGCGTGCTTCCCAGCGAAGAAGCGATCTGCACGCGTCCGATCTTTCTTCACCACGTAGAATGGTCGATCTGGACTCGCAGCCCCTACCAAACTCATCATCAGATCCGGCTTCCGAGGCAGTAGAGCCGTTGCGCATCATTTGGGGGACGAACGTGAGTATACAGGAATGTGCCACGAACTTTCGTAACTTTCTGATGTCTTTCAAGTATAAATTCCGTAAAACGCTGGACGAGAACGAGGATTTTATCGATGAAGCTGAGGATGAAGAACTGTACTATGTCAAGCGTCTAAGCCAGATGCGAGAAATGGGTACACTCAACTTGAATCTTGATGCAAGAAATCTGCTGAGTTTCAAGTCCACTGAGAAGCTTTACTATCAGTTGATGAGCTACCCTCAAGAAATAGTATCCATCATGGATCAAACTATCAAAGATTGTATGGTGTCTTTAGTGATAGACAACAATCTGGACTCCAGTCTGGACGAAGTGGAATCGAAATTCTACAAAGTCAGACCGTTTAATATCGAAAGTAAGAAAGGAATGCGAGAACTGAATCCTAATGACATCGACAAGCTGATCAGCGTCAAGGGCTTGGTTCTCAGATCAACGCCCATTATTCCAGACATGAAGGTTGCTTTCTTCAAGTGTAATATATGTGACCACACGGTGGTTGTTGAAATTGACCGAGGGGTCATTCAGGAGCCTGCAAGATGTCCGCGAGTAGCTTGTAATCAACCAAACTCGATGTCCCTGGTGCACAATCGTTGTTCATTCGCTGACAAGCAGGTTATTAAATTGCAAGAGACGCCAGACACAGTACCCGATGGACAAACACCGCATTCGGTGTCCCTGTGTGTGTATGACGAATTGGTCGATTCTTGCCGCGCCGGTGACAGGGTGGAAGTGACAGGTATCTTCCGCTCTATCCCTATAAGGGCAAATTCGAGACAACGTGCATTAAAATCCCTATACAAAACATACCTTGACATAGTGCATGTCAAGAAAGTGACTCGAGACAGATTAGGAGCCGACACATCTACTGTGGAGCAAGAATTACTACAGAATGAGCTTAATCACTCTGATATTAGGGAGGTGCCGCAAATAACAGACGAACAGATTCGCCGTATTCATGCCGTGGCTGAGAGAGATGATGTATATGAGGTCTTGGCTCGTTCACTTGCACCAAGCATTTACGAGTTAGACGACGTCAAGAAGGGAATTTTATTGCAATTGTTTGGGGGTACGAACAAGACCTTCACGAAAGGCGGTCGATACAGAGGTGATATCAATGTCTTACTATGTGGTGACCCTTCGACCTCAAAGTCTCAAATTTTGCAATATGTTCACAAGATAGCTCCTCGTGGTATTTACACTTCAGGAAAAGGTTCATCGGCCGTGGGTTTGACGGCATACATCACTAGGGATGTAGACACGAAACAACTTGTACTGGAAAGTGGTGCTTTGGTGTTATCGGACGGTGGTATTTGCTGCATCGATGAGTTCGATAAGATGAGTGACTCTACCAGGTCCGTCTTACACGAAGTCATGGAACAACAGACTATTTCGATTGCAAAAGCTGGTATCATTACAACTCTGAACGCTCGAACTTCAATTTTGGCTAGTGCAAATCCAGTTTCCTCCCGTTACAATCCTAATCTTCCCGTGACGGAAAACATCGACTTACCGCCTCCCTTGCTTTCGAGATTCGACCTCGTTTACCTCGTGTTAGACAAGGTTGATGAAGCTACGGATCGAGAACTGGCAAAGCATTTGACCAACCTGTATTTGGAAGATGCCCCAAGTCATGAAAACAAAGACGACGTGTTGCCCGTGGAGCTTTTGACCTCATATCTCAACTACGCCAAACAGAAGTATGCGCCGGTGATTACGGAACAGGCTAAAACAGAACTGGTAAGAGCCTACGTCACAATGCGGAAGATGGGTGATGATTCGAGGTCAGATGAAAAGCGCATCACTGCCACGACCAGACAACTTGAGAGTATGATCAGACTGGCTGAAGCGCACGCAAAGATGAGGCTGTCGCACTCTGTTGAGCTACAAGACGTACAGGAGGCTGTACGGCTGATAAAATCAGCTATCAAGGACTATGCCACAGACCCGAAAACGGGAAAAATTGATATGAATCTTGTGCAGACCGGAAAATCTGTCATTCAGCGCAAGATGCAAGAGGACCTGGCCCGCGAGATTGTTACGATTCTCACCGATCGCTCCAACAACACGATCTCCTACAACGAGCTGGTGCGCAGTATAAACGAGCAGTCACAGGACAAGGTCGAAGCTACGGAGATTTCGGATGCACTGGTACGGCTACAGCAGGAAGACAAGGTTGTTGTTTTGGGAGAAGGTGTTAAAAGATCCATTCGTCTCAATGGACGGATTTGAAGGAGTGGGGGTTTCAAAATGCTTTACAGACGTGCGTACCATATAGTCAATGCACTGTAGAGGAGCGTTGTGATCCTTGGTGTCCTTGGTGTCCCTGGACAAGAATAGATCTACTAAAAGCATCAATAATTACATTTAATAGTAATAAAGTTGATAACTTCACTGATCTTATTCACGAAAAGACGCTCAGATATACGGTCTTAAAACTACTATAAAAAAAGCGGTTGGGTAACTTTAACTTTAACTTTATAAACACACTCGGAATGCCAAACAACTGTAAAGAAGAAAGAAGCACAGGGCGTCAAGACCTTTCACATGTCTGTTTGACCACCTCCTGGTCACCGAATTTCATTAATTTGGGCTTCAGACTGCTGGTTTCCGTTTTTGGGTCCTTGTCGAGGGAACTTTGCCATATAAATACAAAGAGCTACTCTTCGAACTTGCACAGGTTCAAGCATCATTTTGGTCTTCCACTCGAATTGTTGGACAAACTAGAAGAAGCTCAAGAAGAGACGGGAGTGTGCAAACTGGAATCCTGGAGAGTTTCGAGATGAAAGAGGACCAAACAAAAAATTTCGGAAAGTTTTGATCTTTTTACAAGCTTGAGAGACCCGAAAAAAACTGATGTACTGAGAACGCGGCAATTAAGCGTATCATAGCTCAACGCTCGTTGGTTTTTGAATGGGTCTACAATTAACCGCCGAGCTCTTTAAGCAACCTTCCTCGAAAACGATCACTATTTTTCAATGTGACACCTGGAACACGTGACTGTAGAACCTGGAAATATGATTGGCCAACGAATGGTACCTATAAAATTTTTAGTATACCACCAGCCAAACTCAATACCTACCAATTCAATATCCTGGAAGCTGACGATTCTGTTTGGACCATAGTTTGGGACTTGATTTGATCTTCGGAGCCTTAGAAGACGCCTCAGTCATAATTCTCGGTATTGAAAATGCTAGCAAGAATTCAGAACCTAACCAACGGCGTGGTGTCCAAGGCCAAGGCTTACACCACTAAGTCCGTCTACTACTCAAAAGTTGTCGGAGAGCTTTCAAAGCAGGTTTACCTAAAAGAAAAACTACAGCCTCCTTCCATCGGTGATTTTCAAAGTGTCTACACAAGCTTGTACAAACAGGCATTGAGTCTGGCATTGAAGCCTAAACAGTCCTTAAACGTGTTCAAGAACGTCCAAAAAGACGATTTGGTCAAGTACGGCGCATACGGCGTTCAATTGGCTGGTCTTTACTCGCTGGGTGAGGTGATTGGCAGAAGAAAGGTGGTCGGATACACCAACTACGCTGCCCACCATTAAGGATAGCAAACATACGAACCTCCTCATAGTCTTCCAAGCTCATCGTAAACATCGCTCTGGTGTAACAAATGCAATTCTCCCATGGGCGTGAACTCCTGGGAGTGCACAAACTGACAATTGTCCCTTATACTCATCAGAGATAAAGGTGTAAGCCCCGATTTTGGTCTTTATCACTGCATAATAATATATTCTAAAATATTTGGATCATCTGCATGTGCAACTGTGGATGTAGGAAGGGATTCTATCGGTTCTGAAACAACCTCCGCAGGTCTCATTTTATATCGCCGGAAACTGTCTATACTCTATACAACGCTCAAAATCCCAAAACACATAACGTTATTCAAACATCTGAGAAACGTCCTGGCGCTTCAAGTGTCCAGGGCTTTGCGTCTTTTGGACGCCTCCACCATTTCTTCCCGCTGGCGCCTTTTCTGTTTGATCATCTTGGGAACGGTACTAATTTGCTGTCTATCGATAGATGATTTTCCCTTCTTCAACGCTTCCTTCTCTCTCTTAGTCATCTTCGCAAACTGGTCCATCCATTCTGCAACTTCCGATCCGCTTTGTTTCATGACATTGATAATGGGCTTCACTGCCAAGTTATCTTGCTTGGTGTAGAAAGTAATCGCTGTTCCCTCGCGACCGTTTCTACCGGTTCTACCGATTCGATGCACGTAAGACTGAGCCGATCTGGGAACATCATAGTTAATGACCAGGTTAACACCTTTGAAGTCCACACCTCTGGCCAAGACATCTGTGCAAATCAAACACCAGATTTCACCAGTTCTAAATCTTTCTATGATCTTGGCTCTCTGGATCTGAGTTCTTTCAGCGTGAATAACGTCGACGTTCAAGTTGTCATAGAGCAACTCGTGAAATAGCGCCTTAGCTCTGGTGATGGACTCCAAAAAGATTATTACAGGCGGCTTGAAGTAACCTTCTTGAATTAATTGTCTGATAGCAACCAGTTTGCCCTCTTCGTTGCCGCAAAACACAAGCTTCTGCTCAATGCTGGAATTCGCAGCCTCCTTGTGGCCGATAATGATTCTCACAGGGTCCAACATGATACTTTGAGCTATCTGTTCCAAGCCTGATGGCATCGTGGCAGAAACCATGCTTTTGCGGAGTTGCGGATCGCGGCATGATGCTAAGATGCTGTCTGCTTGCTCCACAAATGTCTGATCAAAAAGCTTGTCTGCTTCGTCAAATATAAGATGCTTGACTGAAGAAAGATCGAGCGCTTCTTGCTTGACAACATCTATCAGCCGCAGAGGAGTGGATATTATGATGTCGTACTTCTTATCACTCACTATTTTATTTTTCAGTTTAGCACTCAGAGACTTGCTCAGAAGCGCGACGGAAAGTGGTCTCTTCTTGTCCAGGAAGATCTTGTTGCTGAGCTTAGTGCATTCAAGAAATATTTGATTGGCCAGCTCTTTTGTTGGGGAGATAATCAAACCTTTGAGACCATCTGTTTTGCGAGACGCGATCACCTGTTGGAGCAGCGGTAGCACAAATGAAAGCGTTTTACCAGACCCGGTGGGCGCGCAAGCCAGGACGTCTCTGCCTTGCAAAGCCATCGGTATACCTTCGCATTGAATGGGAGTTGGCTCCGTGAAGTGGGCCTCGATCAAGTTGGATATTAGCCGCTTGTCGAATTTGAAGCGAGTTACCAGATCTTCGAACGACCCGATCGGCAGCGGCACGTCTCCACCAGTCACGTTGCCCATGTAGGATTTTCTTAGTTCCGCAGCATCCTGTGCACTGGAGATCCGGAGGGATCCTGAATCAGAATAGAAGCGTGAATCCACAGTAGTCTCTGTAGCCTCCGATTCCTGCTTTACTTCATTTATTTCAGCCTCAGCCTCAGCTTTCTGGACCGTTCTCTTGTTGCGGAAGAAATCCAGCTCTTTGGTAAGTTGACGATCTGAATCCGCCTTTTTCGTGCTTCCCGCTTGTGATTTGGCTGTCTGGTCCACCGGTGTCTTACTGAAATCTGCTGAACCGCCTGAACGCCCATTTCGTTTGACATTTGCGCCTCTGGTCAGAACCTGAAAGATATCCATGGTCTATAGGATTCTTGCTATGAAAATGACGGCTTTTTCAATGGGCTTTTTTTCCTTAAGTCTTCTCTTAGTCTTGAACAGCCAAGCAGATGTCGAATCAAACCCTTGGACGTTTTTATAAGATAAACTTCAGCTCGTTGTCCTTTGACGATAGTTTTAACAAAGCTCATCGCTCATCTCATCGCTCTTTTTATATAAATTTGATATTTCTCTCTTTCGTACAAAATGCACTAAATTATTAAATTGTTTAAAATTTTCCAGTCTGTAGAATTTGGTTAAAATCAAGATGTGGTGAAAGTTAGGTTAAGTTCCGTGAAAAAGGGCAACTAAAGCGTCTTTACTTGTTTATACACGCTCAAACGTTGCTCTTCGACTATTGAGCGAACTTTATAGATCAAAATGCGACTTTTAGGAGCAAATTTGGGCTCTCTGAGGGCATTTGCGAGCCGCAGAAGTGTAACCTATTTGCACAGTGGGAATCGAGTCCGTGGGCTGAAAAGAGATCCCAGTGAGTACTTGAGACTCCCCAGTGGTCTGCTGTATACAGAAGTGGAACCCAGCAAGTACCACGAAACGGTGCGGTCGCAACTGAACCTCCAGAGCCATGGTATCACGCTTTCAGACGACGTTATCCTACAATGTCTTACACATAAATCGTTTGCGCATGGTGGGAAGCCATATAATGAGAAATTGGCACTTGTTGGGGCCCAGTATCTCAAATTCCTTGCGTCGGTGTTTTCGCTAAAACTCCCGGTGCCGTTGTCGCCTGTGGCTGCCCAGAATACTCAAAAGCCCATTAACGGTCTGAATTTCACAAACCTGGGTTCCCAAGGCTCCAAACTACTCATTTCTAAGAAAACAACTGCTGAAGTGATCAAAAAAAGACAGCTGGACTCGTTTGTTTTTTGGAAGAAAAGGGATCCGATCCAGAGCGCTGCTTACAACGGTGAGACTGCAATTTACGCCAGTGTTCTAAACGCATTAGTCGGAGGCATTCTTTTAACCAACGGACCTGAAAAAGCCTCGCAATATATACAAAGCGAGCTTTTAGACTCCTCTAAAGATGCGTCGCTTGTGTGCGTCGCATCCAGTCACAACGCATAATGTCACGCTTCCAAGTCGTTGTTCTGAGGCGGTACGAATCGCCATATGTTTTGAGATGACGAAGAATGACATGGAAGATTCTTCGCATTGCGTAAGAAAGACAAAGCGGTAAGAAAGAATACCATTACCATCCTGTACATAGAGAAGTCATTGGCGCGAGCTTCGTCATATCCCGTTCTCGCGATTTGCATATTTAAGTAGATACGTAAACTGATCCGTCTTCTTATTTCATCTTAAAGCAAAAGATAGCATTCAATTTGTTCTAATCACTATAATACATGCAGAAAAATGGTTACAACTGAGGTTGTTCGATCACCTCAACGGGTAAGCTTGGAATTAAGATACTCGATTTCCTCTTTCAAACTCGCTTCTTCGACTGTCTTCACCAGTTCTTTAGTACACTTGGCAACGTCAAATGCTATGCCAGCCAAGCGCTGCTTGAAATGCTTGTTGGCATATTCGTCATCAATTTCGTCCACTTTGATGGTACCGTCTTCCTTCAAATGACACAACGAGGTCATTCTTCTCTTGCAATCTTTCAAACTTTGAACAACCCAATTCCCATGCTCTTTCAGCGCGGCATTACGCGACTGAGCCATAGAAACATTAGTAGCCTCCACCATCTGGGCGATGACCTGATTTATCGCGGAAGAGTCGCTGCAAAGCTCACCTTTCAGTGCCTGCGGTTGCTTGATAGAAGTCAGCAAAGACTGAATCGTGCTGATTACTTCTATGGTGCGATGTTCCAAATACAACAATAGTTCTGACAAAGTATTATCTGGGTTCTCGATGTCAAATGCGTCGATATCAAAGTCCCCTTCGTCTCCAGACTCTCTACCCACACTTGCTTCTTCTGCAATTTTTGTTGATTCCACATTAGCGGACACTTCGTTTTCGGACCTCGATCTCATCCAGCCATTGTCATCTTCTTTTTTGATTTCAAAGTGCTCCTTTTCTGGGGAACTGAAGTCTTCCAGCTTTATAATAGGTTTTTGAGTAGTATCAGAAGCGTTGATGATCCTCTTCTCGCTAACTTTCCTGAAATCATCTTCTTTAATCATCGAATCTGTAGCTTGTGACGTGTGTGGAGCTTGAGACAATTCTCGATCAAATCCTCGCTCCTTTTTCGTAGAGCTTTCCTCACTCCCATTTACGCTGCTGACGTCGGCAACAGAATTCGTAGAAGGCTGTCCTAGCTTCTTTTTTTCTCCTTTTTCGGAGCTGCTTTCTGCGTCTCTTTTCGAGGCAGCCTTATCCAGATTTTCATTCGTAGTGATCCGGCTCGTATTTTTGACTACGGGATCCTCAACCTCGGATGAAAAAGAGAGTTTATTAGTGGACTGTGAGACTAACGGTTGCTGCGAAATATCTTCCTTCTCAACATCAGTCTTACTTCTGCCCTCAGATTGCTTAGTTTGTGTTAAATCTAAAGGCTGTTCAGAGTTTGCGGGTTGTTTCACGTCTGGCGTTATTTTTGAGAGTTCGCTGTTCCCATGTATTGTTTGCTCGAAATCACTGCGTGGTAAGGCGCTCGACTTCGAAGTTTCATTGAAATCGGCGGATTTGTGGCCATCAACATCATTTTCTTGTTTCTGTTTCTTCTGTAGAGTCTGCTTAAGCGCCTGATAGGTCAGGTCATCATCACTCGTAAGGTTACTATCATCGTTTTTGTGGCGATCATTTTCATCCGTCGATTCATCTCCCGACGAAAGATCATGATTTAAGTCGGTAGCTCTTCTGGTCGTACTAGCACGAAGCTTTCCGAATGCACCGGGCTCTGCCTTTGTAGACAATTGTAAGCCGTCTTCAGCCTTTTCCGAAACCACAACAGATTTAGGCTCCGTGCTGGGCAGCTTTCTTTCTTCAATTGAAGCGACAAGCGACGGAGTGGATGGTGAGTATACAGTTTCGCTTTCATCGCGTTGACTGATTGGTCGCACGTCCATCTGTTGAGAATTGGTTTTGGAAGTCGATGGTATGTTTTTACTTTCGAGCCTGCTGGCGGAAGAGCCAGAGCGCGTTCTAGGAAACTGCAAATTCTCTGGCGAATTTTCTCCAGCTGAACTAGGATTCACAATGGAAGCAAACAATGTACTCGATGGTTTTCTACTAGTATGCGTGCTTTTTGTGGGTGGAGAATTTTTGACAACTTTTTGGGTGATTTTCAGAGGCTTGACAGGAGACACATTCCCTTGGTCATTCGAGAAAATTTGAAAGCTTTCGCGAGGGTCCTGCAAGTTTGTGTCGAATTCGTGATCTTGAGGCCCTAGCCACACTTTTGTGCTTGGGGTCTGTGGAATCTGCTGGGCTTGTTCGGCTCCTGAATCTTTTCTTTGAGTGGATTCAGTGATTTTGACGACGTCAACTATCTGGCAAACAGCAAAGCTAATGTCTGATATTGCACTATTCACCGTTACAAGCGGCAGTATATCATGATAGGTGGCGAAGAACCGAACAGAGGTGATGGCATGCGATAGCGCTGCTTTTAAGACTGCGAGGTGCTCTTTGTTGTCGGGAGCATCGACCTTTTCAATAAGCTTTTGCACTGTGTCGGCAACACAAGCCAAGTCCTCAAAAAGCTGATGTCCGAAGCTCGCATCCGACCTTTCCCCGTTAAGATGCTCGAAAATAGTTACAATGTGCGAGTTAAATGATGAAAGAAGATCCAACGGAATCAAACCTTCTTGCGAGAAATAATGCCTCGCCAAATCATGACCCAGTTTTATAGTCTTTGATACTATTTGTTCGCCCACAGATTCTATGGATTTTTCGTTCTGTTTCACGACTTCAGGTTGCTTATTGTATGTGTATGTCTTCAATTTCAGCTCTAACTCCGCGAGTTCCTGTTTGAGCCGCTCGTTTTCAATGGACAACGTGTTAAATTGCCTTGTCAAGGTCATAAACTCATGTTGATGCGTTTGATCTATAGATCTGCTGGTTTGCTGAGTGTTTTGAGACTGCGTTTCCTTCAGCCGTGAAATTTCGTTAGTCGCAGCTTCGCACTCTTTGCTTATTTCTTCGACCTGCTTCCTCAGTGCTGAATTTTGATCTCGATGTATGTGTAATTCATTCTCTAAGCTGCTTCTGGCAGACAACAGCTGTGCATTGGTCTTTTCCAACTCAGTGATCTTTTCGTCCATTTTCGTTCCCTCTAAAAGAAGCACTTCTATCTCACGCTTCGAGTTTTCGTGCTCTAATGAGACCCTCTTAATGGAGCCAATATGCCTTGGTTGGTTTTTTAGGTCCATCCCGTTTTCATTTGACCTTGAAGATTCAGCATCATTATAGGGTAGGCTTCTAGACAGCTTGCTCGGAGATCTGCTCTCTACTCCTTCGGTGTCAATGTCTCGAGAGAGGTCATTTTCATTATCCCTAGTGGAGTTAGAAGCCCAGATGGATCTCAAGGGCGATAGCTTTGAACTCTTCCCAGATTTTGGGGTGTACTCACTGTCATCTTTTAATATTGTAGAACCTCTTTCTTGATCTACAGGACCAGCTGTGCCATCGGAGGGATCCTCCGAGAACTCGAGCCGTTGTCCAAACACGTCATCGCCAGCGGAAGCCTTTTGTGGCGATTCTTGTGCTCTGTCTGCTATACTGAGGCCCTTGGTTTCATCAAGGGACGAAAGCTTGTTTGAGTAGCCCTCTAATTCTTCTTGCTCACTACTATGAATAGAGCTCGTTGTTGTTGTGCTAATTTGTTTCGACTTTTCACCAAATATCGCGGCCTTGAGATCGGGCGAGAAAGGAGTCTCGTTTTCGAGATCAGATCTATCAGAATCCTCCAGAAGCTGTGATCGTTGAGTGAAATCTTCGAGAACAGATTTTTCGCTCACTCCTGTATGATTACCTGAGCTTTGAATGGGGCCCTGTTGTTCCGAGAATAAAAGCGGTTCATTGGTCTGCTTCGAAACCGAAATTGTCGGCGTGACGTCTGGCTGACTTTGAAGATGTGCAGCTTCTAGATCTTGCTCCTCTTCGTCGGAACTCCACTCGATAGAGGCCTTCTTTGGTATCACTTGAGACTGTTGAATAGCTGTGTTTGGTGCTATACTACTTGGCGCTTCCTTTTCGACGTCAGAAAGCAAATTTTTCGGTGTTGGGAGGTCCAACTCCTGTTCTTCGCGGGCCGCGGAACCCTCGCTGTGGGTGTTTAGGGGATGAGGATCGATGTGCAATACAGATTGCGATGAGCTGTTTGCATCTGTATCCTCAATTAGATTGGAATGATCCCTGGACGGCGAAAGGGGAGTTTGAGGCTCGGGAAGTTCGTGGTAGTTTCGTCTTTTAATTTCATACAGAATGTCGTCTACCAAGTCGTTGAATCTTGACTCTGACAGGTTGGCTAGTTTCTGACGAGCCTGATTACGCTTGACGTGGAAATTGTCCCTGGGTAATAAGTGGTCAGGCTGCGCTTGATTTTCATCTATACGTCTTTGAAGCTCGTCATGTACATCCGTGCTGAGCTCGAAAAACTGAGAAGAATACAGCTTCAAAAGCTTGGATCTAGCCTTTTGCGCCCGTGCAGAGCTCGATCGGTCATGCTTTGCACCAGTGACGCTGAAGAAATCTCGCAACTCGCGGTAGTACACATGCACGAGTCGTCTCTGTTCGGCACTCAGATTCGCCTTGTTCGTAGCCATAATCTCCCGCCAAAAAGCTCTGCTTCGCGCCTCAAGTTAGCAGTGACAGTGAATTTGGGCTTGATAAGCGTGTGGACTGGTTAGCGCCAATGAGGGGATCTTCACGTATGACTTTTCTTCACTTAGTTCGTAAGGTAAACATCTCATCAGCCATGGACATTTTTCATGGACACGAGGAATTTAAAACGCGCTAAGCGTATATTTTCGTCGTTGGTGATTAAACAGATACCTTGAGCTTTTAGGACAAGAAATAGATTGATAATCGTGACCCATATACTGGTAGGTTGACAGCTTCTTCAAACAGAATATACCGTGCTCTCTAAAGATCCCAGAGTGCATGTCGTTCTGCTCAGATCTCATGATTTAGAAACCTTTTGATCAAAGTCACGTGAATAATTGACTTTATTCTAGAAGCTAACTTCTCTTGTTTTGGAGCGCCAGGTGTGTCAGCTTCTGATGTGCTTGTATTGCTGTTCTTATGGCGAAAGAGCGATAAAAATGATACCTTTTCTTCTCTCTTCCAGTATACAAAAATCTGGCCTTCGTTGTCTAATACATACGCCCAAAAATTAAAAAAATAAATGGAAATGGGGGCGAGCCGGGACTCGAACCCGGGACCTCCCGCACCCTAAGCGGAAATCATACCTCTAGACCACACGCCCTTATTATACTATGACGAAAAAATAAGCTAATTATGTTGAGGGTGTAGCTTCACGAGTATTTTTTGATTTCTCGAGCCCGCTACAGTAATGACTCTTAAGCATCTCTAGACTAACATTGCGAGGTCCATCAATTAAGCTTTGAGATTCAATATATACCGGTGGGAACAACGACGAGCGCAGCTGTGTCTGTTTTCTTCTTATTCTTACATTAGAGCTAAACGGCAAGCCGACTCGCTAAGTTAAGTGTATATGCTTTCGAAAAAATAAACGGAATAAGGAATAAGACGACGGCTTTTAAACGTAAGTGGGTTTTACGGAGTTTGATTTTGTTATTCTCTGAACCGGTTTTTGAATCTAGACACCGGTAATTCGTGAGCTTTCCGCTCCAAATATCGTCAATTATTTTTGACAAAAATAAATGCGAATTCTGTGGATCGAACACAGGACCTCCAGATTACAAATGACCGAAGTATCCTTCAGTCTGGCGCTCTCCCAACTGAGCTAAATCCGCAACTTGATGTGAGATTAATATGTCGTGCTGCCGATATCCTGGAAAACAATCTTATGATCTCTCTTGTTCGCTTGGTACTGTTGTCAGGATACTACAGTTGAGAGTTCAATTGAAATAACTGATCGTTGTGGACCTATACAGCTTTCTCTCCCATCCTCAGGATTGAATACCATCAATTCTTATTGTCTGTTGTTGTCCGTTGTCGCCTTTATCTCCGCTCGAGTCTAAGGATTTGCAGTCATGACTCAAAAGTTCAGTTCTTAGTTTAAACAATAAAATAATTATATTAGCTAGCCCACTGGACGCTGATGTAGTTCTTTGTACTATTGAAACCTCTCCTCTACAGGAGCGAGCCGTTCGAAATCTATCTTCTGACTCTTATCCGTAACCACCGAGGGGGGCCTATACATTCGGAGTGCTAAGCTGCTCATGACAACACTTACTGATGACGCAGCCATTGCCGCACTGGCCCACACTGGTGAGAGCCTGGAGTTCTTATAAGGATAAATGACGCCTGCAGCAATAGGAATTCCGATCATATTGTAAACCAAGGCCCACGCGAAATTGAATTTCACTCTTCGAAATACCTTCCGAGACAATTGCAGCAACGTCAGTAGGGAGCACAGGGTGTTGGTGCTCGAGAGCAAAGCGAAATCGCACGCGCTCATCGCAAGATCACTGCCAGTTGCAAGTGCAATTCCAACATCTGCTGCGGCCAATGCAGGACCATCATTGATTCCATCTCCCACGAATGCCACTACGGGCGACTTCTTATTAACAAGATGGGTTTCTTTGATCCAAGTAACTTTATTCGCTTTTTCTTCAGGCAACACTTCCGCGACCACGTTGTCAATCCCTAGCTCCTTCGCAATGGCTGTTGCTGTCAGTCTATTGTCTCCTGAAATCATCCAGCACTCAATCCCTTCTCTCTGTAGCATATTGATCACTCCTTTGGCCTCGGGCCTCACTTCGTCCCTCACCGCTAGAAGCATTACAGGAAAGTAAGCCTCACTCTTGAAAAAACTCCCACATTTTATAGCCACAACTACCACACTTTTTCCCTCAGCTTTCCAATCGGCCAGAGTTCTTATTTGAGAAGAGCTCAAATGACAGTTGTTTTCCGCCATAAATGTCTCGTTACCGAGAATAGCACTTTGAGGTTTCACGGACTGCTTCGAAGCTGAAGCGAAATCATCGGCCACAATAAAATCGCCTTTAAGCCCTTTGCCAGCAATTTCCTCGACTGTTTGAATGGTTACACTGCCAAGAAGGTCTCCGAACTCTTGACTAATGAAGTTCTTCAAACCTGTAGCAATCGGATGCTTCGAGGCGAGCTCCAAATCTCTTACTGCCTGAACGGCGATCTTCTTGATAGCTGGATTGCTATGAACCGCGAAGTTGGTCACTTTAGGCTTCCCGCCCAGAGTTAATGTTCCGGTTTTATCGAAACACACCATAGACACTTTGGAACCATCCTGGAATGCAGCACCACCGCCGCGCGCCAAGATGCCATGTTTAGCGGCCAACCCGCCACCGACAAATAAGGCCGTAGGTGCTGCTAGGCCAATGCCGCAAGGACAAGCAACGACAAATACTGATGTGGCAAATTCCAGTGACCACACCGTCCAGCCGCCTACGTCAATGTCGAGGTAATGTGGCGGCAATCTACCACTGAAGCCCAAGGAGATCCATATAATCCATGTGATGATTGCGATGAGAACGATGAGGGGAACGAAGAAACTAGTTAAGGAATCAGCCAGCTTTTCCACTGGTGCTTTTTTCAACTGACCGTCGCGTACTGAGTTAACAATCTGATCTAAGAGTGAATCCCCGTTCAATGCACAAAGCTTGCCAATTATGGCTTGAGTGCCCACATTCACGGTCCCCGCAAAAACCTGCTCGCCTACTTTATGCTCGATTGGTATCGATTCACCAGTAAGTGCACTCTCGTCAAAGCCAGCTTGCCCTTCAGCAATGATGCAGTCGATTGGAGGAGATTCCCCAGGAGCGATTTTGATGTAGTCTCCAATCTCCAGATAGTCTATGTGAACGGTCCTATCGTTAGAAAATCCTTTTCCATCGATACGATCGACTAAAGTCGCTTCACGCTGTTTCAGCAAGCTAAGGTCGTTAACGGCTTGGGCCGTTCTGTTTTTCGAAAACGTTTCAAGAAGCCTACCCACCAGAAGGAAGAACGTGAGGAAAACCACAGCATCAAAGTATGTCGTTGTATAACCAGTGCTCCCTTTATTGCTGGTGTTTGTTGCAGAAATCGCAAGCATTGCTATACTGGCAAAATATGCCACAGTCGTCCCTAAGCACACTAATAGATTCATGCTTCCGAACTTGAAAAGTCGCCTCTTCCAGTCATTTTTCTGTTTCCACAGAGCCCTCAGCTCAAGGAAGGCTTTTCTGTGAAATACGTCGTCGACAAAAAAATAGACTGGAGTGCTCAGAATAAACAGTACCCACGTCATCCTGGAAGTATTACCAGCCCATATTGGCTCTTCCAACCACATTCGAAACTTATGATGTTTTGACAGCAGCGACGGTCCAACCACTCCAAAAACGAAGGTCGGGATTGCGAAAATCAGCGAAGCAACTAGTCTAATCGCTATCTTTTGTGTTTCACGCAATGCCATTTCTCTCAAGTGCTCTTCGAGTGTCCTCTCCTTTACAATTGATATCTTTATATTTGAATCATTGCCACTGGATAGCTTTTCTAGTATAGTGTCGATGATGGACCTGATTGTAATGCCCTTTTCCACGTTGGGGATGTACTTGAATTTGATGAAAGGCGTTTGCAGCGAAATAGGATCTTGAATGATCAGCTCAGCGCTACCAAAATGAGACAGCACCTCGTTCACGCGCTCAGGACATTTTAAACAAAACATTCCGTCAATTCTCAAGTTCACACTTCTAGTTGGTTTTTCGGCAAACGCATGGTCCACGGTTTCAGGCTCGCTGAGAGCTCGGAATTCAAAACCGCAGTCTTCGACGACTTCTTGGAGATCACGCAAAGCGTTACCTTCCACTGAGCTCAAAATGAAGGTAGCAGATTTGGAAAGAACGTTGACTGCCACCTCGTCGATGTAAGGTAGCTGCTCAACAGCACTCGTGATGGCGGACGCACATGCAGCGCATGTGATACCTTCGATGGCGGCAACTAATTTGTACCGGCGTTGAGTCGTGAGAGGCAGCACCTCGAGTAGTTGAGCGGTGTACCCGGTGTCATTCACACTCTCAATAATGAGCTGTACCAGCTGTTTGTTTGGAATGACGACAGTGGCAGTATTGCTGACTGTGCTGACAGATACGGCAGCCTCGAAATCCAGCGGAGACGAGTTCAAGGCTTGAGTGATAGAAGATTCAACTATGCCGGCGCAGTTAGAACAAGTCATTCCGCCTATGGCGAAAACCGCCCTATAGCGTATATCATTTGCTGTGGCAGTCTCGGCCAAATCGGAATTTGTATGGCGTCTTTTTTCCCCAGGATCACACTCTTTACAGTACTGAGCATGTTTTCTGTATCTCCTGCGTTCGCTGAACTGTAGGCTATCTAGGGCCGAAAAAAACCTGTAACGTTTGGACGGTGGAAACGAAGCACGTAATGGCTTATCTGGGACGACTTCATCTGAACTGAAATCGATACTGGTCACTTTGAAGCCCGCACACTCGAAGTCTTTTCTGATGAAACTAGGAATAGTGGATTTTTCATTTGATTCGTCGCCCTTTTCGGTGGTGTAGTATTGGCATAAGGTCACACTGACTAGTCCGCTTTCGCGGTCGATTGATAGAGCATTTGCCAATCCCAGTTTTTGATGTCTAGAATCGCCGAAACTTTGGTTTTTAAAGTAGCGATTGTTCTTGTCGCTGAGCTTCGAATACTCATCGCCGGCGAAAGGTTCATTAGCCCATTCGAAACGACGAGATAGGATTTCAAACACGTACTTTTCACAGTTCCCGCAGTGGAGATTATCCACGTAGATATTCAGCTTCATGGTGTCCTGAACATATCATAACGGATGAGAAGGCCATAACCCTTTGGTCGCTTTTATACTTATGCGATGTTAATGCTGATCCGAGTATCTTAAAAGTGATCTAGAAAGGGAAGCTAAGAAGAAAACAATCACATGAACATATTGAGGTGACAGGTTCATGTTTAGTGACAGAGAGAAAGACCCTTGGAGGGGAATGCTTGGATCGATCTGTTGACTATAGTGATTATAAAGTGTTGTCCTGCACGCGAACAATCGGTGCCTATGTAAATCATGTCTTTTCACTCAACGAAGAAAGCCTTTTTTCTTGGTTTGTACAGGAGAATTGGCGGATTGGTTGACCAAAGACATTTCTAGTTGGTGCTTTTTGTCTTCCAGAGCCTTGAGCTGCTTGGTGAGCTTTTCCTTCATCTCCTTATGCCTGGCGAACAACTCGGCCTCCGATTTTTGAAGCTTTTTCTCTTTTTCGTTGACCTTCTGCTGGAAAACGGCCTTCATCTCGGCTTCGAGCTTTGCTAGCTTGGCCTCGTGCAGCTGTTTTTCTTCCTTCTGCTTGAGCTCTGGATCGTACTCCTTGAAGACCGAATTGTCCTGTTTTATGTTCAAAGAGTTCAGCTTTTCGGACCGGTATCTCTCGTAGAGCACCTTTTCGGTTTTCTCACACAGTTCCAACAGATACACTTTAATGAGCAAATCGCGTAGATGCACAAAGTCCGAGTGGGCTTCATTGTCTACCTCGATCACACCCCAAGGGTACGCACGTCCCCTGACCTTTCTGCCGTCCGCCGTAGTGACCTCAGTTGCAGATCCCACAATCGCGTACGGCATCTGGGAATGAAGCTGCAATGAGCGCGCCGCAGTCTCTTTGTCGTCAAGAGCGTACCGGGGTGGTTCAAACAACTCGATTCCTTCGCTTTCGAGCTGGGTGCGGATCGAAAGCTTGAACTCCTCGATTTCCTCGTCCGTGAGAATGTCCGACTTGGCGATGACTGGGATGAGGTTGCATTTTTGGTGAACTGCTTTGCAGAACTCAAGATCCAGGGCCTTGAGCGAATGGTTTGTGGGTTCTATGAAATACAGACACGCGTGAATACGGCTGTCTTCGATGGTGGTGCGGTCGACCCTGTTTTCGGCATCCAAAAATTGGTCGAAACGGTTGTCAATTTCGCGAACGATGGGCTTCCACGCGTCTGTGTTGTTGATGGCATCGCCGAAACCGGGCGTGTCGATCACGTTCAGAGTCAAGGCAACACCATTTTCCTCGATCTTGGTCGACAGAGTCTCGATTTTGACGTGAGGGCCGCTTGATTCTGCATCCTTGTACTGATGATTTTCAAGCTGCTGCTGCTGCTGCTCGCTCGAGTCGTCGGCGTCGGCCAACGCTTCGCCCGCGTCCTCCAGCTTCAGCGCCGCCAGTTCTGCTGCACCTGGACTGTTGACGTCGTATATGGGCTTGTTGAACAAGGTGTTGATTAGCGTTGACTTTCCCAGGCCCTTTTGGCCCACACACAGCAAGTTCAGACGGAACCCGCGTCTGATCGATTTTCTATGCCATTGTTTGGGTAGGTTTGCAAAGCCGACGTAACCATTAACTCTGTGATGCAAAACCTTGATACCGGCCTGTTTGGGCAGCTGCTGTCCCGTTTGCTGCGTCTCAGGCTCCTGTTGCGACCTCAGATCCGTTTCTACCTCCGTGGTAGCTTTGCCATCTTGTCCATCTGAAAGCGAGTGTGTTTCCTCAATTGTGGGCGAATTTTCGAGCTTGACGCCGCCATCGATGGCACCAGCCCCATCTTCGGCCAACGAAGTCGTTCTGAAGTTCTCCACAGATGTTTCTGCCTGCATTTCACGCCTTCTTGACTCTTTGGATCAATACTGGAGTGAGCATTGATTCGTGTTGATCTCTTCGAGAATTTCAAATTACGTGCAATTTGGAAAAAGAGCATTCCATACGACGTTTCTCAAATTAACGAATATTATATGTATTAGAAGAGCTTATAAGATGAGATGCGGTAGGTCAACAAAGAAAGGCTAAGAGTCGCTTGAGATAGGTCGGAATCAACAGCTTTTTAAATTGGAATAGAGGCAGAATGTCTGTAAAAGAGGAAATCAGAGGCCTTCTTAGTGAAGCGGCCAAATTTTACGCTGCCAAAGATTACGAGACGTCGACAAATTTGTATTCAGAGGCTAACGCGATGTATGACGCGTCGACGGGCCAAAGTAACGCAGATTACTTGTTCTTGTATGGAAAATCGCTGTATCAACTCGCATTGAGCCAGTCTGAGGTCTTTGGAGGTGAAGACGATGGCCAAGAAGAACAACAAGACGAGGACACTGAGTCTGGCGAGGACGAAAACGACAAGGACCAACAATTGTACCAGTTCAGCGAGACGTTAGCCGAAGGTGACGGAGTCGAAGAGAACGGGAAAGAAGGCGAGAATAGCGGGGAAGAAGAAGGAGAAGTAGGAGAAGAAGGAGAAGGACCGGAAGACGAGGGAGATTCACAGACCAACGACCAGACGCAAACGTCAGACTTCGAAAACGCTTGGGAAGTCTTGGAACTGGCGCGTGCGCACTACGAAAAACAGGCACAGGACCAGGAAATACTTGAAAAGCTGTCTGAGACTTACAGCATTTTGGGAGAGATTTCTCTGGAGACTGAAAATTTCCCTCAGGCGGCTCACGACCTCACACGGTGTCTAGAGCTTCGCAAGAAGGCGTACAGCGGCGAGGACCCTACTCACAGACTAATTATTGAGTCTCATTACAAGCTTTTCTTGGCGCTGGAGCTCGACCCCGCTCAGAGCGCTCAATCTCAAGAACAGCTCGAAGCGGCCGTGCAGCTGCTGGATGCGCGTATCAAGGACAAAAAGGGCGAGAAAGACGATGAGGGCCTTCTGGAAGAGCTGAAACTCAAGTTGAAAGAGCTCAAAAGCTCAGCACAATCGCTGGAAGCTCTGAAACAAGCAAGTGTAGCCCAGATCAAAGAAGCTTTGACTGGCACCACCAATTCCAACAAACCAGCTGCGGTTAACGATCTCACCTCCATGGTAAAGAAGCGTAAGCCCAAACAAGACCGAGACCAGTCATCCAAAAAGCACAAGCTGTAGACTAAGCGAATGTGAGTTTTAGAGAGAGATTTCCGATCAAATGATCACCACATACGGAATTATTGACAATCAAATTTTTGATAAAAGAAGGGCCTGCACAACTTGACGCCTTTATAGCATATCTGTCACTCATTCTAGCACCTCAGTGAAGCTCAAAAACCACATTTGACTTACCCAATCTCACTTTAGCTCAGTGTTTATTCCAACAATGGCAGCTGCTCAAAGTGCTCAAGGTGTTCCTCGCCATTTCCAAGTTTCCAAGTTCCTCAGCCTCGCGCAAACGTCGCAATTTGCGTGGTTTGGGGGCCATTTAGTCGTTTTGACGTGTGCGTTCCTGTACATGCTTACCTTCCGTCGCGGAACTTTGCATTTGCACAACACGCTGTACCGGGTGCTATATCTAGGTGTCATCGAGTCTTTTGGCATCATTATCTACCAGCAACACTTCAAGCACCGTGGGCAGCCTTCCGGTGCAACCGGAACCAACGGCCCGGCTCCAACGCTTGCACAGCTACTTCTACGTGATGACAACTCCATGTATGTGGCAATTGCCGTGATGTGGTTCTTGACACCAAGATTGACCCTGACCATGATTCCATACGTCGTGTTTTCCTTTTTCCACTTCCTCACGTACCTGAAGTCTGTGTTGCTGCCCCAAGTGTTTGAGATTGGTCCCAACTCGAGATTGACGGTGCTGATCGACAATTTTATCCGTGAAAACAACGACCGTTCGATGGTGTGGTCGAGTTTTAGCGAGCTGGTGTGTGTGGCGGTTGTGTTGGTCCGTGCGCTTTTGTGGTACCCCCGGTCCTGGATCGTCGCGTTGGTGTACTGCTTGTTCATCAAGATCCGTTACGAGACTTCTCCATACACTCGCAGCGGCGTCAAGAGATGGGAGGTGCGTCTAGACGGCTTGATGAGCCACTCTGGCGTGCCTGCTGCGATCAAGAACGCCTACGTGCATTTCAAAAACAATGTGCGCCAGCTACGAAAGTACAATCTGTCTGGCACTCCTCCTGCCAAGACCATGTAAGGACCTAAGGACCCGGTAAAGAATAACAAAAGCACTGATTTTGTTCACGGAAAGTACATTTTACCTCACGCTCGCTCCGCTTTTCGGTTCGTGAGACCGCCCGTTTCTTGGGCGCTCCAGCTTTTTCTGCAACACCAGCGTGCGTCGCGCGCAGACAATGCTTCCCTTTGGTGTCCGTGCCCGTGTTCCCATCCCACTTGCACAGTTTTTACACCTTGTGTAGCGTAGCGTATTATATGGCACGTTTTGTAGTCGTACGACTCAATATATGACCGAAGAATCGACCAGATGACGTCGGGGCTTTATTCGTGTATAACGATATATCAAACCAAATGACCTAAATTATTTTAAAAACTAGAGTCTGTGTGGAAGCGTCACAAACCGACCGAGAAATAAGAAGCTAGTCCAGGGTATTAAAGAATTTCCAGCTTTCAAAAAGGAACTTTGGTCTCGCTTAAATCTACGTCTTATTGAAACCATTGCAACGTTCGTCGTACAAGGGGACACAAAATATCTATCGAGAGATCACCGACGTATATAATGACCACATCGGAGTTGATTCAAGCTCAAGAGGACCAGCATGAGAGACACTTACACAGAGTGCCAACCAGCGTATCCCAGCTCTCAAACAGCACCCAGTGAGACTAACATCTACACATGTTCTCCAAACTACTCATTGCAACGTAATGACGTACAAAGCGATACAATAATCTCTCCTCTAGGAAAGTGAACTATTGAAATATACACCGTTCACCACTCTGTTAAGAGCCATAAACCTTTTTTTCACCACTCTCCTCTCTCCTGCTCACTTCCTTGCCACTTCTTCGTCAATTATTCACCTATTCTTCTCGATTGCTGCCCCTTTGTGACGAATTGCTCGCCTTCTCTCCAGCAATCTCTCGCTAGCTCTCGAATTTTCTCATAGAACTTTCGAGAATTTCAAAGAACTTTAAAAATTCGACCGCCCGCCCATAATCGAGATCTGGCAAAAAGAGGCTCGAGGAAGTATATAAGGAGAATGATTCGATCGGTATGAGATCAATTCTAATCTAGTTTTTCTCTACACTATTTCTAATAGACCAGGAAAGCATTATTGAAAGAGCTTAATTGAATTCGTATCGACATTTCAATCAAGCAAGATCAGTAAACTAGCCGTTATAGAATTCAGATATCACATTAGAAACACACATCATGTCTAAAGCTGTTGGTATTGATTTGGGTACCACCTACTCGTGTGTGGCCCACTTTTCCAACGACCGTGTGGAAATCTTGGCCAACGACCAAGGTAACAGAACCACTCCATCTTTCGTGGCCTTCACCGACACCGAAAGATTGATCGGTGACGCCGCCAAGAACCAGGCCGCCATGAACCCAGCCAACACCGTTTTCGACGCCAAGCGTTTGATCGGTAGAAACTTCAGCGACGCCGAGGTGCAGGGCGACGCCAAGCACTTTCCTTTCAAGGTCGTGGACGTTGGCGGCAAGCCTCAGATCCAGGTCGAGTTCAAGGGCGAGACCAAGGTTTTCACCCCAGAAGAAATCTCTTCCATGATCTTGACCAAGATGAAGGAAACCTCCGAGAGCTACTTGGGCTGCAAGGTCAATGACGCCGTCGTCACCGTCCCAGCCTACTTCAACGACTCCCAGAGACAGGCCACCAAGGACGCCGGTACCATTGCCGGTTTGAACGTGCTACGTATCATTAACGAACCCACCGCTGCTGCCATTGCCTACGGTTTGGACAAGAAGGATGAGGGCGAAAAGAATGTCTTGATCTTCGATCTCGGTGGTGGTACCTTCGATGTCTCCCTATTGTCCATCGAAGACGGTATCTTTGAAGTCAAGGCCACCGCTGGTGACACTCACTTGGGTGGTGAAGATTTCGACAACAGATTGGTCAACCACTTTGTTCAAGAATTCAAGCGTAAGAACAAGAAGGATTTGACCACCAACCAAAGAGCTTTGAGAAGATTGAGAACTGCTTGTGAAAGAGCCAAGAGAACCTTGTCTTCTTCCGCTCAAACCTCTATCGAAATCGACTCTTTGTTCGAAGGTGTTGACTTGTACACCTCCATCACCAGAGCCAGATTCGAAGAGTTGTGTGCTGACTTGTTCAGATCTACTATCGATCCTGTCGAGAAGGTGTTGAGAGACGCTAAGTTGGACAAGTCCCAAGTCCACGAAATCGTCTTGGTCGGTGGTTCCACCAGAATTCCAAAGGTCCAGAAGTTGGTCTCTGACTACTTCAACGGTAAGGAGCCAAACAGATCTATCAACCCAGATGAAGCTGTTGCCTACGGTGCCGCTGTCCAAGCTGCCATCTTGACTGGTGACCAATCTTCCAAGACTCAAGACCTATTGTTGTTGGATGTTGCTCCATTGTCCTTGGGTATTGAGACCGCTGGTGGTGTCATGACCAAGTTGATTCCAAGAAACTCTACCATCCCAACCAAGAAGTCCGAGACTTTCTCCACTTACGCTGACAACCAACCAGGTGTGTTGATTCAAGTCTTTGAAGGTGAAAGAGCCAGAACAAAGGACAACAACCTATTGGGTAAGTTCGACCTAAGCGGTATCCCACCAGCCCCAAGAGGTGTCCCACAAATCGAAGTTACCTTCGATGTCGATGCTAACGGTATCTTGAACGTCTCCGCCGTTGAGAAGGGTACCGGTAAGTCCGAGAAGATTACCATCAACAACGACAAGGGTAGATTGTCCAAGGAGGACATTGAAAGAATGGTGTCTGAAGCCGAAAAGTTCAAGGAAGAAGACGAAAAGGAAGCCGCTAGAATTGGTGCCAAGAACCAGTTGGAATCCATGGCCTTCTCTTTGAAGAACAGCATTTCTGAAGCTGGTGACAAGTTGGAAGAAGCCGACAAGGAAACTTTGAACAAGAAGTGTGAAGAAGTTGTCGCTTGGTTGGACAGCAACACCACTGCCACCACCGAAGAATACAACGACCAATTGAAGGAGTTGCAGGAAGTCTCCAACCCTATCATGACCAAGTTGTACCAGCAAGGCGGTGCCCCAGGCGCTGGCGCTGCTCCAGGCGGTTTCCCAGGTGGATCTGCCCCAGCTCCAGAAGCTGACGGTCCAACCGTTGAAGAAGTTGATTAATTTCTCAACACTCTAATGACGTTCTGTACAGTACCACATATATAAGCAATAAAATTTACTGAAATTTTTTAAACCATTGATTCTAAGAGTAGATGAAAGTTTTTGCACATGGCGAGATGTGTTTATTCCTTCAGCTTGCAAAAAAGGGCAACGATTGTTTTAAAGCACTAGCCATAATATACACGAGATTTAAACTATACTTCCAGGAGTTTTCTCATGTTCGTCATTATATAATAGTAAAAGCATAAAAACAAAAAAATGGGGCGAGCTGGGAATTGAACCCAGGGCCTCTCGCATGCTTGTGGTTTTTAGTTCAAGTTAGAACTCGAACTTCGCCCAAAGCGAGAATCATACCACTAGACCACACGCCCGATTTGATAATAGTTGAACGATTTGACACTTTGCACCTCAGTAGCACTGTCACGATTTTAACAAAAGAGAGACCGTTGGATTGTCAATCCCAAACGTAATACGAGAAGCAGGTACTTTTGAAAAAGTCCATCAGATACGTTGAATACAGGGATTAGTGACATGATTTATTGGTCAAGGCTATGGATTCGCTCAGAAGTGTTTGCTAGAGCCATGCTCGCACTATGTCGAGGTAGCGAGACAAAGATCGAGTTGCCATATTTTGCTGATGGCAGACTTGCTTCTGAATAATTCGACGCCAGCCTTGCCATTGCAGATGCTTCCATGCTGCTATACTGCGTTTGCATGGCCACAACACCCTTAACTTACAATAATATGCCAAAAACTTCCATAATGTCATCCGTTTGCCACTTTAGTATAGTGGTTAGTACACATCGTTGTGGCCGATGAAACCCTGGTTCGATTCTAGGAAGTGGCATTATTTTTTTGGTATCAGTATACAGCTTACGTTAAGCAACAGAAGCAAATTGTCTCTGAGACCGACTGAATATCATCTCAACTATAGCAAGCAATTGCATCACTCAAGTCCAGCAAATACTTTGTGTTTTAAGCCGGCTGTTACCTACCATACTATTAAAAAAAATTCGGACACTGCCCCAAAAATTTGGGGCGAGCTGGGAATTGAACCCAGGGCCTCTCACATGTCTGCGTATATTAATCGGGTGATGCCCCAATTTCGCCCAAAGCGAGAATCATACCACTAGACCACACGCCCTAATTTTAATGACAGCATCACAAAATTAGAGCCTATAGGTTCAAAAACTCGTTATTATAAAACAAGATGTTTTGGTTACGACAGCATACCAAATACCATGCACGCTAAGACTCTCACTCATAATTCTGCCCCGTGTACTAGATCTACATTTGAACCATGCTCTTTTATGAGAAGTATAAATGTAGAACATGCAAAAAAGAAGCCCTGTAGGGGGCTCGAACCCCTAACCTTATGATTAAGAGTCATACGCGCTACCGATTGCGCCAACAAGGCTCTTGATGGAGCTTTGATAGAGCAAGGTAGCCATAAGCAGTGGAGAGAGTCACGTTCAAAAGGCATTCCATGGAAGCTTGATATTATATATATATATACATATTGTATAGTTGTGAATTTAGTTGTCGTTAAGGTATTTCTGGTACAGTTCCCAAGTGGTTCCCTTTTCAGGATCGCGGACGTACACGTATTTCACGCCATATTTTTCAACGTCTCGGTTTCTTGTTTCATCATCGAAAAGACATGACTTGTAATCTCTTATATCTGCTTTTTTGCCAAAGATTTCTTGAATGCCCTGACGGATGTGAATGACTTTACTCTTTTCACCCCATTGTAAGGAATCGAACAGGGTAATTAACGGTACGATCTCACCGTTATACTCGACTTTAAATGCTCTTAGCAAATCTTGCGCAATTTCCGGTGCCCACGTTCTTGATGCGGAGACTATCTTGACGTCGTGGCTTTTCAGATCCTGCAAAATACGCGGAACGTCTTTGTAGAAGGAGATTTCGTAGCCATATGAATCTATGAGCGTACGGACCTCACCATTCTTGCTAGCCACCGGCTTAAAAGGTGGGTTCAAGTGAGTGTCGCAAAAACATGGCCAAACTGTGTAATCCAAGTCAAAAGCTGCCACTTCTGGGTAGGACATCTTCTAAATGGGTTTTGACTAAAATGCAAGTTAGGTGGTATAATTGCAGAACTCGTATTATTAGCCATTATCTCTTTGGCTTTTATGGGTGTCATGTGACCTCGAGAAGACACAGCGAGCAGTGCTGCCTAATATATATGAAAGCGTTGCTAGGCTTATTCAGAAGCAGGTCTCACGAAATGGATTTATTTTGATGAAGCTAGTACAACACGACTTAGCTTATAAGCATTAGGACTTCGAACTTTATAAACACATGTGGGTGGAAACTTGCCATGAATACTAAACTTTCAGCTATAAGAATTAAAGATTGGTCTCTTGGCCCAGTTGGTTAAGGCACCGTGCTAATAACGCGGGGATCAGCGGTTCGATCCCGCTAGAGACCATTTTATTTTTGGTAATTTTTCGCCTTCACTGCGCACCAGCAGTAGCACATTCATTCTCGTCTGACGTTGTCAATGCGGACTTGAAGCGTGCGTAGTTTTTTATGTGATAATGATCGTGATCGTGAACTCGTTACGTATGTAGTATAGATGCAATCATCCGTGCACGGATTTCGAAAAGGGCCTATCTAAAATTTGGTGGAATCTCCTAGTCCCAGGAGTCGACCTTCATGGTTCCCTTCTCGGCAAGATTTATATGAAACTTGTGGGCGTTTTTCAACATGTGAGGTTCGTGCATACACTTATTCTTGCGCGCATAGAACTCCGATTTCTCGAGGTAGTCCATTAGAATGGGTTGGTATTCAGGGTGGGCACAGTGATTTATTATTTCACGGGCCCTTTCGGTTGGTGACAAACCTCTTAGATCTGCCAAGCCTTGATCCGTAACCACCACGTCTAAGTCATGTTCGGTTTGGTCGACGTGAGAAGCCATGGGGACAATAGTAGAAATTCCGGTAGGGTCGGTCTTGGAAGGTCTTGCACATGGAGTGTGCATGATCGACAATTTGGCATTTCTTAAGAAATCGGCAGAACCTCCCAAACCGTTAAGCATCCGAGATCCAGAAACGTTGGTAGAGTTGGCATGTGCGTATATGTCCACCTCTACTGGAGTATTCATCGCAATGACACCAAGCCGACGTATAATTTCTGGGCTATTGGAAACGACTTGAGATCTCAAGCAAAGTTTCTTGGAGTAATCGTCCCAATTGTCGAAAAATCTCTTGAAACCGGGCTCAGTTAAGCGAATGCTGGTGGCAGTAGCATAATCCAGAGAACCATTTTCGAAAAGGTCTAGGAAAGAATCCTGAAGAACCTCTGTCCAAACTGTCAAATTTTGGAAAGAAGCAGAGGATAGACCTTCAATGACCGCGTTAGCAATGTTACCGATACCTGATTGCAATGGATGTAAGTTTTTGGGCAAACGGCCAAAAGCGACTTCGTGCTCTAAAAATTCAATTAAATGAGCTGCGATGGCTCTAGAAGTGGCGTCTGATGGGTGATTGGGGGGCACTTTGTCACGTTGATTGGATTCAACGATTGCCACGACTTTGGCCGGGTCTACGGCGATCGAGTCGACTCCACACCGATGGTCCACGGAGATGTAAGGGTAAGGTGGTCTATGTGGAGGGTTTATGGGCATGTCTATGTCGTGGATACCTTCGAAGGACTGGGTCGCCGTGTTGACCTCGACGATGACTTTGTCGGCGACCGCGACGAACTCGGGCGACGCACCGACGGAGGGACCGGGAACGATGGAGCCGTCTTCTTTGATCGCTGTGGCCTCGATGATGGCATAGTCCAAGATGGGCGCGCCCAAGGGTTTGTCACGTGAGTAGAACCCGTACGTGAGATCCTGTGGGAACATCGACAGATGCTTGTCGAAGAACTGGATGCGACCCTGGTTGATGGCGGACGCGATGGGCTTGCCCACCTGGTGCGGCGAGCGACGCGCGATCATGTCGAGCTCAGCCCACCGGGCCTCTTCGGGGCCAGCGCTGGCGCCAACAAACAGGTCGAAGCGCAGCTTGCCCTGCAAGCTGTTCTGCTCGACATGGTCGGCGAGTGCTTGGGGGACGACTTTGGGGGCGCCGACGCCGGTGAAGCCGGACCAGCCGAGAGCGTTGCCGGTTTTGAAGAGCGGGACGACGTCTGCGGCGGATTTGACACGGTCGAGGTATGGTGCGAATCTGACGCGTTGTTTGAGCAGGGACGACGACATGTGTGTGGGGGAGGGGAGTTGTGTGTGTGTGTATGTGTGTGCTGGGTGGCGTCAGATTTATATACAATTTAGCCGCCGAGAAAAAACAAACACAAACACAAACACGTGAACACGGTACTCGAGTACTGGATCCAGAGTTTCAACGACAGGGAGAACAAAATCTGCTTACCTAACCAGACAACCTTTCTAAATCGCTATTCACGGTCGGATGATCAATTTAGCCTTTTTACGCCTTTGGGCCTTGGATTTTTTTCTCCTTCTTCTTCCTTTTGCCCTAGGTTTTTGCTTTACCCCCTACGTTTCTCCACCTCCCAGATCCAAGCTGTCTCCAATCTCTCGAGTGGTCCCTATATATATACCTATACCACTAACTCGGCTGTATACGACGCGTATACGCGGGTAATGACGGACAAACACGCGTGCGTGACCGAAAAGTGCGAGGCATGATGCGGCGCCGCCGTTGGGAAAGGGCAACTCCGAGAATGGGTCGCTGTGATTGGTCCGGAGAATGTGGAAAGGGCGGGGATGAATGGAGGGCGAAAACCCCGCGGATACTCAAACTCGAAGCACTGTTGACTACAGTTGAGCAACTGAGAGCGTTAGCGATCAGTTGTGAATAAACTAGAGAACTCGGAGCACAATTGAACAACCGAGAGCTTCAGCGATCGTTTGTGAATAAACTAGGCAACTCGTAGTACAACTGAACAATTGAGAGCTTCAGCGATCAATTGTGAATAAACTAGAGAACTCGTAGTACAATTGAAAAACCGAGAGCTTCAGCAATCAGTTGTGAATAAAGATAGGCCTTCAAGCACTACTGAACAATTGAGAGCGTTAGCGATCAGTTGTGAATAAACTAGGCAACTCGGAGCACAATTGAAAAACCGAGAGCTTCAGCGATCGTTTGTGAATAAACTAGGCAACTTGTAGTACAACTGAACAATTGAGAGCTTCAGCGATCAATTGTGAATAAACTAGAGAACTCGTAGTACAATTGAAAAACCGAGAGCTTCAGCGATCAGTTGTGAATAAGTAAAGGGCTCTCAGTATCAGACAACTCGTAGTACAACTGAACAATTGAGAGCTTCAGCAATCAGTTGTGAATAAAGATAGGCCTTCAAGCACTACTGAACAATTGAGAGCGTTAGCGATCAGTTGTGAATAAACTAGGCAACTCGGAGCACAATTGAACAACCGAGAGCTTCAGCGATCGTTTGTGAATAAACTAGGCAACTCGGAGCACAATTGAACAACCGAGAGCTTCAGCGATCGTTTGTGAATAAACTAGGCAACTTGTAGTACAACTGAACAATTGAGAGCTTCAGCGATCAATTGTGAATAAACTAGAGAACTCGTAGTACAATTGAAAAACCGAGTGCTTCAGCAATCAGTTGTGAATAAAGATAGGCCTTCAAGCACTACTGAACAATTGAGAGCTTCAGCAATCGATTTATGAATAAGTAAAGGGCTCTTAGTATCACTGAACGCTTACGCTCTCAATAGTGAATACGTAGAAATTTCTTGATACTACTAAACAATTGAGAGCGATACAGAGTTTCGAGCACTGCAACTGTACTAAGAGCTCTCCAATTGATTCACAATCGAGAGCGCTAGCGATCAATCGTGACTAAATAGAGGGCTTGTAGTATCAACTATTTGGAACTTCGGCGATGAGTTGTGAAGAGGTAAAAAACTTGTATCTAGGATAGGACTACAAGCACAATTGAGCAATTGCAATTGGGAGCAATAGCGGGTAATTGTGAATAATTAAGGTAGCTTCAAGCTCAACTCACAATTGAGAGCGACAGATAGCAATTATACATAAGCAGAGGACGAGTGGAGGACTCGAAGCACTTTGGCGCTAGCGATTAACATCGGTAAATAGAACCACTACGGGGAGAACTTGTAGCAAACTTTAAGATTTGAGAGCGCTAGCGTTCTTGTCAGAAGCTTAGTTACATTTGAAAGTGTACGACAACTGACCGCTAGCGCATGAGAAAATTGAACAGAGTTTTATCAGCACTCGAAGCACTATACAGTTGAAATCGTCTGCAGTCAATTGTGGATACCTACGATAGAACACACTTAAACCACTTTTAACACACTTGTAATATGGTTATCGGTGAGAGCGTCAAAGACTAGGTAGAAGCATAGTAGTACGAAACTCCAACGGTACCAACCTCCAGTAGTGTTTAGGAACCAGCATTGTAGAAAAGTAGAGCGCTACAAGAATTTTAGCTCCCCCCCCCCCCCCCCCTCCCCACATTACCAAACCGGTAGAAAAACCAGAGTATAGTGACCATTAGTATGAGAAAATAAACTAAAAAGTGAAGTATGGTCTTGCAATTGAAAACCTGTACTAAGGTCTCACCAACGCTCTCAGCCCTAGCCCTACTACACCCTACCAAAGCTATTTTATCTACGGTGACAGCGATATAGAAATAATTATGGTTAAAACGCTCATAGTCTCGAAAGTCACGGTCTCGATAACAGCACAATAGCGCGAGCGTTGTGCACTAGCTCTAAGAACGTTGATGAAAGCGATCTTCACTGTCGAGAACCCAAGCCGAGTGTCAGATTCGACAGCAGCGTGGAAATATATATATTTTTATTACACTGACGCAGATCAGCGTCAAACGAGCGCTGGCGCTAAAAACGCATCAACTTTCTTTCACTCGTGAACAACAAAAATGACTACCAATGTACCCAAAATTTTAAAATCCACAGGAATTCTGAAAGCCAGCAATCTTACAACTTTTCTGTGTTTACATGGGGCCTTTTTTATGTTACATTTGACATTTATTCAATTATGCCAAAAGCTCCCATAAGCCATGGCCGAAATTCTTAAACCGTACCTATAGCCTAAAAACGTCTTTAAAACTACCTTCACTACATACGCCCTTTCTTTGCCTCCCACTCACACACACTTGGCGCTTCGTGCACCAAAGATCTCGTCCCACAGCAACCGTTTCAGATCGCCCGCGCCCAGACGGTCTTTGCGCTCGTCAAACCGAAACAACTCGGGATCCACTTTGATCGCAGCTGGTTCGTCGTGAGGGTCGTGATACGCGCTTAAATATGGATGTTTCAAAGCGTCTGCCGCACTGATTCGTCGCCGTGGATCGAACACCAACATTCGTTCCAAAAGGTCGATTCCCTCACGGTTCGCCGTGGGGAGTAGTTCTTTAAATGAGTGTTTCTTCGGGTAGTACGGCAACGAGCTCAGATACTGCAAAGCCCGTGTGGAACGCACGCATTCCAGATCTCGCGACGACGGCGATCCAATCACCTGAAATATCAACAACAGCTGGTGACGGTAGTCCTTGCCCGGGAACAACGGCCTACGCATCAAAAGTTCCGCTAAGATGCACCCACAAGACCACACGTCCATGGCAAACGTATATTCTGCCGCCGTAAGCATAACCTCAGGCGCTCTGTACCATCGTGTAGCCACGTATTCGGTCATTTGCCCACAGTCGCCGTTTTTCTTCCCCGACCCTCCTGCACCGGCGCCAGCGCACCTTGCCAAACCAAAATCACACAGTTTGACGTCACAATTGGCGTTCACGAGTAGATTCGAAGGCTTCAGGTCGCGGTGGATCACTTCTGCTGCGTGCAAGCATTTCAACCCGCGCAGGATCTGGTACACGAAATACTGAATGTGATCGTCCGACAGCGTTTGCGTGGCAATTACCCGATGGAGATCTGTGTCCATGAGCTCTTGAATTATGTATACCTCATTGAAAGTCTCGAAAGAGGCCGGTCTCTGGATGTCTAAAATTGAGATAATGTTTTCGTGCTGAAAGCACCTTAGAAGTTTGATTTCCCGCAGTGTGCGCAGACAGAAAAGCGTTCTGTCGAAGGGCTCGATTTTCTTGATTGCCACCATTTGACCTGTGGGCAAGTGGAGTGCGCTGCACACGATTCCGTACGCGCCCTCACCGAGCAGCTGTTGAAGCTGGAACTCGGACGAGATGTTGAAGACGATTTTCTTGCCCATGGTGTTGAATCGCAGTGCGCTACTACTACCACCGGCGCACTAGCACCAGATCAAGCGGCCGTGGCCAACACAGTGATCGACTAACCTGTTTTTATGTAGCACTGGACTCTTGAGGCACACACGTGTGGTGACGACGATCAGGGGACACCCAACCTCAAACCATCTGCAACGGAGTAAAGTTTCAGACACAGTTGCCTGAAACCGATGATGAAACCGGTGATGGCATTTTAAAGTTGCGGTATCGATGAGTTTTACCAGTGTTTCACATTGCGCTCTTTGTCCATTGACATAAGCCAAAGCCAAGCGTGTAGGTTCCAGCCCATCAAGAAAAAAACATCAGAAGATATAATCCTCGATTTACTAGTGGTTTGAGCGTTTCAATCGCACAAGAACCCCTCATCGATATTTTTCCCGGAGTGTGAGATCTCCGGTCGCATTAGCAGCATAGATCGTTTTTCTGTTTCATCCCGCGTTACGGTGAGATTTGCAACGAGATGAGCAACGAGATGAGTTTCAAGTTGTAAGTATCTAATCCATTAGTGAAGGATAGACTGAGGCCCCCAACCACAAGCGTCTGAAGCTCAAGATGATTGCTGCGATTGTTGTAATCTTTCGTCAAAACGCCTTCTGTCAGCCTACAGATTGATTTTTTTCACTACATGCAGGGCATACTGTTAGAATTTATTATGAATTATTAACAAATCTAACAGGACAAAGAAGGATTGAGGGTGCTCTTGGGGTCTACTGAGGGCCTATTCATGGTCTGAGAATGGGCCTCTGAGATCGGGATCAGAGCTTACACAGTGTTCATCGATACTTTCCTAAAAACCTTCTTTAAGCTTCCCAAAGCTTCCCATTGCCAAGATATTACCCAAACTCCGCGACTTATAGTAAGCTTGGCAAAACGGGCCATATTGAGACGAACAGAACTCGTCGTCGAAGTCAAAACGGGCGACCTTATCGGTTAGATATCGATGAGATATCCATCAAATCACGGATCACGTGCCACATACCGTCCAAAATGCCCTCATTTCGCCGCCGCGGCCAGTGGGAAAGCCTCTTTAAAAAGGAGGCAGACCACCACCCACACGAATACCATCTACAAAACATGATCCTCCGAGAACTGTAATACAAACTGCATTCCACGGCTTCAAGACTCATCAGCGTTCCTGCATAATGACAGTAGCATTGATTCGAGGCTTCTTGCTGCTGCTGTGGACGAGCTTGGCGGTTGCCGACTGGGCCCCAAGGGTCAAAGTGTCAAAAGGGTCGAGTCATGCTGTGTTCAAGCCGTTTGACGACTCTGAGGTCATTCTGAGCCAGAGTAAAGATCTAGTGACGATTTCCAAGGACGGTGGAGAAACCTGGAAAGAGACCTCCGTCGGCCGCAAAAAGTCTTATTTCCAGATCGATGACAACTATCCTAACAAACGGGCGTTTATCATAAGCTGGGAAACGCTGGAATTCTACATGACTACCGACCAAGGGGAGACCTGGTCTCAACTGAATTTACCTCTCCCCTCTTCCAGCAAAGATAACCCTCAGTTCAGCGTGCAGACCAACCCCTCAGCAGAAAACGACTTACTGGTGACTGTCGCCCTATGTGATAACGAAGTTGAGAAGTGCAAGGTTCACGGGTTTGTCACGAGCAATTTGAAAGACTTCAAGCCCATCCAACTGCCCGAAACCGACTGTATCTGGCTAAAATGTCAATATTTGGAACTTACGGACAGTGACGCGCCTTCCCATGACATCTTCTGCGATGCAACCTATATAAATCGCGAGGTTCCCGATCACAACGCTCCCAACTCTCCAGATGACCAATCGTGGGCTTATACAAAACTATTCGCGTCCAGGAACGGGGATGTTAAATTTGAGCCTCTTGCCCAGTTCGAGAACCTTAATATTCACCGAGTAACCATTACGTCTCAGTACGTCATTGTGTCAACATTAGATGACAGCTACAATTCAGATTCGTCGCAAACAATCTGGGTTTCTCAGGATGGCAAAAAATTCCAAAAGGCGTCGCTGCCTACCGATATCCGCGGATTTTATCACGTTTCAGAGCTTTCTCGTCGCTCCAAGGCGCTGGCCTTGCTTCCTGAGTTCAGAGGACCTGCGCAAACAGGAACAGGACTCGCTCTTTCGGACTCCGAAGGTCTCAGATTTTCTCACGTCTCAGCATTTTCGTCCGACAGTCCAGGATTTTACACGTTTTCAGATGTCGGCGACTTGGAAGGTGTTATTGTAGCTTCCTTTATGAGCATTTTCTCCGACAAGAAACAAAAGTCGTCCGTCCAATCCAAGATCTCATTCGATGGCGGGTTGTCTTGGTCGGCTTTACGAGTAGACGATGTAAATGACGAATTTGATTGCGATGTAAACGACCCTAACAGTTGCTCACTGACAGTTTTTCTCACTCCATATATGCTGCTAGGAAATCCCAAAGCTGCATTACCAGGGATGCACTCCTTGATCGGCGTGGTTGGAGACGTTGATGAGAGGCGGCCATTTAGTATGCAAACCTTCATTACCACGAACGGGGGCGAAACATGGAGGAAGGCTTTTGATTTTCCTGCTGCAATCCAGTATGGCGATAACGGAAATATCATGGTCGCTCTGCCATTCTCACCAGACGCCGATGGAGATCCTGCAACAGAGCTCTATTACTCACTAGATCAAGGTGACACCTGGATCGAGTACGAATTGAAGCAGTCTGTGTTCATAGAGGCATTTTTCGCAAATACCCTTGATGGGTCCGGTACAAAGTTTACGATCCTGGGCACAGATTTCGGCAGAAAGATGAGGTCTTGGCTATACAGTATCGATTTCTCAGATGCTTTTGACAGCAGAAAGTGCGGAGAAGATGATATGGAGGAGTGGTTCTCTAATTCTGGAAATTGTATTGGTGGAATAAGACGTAAGTTTACGCGGAGAATCTCTGATGCAGAATGTCTTGTTCGAGAAACTTACAAAGATCTCGAATACGAAGAGGAAATCTGTCAATGTACCGATGCTGATTATGAATGCTCTCCGGAGTTTTATCGCTCAAAAAATGGAGAATGCGAACTGGACTTTAACTTCCTTGAACAGTCGCATAGCTGCAGGGCTATTGGCAAAGGAGAAAACTTAGAACTTGCTCCAATCAGGTTACAAAGAGGTAACAGATGTGAGGATCCACTTGACATAGATCTGCAGGAGGTCGATTGTAATGGTTTACGGAAGGACGACAAGATGTCGCCCATTAGCGTGTTCGAAAATGTTTTCCAATCTGAGCTCAAATCATATCAATACTTTAACACCAAAGCTGATGAGACTGTTATACTCCGAAACAGTAAAAACGAAGTTTTTGTATCATATGATAGCGGTAAAGAGCTGAAGCGCTTGATGGATAAAGTTACGGAAGTTGTGTTTAACCCTTACTTCAACACTAGTGCTTACATTTTCGATGCTGACAACCAGGTGCATATCACAGATGATCGGGCAAGAAGCTTCGAGACGTATGAACTACCGGAGGCCAAACAAATAGGATTCCCTTTATCATTTCACGCAAAAGATTCCGATACCTTCATCTATTATGGAGGTAAAAATTGTGATAGCCTCGTAAACCCCGACTGTCATGCCGTGGCATACATTACCAGAGATGGCGGAAATACGTTCACGGAACTGATAAGCAGAGCTACGAATTGCGAATTTGTTGGCTCGCTGTATGAAGACCCTTGGGACTCGGATATGATATTGTGCTCAGTTCGAGAACCAGGGTCCATTGGCCATAAGATTGTTACCAGTGCTAATAATTTCGAAGACTCGGAAATAGTTTTCGAGAACGCCTTAGGATTCGTTTCTGCTGGCGAGTATACCGTTGTTGCCGTCCCCCACGAAGACCAAGAGCTGAGGGCGTTCGTTACAGTTGATGGCAAGAATTTTGCAGAAGCAAAACTACCGGCTGGCTTAAGCGCTACCAAACAACAGGCCTTTACTATTCTAGGGTCGCAAAAAGGAGCTATTTTTTTCCACTTAACCACGCATATGGATGAACATCAGGAATTTGGAGCCCTGATGAAATCTAACTCTAACGGAACGTCTTTCGTCACCTTGGAGCGGGCGGTCAGTCGTGGCCCCAGAGGATTTGTCGATTTCGAAAAAGTAGAAGGGCTGGAAGGAATAATAATGATAAACACCGTCTCCAATGCAGAGGAGCTCAAATCGGGCGCTGACGATTCCAAACTAATGAAATCAAAGATTTCGTTTAACGACGGGGCAGATTGGACTTATTTACAGCCACCAAACAGAGATTCAGAAGGTAAAAAATATGACTGCAACCCCAAAGATAAGGCGTCGTGCTCATTGAACCTCCATGGCTACACTGAGAGACGCGACCCACGGGATACTTATTCTTCAGGCTCAGCGGTCGGATTTATTATCGGTGTCGGAAACGTTGGTGAGTATTTATTGGCTAGGGAAATGGGCTCGACGTTCATGAGTGTCGATGCCGGTTTCACTTGGAGAGAGATCCAGAAGGGTGCATACCAGTGGGAGTTTGGAGACCGCGGAAGCATAGTTGTTCTTGTCAAGGACGGCGAGAAAACAGATTCCTTGACCTACTCTGTTGATTCGGGTAAAACCTGGCATGATTATAAATTTTCCTCTGAGGAAGTATATGTGGAAGATTTGATCACCACGCCCGAAGACTCTGCTATGCGGTTCATCATCATCGCCAAGGATTCCAAGGTGACTGGCAAGCAGACAAAAATCTTTACTATAGACTTCGCAAATTCATTCGACCGCCAATGCAGACTGCAATCGGACTACACCTATCACAGTTTTGGTGAGTGTCTCTTCGGACATCAGGCCGAATATTTACAGAAAATTAACGACAAATGTTACAATGGCGCCGCGCCAGTGTACGAAATGAAGAGAATTGCGAAAACTTGTTCGTGCACAAGAATGGATTTCGAATGTGATTATAATTACTTTAAGGCGGCGGATGGTACTTGTAAGCTAGTCGAAGGAACAGAGCCTTTGGACGGGAGTGAGATTTGCGAGAAATATTCCGATCTCGTTGAGTTCTTTGAACCTACTGGTTACAGAAAAATTCCTTTGTCAACATGTAAGGGCGGGTTGGAGTTGGACAGGTCTACTCGTCGACATGCCTGCCCCGGCTTTGAAGAGGAGTTCAAACGCCGTTACCAAATAAGTGGTGGTCGCTTAGCTGCGGTCATTATCATCCCTATCTTAGTGTTCATTGGAGCTGCCTGGTTTGTATATGACCGTGGTGTGAAACGAAATGGTGGATTTTCTCGTTTTGGTGAAATAAGATTGGGAGACGAAGAGCTGATCGAGCAGAATGGGCTAGACAAAGTCGTGAACGCAATCGTGAAAGTTGGAGTGTTGGGCTTTTCGGGCCTAGTGACGGCCAAGCAGCTAACAACACGGGGGATTCAGAACACATGGCAGCGGGCACGCTCGCGACTATCTGGGAACATGAGTGGTCCGACGTACCTGTCCTTGAATCACGATCAGTTTTTGGACGAGGCCGATGAGCTATTGGCTGGGCATGACGAAGACGCAAACGACTTAACGAGCTTTCTCCACGATGATGATAATTACGACATTGCTACAGAAGATGAACAGGGTAGCGAGGAGGCCAGACCCTACACCGACGAAGTCAATACTGATGAAATCAATGATACAGATGTCACTGAAAACGCTAGTGACGCTCCAGAAAGATCTCAATGAAACTAATTCGATTTATAGCTCACGGATCTATCCAAATTTCTCGACATTACAAAGAAAATATCATAGAATATCTTCTAAATTCTAACATGTTATCACAGTAGACTTTGACTATACCGTTTTGGTCTTCTCAGATCACCATTGTATAGTCTTCAATTAGCACACGTCGCGAACTACGAAGGATGCCAGTAATTGATCTTCCAGTAATAACGATGAGCGTTTAACGTTGGCAAGGCTTTAATCAAACTGCCAAGAACCAGCATAAGAATCTCACATGAAGCAGAATTTGCCATGCACAAGAATATCAAAGGAATGGGTTTATTACAAACTCAAATTGTATGTTGAAGGTCCTCCTTTGTCTTTCTCGATCAAGACATCCTGGTTAGGATATTAACATCATTGAAACCAGGACATCCCAAAGCGCAGAGACCGATAAAGAACTAGTATTTGATGAAATGACCTGGCGTCGTTTTATCAACAGCAGTCTGAAAAAATCGCATGGCGTTTTCGGAGAGGCCAGCGAATATCATTTCTTGAATCGAGATCAGAACATAGCATATCTTAAAGTCTTCGTGAAAGACGCAGATACTTTTGAGTCAGCTATTTCGACCTTCATCTCCTCCGAGGAATTGACAGAAGTTCCAGTACTGGCCTTGATCTTGCAAAAGACAAACGACATAAGCAAGCTCGAGGTGACGGATGATGACGTTCTGTGGCACAAGATAGCGATCTCTGAAGAAATGGAAGAAATGGAAGAAATGGAAGATACATCAATGACCTGATGGCATTTCACAGAAACTGAGGCAGCTCTCAACTGAATCCAAGAAAATTGTCCTAACATTTCCATTGGAAAAATCCACACGATGCGTTTTCGTCGTTGGCATCTCCTTTGGGCCTAGAGCAGACCCAAAATTTCTTGCCGGGATTATTTTGGGTTTTAGAAGTTCTTAAAATTGTGGGCTCTCCATGCTTGCACTCAGGCGGCTTGTCTAGTATTCCGTTCAGCATCTTGAAAAATGATTTAGATTCTTTGGCGGGTATGGCAGGTTGCATGGACAATGTGCTGTCATTTCCCACAAGGTCGGCATCAGAGTCAGCATCAGCATCAGCATCCATCGGTTTTCGCACCTTGGCCGAATGATCTTGCAATGCTGCCGCGATTGATGCTTGCCGCTGTCTCTTATCTGTTGCTGCTTTTGTAACGCGATTATCTGACTGACGACTTATTGTACTTCCTTCGCGTGCAGTTGAAGCTTGTCGAAACATGCTTGTGATATCTCGATTATTCAAATTGTGTTTGAACCGGGCCTCGAAAGGAGGTAAGGTCATGGGTCCTGTGGATATTGTATTCGTTGACGCCTGCAGTCTCATGTCAGCGTAAACAGGACAGTGATCGGAGCCCATCACTTGAGGCCATATGTCAGCTTGCTCAATTTGGTCTCTCATAGTAGCCGAAACAAATATGAAATCAATCCTCGATCCATAGTTTATAGGTCTTGAATTTTTTAAGGTGTTCCATACTGTGTACATCTTGAGCCTATCTCCTCCCTGTATAAATCTCGTCGTGTCAATCAAAGCTCCCGAGGTCGCTAGTTCTGGGACTTTTGAGTCTATTAGCATTTCATTCAATAACCGTCTTGCTGGCCTAGAAGGTGCGTATATAAAGTCCTTAACGGCTTCAGGGTTTGAAGACTCGACTGATGATCCTTTTGTGAGAGCAGTCACCATAACACCGGCATTTTTGAGAGCCTCTGCTTGATCAATAAGATCTCTGCATACATTGATGTCCCCCATTAACACCACAATCTTTCCTGCATTATGCAAATTCCGTATTCGTCTGAACAAAACCTTCAAAAACTTCAATCTGAATTCTTCACCTTCATCGGTTTGTGACGAGTTCGCTGGACAGTATGTGTTGACTATTACTGTATTGCACTTCAATTCGACCATGACGCATCTTCCTTCGGAGTCTAGGGCTAAAGCTTCATTTTCGTCCGATATTCCCAGTAGGTCGTACCCACCAATACCAATATCCTTAGCGTCGCGGTATCTGACACTGCTTTTGCCAGCCTTGATCTTAAGGTAACCTGTTATACCTTCTTCTGCTTTGACCACCTGTAAAATATCAAATAGAGGATCACCAGGATCAACAATGCGCACCCAGCAACCAACTCCAGAATAGCCGCGTCGTTTAACAGGTATAGATATGAATGAATGGAAGTGTCGGGTTTTTCCCCATCTTGTCAATGCTGGTAAATCTGTTTTAAGCTCTTGAAATGTTATAATGTCGGACTGAAAGTAGTCGAATACTTTGGTCAAAGAGTTGTTCATACTACTAAATGGGTGGTAATGGAAAAAAGTTCGAAGTCCATTGACATTGAAGGTGAGGAATCGTACATGAGAGTCTGTCTTGTTGGGTATCTGGGCCATCGCTTCCTTGATTTCTCATAGGGAAGACGAGAGAGTGAAATTTCAAAGAATACATATATTACCTACACATCTTTTGGATCATTCTTGTTTTGCTTCAAGTAAGCCTTAAGGCTATCCTTTTCTTTGTAAAGGATCAGGGACAGCAGTAGCAGAGCCATTGCGATGTTAATGAAGAACTGCTTAAAAGTTTTGACGATGCCGAAGAAACCAAAGTTTGAGACTGCAATGACAGCGGACACGACAGAGACGACCTTGAAATTGCGGAAATTGAGTAGAAAGGAAGCGTCCTGTACGTGAGAGTCAGAGTGGATGTTCTTGTAGAATTTTCCAATAAACCAGCCACAAAATGCGATTCTCAAAATCATATTGATGATGTTACTCAAAATTAGGCCCTCTAACGACATCTTGTAGCGACCAATCAAGAGCCAGCAGCTCGACAAGAATACACCCGAGAAAGCCATCATGAAATAGGAGTGCCTTAATATGTCTTCGCCGGAAGCAACACTTTGAAAAAACGCTTCGAATATACCATTTATCGAGAGGAACGGTAGGTAGAGACAGTAGATTCGAATAGTTTCCAAAACGCTGGTACTTGACCATTTACTACCAATGAGGAACTGTAGAAGAAATGGGGAGTTGACTGGTCCGAATACAACGATGAGAAGTGACAGGTATAGGTAGAACTTTGTCAAATTTACGAGTACTTCCATTGATAGCTTGACGTTTTTGGAATTGGTTACAGACAGAAGGCGGGCCAAAAAGAGTCTCAAAGATTCCTCAATGGGTGCGAACACAAGTCTTGTTAATAGTGAACCGTAGTTTGAAAGAAGTGAATAAATGCCCTGCTCCTCAACGGTACACATGGAGTTTATGATCAGTTTATCTCCCTCTGTGAGCAGATGCTTGAAGCACAGCTGTAAGTATACCTTTCTGAAATGTTGCAAAATATCGTTCTGGAAGTAGTAAGGCTGGGTTTTGCTCGAAAGCTGAATTCTGGTGGGCCAAATGCTGAATGTATTCTCTTTTGAGAGACGCCTGAAATAATCGTAGGCATAGCCGCACAATAGCGCTGCAGAATGAGCAAGTTTGCTTACGGCGAAGGCAAAAATCGCGATGCCTTCTTGCTTGTTGATATCGTGTAGAGTAGCGCCCGAACCATTGATCTTATTTTCGTACACGTACACTATGGCGAAATTGGCAACACAGGCTGCCACCACGCCGATGCTTTCGAATTGACTTCTGACTTTGAAATTCAACATGAGCTGGTTGACAATGAAAAAGGGCTCGCTAAAGAGCTCGAGAATTATGCTCAGCCAAATGATGAAAACTGCCAGCTTGAAATAGGGCAGCGAGATGAAATACTCGTTCAAATTGCTGTATTGCCATCCAATCAGCACGAATGACAGAGGAAGTCCTATTAAAATGGGAATATAAGCAAAGTTGATTGCTATTTGGAGTACCGTTGTGTCAGTATCTTCCGTCTCTGAATCGTCGTCATGGGCCGCGGCTTGCGACGATGCAGGGGTCTTAATTCTCAATGCTGATAGTCTGATCGCTTCCCGACTGAAAAATAGTACCGTAGACAGCAGGAACTCCATGAAAGCGTTAATACCAAACACTTTCGGCGACAAATACCTCACCAGAAGTGTATTCAGCAGAAATGTGACAACTTTCGCAAATAACTGGCTGAACATCAGAAAAGTGACCCCTCTGGTCGACTTTTGAAGAATGCTTTGGGGCCGAGAGTTCCCAGGTTCTTTCTTCATGATATCAGGGCTCAATTGGATAGCTTCGCTCGACTAGTAAAGTATTCTGTTTGTTTGAGTTGAATATATATAATAATTGTTAATCGCCCATGTTAATATTCTTAAAACAATGAAAACTCGAATCCATTCAATTTGGTAGCAGACAGTCGCTAGAGACCTTTCGCAAGCCAGTGAAGAGCCAGATCGACTATCTAATGGACAAAGAAGCTGAAAGACAAGAACTACACAATCAGTTCGTGGCCGAGTTGCGGGAACAGGACCGATGGTTACCAATCAACAATGTAGGCAGATTGATGAAGAATACGCTTCCTGTATCCGCTAAAGTGTCAAAAGATGCCAAAGAATGTATGCAGGAGTGTGTTTCAGAGTTTATTTCATTTGTCACAAGCGAGGCGAACGATAGATGCACGCAGGACAAACGCAAGACGATCAATGGCGAAGACGTGCTGACATCGCTCAATGCACTGGGATTTGAAAACTATGCCGAAGTGCTCAAGATTTATCTGGCAAAATACCGTCAGCAACAGGCTTTGAAGAATCAGATGATATACATGCGTCGAGACGGTGTATCGGACGATTTGGAAGGCATGTCTGCTGACGAATCCGTGTCTTTGGGTGCAGTCAACGACGAGCCGCCTGCGATGCAGAACGAAGCCCAACCACAGCAGCTAGACGCAGATGCCAGCACAAGCCACAACGAACACGAAAACGAGTACATCGAGGGGGACGCACAACTATACCTGTGAAAGCGCTCTAGACAACAGACACACAAGAGAAAAACTGACACGAAGGCGCCAATATTTGGTCTACCCTTCGGTTCGAACTCCGCAGGCGGCGTAGGTGCTTTACGTTTTTCTCTGTCGGTCAAGTGGGTGTCAGGCCTCGCAAGCCAAGCGTTGTGAAGCCTGTAACGGTCGCGGGGCGTTAATGTGGCATTTAATCCCGGCGTTTCAAAAGGATTGCATTGTTTTTCGAAAGTCTGTACACTCGATGAATTCCATGGAGCAGACTGTGCGCGTGTCAAGACATTGGTCTTCGAGTGATGAGGCGCACGAAGTGCACCTTTCCCAGATCACTCTGTACTATAATGTCATCGTGGCATGTATCCCGACCTTTCAGGCCAAAACATTTGAGTCTCGCGCATCTTCAAGCATTTCAAAATGCATACTTTTTCTGATTTATGTCTTTTATGGTACTGATTATCGATCTGTGGTAACGGAACGGTCGACGACGTCACGGACAATTTACTCCTAACATCACGAAAAAAGGAGGCTAAAGGCCACTTCGCAATTCAGATAATTATTATCAAAATATAAGGGACTGCGATGAGAAATCTAATGGCAAATCGCCCGGCGATTCTCCTCCTGGAACGCTTCTCACAATAATCGTTAGAATTTAAGATCACCGTGAACGTAATCTCATAGATCATTATGCGTAATATATTTGTATGAAGGCTAACTAACTAAGCTTGCCACCCATCTTGATCACAGCGTCAAAGCCCGTCGATATGCTTCGCAGAAGAAGCCTGGCGGCCTTTGGACAGTTTTATAAGCGTAGCTTGGGCTTACAAGTAAGATTAGCCTCAAGCGTGGCCTTCCAGGGCGATCTGAATGCTCGAGCAACAAAACATATTAGCCAAGTACACTGGGATGCATACCAGCGGCAGATTCGAGAACTTGGCATCAGCGGCGAGCTGAAAAGGCTTGAATCCGAATGGTTACAAGAAATTTCACTCAAAAGTGATTCGAAAAGCGATCCAAAGACGCCCGTGGATCCCAAAACACCAGAAAAGGAGGACAGCAATTCAAAGGATAAAGGGGTCCCCAGTTCCAATGTTACGGAGGAAGACAACGATCAAATCCAGAAATCCAGTGAGTCTGGCTCTTCTTCTGTCTCGAATTCAAGCTCTGCCGGTTCTGCACCCTCCGACAATGGAGGAAACGGTGATGACGGTTCCGAGGGCGGTAACGACACAAAACATTCCTCGAAAAAGCCAAAATTACCTGAAGTTTACCCACAAATGCTAGCACTACCCATCTCCAGACGTCCTCTTTTTCCAGGGTTTTACAAGGCCGTGGTCATCTCCGATGATAGAGTAATGAAAGCCATAAAAGATATGCTAGAACGTCAGCAGCCATACATTGGTGCGTTTCTTCTTAGGGACTCTGATGCAGACACAGACGTTATCCATAACACAAACGAAGTGTATGAAACCGGTGTCTTTGCGCAGATCACAAGTGCGTTTCCAAGCAAAGATGAGAAAACGGGTGCTGAGACCATGACCGCCCTTCTCTATCCACACAGAAGAATCAAGATTGACGAACTTCTGCCGCCTTCTACTGAAAAGGCGAATTCAAGCACCCCATCGGAAACGTCTAATCCACCTTCTGCCACGCAAGAAGACTCAACCGAAAGTCAAGCCCTCCAGACAGGAACTTCACGCATGGAAGAATTACAAGAGCTTGAAGAAGAATCTAATCCAACTGATTTCTTAAAGGAGTACGATGTTTCTTTAGTCAACGTCTCGAACCTTGAGGACAAAGAATTTGACCGGAAATCGCCCGTGATAAATGCATTAACCTCGGAGATACTCAAAGTGTTTAAGGAGATTTCTCAGCTGAACACTATGTTTAGAGAACAAATTGCCACGTTTTCTGCGTCCATTCAATCCGCCACAACCAATATCTTCGAGGAGCCAGCCCGCTTGGCTGATTTTGCCGCAGCAGTTTCTGCTGGCGAGGAGGAGGAATTACAAGAAATTTTAGAGTCTCTTGACATCGAGCAAAGATTAGAGAAATCTCTTGTGGTTCTCAAAAAGGAGCTGATGAACGCTGAGCTGCAGAATAAAATCTCGAAAGATGTTGAAACAAAAATTCAAAAAAGGCAGCGCGAGTACTATCTGATGGAGCAACTAAAGGGTATAAAGCGTGAATTAGGCATTGACGACGGAAGAGATAAGCTAATTGAAACATTCAAGAAAAGACTAGAAAAGCTACAGTTACCAGAAAACGTTCAGAAAGTGTTCGACGACGAGGTCAATAAGCTGGCCACACTCGAAACTTCTATGTCCGAGTTTGGTGTCATCAGAAACTATCTAGATTGGATCACGACTCTACCATGGGGCGTAACTTCAAAAGAACAATATTCGATTTCGTTGGCAGAGCAGATTTTGGACGAGGATCACTACGGACTAAAAGATGTCAAGGACAGAATTCTTGAGTTCATTGCTGTGGGCAAGCTTCTAGGAAAAGTGGATGGAAAAATAATATGTTTTGTCGGTCCTCCTGGGGTTGGAAAGACTTCTATTGGCAAATCTATCGCGCGTTCGCTTAATCGACAATTTTTTAGATTTTCTGTTGGTGGTATGTCTGACATTGCTGAGATCAAAGGACATAGAAGAACGTACATCGGGGCATTACCAGGAAGAGTCATCCAGGCCTTGAAAAAGTGTGAAACCCAAAACCCACTGATTTTGATCGATGAAATCGATAAAATTGGACATGGAGGTGTCCACGGCGACCCATCTGCAGCACTCTTAGAGCTTCTGGACCCCGAGCAGAACAACAGCTTTTTGGACAACTACCTAGACATCCCTATGGACTTGTCTAAAGTTCTATTTGTGTGCACTGCCAATACGCTTGACACAATTCCAAGACCTTTACTGGATAGAATGGAGGTAATCGAGTTGACAGGCTATGTGGCTGAAGAAAAGATAAAGATCGCTGAACAATACTTATCGCCCAGTGCTAAACGCGACGCTGGTCTAGCCAACGCAAAAGTTGATCTATCTGAAGAGGCCGTGGTTGCTCTGATGAAGCTTTACTGCAGAGAGAGCGGCGTGCGTAATCTGAAGAAACACATCGAGAAGGTCTATAGAAAAGCAGCGTTGAACGTGGTTAAACAAATGAGCTTGGACGAATCATCATCAGTTGAGGGCTCAAAGAGCGATGACAACGAGAAAAGCAACTCTTCCAAGAGCGGAGACGAGGAGACTGTCGGTTTCGCAGAAACGCTACCAGATCGGCATTTAAAGTTGGAGGTCAAAAAAACCCACGATAGCCAAGAAGCTCTAACAGTGCCAGGAAACATACAAATTGAAATCAATTCCGACAACTTGAAGGACTATGTTGGACCCCCAGTATACACCACCGACAGGTTATACGAGGCAACACCACCCGGTGTGGTAATGGGTCTTGCGTGGACAAGCATGGGAGGCTGCGCCATGTACGTGGAATCCGTGCTTGAACAGCCCATCAATATCAAATCTCAGGCATCACTCGAACGCACCGGCCAATTAGGTGATGTTATGAAAGAATCTTCAAGGCTTGCATACTCTTTCGCAAAAATGTATATGAGCAAGAAATATCCTGAGAATCGATTTTTCGAAAGAGCTGCTATCCACTTACATTGCCCAGAAGGAGCGACACCTAAAGACGGGCCAAGCGCTGGTGTGACCATGGCATCCTCACTTCTTTCGCTTGCTTTGAACAAGCAACTTGACCCAACTGTTGCCATGACTGGGGAATTAACTCTGACTGGAAAGGTTTTGCGGATTGGTGGCTTGCGGGAAAAGGCTGTTGCGGCCAAAAGATCCGGTGCAAAGACAATCATTTTCCCAAAAGACAACATAAACGACTGGGCTGAGCTTCCAGACCACGTCAAGAACGGTTTGGAGCCTCTGGCTGCTGACTGGTACGATCAAATCTTCGACAAACTATTTTCAGAAGTTTCCTTGCCAATCGGAAACTCTGTTTGGCAATTGGAATTTGACAAGATCGATGCCAAGGAGGCGAAAAAAGACGATTGAATCCACATACTTTGTAAATAATGTACGCTATTAAACTAATCAGATCACATAGCGGCGTCTGCGTCCAGCCTTACGTTTTTCGTACAGGGCTTACGCACTTTATCATTTTGAGCACTACGTTGCCCTGACGAAAATGTGTCATTTTATATGGATGTCAGTTAAATCCATGTTAAGAATAACTACTTTACTTATGAAATGTACTTTCAACGTAGCGATTCCCACATTCAAGAAGTTCTAATCAATTCATGTTCGTTACTAAAACCTCCAAACGATTTGCGTCTAAATCCATCGTGGATTGCTCGATTCTTAGTACTAATGCTTTGATAAACGGAAAATGGAAGCATGGAGAAGGATACACCGTTGAAAACCCATCAACGCTGGAAGAAGTATGCAAAGTCACTGATTGCGGAGTCAAATATTATCACAATTCAATCAAAGCTGCTGCAATAGCCTTCAAGGACTATAGACATTCCTCAGCTGCCGAAAGATCCCAAGTTCTGTTCGACATATATGATTTGATCCAAGAACACAGCATGGACCTCGCTCGACTAATAACCTTAGAAAGTGGTAAGGCGTTTGTGAGCTCTCTCATCGAAGTAGCAACCGCTGCTAATTGTTTTCAATTGTTTGCTAAAGCGGCTTCACGGCCATCTGCATCTTCAGCGTTGGAAACTTCTCCTTATCCTCGATTAACACTGGAAATCAATCAGCCCTTGGGTGTTTTTTTTGGAATAATATCACATTGGTCGTTTTCAGCCGCTGCTTCTAAAAAGCTTGCGGCTGTTATTGCCACGGCAAACACATGCGTATTGCAGCTAGCACAAGAAACTCCGCTAGCTGCCCTCGCTTTAGGGTATTTATGCACTCAGGCTGGTATACCAGATGGAGTGTGCAATGTGCTTCCCACGACACATGGTCAGAGCACTGGCAAACTTCTGTGCACTGACAAGAGAATTCGCAAGGTTATATGCACCAGTCCTTATAATATGCACCAGTTCGTTTTGAATAATCGTGCTGGATTGAGCGACGTTGAGAAGGTCTCTTTCACATCTCGAGGTGAGATACCATTCATTATATCTAATGACGCAGATATCTCAAAGGCGGGACGAGATATAATAAACTGTAGATTTAGGCTATCAAACGAATATGGATCTCGCAGAAGTCGAATTTTTGTTCATGAGTCGCTATACAACGAGCTCGCCTCCAAATTAGTATCAATGGTCGAGTCAGATAGCCGTTTGGGAGACGGTTTTGGTCACAGTGTCACATATGGACCACTGTGCAGCGAAAGTGAGATTCACAGAATCTCGCAATTGGTTGAAGATGCCAAAGACAAGGCAGCTACCGTCTTATGTGGAGGTGCGAGAGCTAGCAGCCTAGGTCCTAGATTCTTTCGTCCTACAGTTCTCGGTAACGTTAATGAAGAAATGAAGATTGTCCAACAGGACTTTTATGAACCTATTGCCTCCCTTACAAAATTCAAATCCCTCCAAGAAATTGTGGAAAGAGTCAACAAGACACATATCGGATGTGCAGCGTACTTGTATTCTTCTGACTCTAAGAAGGCTTTCGAATTGGCAGCTGATCTTAATTTCGAGGTTTTGCACATAAATACCGCCTTTAACCAAGATTCTAGTGCAAAATGTAGCATTTCTTGCTCCTCGAAGCTGAAACTCTATACCAAGACTGAAATTGTGATTTGGGAACCGTGAGAACTTAAAACAAGTATAGTATGTTTCATTAGCTGTCTTATTCTTTATTTTGCAATTTGAAGAAATTGCGAATGTCTTCTTCCTTAACGATCTGTCCTGAATCAGCGAAAGGCTGCAAGAACTCACTCAGTTTTTGCTTGATCCCGTCCATGGCCCTCAGACCAACAGCAGCTACATCTCTATCAACCGTTGAGCTCAAAGCTTGCGTCCCCAGCTCATAGGTAGAAGCATCGTCATCGGAGTCCTCTGGAGGCACGTAAACTGGTTCGTCCTCGGTCAAGAAGGGCGCGATATCATCCATGAAGAGATAAAGCTTGCTAGTTTTTTCCAGTTCAGCCTTTATTTCTAGCAAAACACTTTTGTAGCCTGGAAGAAGCATTAGAGAAAAAGACTCGTCGTTCTCCATATCATATTTGCGTTTTCGCAGTCCGTCGACCGAATTACCTGTATTGGGTTCAGATTTTTCACTCGCGGGACTTGAATGTTTGATTTTATGTGCTATCAGGTCCTGAGAGCGTGAATGGGCCAAAAGATCCCGGAAAACAGATTTATACCGAGAGGCACACTTCCAACATATGAAAGCGTCGAAAGATTCCAGGCTAGGAAAGCCAAGAGGAAGTGATTGTTCTGTTGGATTCGAGGGTTTCTCTCCCTCTTCGATCTGGTTTTGAGTCTGCACAATGCAGGCACAGTGGTACCAGTCTTCGTTGCATTCCAGACCTAGGGCGCACTGAATCATTGTTGAGTCAGATTCGGGATCGTACTGCTTGTGACAATCGCAAAAGTAGCCCTTGAAATTGGGTCCGTACGAGTTCGATAAGCTTGGAATGTCCTGAGTCGTGTTTTTTCTCAATTGACACCAATACTCGTTGTCCTTTTTGGGCTTGGCTAACTGTCTTTCAGTACCGCAGTCGCATGTGAATGCTCTTTTGGTAAATAGCTCGATCAATTCACAATTTGCATGACATTGAATGGAGCACGAATAGCACACACCTATTTCCCCACAGCTCAGACATGCAAACACGGGTTGTCGCAGTCCTCCATCAACGTAAGTGCAGTGACTCGGGTTCCATGGCATTATTTCGCGAGCCTCATCTTCCAAGGCATTTTGTTGATTGATGTACTCCGACGCACTTATATCAGACATTTCAGGTTCGAAATATTAATTATGGGTAAGTTTAAGTGGCCGGTCCGTTGTCTTTGGACGCGTATATGGCTAGACTAAGGTCAGTTCTAAACATTCTTCTTTTGGTGTTGTCCGATGCGATGCCTTTAGAGTTACTGGAGGTAATCATACGCCAAATAAGGTCGCTAAACACGAGCAACGTGCTAGAGCGAATTGGCCATAACGAGGTGGTGATCCTGATCCGTACCAAGGTTAACGACTTACATTTAGACGACGCCCTCGAATTGATGTGATGGAATTGCTGCGATCTCAATATCTTGATTTTTCGCTTGAATTGCTGTTTCTAATCGTTTAGACTCGAAATTCAAAAAAGCCAATTTCGAGTATCCGTCGTGGAATTCCAGCTAAGATATGGTTGTTAAGGTTAATCTAAGTGAAATATATATATATATAAGCTGTTAGTTGTTCCCCGTAATTTTCGACTGGGCCTTCACTGAACTGCAGGATACGTTGTAACTTAGGTCTTGGAAATTTCATCACCGCCGGGAGCATTGCCAGCATTCTCAAAGATACGAATGGCTTTGGCTAAGCTTGAACTTCAAACATCGCAGAGGCTCTCAGAGCTGAAATTGGCATGCGATAGATGGTCGTGGCCCTTTCGATGAGTTATTGTCACTTTTGACCAGTTTGTCATCTGCCGCTGGATCACATGTCAAAGCTTATTTGGCACCAGGCGAAATACCTGGAATTGAGTTCGAGCAAGTGGCCGAACGCCATGCATTTAGTCTGTCATTTGGCTGGCAAAATTTCATGGGGATCAAGATGAATGCGTTTTGTTTATCTCTTCACAGTCAACCTCAATGTGAAAATATGTGATGCTTTGAACTGCTTCTGTCTCCGGGTTGAAAAAGGCGCAACCTGAATCTAAACACAATAAAACAAAAAACTGGTTTATACGTACTTCATATAACACATAGGGAAGGTCCTAATAAGATCTATGAAAAGCTTTCTTGGTATCGCAAAAAATTGGCAACAGTAAGTATAGAGCACATAAAACCGGCCGAAAAGCCTTGTAAATACTTGCAGCAAGTAATTGGTGACAACCACTACAGCATGTACTTGCCAGTTTTTTTGAAAGCATGTTTGCTGGTTTTCAAAGCTCTCACAGAATTATCTCTGAAAATGAAAATGTGTTCGAACCACGAAATTCAAGAGTCTCACCATCCATCAGACAAGCAAAGACAGCAGTTAGACACCGCTAATGTCAGAATAAGCATACGCTGTCGCCGATGCCATTTGATAGCTCGCCCAAATGCGAGTACATATATCATTCCATACGTGATTACTACCTATAACAGCTAAATTAGACATCTTACATCTATGAACCAAATCCGCAGACCACTGATACGGATCATCGAAAAACCACCAAGAGCACCGCACCTAAGCTGCCACGATGGATCGCAGAAGGAGAAGAGCTGAAGATGACGAAAACAGTGATGAAGAACGCGCGGTACCCCCTTCGTCGCCGCAGGCTCTTACAATGGGAAGGTCTTCGCCATTGGGATCTCCAGAAGAGATCGACTTCGAAAACCCAGACGGAGAAGAAGTGAACGCTCCCCAGGACCTGGATGAGATAGAAGAGCAATTGGACGAGGAGGATCTGATGGGTGACGATATGTACCAGGATTATGGCTCTGACGTCAGACGAGATGCCTACGAGAACACTGGATTAGACGATCGAAATCAACGAGAGCTCGATATTTCCGCAAGGCGGAGAATCGACGCTCAACTGAACGAGAGGGACCGACTTCTGCGAAACGAAGCCTACATGGATGACGATGAGGACGTTGAAGACGCTAATCTGGACGAAATGGGGCTTCCCACGCAGAGACGTCGCAGAAGGCGACAGTATGAGGACGATGACGATTTACTCTCAGACATAGATATAGACCCACTGACCGAGGAACTCACGTTGGAATCACTCAGTGATGTCAAGGCCTCGAGCTACACAGAGTGGATAACCCAGCCAAACGTGGCACGCACCATTGCACGCGAACTGAAATCGTTTTTGCTCGAATACACCGACGAATGGGGTAGATCTGTCTACGGTGCTAGAATCAGAACGCTTGGTGAGCTCAATTCGGAATCTTTAGAGGTGAACTACCGACATCTGGCGGAATCTAAAGCTATTCTGGCACTTTTCCTCGCAAAATGTCCAGAAGAGATGCTCAAAATTTTCGACGTGGTTGCAATGGACGCGATTCAACTGCATTACCCAGATTATGCCAGAATTCACGCGGAGGTTCACGTCCGTATTTCCGATTTCCCAACTGTTCTCAACTTGCGTGAATTAAGAGAGTCCAATCTTAACTCTTTGGTACGGGTTAGCGGTGTTGTCACCAGAAGAACCGGAGTGTTTCCTCAATTAAAGTATGTGAAATTCAATTGCTTGAAGTGCGGCGCGGTCCTCGGTCCATATTTCCAAGACTCTAATGAGGAAATCAGAATTTCCTTCTGTACAAACTGCAGGTCGCGCGGGCCGTTCAGAACCAATGTCGAGAAGACTCTATACAGGAACTATCAGCGTATTACACTACAAGAGGCCCCAGGAACCGTACCCGCGGGGAGATTACCAAGACACCGAGAAGTTATATTATTGTGGGACCTTGTAGACATCGCCAAACCTGGTGGAGAGATTGAAGTCACTGGTGTCTACAAAAACACATATGATGGAAATCTCAATGCAAGAAATGGATTTCCCGTTTTTGCCACTGTTATTGAAGCCAACTCTGTGAAAAGGAAGGAAGGAGGTCAAAGATTCGGGGACGACGAAGAGGGGCTGGATGTCTTTGGCTGGACCGAAGAAGAAGAGAGAGAATTCAGACGTATTTCGAGGGATCGTGGAGTAATTGACAAAATTATATCTTCGATAGCGCCATCAATCTATGGTCACAATGATATAAAAACCGCCGTGGCCTGTTCATTATTTGCCGGTGTTGCAAAGAACGTCAATGGAAAGCATTCCATTCGTGGTGATATCAATGTGCTGCTTCTGGGTGATCCCGGAACAGCCAAATCCCAAATCTTAAAGTACGTCGAAAAGACTGCACACCGAGCTGTCTTTGCCACAGGTCAAGGTGCATCTGCAGTTGGTTTAACTGCCTCGGTACGAAAAGATCCTATAACAAAAGAATGGACTTTAGAAGGTGGTGCACTTGTTCTGGCAGATAAAGGCGTGTGTTTGATCGACGAATTTGATAAAATGAATGACCAAGACAGAACTTCGATTCACGAAGCTATGGAGCAACAAAACATATCCATATCCAAGGCTGGTATTGTAACGACACTGCAGGCGAGATGTGCAATCATTGCTGCAGCAAATCCTAATGGAGGGCGTTACAACTCAGCGTTACCGTTGGCTCAAAACGTCGATTTGACAGAGCCCATTCTATCGCGTTTTGACATATTGTGCGTGGTAAGAGATTTAGTTGATGAAGAAAAAGATGAGAGACTGGCTCGCTTCGTTGTTGATTCCCATGTAAGATCACATCCCTTAGATGACGTGGCGAACGATGATGGAGAGGCAGGAAACTTGGACGGTGATGAAGAGTTCGTCTCTGCAAGACAAAGGCGCCTACAGAGAGAAAGACAAAGAGAAGGAGAAATCTCTCCAATACCGCAAGAAACATTGATGAAGTACATCCAATATGCAAGAACGAAAATTTTTCCCAAGCTTCATCAAATGGACATGGACAAGGTCAGTAGAGTTTACGCAGACCTGAGACGTGAAAGTATCACAACAGGGTCCTTCCCCATCACAGTTCGTCATTTAGAATCTATTCTTCGAATCGCGGAGTCTTTTGCTAAGATGAGGTTATCTGAGTTCGTTTCCTCTTGGGACTTGGATAGAGCGATCAAAGTGACTGTGGACAGTTTTGTTGGTGCCCAGAAAATTAGTGTGCGCAGGCAGCTACAGAGGTCATTCGCCATCTACACGCTTGGACAAAATTAGCAGTCCTTTGTGGAGCTTTCGAGATTAGCACCAATTTTACTTATGCCATTAAGGCCATTAATTCAGTTATTCTATAGTACAGATTTGAGATGTTTCACTTGTTTTGTGCTTTATTTAAGATGTGGCTTCGGTCGTTGGAGCAGCGTCTTCGGCAACCTGAGCGGAAGCTTCTTCAGATTTTGATTCAACTTCCTCCGATTTTGGTTTGACTTCCTCAGACGAAGTAGCTGCTTTCTGATTTTCTTTTGCGGCAGCCGCCTGCTTCAGAGCAGCTTCGTCGCCAAACAGGCGGTGCAACAATTCTTGTGTGTTTTCTTTGCACACCATTAAGTTTACACACTTGCTTCCGTTCCACAAAGGCAAAAACATGCTCTCCTTGTCGTCGCCTCTCTCGACGTTGATGAATGCACATCCGGCAGATAGAGTCTTCATTTTGCTCAAAAAGTAGTCATCGATGTGGCTTTTCTCCATATCTTCAAATCTTGGGAAGGATTCCATCAGTAGCATTTTGAAACAGTCCATATTGACATCAACAACTCTGTTACGGTTCATATGGTGCTTCATAATTTGTAAACTTTCGTTTTGAATTCTCCAGGAGCACTCGATATCAGATCTTTGAGACACAAAAAGCTTCACACCAGAATAAATCAATTTCAATCTGTCGTCGTTAGCCTCAATAATGTTTCTCAACGATGAGCTTGCATAATATATGACACGAGTCGGCTCTCCTGCTGCGTTTCTAACCAGACAGGAAGATTTGTCGAATTTATCGTCGATTCCATAAAAGGACCAGCACTTTTCCAGCTCAGGGTGCTTAGGATCCAAGAAGACAAAAGGCTCTTCGTTAGCGTCTCTAGGAAGTTTTTCTTTTTTTGTAGAGGCAGGTGCGGTAACTGGTGTGGCAGCACCCGTTTCTACCTTCTGTTTCTTCTCGGCAATGAGCTGCTCTTGCTGCTCTTCTGTGTTGGCACGCTTGGCTTGTTCATCAACTTCGCCGTCGATTTTTTCGAAAACTGTAATGAAGAAACCACCGGTATTCTGTTGGTGAGGGTAGACCCTTATGCACCGATCCAAACAAAACTCTTGCGCCTCTTCGGCTGTTGGTGGAAACCAAGATGCATGAGTGTCCTCATCGCCTCTTTCTTTCTTGACGTAGTTTTTGTCGATGACAGGCCAGTTAGTAATACCTTGGCTTCTAACAAGACCTGGCAGCTGATCCTGGCAATCAATCAGTCTAATCTTATCGCCGAAATGTCTGAGTGCTCCGGCCACAACAGCTTCATTTTCGATGGGGTTCATGGAACAAGTTGAGTAGACTAGCTTACCGCCCTTTTTTAGAAGGTTCAGACCTCTTTTCAAAATGTTCAATTGAACGGTGTGGAGGCCCAAGCCGGAACCAGTACACCAATCCCTCCAAACGTTGACGTTTTTACGCATAGTACCATCTCCCGAGCAAGGAACGTCACAGAGCACTCTGTCGAACTTCAAGAACTGGTTAGAATCCTTGTCAGTTTTAATGCGGGGAAAAAATTGGGCATCATGGTTCACTACAACAAGGTTTGCACTGTTGAGTCTTTTCAATTGATGAACAAGCATGTGTGACCTTCTGTGGTCAGCATCGTTTGCAACCACGAATCCAGTGGGCTCATCGTCATTTGCATGAAGAGCTTCGATCATTTGAGCAGTTTTCGAACCAGGAGCAGCACACATGTCGAGAACCGCATGTTCTGGCTTGACATCCAAGACAATTGGTGGAATCATAGAAACAGCTTCTTGTCTCGATATGTTGCCCACCGCATTTTCGACCACTAGAAATCTTTGCACTTTCGAGAATTGTTCGTTCTTTCTAATGGCCTGCTTAGAAACGTCCAACTGCCAGGCCAAGTTTTCTGGATACCAGGGTAGTCTTGTGGGTGCCTTGATAATCTCGCCTTCGAACTCGCAGTTGGTTAGATTAGGCAGATGCTGCTCTTCAAAAAGAGACAAGACCTCGTGAGCATGTTTTCTGGACCCGGTAATTCTGAAAGTCAATGGCAGCTGCGCCTGACAAGTCTTTTTGAACTCATCCCATTGATCCTCTGGAATGACGCCCAAATCTTTGTAATACTTTTCCCATTTTTCGTTTTCTTTTTGAAGCTCAGTCCAGTTTTTCTGGGCATTGGAGTCGTCCCTGGCTCCGAATGTCTTCTTGTTGCCCTTCTTAAAGTTTCTCTTTCTAGCCATTGTTGCGTTCTTAGCAAGGAGTGATGTAGCACCAGTCGATCTCCCGTGTCAATAGTCGATGGAATCACTGCGATGAGCTAGCTAGCGTAAAATGAGTGTTTGGCAAAATGAAAATTTTCCCGCCATAGGATCTGCCATCAAAGGTCACGGGACGCGAATCGTGTAAGTGTAGAGACTCATTGCCATACAAATCGAGGTGTTTGAACAGAAGCATAGACAGCTCAGTTGTAAAGCAACACGTTTGGGAGCTTTGAATTTGTCTTATTTGGTTTCGGTTGGTTTCGTTGCCGACTTTTCTGATTCAGACCCCACAAAAAAAAAACCCCCCATTTTTTGAACCGTCTTGATGCAATTAGATGTCAGAAGGAGACTGTCTGTAGTTGGTTTTCTTGGATATAAGCTCTGCAGGATTGCTGGGGGCACTTTGTTCTTGTTTCAAGTAGTCGTTGACCCATTTTTCGACCAAAAGTCCAAGGGTGATCAACGCGGTTTCGTCGAAACAGTTGATCAAGTGAGGGTATTTCTGCACAATGAGCTGTGTTGCGTAGTAGTGCAGCACCTTGAGGTCGATTTGTGGTATCAAATCGCCCGAAAACACGCCTGCTTCTTTGTCGGCTACGGCGGCTAATTCGAGGTCTTCTCTGGATTTGAAAGGGATCGGCACCAAGTTGTTGATCTTTTGCGACAGAATTTCATCTGCGCTTACTTTGCGGCCGTATTGTTCCACTAGTTCACCGCAGGCCTCGTAAATGGATCTATCCATTGGTACTGGGCGCGATGTTGACGTGAGTAAGACGTTAGCTTAAAAGTGTCAGAATAGTTAGTTTTATGAGATTGAGGAGGGGAAGTTTAAAGTGTTGATGTACGTGTGCAGTGACTTAAAGAACGCTCTGAGCTGGGTTTTGAAGTATTGGACGTTCAAGAGGTGGGATGAGCTCTTGAAATCGTAGTGTTTGGGTATTGGTGGTACGGTGTTTATTTTGTTTTGTTTTGTGTGAAATGTGAATTATATGTCAGGTTTATCGTGGGGCCTTTTCCTGGATATTTGAGTTTTCAGGCGAAAGAATTGAAGAATTGAAGAATTGATCGTTGAATGGAAATAGCATGGCACGACGGGGTTTACTATAGAGCAGTTGAGAGACCACTTGTGCCTTGAGAGAGCTTTCGTTTCTTCTTCTTCTCCAAAACCTATTTCTTATTCAATGAGTTCTTGCCCTAGTGAATTGAGAGAAAAAATATTAGCATCGCCTCGAGCAAACATTCAGATTCGCGTTTGAAAACCTACTCCAAACCCTTTCCCTCATTCGTACTCCATCAGACCTCAATCTTAATTGTATGTATGCGCTTCCATCACCGAAATGTACCAACGTCTCTACAGCGTCATATTAAAACACCATCCCTACAATAAAGTGATATCTGGTAATGACACAGATGACAACAATTTCATAAGAATTCATTCATGAGATTAAAAAACAGATTTCGTGTCGCCCAATTCGCGAACCAAGAAGACGTTTCACACTCAAATATCGGTGCTTGCTTCCACATGCCAAAAACAGAGCACCACGGTCCACCCAAAAAAGAACTGGCGCGGTTCCAGATGATCCACTATCCAATGGAATGAAATCGAAGCTCACCACACTAAAGACCAACAGAGATCTTCACCGAGGACTAGTGTAATCCCAGCCGCCTCCATAACGGGTTGCTCCTGCTGTGCTGGATGAAACTCCCCTTCAGCGATTAGAAGCACAAGAGACTGGTTAGTGAGAAAATTCACACCCAAGTCTACCATTGCTGTAACGAGGCACACAATGGACTACTCACATTGTGTCCACGACAGCCCGCAAGGATCGATAAATGCCAGGGCACGTCTGAAACTCGTTTATGGTTAAAGCCAAGACGAGAAGCAGTCTCAGATCAGAGACCAAAGACTTTTGCGCTACCTCGTCCAACCGCAGGGTTCGAACCCAGGTCAGAAATTTCGGAATCAACAGTTCCACCACCGGCCATTACAGTGGAAGAATTTGGATTTTTAGACATATTCATGGTGTGTGGGTAGGAGAGCGTAGTGGGATGAACGACATAGGTGTGTTTGACGGTGGTGAATGTTGGTGCAGGAAGCAGTGAAAAATAACGACGGGTTCTAGTCGTGGTGTATTGCTGATAGTGAGGGAGTGATGGAGAGTGCAGTGAATATTAGCGGGTTAGGAGGTGATTAAGTGATTGGGATTGTCTGTCTGTCTGTCTGTCTGTCTGTCTGTCTGTCTGTCTGTCTGTCTGTCTGTCATATTGTCTTTCTCATGCTGAGTCGTTCAATCACGTGATAGGTGGTTCATTTAAAGACATATAGAGCAGAGGGCATCGCATCGCACTATAGCTCGATTTGCAGCTCTCTCACTCCAAAATACAGCTGATGAACAGTGCATCGGGCGAAACAGACCCGGCTCAGGTGTCACAAGCAGTGGACGCCCTGGCACGGTCGATTCTCGCGCAGAGAATCGCAGCACACCAGAAAAAACCAGAAAGGATGCAGAAACTGGCATCGCTCAAACAGCAGTTTGACGCCCTGGTTCACGCCGAACAAGCCTTTTCCAATCGCCACCCAATGCCTGCTTTGCGCTTGGACGCCGCAAAACTCGACGGCGAACTGCACGAAGGGCTCAAGACCGTCGCGCTCGAAGGTACCCAGTACGTTCTTCTCCCGCTTGTGCAGGGTTTGGGTCCCCAAGCATTAGAACATACGGCAAAAGCACAAGCAGCAGTGGAGCCGTCGTCGGCTCCAACCACCACCGTCAAGACAAATACCAAGAAAAAGAATAAGAAGACCAAGCTAACTTGTTCTTACTGCGACACCCCGGGCCACACCAGGGCTCATTGTGAAAAGAGGAACCTTAAGCCCGTGCCCTGATTCATTGAAGATTCCTACACGATACACGCACACAAGCATCTCAGAATCAGGACATTCACCGTCGCTCACTTTATTCTATTAATTTTTCTTTTTTGAGTTCTGTTTTGGCGCATAAGGGCCCTATACTGTACATATCTGTGTGAGCCCAAGCCCACACTGCCTTACTTTCTCGAGCTCATGGCCTCCCTTCTTGCTGCGTCCTGCAGCAAGTTCGTGTCCACCATGTTCTTATCCAGATACACGTATCTCACGGTGGATCCTCTGATGAAAATGTTTCTTACCGACAACAGATGTGGGTATTTGCTTTCGTCGGAACAGGATATATTGTCCAGCTTCAAGTTCAAGAATTGGTCCACGGACTTCAGCGTTCCCTTAAGTTCTATATCATTTTTCAGCTGTGGTTCACTTTTAGTTAGTATCCAAGACGAAAGTCGTTAAAGGGCGCATTTTGAGCAGAACATACCTCCACAGTAACTTCTTGGTCGACCAAAGTCTTGAAAAAGGAGAAGAAGAGCATCAGAGGCAAGTGTTCTCTTAGTTGTTGTTCAAAAGTGACCGCTGGCTCGCTACTTGCTGGTGCACAACAAAAATTAGATGTATTTTACTGAAAGCCGGGAAGTGCGATGAACTTTGACAAGACCAGTCACGTGCCTGAAGTTAAGCTCAAACTCAAGATTCAGCGATGGTTAACGTCACTGTTCGGAGGAGGAGAATCAGGTTTTGGTTATGTTGATCTACACTATGCGAATGCGAAGCTGGAATGGTTGGCTTTTTCTTTGAAGACATTTAGGCTTCCAGGTTGAACCGTCTGTATTTATCATACACTTCTGCATAACAAAAAACAAAATAATATTGGGCTACCCGACGGAAACGAGTGCCGTTGTATTGAAACTTACGATACGTTGTTAGCAGAACGGGATCATTGTTCCCCTACAGCCAGCGTCTAATAGGAAAAATGCTGAAAAAACCCCTACTTAAATTCAGTGCATAACTACTGTCTTGAACATGCAGCTCACATCTACTCCTGAGCTCCGTCCTCCTCGGGTCTCTTTTTCAAAACCAGGGGATGGCCGGTCACTCTAAAATAAATGTCCTTCACATCGTCCGTCATGGACTCGAAATGCGAGGAAGAATCGTAGGATCTCGATAAGTAGATGTTGTCAGTCGCGCCGCTTTCCTTGGGCTCGAAAATCTCTGCAATGCCCATAAACCTCTCTTCAATAGGTCCGAGAAGTTTGAAGGCAGGGTCAAGCTCAATATGTGGCTTGTCGGTCTCGATGATGGTTGAAACAATGGCAAGGTAGTGGCCCTTGGAAGACACGTTGTGCGAATCGGACACGACTGCCACGTAAATGTCATTCTTCCTGCCCACCTGGGACTGTGGAATGATAATCTGAGAGGAGTCGGCGTTGTTGGTGTTTGGTACTGGATGTTTCAACACGCAAATGGCTCTTATCACCTTCTGGCCCGTGGACTTGCATTTTTCAGGGAAGTATGTGGGGTCGGCGATGACGATTGGTGCCTTGGCTGTGCCTTCTTTGGTGACGACCCCTTGGAACTTGCCGTCGTCGCCATAGAGCACTTTCTCCACAGGGGTGTTCAACATATAGGTACCACCGTAAATGGCAGACAAACGGGCAAACCCTTGGGGCAACTCGCCCAAACCGTAAAGAGGGTACAGATAAGGCGATTTGCCGTAGCGGGCTACACTTTGCAAGTATAGTAGAATTCTCTCGAAAGAGGGTCTCGCAGGCTGCTCAAGATATTCGTCGTTGGTCCACAGCGCCATTGAGTGACCAATGAAGTCTTTAGTGGAATTTCCCAGTCCGAATTTGTAGTAAACTTCGTCCATTGTGTTCTTGTCCAAATCTAGGCCCTGGTGGGTACTCACATTGTCCTCTTGGTAATCGCCGATCCACTCCAAAAACCTTTTCATGCGACGTTTTTCGAAAATGCCCATTAGGGGCGATGAGATGGCCTCCATCTCGTTCGCAGGCACTTTGTAGATTTTGCCCTTATTGTAAACGTACGAGCCGGTGATTTGCTTAAAGTCGATGTAACGAGTCACGTCTGTGTGTACCAAGATTTTGGTGAGCTCTCCGTCGGCCATTAGAAACTTGGGGATCAAGTCCACGCTCCAGTCACGGTCTCTGCCGAACCTAGCCTCCATTTCGTCTTTGGAAACAGGATTCTGCTTGAATTTTTGGTACAGCTGTGAGAGTGCTACAGAAGCACTCTCGCCACCATAGTGGTCCTGTTTATCGATGTGAAGCACTTTTTTGCCGTCCACAGAAAGCAAACCTGAAAGGATGCATTCTGTGAGCCCTGTTCCGAGCACTATGACATCGTAATCTTCGTCCATGTTGAAATACGCAAGTTATAAAAGCTTGAGATGGCCCAGGAAAGTTCGCTCGATGCGTGCTTGCCAAAGGTGTTGTTGATGTTGAAATGGGAGGTAGAATCAAAGGGGAGGAGAGAAACACACACGGTGACTTTCGTCGTATTTTCGTATATTATTACGAAAATGTGGTCATGTGATCGTGGGAAATAGTGACGACAGTGATCGAGCCATGGTGATGGAGGACGATAGCGGTAGGAACTGCAGGCGCGGGAAACCCACATCGATAAGTGATAGATCATGAGGCGGATGAGTTTACTGGCTGTGCAACGCTTGTTCTAAAAGCTGTGGATTTTCCAGCTGTTTTCGTACCAGGTGATGCAAAACATCAAACGACTTTAATCGACTTGTGAGCTTGCCGGATGTCGGCTCCCTAGTCGGCATGGATTGCGTGAACCTCTTCAACTTCAGATTACTGAATTAGCGGGTCCTGGGTCTGTCAAAATTAGCCCAAAACATAGAAGAATCCAAAACATAGTACTTCGTTAGTTCTGCTTCCTTTCTCTCGATTGAAAGGCCATACCGCTATTGGGACTGCAGCTGGGTCTTTCTTGTGGGACTGAAACTCGCCTCAACGGCTCAGTACCGATATAGTGATAGGAACAGGTTCATACCGAGGATTATGAAATCCATTATGTATCACGAAACACGAGTCACCGCGTTGACGCCAGCTGTGAACCCAGTACTGTGCAGAAATCCAGGAAGTCGATTGTGGAAACTTTCTTTACGAGCATGGGCTCTTTCTTTAGACTCTGGAAAGCCAACCAACGAAGATCGTGGTCCTATCTCTCAATTGCGTGGTCTGGGACTTTTTGCTCGAAAAGCAAGACTGTGCACTTAGAAATAGACTTTTGCAACGTCTTAGCGGCATCCCCGCCTCGCTCTGCTCAGTTTCCCATTATTAAACCAATCAATCTCATGCTTCAAAGGCTTCAGACTTCTGTAATCGTACAAAGTGCCCGTATTTTGCCAGCACTGGGTCAAACCATATTATAGATATGAGCGATAAGATGAGAAAACTCAGCTTCTGGCCTCTCTTGAACTTCGCTTCGCTTCTCCAAGCTTAGCTTAACTTCTCATCTAGCAGCTAAACGTCTTCACCTTCGTCATCGTACACAGTGCCCAGATTCCAGCACCACCTCTCGAGACGACGTCGCATTGGAGCTCGCTCGCACCGTACAACAGCTATCATTTTGACCCAGTTTGTCTTCGCAGTTGCTGTGCCATCTGCCTGTTGCAGGTCTGACGGTGCGTTTTATGCTTCCCCCCCCTTGCACTAGTGTTGCCCATCGCATTTACCGGACAGAACCCATTTGCCAAAGATTCTTGGCGAAAGGAAATCCTCTCGTCTCTCGTATCTGGCGGATTTTCCGCTGCGCTGTCCTGCGATGTCTCCTGACTGGTGGACCGTTTCCTGTAGTGAGAAACCCGTAAAAATGCCAGACGCGGTTTATGATATGTGAAAAAAACCCACAGTTGAGAGAGACAGGCCCGTCCTCGAACAGAACACGAAAAAGAATACAAAATACAAAATAACCCCAGCTGCAACGCCCGAAAACCCGGCACGCTTCTTCCACAGCGTGCCTGTGAGCTATTTGCCCGCGTCTGGGAGCATTTTCTATAACGGCCGCTTGCAGTTGCCAAGGCTTGGTCTGAACTGAGAGCGGAGGTATCCGTATCTTAACACCATTGTCGAGGTTCTTCTAAACATAGTCAATCGTGCTGCTTTTTCGACCGCCAGGGAAGCGGCTGCTGCACTAGTGAATGAAGAAGGATAAGTTTAGGCACACTTCATGCACTTCTGAGAAACCCATGTGCGTCTGCTAATTCAATTTACGAGCGAATATCGCTGATTCGCACTTTTGGCCACAGTGTGATGCTATCAAAACGCACCTAACGCATCTTGTATCGAGCGACACACACATAGACTCTGATATGGCCCTTTCTCTGTACTGCGGACCACGAAAATCACCAACGGCCTTCTAACAGCTAACGTGTTCTACTTGACAGTGTGGAAAATTGAATATTAATTAGCCTCTGCTCTCTCATGTATATAAAAAAAATGATAGCAGATACCGAGACTTTAAACAAAACAAGCGCGTGTCAGTGACATCAGTGGTACCCAAGTCTCTCGCTCGAGCTCGCATCGAAAAGTAGCCAATTTAGACAAAGAATAGTGGTCTGAGTGTGTGTTTCTCTCTGTCTGTCCTTCCTAAACGCTCGGCCGTCTTTAGGTACATACAATTAATTCCATATCGCTCAGCTCGGCTCATTCGCACACCAGTGGTGAAAACTTTTGGCAACTTGAGAAGAAAAGTGTTCTTAAGTGTTTGTTTTTCGTTCCTTTTCATCAGCTTAGCCAACAGCAGTTGTGGATGTGCTAGTATAGACTCCAAGCTTCCTCTCAAATTCGTCCTTTTCTCACGGTTTTTAGTCTTTGGTCTAAACTCTTCCCACGATGATTCGTCGGCTTTTGCATAGTCTGCGAAAACACCAAATACCGCTTCCTTCGGCTCGTATGGCCGTCAAGGTCATGTTGCCCGTGCTGGCCATCGTCGCAGTCATGGTCATCTACATTCAGGCAGCCAAATTAGGCCAGTACACTAAACTCTCGCAATACAACCCATACGCAAAATCGCACGGCTCGCCCTCACTCTCCGCGTCGGGCTTCCTGTCGCCATCAGACTTCACCCACATCGACCCAAACCAGTTCGGCAAGTTGCCAGACGAAAACCTCTATTCGCCCATGCAGCTTATCCCGAAATTCAACAGCGACATGCACGAGCGCTACAAAGCGTCGTGGGACTTGCTAGGCCGTGGCCACCGCTTTAAACAGTTTGAAGACCTCTCTGAACAGGCTCAGTGCTACTTCTACTTCCACAAGGTTTACGCTCTGAGGCCCAACTGGAGTAACGACTACGACAAGTGGGACTTCGTCATCAACGACGACAACCTCGCTTCGGAAGACGTAGACGACACCACCAGAGACCTGCTCCTGAACCACCGACAAGAGCAGGCCATGGCACTTGGTACTGAGCGCATGCGCATGTACGACAAGTGTTTTGTCTCAGAAATGGCCGAAAAAGTCGACATGGCCAAAATATTCAGCACCATGCAGCAGGCGGACCCTTCGGTGGGATCCAATCTCCAGTGGGACTTCGAGAAACGTATGTGGCCCTTTTTGCGCGACTACAATAAATCCACGTTCGAAAACCTCATTCCAAATTTCATTGGTCCCTCAGGCAAGACTTTGGAACATGGTTATCTACCTAATATAGGTTCGAACCACCGCGAAGAAGACGACATCGCGGGCGCCACGAAATACGTCTATGACGAGAAACATTCATTTATGTGGAATTGGAACCACATGAGTGCCATGGTGGCTCCCAAGGGTATTGTTCTAAGCTTTGGCGACGAACAGCTCGAATTAGCTGCCAAATTGATGGCCCATTTCCGTTTCACTGGTAATGAATTGCCTATTCAAGTAGTTACCAAAGGTGACATTTCGCGCGAAACAATCGACGCGGTTCTAAGAATTGCAAGATCTGATGACATTGAATTTCCCCAAACCGATTATCATAATGCGAAAAATGTAAAACAAACCGTGTGGTTCGTCGATGTTTCTCCTACGCTAGACCCGCTTGTCAAGGACTCGTTCGACCGCTTCAAGAACAAGTGGCTGGCCGCTGGGCTCAACTTATTTCAAGAATACATTTTTCTGGATACAGATGCCATCAACTACGTTGATATGAGCTATTTCTTCGAAAAGACTGACTATGTTAACACGGGCACGCTATTCTTCAAAGATCGGTTTTTGGACGAGACTATCGCGGACAAAAAATGCCCCGCCATGGTGGAAACCTTGGTTCCCACTTACCAGGAAGAGTACTATTTCAACCACTTCCCAGCAGTCAGCAGCGACTACGTGGAAGAACAATGTGAACGTTTGCTAGAGCCAAAAGAGAAAACCTTCAAGGATTATTTTTTTGGAATGAAGAAGCATCAAATGGACTCAGGCTTGGTTGTTATGGACAAGGATTCACACATCGTGCCCCTCATGATCTCACTGATGATGCACATGACTTCAAAGCTTGGTGGTTGCAGTTACGGTGATAAAGAGTTCTTTTGGTTAGGGTTCTACATCTCTGGCCATGACTATTCATTCCACTCTTCGCGGCCTGGCGCATCGGGCGTTTTGATTCATGATGCGAAAGTCAATAAACAACTCAAACAGCGCAAAAGTGAAGTCTGCAGTATCACCATTTCTCATCTCGACGAACATCAGGGGTTGTTGTGGGTAAATGGCGGAGCTCAAAACTGTAAATTCGATGTTGCCAAACAAGACTGGGAGTCTCAAGACTTGCAGATGTCGAGTAGGTTTACATCCTTTGAGGATATGCAGAAAGAATACCGCGGTCCTGTTAAAATGGAGGCCGGTATCATACCCGCCGAGAAACAAGGTGCCTGGGGTAAGCCGGACCAACGCTGCAAAGGCTACTACTATTGCGCCAGATATGAGTCACAAAACAAGCCTTACTACTTCAACAAGGTTCACGAAAAGGGCAAAACGGTAATGTTCGGGCCTGAGCAAAAGGACAAATACAACTCCATCAATAAGGTCTGGGTCCACAACTACTTATAGACTAAAAAATGCAGCAACTCGGTGGGTTAAGTATTATTCTGTCGACCAAGAAAGTTAGTCTGCCGTCTAAAGTAAAATGTTACGCCAACTCACCTTCAAAGCTCTGCTTCATACCATATCGCCTTCTTTCTGATCAGTTCAACATAGAAGTATAATTTCGTGTATATTATCTCGATACAAAGGCTCGGACTATTATCGTAATGAAATTAATTATCTGACCTTTCCTATAGTTTAATCTTTAATCGATGCATTTGACATCGTCACTGTTATGCGCACTCAATAAAAGAGGCAAGGACGAGGATGAAAAGATGTGTCCTACAGATTAAAGATGCGCTTTTCAAGACGTCGTTGCAGAAGTCGGCACCAACTGTTTTCTCTAAGCCAATACAAGAGTTCGCGATCAAACCGAATGAGAAGTGGGTAATTTGGGGCAGTGAACGATCTAAGTTCATGGATGTAATTGGTAACAAGTACCTGGCAGAACCGCCCCTTTCATTAAGATATGGCCAGACTCGCGGGGGTTTGCCAAGAATTGAATTTGTCAAGTTTAATGGAGTGATACCCACGGCTCACCTAAGTGCCAGATACGAATATTTTAAAGACGAATTCGATCAAACCTGTGGCAAGTTCATCAAAGACAACTCCATCGGGTCCATGGAGGTCGATTATGATGTTTCCAAGACCGATAGACCATTAGATCGCGAGTTATACGCTAGTTTACTAAAAGAACTCCAGCTAGAGAAACTGGAGAATAGATGGGCAATGGGGCTCAGTAATGGCCAAATGCGCAGAGCACGGCTGGCTCGTAGTCTATTGAAGGACCCAGACTTGATTTTAGTCGAGGACCCCTTTCTGGGCCTCGATCCGACTGCGACTACTATAATTTCGAACTTCATCGGCGCCTATTCGAGAGCCCCCATCGTAATTGGGCTCCGCCACCAGGACAAGATACCCGACTGGTGTACGCACGTATGCTGCGTTGATAAAAAAGGTATTGTTTTCCAAGGTGACAAACAAAGCCTTGACAATAAAATCGCATCCACCAGAAAATGTTACGATCTTGAAAATGAGGCTAAAACGGCCAATTCCCAGTATCAAATTCAGGATCTCATTTCTTGGCATCCGCTAGCACTGATGCCTCGCCACGATATCGTCAAACTTGCATGTGGTATAGAACTTAAAGGACTTTCAGTATCTTACAGAGGAGTTTCGATACTAAAGGATTTGCACTGGCAAGTTCGCCCGCGGTCGAGATGGCATGTCAGAGGCGATAATGGCACAGGAAAGTCTACTTTGCTCTCTTTGCTGACCGCCGATCATCCACAGTCGTGGAATTCAAAAATTGTGGAGAACGGTGTTCCTCGCAAGGCGGGAGCCACGGACTATTTCACGATAAACAAAAGAATCGGAATGTCGTCACCAGAGCTGCATGCTATCTTTAACAAGTCTGAGGGCCGTAAATTGAGCGTTAAGGAAGCTTTGGCTACAGGTTTCAAGGAAAACTCGTCCAATGATTTTTTGACATGCTATAAGGCCCTAAACAAGCAGCAGCTTCAAATCCTCCACACCTACGAGGATTTCTTTGGGCTCCAGTCATTAGAAGGCTGCAGCTACGGAGAACTGTCCGTGAGTGATCAGAAATTAGTGTTGTTTGTGAGGGCACTGCTTAAGATGCCCCAAATTTTAATTCTGGACGAAGCATTTTCGGCAATGGAGGAAAAGCCAATGCACAAGTGCTTTGAATTTCTTCAACAATGGCCAGGTATCGTGCTGGTTGTCTCACACGTTCCGGCAGAAACTCCACAATGTGATCATTATTTGCGGCTTGCTTCGCCAGGACAGTACGAAGTTGGCGCTGTCAAACATTAGAATATTCCTTATAAACGTGTAACATGAACACTAAAGGACGTTGTTAACCAGTAAAGCATCATAGATCGACTCGGTGATCTGTGCCAAGGTGAATAGTAATTGAGCTCAAGAGTGTACTCGCCGTCTTTTCGTGTGTACTCGCGATTTGATGGATTTCAATTTAAGTTATAAGTAGCCGACAGTTCAATGCCAACAACATAGTTGATACCAACAAAACAAAACAAGCCAAAAACTATCAAGTCCGAGTTCTTGGAGCCAAATAACACCTGGGCTGCAATGAGCTCAATCTCGAATACCAGAGTTCCATTAGTCAAACCACCTGTAAAGTCAGTGGAGGACAAGAAAGCCAACGAATACGGACCTTTAACCTCCAAGAACTACCTGCATGAAGCTACCTCGCGACAGGGTGAGCCACTTCAAGAACTGGTGCTAGATACCCCACCTTATTATGTGGTAGTTATCACGTACCTGAACTACCTGATCCTTATCATTTTGGGCCACATCCATGACTTTTTAGGACTAACATTTCAAAAAGAGCGTCATCAAGACATCATGGAAAAGGACGGCTTGGCGCCTTGGTTTTCCAAATTTGAAAGTTTCTATCTACGGAGACTCAAATTGCGTATCGATGACTGTTTTTCGAGGCCCACAGCAGGAGTTCCCGGAAGGTTTATCACTTGCATCGATCGCATCTCTCACGACCTCAACAGCTACTACACGTATCCCGGTACTGTCACTATGTGTTTGAATCTCTCATCATACAACTACCTGGGCTTTGCCCAGAGCGAAGGACCTTGCACCTCCAGCGCTCTGGAAAGCGTTGACCACTACGGAGTGTGTGCGGGAGGTCCTCGAACCCAACTAGGAACGTCAGATCTGCATATTGAAACCGAGAAATTGGTAGCTAAGTTCGTCGGTAAGGAAGATGCCATGGTCTTCTCTCAAGGTTACGGTTGCAACGCCAACTTTTTTAATTCCATTTTGGACCCAAAATGTTTAGTTATTTCGGATGAATTAAACCACACCTCCATTAGGACCGGTGTCCGTCTCTCGGGCGCCACTGTGAAAGCCTTCAAGCACAACAATATGGAGATTTTGGAGAAATTGATTAAGGACCAAATAATCAGCGGACAGCCCAAGACCCACAGACCTTGGAAAAAGATTCTCATTTGCGTTGAGGGTCTGTTCTCTATGGAGGGAACGATGTGTGACTTGCCTAAACTTGTGGAATTAAAAAATAAGTACAAATGCTACTTGTTTTTGGACGAAGCGCACTCAATTGGGGCTATTGGATCTCGCGGACGAGGGGTTTGTGATTATTTCAACATCAGTCCCTCTAATATAGATGTCATGATGGGTACATTTACTAAATCTTTTGGCGCTGCCGGTGGGTACATCGCGGCCGACAAAAACATAATTGATAGACTGAGATGCGATCTGACTACGACAAACTATAGTGAATCTGTTCCTGCTCCAGTTTTGGCACAAACATGTACTTCTTTGAAAATTATCGCAGGTGACTTGAATCCTGGTGAGGGTGTCGAAAGACTTCAGCGTATCACTTTCAACTCGAGGTATTTGCGTTTGGCTCTGAAAAGACTGGGTTTCATTGTTTATGGGGTTGCTGACTCTCCTGTCGTTCCCATGCTTTTATACGCACCATCCAAAATGCCCGCTTTCTCAAGGATGATGCTGCAAAGGAAAATCGCGGTAGTTGTCGTCGCATACCCTGCAACGCCATTGATTGAATCTCGTGTTAGATTTTGCGTGTCATCTGCTTTGACCAAGGAGGATATTGACTACTTGTTGCGTCACGTCAATGAAGTTGGCGAAAAGCTTTTCCTGAAGGTAAGCACTGGTAAATCTAGCGTCTCACGCAACGGTAAGCCTCACAAGTGGGACATCGAGGAAGTTATCAGATTAACACCTGCTGATTGCAAAGACGACAAATATTTTGAAGAGTAGCGATAAGTAAATAAACCTACAAGCATGGCATGTTCACCTGGTAAAGTGTTAATAGAAAGAATGGACTCCAAGCGGACTCTAAGCACCACTATTCTGTGCCGTTCTCCGAAATTCGATCACTCAGGGTGTTCAATTTGTTGAGAATTCACACCATTCATGTATTCAATTGATGACTGTCTAAGAGCTCGTGTTTGACTTAATGTCAGAGAATACGTTTGAATCACTAATTGGTTTTCAAGATCACCAGCTATACCTTCATTGAATGTCCTCGAATAAGATGCTTGATGAGACTCCAAATTTCACCGTGATATGGACGCATCCATGGATACAAAGTCCGTGTCACACTCTCGTTTACATACAAATAAGCTAGTGGTGCCAGTAAAATGTCAAAATGGCTCATTCTTCACCATTTTTGCCGAAAAAACCAGCAACGCCCATTATCTGCTGCTAGACAATATATTCACTCGAATGCGATTACGTTTTATATTTGAACGACTTAGTATAGCTTACATTAGGCCGGTCGGTTATCCTGAGTGCTACATGCGAGCGACGACGTAATTATAATAGGGCTATCAAAATATAATAATAATACTAAAATTGACACTATCGACTCTATTAGAAAAAACTCGAGTGATAAAAGATAAATAAAGGAACCATGTCTTCGCTCTATCACCTAAGCACCGATGTGAAGACTCGAATCAATAGGTTTCGGACTCAAACTGCGAGATCTGACTCTCTGAAAGCGTTGGCCTTAAAGATTGAACCTAAACCTTCGTATGAAATCACTATCGACGAAGATGAAGGCGTCGAACAAGCTGATAGTTTAGAAGCTCTGGGTGAGGAGCTTCCGGACAATACTCCACGCTACGTGCTTCTATGCTATCCTATGACTACATCTGACGGGCGGAACCAGACCCCTTTGGTGCTTGTCTACTGGAAGCCGGCCACAGTGGTGTCCCAGGAATGGAAGATGCTTTACGCAGGAGCGCTCGAGCTGATGAGAAACCAGTGTGGTGTGAGCAAAGTAATTGAGATTGCCACGGGCTTGGAAGACGAGGAAGACATCGATGAGGTAAAGGAACAGATAGAGTCGTGAAAAGTGAGCGCGAGTGGAAGAGGGACTAGCCAATGAGACCACTGACGTCTGGCCAGGAGCGAAGGATTCAGAAATATGATAATACTTGCCCAATGTGTAGTTCGATTCTCTCCCTGGCTGTGTGTTTTAGCGTCACTTAACTAGCTGGGTGGATGTCTTTACGGATATAAGTGTAATAACAGATACACAATTCACAATATCTTTCTATTGCGTGCGATAATCCTGGAGTGAAATGAAAGCAGTGAGATTGCAGTAGATTTCAATGTGAGCTATTTTAAAGGTCTGGTGACTCCACACACACAATTCAGCGTCGGTGTCAACATGCCTGCCGGCGTGCACTTGTCAATTTGAAATTCAGTGAACTATAATTTTTCTCATAAACACTGTCTACACCACTGGAAACAATGACTTCAGGTCGATACATCTTCACTTACATGGTGGTATCTACCATGCACCGTTGATTTTTGTCCACTTAGTTTTTCCTGACACCTCACTTTATTTTTTTCTGACACCTAGAGAAACGAGGGTTGAAAGTTTACGAGAGTATTGAAGGATAGCCCTTTTGACTGTCTTAACAACACGTCGTGACGATTGGTGTATCTCACTCTCGTTGGACACCCTAAGGATAGCTTCAAGAGTGTGGTTTAGCCGGATTCATTTAGCCATCGTATCAAGAGATATAGATATCAAAGCTTGCTTGCACGACCCAAAGTGCCTATTATCTACATTCAATAACCCAGAATCCGTATACAGCAGCGTCAAACCGTAAGCATATATTCATAGCACTGGTGGTCATAACTACTAGCTCATCATAATCAAAAACCTATTCTTCTACTTCCGTTATAGACTCCAAGTGTCTCACTGAAGAAAGTAAAGCTTTTCATGAGTCTGCTCTTTTAAAAACCCATACATCATCATCACCACAAACACGTGAACTTTTTTTTAAATCTTTCAATTAGTTTTTAAAAATTCGTACACAGTGCCAATGTTTCAAATAGACCCACGCAAAAAACTCGAGCCAAGTAATTTCGAAAAGTTTCAGCAATCATTTATGGGATTTCTGTCCAGGACACGATCTTTCTTCAATTCCTCTTAATTCTGGCACTTCTCAAATCATCAACAGATAATCGTTCAAGATGGCTCGTATGCACTCTAAGGTACGTCAATTTTAGAGATAGTTTGGCATTTTAACTCAAACGCCTTTTATTCAAACATTGAATGAACGAACCAATTGGATAAAGATCAGCTTTAAATGAGGATCTTCAAAATCGGATGATTTTAGAACTTCTTTTTAGCGATTAGTCGGATCACAGCGATGGGTTTTCAAGCTTTTTTCGAAGGCTTCTAATACCATTCCGGTGTACACCTAATGGGCCAGGCGTGGACGTCTGGTTCTAGCAACGGGGTGTATGAGCTGGGTGACTCCAAGTTTTGAAAACAGAGTAAAAACTGTTTGAACGAGCACTTTTGTTTTGCTCGTGAAACGGCTTTATCTGGACGCGGTTTTGCAGCTTTTGCTGACATGCCCCGAAAGAGTAGAGCCCGACAAGTGCGACATTAGAGGTTCGGAAACCCGTTTCTGGGTCTGACACAAGGTCCTGGTTCACATCGTCTAGGTGTTCCCCGTTTACTAACAGTCTCCATTACAGGGTAAAGGTATTTCCTCTTCTGCTATCCCATACAGCAGAAACGCTCCAGCTTGGTTCAAGTCTTCTCCAGACTCCGTTGTCGAGCAGATCACCAAGTACGCCAGAAAGGGTTTGACCCCATCTCAAATCGGTGTCTTGTTGAGAGATGCCCACGGTGTCACCCAGGCCCGTGTCGTCACCGGTAACAAGATCATGAGAATCTTGAAGTCCAACGGGTTGGCCCCAGAAATCCCAGAGGACTTGTACTACTTGATCAAGAAGGCTGTCGCCGTCAGAAAGCACTTGGAGAGAAACAGAAAGGACAAGGACGCCAAGTTCAGATTGATTTTGATCGAATCTAGAATCCACAGATTGGCCAGATACTACAGAACCGTCTCTGTCTTGCCTCCTAACTGGAAGTACGAGTCTGCCACTGCCTCTGCTTTGGTTAACTAAACGCTCCAATACAAGTTGTGAAATCAATAGTTTTTATAATCAAGATGAGTTTGCTTTAGTTTTATATTGCATCGTGTGTACAATATGGGGTTTTTTGGATAAAAGACATTAACTGTTAAAGGGAAAGCTGCTAGCGTACGTGGTTCGAATATTCATCCGACTAGCATGATCTCATAGCCGCTAAAGGCATGTTTATCTGATGGTCTTCCTCCAGGTTTTTTTAACATGAATATATATATACATATAATAACAGAGTCAGAAGCCTCACACATTACGAATAAATCAGATAGCTCTTCACGTCCAGCGTTGAGCGTCACCATTCTAGCTGCTAAATCGTCTGTCTTATGGTACTGCATTTCTCCCAGCTGCCGCATCATAGGACTTATGTTCTTCACTGGTACCGCTACACGCTTCGGAACATTCCTCGAAATGTTCATTCTGAACATCTTCAACTGAGAATCAAAAGTGTAACAAGAACTACTGTGCTGAAGCATAGAAGCGATAAATCTAGCTGGAGTATCTACAAACTGCTGCGCGATCTGAAGAAGCTCAACACCCTGCTTTTGAAATCGAAAACCGAGAAAGTTTGGGAGCTATTGACTCTGTACTCGCGCAAAACGTCTGGAAAAGGTAAAAAGTCATCGCTTCCCATATGTGCACCGCCAAAGGCACCCGAACAAGATCCCGAGACGGTACGAAATGCCAAATTGTTGCACGACTATATCACTGAGAAGCAGCGACGCTCTTTGCTGCCTAATAATCTCGCCGATGAGTTTAAGTTAAAACTTGTTCTACCCTTGGCTTTGCATGAGCACAACCTCCAAAAATTGCATAGAATAGAATACAAACTAGCTTCAGGGCCACCCAAAGTATCGCTCAATTACACTTCGGCCGGCAAGGCACGGATTTGGTTCGTTAGGTCTGCAGTCAACAAAGGAAAGCGACAGTCAAGAGGCTTGGGTCGCATTATCCGTCTCGAAAAGAAAAAGGGCCAGAACAATCTCGATTATTGGAATAGCATTCATGAGAACAGTCGATGGGCCTGGCACGAGGCTGTCTGGGAGCATTTGATAGAAACTAATTCTGTGATACAAGGGAGTCCTGAGAAGTTTTTGAGCTCCACGGCCAAGCCCATCAACAAAACCGGCCATGTCGCTAATGTCGACGAAAATCGAGTTATCTGCGAATGGTTGAATCCTTTGAAGGAGTCTCTGGAATTTTTGAGCGTCCAAAGCGAGCGACAGGCCAAATATTTCGAAGAATATAAGCGCAAGGCGACATTTCGCAGCCAGTGCCAATATTTTGCCCAAAAGACGGACTTGATGTATCAAAATCGGAAGAGAAGGTACACAAAGATGCTGAATGATGATTTGCCTTTTGTAACGCCCTTTTTCAGGACGCGAAACCTTCCTGCAGTTCTGAAGGCGCACAAATTTTGATCGGAACTCCAATATTCGAACCAAGGCTATAGTATAGTTTTAAGTACTACAACCTGGTTACTAAAAAATCAGGTTTCATCCTTGAAGAAGTCCCCCATTGGGTGTGGGTCTTTATTTTCCACAATCTTGATTTGAGAAAGCCAGCCACTCAGGTCTTTCTCGAGCTCTTCTTTCTCATCTCCATGCGCGCCTTCTTCACTCTGGATATTTAGCTTCCCTATTCCGCTGACGATTGATATTAGGTTCTGCTCCTCCAACTCCTCCCCTTGGATAAGTTCCTCCAGGAGCGAAACGCTTTGCAATTTGGGCACGTCACCTTGGATCTTGTCGTCAAGATGCACGCCAATGCGAACGAATAAAGCCTCATTTGTGAGCTGCACTTCGTAGAATTGTGAGCACCGATAGTGAAACTTGCTGCAGTAGTGCGAAAGATACGCATACGGATTATTCTGCTGAAGAAATCGGTTCGCAGTCGCATTCCCACCGTAAGGATCGCGAATTCGATTCTGGCACCTATTACACAGAGGGTACCCACATTTCTTGTTGAGGTTTCGCTCCTCGATCAGGTCGTGATACGTCTCGACTGTCAAAAAGTTTGCGAGATATTTTAGAGTTGATTGATCTTTACAGTCAGACTGACTTAGCAGATCCAATATTTCCAATGATAATGTATCTGCTTCCTTGATGCTTAGTTGACGGTGGTTCTGGAAAGGCTTCAGCACAAGCCTTTTAATGTCTTCGACGCTCGTCATAGTGATGCTGAAACGTAATTATGAGTGAACAGTGCCTTATATAGCTTCAATCTGTTCCTCTTCAAGCTGGTCAAATTTGTGAGAATCAGGTCTTCAATTAAGGAAGTTCCTGCAAACAAAATCATTTCACTGCTTTAGACTGTTAGAAGTGAAAATGTGAGAAAACAGTACCCCAACATACTTTTACTAGCACTGGTGCTAGCGCCAGTACGAAATGTACCGATAGAATGAATTATACATCTATTCGAGCGCTTGGCGGACTTTGGCAATGGTCACTGCCCTGTTGAATTCGTACATTATTTATGGTGGTGTGCTGGAAAGATGCCATCAATGTGGACAAGAACCGCTCTCGTAGGTTTTTTTGAGGTTTTGACTTGTGAGTTGTTGACTCGCCACTTCGGAGCTTTTTCGAGGTTGTTTTACTGATTGATGTGTCAACAGAGCAGGCGAGCAATGGCTTGACGGTCTTTACGTTAGAAGAATAAAAGTCACGATGGATATTGAAGCATGCAGCGTGAACCAAATCTCAATTTACGGGTCTTCAGCCACCCGTCATCTATAAGTACGTTATGGAGTATACTCTGATTGTCAGTGGAAGACCTCATTCGAGGGAAACCAAGTGTTTTTTGATATTACAGACCATGGTAAACGTTTGGGAGCGATTACTGCAATATGATAGTCAGATCATCTCATATCAAGCAGTATCCGACTCTTTCATCACGTCAAGTGAAAGCAACCCTGACCGAAATCCTTCACAAATGGTTTGTGGATGGTAAACTCGACGCGAGCATGGGGGTTTACTAAACTTCGATAATTTACTGAAGTGTTTTAATCTGCACTCCCCGACCTGCGCCCACCTTTCGGCTCGAAGAGTCCTTTTGATGCCACTTGCTGTGAATTCAAGTGGCCTCCTTAGTTCTCGCCATCGCTTGATCGTGTGCCACTTTTCCGAAAAGTTGTAAGTGAACATCGTAAGTGAAGCCAGCAGGTGCCGTTGGCCTACCTAGGAATCAAATTTCAGCACATTTTGGCCACAAATCCCTGGTTGATTACGTAGAATTTGTCTATTTTTCAAATATTGTACACCGTTGATCATACAAAAACCACGTCGGCGGCTAAATAAGCGCAATCGAACAAAAACTACACGTATCACATCCATGTTTGGTATCAAAACTGTCCTCAGCTTGCGTAGTGACCAGATCTTAAACCGTATCAACCTATAATTGCGATCCTGCTGCTCTTTCGCTATTTAGAAGACTGTTCCATACCAGTGCCCTCTTAAATTTCCCGCCAAGCAGGATTTCAGGGGGCCCGAAAAAAAAACGTATAAAAGGGAATGCTTTTATAGCCTTCAAGAACCTTTATAGATCCATCTTGAGGGAAGTTTCTAAAAAACGTACTGGTGCCAATTTAAAGTTATGTCTTCATCAAGATGCTCGCAATGTGTATTTCCAACAGAACCTATGTGTTCTCCATGGACGAGCCCGTGAAACGAACGAATTTTTTGACTTAAAGGCCTCCACAAACGTGTGGATACCATGAACAGACCAAATTCATTTCCAGTCACCGATACGCAAGCCATAAAACTTGAGAGTATCATTATGATCTGTTTTTGCTTTAGAGAGAGAATACTGAAGCAGTGTCACAACGAGAGATCCAGGGCATCTCAGCTCAGCATCACTAACAACACTGGAAGCATCCTCTCTCCGGTGTCGGCGCTTGTTTCCTTACCACCCATCATGTGATCCAAGGTAAAACGGCGGTATACTCTCCTCATTGAAGATATTCGTAAACATTGTGTATAAAAGTGCGTAACTCCATAGTTTGACTCCAGAGTCGGGCCTCATTCACCAATGGCTCGTAAAGTGGCCAAGAATCGAAAGCTCAGACGAGCAGATCATTTCAAGTTCATCAAGGAGCTATTGCTGGCGGAATTAGAGCCCAGAGCACACAAACGAAAGGAACAAAGCACGAACGATGAGCTGCGCGAGAGAGAGGCCACTAAGCTTGCGGAACGGAGGGAGGCCGAAGAAGCTGAGTACGAAATGGAACAAATCGTGAATATGCTTCGGTTGTTTGTGCACATGGAAAAACTGATGGCGTTTTCGCTTTTGGCGTGCTTTAACTGTTTCCTGTATTACTTCACGGTGTTTCCAGCGCGGTTAGTGTACTGCTGTTTTAACGAAAAGAGACTCAAACAGGCTCGCAAAGAGTTTGTTACGCTATTCCTGATAGCTTGTGCGTCTGCAATCCTCTTAAAAGTAGATACCTCGCAGGTGTATCATAGAATTAAGGGCCAAAGTGCCATGAAGCTATACATGATGTTTGGAGTACTAGATATGTGCGACAAAATGTTGTCTTCCCTGGGACAAAGTCTTCTACTGGTGGTCAGCGCTAGAACCTTCAAAAAATTCGGACCCGAGGCGCTCCAGGCGGTCGTCTTGAACGCGTGCGCGGCAGCGTGTCTGACGTGTCACGGCTTCGTTTTGATCTACGAAACGATTGCACTAAACGTTGCGGTGAACTCGTATTCGAACTCACTTGTGACACTGCTATTATCGATGCAATTTGCCGAAATCAAGGCCAGTGTCTTTAAGCGCTTTGACAAAGAAGGTCTCTTCCAAATTACCATCTCCGACATCATCGAGAGGTTCCAAATGGTTATTTTGCTCACTATTATTGCTATCCGCAACCTGATAGCCTCGACCTCTTCCTTTTCCACGTTGATTCCAAACTCCTGGTCGTGGAGTTCAACATCCTCCACTGTAGTGGAGGTACTGTGTGGGCCCGTCATCACCGTGGTTGGCAGTGAAGTCCTGGTCGATTGGGTCAAGCATGCCTATATCATCAAGTTCAATAGGGTTAGACCTCAAATGTACGACACCTTTTTGAAAATACTTTGCAATGATCACGCTCACAATCTTCAAAAGTTTCAAGTTCGACTTGGGCTGCCGGTTCCAACGCTGGTTGTTCTTTTTATCGTCATGATTAGACCTGCTTTAGAGATTGGTTTGTCCGAAACATCAACCTCGATGTTTGGTACGCTTTCCATCGTCTCCATGGGCTTTGTATGCCTCTTTCTTTCCAAGTTTGTGCTACACCTGGTCCTGGATAAATGGTGCCAAGCCTTGCATAGTCACAATGGAGCAAATCAGTTCGTTGTTAATGAAACCATGTATGTTCCTGGGCCCCCGTCAAGCGGTCAAGGGAAAATCGATGGGAGAACTAGGGCAGCTGTTTACAGTGCTAGGAAAGGAGATCATGATGAGGACCACTCAAAAATCCCACCTACTTTGATAGAAAAGCGAACGCAACATGATTCCAAACGCAGTCTCAAGAACGTATCCCGCTACAGGATGGTATCTAAGCGCATCTGGTGATATCGAACAATATAAAGCGAGAAAAACGAGAAAGCCTAATCGGCCCCTGGCTTGGATAAAGAGCAGAAACCTAGAGTTTCCTAATGCGATACCTCAATGCATTTTGTGAGTCTGTCAAACGTCAGCTGTTAGACAGCAAGTGTCTTTTGATGTAACTTTCGATGTTTTGGTAGTGATTTTCATCTTGAACGACGAGACCGTAAAATCCGAGACCGTGAAAAATTGGATCATAAAGTATAAAGCTTTACGTCCCGAGACACAGACCATTCAAAGATTGCTCGCGGAGAATAGCAAGCTTCAACCCGATCCCATCGACTCAGATGCTAAAGGTGCTTCTTAGGAATGCGAGTCCAATGATACGCCTTGGCGCAAATGTGGGGCCATCATCTTTCATCAGATCCGTGATGAGCCGCCCGTCATTAAACTTACGCAACATATCAGCGTTGTCGAAAACCTCCCAGTGTTTGATCAGCAGGCAAAATTCTTATAGAGCCCTCTCTTCATGCTCTATACTCAAGCAGGCGACCACAGCGGTCAAAAAGCAGCCCGCAAAGAAGCTCATAAACTCATCAAAACAAGTGGGCTACTGGCTCATCGGAACATCTGGTCTGGTATTTGGAATTGTCGTACTAGGTGGACTCACCCGACTCACTGAATCCGGACTGAGTATTACGGAATGGAAACCTGTTGCAGGAACTTTGCCCCCTATGAACGAGCAGCAGTGGCTTGAAGAGTTCGCCAAATACAGAGAGTCCCCAGAATTTCAGCAGTTAAACTCGCATATCAATTTGGATGAGTTCAAATTTATTTATTTCATGGAATGGGTCCACAGATTGTGGGGTCGTGCCATCGGTGCCGTATTCGTGCTGCCCGCTATTTATTTTGCCGTTGCCAAGAAAACGTCCCCAAGAGTCAACAGACGCGTCTTCACCTTGGCCTCTTTGCTGGGTTTGCAGGGATTCATTGGATGGTGGATGGTAAAGTCCGGTCTTGATCAAGAAGCGCTCAACGAACGGAAATCGAAACCAACTGTCTCTCAGTACAGACTAACTACTCATCTCACCACGGCATTCTTATTGTACCTAGGTATGCTATGGACAGGGTTTGAAATACTAAAGGAAGCAAAATGGGTTAAGGATCCTGCCAAAGCGCTCAGTCAAATCGCCAAGTTGGACAACCCAGCCTTGGGTCCTTTCAGAAAAACATCATTAGGTCTACTTGCCCTCACTTTTGTCACTGCTATGAGCGGTGGAATGGTCGCCGGTTTGGATGCAGGTTTGATTTACAACACTTTCCCTCACATGGGCGATGATTGGATTCCCAGCAAGAGGGAGCTATTCGATAACAATTTTGCGAGAAAGGACGATGCGAGCGACCTGTTTTGGAGAAACATGCTGGAAAATCCAGCAACGGTTCAGCTAAACCATAGAATCCTAGCTATGACTACATTTTGCGCAGTTTTCGGTATGCATATGTGGGTGAATAGAAGGAAACACATTCTCCCTAAAAATGCTGTCAGATCCATGCATGCCATGATGGGTGTAGTGACGTTACAGGCAACGCTCGGAATATTCACCCTTCTGTACTTGGTCCCGATCTCCTTGGGATCGTTGCATCAAGCTGGGGCTATGGCATTGTTGACCAATGCTCTGATCTTCGCTGCACAGTTGCGTAAAGCCAGAATCCCTATGAGAATATTGGTGGGTGGCCTTTCAACGAGGGCTGCACCCAAGGCAACCAGTAAGATCTTGACGGAAGCCGGTAATGTCGCTGCCAAATAAAAATAATCCTCTCCGATTCGACTCAAGAAAAGACTGTACCTGTAAATACCCCTCCACACCTTTAAATGTCCTCTTTATGATTTCTTGTCGCCAGAAAAATCATTTTCTCGTTTGGCCATTACCTCGACATTGGTTTGCGACAGCCTCCACATCAAAAACATGAAGATTGTTCGGTAAGGAGCGAAGAGCTCTCCGCACTGTTCGACAATGTCTTCGTCGTATATTTTCCAATTCTTCTTTACGTGTTTGATCTTACTGCGCTTGATTATCGGGCCTCGCTTGCTCATAAGATCTTTCAGTATTTCCGGATGTGAGTCGAGATACTTCGAGCACCCGCGAGCAACGCCCAGATCGTCTGCGGCAAAAATGTCCATACGTTCCATGCTTGTTACAAGAAACATTTTAGCGCTCCACGGGCCGATTCCCTTGATATTGGACACAAGTTCAGATGCAATTGTATCGTTATCTTTGGTCAGCAGTATTTTGACATCTTCTTCATTATCGTTGAAGTAGTTCGCCAGAGATTCCAAATACAGTACTTTACGCGCCGAAAGACCACACTCTCGAAGTTCCTGCGACTTGCCTTGCTTGAACAGCCCTGCCATTTCATTGAAGCTGGGAAATTCGCCAAATCGATTCACAACTTTTTGTTTGATGCTGTTAGCTGCTGCCCCACTTATTTGTTGAGCCAAGATACTACTTGCGAGCTTCATGAAATGATGATTCAATGTCATTTCTGGCTGCTCCTTCTGTAGAAATAGCGAGAAATCTTTGGTGATGATAGTATCATATAGGGTGGAGTCGACGTCCAGAATGGCTTCGCAGCCTTTGTTGAAGCTGTCAATATGTCGCTGCCTGAAATCTTTAGGCAGTTGCCCCAGCTGGTTTCTGGTTCTCTTCATGGTCAAAAGTCGGGCTGTGGTGAGGAACTTCAGTGTGTTCCTGCTGATTGATGAACGCATCTTTGCAGAACTAAGGTTCAATTCTAAGCGCATTTCATTATCTATAATAGAATGGCATTGTACTCGAGTACATGCTTGTAAGACTGATCTCATGGCTAAGCAAAACGGTTCACAGATCTTGATGGTATTTGAGCTCTAAAGTAGGTGCGAAGTGCTTCACTAATTTGAGTACATTTAAGTCCTACTTTCGGATCCTTTTTGTTTCGAAAACTGCGTGAGTTGTTGGCTCTGTAAGATTAATTTCTGAGTTAGTGGACAGACTAGTTCAGAAGCAATGGCTCTAAACGGTCATCTGGCAAGACATCTTGAGACACTTTCTTGATATAATTGCGGAAAATAGCGATTCAACATCTTGCTGGTAAGTAAAGAATCGCTCAGACATGCAATCACTAGACCTTGTAAATCTAACGCGGCGATACGGTTGTATTTTCGGCGCTTCCAGTCGACATTCTAACACGAAAGTCCTCAAAGTTCTGGTAATTGAGCCATATGGGAACTTTAACATTTGTTGTGTGGATCTCGAGGAAGCTTTCGAAAAAGCCATCAAAAAAGCCACCAAAAAAGCCTGGCAAATAAATCGAAAACTCTCTCTATCATCTGAAATTTCTTTCCTCTGTTATATATCCATGTAGTTTTGGGTAATACTCACGTATGAAATCAGTCGCTTGGACCAATTTCTTGAGGAATAGGTATCCATTAAGGTGTCAACAGTATATCTCATTCTTTCATAGCATCTGCAGTATTGCGGAATCGCAAGATCAGCCCAGGTTGGGTATTGTCGGTAAATCTAGTTATTCTGACACGCCGCTCGAAAACTGTTCCAACATAGTCGCGAAATTGGGACAAAGAGAAAGAGCGTGGGGGAAACATTTGTAAACTATCTTTCCATTCTCTTTGGTTAAACATAGTACTTTCTTCACATCATCGGTAATCGCCAGCAAACTAGCACTCCATCTGTGGGTTGCGACATCTATCTGAAGTGCTTAAACATCGTTCAATAACGCTCCGCTGCTGAATCTCCTACCAGAAACAGGCGGCACGAAATTTCGCTATGCAGCACGCGATCATGAAGCTTTGGCTATCACAGCACATCAACATGTCCACTTCTTGAACTTTTAACTTTTCACACCATGAAAGTTGAGACGCGGGAGCATGCCTGGGAAACCTCCAATGTTTTTCATCGCAGTATTGGGTTTTTTGTTAAGACTTGCAGCTTCTTTTTGCTTGGACTCAGAAACCTCATTGGCTCGTACTATCATCCACGACACTTTGTCTTTCATGTCCAAATCCCTTATGTCGATTTGGATGTTAAAATTCTCGATAAATCCACGCTCGTGGATGTTAATGCTCGAGTTGTACGTCAGGAACTCGTTGAATATCGAAACCGTGCTCCAGTACGACAACTTTCGCAGGCATGCCACTACAAGTGAAGTAACCAACTCACCGTTAGTGCAATGGATGTAGCACGGATAGTGTTTTTTGTCTATCAAAAACTGAATGCATTGGACAACAACGTCATAATCAATTGGAACTGGCTTCTTTTTCCGTTTTACCTTGGTTTTCGACTTATCCTTAGGTCCTTTCTCGTTGTTACACTCTATAAAGACATTTTCAATCCCTTTTTCTCGACAAAATGCTCCCATGCTTGGATCTTCTGTTAATGGCTCTGGAGTGAGCGAAACTATGTATTTCAGTCCCAACGTTACGAGAAACGGTATATTTATTTCCCTAGGTTGTGATCCTCTGTAGAAGTTGGCTTGAATCGCACTGAAATATAATGGCGTTACCAGCGACATTGGCTAATTCCTGGTGTAAATATATCTCTTGTAAAAGCGGCCAAGAGCTCAATAGTTATCGTCTTTTATATCTTTAAAATGTTCACGGCCCAAGTTAATCTCTTTAAAGTATCGTCAATTGTGAAATTAGATATTGATGAACTTAACCTTTAAATATCCCAACTCAAGATGGAGTTCTTCTACGAGGAGCAGGCCGCTGCCAATGGCCCTGGAGCTTCCGACAGCCAGTTAGAACATGACAAGAGCACCGAAGAAGCCTTTGAAAGATTCGAAGGCTCCATTGACAAACAATACCAAAAGACTGCTGAAGCCGTGAAGAAGCTTATCAAGAACGATGAGCGTACGTTAGAACTAAATATTCCATTGGATCCACACCTCTCGGAGCGTGCTCAGGAAGCACTGGACTCACTGGACCACCAGCTCCACAATGTGGAAAATTTGGCCCAGAATTATTGGCAAAAAGTGGCCAGCACCTCGTTTTGGTCCAACGTGTCTGATTCGCTCGGCCTGAACGGTCAGAATGAGACCAAGAATAGCAACCAAGTAAACTTGCAGTCACCGGTGAGCTCACAGGGAAAGGCCGTGACCCCAGTGGCCGGCAACAGAACAGAGGCAGAATTGAGACTTTTGTCCAGCGACCAAAGCATCTACTTGAACAGTACTATGAACGCCAAAGGTGAAGGTGACGGTGCCAAAGCTGAAGCTTTCGACGTTGACGCACACACTACAGAAATTGCGGATCTGTTGAAGGCGGACAGCGTGCTTACACAGACAATGAACGCCCTGGTGCCAGAGCACGTCAGCTACGGGGACTTTTGGGATATTTACTTTACGCGAAGACAAAAGATTTTGGATATGGAGAATCAGAGAAAAGATCTTCTCAAGAAAGAAGCCAAAGACAGTGCTCCTGTGGATTGGGACGACGAAGACGAGGACGAAGACGATGGGACCAAAGACAATGGTAAAGACAACAAGAATGACGGTGAAAAAAAAATTTCTCCTGATGAAAACGTCAAGAAGAGCTCACATCAGGAAACCATTGAGGGCAGTGACGAGGACGACGATGATTGGGAATAAACAGAGACATGCCTTACTTTGAGCTTGAGACAATGCTCTCTAGAGAGTTGGTTAAGGCCAGCCCTTTAACTTTAACTTTTAACTTTATGCACATCCTTTAACCAGGGTTGATTCCTTTAGATCATTAATTCATTATTTACCTTTTAAATTCTACTGCTACAGCGAGGACGTTGGGGTGCGATGGTAGAACAAAACGTAGGCGCTTGTCGTGATACACTCGAGATCACTTTTGGCCCTTCTCCAGCTAGTATCGTCGAAGTAGCACCACCCATTGGGGGATCCTTTGTTAACGTATGACGTATAATGTCCTCCGTAAAGCGAGCCAAAGTGACAGGCAACCGCGTACAGGTTGTAATTGAATGGAGGGGTCTGACCTCGAGTCGGCAGCTCCGACACACCGGGTGGGAGCTTCCCGTCAAAGTCGTCGGCCCAAAACTGTGTTAGGTCCAACGTATGAGGATACGAGATAAAAATGTTATTCTTGTGAAGAAGATTATCGAACCTCTTCAAATGAATAATCAAGTTTCGGGGCAATCTCGTAATCGTTATTTTCTTCGTAGATGGCTGCTTGATTTTGCACTGAGGGCAGAACCATTGCTCGTCTTTTTCCAGCGTTTCAATCTTGGTGAACTCTTTAAAGCAATCGATAATATCACAACGCGACCCGCGAGGAACCGGGACGGACAGAACCGAGAATGGTTGGTATGTGGTGGATGTGCGACCACAAACCTTGCACTTAAGCTGCGAGGCGTACTGACCTTGAAATAAGTCTACAATTACGCTGAAGTCCGTTGTCAAATATCGCTCCCATTCAATTGAGCTTGCAATTCTCAGGCAGAGCTTCTCTCTGATTTTCTCCGCTTCTTCTGACAGCTCCTTCAAGGCTGGGTTGCCTCCGCACTGGTTTAAATCCTCATGCAATCCATCCAGCAAAAACTGACAAAATTCTTGGCAGTCTTGTTGAGACGATCCTTTGAACAGAGGATTAATTGATCCGCTGGCGACTTTGAAATGAATGGGCTGAACGGCGTTCTTTTCATCTCCATTAACAAGCATTTTCTTCCCAGTAGCTGAGGCTGAGAGTGCTTTTTGACGCATGAGGTGGATCAGTTGGGAAAAATACTTGGCCAACACTCCCTTTGAACCAAGCCTACTATTTAGGTTGATGTGGTTCTTGTACGATTCATCTAGAAATATCTGGCAAAGTTCGTACGTGCCCAAAAGGCACTGGATGATGCAATTCATGTAGCATGAGTTTCCCAAGTTCACCAGACCAACACAAAATCTTGATACCTGTTTAGTCGATGGGGCATGGACCACATGTTCTTCTGAATTACCTGGACCGTGTCCATTGCCTATTTTGAGGGCTTTGGATCTTGTAACTCCATTTTTCAAATCAATCTCGGCGAAACTACCATTGAGACGAGGTGGTGACAGACTTCTAGATAGGGGGGTGAAAGATCTCGTTTCAAAAGGCTTCAACTGTGACAATAGTTTCGTTTGCGTTGCAGAGGGCACTAGTTGTGGCGTTTCCGGATATGTGGTTGAGTCTCTGGGCGTGATCGAATTTGGCTGCAGAGAAGGACTGTTGGTCCTGGAAATGGGCGACAAGCTGGTCATTCTATCTTTGAAGCTAGAGCTTCGCTTCAGTACCGAGGATCTTTGGTCGGGGAATAGCAGGGATGAGTTAAGTTGGACGTTGGGAGTCGCCAAGCCATTATCGTCGAAATTTGGGGCATAACTCGAAGAAGAAGGTGCGGGTTTCATTAGTTGAGGCTTTTGTGGCTTGAGAGGAGGAATGGAATATTCCATAGCGTATTCGTGATCTTCGATGTTGCAAGAGGTTTCGCACAGCCCTTCACTTTCCACCCACGCTCGAAGTCCACCTTCCAACGCAAGAACCTTGGTGTCGCCCAAAGGCTTTTCGAACGATCTTTCCACGAGTAGTTCCACCAGACTAGCCTGTTTTTGCTGGGAGAATTGTGTTTTGTCATTCTCATCCGTGCATACAACAATGTAATCAAAAGTGTCCCGTTGCTTGAACAAATTGACCTCTTGGCTGGGTGAGGTTATCAGAGACCTTCTACTAAGCTCGATGTCCGAGTAAGTGTCTTTGAAAGAGATGGGTTCTATGCACATGATGGTATCGGACTTGATATGGGACTCGATGAATTTTATGCGGGGTCTGAGGTCTATAATGAGCACTTTGTGCGTTTGAAGCAGTGTAGCGAGACCCCAGGCAGTCACACTTTGGCCATTGGTCCACGTCGAGGTTGGAGGTAGCTTGCTCTGGTCTCGAGTACCAGATTTCTTGGCGCCCGTCGTTTCTGGCAGCGAGTGGTCTTTGATGAATTTGCGAATCTCGGCGAATTTTTCGTCTGTGAGCAATGTTTTCACCAGCATGTTGTAGAGCTCGATCAGACCCTTCTCACGCTCCGTTTCGGCCTTGTTTTTGGCGTGAACGAACTCGGGTAGTTCCGGGATCTTGTTTAACACAAGCTGTGATACGATTTTGTAGTAGACGTAGGCCGCTTCATATGCCTCGAAAACTTCTGTATTTTGCGGCAAATGCTGTGAGCCCCATTTTCGCAGCTTTTTGCACTCTTCTTGATAGTTGACTAAGGTGTCGATGCATTCTTGCAGAAGCATTTCCATGTCCTGGTTTTTCCCAGCATCTTGTTGGACAAACTGGTCGGCGATTTTTATCAGTTGAGCAACCGACTTACAAGTCCGACCGGTGGTCTTGCTTAGTGGCATACCTTTTTCCTCTGTCGAGGCAATGGATGGAGCTTTGAGATGTGGTTTTGGCATGGAAAGGTGGGTTGAGCTAGCTTGCGTAATCATTTGTGTTTGGCATTTACGGCCACTTAAAAGTCACGTGTGCAGGTCAATTGGGCAGTTTGGGTATTAAAAAGTCCGATCTGGGTATTTGCCAGGTGAGAAGGGACAGTTGTGGACGTCTGCGGTCAGTGGGTTCGAGTAGAGCGCGGTTGGACGATGTCAGAGCATTTTTCAGCTACGAAATACGGATATTATGTGACATCTTGTAGTGATTTAGCTGAAAAGTGAAGAATCCAAGTATACCCAGCAATCGTGGACATTGTTCCATTAGTGAGCGGTGTTTCAAAGCCTCAAACCGCTTATGTATGCCTATGGCATAGTGGTCATCCTTTTTAGCACCCAAGCTCTTCGATGCTGGGAAAGATGGGATTGCAAATCTGCGAAAACAGAAAGTGAATATATCAACTGGAGAGTCCGTAGTCGGGTTCTGAGATCTAATGCACACCGGCTTTCCTCTTCATTGGGTCATTTAGCAGTGGTCAGCAAACCATAGACATTGTTTTTACCCGATCTGAGTCTTCCCCACAGAATACTCTCGCTTTCCCTTATTTTCTACTTCTACACAAATATCACGGTAAATAGAGCATGTTTAGTTCTCATCTTAGTTCTCATTTCCAAAATCAATAACATTCTTCGTAGCGATCGTTCTCTTCAGACACGTCTTTCTGAAGCCTTTTCAATTATAATACCATATATTACTTGCTATACCTATTTTCTACTCTAGTCTAGTCGAGTCGGGTTTTTCGAGTTCCAGGGCCAGAGAGCTGCTAGCAGCTGTCATCTGTAGTAAACCTTCGTCGCCGCTAGTACACGCCGTCGTCAGGCCTCTGCTGTTCGACCTGGGCGTCCTCACCCTTTTTCTTCAGTTCTTCACGGCTGGGCATCTGGTACTTGGAATTTTTGGAATCACCTTTCTTCTCCAGCTCTTCCAATCTTTTCTGATTGGCATTCAACTCCTTCTGTGACGCACTTTCCGGGGTCTTAGACTTTGCTTGTTTTGAAATACATCTCAAAGCAACGCCAGGTCTGGCTGTTTGCAAAGTCAAGTTCTGGAGTGTCCTGCTTCCTCTGATAGTCTGTTGTAGCATGGTTGATATGTATGAGTCAAAACCTTAGTGGAATGGGTGATTTGTAGGTAGTAAGTAGTGTTGGATCAAGGAGAGTATACCTTCGTAGGCCCCAAATTTGCTCCCTTTATATTGCCCTGTTCACGTATTGCGTTTTCTGTCGTTTGCTCATGTGCCAGTGACGATTGCAACTTCGCTTTACTGCGATCCATGAGCCACACGGCACAAACACCGTGACAATTGCTGCCAAATTGACGTGAAACTGACGTTCAAAAGCGACCCTTGCGGAGACGACTCGGACAGCGGCGAGAGGGGAGTTTTAAAGTTCATTTTAATTGGTGTTTCAGATGTTTTTAGCCGATAAAAGAGGTAAAGTAAGATCGTGTTGCGAAGGGGATTGAAATTGGCTGTAATTCACATTGCTGCTCGTCCTTCTCTTTGTTATTATTGCATTGTTTTGGGAAGAACAAAGAGGTTTGGCCTCTGCAGTCGTTTTCAGCAATATCTGGCAATTTTGGCATCAATTATATCCGTTTTCACAATCACTCACGCAACTTTACACACAGTTGAAACTTGTATTTAGCTCTCTGCACACAGAAGACTATTTATCATACTCGTCTAGCTTTGCACAACTGAATAGGGCACATGCGAAACGGCTAGTTCTCGTACTCCTCCTTGACCAGCTCGCGGACCATGTCGCACCACTTGGTTTTACTGAACGCAGGATCGGCTTGGACCTGGCGATTTTCGCCTTTCAGTTGGAACCCGATACGCTCGTAGAACGGAACAAGCGGCTCGTGTGCAATAATTGCAATTCTCTGGCCCACCTCCTGGTTACTGAGTTTCTGGATGTAGTCGGTCAGCAGCAACGTAGCCAGGTTCTTCTTCTGGTGTTCGGGCGCGATCACCACGGAGTGGATGCCCACGGTGCTCGACGCCTCGTCGTGCACCTTGCCCATGCTTTCCAAGGTGATCATGGAGGGTTGCGAGTGGTCAGGCGAAGCTGGGATCTTGGTGCCCATGATGTGGCCGATCAATTTTTCGCCCTTGACTTCGTTTCCCTCGACGTTTCTGATAAACAGACCTGAGCACAGCTCAGGACAGGTTTTCAAACGAAACTCGGTTGTGTCGCGAGAAGCTCTCTCTTCAGGAGGGAATCCCCTACTTTCAAGCTCACATACTTCGTGAGCGTCTTCGATCAACAGCGGACGTATGTACATATGAAGAGGCAGAGTTGAGCTCATGGTGGTCTGGAATATTTGAAGATGAGCTTCAGGCCGTTTCGAAGCTGAGAAGACTCTGCTCCGTTGTGCTTGGTTCGCGTGCCATGAAGAACAGGCCACGCTTGATGGAATGTATGATATTACTTATAAATTTCTTTGGCACTATATACGATCAGGTCACTGAGTAGTCACGTGTTCGGGTGTGTCAGAAAAGACGTAATTTGCAACGCTTGTCCCTGGCGTTTAGTTTTGAGCTATGATTTGTGAGCTTTGAGATGTGAACGGTAAGCTATGGGTGCGCGTTTGCTTTGCTCAAGAGTGCTTTTTATGTATTGTAGCAAATTTTCGTAGACACAATTGGCGTATATACTAAATGAACGTAGTGCAGATTGTAAAATGGTACAAACACCAGAAAACACACAAAAGACCGGCCCGTTTGAACACTACATAGATCGGGGACGACTGCTGGCGTTGAGGCAATGTTTCGTATCACTATATACTATTCTGTCACCGAAGTGATGTATGACATTTGGTCACGTGACGAGCGAGTAAACATTTCCAAACACAATGAACACAGACGGAGGAAGTCTGTCGATTCTTCAGGGCCCCGGTCTAAGACTCTACTTCTCTGGTGGCTTCCAACACACGCTCACGCTCACGCTTAGCTACTTTCCCCGTGTTAAACACACTCTCATCACCTTGAACGAAAATACTGGCAATTTTTTGGTGATATTCAGCTATAATTAAGAACCTACGACGTTCATTAAACTCAACCAAACTGGCCCGTCAATTAGCATCATCAGCTATGTCACTTGCCGAGATTCTACCGCTTGAAATAATCGACAAGACCGTGGGACAACCCATGTGGGTGATGCTCACGTCGCACCGCGAATTCAGTGGCACATTGATCGGCTACGATGATTTTGTAAATGTCGTGCTGGAGGACGTTGTGGAGTATGACCACGACCAGGAGATCAAGAGACACGCAGGCAAAATGCTGTTGAGCGGCAATAACATATCGATGCTAGTGCCAGGCGGTAAGCGTGTATAGTAGACGTTGTAATGTATGTATACGCCCTACGTTCACGATGAGAATACGAATAGAATAGATTAGGAAGTGTCATTATATGGTGTCGATCGAGCTAAAAGCGATGCGAGCGATGTCGTCACTTGTATTTGAAGTGGTTAAAACTACAATAAAGAGAGAAAAAGAGCAATTTTGTATTTTAAAGCGTCCTTCAACGTATTCTATACGTATATATGTTGGTAAAATGGAAATTCATGCAAAAGGATCAAAAAACCACTCGACATTTGTATCTTCAAAGACACGCATCCCCATGGTCTTTGCTTCCTTGCGGGTATCTTCTGTGATACCCATGCGTAAATCGCACCATCTTTTCAACACTCGTGGTTGCAAGTAGTACGCATTCACAAGCAGGTGACTGGTGACAGCGTACCACATGCCGATGAAAAGGTCGAACCGGAAATGGTGGTCCAGGTACATAGTACTCCACCATTGCAAAATGGGGAATGCAGTACCCAGACAACGAGGAATGAGTGCCATGTGGAAAATGGACATTAATTTGGAGTTCAACGCACCCATTGGAACCGGGGTTCCGTACTGGAAGCTCGGGTTGGAGGCACGGACTGGGTTGATTGCGTTCACCAAAAGAGAGGCGTCTGGAGAAGTGTCTGGAGAAGAGTCTGGAAGGGACTGGAGTTCGATAGTGTTAGGGTCGGTTTCTGGATTTTTGTCAGCAGACTCAGTTTCGGAGGTGAACGAAGAGCCTGTGATCGGCGAGTCAATAATGCAGGGTCTAGCTTTGGTGCCCGCGGCACGGGTGATCAAAAATAAGAAGCATTGAACTGCCATGGCGGAATGCAAAGAGGGCACGGCTCCAAATACAATGGGCGACTTGTGGAAGCCTTTGGAGTTGAGATGCGTGCCCAAATGAGAGTCTACACGAGTAAGACCGGCAGCGTAGCCGGGCTGGTCGTAGGACACATGCTCTGTGTCGTGGACGCCGTACATGTGGATGAACCATGGAGGCGCCATGGGTACGAGAAGATGCGTGAAAACGCCGCAGATGTTCTGGGCGCCCATTGCAAGTGAGAAGGCCTTTAAAGTTCCTGGGGGCTGGAATACGTAAAGGTAAACGGCGGTGAGAATTGGGGCAATGAGATGCAGCAACACGTACGAGACCCAGGCCAGAATGTCTTTGTATTTTGTGAAGTTGGATTCGCGCTGCCAGGCCAGCAGGTTAACGCAATTCAAACCCGAAAAAGTGAGCAGCAGTAACAGGAAGGGCAGCAACACGCGGCGGTTGGTGGGCGAGAAACGGTAGTCACGATGGAACAAGTGTGCGTAGGGTTCCAGCACGTTGGTTTGGCAGCGTCGACAATAGTACAGATAGTACCACAGCGACACTGGCAGCACGGTGCACACGAGCACCGCAAACAGCGCAGCCGAGACCCACGACAGCGGCCTGAGAATCTCCGAGGCGCTGTCACCGTACTGGGCATGCAGTTCGCCGGCGGAGTCCCCGAACATGAACGCATCTGCTAGAAACGCGAGCTTGCTGTGGATAAGTGGACGCCAGCTGGTGGGGATCAGGCCCGCGTTTTTGAAAACGCACAGCCATATAAATACGGGGAAGAAATTGAGTGCGAAATTGAACACGAGTGTGGGGATGTTTCTAGTGTTGAGCCCACCGCGATACACTCGTACTATGAACTGCCACGGCAGCGTGGCGAGCGAGCGCAGCGAGCCATACGCCACGAGCGTGGCAGGCATGCTTGATGGTGGAGGGACGGGGAGAGGAAGCAAAAGGGCACTAACACAACTGCTCTTGTTTCTCGAGCTTTACTGGAGAGAAACCACCAAAAACCTGTTAAAAAGTGGTATGCTTGAAAAGCTCTGATCTGATCAAATACCAAATACCAAATACCAGACACCAAACCCTTGACGTTCTAGCCTCGAGCGTGCAAATTCACTACAAGTTCCTATGCTATTTCGCTCAGGATCAACCGTTGATCAAGAGACGGAAGCGAGATGAGATGAGATGGGCCGTTGTTCAAAGACAACTTCGGAGAATTCAGCTCTTACATATATATATATAGTCCAGCTGTTGATGGATATGCTTTTTCGTCGATGAGCAGCGTTTGAAAGCGTGTTTCCTTAGACCAGCGCGTAAGCCACAGGGAAATTTTTGGCACGGGAGGAAGAAGAGGAAAAAATATTAGAGGTTCCGAGATCCGTCGAGAGTGAGGTGTGGATGACATGTGAATGTCACATGGGAGGAAGAAAGAAACGTGATGAGTACGAGTACGAGTACGAGCGCGCGTACTTGAGAGCGTAATTGAGTCGATGTCAAGCGATCAATTGTGCTTGTGCTGCCATCATACGTATTCACAATTGAGAGCGTCAGCAATCTGTGGTAAATGCTCTTAGTAAATCGATTCCGAAGAGTAGAGCTCTCGTAGTAACTTTGAGCAATCGAGGGCGTCAGTGATAGATTTTGAATAATATGAGGTGCGTGATATTGTTGTACAAGGGAGTCAGTAATTGAAGTGCTTCTTGTGCAAGCACTATACGTACAGGCACTACACACCATTTTAGAGTGCTGCTTTCCCATCTCAACTGTAAATTGAGAAAAGCTCGGAAGACCTTTCAAGGTACAGGCTAAAAGCACAACAAGCTGAAAGTACACAAGAATTTTTTTCTTAACAGTTTGGAGCGTCAGCCCTGGCACGTCAACGGTCAGTTGTGAATAGCTGGAGAGCTGTAAGCTTGGTGGAAGATGGCTACGTGCCTTATTGGACAATCATGAGTGTCAGCAAAATCTCTAAATTACCAACAATTAAATTACAAATTCAACGCTTTAAAGCATAAAACTTGTATTACTACTGAACAATCGCGAGCATTACCGATCTTACTTGTTAAAACGAAAAATCTCTAGCTTTGCTGCGTTTGAACAGAAAACTCTATTATGATCTCACATTTTCTAGCTGATGCTCTCGACTGTTCGGAAGTACTTGTGGCCTTCTTCCTTGACGGTAAACTACTGATAAGTATGAAAACCACAAATATCCCGAGCCCTCCGTAACTTTTTAAAATTAATTTTATCTTCCTCGTGTGCCTTGGTTGGTAGAGAGTCATAACATGACAAGTTTGCGAATTTCATCTCTTCAATACCGTCTTCCCGGGCGTTGAAACCTCCAATTACTTCTTGCCGTGAAATACACATAACATCCAACAACAATTGTTGCCAACCGAAAAACGGCTTTTTCGGAACATCTCATCACTCATCCTATCCTATCACCGATCTAAATGTCACGAAAAATTTCAAAACTTGAATCATTCATCAAACCATCGTTAACGTTCTCTTTTTGTTCATCGGAAACCCATTGTCAATCTCACAGCGCGACACTGCGTTATACTAGCCGAGCTTCAAAACTACAAGTTTCCGTCGCCTGTCGTATGTGAGAAATCGTGAACCCTTATAAAAATTTGATAGCATATCGAAAACGTCTGGTCTCTCACATACCACTAAGATTGACAAGAAAAACACATCGCGGTCGTTCTCATTTGCTAAACCTGTCGTCTTTCCCTGGGACGTCGAAATGACGATGTCCCAATGAAGACTATGCTCAGCTACTGACAGATGACACGCGAGTACAAAGTGATCTTGTTCTCGAGCGTGATCACTCACTGGCTGTCAGTACATTTAGATAATGCGCAATCGCAGCGCATGTACAACAGCAATTTTAAACATCGCTACAACCGCTCTCAATCCGTTTAACGTCCCTTTGCTTGTGAATAAATAACTGACATAAAACCTTCATATGATCTCCGGAGATTGCTACAAGCTGCACTATGAACTGATAAGGAATTTAATGAATGACTGCTCCTCCCAGTTCCAAGGACACGTACAACACCAAATGCCCATACTCTCAGCACAGGTTTCATGGCTTTCTCGCCAAGACCGTCAGGGCAAAGAATTCGTGAAAGGTGACAAACAAACTTCTTTACTGAAACCTCATACACGAACCCTGGAAGCTATCGAACTACTGAAACAAAGCTTTCTTAACCGCCCGAGTAATTCTATAATGCTGTTGATGCTCTCCCTTCTCTATTTCACTGCACTTCAACGCACCAAGAAACTATCACATCGCTTTACACGTCATTAATCTCAATTTCCCCAAAGTCATTTATTTATACCATTCGCATCTCAGCGTTTACTACAACAACAACAACTACAATTCACAGCTCGTGAGCCATGAACACAGACCAAGCACACGCCCAGTACAAGATACAACTGCTCCTTCACATTAACAGTGTCCTGCTGGCACGGATCAACCAAATGAACGCGAGTCCAGCGCAGTTTTCTGTAGAACAACAGCAGAGCATCGCGGCTCAATATCTCAAGCGCGTTCACGCAAACCTCCAGTGTATTTCACAGCTCAACCAAGGCGTCCAAAAATCTAAACCAACGCTGCTGGACTCACCACAGCTGCCGATGCAGCAGAACTCCCAGGATGTCCTCGCCAAACTCTATCTTTTGACTAACCGCGTGTTTGAAGTGTGGTGAACACAAAACCGGAAAGCAGGAGTCACTATGGACGAAATAATCATGTGATATGAACATTACCTAATCAAACCAGATACACGTGCCTAAAATTACCTAATCAAAGTTTTCACAGCATACACGTGATAACACCGTCAACAATGACAGTAATCGCTCGTCCGCTTTTTCCCAGGCCAAAAAAAAAATCAATAGCCAAATCTGGATCACCTGCGTTGTCCGTCAAAACGTAAGAGAATTAAGAAAAGCTCAAGAAAGGGGGTCGAACAAGAACAAGAACTAACTTTAAACCCAACTGTTTTACAAGGCATTTCCAGCGTATTAGATCAGATGAGTGAAGAAGACAGCGCATCGAAAGGCCCAGAGCCTCAAAAGAAAGAATCCAATGGCCCTGTTGTCTCTGGACGTATCATCAACTGTGTGCCTCAATTGCCGTATAAGATCAGTCGTAACGACAAATACTCAGCGTCGCGCGGCGACAATGCCTCTGAGGAATGGAATATGGAGCCCATAAGTGGCAACAGTGCTCTGTATTCGTCGCTGTACCTTCTGCGCGACTCTCCTGACTGGGAGGAACACGTCGTTGGGTGGACCGGCGAAATCGACCCCGGAAACGCGTTTTCTTACATCGCGCCCACTGATTCGCAAAAAAACACCAAAGACGCTACTGAAGACTTGAAATACAACTCTCGGGAGCTCAACGAGGACCCTCTGTATCTGTCAATGGAGCAGAAACGTGTCATGGCCGAAAAACTGCAAAATCAGGAGGACTCGAAAAATAGAATGACCGTGCACCCCGTGTGGCTATTACGCAGAGACCAGCGTCGCTGGCGTGGATACGCTGAAAACGTAGTGTGGCCGGCATTGCACTACATCTTAAACGCTCCGTCGGATGGTCAAAAGGAAAACACTTGGTGGTACGACTATGTCAAGTTCAATGAGGCCTACGCTGCTAAGGTGGCACAGATCTATAAGCCGGGTGATATCATCTGGGTCCACGACTACTATCTCATGCTACTTCCACAGCTTTTGCGCATGCGGTTCGGCGATGCTGTGATCGCGTACTTCCACCACGCGCCATGGCCCAGTAACGAATATTTCAGGTGTTTGTCCAAGCGTAAACAATTATTGGATGGTATCCTAGGAAGCGATCGTGTGTGTTTCCAAAACGACGGTTTCGCCCGCCATTTCGTGTCGGGATGCAAAAGACTGCTAGATTCCACTTCTACCAAAAATAAGACCCAAAACAAAGGAAAGGAAGAATGGTTGATCAGCGCCTACGGTGGTGACGTAGTGGTGGACTCTTTACCAACCGGTGTCAATACGGAGCAAATCTTGCATAATGCGTTCACATCTGATATCGACGCCAAAGTCGAAACGATCAAGGCTGCATACGAGGGGAAAAAGATCATTTTCGGAAGAGACAGATTGGATACCGTTCGAGGCGTTGTTCAAAAGCTTCAGGCATTTGAGGCCTTTTTGGCTATGTACCCAGAGTGGAGGGATAAAGTTGTTTTAATTCAAGTGAGCAGACCAACGTCCACTGACAACGCGCTCAAGCTTGAACAGCAAGTCAACGATCTTGTGAACTCCATTAACTCTCAATACGGGTCTTTGAATTTCTCTCCGGTACAGCACTACCACATGCGCATCCCAGAAGACGTGTATTACTCTTTGTTGAGGGCCGCAGATCTTTGCCTGGTCACCAGCGTCAGAGATGGCATGAACACCACTGCTTTGGAATATGTCACAGTCAAGAGCAGATCTTCTAAGCAAAGCTGCTACGCCAATCCGCTAGTGCTGAGTGAGTTCTCCGGTACAAGCACCGTGCTAAAGGGCGCTCTTCTTGTAAACCCATGGGACTCGGTTGCAGTTTCAAAGGCCATCAAAAATGCTTTGTCAATGACGTCGCAAGAGAAAGCCACTTTAGAAAAAAAACTGTGGTCTAAAGTGCCAACTACACAAGATTGGAATGCTCGTTTTTTGAAGAGAATGGTCGCAATTGCTGAGAGGAAGGACTCCGACGATAGCAAGATCACACCTGCTTTGAACCGCCCATTGCTGCTGCGTACGTATCGCGCCTCGAAACGCCGTTTGTTCCTTTTCGATTATGACGGGACTTTAACGCCAATTGTCCAAGATCCGGCTGCTGCTATTCCGAGCGCCAAGCTTTTCAAGATTTTATCAAAATTGGCGTCAGACCCTAACAACCAAATTTGGATCATCTCCGGAAGAGATCAAAAATTTTTGTCTAAATGGCTAGGATCGCGTATGCCGCAGTTGGGTCTAAGTGCGGAACATGGCTGCTTTATGAAAGACGTAGCTTCAGAAGATTGGGTTAATTTGACTACAAAGGTTGACATGTCATGGCAAGAAAAAGTTCACGAAGTAATGGATCAGATCACTGTACAAACGCCAGGATCGTTTGTAGAGAAGAAGAAGGTTGCTGTTACATGGCATTACAGACGTGCTGATCCCGAACAAGGTGAATTCTATGCCGCAAAGCTGAAAAAGACTCTTGACGGATTTGCTGCTGATTTGGGTTTGGAGGTCATGGAGGGTAAAGCGAATGTAGAAGTTCGTCCAAAATTCGTCAATAAGGGTGAAATTGTCAAAAGACTCGTCTGGCACCCGCTGGGTGAAAAGCAATTGTACGACGACGATGGCTTCAAGATTGATGAAAGTGTACCCAAAGATCGCTTACCAGAGTTTATTTTGTGTCTCGGAGACGACTTTACGGATGAGGATATGTTTGCACAACTGAACAGCATTGAAAGCGTCTGGGAAAAGAAGTTTCCAGATGACAGGAACGAATGTGGGCATTATGGATTCTATCCTGTGACTGTCGGGTCTGCTTCGAAGAAAACGGTGGCTAAGGCTCATTTAACAGACCCTCAGCAAGTGTTGGACACACTAGGGCTCCTAGTGGGTGATGTTTCTCTATTTCAGAGTGCAGGCACTGTCGACTTAGATGATCGTGGTCATATTAAAGACAGCGAGAGTAGTATGAAATCCGAACAAGCTGGTGTTGCTTATAACATGAGAAGGTCTGCTTCATTGAAAGATAGCACGTAGGTAGTTGATCACGCACATACTAACGTAGCATACACGAACATTATGTTTCATTATATTAGCAAACTGCATCTTTACTCCTGAACTTGCTCGAACCCACTAATGACCAGTTTCTTTACAGCTTCTTTCAGCTTGCTTCTGGTGAGAGATACATCCTTACCTTTCATGGCTAATCCACAATTGAGCAAGTGCGACAACCCAGAGATGTACTCCATAAGCGGCATATGCTGCTGCTTACCGAGATGAAAACACGCGTTGGTTATCACGCACTTTTCTTCAAGGTCATGAACAATAATCGCACAAGCCAAGTAGTTCAAAAGAAAATGCAAAAGAAGTGACTTTTTTAGCACTGGCGCGGCTTCTTTTCCATCAACAGTAGCAGAATTATGTGAAGAACTTTTTCCAGCGCGAGCGAAGCTGTTGGCAGAAAAGTAGAACTTCAATCTTTCCAAATGGCTGGCGTCATCGTTGTCTTTGAACAGTTTTGCACTCGTAAAAGGCTGAAAGTGACTACAGAGCCATAGGATGATAATGGTGCATTGCCAGATATGATTTTCGTGAAATGAGTGAGAACTGAATAATTTCTCGATGCATTCCCACAACTCGGTGACTTCATTATATTCGGGAAAGGACACAGTGCCGCCCACCTTGCTCATGTTGGCAACTTTGACGGCGAACATCGAAGAAAGGCCAATTAGTTTAAACTCGGGAGCATTTTTTTGAGTATTGAGAAGAGAATAATTTTCCAAGGCAGTCGGCGTGTCGCGTCTTAGTTGAGCTTTCATGGCTTTTATGAGAATGGCATACGCTGAATCACTCTCAATGTCAGCACAGCTTCCGGTTAAAATTAGACTTTCCAAACACATGTAATAATTGCAAAGGTCAACAATGAGCATGTAGAAACATTTTCGACTGTCTGACAACTCCAAATTCACTGGCTCTGATATGTTCTTGAGTTCGTTAGCTGCCTGTTGGATCTTGGGCAAAAATTTCACAGAGAAATTGGCTTTCTTGTCATAGCAGTTGGTTAGATAGCTCACGCTTTGAAACAACAATATTATATTCTTAAAATCCTTGTAGCGAACGATGGGTGTGTCTACCGAAATTGAAATCTGGTCATCGAGGCGCAAATGGAACGTTGAGTCCTTGAGCTCCTTCTTGTGAGTGGCAACCAGATCTTTGAATTCGGAAAGCTTTGTAGTTATATTAAGGTCACGGTAAATCAGGACGAGCAGCTCAACAAGACTGCTCCATAGCCTGAGCTGTATGGGCAGTTTTTGGCTTTTAAGAGCACCGAGTTTGTCGAGATGCGCTTGACAGATGCCCTGGTTTTGAGTGAGCCGGATACAAATGTAAGAGCATATGACAAATGCCTGGAGGTTCAAGACAGAGTCGCAATCGGTGATGAGGGTATCAAAAAGACCCGGTATTTTCGAGTCAGACGGCGAAATTTCCAAAAGAAGTTCGATGCGCAGAAACTGGAAATAAAGGTTCCAGCGTGAATTCAAGGGCTCCAGATCCACAAGAGTCCCCGTAACCAGTCGAAGTGACTCCTTGGAATGCTTTACGGAACGTCTGGCTCTCGCAACCCGCACGAGTGCCGCTGTTACCAGCATTTTTTGGTGGACCAGCGTCGTACCGTACAGTCTTTCATGCACGCTTGACAGATACATTTCTGCCAGGTCCAGGTCGTGCGTTTCTTGCACCAGCAATTCGAATAGCTCTAGAGTTACCAACACGTCCTGCTCAATACTCAATTGGTGCTTTGCTTTGATCATTTTGAGCGCGTTTACAGCATGGTACATCAGTATCCGATACTGTTTGACATGCGCGTCAGAGGACAAAAAAGGTCGCATTTTCCGCGCATGGCTCGCATATTCAGAACTAAGGTTATACAAGGTTCTTGAATCCATTGCTTGCGTCTTAGACATGCTTAAAAGCTAGCTATTCGGCCTTTCTTCTGCTCTAAACAGATCACAACAACTTTGAACAAATTATGACGCTAAATCGACGTTCAGAGCTCGGATTTTGAAGCTAAGGAATGCCTTCTGAAGCTTCAATCTCACTTATACAGAATATACACACTTGAGCGCTTAAAGCTGCAGTCTGAGCTACAATGTTCGAGCTCGTTGTTTAAGTTTTTGTATAAACCCGCTGAGCTTGAGATGAGCTTTCTCTTCAGATTACATATTATATATAAATATATAATAAATGGACAACCTCATCTCTCTCATCAACAACTTTGAGTATATAAGAAAGAAGAAGAACAACACAGACAAGATAAGCGAGCTGGCCAGATCGTATTCGGTGTAATGTCAGAAGAAAACCGGTTGAAAGATTTCCAGGAAGCCAACAAGATCGTTTTCGACCCCAGTACACGATCAGTATGGGAAACGCAAGAGAAGAACTCTAACGGTGTTGGGTCGAAAACCGAAGAAGACGACGCGCAGAACGCAACCACATCCGGGATAGTGCCCACACTGCAGAATATCGTGGCTACTGTGAATTTGGACTGCCGATTGGACTTGAAAACGGTGGCACTGCACGCCAGAAACGCAGAGTACAATCCAAAACGTTTTGCAGCTGTGATTATGCGTATCAGAGAACCCAAGACCACAGCACTGATCTTTGCGTCCGGAAAAATGGTGGTGATTGGTGCCAAGTCCGAGGACGACTCGAAACTCGCGAGCAGAAAGTATGCGCGAATCATCCAAAAAATTGGTTTCAGTGCCAAGTTCACAGACTTCAAAATCCAGAATATCGTGGGTTCATGCGATGTAAAATTCCCCATCAGACTCGAAGGTCTGGCGTTCTCGCACGGCACTTTCTCGTCGTACGAGCCAGAACTGTTTCCAGGTCTTATTTACAGAATGGTAAAGCCCAAGATCGTTCTGCTGATTTTTGTCTCTGGGAAAATCGTACTCACCGGTGCTAAACAGAGAGAAGAGATTTACCAGGCCTTCGAAGCCATTTATCCCGTGTTGAGTGAATTCCGCAAATTGTGATGGAGTCTGGAGTCTAGAGTCTAGAGTTTGGACGTACGTACGTAGCCAGACGAGTCGAAGCCGTCTTTCCCGCAAAAGCTCTACCCAGTGAAAACAGCTATCGCGATTCACCCCTCCCACACACAAACACACAAACTGCATAAAAATGAAAAAAAGACGGCCTCATCACCGCTCTACCAACGAGCCTTTCACCTATATAACTACAAATAACAGCGCAAGCGCTTGAACATCGGAATTTGAGAGAGAGAGAGAGAGGGAGGAAAAACGGAGAGCCAACTTTTATAAGTACGCTAGACGCCGCTTTTTAGGTGTCTAGCGATCCAGTTCCTTCTCCAGCCTCTTGCGAAGCGACCGTTCGCGTTCCAGCTCCTCCTCATGCTTCAGACGCGCCTCCGTTAGCACTTTTTTGAACTCTGCCCTCATCGATCCGATCGAGTACATGTTTCCGTTGCTCGTGTTGGAGCTGGGGCTCGAAACGGGCGTGGATACCGGCAGGTTTTCCACATGTGTAGTCAGAATCTCGCGCTGTTGCTTCAAGCTCTTGCATTTGTCCTCCAGAGTTGCTACCTGCTTTGCACGTTCTGCAAGCTCCCGGGATAGCTCTTTGTTGGTTCTGTTCAGTTTGTCTATGCTGTGTAGATATTCGTTTCTATCATTTTCGAATTTTTTGGTCAAAAAGCTGTGTGCCAATTGCAGATCCCGAAGCGCGGTCGCTGTGTCGTCGCTGAGTGTTGTATTATGGTCTAGCGGCGGAGCCATGGGTTTTGAATCCACGATGTTCATGAGAGCATCAATGCACTGTTTAAAAAACGCAATGTCGTCGTGTGGTGCAGGTCCCTGCGGCGGTTTAAGCTGGATGTCACGTTGCAGAGCACTCGATAGCAGATACGATGTTACTTCTTCCAGCTGTGACTGCTGTAAACTTCGACTTGCACCAGCTACGTTTGAATCCGAATTGCGTTGAGGACCATCAAAGTCGCGTTGGAGACGCCACAGCGCTTCCAGTTTACCCTCGTCGAGCGCCAAAGAGCCTAGTATCTGTACCAGTGAGGCAAGTTCACCGTTCGAGTCTTCCTGTGGTTCGCGTGCGCGCGCCTTAAAACTACCAGAACTCGCCTTAAACATGGCGTATTCGGCTCGCAGTTTGTGCTCCAGATCCAACTCTCCGTCCTCTCTCGCATACAGTACCGCATCCAGCAGGTCCAGCGCTGTGGGGCCCGCCCCGGGCACTTCCAGCGGGTAGTTGCATTTTAGCCACGCGTTCAGTTCGCCATAGCTCGTCGGGTAGTAGTTGCAGCGCGAATCAGAGACCAGCCGCGGATTCCCCCATTTCTGAAGCTTCGATTGATCGACCATCGATGGCTTTATAATTTTTCTACGCGTCGCAATTCGCGTAAACGTTTGTTGAATTGGTCAAAGTCTACAGTTTTGACAAATTTCAGGTCATATAACATCTACTTATTATCGTGAAATTTTTCATGCGATGAGCTGAAAAGTGTCAAGACCCAACGAATTACTCAAAACACACCCTTGGGCCGCTCAAACCGCTCCAAATACCCGCGCAACTGAATTCTCGGGCTCACATTAAGGTAAAAGCTTGAAAACCCGAGCTCAAGGACTCTATTATAGCGGGTTTTCACATTCTAGATGAAACTGGATGAGACCATAACTCTGCTCAGACAGGGCAAACACGTCTCGGAGGAGACCGTGTTCGTGCTGTGCTTGCGGGCGCAGGAGTTGCTGATGAACGAGGCGAACGTAACGCATGTAGACACACCGGTGACGATTTGCGGGGACATTCATGGCCAACTGCACGACCTGCTGACATTGTTCGACAAGAGCGGAGGCGTGGAGCACAACAAATATATCTTTCTGGGGGACTTTGTGGACCGTGGGTTCTACTCTTTGGAGAGTTTTCTACTGCTGTTGTGTTACAAGTTGCGATATCCAGACCGAATCACGATGATTCGCGGGAACCATGAGACGCGACAGATCACGAAGGTATACGGGTTCTACGACGAGATCATGCGCAAATATGGTAACAGCAACGTGTGGCGATACTGCTGCGAAGTGTTCGACTATCTTTCGCTGGGCGCCATCATCAACGGGCGTGTTTTCTGCGTGCACGGGGGACTGTCACCGGACGTGACTACCATCAACCAGATTCGAGCCATCGACCGCAAGCAGGAGGTACCGCACGAAGGTGCGATGTGCGACCTATTGTGGAGCGACCCGGACGAGGTCAACACTTGGTCGCTGTCCCCGCGAGGAGCTGGATTCCTCTTCGGGAAGAACGAGGTGGAGCAGTTTCTGCACACCAACGACTTCGAGCTCATTGCGCGCGCGCATCAGCTCGTGATGGAGGGCTACAAGGAGATGTTTGACGGCGGGCTGGTCACAGTGTGGTCCGCACCCAATTACTGCTACCGCTGCGGAAACGTGGCAGCGGTGCTGCGCATCGAGGACACTCTCGACCGCAACTACATGATATTCGAGGCTGTACCTGCTCAGGACGACGTCGGCAACGCCATTATTCCTACCAAGAAGCCACAGATGGACTACTTTCTGTAAGGCTGTGAAACGCAGCAAGAGAGACCAAACAGCGTTGAGGACAAGTGCGTCAGTAAAGCCCACAGCATTTCAGATACGTTAGAGCGCAAAGACACGACAAACATGTCGATTCCATTGTGAACGACAAAAGGCGCCCGCCAGACACTCCTCTGCAAAGTCGTGCGGACGACAGGGATCGACAGAATCCGCAGGCAAAAAGAGCAAACCCCAGACTGTCAATTTTCGAGAAAGCCTACACATACTACACTACACTACACCAAAACGCACACACCCAGGCAATTACGCGCGAAATTGTAACATTAAATAGCATATAACACACACGATACTGCTTCAGGATATTCTCCGCAAAAATTGACCTTCAACAGCTTCTTTAGAGGTTTGAAGCTTTAATTTTGGTTTTAGTCAAGTCATATCATCTCATCTCTTCAACACTTACAACTTGAAATCCCGACTACAAGCGAAATGTCGCTGGGCCTCTCGCTATCACAGCTGATAGTTGAGCAGCCAGAACCGCTGTTAAGTGGCTACCAGGCGCTGGACCATGTCCTGGATGGATTTCAGCCAAAATGCATTTACGAAGTGTTTGGTCCTCCAGGTATCGGTAAACTAGAATTTGGCATCGACTTGGCAAAGAACGCGCTCGAGACAAATCGCTCGACGCTATGGATTGATGCGCACCAGACAACTAAGCTGGACAGCTTGGTAGGCTTAAAATACGCCAAATTCGACAAGTTTACGCACTATGTGTACTATTTCCAGGAAATGTCACTGCAGAGTCGAGAAGTCCAAGACGAAGAAAGCGAAAAATACCAGCTAATTGTGATTAGGGGACTCTCCAAGGTGGTGACAAGCTATCTGTATGCCAACCCGGCTTCATCAACGCAGGAATCCGCTCATCAGTTCAAGAATAAGAATCTCATCACGCTGTTTACGGCGATGACAAAGTACGCTCAACGCTACAAGACGACAATTGTGATGCTAAACGACGCAATGAATACAGGGTACACCATCAATGCTAGCAATGGCAATTCAAGCGACTCCTGGAGCGCTCAATTTACATCTTATACCGACGATTCGCCGTTTCTGGTGAAAAGTAGCAAACGCAGAGCAGTTCAGGTGCTCAGGAGCGCCCTGGTGGCGAACATTGGCGTGGGGAGCAAGGACCAAACGTGGGAGGTGTTTCTAAAGAGACGAATTGGGATATTCTGGGAGTGGGACTGGTCTGCGCCGTGGAATAGAGTGCCCAAAAAGCGGCGAGTGGCTGTGGTACAAGATTTGAGCCGTGGCACCGAGGGAGAAGTAGTAGTGAAGCTAGTGAATGATATCATTCACGCTAGTGGTGTGCCTTTGGCTGGGGAGTCAAGAAAGCCGTTGGATTCCGATGCAGAAACGAATAAGAAATGCGACGTAGGAATTGCACAGGAGGAAACACTCGATCCATCTTGCTCGGTGCAAGACTCCAAGCGATCTAAGCGTGCGTTGACAGCTGATGACATGTCATTGTTGCCCTTTACTCCCCGAATTAGCGACCTACGAAAGCCCACTGCACCAGAGCCTACAGCGGTGCTGTACGATAGCCAGGACTAGCCGGAGCATTTTTATGATGACTGTAAGGAAAAAAGACGAAAGATTGGAGTGCATTGAGATCAGCCACGATCGACGACCGTTGCAAAGGCATTGCGGATGTCATTGCCTTCCCATTCCGAATGCACCATGGGAATTTGGATGTACAAGTGGCACCACAATTTGCTTGGCGAACAATATTACGCTACATGCTCACTGCACAACACAATCTTCGCTCTACTGATATTGATCTGCTGTCTGAGCATTTTGCAAGATATAGCTACGTCCAGCACGTCTGTGATGCTACCAGCCGCATATATTGCGACACTAGGCATTAGAATGACCTTATTTTGAAGGTATTTTTGCTGCTCGAATCACCAGGAGCTCACCTTGATCTTCATGGACACTCCTCCTTACTTGAGCGGGCCTGCCACTGCCCTTCCTCAACAAAAAACAGCAGAAATTGCCAGTTGTTCCACAGCTACCTACAATTGCCCATTTCCTTCTCGTTGCCTACCTCGAACGACAATAAAATCTGCCACAATGTCGTTCAAACGCTGTCACTGACATTTTAAGAAAAATGGAAGTAAAGGCCGCCAGATGATTGCCCGGTTGTTAGCGAGCGCAAGTTATAAAGTGTTACTGACTCATGCACCCGGCCTTCGTTTAGGCCCATGATCTTCTGCCTTGAACTCGCTGTCTTCACTGCCCTGAAAACTTGCGTCATTTCGCTCATGAAGACCACCAAAGAAAATGTATTCAACCCGAAACTGCTCTCATAACGCTCACAATAGTTGACTGCTTTGAGAAAATCCCATTATGTTCAGAATTTCATTGTTGTGACCCCGTTGCTGCCGCATCTTCCGTTCGAGTTCAGACTACGCTCTTCACGGCCTGACAGGATACGGCCTACATTCTGTAGCCTTCGTACCAGTACAGCTGCATACAGCAAAGTCGGCAATCCCAAGGCTGCGTTTAGGCTCGTGCCCAAAAGGTGACTACTGGAATGAGTTTACTAGAAAGCTGTGTCACAGAGAATAAGGATTATAGCTGACTATTTGACAATGCTGAATCGAGCTACCCAATGGCATTCCTACAGCGACAATCATACAAATGGTAGCCAGAGGACAGAGAGGCAAACAAAGCGGAGGTTATCCGAGCATGCCCACGTCTGATCACTCCATTGTAGTTTTCAACGGATGTGTCGCGGGTACGACAACGCTATGCTGAGGCGTCCAAGAATACCTGATTCTCTGCACCAAAATGTGCATATACCAGGTATTCTGGGATTAAAATTCCCCACTCTTCTTTTGTCTTGAAGAATGAAACATTGAGTTAACATCATAGGCTTCTTAGGTCGCATTGTTCTGCTCTTTCCAATAGACAGTGACAGATCAAGTGTGGGCAGGTAAATGAAAAGATATTCTTCGATATCGCCCCTCTTTTAAGATGAGAATAAGTGCACTGCTTCAACAGACTAATGGCTTTGGTGGTTATAAACGATGACAATCTCATATTGCATGTTTATTTGCAAGTGTGCGCTGTGAAATGTTAGTTAGACTCTGAATCAAGGCAAGTGTAAATTTTATAGCCATAAATTTATAAGTCTTGCATCTCCCTTATCCTATGCGCATCCCATGAGTCTTCTTCATCAGAAACCACATCCCGTGAAAGTATCTTAACTTGAACATATGCGCTGTCATGCGCCGTATTACTTGCCCAATATTTCGTTCTATAACTTCATTACACATCTTTATTTTAGTACACATTGCTACACTCTTTGATACAATAATATGTAGGCAGTCCTGGAGTCGTTCCCTTCCTCTCCGCCCTTAAGAATATCCTCCTTGTCTACCTCCTGCAAGCTGATGTCGTCTATTCTATACCACTTGCTGAGGTTCCCGTCGAAAACATCGCATGTGTAGTGGCCACCGCTTGGACTTACACCGTGATGATACACCACGCCTATGAGCTTGTAGCTGGAACCGTTTTGCTTGTGAAAGTTCGAATTTACTGATGAAATAGATTCGCTGGGTATTGTCAGCTCATGACGATAAAGAATCTTCCTACGAATCTTTTCCACACGGCCACTGTATGCATTGTAGTTGACAATTTTTGATTTGTCAGTGTTGTTGATGAATGAAAACCTCTTGAGTTGTATCAGAAGAACCTGTGGAAGTTTATCGATGAAGGTTTGCTTCTTAGCTTCCACGCTATTTCCGGTGGAGGTTTTGAAAGGTATTTGCTCAGATTCGCTGAACTTGCGGAATGCACTCTCCAAGTCATCGACGCTAGGGTCAGAGATATCTAGCTGAATAGTTTGGAAAGGATCCAGTGTGATAGACTGAGGTTCCTTATTTTGTGGAACGTCTAGAACAGAGCGAAACTGGCCTCCGAACAGCACTGAAATTGGTGATGGCTCGACAATAACTGTTCTCTTGGCGGCGGTTTTGGTTTTCTTTCCTTTCTTGCTTGTGCTGCTGACTTCCTGCCAGCCCTTTTCTTGATCTTCTTCAAGGTCATCGGGGGCTATGCCGAATTTGTCCAGCAAGCTCTTTAACTCGTTAGAAGGGTGCTTGATAAATTCAGCGTTCTTGTATGTGGCCAAGTTCCTGATCAACACCACTTTGGAGTTTTCATCGTTGATGCTTCTGATCAAATTGGAGATGTCGCTCTCAGAGAGCATGCAGATAGAATGAACAAACTCCTCATGCAACTGATCCAGCAGGTGTGTTAAAAACTCTTCGGCATCTTCTTGATGACCCCATCTCAGATCCTTAAATTTGGGTAGCTTTGACAATGCCTTATAAAAGTCCTCTGGGTTGATGGCGTCGGCTAAAGGACTTGAGATACCTGTGACGCCGCTATCAGCCCTGGCTGCTTTTTCCCTTTCTAGCGTTTGTCTGTCAAACTTTCTGTAAAGCTCAAGACATGCATCAAGAAGAGACAATCCGGTTGGACCCATCTTGGCCGGTGTTTTGACGCTCATTAGGTTCATTAGGCCGACAAAAGGTTGGCAGAATAGTAGAGCTTGCAAGATGGAGCTCATAAAGCAGATGTTTCCAGAGTTGACAATACCTCTGGGAGCCACTGTTTGTAGTGCCATACCCGAACCTTTGAGATTTTCTGTGGTGTATTTCACGTACTCGGGATCGAAGCAAACTCTGATTGCGACGACACCCACTGGTTCCAAACTTTTTATGGTTGGTGGAATGTATTTTTTGTCCTTTTTATCCGTGGTAGAAGCAGTGGCGACCTTGGAGGACCCACTTGAACCCACTGCTCCCAATGCCACTGCAGACCAAGATTTTACACTTTTAGATGGAGCTGCAACAGCTGGTATTTCGGTTGGCTGAATCGTCTCTTCTTTGACCTCGGATGCCGGTTGCGTTTTGGGAGTGGATTGCACCTCCGGTTGGAAAGATGGCGCCGTGGCAGGAGCTGTTTGGAACTGGTCTGTGATATCCTGGACATTGTCTGTGTCAATATCGGCATCAGCATTGGCATCAACATCAACATTACCATCAGCTTCGACTTCGATACCGTCCTCAACGCTCATACCGTTTTCCATGTCTGGGAATGATGACTGCAGCCGAGGACCCAGCTTGTGGCTGATAGCATCGAGCGTTATCTGAGCTCTAGCATCTTGTGCGTGACGGAAACTCTCTGCGTCAGTATTGGCGAAGAAAGGGTATTTCAGTTTCAGACCAGCGGTGCTCACAGAGTTGCTGTTGCCAAGCTCAAACTTGTACTGGTTTTTGATAGTGATTGGCACACTTTTCGAGGCCCCGTTGGCAGAAAAATGGCCGGCTGCAGCTGTTCCTGTTGCCGAGCCCACTTTGCTATTGCTGTTGCCACTGCCGTTGCCGTAATACTGGTTCTCGCTGTTCTTGTTCCCAACTTCGTTCTTATTAGCATAATATTTTCTTTTCTGCCCAGTGGGGGGTGGCACAGCGGCGGCCGCGCTGCCGCTGTTGGCTCCCCCAAAGTACATCATATTTGGATTCATTCCGTAGCCCATGAAAGGAGCTCCTTGGCTTGCATACATGTCCATTGGCATGGGGTAGCCGTAACCGTACTGTGCAAAATTATTTGGGTTACCATAAACACCCATCTGGTATTGCATGCTCGCGGGAGGCACTGCTGGTGATGTAGGCGGGTACATGGAGTACGACCTGTCCTGGTTATCCTTCGGCATGTTGCCAGACATAGGAACACAGCTCTAAATCAAAAGTGCAGCTATTGACACAGAGAAAAGATGCAAAACTCGGGTTTTTTCGACGCTTGAAAAGACTTCAGAATTTCTAACTCCAAACGCAATCTGAGTATCAGCAATTGATGCGTGCTAGTCCTCTGGCAAGTCGTTGCAGTGGTCTTTCAACTTGGGTTTTGTCAGAACTAAGCTTTGATCTCTGTAATATTGAAAAATTTTGAGTAATGGGACTTGGTCTCGTGACACACAGTCGTTGCATAACGATACGCTCAATGAGCCTTCAACAGCTAAAGCATGGCGATTTGGCCTTCAAAAATGGGTAAATTGGCGAGCTAGCAAAGTCCTGATATTTCTGGTCAAAAAATGGCGTTTCTAGCGTTAGTGTACCACGTTTAAATGTAAGTTTAGCCACTCGTCCAAATTCTGCACCGTTATCAGATACACCGAGGCATTGATTTGCGTGAAGTAGGCTAAAGTTCGCGGAGATGTCTGGAGCAGTATGGCAAATGCCAGCAAATGGGGACACATTGCCAGTTCGTGGCGGAAGTATCGCTGGAATTTATTGTTCAATGTGGGCAAACGCGCAAACCGGTCAGATCGTAGCGGCGTAGTGGTGGGATTGAGCTCTTGGATTGCTCGGGAGTATAGCGGGATGTGCTCTTGGGCGTCGGGATCAGCATTTTGAAGGATATTCTCGAGAAATTGGGCGTTGTATTCATCACAGGAGCAGAACCAACGGTCAAGATCCACGCAGATTGGCAAACTTTGCGGGGTGTCTTGCTTTACCACTAGCCTGCTAACAACAGTTTGCGGTATATCGTAAAGTGCTTTGATGGGGTCTCTTTTTCGGGACGTGGCTGGTTCCTGTTGTGCTGAAATTGCAGCATTCGATTGATCGCATAACAAATTTGTAGTCTTGGGAGTGATAGAATTATCCTTTTTATCCCTGTAGAGCTCCTCTTCAGCTTCGCGAGCTTGAGCTGTAGTTGTCTGAGAGTGGGATATCATAACCTTAGAATTCAAGTCCTCTGAAGACTCATTAGGCCGCTTCTTCGGAGCCTGACCGCGTTTACTATGCACTGTAATCATCTCTGTAGTCTGGTCTGGCTCGGTCACAGTGCTTTCGCTGTGCCTGCAACTTGTGTGTGGTCTCTCAAACATGTAGATGAACATGTCTCTGGAGTCTAAGAGGGACATGGCCCTCACAAACAACTCCCCTGGGAACAAATGGTACAGGAACGAGACCACACCATCGTTCAATTCGCCCTGCTCGGTTAGAAGATGCGCAAGAAGCTGGGAATAGTCAACGAAGGGGTCGTTCGACATCCTCTAGCTTTAGGTTTTTCGAATATAAGAAGTTATGGGTAAAACGATAAGATGGATTTTTAAACCAACATCGCGACTTGAAACGTCATACTGGATTAGAAATAAAAGATCAGCCAGAATTGCAGGTTTAGACCACACACCATCGTTAAACAATTGAGAAAAATCAATTGATCGTGCTTTTCCTGTTTTAAATTCTCGGTTTATATTTACGTTTACTTTTGGGTAGCGTTTCTTATAGACTCAAAATTTCCTTTGACTCAGTCATCTATCATTGTGCATGCTGCATTCATCACACAGTGTTCAAAAGCTTCGTCTTTTTCGTCTTTTTTGATGGGTATTGTCTTGCATGCACTCAAAATTCCAAATTGTGCTTCTGGGCGTACTCTCTAGCCACTTGACCCCACACTTGAACGGCAGTTTTGATTTCTGTTATGCTCAGGTAACTAACACTCAGTCTAACACTTCTTTTTTCCCAATGCATTGGATTGTCGACGACCTCGAACCGCGAACCGTCTGGAATCGATATGTTGTGCTCGTTTGCCAAAATGTTGCATATTTCCTTGGAATCGTAGCCCTCAGGAAGTGTACACCACGAAAAGTACCCACCTTTTTGAAGCTTGTATTCGGTTTTGCGAGGAAGGTGCTTCTTGATACTGTCATACAGAACTTGGCATCTTTCACTGAGAATGGTGCGTGTCTGTTTAATGAGCTTGCCACACTCGCCATTTTCGATCAATGTCCCGACAATCATGGAGTTGAGCTGAGATGGCGTGCCTCCAGACTTGTTTGCTCCGCCGGCGGACAATTGGGTCGCCAGATTCGCATTGGCGGTTTCCTGGTACCCGAACCGCAGACCGGGAGCCACCAGTTTCGAGAAAGTGGTGTTGACAACGGTGTTACCGTAATCCTGGCCAGACCCCGGGAACAAGGATCTGTCCAGATGCGTGAATCTCAGAGTCGGATGCGGTGTTTCGTCTGCGGGCTGCTCGTAGTCCAGCATATCGTAGACGTCATCGGTGATGATCAGCATGTCGTGTTTGCGAGCAAGCTCGATGAGTTTCATTCTGAAATCTACAGAATAGGTCTTACCACTTGGGTTAGAATGCGTGGGAATCATGTATATCACGTAACGATAAAGTTTCTTGGGTTTCCCGTTTGGCGAGTTTATCACTTGCGGGTCATGGCGATGGTCTTCGTTCTTGTAGAGCTCGTTGTAGTGCTCCAAATGACTCGTGAGCGTCTCTAGGTCTAAGCCATCTTCTTTTTCGCGGATCGCTGTGATCTTGTTGCGGAAGCCAGCGTCGATGAACGCCTCATTAATCAAGAAATACGTTGGCGACACAACAAATGCCTGTCTAGTGTACCCCGTGTGTGGAAGTGTTGTTTGCAACAGCAGATTCAGCATTCCGTAGGATGCTCCAGACGTGAGATTTATGTATTCGGGACGACTCGCCATCTTATGATCGTTTTCCAAATGAAACGCTTTGTTCGTAAACTTGCAAATCGCCTTTCGGACCCACTCAGACCCCGCGTCAGACCCGTAAACTAGCGGGTGGTTATTCAGCAAGTCATTGTCGTATTCTCTAGTCTCTGGAGTGAGAAGTGATGTCGTTGCAGCGATGATCTCTTGGCGTGGAAGTAGCTCGTGAGTGATCCAACCTCGTAGAAAATTGATATGGGGCCGCGCTTCTTTCATTCAAAAGCAATTGCCTTGTTACCAGACTAGTGAGTGGTCAAAACAAGTTAGAAAGCGGTTACTTGGCGACGTTAAGACGTATTTATCCATTGTTAAAACAATCGTGATTCTGACAGTAGAAGATTAGAGATTAGATTATCAACTAGGTCAAATATATATATACAAGATAAGAATCAATTAACAAAATCAGAATAAGAGGCTGTAGAGCCACAAGACAACTTTGACATGGGTATTAATTAGCGCGGTTCGCACTACAGTGGTTTGCAAAGAAACTGGACGAGAATAGCTAGCGCAGTCGTATAATTAGTGGTAATGCATTTTGATGAACTGGTAACTGCGCTCGACGATGGTTAGCGGGCGATGACTTGTGTAATTAACATGTAGAATTCAGTAGGCGAGCTTCGGAGACAAAACCAGGTATTGGTTTCCATTTTTTCAAGTATTTCAAGAAATTCCTGTCACTTCATGTTTGTCGTGGCCAGAAAACACCTGGCGCCCAATGGTGGAATTGTAAGATGGTGTTTCGTCAAATACTGCATGAGCTTGGACGATCGGTACAAATCTCCTTTTAAAGTGTGCAGCAAGATCGAAATACTGTCGTTGTAGTCGAGGGTCCGGTGAGAGTCTCGGAACCCACAAAACATGCGGATTTTGAAGTCTGGATCTAGTCCGTCTTGCATCAGAGTCATGTTGAGCAACAGGGGCAGAGTGCAATCGTTCTTGATCGCGATTTTGTTCTCGCTAAACAGCAATTGCTCGAGCAACTCCGGCTCGGCGTGCCGAAGCGCCTGCGTCAGGTGCGGGAAGTCCCGTACTCGAAGCTCGTAGGCAGGGCTAACGACGCTGTCGATATCCTGCAAGAAAACCTTCCATTTTTCTCTGAAACTTGTGGACCTTTTGGTGGTTTTGGCAAAGCTTTCAACTTTGATCCGCAGCAGTTCATTGCGCAATTCCTCCAGCCCGGGTTCGCGGCCGTAGAAGAAGTCGAAATGTGCACAAAGCTGAGCCGGCAAAAACGGCTTGTTATCATTGAGAGCAACCGTGCCAATTGCGCAAAGCAGAGAAGGTCTTACCGCCAAAACTTTGCGTCCCATGACGAATCGGTACCACAAGAAATCTATAGACGTGGTATGAGCGTGCTGCACGCTTTTCGCCAAGAACAGGTGCAGAAAACTCTCGTCCAATATGTCTAGAGGCAGGGACTTGACAGTTTTCAACAATTTATCGAATTCCAGATTTAAGCACTGTGCGATGAGCTTTTGCCTCACGTCAGAGTCCAGGCTCGTCATTCGAGCACCATTTCTCAAAGCATACGTATATCTCATTTAAAGCATCCAGCAATGCCAGATAGATCTCAAAAGTCTAACCCAAACTGGTCAAACAAAGCCGAAAATAACCTGGTAATTCAGTGTACTCTGAGGCTCATGTGCTGCCCGCGTGTGCTGTATTCAATTCAATCTCAACTTTCGCTATCTGAAGCGTTTTAAGGTCGTTGAAGACTCTTTAAAAACCCAAATTCTAACGAGAGCTCGCCTTACAATGCCGCCTATTCAAATCGATAGACTCAGCCTGTATGAAGTCAAGAAACGTCTCGTTGAAGACTTGACTTTGTCGATGCTCTTATATGGTTGATTTGTCCTGTAAAACAGAATATATATATATATTATATATATGTATTGAAAAATTGTGAAAAATGGCAGATGAGCTCGGTGAACTCATTTGGACAGAAGAGTTCCTAAAAGTATAAAGAGCAGCCAATTCTGTGGTCAGTATGCTGCGTGTTTGTACAGCGCGAAGTGCGAGACTTGTAAGTTAAAATTTGAGAAACTTTGGTCCAGGAGTGATGGATTTAGAGGTGATTTCATGTGTACTAATAAAATATGTTGTAATAGTGTCTCAGCCCAACTTTAAGAACCGCAATGCGGTCTTCGACCCCAGTTTTTGGAGGAGTGTCATTTGTGCGGCTTAACTCGTCGAAAACACCGGATGCGGCGGTCCCAAATCTAGAAATCCAGACACATTTGCCGTCATTTGACGAAACAGCTTCATCGGCCGTCGACGCAGGGCTCTCGATCACTGACCAGATTCCTCAGATAGTGGGCGAAGCATCGAGTCACATTGGTTACTTGAGCAGCATAGGAATGGCCAGATCGTGGTGGTGGCCCCCAGAATTGATTCAAAATGTGATGGAACAGATTCACGTATATTCTGGTATGCCATGGTGGGGCACAATCGTTACAACGACCATTCTGGTTCGTTTCCTCATGTTCCCACTGTATGTCAAGTCCTCTGATACTATGGCACGTAATTCAAGAGTGAAGCCTGAGTTGGATGCTATCAATGCAGAATTGATGGCTGCAACCGACATGGTGGAGGGTCAAAGAGTGGCTATAAAAAGGAAAAAACTGCTAGCAGAGAATGGCATCAAAAACAGATATCTGGCTGCTCCTATTCTTCAAGTTCCTGTGGCTCTTGGGTTCTTTTCCGGTCTTAGACAAATGGCCAATTATCCCGTGGACGGCTTTACCAACCAAGGCATGGCGTGGTTTTCTGATCTATCATTAGCAGACCCTTACCTTGGACTCCAAATTATCACTGCATCTGTTTTCATATCCTTCACAAGACTCGGCGGTGAAACGGGCGCCCAGCAGTTTTCGCCAACAATGAAGAACGTCTTCACAATCCTTCCTCTACTGTCCATTCCTGCAACTATGAATTTGGCGTCTGGTGTAGTACTCTACTTTGCAGTGAACGGTGCTTGCTCCGTTGTCCAGACGCTGATTCTAAGGAACAAATGGTTTAGAACCAAGCTTGATATTGCAGAAGTTGTTAGACACGCGCCAACTCCCGGTGCTCCCTCGAAGGGCATTATCGAAACATTCAAAGAGAATATGGAGAAGGCTAGGTTGCAGGCTGAAAGGAGACAGACAATGCAAGACAACGAGAAAAAGATGCAGGAAGCTGCAAAAGAGTTAAAGGGCAACAAAGCCATTAAGATCGTACGCAGAAGCGACTTTCAAAAGGGCTCGAGAAAGTAGAAAGCAGAATGTGGGCGCCAAATCGTCACTTGTATATAGAATTATTTGACAGATCAATCAATTAATCAGCAGTTTAAGTTGAGAGCCAGTCCAACCCAACCTAACTATCCTTCAAAGTACGAAAAAAAGAGACCCATTGAAGTCCATCATTAGCTATGTTACATGTAAATGCTGTGCACCACTTGGGCAATATTATAATTAAAGGTTCAGGGCTCGATAGTGCTGTGCTACCCATGAAATGCGAAATTTAAAAAAAGTCATCTGGTTTACGGATGAACGATTGCAAAAGTGTTTGTAATGCCCCCAATGTTGGTCCCATACTAGAGGCTAAATCTTCTTGATCAATGAAACTCATTGAAAAGACAATTGCAAGGTTGGTGGCATCCATACGGTTGTTTTCGACATGTCGGTCGACACGGTTCAAGTGCTCAAATGTTCTTTTCATCATATGAAAATTATGGAGCGGCAAGCTTTTGAGCGCATCCCTGACACTACTTTTGAATTGTTCATAGTCTATCTCGTTAGTTTTGTGACTCAAAGCCAAGCCCACGAATAAAGGCAGCTTTTGTTTGGTAAAGAGGGAATCCGGAAGCTCCCTCAAATATAATTTAAAGCAGCCGGCTATGGTATTGACTTCGAACCACCTGTCGTCCTCCAATGTGAAGGAGTTACTCACTGCGCCCTCTTCATCAAAGGCAGCTTTCAAGGCGTTTATGCTCCCCACGGAGCCAGGAACACGGTAAAGGCCCATTTCATCTAGACCGCGAAGCTCAATTTCTTCCAACAATTTAACCACTATATTAGGAATTATGCTTCCCTCGCGTTCGCACACATCTTCTATAGGCACCCCAAAAATCTTATTTGATGTTTTGCCTTTGTATTTCTGAGAGTGGAAAGAATACCTTTTGGACATATTAATCAATTTCAACCATTCCATCATATCGTTTTGGCTAGTGGCTTGAACAATGTGCTCTGCTCCATTACTCATCGTAATTTTCAGGCTGTAATCAGTTTGAGGAAGCTTGTTTATGCCACTAACTGGAATACAAGACTTTATTTCGAAAGTCCGTATAGTGTAGAGTGGCTTGCTATCCTTGAAGACACTCGACGTTATATCAGGAAGCTCGTAAGGCGATATTGACCCATTAGGATGAACACCGCTGAGTAGTATTGCGTTGAGTCCATGTGCAGAGGAAGAGCTGGAGAACCCACCTATCGAAAAAGGACGTCTAAAAAAGCCCCCAAGCTTTTTGCCCATACTTCCATTGCCATGAGATGAAGTATTGGAGATGATCGAGCTTCTTTGCGATGCATTAGCAGCGTATGAACTTCTTTTCATGGAAGGAGAATATTCAGGTGGAACATGCGACTCGCGGGAAACAACAGTCCCTGCAACATCCTGCATTGACGGGGAGGTGCTCAGTCTATTTCTATGCCGCACAGCTTGCTCCAGCAGATTTTTACGCTTGGCATTATTGTCTTGTACGCTGAGCTGAGTCATTTTTTTCTGATCGCGTTTTACTTTCTCCACCTCCGCAATAATGACACTGTTGAACAGCCCCGTTGCCTGATATTTGTTTGCTCTCGCTTCGGTAGATGCTGTTTCTTTGGCGATTTTTCTAAATGCTTTTCCTATGTCCACAATGTCGTGGAATACATGGCCATCAATTGCGGTTTCTTGAACTGAGGAGAAAGGAAGCATTTCCCTAAAATTAATGATTACATTGTTCACGAACCTTCTTTTGTCGAAATTTATCATTTTTGAATTTTCAATGCTCATGTTTGGCACGAACTGTGAAATCTCAAGAAGTCTTGTCACCAACCATCCTGGACATGGAGTGAGGTTTTTTGATTTTGATATTAAGGACTCATCAAACTCCACAAAGTTCTTAATTTGACCCGCTGCACGCTCCAAAATTGTCGAAATGTCTTTTGTATCAGCGCCGTTGGAGCCGGACAGCTTGCGATGGGCTTCTTTCCAAAACATTTCGAAATATCTCGACTCCGGGGCTATGAGAGCACTGCACAAGCAGCTCTCTATAAAAGATGGAACATGAGGCGAAATCGCTGAAGAGCTCTTGTCGTTTTTATTATCGTGAAATAAATCCATCGATGAGTTCTTCCAATGTGCAAGATTCAAAAGCTGTAAAACGACCGCGAATGTGTTCACTCTGCTGTCGGATGAGTGACTGGCGTTGGCCATTTGAAAGATGAAGAAGTTTGTCAGAGACCTGTAGAGTTTGACAACAAGTTGAACCGATGGAGGTAATTTGTTGAAAACAAGCTCACCGTCCTCTGCCGATAAAGTTGTCAACCAGGTAAATACATTAACGACTTCCAAGTCGTCTAGGTAAGATCCGGCTGACTGCACAATGGCTTGAGATATGGAATGGAGGGGGTATTGATAGAGAGAGATCAAGGATTTGTTTGAAAATAACTCCAAAGTCTGAGAAACGTCGACCCAGTCTTGATTGGACACAAGCGACACGCGATGACTAATGATTTCATCCAGTTCATACATCCATCTTGAAAGTCCACTGTAATTAGCATAGGTCAATCTTGAAAATGTCTCATAGAATTTGTTCTGAGGATTAGCGTCGCCAGAACCGTCACCCAAATCTTTAAGCGGAACAGTTTTAAGACCCTTCAGATAGTTTTGTGTTGTCCTCTGCACTTTGCTGATACCAAGGGGCCGATAGAGTTGCTTTTGATAGCAAGACTTAAGTCTTTTGAACAGAGTTTTTAGAGTGGAGTGCAGATTCTCTAGTTCGCTCACTTCGTCTCGGAAGTCAGTTTGAATATATTTCGTCTTCGCGAATACTTCAAGCCTTTTATTCCATTCATCATTGACCTCCTGATCCATGATTTTCAAAATGTCGAGAAATGTTGCGTTGTTGGTTAGACAGTCAGTAAAGTCGGAGTAATGCAAACTTACCAAATGGAGGAACGCCTCCATAGCACCAATTTGGATTTTGGCCACATATACCAAGCTTACATCGTCTTCCTCCGCGACTTTGAGGTCCCAAGCTGGAAATTTACTGTTGGTACTTGTAACATCGAGAAAGCCTGAGAATCTGTTAGAATTACCGCCGCTAGCAAACTTTTGCCGACCATTGTTCATGATGCGACCAATGGATACAGCGCCACTTACAGCGCCTATGAACCGCTTGGCCAAGTTCTCGAGCACTATGGTCGTGGTTGTAAAGCTTCTATAAGTATTGAAGAAAGTATCAGTGAAGACATCATTGTCCATCAACAACCTAATGAAAGCGTAATCGAGCGGACCTACCGACGCATGGTCTGGTGATTGGGCACGCAAACTTTGCCGCCTCCGCTCATGCGACAAATAATTCTCTAGATCCTCAGTGTCAACAACTTTGGAGAAAACGCTTGTCGTCAAGACAAGAACATCAAATAGCTTATCGAGTGTTGCCGACTTGAGTACGACTTGAATATGAGACTCGTTTATTGAACAAGAAGACTTGCCCATTGTGCTGAAAAAGTCCAGGGTTTCTATCGTTGAGCTCAACCTCGCGAGGTCCTGAGAATCCCGCCCCGTGTTTATTGATGAGTGCTGGGAAAGACGCTTAGGTGTTTCGATGACAACACTGGCAGGTCTGGATCGACCGTCTATGTCGTCTACCGCTTTGAAGACAATATCATCTGAGACATGAAACATATCCATATCGATGTTGAAAGCATCTCTAATCAATTTAAGTAGCTTTTGCTTATTGGAGACTTTTGAGGATAATTCCTTTGCGGTAGGTTCGTCAAGGTTTTCAACACCAGTTATACCGCTCTGATCGTGATCTTGACTCTGGGGATAAAACATTTTTGAGTTTTGGGTGTTTATGCTGAGAGGAATGCCTGTACCGCTACCGGATGAAACTCCAGCTGCACCAATCAGGGATTCACGGGGAAATAGCGAGTAAGTCGGTAAAAGTTGGTTGAAAAGCATTGGAAGGTAGCTGCCGGTCAATAGAGCGCTCCTCCTTGAACTGGTATCCGAATACTCCTTTTGGTCAATGCGCGGAGGCTCCATGGCTATACTCAGTTCCATGATGCTATCGATATTCATTGGTTCTTGGTCTAAATGAAAGCGCCAATAATGATAGATGCTAGCAGTACTCTCAGAATACTCACTCGAGGTCACGGAGAGGTCTGAGGCCGCAACTTTGTCATTTCTTCTAGCTTGCTCTATGCGTTGTTGCCACTTGTAAAATGCATTCTTTGTTCTGTGTATCTTTTTCTCAAGGTATTTAAACTTCGTTTCTGGAGGAAGATCATTTGCAGTAATCGATAGATCTCCAAAAAAGGGAATAACATTTTCTCTGGTTGAAGCGTTGTTCAAATTTGGTGGCGCCAAGATGAAAACACTGTTTGTGGATTTAGAAGCAATTTGGCGCCTATCCAATTGCACGATTGTTGGAACCCAGTCCTTAAAGATCACTCTAAGGGTTTGTTCTGCGACAAATTGCCAGGTCGAAACGAGCCGTAAAACGGGAATAGAACAAACGATGGTGGCAACTGCTAACCACGACACCATATCTCCAATCTTTTCAAACTTGCAGCCCAGCTGTACCCAAGCACTCAAGACTTCGGCAGTTTTTTCAGGAGAAAAATTAGCCCGGCTTGTAAACAGGTGAGACACCAGGAGCCTTCCGAGAAAATGGACATTTTCTGAATTTTTGAATATCGTGGGATTCATTTGAACGTGATTTTCGTTGAATCTTGAGTCATAAAGAAGCGAATAATCCATCTGTGGACTCCATTCTTTCAGAAATTTCAAGTTTATTTGATGTACGCCTCTAACAAAGTCGTCCTGGTCGCAGTTCAAAAAGTTTTCGACGCTTGTCAATTGCCGCACCTCGCCCACGTTAATTTTCTGCTTAGAAAACGCACAGAGTTGACTCAGGTTGTTTTGCCTTTCAACGATTGCCATCTTCAAGTTTGTTGATATCTCATCATCGTGCAATGATATTACGTCCACCAAATCGACAATCTGAGAGAAGAGTTTGTCGTCTAGAAGAAAACCTGAAAAAACATCCAAAACCACTTTCACTACCAAGGCTAATCTTTCGGTCATTAGTGAGTCTGCTTTTGGTGAGATCTGATGATGTTGTCTGGCGGAATTGACCAATTTGGCGCGGTGCCTGGTAAACGTCACACCGAAAAGTTGGAAGATAGCTAAAATGGTGCCAAACCTGTCAATCAGAGGTAAAATCAGGAGAACGTCAATTATTTTTCTTGCGTGTTCGTCATTCAAAGGCGGGCAAAACAAAACCATATGGCATATACTTTCGTTTGAACCTGACAACAGACGTCCGTCTTTATCTAGTTTCAGTTCTGGATGAGGATATTCAGAGCTCAAGTAAGCCAAATCTTTTTGCTGCCTCTCTACAAGGGTTTCAGGGTCGTCCAAGCCTAAATGTTGTTGTTGTGTGGGAGTCGTAGGCCCTGAGTAACCGAGGTCCTTGTACGCTTGATCTGCCAAGTGAGATGGAGGTGCCAAGTTGGGATCAAAAAACTTGACATTCCCAATGCCGCTTTTGTACAGGTTCAGCACCGTGCCCTTAAGAGAAGCTCTGTGCAGTCTGTACGAAATAGATTTTCTGCCTAGCGATTGGGGGTCTAGAGACGCGCCATTGCCGTAGACTCTGCTGTCGCGATTGTTGGTCACTTGGGCAGACGCTGCTTTATTCACCCAGCCAATTTTGAAAGTATGATTATCGTAATTTTCGCCATTCAGAGACAGCGAAGGCTTCGTTTTCACACTGGCAGACGATGCATTTATCTGAGCAGGAGCTTGCGCAAACAAAGCTGAGCGTTCATCAGCGAATGTAGTGCAGTCGTCATGAGAGCTTGTTGTATAACTTGCTGTGTCGTTTTTGATGTCATCAACATCCCTGATGGAAGCTAGACTTCGAGATGATTTGCTGCTATTTTCGGACAGATACAACGATGGAGACGAAGTTAGATTTTTTCCAAACACCGTGGGCCGCTTTGCTGTTGAGTTCGAATGCAACGAAGTAACCGTAGATTGTCCATCTTTTCTGTGGCCGTAGCCTGAATGTGCTGGGCTGCCTGCAGAGTGTCCTCGCGGACTTTCATTTTCTCCATTGTCTGACGTGGCTGTAGACGATTTACGGCCTCTGCCGGACCATCTTAAAGTTTTCATTGTTTGCCACACAGCGTCAAAAACGCGCTTATTGGACTCTCAAGCTCGATTCAGGATCACTGGCAGGTCAAACTACTCAAAGTCTGTATCAAGCTATGCAAAATGAGGTTCTTGACTTCAAAACAGAGCTGCAAGAAACACAAAAAATCCTTAAGAAGTGCGCAAGCCGTCTGAATGTCAAGTAGCCGATTGGAGCTCGGCCTGATCGAGCGTTGATGCTGAATGACTTCTTCAGTTTCTTGAGACCTGCGTAACTGTCAGTTTTCAAAACTTTTAAGCCCTTCTTAAACACGAACCGTCCCCTTGATTAGCATTACATACGGAACGAATTGACAAGACCGTTCAGGTTTGTTGATGAACGATATCGTAGTGCTCGAGACGTGGCATTCCATTACCGTAGTATTTGTAAGTGTGTTCGAGAGCTTTTCACTGGAGACGCAGTGTCAAAGCTAGGATGGGCCTAATATAAATGTTAAAAATACGAGAATAAATATAATGCTTGAAGGCTCCGTAAATTGTACGTTGTTGCGATCAAAAAAATAAGCTCTGTGACATCATTGCACGGTTCAGGCAAACTCAGAACTTTATGGTGTTCTCATGGGTATGCACTGTTGTGTCAAATTGATCAAATCACTTTTTTCTTGTGAGTCGCTAAGCAGTGATACTTGGCACCGGACAGGGTCGTCAGAGGCAGAGGCTATGGGCACTGTGCAGGTTCTAATAGTTCGATGTCAATCGTTTAGTCTCAAGCGGCAGAAAAACCGGGGCCCGGAGATATTTCAATTCCTGAAAGATCAAATCCCGATGCGTAATTGATACTCTGGAACTGTTCATGGTCATGAGGTTGCTTGAAGCTTCTCAACAGATCAGCTAAACGATCTCTGTAAGGAGAAGCAGATGAGAACAAGATCCACTTTTGTAACACAGGAGAGCATTCGAACTCACATGAAATAAAAGTATTCAAAAACTTAGAGACTCATTTGAGCAAGCTTGAGAACGGTTTCCTTGGAGGACGCTCCACCGATGAAACCCGCCGCGTGGATGAAAATACATCCTGGCAAACCGCTCTTTTCGCTTAGTTCTTCATCTCTTAGACCTCTCAAAGGCTCAGGAAGGCCTTTTCTGAACTTGAAGGACGTCGCAGAAAGCGATACTGTGGAAACTCTCCATTTGCCGGACGAGTCTGCGAACAGGACGAAAAGAATCTCGTTCTCGATACCGCGCTCTTTCTCGATCGCGTACAAATGCTCTTTCCAGGGGCAAAATTGGGATAGCACGACGATCTTGCCCGAAGGGTCGACCTCAAATCTGGAGTCGATGGCCTCCTCGACCAACGTCTTCGCAGGAATCCACGACTCACCGTAGCCCTTGACAAGGTTAGTGAAGACCTCTCCGATGAAGTCCGAGGCCTTGAAAAAGTTTTTGTCGAACGTCTCATCAGTGCTGTCTTCATTCCAGCGGGGGTTCATGCCAGAAATGATACCAGGGATGGTGATGTTCTTGTCGTGAAATTTGGGCTTTACGCCAAGTTCTTCACTGTCAAAATTGCTGACACCATTATCGTTGGCATCAAGAGATTCGATAAAGTCACGATAGACTTTTTGGTACAAGAATTCGGCCTGTGTCGCCGACAATTGAGGCTGCAAAGTCTTGATGATGTTTAGTCCGAAATGTTTGTAAACCAAACCTGCACTGGACAACTTGGTCTTGTATAGGTCGCTGAAGGTCTCATCAAACTCACGCTGATGGTGATCATATAGTCCCTTTGCAACGTCGTATTTACCGCTCACATCAACAACAATGTCGCTCTCCTCCCACACCGCAGGGTCTCTGGATCTAACAACTTTAGCATCTTTAAACTCGGGCAAAATTCTCAGCATGTAAACGGCCAAAGCCTCATCGGCATGGAACGACCCAGAATGGGTACAGATCTGCTTCACCATGTTTAGTTTGGCTTTTTTAAGTACAGACATATGGTGTTTTTCAGCAAAGCAGGAAGCCATGAGATGAGATGAATTTCAGTCTAATAATTTCTCGAAATTTTTCACTTAACTATAGAAGATAGACAAGATATTGAGCTTCGTAGGGCTGAAAGTGCAACATAAGACAGCTTATTTATCGTCTTTAAAGTTTCGGAAATTTGGCATTATTGTCCATCTACTTTATCAACTTTATTACCAGTTTGAGCGGGCTTGAAACTACCATATTTCCGTCAATAGAACTCTCAGAATGAAAATTCCTTTCAAATACACCAGGTCCCAACTCGAGGTCTTCCGCTTTGCATTCTGCCTGTTGTCACCAGTGGCTGTAATGTACTACATTGGTATCGATACAGACAAGAAACTGAACGTACCGGGGTTTTGGCCGGACCCTGAAACGCTGAACAAAATACCCAAGGAGCCTTACGAGATCAAAGCTGAGCTAGCGAGAATGAAGAAGGAGAGACTTGAGAAAAGATTGCGTTTGGAGAAGAAAATTGCAGAGGAATATGGAATCGATATCGAGGCCGAAAAGGCCCGTATTAAGGAACAGTTGAAGAGCGATTAAGGGCGAAGAACAGATATCGGCACGTTGCAGCAACCGTAATACGATCAGACAGGGACCTCTGTTGCTGCGCAGGCCACGTATCTTTCTTCGTTCTGAGCTTTATTTTAATGCATCGGGATGTATTTTGTTGATTGCGAGAGAGTACGTACTCATAGGAAAATGGCACCGCTACTCGACGCTTTTCAGCACCGAAACCGCTCTCTTATGACCACATTATTCTATCCTCCAATTTTTTCTATCCAAAAGTTATGACAATATGAAGCTAGATCTTCTTAAGATGAGGTCTCTGTACATGCCCTTAAGTTTAAATTATTCAAAGACCTTTAATAGACTGCAAATTATACGATTAAGCAGCTGATTTTTCAGCACTCGAACATTCTGCGATGGGGTTAGCCTCCGCATCACTTCTGTTCGCGTTCAAAACGGGCGAATAGGCGTATTTTGACCTCCGTCTGATACTAGCACCGAAAAAGTAAAAGAGGTAAGGGATAGCACAGCACGCCAGTGAAATGAAGGCCATTAAAGTACTAGCCCATTCGAGGCCCAATCTGTGGTACATTTGAATCGTGAATAGTGGAACCGCACCTCCCCACATGGATCTCACGAAAGTCTTGGCTGCAAGACCAGATGCAGCGTAATGCTGGTAAGAGTCCACGATGTAATTGTTTGCCGGGTTGTAAAGCATCAAGAATCCGAACCCACAAGCCAGACCGCTAAAGCAAGGGCCTGCCCATGAAAGTCGTGGAAAAGAAGACCACGCATACGCGAACATACCCGCTGGCACGAACCAACATCCAATCATCATCTGGATCAGTCTCAGTTCAGCAGGTGGAACTTCGCCTCGATCCAAATACTTTTGAGCTCTTTTAACGTAGTCTTTATTGAGAATTGGCGAGATGACTGTGGACGCGATGACACCCACGCCAACAGGAATGAACATAAGACTCGTTTTGATGGGACCATAGTGCTTCCCCTCGGTGTAAACCATTGGGAAGGCGAAGAAGAACATGTACAATAAACCATAAATTACCGACATGTACATGGTAATGAGGAAGACAATCAACTCTGACAGCAGGATCATAGGCCGTAACAGTGTTTCGGAAGTGATTTCTTTAAAGGACCGAATTTTGATCTCACTTATTGCCTGGTAAGTGGAATCGCCGGTGAGCTCACGGAGGTGCTTGGCTCTTTTCCTAAGGATCTTTTGGTGATGGGTTTCTGGCATGAACACGAACATTACCACGTAAAGACAGGCACTGAAAATAAGCATAAACCAGTAAACCCATCTCCAGGAGCACTTTACAGATAATAAAGAGCCAACAATGGGTCCCATAACGGGACCCAAGAATGGCGCAGCAGAGAAAACGGACATAGCTACCCCGCGGTCCTCGTTTCTCCACATGTCGCTAAGAGAACCACCAATTAAGCACATTGGTGCGCTGAATGCTAACCCATCCAAAAATCTAAAAGCCAAAAGGGTTTCAATGTTCTTGGCCGCACCACAGGGTACGATAAAGACCACCGCGATAAACAGAGTCACTTGATACACCGGGTTCCGTCCAAACTCTTCAGACAACGGGGCAAACAGCAAGGGTCCCACGCCAAAACCCCAAACCATGAGCGATACGCACAAACACATGACCTCGGTGGAAACATTGAGATACTCTGCTGGTCCGTCCAGATCTCCGGTGATAACGGCCGACATCATTGCCACGTCAAAGCATACCACTCCTAGCAAGATGGTGTAATTCCACTTATTTCTCTTGGACCAGTTTCGAGGGTCTTCGTGGTCGTCGTCGAGAAACTCGACCAATCTGAACCCGCCGTCTTTGTCGATGGGGTATTTCCACTTGTCCTCTGCATGGACGCTGCTATCAGGATTTGCGATGGTTTCTTGTTTTTCCAGATCAATTGCAGGCTCAACTGGGCCGAGACCGTGCGTATTGGACTCGTAACGAGACAGGACTTTGTCGACACCTTCTCTGTTTACGGTGATAGCTCTCTGCAATTCACTACGATCGTCGCCACCATGGTATAATGTCGCTTTATGGTGCTCGTTTCCAGCGTATGTCGCCTTTAAATTCACATTTTCAACACTGTGCCTTTTCTCATACACATCATGGCTTGCCATACCAGACTGAATACTGTCCGCTTCAGAGGAAGAATCAAACGTCATTTTAACTACGCTTGATATTTGAGACCTTTGGCATCTGTACAAATTCCAAAGAGAATTCACATTTCAACGATTACATGACATGTTTTGCACCCTGCGACCTCGTTATATACACCGATGGCATCGGCTGGTAACTTTTTTCATTTTGGCCAAGATTCCAGGTTCGGCTGATAACTTCCCGAGCGGGTATTACATAAGCATTTTTCGGCTCATAAGAACTGAACTTAACAGCCGGACTTTAAAACGGTCGATGTACTCATGAGTACCAGCCATCCGCCATGAAGAATGCGTATTCTGCCAAGAAACGGGTTCAGCAGGACGAAATGCGAGGTAATTGACATTGATTCTATTGTTTACGACAATTATATTCACTTGGGAGATGATTGGCTTCTTAGCAAGACACATAGATGCTATTGTGCATTGTCGTTAAGGTGAAGACGAAGCTTAAGTAACAGGGCGTGGTGGAAATATATCAACAGCAAAATCGATGCTACTACTTCGTCTAACGATCCAAGCAAAATCACAGATACAAATAATATAATTCTTTATCCAAAAGATTTTGTTTTTTACGAGGATAGAGCTTTTCTAAAGCAGAAATTAAAAGGTAACAAGAGCCCGGTCTCAGTAATGTGGCGTGGCTCTATAGAAAAACGAAAGCACGCATGCTTTTTGCTTTTAAGAACCCACCAGTTTCTAAAAATCGCAGCACCGGACGCCTGTTTTGCATTGTCAAGGAAGATGCGCATCTTTCCCTGCAAACCGAAAGAACGTCACTAGGCGTCAAACACCATGATATTTTAGCGAATACTTAGTCAAAGCTGCATAATAAAGGCTCGAACCTGGGCTCTTCCAGGCCCTGGAGTCCCATAGCTTCACCATAATTAGCCGTGGATTAACGTTATTTGATAGATCACGTGACCCTTTCTGAAAGCCAATTTCATAAATTGGACAACGTCATAATAATGCTAGTGAACCTAACTCGAAGATTCTACAACTACGAACATGGTTGCTCACTCAACAATGCCTTCGAGGAGTAGAGCCAGCTCATTGGCACACGCAATTGACACCAAAAGTCCTACTGTCTCTGATACAGTATGTGAACCAAGTTTCGTTCTGGATCTGCCCAGAAAAAAACTAATTCTTGTCACATCAACATCTTCATACTGACCTTTTTAGACGCAGCATCTCTATGATGACCAGGATCTGCTTCGCAAGCTGCGAACTATCAGCATAGAGTGCAGGAAAGTCCACACAGCACCCGTGGAAGAAGAACCCAAAACAGACGTGGCAAGATACTCTAAATATGAAGGATATCTGTCCAGTTTGAATGACAGGACGACCGAATATCAAGTAGTTATAGAACAAGCACAAGTAATTGACCAACAGCTTTCCCTCGCGATCGCCAAATTTGGGCGTGTCTCAACCCAAACAGAAGCTTTTGCGTCTTCTACAGGTCAGTTGTTCAAAAGCTGTACCGATCTCGAAACACTGCATGCGTCGTTGAACGAGTACATGGGGTTCTTTGACGCGCTTGATCCAATAGTTCGCGTACTGCATCATTCCACCTCGGCCAGCACTGTCAAAAGAGACTCTTTCCGCTCAAGGCTAGCCAAGATCGACGCTTCCCTGGAGTTTCTCGAACAACACAAAGACTTCAAAGATGCCGAGACGTATCGCATCAAATTCAAGCAGTGTCTGTTACGGTGCTGTAATATGATGGCAAGCTACTTGACGAGCTCGCTGAAAACGCTTTACAGCGAAGTAGCTAAATCTTTGGAGGGAGTTACCCAGCTCGGCACTCAAGACGCTCTGCTCTACAACAAGTTTAAATCCCGTGCTGCAGATTTTTACTCAGTCTCAGAAGAGCTTTCAAATCGCTGCTTGAGCACCGGCAGTGGCAGATATCACGATGACGTGAAAACAATTTTACAAAACTGTTACGGAGAGTACTTTCAGATCAGATCAAAACTACTGCAACCTTTGATTCGTAGTCAATTAAACGAGCTGAATACAAGTGACTCCGGGTCGTCCTTGGTGAAGTATATTCAAGACAATTTGCTATTCTATTCCCAGTTGTGCCAAAATGAATACGATCTGATAACACAGTTCTTTCCACATGCGGAAGGAAAGGAAGACTTTAATAAATGGTTGTTTCGACTATGCGAGCCTCTTCACGATCGCGTTCGAGAGAGGGTCTTGAGAGAAAATGAGGTGATGGTTTTATGCGATTCAGTCACTTTGCTCAGTAAGTTCTACCAGTTTGAAGAAGATTCGAAGGAGTATCAAGACCAATTTAGCAACGTTCAATTAGATAAAGTGTTTGAACCATTGTTACAGGATGTTCAGTACAGGTTGATTTTCCGGGCCCAGATGTATGTCGAAACGAATATCGTGAATTTTAAACCCACCAAAGATGCTTTCATTATCAATCATCGGAAGCCCAGTTTTACAATCGTGGAAAACAGCAATGACATCGTGGGCTCTTTTCTCAAAAGCATTTCTGATTTTGAAGGTGAGGTAGAAGAAATGCGCAGCTGTTATCCTCCAGTTTTGAGGGCGGTGGCTTTACTTTCGAGAATCTATCAAATGGTCAATTCTTCCATTTTTGACAATCTAGCTCACCACATAGTACACGATTGCATCGAGTCGTTGCGGTCCGCGTTTCAACTTGTCCAGCAGTCGGAAGATACGCTGGAGTCACGGCTAGCTTACTTGAAGAATCTGTTGATGCTTCGCAAGCAAGTACAGGCATTTGAAATTCAATATGTGTGCAACGAGAAGTATGTGGACTTTTCAGGCCTCACTGAATTTCTGAAATCGCTTGCAAGCGGAGGCATTCGAGCCGCATCTAGCACATCGGTCTTTGATCTAACCGTCGAGGGTGGTCCGCTTGTGGTGAGAGATATGGTAGACGCACGTTCAGAACTTACTTTAGAACTACGAAACGCTGTGAAGGGCCTCACAACTGCAGTTGTGAAAAATGTGCTAGGCGATTGCATAGACAGTCACGACGATCTGTTGGCGAAAAACGTGCAGCTGAGGGCCAACATAGAGGCTATATTACCACGAGTTCACGAACGCATGTGTCATTTTGTAAAAGACGTCGAGATCAGGTTCCACTTAATCGATGCCATTCAAGAGTCGCTGGTTCGCTCATATGCTGCGTTTTATGACACCGTAGCTGAAGAAGCCGCTGACGGAAAAGTCAGCATGGACGATTTTTCTGAATTGGTGTATGTCGATGTACTTGTGGATCTGATCAATAATCTGGCTAGTTCACTTGAAAATGATAACGCGTGAACACAGTAAAGTGTTTATAGCCTACGTAGGCTTGAAAATCCATGACATTTTCGTCATGACTATATATATGTACATAGATGTGTTTGCGTTGAAAATTGCCCAACCGGTTTCTCTCGCTCAAGACTCTTCTTCCTCGTCCAGCGGGTCGTAAATATTCTGCGCCATCAATCTGTTGAGCTCGGATTTGATGAATTCAACTTTTGCAGGATCAACAAGCAAATGGGTGTCGTCCAATTCCTCAAGAATAATATCGTTCTTGTTGGTATCTATCTGTATAATCAGTGCTTTAATGGACGGATCGCATTTTACCAATGCTCCTTTTCTAGCTCTTGGCATTGAACATGTACTTGTAGCCCGATTGTTGCCGAATAGTTGATTTCTTGTGGGTCTTAGGAAGATTAACATTTAATCGTTCTGTTAATCAAGTTCTTAAATTAAGATGATGAAATACAGTTCTCAAAGAAATGACACTATAGATGATCATCAATGATACCAAGCCAGAGCCTTCAAGCCTGAGTTCACAGAACTCTGCAAATATCAGTGTCAGAAGCGGTAAAAGTCCCGGTGAATCCACGAACAGCGAAGGACATGTTAGTCCTCAAGAAGCACCTAAAAGTAAGGTAGTCGAACACACCGCTGAGGAAGATGTGAGCTACATAAACAGTCACAGTAGGGAGCTTTCAAACTCTGATGAGGATGCAAGAGAAAAAGATCGGTTAGTGGGCGAAAAAGATTTAACTGGCGATGAACATGGTGGGGATCGCTCATCAAGTGTTAGTCCGAACAGCGAAGATGAGAACGAACGTGGCAGCCCTAACAGTGAGAGGGAAGAGGATCTAGATGCGAGTGAAAAGCTACGGGAAAATCAGCCTGCTAAGACAGGTGACGTTAAGGAAGATGAAGATCGAAACGAGAGTCACAATAACATGGAGAGCGAGGAACAAAACAACGACGACGAATACGATCACGACGAAGACGAAGACAATGATGATGAGGATGACGACGACGACGAAGAAGAAGAAGAGGAAGAAGAAGAGCCTCCTTTGCTGAAATACTCTCGGATCACACAGCTCTCGAAAAGCTTTTTTACTAGAGACACAATTTCTGCGTGCCAATTTCACGAAAAGGTATTCGCATTTGCTACTCACGCAGGCTTGTTGCATTTTACAGAACCTGATTTTACAACGATAAGGACCTTTAAATGCCATAGGTCTTCGATAACCTCGATATACACAGACGGTGAGCTTTTCGCTACCTCGTCAATAGACGGCACGGTTGTCATCGGTTCGGTGCGCGACAGCTCCGATCTTCTCGCTTGCGATTTCAAGAGGCCCGTGCATGCAGTTGTGCTGGACGAGAAATACAAAACTTCAAAAGCTTTTGTATCTGGAGGCATGGCAGGAGAAGTCATCCTATCTCAACGGAACTGGCTGGGTAATAGAGTTGACGTTGTTCTTGATAAAGGACGTGGTCCTATTGTCGGTATCCATATTTTGGACGATGTTCTCTTTTGGATGAATGATGCTGGCACTACATTTTACAGCATATCGTCAAAAAGTAAGCTGCTTCAAGTACCATTCCCAAAAGACGAATACGAAACAAGATCTGACCTATACTGGCCGTCTGTCCACTTTCCGGAGACAGATCGGATAATCATTTCATGGGCGCGTCACGTTTGGACCTTTAAAGTATCCCTTACGAAGTTGACAAACCATGGGAACCACTTGGGATCGATCCTTTCAAGTGCAGCGTCAAGTTTAAGAGCAATACCGGACAAAAAAATTGAACAAGACCACTATTTGTATCTACCTTATACCCTGGCTGGTGCCGTGTTCTTTCGCAATGATCAACTTCTATGTCTGGAAATACCCTCATCTGAATCTGACAAAAACAGGTCAGATCATCCCCATCTCAAAATTATCGATATGTTAACTGGGGAGGAGATTCATGGTGATGAAGTCGTCTCCAAAAATTATCAAAATCTAAATGTCAACGATTATCATTTGGGCAAACATATTGGTAAAGAATCCACCGAATACTTCATGATAAGTTCACACGATGCAATATCCGCCCACGAGCTGTCATTACTCGAGCGATTCAGATGGTTTGTTGAAAATGGGAGGGATTACGAAGCTTGGCAAGTCGGCCTTTACGCTGTGGACAAGAAGGAGAGGTTAGGTGCTGGCGAGCGCCATATAAACATGTTGATATCAGTCAAAAATTGGGAAGAGGCTGCTTCTGTCATAACTGAGATATTTTCAAACACCGATTTGGAGAACGGGGACCTAGAGTTCAATGAATACGTTATCGGCAAATGGGGAGAGTATATCAACGTATTAATCGATAATGACAAAGTAAACGAAATTGCCCCACTGGTTCCTGTAAGTCCGTCATTAAGCTCGGATGTCTATGACGGCATATTAAAACATTACTTGAATAACAAACAGATTTCAGTGTTTTCTCATTATAGTCATCAATGGCCAAGAGGTGTTTGGCGCAGTTCTAATTTCGAGAGTGTTTTTGAAGAACTGATAGAGAGAAATGATGATAATGCTCTTGAATATAGAAGAGAGCTTGTATTTCTACTATTGACAGAAAATAAAGACGTGAAAGCAGTACCTCACCTAATCAAGATGAAAGATCCAAGAGCGCTTGGCATAATTATAGCTCAGAAAGTGCTTTCAATGTTCACACGTCAGTTAGTGGATATTGTGATGCTGCCCTACGATGATTCAGCAGAAACCTTGAACTCGTTACACATAGAGGACGCTCAGATTATCTTCAAAAAATCGATTGAATTGCTGGTTCAAGGAACTCACATGCTTGACATTTCTCTGATCGTGTCTGCGTTGTCGGCATCTGAAAACTATCGCATTTTGCTCTTTCTATTTCTGCGAGAAGCTTCGAAAACCGAACCTGTTTTGATTGCACCTTACGAAAATGAAATGGTATTTCTCTACCTCCAATTTGACCACAGTAATCTGCTTGATTTTTTGAAGTCCAAGAGCAACTATGATGTGGACAGAGCTATCGAGTTGTGCGCTGCAGAAGACAAATGCACAAATGAGCTGATTTATCTATGGGGCACGATAGGAGAGACTAAAAAAGCCCTTTCTCTAATCATAGATAAAAGAAATGAACCTAAAGTAGCAATACAATTTGTTCAAAGTTCGGGGGATCCAGAGCTGTGGGAGTATCTGATCAACTACAGTTTGAATAAGCCGGACTTTATAAAGGAATTGCTTGAAATGAGATCAAGCTCAGGAGCTGAACATGCTGATATCCTACGGAGAGTTCCCACCACGCTTGAAATTGACGGTCTGCAGTTGTCCCTTGGAGGTATCACGAAACAAAACTTTCTCAACCTCAATGTCAAGTCTGGTGTGTTCAAAATTATAGACAATGAGACGAACCAGTTTGCTCAGGAATTCCTAGAACTCAGAGAGATGGGTAAAGGTTTCGAAGTCGAGAATGCTTGAAATGCTTGAAGGTTTCTTTCCTTCCAACTTGATGCTGGGTGCGCACTTCTACTTAACGCTGGAAGCAATAAGTATATGCATATATAAATTAATTATTGTCCTGCTCGTCAAAACTCTTTATCAGGTCTTATCCCGAAGTAGGAGGGAAACTGCCAAAGAAATTAGTGCCTCCGACTTCAAGCGTTGGATCGACACCAGGCTGAGATACACTCTTTGGCGTTGGTGCCCCACCTTGGCGCATGAGGGTGTGCTCTCGATGCAGCAATTGACGTTCTAATAGATGGTTCCTTTGTCTTTTTTCGGGGACACTTAAAGCCAACTTGGCTTTTCGTATTTTTTTCAGACAGTTGTTGTAACTAAACTTTAGTTCGTTCAAGGCTGTCTCCGACAAACCAACTTCCCTAAACTCTGCATGTTTTAAAATGTTTCCCATTGACTTTGCAATGTCGATATTAGTTTGCAAAGTGGTCATGATAAGAAGACGCTGAGAACCAAATGGCGCTTCATGTTCGCCAGTTGTTGAATGGGTCGAGAATTCGTTTGCTGATCCGAGGTCAAATTCATCGCCTAAATTTAGATCTGGCTCACTCAAAGTCATTATTTCGTTTGGAGGCAAGCTATTAGATGCTGGTGACGTACTGTCTGGTATTGAGTTTTGAGTATGGCCAGTCAAAGTATTTTCGTTTGGTGGTGGAGGTGCTTCGCTTGGCAGGGTACTGAAAACGTCATCTAGATAGGCGTTTGCTGTTGGTGCGGCATTAGGGGCAGCATATATGTGACTGGACGCAGAAGGTGGAACAACAGAGACAGGTTGTAGATGACTGTGACCATCTACAGGTGGAAGGACGGTACTGGAAAAAATATCATTGGTTTTGTCAATCACACTGCTAACGAATAGATCCCTGTCTGACCCATCGTTTGTACTAGACCCCAGATGGGGTACGTGCCCGAAAGCATCGCTTGTAACCTCTCCGCCAACAGGAGCAAATGCGTCCAGATTGAAAGTACCCGTGGCATAGTCTTCATCGTAGGTGCCCTCTTTGGGCTCTGGCTCCCACTCATCCACAATTGCACTCTCTACTATTTCCTCGGAGCTTAGGAAATTGGTGTTTTTATTCTCAATGTTCAAATCAAGCAAAATGTCGTAATCCCACTGTTTAACACAGTGAAATTTCTCGCTTACTTCGTATAGTTTCCGTTCTAGTGCTTCATTTTTCTTGAATGCCATGCTGACGTTTTCGTTCAGTTGAATCATATGCTGCGGTAATATTCCCGAGCTCTTCCAATTAGCCTTGATTGTGTCTATAGGTATAGCGTCCCAAGATGTCTTTATTAGTTTGAAGGCATTGGACATATTGAGTGTGCTTTGATCGTAAGTTAAAATCTTCTTGACACCTGTTTTCTTTTCGATCTTTTCCTGCAAGTCGATGAGTGCTTCATACTGCTGGACACGATAGTGCGTTTTGAACTCGTCCAAGACGCCCCAGTTAAAAGGTAAAAATCTACTGTTGGCGGAAGTGTACACCAGTTTAATATTCTTGAGTCGCAAATTGACTATTCGATGAGAGCAGGAGTCATCCAGCACAATGCAAATGGTACGATTATCCACGACAAGACGTTTGTCCCACCATGCTAGCCAGTCATGAAAGAGGTTGCTTGTAAGCCACGACTTGCGGTTGCTGTGAAAAGTCAAAGAGAATTTGCGGGCCATTTTCGCACCTAGGGATGTCGGGGATGTGCTATCTGGAGGGTCGTTGGCAAAATGACTTCGGAAACTTCTGTAGTTTTCGTATCTGCCAATCACCAAAGGATTCATCTTCTCAGAACCATCCAGGTTCGCACAAAGCATCACAGTCAGAACCTCTATCTTTTTCTGAACTTGGCCTGTCTCGTACTGAGCGTTGTCCATGGGTAGATTGTAGGCCAAAAATGTCTCATCCAGCGTAAACAAGTCCTTGGCTGGAACTTTGACCAACAGATCTTTCAAAGCGTCTCTTTCTTCAAAAGTCCATACTTTTGGCGGTTTCGGCAGTTCCTCGTCTGGGTTCGTGACGTTTAAATCCATCTTAGACAGAAAATAAGTGATCCACTTGTAGCTGAAAGATCCGTTGCCCTCACGATGCTCCGCTGGAATACGGTGCCATACCGATTGAGCCGTGTCCTGTACAATGGGGGGTGTTATTGGGATTCCGTTCCAGATGCTCTGCGAGACCCATTCTTGCAGAATGCGACGCACTAAAAGATTGTTCGGAGTCCGCAACCTGTTGGCTCCCTTTTCATGTTCTTTAGAGTTCATAAAAACGCTTTTGCGAGCCAAAAGACGGGAGATGGTGCCTTGTGAAGGCCGTGACGACAACTGGTATGCTTCGTACGCCCACCGTGCCAGCTCCGCTTGTGTCCACTTGGGATGCCTCTCGGCCATCAAAATGATGCTATATTTCTGCTCAACAGAAAGAAGTCCCATATCTCAGCTGTATAGTCGATATCTCAACGCTCAAGCTCAACACAGTGTCTTTACAACTAGTTAAATGACAAAGAGTGCCTCGGATTTTAGGTCAATATCGCTGAATCAATCCTATAAAATGCTTTGAAGCGGCCAAATTAACCGTGAAAAGCACCACTCAAGGGCGTCAAAAGTCAACCGCTAACCTGTGGGAGCTCGTGTAGTTAAACCCAGAGTCGTAAACGCTGAATGGTTCGACTTTTCAAGAACTTTCGATTGTCTTGATCAACTCATTTTCCATTCTTTTAGTTTCCAATATTCAAATATCGACAGTTCGGCAGCTTACGTCAGCTTATATATTTCAAGAAGTTAAAATATGTATAGTTTGAAAGATAGCGTGCTTTTCACGTGATGAAATCGACCGTTGAACGACGACGAAATCGTTGAACTGGCCGATGAGTGGACCAAAAAGCTGGTCGCGGTGTGTGTGGTTTGCATGAGAATTGGGCTTTGACTCGGATATTGGCACGAGATGTGTGGTTACGCTTTTCGCCATTTCAAATTTTCAACAACGGGTGACGCCTGGATCCGACCTGATTCGACTACAGTGCATTGCTTGGAAAATTACTGTCTCTTTCTTTGCGTCTTGATTCTCATACTTTTTTTATCCATTCACCAGCTTGTTCGCTAAGTTTACAGGTCGACCCGCTCATTCGGTGCTAGCGCTGATATTTGCACCAATTGCATTCTAATCTCCGGTTTATTCAGCTCCCACGATACGTGGTGTACCCAAAATTACTGAGAAGCAACGGAATATGGTAGTGTCTTGTGTCGCTCACGGTGAAGGCAATCTCGACAAACGGGAAGAAACACGATTTTCCCTCGCGAGCAAAGTACTTTGCCGTTTGAAAGCGGATCTTATAAAAGCCAGGGACCAGAGACTCCCATTCTAGACGAGAATTCTTCTCCACAACTCCAGTACTGGTCAAAAAAGAGCGTTTTGACAAATCTGGGGTGAAGATCCAGCTGTCAATACGGCCGTCAGAGTTGGTCTTGGCCAAAGCAAACGGTTCGTCAATGTCTTCGCATATAACCGTCTCGCTGTCAGAGGTATCATCGACGTTCAGTTTGAAAATGGAGCACACTACACCTCGGGCTGGTTTCCCCGTGGTGGTATCGAGAATATGGCATGTTACGGGAGGTCTAGGCATGGTAGAGGAGAGTTTCTGGCGCTAAGCAGGTACCAACACCTTTTGTTCACAGTTTGATCTGATGGTAACGGTTCCAATACGAGTTTCTCACTCACTGGAAAGCATTGGTGTTATATACAGATCTGAGATAAGCTTTCAGATTTACCATATATATTGTATATATTGAAATTTCATAGTAGTTCGGATACGCCCGATGCCAACTCAATGACAGTAAAAACTATAAGACGACTCCCATGAAATGGCCTTTTGGGACCACATAGCTTATCAAGCAGAAAATGTGGATTATTACATACCAATTTTGTTTGGTTACTCGGCCACTTTCGAGCAAATAGTGCCCTGTTTTGTGGGAGACATTGAACGCGGCTACGCTAGATGGGAAAAGGACATAAAACGCTACTATCCCAGTGGGAGTTCATTCTGGCTACTGGGAAATCACCCCATGCACAGACTGACAGTTCAAGGGAGCGTAGTGTCGTGGAAATGGAAATTTATTGGTGATTCAGACCACGCATTTTTCAAAATTGATGATTGTACGCGGGCATCGCCAGACATTGTTTCGCTGCTGAACTGCAAATGTTCCAGAAGCTTAATTTTGCGAGACGGTCTGCCTAATGCAGACCTGAGTGGATGGCGACTTACGTTGCATGGGGTCATTAATCAATATCAAGAGCTGGAAGTGCAAAGCATCGAAATCTGTGCGAGTATCTCGCAAGAAGTTGAGTTTTGGCGTACGGCCATGGCCTGGCGCGATACGTTGCAAGAACCGTGGGCTTTGGACAAGAAAGCGCTGAAATTAGCATTGGCACAGGAGGAAGGTTTGGCGTCCCACACAGACTACACTTTTGTGCAGCGACTGGAACGGCAAGCGTACCAGAGTCAAATGCAGATCAGCAACGAGAATGGGCCGGTGGAAGCGGTAGAAGAGATTTTGTTGCCGTTGGATTTCGACTCTCTGGATCTGGTACTGGATGATGGCTACGATTTGGTACAACGGCCTGCTGGCAACCAATGGACCTCTGGGGACGGATCTGGAGAGGCAATTCCAATTGGCACTTTGAGTGAAGACTGCACTTCCGTGGACATGCAAATTGTTTCAGAATCGGCCGTAAAATTGCGCAAGTATTCGATCAACGACTACCGCAGGCTGTTGCTGGAATATTTTATTTGCCAGCGTGCGCCAGAGATTTCCACACTCAATACGTTTCGAAACCCAACGCTAATACGAGTCCTCAGATCACTGGTGCACGCAGAAAGCCCCGATTTGTTCGAAAAAGAAGCCAGTAGTATTTTTGCGCAGGTTTTGACCAAATTGGTCGATCTCGGACTCATACGCGTGTTTGCTCAGGGCCGAATTCTGGGTCTGAAAGTACTACAGGCGTGCTACGCACAAGCGGCGCGGCGAGTCACTGCGTTGGTAGCGTTGCGACTGAACACGGGCACGCTTGATTTTCGAGCCCAATGCTATGCGGTGCAGCTCCCGTATCAGAAAGCACTGAACGCGATAGTGCTGGATCTGTACAAACGGGCATTGCGCCGCGTAACAGAGGACCCGTTTACCGACGTACAGTCGTGGTGGCTAGAGATGACGGGGCCCAGCACTGCGCTAGTACACTTCTTGCGCACGTGAGTGGCACGTGATCGAGCCTTGGCGCTTAGGTAAGCAAATTGCATCTCATTTTCCCCTTTAAACGACGGCACGCGGTTCTAAACGACGACCCATGACAACGACGACACACCCAGGCCCGATTAGACCGAAAACTGGACCCACACGATCGACAAACGACAAAAAGCGTTTAAACCAACACCACCCGTCTAAACGCTCGTGTGAGGGAATTTGATCCACCACCACCAACATTTCTCGTCTGTTATGCCTCCCGGCCTTTTCCACAGCGTCAGCGCGTCATTTTGGTCTACACACACACACTCCTTGCACGCCCACAACATGCTTGCACTAGCACGTCTCCGCGAGCTTCATCCGCTCTGTTTTCTAATGTTTTCGCCGTTTCCCACTCACTGTTTTCTTGGCTTTCTACCACCAAGGCCAGAGGCGATCGCAATGCGCTGTCTACCGGTCGACGATGAACTCGCGCAGTGTAGTATTAGCCGTGGGAAAAAAAAATCGCAGTGTATGGAAACGGGTCCACGCTTAGCTTGCGAGCGAGAACAGAACTACGCTGTCGCAGCAGTCAACATCGTGGTCATTCAAAGCCCGCGCGACAACCTGCTGACCCAATTTTTCCAGCAGTTCTGCGTTGGGAAGAGTAATGAATTGGTAAGAATCGATGCGATACCGGATTCAGAGGTAATGAAGGGCAAGGAAGCAGAGTGGTATTACAAATAGCCGCAGATTCGGGACGGTAATGGTGGAGACATCACACCGAAATTCCGGGACCAAGGGTTGCATGTACAAAAGTGTATATATAAGTGGAGGGTGTGAGTGAGTGAGCCATTAAAGTGGGTCGGGACGAGGACGTACGAAACAGTCAGCGTGATAAGAGATTAGTCGTGACGATCAAGGCGTTATAAGAGATTCAACTTGAAGTTGAAATTGAAGTTGAAGAGCTTGGAAACTATAGTTTTTTTTCCAGAGTGACGATCCTTGGCCCAAATTTCAATTTTCACAGCTTAGGAAATATGGTGAGTCTACAACACGCTGGAATAATGTGCAGCGAACACCACGGCCCAGAAGACGGTGGGTTTTTGGGACCGTTGCTGGACACGATCGCTGGAAGACGAGACGTGGAAGACGTGACAGGATTCGTAGTGGTGTGGTTTGTGGTGAGCGTTGTTAGCGTGCTAGTTCTGGGAACCGTGGTGATGGCCGTGGGTATCGCGCTGCGAACGGAAAAAGACGTGGTTTCAAGCAATGAGAAGGGAAGTCACAATGTGCACTCGATTTGCAAGAAAGTTCGGTTTTTCAGAGCCCAGAAAACAATCCAAGATCTCGAAAAACAGGAACTAGCGTGAAAATGGGGTGATACGCTACTACCACCTCTACTAATGACCCGTAACGAAACAAAACACGTAACATAATGATTAATTTATAATAAGATTCTAATGACAACGGAGGTCGCAGCTTTTGTCGCAGCTTTCTCTTGCTAACGCCGCTCAAGCTTCCGAGTCACGTCTCGCAGCGTTGTAGCAGCAGCCCGGTCGCTTGCCAGCAGCAGTGGGGGGCACGATGGCCATTGTGACAGCGAAGGCGGCGGTGGCAGCAACGCCAAGGTCCGTGTGGACGCATAGTCTGGCGAAAACTTGACGGTGCGTGTCACATGTGCAGAAGCAATGTTAGAGGCACTCCCACCACCATCAGCAGCGGCACTACCACTGGCATTGCTGCCACCAAACGGTCGCCGGTTGGCCCTCTGTGGTGCTCTGTCCAATCGCACCGATTGGCCCGTGTCGAGACGGCACTCGGGCCGGAATACCTTGGCGTAACCGGGCGACTTCGCATACAGCTTTTCCAAAACCTGGCACTTCGCTGCCACTTCCTGGGCCCTGATTGCACTGGATTGGCGAGACAGCCGTTTTTGGCGATTGGTGTCGCAGTGGAGCGCAAATTTTCGCTGTGGGCCCGTTTTCTGGACCGCTGCTAGCTGCGGTTTCCCCTCGCGTCGACGATCTCTCCCAGGTTTGCGTGTTCTCGGCAGAAACGGACGTTGATCCTGTCGAGCCTTATTGCAGTAGTAGTCACCGGCCAAGCGAAGGTGGTTTTTGCCTAGAAGATGGCTTTTTCGCACACTTGGCGTGTCATGCGTAAGGTACGAGTGACAGTAATCACAGAAGAACCGGGGCATCTGGTCACACTGGTCTAAGTATGGGTATTTTCGAGAGTTGAAGCTGGCGATGGGAAATGTAGTTGTAGTTAATCCAAAATATCCCATCAACAATACACGTCGTTCGTGGTGACTAGATAACTGACTGTATAATCGACCGCACAATTGGGTCAAAATGCGAGTCGATGTTTGTGTCGCGGCAGACGACAATTTGCTAAAATTTTTCAAAACTCATATAAATACAACGAAGTGCTCAATCTGCCTACCAGGCCTCACCAGCATCGAAATACAATCGACCACGCACACAGCGCCCGTAAACTATGTTTCTTGTGCCTCGTGTTTTCAGTCTGGTAGCTCGGCCGGCTTCCAGAGGCTTTGCCCGCTCTGCCGTGCGCTCGTACGCGGCCGCTTTTGACCGTTCCAAGCCACATTTGAACATTGGTACCATTGGCCACGTCGATCACGGTAAGACCACTTTGACCGCTGCTATCACCAAGACTTTGGCCCTCAAGGGTGGTGCTGACTTCTTGGACTATGCTGCTATCGACAAGGCTCCCGAAGAGAGAGCCCGTGGTATCACCATCTCCACTGCACACGTTGAATACCAAACCGACAAAAGACACTACTCGCACGTCGACTGTCCTGGCCACGCCGATTACATCAAGAACATGATCACCGGTGCCGCCCAAATGGACGGTGCTATCATTGTGGTCGCTGCCACCGACGGTCAGATGCCTCAGACCAGAGAGCATTTGCTGTTGGCTAGACAGGTTGGTGTTCAGGACATTGTGGTTTTCGTCAACAAGGTCGACACCGTTGATGACCCAGAAATGTTGGAATTGGTTGAAATGGAAATGAGAGAGCTTTTGACGCAGTACGGATTCGACGGTGACAACACCCCAGTGGTGATGGGATCCGCCCTATGTGCTTTGGAGGGGAAACAACCGGAAATCGGCGAACAGGCCATTATGAAGCTTTTGGAGGCCGTTGACGAGCACATCCCTACCCCACAGAGAGACTTGGAAAAGCCATTTTTGATGCCTGTGGAAGACATTTTCTCGATCTCCGGTAGAGGAACCGTCGTCACCGGCAGAGTCGAGAGAGGTAACTTCAAGAAGGGCGAGGAAGTCGAGATTGTTGGCCACAACACCCAGCCTTTGAAGACCACTGTTACCGGTATCGAGATGTTCAGAAAGGAGTTGGACAAGGCCATGGCCGGAGACAACGCCGGTATTCTACTGCGTGGTGTGAGAAGAGACCAATTGAAGAGAGGTATGGTTTTGGCCAAGCCCGGCACCGTCAAGGCGCACACTAAGTTCTTGGCCTCTTTGTACATCTTGTCCAAGGAAGAAGGTGGCAGACACTCTGGTTTCGGCGAAAACTACAGACCCCAGATGTTTGTGCGTACCGCCGATGTCACCGTCGTGCTCAAGTTCCCTGAGGCTGTGGAGGACCACTCTATGCAGGTCATGCCTGGTGACAACATTGAAATGGAGTGTGAATTGGTCCACCCAACCCCACTCGAGGCTGGTCAACGTTTCAACATCAGAGAGGGTGGCAAGACCGTCGGTACCGGTTTGGTAACTCGTATCATTGAGTAGGCTAACTCTGTTGCCCACATCACTTGACTTGGTCTTCACATATTCTAATACATATCGCACATGTAAATAGTAACGAACAATTAAAACTTAACCACGGTTACCAATCAGCATGTGTAGAGCTTCCATTGGCTATGAGTCATATAAAGTCCGCGATTTTTCACTATGCCAACGGCTTGGCAATCCTAAGCTAAAGGCGTTGGATGACCTGTATGCCAAGTGTCAGTTCGTTATTCCGTCGCGATTACCATACTATCACTCTCATCCATTGTACTCGAGTACCTTATCTCGAGCTCATCAGATAGATTATATTCTCTATTCGACCAAAAAGATAAAGCTAACTAATCTCTGTCAAAGCTTATATATACACAGAGAGATACTCGAGATTCTGCTGTGGGCAAGCAAGAGTCAAAGCTCTCCTAGGTTCAAGAGCGAGCGTGGCTTTAATCAGTATGGTAGCTTTGAAATCGCTTTTTCTGGCCGTGTCATTGGCGTCTTTGGCGGCGGCTTCTTCGCAGCGCTTTTTCGAGACAGAATCAGGTCATAATATAGATATAAAACCTTTGCCCAGAGATCCGACCTTGACTCCCAACGCCTCGCAAGTTTTGAGGACAGGACGCTCCGGTGCTATCAGCTCCGACTCCGAAACCTGCAATCGGCTTGCTGTAGATCGCATTTTGAAGAAATTCGAACACAGTAACGCTGCAGACGCTGCCGTCACGGTAGCATTGTGTCTGGGAATGAAGAATTTCTTCTCCAGCGGTGTGGGTGGTGGTGGATTTGCCGTCTTTGTAGGCGGGAACAAAAACGTTGCGGAAACGGATTCAAGTCCTCTGTTTTTCGACTTTCGCGAGCGAGCGCCAGGCTTGTCACACAAAGAGATGTTTGACAACAAACCAAACGCGTCCCAGGTCGGTGGTCTTGCCGTGGGTGTTCCAGGCGAGCTGAAAGGTCTCTACGAGCTGTACGAAAAACGAGGCAGTGGCCATGTGAAATGGAAGGATCTGCTCGAGCCTGTCGTGGAGCTTGGAATAAAAGGCTGGCCCGTAAACGAACTGACGGAAGCGGTGCTAAAAATGTACGAGCCTTACTTCCTGGAACACTCCGACGACTGGAGCTTTGTACTCAACTCGGACAAAAACGAAACACTGCAGTATGGTGATACCATGAAAAGAACCGCATTTGCACGGACTCTGCAAGAGCTCGCCATGAATGGTACTGCTGCTCCATTTTACGATCCCACCCACCGGATCGGAAAAGCCATTGTGAAAAAGGTTAAAGAAAGCGGGGGTATAATCACAGAAAGCGATTTGGAAAACTACTACGTAAACATGTCGAAGCCTCTTTCGACCAAGATACGTGCAGGATGGGCTAACGTTCCCAACAACGATCTGGAGGTTTTCACAAGCAGTGGCTCGAGCTCTGGAGCCGCACTACTGTCAGCACTCAAAATTCTGGACCACTTTCCAAGCGCCAAAGGAGGCGACTACACTCCTCAGCAGGCCTACATCTTGGTCGAGTGCATGAAATATATGTCCAGCGCAAGAAGCCGCTTGGGCGATTATTCGTTGGAAAACAAAATGCCAGAGCGGATCCAGGAAGTCTTGGAAGCGAATTGGACCGAAACGGCCGTCAAGAACATCAACGCCAACCTCGAAACTCTCAAAACTTTGGCCAGCTGGAAGGACTACAAACCGCTATACGAGTTGACGGACCCCCATGGAACCACTCATTTCAGCGTTGTGGACAAATATAACAACGCTGTGTCGCTGACTTCCACGGTCAATCTACTGTTTGGATCGCTTGTACATGACCAGGAGACTGGTATTCTATTCAACAATCAGATGGAAGATTTCTCGCAACCACAGAGGTCCAATGCATTCGGTCTGGCGCCTTCCGTGTACAACTTTGCCGAGCCAGGAAAGAGACCACTATCGTCTGCGGCGCCAGTGGTGGTTCTGAATGCACTGGGCCAAACCGATTTGGTAATAGGCGCCTCTGGAGGCTCTCGGATCACGCCCAGCATTTTTCAAACTTTGGTGCGTCTTTACTGGTACGACATGCCACTTCTGGAGACGATAGCGTATCCAAGAGTCCACCATCAACTGCTACCGGACCAACTCGAAGTCGAGAGTCTAAAACTGCTGGGCAAGGACACCGTTAAGTCGCTGCGCCAGATGGGCCATCACGTGATCGAAGAGTCGCCCAAGAGTGTTGTGAATGCCATCAAGCGTGGTGTGGGAGAATGGTACGCAGTGAGTGACTACTGGAGGAAAAGAGGAATGTCAGTAGCGTACTGAGCCAAGGGTGTTTTTAAACCAAAAAAAAGTCTTAATCAAACAATAATAGTCGTTGAGAGCATCGAGATAAAAGTCGTATTCGTTAGCAGTGATATATAATCATAAATATCAAGTATTTACTACTGTAATTTTAAAACATTGAGATGCCAACATCTAAGCCGTCGAAACAACCGCCAGCGAAAGAATGGAGGCCCCAAAGCCGCTACCGAGTCCACCAAAACACTTAGGGAGCGGCATCTCCGCCGAAGCACAGCTCAAGCGTCGCTCAGCCGCTGAGGAGGACGAGTTCGAGTTTTACCACGAGTTTTCGAGAGGCAGTGTCAAGAGTTTGATCCACATCATTTCACAGGAGCTGAAACGAAATGCGCTGGACATCGAGTATCTCATGTTGCCGTTTCGTCCGGAGCAGTCCAACGAGAAGCTTTTAAAATTTCTGAACCGCGTTTTTCCTCTTGGCAATGGTGTTGCCGTGGCTGACGCAAAGCTCGATCGGTTGGCACGGTCCACAGAGCCCTGGACGTTGTTTCAAGCGCTCAAATACATCTGGTGTCGAATTCCTGAGGGCCAGGTCGTGACCTGGAGGGCATATCGTGCCTTTCGGGCGCGGGAAGAAGCGGAAGGCTTTTCACCCAAATCGTTCTTAGAGCTTATGCCACAATGTCTGTCCTCGCCTGACCACGCTTCTATAGTCTACGATTTTTTCGACTTGATCGTGTCCATGGCTTCGAATTCCAAGCGTAACAAGATGAGTGCCCGCAAAATATCCAAGATGTTCGGTGTGTGGGCGTTTGGCAGGGAAGCGAGCAGCGAGTCGGCTCAAAATTACGATTTTGATCAAAACTCAGATCCGAAGGAAAAGAAAAGCAGTTCGTTTAAAGAAGGCCTCGAGGTTTGGTTGCCTGCGGCAGACGCTATGTTTCATCTGCTTCTAGCATTCATACGGAGTTTTGTACCCAATGACTTAAAAGACGCTAATATACCGATGACTTTAAAAACAATATTGTTCAACAATAACTATCCTCCAGTGGCTCGGTTGGCGAGCAGCTCAGAAACGCCTCTTACGGTGCCCATTGTGAGCCTGAAAACCACGAAATTCTCGAAGAAGCCATGGCAATTAATCGAACGATGCAATGAGCTTTTCGACTTTGAAGACCATGATGCATTCGAGGCACGCGAAGATTACGCTCTTTTGAAGTCCCTTTTCAAGAAGAAACGCAACATTGAAGCCATAAGTCATAAAATGTCCAACGAATCTCGAAGACTCATGAAAGAAATGTCAACAAAACACTCCACGTTTCAGGCAGGCTGGGCTATTCAAAAGTGCGTTCCTTCAGATAACACGTCAGAAGCTCCAGAAGAGCATCTGCAGGTGAAAAGAGTGGACATCAATGATTACTTCATTTGGGCGTGGCTCTCGTCCTTGTCACACGAGGAAACTCCGGAAAAAAGGAAACTATTTGGAAGATCGCTCATCATAGAGTTTGAATTCGATGGCTTTAAGAAGTGGATTGTTTTCGAAGAAATCGATGTTAATTTGGAATTAAAACAGTTGAAAAAACTAGACTCCCTGGCGGGCTTGAATTTTGATGCTTCACCCGTTCCCAAATCACCACCTGTAGAGAAAATTCATACAGTGACACCGGCGTACGAACAGTTTCAGAAAAATGTGACAGGAAATAAAGTACCTCCAAAACCAGAACATAGATCTTCACCTCTACCGCCGACTCCAAACAAGTTTGACCGAGGACTAGTAAGTCGTGAAAAAGCTACTAATGATATTAGTCTTGCAGCGACTGAAAAGGCATCTAAGTGGAATCCTTTGAAGACAATACGCAAGATCAGTAGCTCTGCAAGCTCTTCTTCTTCGGCGAGTTCTTCCGCTATCGGCGAACCATATCATCTTCCTGCATTGCCGGAGAAAGACACTGTGCTTTCGAATAAGACACCTGATGGTGTTCGTGAGAAGAAATCCAAGCGCCAAGAGTCTAGGATTTTAAGCCAGTTTAGCATGCTCAAGCCCGAAAACTATCAATTACCCACGGTAGATCAGGAAGATTTCAGACTCGATATCCCCGACCTCGACGGGTTTCTGGAGCCGGAGCATACTGAGCGGCTCTCATCGTCTCCATTAGCACCTCATAAACTAGAAGGCCTGCCCCGCTCAAAAGACTGTATTGAAGATTTGCATGAAATGGTTGACAAGCTGAATGATCAAGTATCGAGGCCAGACCCAGCGCTCGCCCAATCCGCCACCAGTTTGGCAACCAACGCAGAAACCTTTGAAAGCCTGACGATGTTTGACAGGTACAAAGGGCATCCGAAGAATTCTGTTGATACGTTGGCAGAGAGCGCGACCTCTAGCGTTGTTCCCCCACTCATGCTTGGAAACAATACGGAACAATATTCTTCGCCTCCACCGCCTGTTGCAGCGCAATCTAGCGATAGTAACGTGAATTCTTCACAAGGCCCAGCGAATACCTCTGCGGAGAATTTTGGTAGCACTTCTCCGATTGTATTCCCTGTCGACAAAAATCAAGAATCCAAGCTTTTTGAAGAATCTGCTGTCGCTTCGCCTGTGTCTCCAAACTCTGTTCCTAGGCATGGTAGACAGCTGGTGGCAGCTAACTCGTCGAGTTTATCACCTGAAATGGCTACTCCCCCATTAGAGAGTTACATTCAGTATGATGAGCAACATTCTGGCCCCCCAAATTCCATTCATGGCGAAAGGAGGGAAGTACTAGCTCAAGAACACGATTCCGAAGAGAGCGCTAGATTTCACACGGGTGAAAAAGACACAAATCATTATAGACAATCGGTACATGCTCAAACTCCTTATTCATCGAACCCTCTGGTAATGAATGAAACAAAACTCCGGCTTTCTAAAAACGAAATGGCTAATGACCGACCTGAGCAGCACGCCATTCACTACAGCGGCCAAGCCTTCCAAGCGAGAGGCCGCGAGACTTCAACAGTTCAGCAAACTTCGGCCAGGCGGCCACCCCATGTCACGGCAGCATCAGGCGTCACAAATTCCATGCATGGGGAGCAGCCGCTTTCGCAAGTTGCGTGCCCGACGACTGAAACAATACCGGCAATGGAAGATGTAACTCGACCGCAGAATGTCCAACCAGCAAAATTAAGCTTAGACCCAACGCGTCGTGTTCCTCAGTCCCAGTATAAAGAACCCGATTTGAGAAGTCCACAGCCTGCGCCATACTCTACGTTCCAACACCCTGCGAACAATGCTAATGTTAGTCCCCAGCACGTTCCATCAACAGGTTATCGAAACCAAATGCATTCTCCTAATGGTAACGTTCCTGCGCCAATTCCACTTCAGAGCCATCGTCAGTATCCCCCTGCTGGTAATGTTCGTGCATCAGCTCCTCTTCAGCCTCATCCTCAGCATTTCCCTGCCAGCAGCATGCATGCAACAGCATATCCACAAGCTCAACGCCATCACCCTCATAGCCCCATAGCTAATCATGGTGCCGTCCCATTTGCTGCCAAACCGGCGCCAAGGCCTCATAACCCTTCGCAGATATCTCCTACTGTTGGAGGTCCAAGCTATCCGCCCGCTGGCCAGTATTATCCCCCTGCTGGTCAAAACTATCAACCCGTTGGCCATGGTTATTCGCCTGCAGGTCCACATTATCCGCCTGTAGGTCCAAATTATCCACCGGCCGGCAAAACCTATCCGCCTGCTGGCAAAAACTATCCACCTGCTGGCCAAAATTATCCACCTGGTAGCCCAAATTATCCTCCCGGTGCTTACGCGGGCACTTTCAGTCTAACTGCTCGCAATCAGGCAATGTTCTACCCGCCTGTCCAAGCGCCGTATCCTGCAGGATTCAACACTGGGCCTCCTGCAACTAATAAACTACATGGTGGCTATACTCGCAAAAAAGAGGATCGAAAGAAGCTGCACGATACCATTAAAAATGGAGCATTCGGTCTATAAGAAAATTCGCAACGAATCCAAATTCACCAGCCGCAGTGCGAATTCCTTTTTACCAGAACGAGTTCTCCAGAACTCTATCCAACGTCACTATAAAGAGAAGTCTTTACCAGAAAACAGCATGAAAATGTTTGTTTAGACTGTCACACCGGCATGGTTTTTCTCAAATGCTCACAAGTGACTGTCCAACGGATGGTTTCAAACACTACATCATCTTCAGCGATGAACTCAAGGCGGTAAGTCTCACTTATTCTTACATTACTGAAAGGAATATCCGCCAACCAGAGACGTGAAATCAAACAGAAGACAAAACGGTCATATTCATAAACAGCTCCATAACTAAACGACGAATTGAGTGTGACACAGGCGCGTCATCGGTGGTGTTCTCACACGTCCCGTTGAAGTGTCGGGCTACGTCACGAAAGACAAAAAAATAAGAGAACTTAAAATGTTTTCATGAGACGCGGTGAAATTGATGAAGATTTAATCATTATTCAACGACGCTATCGAATCGACTTCTACGCACATAGCGCCATTGTCTTTGGAGGAACGGTCTTGACAGAGCGTCGGTATTTATCTCGTTATGCGGTAGTAATACTTGTAAATATATCACGAAAGACGGGTGTACTCATGAGCTGTATTCATGGTGGTTTGCTCGGTTTGCCATATAAATGAAAGTCGAAGAGGACGCATTCATAAGTCATCAACACTCCCCATGCACTCCTTTGATGGCAGATGTGGAGCCAATTGGTCAACATGAGATTATAGTTGACGAGCCTGAGCTTATCAGCTGTTTGAACGATGATGAGGACATTAATAGAATCTTTCTGTTCAAAGAAAATGGCATCTCTTCCTACAACGTTGATCTTTCAATGATCGAGAACCACGAGTTCATTAATTTGAATGGAGCGGTGGCAATTGCAAAGTTTGAGTTTGGTGAGCCTGCTGCCAAATATGTGATTGTTTTGAAGAGTAATTGCGAGATTTTAGTACTCGGGCTTCCTGCTTTCGAACTAACTCAAAAGCGGCAACTCAGCTTTAACGGTGTTTCTACGTTTCGCAACGCCTTTTTATTCTTCGACAGTGACTATAGACGTCTGCACATCTGCGTGAACGCACATCACATTTTTGAGATTCAAACTCGCGACATTTTGAATTCTGACGGCCTACTTGAATGCCGTCAGTTCCACCAATCCACAAATGAAGTTTTGGACGCGGTGTGTTTGAGTACATTGGACGAGGGTTATTTTGTCCTCAAGAGAGATGTTATTACCGGTTGCTTGAAAGTGGACTTGATTTACCCCTACACTTTGGAGCCACAAGCGACGGAAAAAGACACAAATGGGCAAGCCCCGGCCACTAAGATGATGAATACTCTGTCGAATCCAAGTATTGAAGATATATGGGCATTCAGTTACCTGCACAATCCTCAGCTGATTGCTGTTGTAACTACGCGAAAACTACTCGTGCTGAAAGACAGTCTTAGCGTTTACGAAACTAAGGGTTTTGAGAAAATATCGGGAGGATTGTTTGATCATCGCGCACCATTTACAGGCTTGAGTTTACTCTACGACAGTGGGTCTTTATTTTTGTCGATGCAGGACATATCTGGTAGGGTGTATTTCGCTTCAGTCAATCTGTTCGAAACTTCGAGATCAGTGTCATGGCGTCAACTGCGAACTCACCCAACCTTGAAGACCTCGGAGACCTTGAATACTAATGGATTGAGCAAAGTATTGAGCCCAACTCAATGTGCTCTCGTATCTAGATCTGGCTTTGTGGTTATCAGCACGGTGAGACGTGAAGTGAAGTTTACATTACCATGCCATCAGCACACATACATCGATGCGACTTTCATTGAGCAAATCGATGGACAGTTTTCTCAAATTGTTGCTTGTGGTGGCGTTACTGCCGATCGTGGTTTTCTTGAGTGTTTCAGAAGGATCTGGAATACTGATGCACTAAAACTACTCGAGAGCGATAATTCGTTTGAAAATCAAGGCCTCGAAGACTTCTGGGTGACGGATAATGGCATGGTTGTTAGCACAGTTTTCTGCAATCAAGATGATGAGCTCCGCTACGTCTCCAAATGTGGCACAAAATTACTACGCAAAGAAGCTCTTTGCGCTACACAGGATAGTGGGGGCCGTGCTTTACTATATCTAGATGCAACTTACCATTTGCAATTAGTGACAAAAGATATCAAGAGACAAATATGTTCAGTCACGCCTCCAAGCTGTGGCGACTCATGGTCACTGTTCGCGTCCGTAGAACAAAAAAGCTGCGAACTGCCTTCCTTGATTATTATTTCCAAAGGGAAGACTCTTTTAGTTCTTCGAAATGGGATTTTAGAAGCTTCGTTTGACACAGACTGTTTCAATATAAAAAGCATTTGCGTGAAAACGCTTCCACATACTGATCAGTTTTTGATCCTTGCCAGCAGCGATAGCGGTTTATTGTCGAAGATCTTATACCAGCCAACAGAGAAATCTTTACGCATACAGAAAACCATACAATTCGAGAAAGGCGTTCCACTTCAGCTTTGTGACATCGGAGATGAAGCTGAGTGCACTCCTACGCTGTTTGTTTATAGCGGGAACAGACTGTGGATTCTAAATGTTGTCGATGAGACGTGCATCGAGTGCTTTGGTGATTATGGAATCAAGCGCATGCGGTTCCTAGGAAGCTGTAAGTTCATAGCTCTGACACGTCATGACGTATTTGTTACGCTTCATTACAACGACTTGATGTGTCCGCTGTGGATATGGACTCGAAGGCAATTTACATTAGATGGTGGCATAGCCACGCATTTAGTGAAGCTCGAGAATCCTCGCTACGTGGTTTTCGCTAGCCAAGATAGACATAACGCCTGCAAGGTATCTCTTTTCGACACTGCTACTCTTCAAATCTTGCATGAGTACGAGCTGCCTGAACGTGGTATAATTCGAGGATTACTGAAGCTGCAAAAGCCTTACGACCATAGCATTATACTATCCTTTATGGGAGAATCTAAGGGCTGTGACTCTCTGATCTTACTGTTGATCGAGAAGAAACGACTCATTCGTGCCGCTAGGCACAAAATTGAAGGGGCGTCTGGAGCCTTGGCTCAAAAAGGTGAGACGATATTCCATAGCGGAAGCCGTATCGATGTTTTTCACCTGCATCAGAAAAGCGATCATTGGAGTTTCCACTCAAATAAGAAGAAAATCCGAGGATCAGGAACTCTTACTTCTACGTGCTTTGCAAACGACCAGGGACAACTCACAGTGTGGGACTCCACGAGAGGCCTGAGAAATTATGATCTAGGCTCAGGAAATTGCTCGGTTCGAAGCTGTGCCAAAAATTCGGAGAATCCAGAGGAAATAGTTGCACTATTTGAATCGAAAGTCTCGTATAGCAAAGTACATGATGTCAGAGAGATGTTGAGCCCGGTAAAACGAGCTGAAACAAAGCTAGAGTTGATCAAAATACAAAAATCCCGACTTAACGCGTTTAATGTCACAGGCATCAATGTTTCCGTGCAACATCTTGAGTCTTCCTTCACCACAGAAGTCCCGCTAATCAAGCATGTAACGAAGGCCAAGCAAATAGGACCTGCTGATTGCCTGGTGTGCGCTAGGGGCGGACTTTATATAAGTAAAATAAAAAAACACTCAGTATAAGAGTTTAATCTACTGATACTCATATCTTCACCGTAACATCTACTTATCTCCAACTACAAGGCACTTCACTCACACAGGCCACCGAGGTTTTAAAGCTAAGTGAGTGACGGCTTCACGCCGCGCATTGTAAATACCAAAAAACAAAAACGACTCCGATACGGGGAGTCGAACCCCGGTCTCCACGGTGAAAGCGTGATGTGATAGCCGTTACACTATATCGGATTACTCCTGATAGAATAAAATCTTTAAAACCCATACCCACTCTTTTTTGTCACTCTACAATTGGTGATCTTGTCGGTTATATAAAGCTCGATGGCATTCAAGAATGAAAGTAAACCAAGTTCCAGCGAATCGCCAATGTCCCAAGATCATCCTGACCCAGAACCGGCTCCTAGTTCCAAAGATTCAGTTGAGTCGTCGGATGCTCAACAACCCAGTAAAGATGACCCTCAGTCTTTTCCCGCCTTGGAATGGGAGCAAGTTCATTCGAGCATCCCAGTAGAGAGTTTCACGAATTACAAGATACGTCTCACTGGTTGGGCCAGGAAAGATCGGCTGAAGAAGCGGATAGAGGAGGAAACACGTCAGCGTGAGGGAGAGATTGCCAAGAAACAGAAATTGGAACTGGAACAAGCAGCAGACCCTGAACCAAATGCAGAAAGTAACACAGCTGAGGCTGATGGAAAAGAAAATGGTGAAGTGAAGCCAGAAGAGAAAACAGAGGCTGGTGATGAAGAAGCGGGCAGCGTTCCAAGAAGCGAAAAAAGTGATGATGAAGAAGTGAAAGATACGGGAAATGTCGAGAACGGTGAAGCTTAGAATTGCGAAGCATATTGAAAATGAAGAATGATCTCGTTTTTAAACTTTTTACCATCTTGAGACAACATATTGTCGGTCAGTAGACTGGCTCATTTCACGCTTGGACAGTTCCACATGATAGTTTGATAGAGTATTGTGCAATCATTCGAGGCTCAGCTGGTTGGATGAACGGTAAACACTGCTTGTTTAAAGTCGTTTCGCAGGCAATCGAGTCGGCTGCTTTCTCCAAATAATTCCAAAGTACTGAATATGCACATCTTGTCTCAGCATGAATGGCACTGAGGATGCAATACGGCCTCTAGCCTAGGATGGGCGGCTTGCCACAGAGATTTTGATAGTAGGGACATCGATCTTTCGTTCCTCAATGATGAATTCTCAAAGAAATGTTGAGACTGCACTCATATTAAGGTTGGCCCAAAGGAGGGTTTCAAGCAGTCAAGATGAGACCCAGAATAACAAGGCGGTGTATACAAAAGGATATACACATTGCTTTCATTGTGTTTTCTTGGCGATGAAATTAACAAATTGACATGACGATAGCACGACTCTGGCGATTTTTCCCAGGGCATGTTTCGAAAGCGAAACTGATAAAGAAAACCGTTACGAAGTGGGAATAATGAGCCAGAAGATATCAGATGGAAAAGATAGTACGATTTCAATGATATCGTCACTGTGGCATGCACGAACGAGTTTCTGTCATTCGACTGTTCATTGATCGTGCTTCAAGGACAGATACGAGAGTAGAAATTTTTATGTCTTCATTCAACCGCTACGATCGCTAAGGTCCTTCTTGCAAGGACAACAAATATAAAATTGATCGCAAATGCACTGTCGCTAATCTGCAAATCGATTTGGCGGCCGAAAAACTTGCAATGGTTAGTGAACTGAACTTTACGTGAAAATCTTAGGGTATGGTGCTGTCGAATGTCATGATATGACTGGTGCTAGCTGTCCGACTTTCAACTAGTATTTATGTGGCGCGTCAGTCTGGGACGCTATGGTTGGAGAGTCTGAATTGCCTTTGGCAATTGAAGTGGCAAATTGAATTCAGCAATTTCTAACCTGCTCCTTACGCTCTGAACAGAACTTAATAAAAACCCGGTTAATAGAATTTAGAGCAGGTTGAGGCTTGCTGATTTATCCTGGTTAATGTGGGACCTCCATGTCGATTAGTAGCCTCGGTATTTGGAACGACTAGAAGTTTTGCAATAATCCTTGGGCGAACTTCAATTTCGTTTCTTGAAATAAAGACATGATTGCATGCAACCTTTGATAGATGCAGGCCAGCAGCTTCATTTAGCGGTATGCTATGTCATAGCCCTCGGTCTTTTCCAATGGATAATTTCAACTGAGCTCTATGGCTCACAGTTAAGCCAGGATGTGAAAAGACCTGGCATTCAATAGAAATTGAGTTGTGTCTTTGACGTGAAAGTGGAAATTCTCAGTTGAGTATATAACAAGTATTTATCCTTTTTCGATGATCAAACAAGAATTTAAATTTAGAGCGTCATTGGCACGCGGTGCTGGAGTGCTTTTATGACGTTTCGACACCTATTCCATCTTCCAGTTAACCTCCTTCAATAGGTTTAGCTTAGCACAAGACTTATCGTTTTAAAGCAATCAGTCATCTGTCATCTGTCATCTTTACACGTGATTTTTTGGTCTATGAACATTCTGCAATCTGGCGTCTTACAATGGAGGTTTTGGCACACACGAAGGACTGCCTTGATCAGAGTGCTTGTTCTTGGATGTCAAGCACCGTGATACAACGAGCTAGCAGGAGCTACATTTCAATTATGGGCACTACAACACACTAGTGGACGATATCTTAATCATCACTAATCCATGGTAACTTGCTGTTGATTGGTAATACTGGAAGGAGACCGTCGGTAGCGAAGGCTGAATGTGAGATTTGAGATGAGATCGAGATCGTTACATTAAAAAAAGTTGAGGACTGACCTGTTAAATGTCAGCCAGCTGTGACAAGACTTAAACCATTTTGTGATAAGAGAGGGAAAAAAAATGTAGCCAGCGGGCCTCAGGTACCAGAAGAAATGGAAACAAGATCAAAGCAACAGCGCTTTGTCCTCAAAGTTTCAATGAAGGTGGTGGTTTTTGAATCACGAAGCCGGGGGAGTCTGTTCGTCGGAACACTGAATAGACGTCGTAAGTGCGGACGTATACAGTGATATATCAGTACTGAACAGGAATCAAGCCAGTGATGGACTCGTTCTGTCAGAACGTGGGCTCAACCACTTTCCCAATAGAGTCCGTCTGCTACTACGATAGCAGGCTTTGTTAAAAGATGGTATTCTAATCTTCCGACTTGAACGACATATTTATGCACGGTCTTTGCGTTTGATCATATAGGTAGAGACTAAACAGATGGATTTCCAGAAAAATTTAAAACTCCGATGCAAGCCTGCTAGGGCTGAGGCCAGCTTTGCCTGCTATAGTGAAGCCAACTTAGCAATGCTTCACAGTTTGAACGTATTCTTCGTACTAAGAGCCCGGATTCTCGAACTTCCCGTGTAAGGCTGAAAGGTCGAAATTGCTGGATTGAAAATGCACAGCCCTAAGCTATCAAAATTCAGCGAAAAATTATAACGATCTAACGCCCCGAACTGGGTGCGAGGAGCTTTGTGTAGTCGATTGTCAGTAGTGGATAAACCACGTGATTTTACTCTGCACTATGCCGAGACGCATCTCGCAGGAACCATTACTTGAGACTGAATGAACATTTACGTATATCAAACGGGATCGTTTGGTTTATTATCAGTGTTGCTTGTGATCTTCACCAGCGACACCAAAATCAAAGTATACCTTGTCGTGTTGTATTCAACTTGTCATGCTACGTTATTGGGAATTTGTACGATTGAGAGATCGGGATCTTTTCCGTGTCGCTTCTCTCAATGAAATCGTGTTTCCGTCGAGCTACTCGTGGCGGTACTCGTGGCGGTACTCGTGGCGGTACTCATACTCGTACTCGTGCCATACTCATGTACGTACTCGTGCTCACACTCGTTCCAATATCACACTCGTGTTGCCCGCGCCAAAATGCCAACGAATTTGCCAAAACCTCTCTCACTAAACCACTCTTGTCACACCGTTCATAATCGACCGTTGAAATATTCACTGCATAGGCACAACTTATTTTCTTCGTTTTCTCCTCTGATCGCCTATACGACGTGGATCACAGTGCCTTCCCAGTGCCTTCACAAGTAGTCAGTGGGAACATCTACAATAGAGTTCTGCTAGTCCTCGGCCGGTGTAGTCACTGGCAATGTACTCTCGAGTGCCAGTAGCCAGTAGCCCGCAGAAGTCTCGACTACATGCAGTGCTTCTTCTTTTCCGTCTCAGTACTCGCCAGATGTACTCGCCAACTGTGCTTTTTTTCAATCTGCCAAAATACATCACCAGGCTCTCTAAATTACACAACGGCCACTCTACCATCCTCTACTTCACCCCAAATGCCACTGCTTACGCTATCGAGACTTTAACTCTATTGTTAAACATCACTGCAACCTCTCTTGCTTGAAAACTCCACCGTTCTTGCCAAAATCCTGCCAAAATCCTGCCAAAACCCTGCCAAAACCCTGCCAAAACCGCTACAACTTCTCTAGCTCGAAACACTCTCAGACCCCCACACCTCTTGCCCAAAACACTGCCCTCCTCTTGCTCAAACACCCCCCTCCCGCTCCCACTCGCCCAGTCTGCCTGCCCTCTGCCATTCATTTTCGTTTTCACCCAGCCATGCGCCAAAAATCTCGATTTTTTTCGCGTAGCGCATACTCATATGCAATCTTCGAAAGATAACTCTCGGCCAGCCATTGGAAACGTCTGAAACAGCACAGAGAAAGAGGCAGTGTGTGGCGTGGTTGCACATCTCTAGATCTTGCCAAATGTACTCCTTACGACGTCGAATGAGACAGCATGCGCCAATAAAACTTTTGGCCCGGCTGGTTATACTCAGTTTAGTAGTTAAGTCAACTTAATGGATCTCTCATGCATGTCGAGCCTGCGCTATAAAAAAATTAGCTGTCTGTAAGGTTTCGAATATTATAAAAAGTGCCCGGCAAAGGTCTCCAGGGACTCCGGTGATACCCTTCTCTACGCGATTTGGACTTGTATCGCGAGGGAAAGTCATTCTTTCTCAGAAAAAGTCGAACGTTTTTACTTGTCTGTGTGTGTGTGCGTGTGTGTTTGCCAAGCACGGTTCAGCTCAGTTATATCTAGTTCAGTTTAGGTCCGTTCAGTTCAGTTAGTTCAGTTCAGTTCAGAGCGTAGGGCAGCTTTTAGTTTTCGAGCCAAGAACCTAGACACTTTCGTGGGTCAGCTTTCGCGGTCGGTAAAGTTTCGTCGTTGTTGTTTTTGTCGTCGTTTCTGTCGCTTAGTGTCAGCGCATCGCCTGGACTCAGCGTTACAAAATTGGAATCGGACTTGCACACTCTAATTAGTCTTCTAGAGCTCTCTTTCTTTAAGAAATCTCCTCAAACTCACACAAAACTTTGAAGGAGAAATCCTCATCAACAAGCAGTCCTCCTAGTTTTTCAATCACTGTGAGCTTCTTCTCCTCCTCCATCACTTCCCTCATGTTAGCAGCAGCCTGGATTTCCAGCCTGTGCATGGCCCTGGCCACCGTGGTGAGTCAACCTGTGCCAGCCAAAACCCCCAACAGCATCCAGTACGTGCATGAACAGAACAAAAAACGGTTCTACGACTACCAAAACGCAGTGATAAGAGGCGTTAACATCGGTGGCTGGTTCGTGCTCGAGCCCTTCATCACTCCGTCGTTGTTCGAGTCCTTCCGTACGCAGCCCAACAGCGACGAAGGAATCCCAGTCGACGAGTACCACTTTTGCCAAGCACTCGGCCACGACGTGGCCAGCTCGCGTCTCGAGCAGCACTGGTCCTCGTGGTTCACAGAAAAAGACTTCAGCAACATCGCAGCCGCAGGCCTCAATTTCGTGCGAATCCCAATCGGCTACTGGGCGTTCCAAAAACTCGACTCCGACCCTTACGTCAAGGGCAGCCAGGAGTCGTATCTAGACCAAGCGATCCAGTGGGCTCGCAATAACAACCTCAAGGTGTGGGTCGACTTGCACGGCGCGGCAGGTTCTCAAAACGGCTTCGACAACTCGGGTCTCAGAGACTCGTACGCTTTCCTCGAAGACAGCAACCTTCAAGTCACAAAAAGCGTTTTGGAGTACATCCTCAACAAGTACTCTCAGCAAGAATATCTAGACACCGTGATCGGTATTGAGCTGATCAACGAGCCATTGGGCCCTGTGTTGGACATGGACAAGCTCAAGGAATACTACCACTTTGGCTACGACTACCTCAGAAACACGGTGAAGAGCGACCAGATCGTGGTTATCCACGACGCTTTCCAGCCCTACAACTACTGGGACTCCACTTTGACTCTCTCTGACAACAGCTGGGGTGTGGTTCTCGACCACCACCACTACCAGGTCTTTTCCAACCAGGAACTACAACGTTCCATGGATGAAAAAATCGCTGTTGCTTGCGAGTGGGGGTCCGGCACCTTGTCTGAGGCCCACTGGACCGTTTGTGGCGAATGGTCCGCCGCACTCACCGATTGTACCAAATGGCTCAACGGTGTTGGCTATGGCCACCGTTACGATGGCTCATTTGTCAAGGAAAACGATTCGTCCAGCTATATCGGTTCTTGTGAAAACAACGAAGACATCAGCTCCTGGTCTGACGAGAGAAAGACCAACACGCGTAAGTTTGTCGAGGCTCAATTGGACGCCTTTGAACTGAAAAGCGGTTGGGTCATCTGGACTTACAAGACTGAAAACTCGTTGGAATGGGATTTGCAACGTCTCATGTACAACGGTCTGTTCCCACAGCCTGTCACCGACAGACAGTTCCCCGACCAGTGTGGATTCAGCTCGTAAGCGTAACTCTAACAACCATCCTTGCGATACATTTCTACAATAGTAGGATATCTGTGCTAATTTTTCCAAAGCGTTCCGGTCGCACTTCATTCCATGGGCCTCATTCGTCCCAGTTTCCAGTTCTTTCAAAAATCCTTATGCATCCAAATTAATCATCATCAAAACCATATACAAACTACTTGGTCTCGGTGCGACGACAGCGCTCGTGTCCCAGATCGGCTCTACCGTTGAGGTAAGACCAAGAGAATGTGTAGTTTTTATAAATCCAAGTGAAATCAACGAATAAAACGTAAAGTGGTAAGACAGAATGCCTCATCACCCAAGATAAACTCAACAGTGAAGTCCAGTATCGTCTTGCTCTTCAAATTCGACCGAGTAAGCCGATGTTCTTAGCGTCACCCAACGTCGGTTGTACTCGAGTACTTCTTAATATCAATACGTAATAATATCAGCGACACTTGGGATACACTCTATACAAACTGTCATGATGACCATCGCCACGACAACTTAGGGCTTTTAAAGATCCAGAACGCTCCTACCCCTAGGTTGAAATGTCAAGCATTCCGGCTATCGACTTGACACAAGAAGACTCTGACGACGCGGGCGGGTTTTCTGAGTTTCGAGACAATCATTTTAAAGATGACCACACTACAGCAAGGAGCCTTCCAAACTCGACGGTGCGTCTCCCGCGACTAAACTCAGCCATGCATGGATTCAACAGTGTAGCGAGGAGTGATTCAACACCGCAGCTATTGCAAAATAACAGTCGCAAAGAAGAGACACCAGCCAAAGACACGCGACGCGTGGAACAGCTTCAAGTGGGATTCTCACCTTCTCAGCAACTTCGGCCTCTCTTTCAGCCAGCTGGCGATATGAACCTGAGTATTGATGGTATCTACAGCCCGGGAGCGCCGGATTTGAATAACAGCTCGGATGATTCACTTTTCAAGCGACGCAGGCTTGAGGCAGTTGATTCGCAGGGAAAACCACAGCCCACGAAACAAGAGGTCTCGGATGCTGAACAAGTGGGCTACGTCTCACCACTCAGTTTGACCTCGCGGGAAAGTAGTCCCAAAAGCAAAGTACGTCTCGCAGATCAGAATAATGAGCGTCAGGGAGACCCTCGGAAATTGCAAGGAAATGATATAACATCACCAGTCACTGGTATGCTCAACGAAGACGTTCCATCACGAGTGACAAAGGATATTCCTACACCGGAAAATAATAGTAAAAATGCACTAGGATCAGATCCGGGCTTGACACCCATTTCAGCCACATTGTCTACCGCTCCCAATAGCAATGAGTCGCCTATTATAGTCCTGAGCGATGAGGAGGATGATCTTAATCCAGTACTTCGTGGGAGAGCCAATGGAGTAGACGGTGAGGTGAAGGGGCCTTCTACCTCGAACAGCCTCGCCAGCGCTAACGCAAGTGTGGAACGCTTACGTGCTATTCATGACAAAAACCTGAAGCTGAAAGTTCAAAAAGATCAGGAGTTCGCGCGACTCAAGAATACCTGCCGCGATACAAGAATCATCCTTCAGCGGAAGCTGCAAAAGAGAGAGAGACATATTCAGGAGATCAAATCTAAATTAAGCCCAGTAATACCGTCTGAAAACAGTCTCGAGCCACATTCAGACATGTCGCTGGACGCAGAACTGCTCTACATGGAGGAACGAAGGCAACAAACGCTAGCGAAACTTCATCAACTCGATACTAAGGAGGTGCTCGCGTTTGAAGAGCACACCAAGTTCTTCGCCGGGCACGGATCCAAACTTCGACAGTCGCAAATGGACCTTCAAAATGCTTTGAGTAGTCGTTTGCACGCGACTCTCGTAGACAAGCGGGCCAAGCTTATGGAAGAGAAGATGAATGTCGATCGTCTCTACAAAACTCGTGTTATAGACCTCGATACGATGGTACGAAAAAAGACTGCCATCGATAAAGCTCTCAACGAACTGCAGAGCACTCAACTTGCTCCAAAATCACCGGACGACTCTCAGTCCTCGGACGTCTATTTCAGATCGATCGATGTCGCTACAGATCTGATCCGCAAAAACTCAGTGAGGTCATCGGAGAACAAAACTTTGATGGAGCGCTATTTGAAAGTTGTCGCCCAGTTCAAAAGGGCGTGTGACAAAGGAGACCGCTTTAGCCCTCAGACGAGATATCTAGTCGAAAAAGCGATCACAGAGTTATTTCGTCATGGCGTGAAGATGCCGGCGGTTAGTGCCTACCTCAAGAGACTGAACTTCATTGTACTACCGGAGGATTTCGACAAGGCATATTCGTCAAAAGCTGTACCCGCAGAGAACGACGATTTCCAGTCTGTGGATGGCACGCTGGGCGCTGATAATGACATTCTCGAACTTGTGAAGTCTCAGGATGAGCAACGTCAAACAAATTCGTTCCAACTCTCGAGCATTTATAACAGTCAGGATAATGACAGCTTGCAAAAACTGCTTGAAGGGCTCAAAACTACAGAGGCAGAAATTGAAGGAGAGGAGTTGACGCCGCCTGAATTGACCGTCAACTTAATGAAACATCAACGCCAAGGGCTATACTGGTTGTTACAAGTTGAAAGGTCTAGTAAAAAGGGTGGGCTTTTGGCCGATGACATGGGTCTTGGAAAAACAGTTCAAGCCATTGCTTTGATGGTTGCCAACCGTTCCGCAGACGAAAAGTGCAAAACTAATCTGATTGTAGCACCTGTCGCAGTACTGAGGGTTTGGCAAGCAGAAGTAAGAACTAAAGTTAATAAGACTACTGGCCTGAAGGTTCTTATCTTCGGGAGTAGCAATGGGGCAAAAGTGGAGAATTACCGCAGCCTACTCAGGTACGACGTCGTGTTGGTCTCGTATCAAACGTTAGCAAGTGAACTAAAGAAACACTGGCCTGCAAAACTCACTCCAGACTCTGAAGAACCGACGGTGGTTGATGTTCCGGACGTCAAGGCAATTAACTCCATGAAGGAGCGCAATGAGTACTGGTCACCCTTTTTCTGCGATCAGTCTCAATTCTATAGAGTCATCCTGGATGAGGCTCAAAATATAAAGAACAAGAAGACACAATCTTCGAAAGCTTGTTGTGCATTGAACTCAACTTATCGCTGGGCATTGTCTGGTACGCCTGTGCAAAACAACATAATGGAGCTCTATTCGTTAATAAGGTTTTTGAGAATTTCTCCATACAACAGGGAGCAAAGGTTCAGACTCGACATAGGTAACCCGTTAGGGCGGGCCTCTAACGACTACGACAGTTTCGATCGTAAGCAAGCAACCAAAAAAGTCCAAGTTCTCTTGCGGGCTGTTATGCTGCGAAGAACAAAGGACTCCCAAATAGACGGGAAGCCTATTTTAGAGTTACCTCCAAAATTCATCAATGACGAGGAAGAAACTTTACAGGGCCAAGAGCTGGCTTTCTATACTGATTTGGAGCAGAAAAATCAGAAAAAAGCCGAGAAGCTAATGAATAACAGAAGCAAGGGAAATTACTCTAATATTTTGACTTTGCTTTTGAGGTTACGCCAAGCTTGTTGTCATTCCGAACTCGTTGTATTAGGCGAGCACAAGAGTGAAACGTCCAAGGTTGCTAATGGCAAAAACTTTGAAAACGACTGGTTGCGTTTGTTTGAGCTGGCTCGACGTATGCCTGGTGTTGGAAAAGATACGGTTGTGGAAGGTCTTGAGAAGATGACTTGCCCATATTGTATGGAACAAATGGAGTTGGATTCAACTGTTGTGATTACGCCGTGCGGCCATATGCTATGTGACGGCTGTGCAGAGCAGTATTTTGAGGATGTCCGTTCTCAAGGCAATAGCAGAAAAATCGTGAATAGCGGTTATGCGGTGCCATGCCTGGTGTGCAATAGAATAATCGATGATAACGAGGTGGTCACCTATAAGCTTTACGATCAGGCTGTTAATCAGAACCTTACTGTTCAAGGGTTACGGGCGGAATATGAGACTGAGATGAGGGCTCAAAAGGATCGACTCAAAAACGGATATCAAATAAACTATGATACCCTCCAGCCGTCACCTAAGATTTTACAATGCTTAGAAATTTTCCGAAAAGTTTTGGAGTCCGCTCAGCAAGAGAAAATCATTGTGTTTTCGCAGTTTACCACCTTCTTTGATCTGCTTCAGCATTTTATTCGCAAAGAACTGGGTGTTCACTATTTGAGATACGACGGTTCTATGAACGCTCAAGCGCGTGCTAATACAATCGACGAATTTTACAAAAATCCGAACAGGAGGATCTTGCTAATTTCCATGAAAGCGGGGAACTCCGGTCTAACACTTACTTGCGCCAATCATGTAATATTGGTAGATCCATTTTGGAACCCATTTGTCGAAGAGCAGGCCATGGATCGTTGCTACAGGATTAGTCAAACCAGAGAAGTGCAGGTTCACAAGCTTCTGGTCAAAAATTCGGTAGAGGATAGAATTTTGGAGCTACAGAAGAAGAAGAAAGAGCTGGTGGAGAGCGCAATGAGCCCCGACAAAATTCAGGAAGTCAATAGTTTGGGACGTCGTGAATTGGGATTTTTGTTCGGACTCAATACTCTCAACTAAGAAGGCATTTTTTGAGCTATCGACCCTGCCCTATTTTTATCGCGACACAGCAGTGCTCCAGTAAGCTCAAGCCTGTTGGTGAGCGACTGGTCTTGTCGCCGACTATTTATCATTAAGTACGCCATTAGCCATTGGTTGAAGTCGTATAAGATCTTATGGTATCCGGTATAATCCACTTCTCTAGGAAAGCCATTGTTGAATTCTTATATCTAGGCTTGAGACACCTAAGTAAGCTTCAAATCTGTCTATTTAACGATGGTTTCTATCAGTAAAAGATCTACATTTCAAGTCGGTCAGGAACTTGCCAATGAAAAAACCCTTACTTTGTCTTCGACGTCGAACGAAGGCTATTTGATCTCCCTTAGACCTTTGGTCGAGCCCACCGAATCTGAAAAGGAGTTTCCATTCGAGTGGGCATTTGCTGGCCCACCTTCTAGTGCCAAAATCGAAAAAAAGGACGAATTGACTGATGCAATTGACTTTGAGTTCGAATACGATACTAATGTTCAACTGAACGCAGAAAACACTCACAGAGGTGTTATCAAAACAGTTTGGAAAAAATGGGTGAGTGGTTTAGTCGAGGAAAGAGGTCAGGTTTTCCCATTTGGAAAGGATAAAGAAGCCGTTGACTTTTTTGAACTGTGGCAGCCATTGGATGCCACGCGGTCCGATTTCGTGATGCTAGATGGTAATAGCGAAAACCAGGAGACTGCTAGATCTGTGGTTCTCAGCGTGGACAACGCCGAGTTCAAAGGTTTAGTGATTACTGTGGGAAGATGGACTCAAGGCATCCTTTTCAAGAAAAACGAGCACACGTTCAACGGCTTGAACATTCTAAGGGCCCTAGAGCAGCAAGATGGCACATGGAAAACGCTATTACAGTACGGCCCCGATTTTGGAAATTTCCCACAGACGTTCGCCGCGCCAGTAGCGTCGTCAGTCGATGGGGGCGCCCTCAAATGGAAAGTAGTCGAGTCCAATGTTTAGAATAGAGATACTTGATAGAAGAGATACAAGAATAGAATTAATATATGACAATTGGCCTGTGAACTCTTATCCTGGAATACCACAACTTACTACTGATGAACACATTCTCAACACTCCGGTGTCGTGACTAATTATCTCGATACGAAATAGGACTTAAAGACACCATGAACAAAGAGAAGCTGTGTTAATTGAACCTTGATCTGCTTCAGAAGTCGATTATCGCTTAATGTGTCACATTAAGTGTGTGGACTCCGGAGTCATTGACCAAATGTGCCTGTTTTGAAAAAACTCCGTATGCGATCGACCGTGAAACTGATGTGCGATTTCAATTATCCAGATTCAACCTTAAATATTAAGATTCAACCTTAAATATTAAGATTCAACCTTAAATATTAAGATTCAACCTCGTCCGTCTTTTAAAAATCCACGTCGGATAAATCTGAGGGCGTATTTCCATGTCCTCCTGTGTCTAAACGTCTGTCATTGTTCCTAGCCGTGGTCTGCTTCCTAACACCAAATATATTGCCCTCAAAATATTAACTTACACAGCTCCATCCGATATAGTGTAACGGCTATCACATCACGCTTTCACCGTGGAGACCGGGGTTCGACTCCCCGTATCGGAGCTTTATTTTTCGAATATTATTTTTTTCCCGCAAGGTCAAAAATCATCGGATTTTACCCCGGAGTTCGAAATTCAACAACAATCTCTTATAACCCCCACAGCCAAGAACAAGATTATGTCTGAACCATCAGCAAATCACTACGGTTGTCTCAAATTAAAAGTGACGCTTGATCTTGGGTCCTCTCTACTCTAAATTGATCTTGAAACGCTGAAATCTCGCTATTAACGGCACAGTCTAACTACATTGTTCACTGGAAAAAAAATTTGACAGGGGTTTTAACGGAAGTTAAACTATAATAACAGTCGAGCCACCCTCTTCAACAAGAAAAAGACCCAAGTCTCCATTTCTATACACCTGTGTCATTGCGTTCGCCGTCAGTATTCAAAATGAGTGTGTGGATTTTTGTTATGGCAGTTGTGCTCAACTGTGTTAACTTGTTTGCGCAAGTTCACTTCACAATCTTGTATGCCGACCTGGAGGCAGACTACATCAATCCAATCGAATTGTGCTCGAAAGTCAACAAACTGATCACACCAGAGGCTATTCTGCATGGGGCTATATCATTGTCGTTTCTATTGACGGGCCACTGGTTTGTTTTCCTGATTAACTTGCCCTTGCTTGCTTTCAACGCCAACAAACACTACCTAAAACTTCAGCTTCTAGATGCCACTGAAATTTTCAGAACGTTGGGAAAACACAAAAAGGAGAGTTTCTTGAAGCTTGGATTCTATCTGTTGATGTTCTTTTTCTACCTATACAGAATGATCATGGCCCTAATCGCGGATGCCGATTAAAGGATCATTTTTCATGAGAGTTGAATCATGGTTTTGACTCTTTAAGCCAAAAAAAATACAAAAAAACGGATACGGGCGCCATTATGATCGCTCTAGGGAAAACTTTTCGTCAAGCCCGCGTTTTTTTAACACTCGAAAGAACACAATTGCGGGCGCTGACAATGTGTATAGGTCTGCTTACTGGTTTTTTTTGTATATTGAGATCGGATCTAAACCCCCCACCCACACCAGTAATGTAATTAATTATTCCAAGAGTTTTTCTAGAGAACGATTTAAAGTCTGTAGCCTGCCCAGGATCCCGTCTTGCGGATCTAGCAGCTCAACCAGGTCATTGGCGGTTGGCTCTAGCGATGGCATTTCGTCTTTGTCGTTGTGATTATCATCGTGCTCGGCTTTCGTTGAAACGCTTATCGCCAAGTTCTGCAGCTTGTCATTGAGAGCAGATTTCAGTTGTAGTTCTTCAAGTTGTTCATCATCAGCCTCTCTATTCTCCCATTCTATAATCTGATGTCGTATGTCAACCAAGTTCTCGCTCAATTTGACTTTTTGTTTGGCGCATTCCTTGAGTTGCGAACACAGCTCATTGTTCGATGAATTTATATCGATAGTATCCTGTAAATCAGATAACACGCCGCGCATGAACGTGGAAAGCAACTTGATATCAAGCTTATGCATCAATTGTTCAGTTGCATCTGTTGCAGTGTCGAAATCGGCGTAAGCTTGAGGAATTAGCTGCTCTTCAAATAGGTTGCTCAAAATGGACCATACCACCTCAATACCAGCGAGAGATATGGCATTGGATCGGAGCTGCGAAATCGGGAGGTCTGAAAAATCGAACTCGGGTTCTGGAGAAAGAGACGGGGAATCTTTTGTTCGCAAAATAGGTGTTTCTGCATTTCGCGCGGGGCTCACAGGCGAATTCTGTCCAGCAGATGCCTGATCCGGGACTGGTGACGTGAATGGGTTGTCGGGTGAAGTGAGTAAACCTCCGTTCAGAACAGGGCTCCGGGGAGGTGTGCTTGCGGGCTCATTAGAGTCCTGAGAAACATGAAATTCCGGCGGCGATTGCGGCACGTCAAACGACGGCTCGCTTTCTGGACTTTGCTTAACATCTTTAGAGGGCGACGAGTACGACGGTCGATCAAGCCGGGGTTTTTTAATCTGCGATATTACCACATCTTGCTCAACTTTTCGTAGAGCGCTGCCTCTTTGGCGCGACAAAAGCTTGACATGGCGATCTACGAACATTGCAAGCTATTCGTACAGCGTAGATCAGCAGTAGATCGTCCGGCAATTGGTCCACGAACGTCCTCCAAAAACATTTGTGTTGAAGAGAGAGTACAGGAATCTCGAATTGAAATCAAATTACGTTTTTAGTGATGATAGTAATAAATCAATGAAAGCCAAGACATAAGGAATGTTGGCGGACGCTACAATGCCTTTACGTCGCCAATGAATTAGCATATATATCCCAGAGCTACAAACTGCGAATCTGGGCTTTTGAACGATTCTAAAGACGCATGTTTCTTCTCATGAGCGCGACACGAAAGTACGAAGTGATATGGGCTGAGAGGTTTGGCATGAACAGCTCCGAACCGTACGTTTGCGTCAGTATTGGTGGCATTCGCGAGTTTTGTAAAATGTTCACGAGTCCGTGGGACTTCATTGAAGCTCGTTTTCTCTGTTGGCTGGAACTATATGCTGCACAGCTCGCATTTCAGGGCTGGATGCTCCTGTTCCGGTTTAAACAGCCGCATCCGACGAGAATGAGTTGCCTAGAGAGACAATTTTCAGAAACCAGAAGAAGTGAGGAACAGTTTTGAGAAACGCATAAAAAGATTAAAAATTTCCCAAAAAAGATTATACAAGCCGTACCCTTGCTCGCACTATTAACAGAGCCAAACTCGCACTTCTCTTCCACGGACTTAGCCACAGCTACGTACTCTTCGACCATTCTTCACCATATGTTGGTCTCATTGATGTCACTTCGTACTATTCTGTCGTAGTGATCGGCGTTTTCGCTGCCAAGCGCAGGGGCCGCGCGTGAGGGAGACCAAGAAGGGTTGGTCGAGTCACCCGCTTGTGCGACGTTCCGCTCGCACGGCTTCAAAGAGAGTACGACCTTCTTAAAAGATCTCTTGCAGTGCGGGCCCTAAAGAACCCAGACGCATCTGAAGAAATTCGTAACAATTTGACGGACCCGCATCTCCTTGTTCTCGCACTGATCATTGTGACGCCATCTTCACCTCGCTTTCCAAATTTTTAGCGCATGATGTGCATGTCCTTTGCTTCTCATTTGTCCCCACTATGCGCGAGTGGGAAGTAATTCTCGTTCTACGGCGTACCGCTATAAATAGTGCATTCACGGCGTCCGAGAAGCATTACATGAAAAAGCCCGGCACCCGTCAACTTAAATTCTTTCTTTGACTGAATATTCAAGCCTCCAGCTTAACGCCGAGCAACCACTTTGCATACCAACGAATCGTAAGCCAGAACAGCAAATGGAAATGGCAGTAACTAATTAATTAAACATAATAATTACCAACGTAGTTTAGCGACCACTATTCATCGTCCAGTTTTTCGTGGGTCCTCCACATCACCCTTGCCATCTCTCACGGCTCCGGCACTACCGATTCTTTCCATCTTTCTTGACTCAACAACAACACAACACAGCTCTGCTCTGGTAACCGAATCCTCACGGCATCACACTGACATTTTTTAAAAAAAAAAATTTTCGCGGTTAAACAGACGCAATAGGATCACTGGTGCACATCCCGAACGTCGCTAGTGTGGTAGGTGCGCGCGAATGTGCTTACTTGCTTCGTTTTCACAGCTTTCTTGGTTCACGAAGGCTATGCCAATTCCTCGCTGCTGCTTTTCCAGTATATAGTTGGACCAATTTATTCACAACCAAGAAGGGGAGCCACCGAGGATAGCTTGTCTAGAAGCCATCTACTGCTCTCTTTATAATATTTGCATTGGCTCAAATTCGCTATTGAACGCTGTGGGTTTATTGACGTCTCGAGTCATTTGAACGCTTTTTACTAGTCTTGCTGGTATATTAGGTTTAGATATTGATTTTCAGCATCAACTATTATTACTGGTTTGAAAATTCGAAGATTCTGCCCAGCACCAAGCTTCAGAAAAAGACACTCCCCGTTCAGTTTTTGAGAGTCTTATAGTGCTAGATTATGATTCATTGAGAAGGTTCACTGATTATTGTCTCAACACCGTTTTTTTTCTGTTCTCTCTTACACGGTTTGGAAGATCAAGCAAGTTCTCATATCATATATATTTATCCATTTTCAGGTGGTGAATTAGACCAGGTCTGTGCAGTTTGAAAGGCTCGTGGTTTCTAGTAATTGTAGCAGCAATCAGTCCATCACGGATCGTCACTAGTTCACAATTGCATCTGGTCGCTTGGGATCGGTCTTTTTTCTGGCAAATATAGACGCAGGACCCTCGCACCGACATATCCGCTTCACACAGTTCACAGCTTAGCAGAAAACGATGCCCCAAATCCCTCTGCCGCCCTCTGCAACAGTGCAGACATCGTCAGAACCCCCCAGAACACTCTGGATGGGCGACCTGGACCCGAGCTTCGATGAAGCTACCATCCAACAAATTTGGGAACAGCTGCAGAAACAGGTCAATGTCAAGCTGATTCGTGCCAAGAAAAATCTGCTCATCCCATGCAGCACCAGCAGTACGTTCAGCGAGGCTGACGGCGTGGATCCCAAAGGCTCTGCTCACGGTGGGAATATCGTCTCTGGGGAATCACAGGACTCGGAGTCTACCAGCGATTCTTCCAACGACACACCCACGAACGGCCCCACTGGTGCTGTCACTCCTGCTGGCACACTCGGCTCCGGTCAGAAAATCAGTATCAACGGTGTCTCGTTCATTGACCCCAACACAACGCAGCTGCATCATGCAGGCTACTGTTTCGTCGAGTTCAACAACCTCGCGGACGCACAGTGGGCTCTCTCCCTCAATTCGTCGCCCTTACCCAATATTGTTAGCGAATCCACTCAACTGGCTACCAACCCATCCGGTCTGCGAAATTTCCGTCTAAATTGGGCGTCGGGGGCCACTTTACAAAGTGCCATTCCTTCTACACCTGAATTCTCGCTCTTCGTGGGCGACCTCTCACCAACTGCTACGGAAGCGCACCTCTTGTCATTATTCCAGAAGAACTTCAGAAGCGTGAAGACCGTGCGCGTTATGACAGACCCCATTACAGGCGCTTCCAGATGTTTTGGATTTGTTAGATTCGGAGACGAACAGGAACGGCGCCGTGCTCTTGTTGAAATGAATGGAGCATGGTGTCAAGGGCGTAACTTACGAGTCGCGTACGCCACTCCTCGCAACAACGTCATGTGGCAAATAACGCAGAACCAACAGAACCACCAGAACCACCAGCAGCAGCATCAACAGCAGCAGCAGCAGCAGCATCCGCGTAAGTTACAACCTCAGCCGCAATCGCATTATCAACCCCCACTCCATCACCAATCCGCTCAACTTCAGCAGCAGCAGCAATTGCAATTGCAACTGCAACAACAGCAAGAATATCATCATCAGCAACTGCAACAACAACAACAACAACAGGAGCAGCAATTACTGTTACAGCAACAACAGCAACAACAGCAACAACATCATTCTCAGTTATATCCCACCTTTTACTCCCAATATCAAAATCAACAATTGCCGGGCAATTACATGGCGGACAACTCAACCTCTTCAATACAAGAGCTTGGAAGCAATAAGGCACCGTTACTTATGAAAACCGCGAATACTTTGGTCAGCAGCAATTTTATGGGCTACCCAGGACTGGAAAATGAGCAGATAATGTCGTACTTGCCCTCTGCGAACGCTAACGGTGCCACTAATTTTGGCAACAACCAGGCTAGAAACCGCTCGGCATTGACCAACCCCATAAACACCACCGTTTTCATTGGTGGATTGACATCACAGATATCCGAACGGCAGCTACATTCCATGTTCGCACCATTCGGTACTGTAATCAACGTTAAGATTCCACCTGGCAAAGGGTGTGGATTTGTTAAGTATGCAAATCGGATTGACGCCGAAGCTGCAATTCAAGGTATGCAAGGATTTATTGTGGGCGGGAACCCAATACGTTTATCCTGGGGAAGAACATCGGCAGATATCGGTAGACAGAGCAACGCCCAGGACATGCCATCGTCACTTTCGAACTTGGACGTTAATTATTCTTCGCCCGTGTGGAGCAAACCTAATAATGCGCCCCCACCGGTTGGGCCCTCGATGTATGCGTCCGCGTCGTCCGCACATCTACAACGGCAAGACTCTTCATCTCAACCGAATAGTATTCCCCCCGTGCACCCATCGTTGTTATGAGTGATCACAGGAAATGTTTAGGCGAATTAGCCGTCAGTTATAAAAGCTTCATTTCAAATTCCTACTTTTCTGGCTTTCAGAGGTGATTCTCCGAGTGTTTCAGGAAGGTAGCTTTAATAATACTAGTTTTGTTTTCCCACTGAATTTAAGTTCTATGTTAGTTTAGTCTGTTTAAATGAATTTCCAAATACAACGACAGTAAAATAGATGTCAGTTACGTTGCATTGACATAAGATCTGATGTTGAATGAGACCAAAGTAATTAGTTCATACGATATTTTTTTATTGTCTCTTGATGCAAATTAAGCTGCAATCGCATGTTCAGGATAATCCTTTTTTCACTCGAAGAAGGCGTATTACTACAGTAAATGGGTACAAGTTGTAAAAAACACTCAAGTCATTTTAATCATCGAGTGTAATTTGAGAGACAAATCTACTTCACAATCAATCGACTATTGATGGTAACGGCTTTCTTACTGTTCGGATTCCTCAAAATCCGATCACTTATGCCAATTGTCGTTTATTTTGTAATGTGAATCTTCTACAGGATATAATACCCAAACCAAATCTCACGCCTGGCAGAGACTCTGCGGAATCCTAGCACTCAAAACAACCAGAGGTATCGAACGTCAGTGTTATGGTCAGGGCTTATCTCATCACCTCACGTGCAAATTTCAATCTTGATGAAGTGGTTGATCACAATGCACATATAAATACTGTTCAACACCTTACCTTTAGACGGAGATCTCTCTTCTAATATCAGCTGGCCGAGACTTCCAGTGTTTGAATGTTATCATTGCAATTAGCGCATCAACTTTACAAGAAAAATGTCCTATTAGTTGGCGCGGGTGAAGTGGCCTTGACCAGAATTCCTAAACTGTTGCCCACAGGATGCAGACTGACAGTAATAGCGCCAGAAATCCATCCTGATATGTGGAAGTATATCGATGAAGAAAAAGACGCCCAAGAGAAGGAGTTTGTGGATGCCAACTGGACTCCTCAGAAGAATAAAATATATCAAATTCTGGAACGAAGATTTGAGAAGAGAGATCTGGTGCTTTTTGGCGAACAACCAGATCGTAGAGATCATATTGATAGGTATTTGAATTGTGATGAGGAAGCTGATATTTTAGCACCAGAAAACCCTCCAAATGGCTGGAGTTTAATTTTAACGTGCATTCCAGATCCAATATTGAGTGAAAGGATATACCGCGGTGCGAAATTAGTCCTTGGTCCAAATGTGCTGTGCAATGTGGCAGACAACCCGCCATTGTGCGATTTTTATTTTGGCAGCAATTTGACATTGGGCGTTCACGACGCAGATGGGAACAAACCTATTCAGATTCTGATATCTTCAAACGGGAACTCGCCTCGATTTACAGCGCTACTGAAGCGAGAGATTCAAAACCAATACGAAAATCTACCGATTGGCAAATGTGTGGGCAAGCTGGGCACACTGCGATCGCAAATCCGACAAGTGTCAGAGAAAAACCGACCATTGTCTTTAAGCCAGGCCGATTTGGTCAAGTACCGAATGAACTGGATTCGCGAATGCACAGATGCATTTGGCGTTACGCATTGTCACGAAATTGACGTTGACAAAACGGTAGGATTATTCACAGAGATGTTTGCAAGCATGAGTTTAAATCAACCTAGCCGAGAGGTGTTTTTACAGGAATATTCAAAGAAAGAAGAGCAAGACACTTGAAAGGTGAGGTGTCCGAAGTCAAGTAGGAGGAAATACTGACATAAGTGAAATCAAGACCAGAGAGAGAGAGAGAGAGAGAGAGAGAGAGAGAGAGAGAGAGAGAGAGAGAGTAGTAAG